TAACGGTGCTCTTTGGTGAGGCGAAAAGATCGGTCTCGAAGATCAAACTCTGGGAAACGTGGTCGATGCGAATGTTCAATTCTCCACGCTTGCAGCCGTTCATGATGAACTTTTCGATGGTGGCAGCATCATAGTTGTAAGGAGAGGGGAAGGATGCGAGCTTAAGAACAAAGTCAAGCTTTACGGTGGTATAGACTTGGGAGAGCTGCTGCAAAAGACGTGTGAGGATGACTTGGTGAAGGGGACGGACGTATTTGACAAGTTCGGGGTCCTCGGAGAGCTTCGTCATAATGGGGTTGATCTTTTTGCAGATCGACAAGGGGTGGAACTGGACCTCGAGGATGTTATAAAGGTCACGGATCTCAGGGCGAACACGGGCCAAAATATTCTTGTTCAAGGCCTCCTTCAAGAGACCTGTGCGTGTGGGGTGTTGGGGAAGACCCATCAACATCGACAGACGGTTGAGCTTCAACATGCGGTGTTCATCAGCCTCGACGTATCCAGGACGGGTCTTGGTGGTAGTAATGATAGGAATGGCAAGAGCAGAAAGAAGGACGACAGAAGCCATGCGTGACTGTTCATCGTCGGCCAAATTCTTGTTGATAGCTCTCTCGATTGTGGAGAACTTGTTCCAGGCGGCGGAATGGAAGAGGTAGTTCTCACTGACCATGAAGATCTTTGTGAGCTTGCTGTAGTAGTTTGCCATCATTGCGGGCTTGGGAGGGCGCTTGGAAGTGGTCAAGAGAGTGTAGATATCTTCGACTGACTTAAATGCCTCCTGCCACAACTCAAGTTCGACAGCGGCATTGAGTTGGTTGAAACGAACTTCGAGGTATTGCTGAAGAGTCTCGGGATCGTTAAGGTTGATTGAGTGGGGTTGATGAGAGTATTTGGAGACGTTCTGGAAATGGTTTCTCAAGATCTCGCAAAGGCGACGGAATTCGGTCTTGCGAGCGTAGGTCAAGCAGAAAGTGAAAGCGTTGTTTGAAACTGTGTGGTACAAGGTTTCGAGACGTGCGTTGTTACGAAGCAAGTCGAGAACGGTTCTGTAAACTTCCCACAAGAATTTCAACCAAGGTGTTACTACAGCACGATCGGTTCTGTCCTTGTTCTGCTCGCCACTGACGGTGCTAAGCATGATAGATTCGGGAGTTTCAGATGCTTCGAGATCGTCAATAGATTCGACAGCAATAAGGTCAGCCTTGGCACGGGCCTCGGCAACCTTTTGCTCAGAGAGCTCGAGAAGCTTGTTGATGATGATCTGTGGCGTGCTTTAATTTTAGTAAATTTGTTGAATCGTACGTTGGATTATAACATCTCGTACCTCAATGCTGTTAACGCTGGTGTTTTGGGCAATGTTACGATATTGATGGAGACCTTCCTTGACCATGCGTCCCTGGCGAAGGTTAACACAGAGCTCAATGTACTTGAGCATCATTGGCTCCATGACATTAAGAGGGCTGCTGCGGGAACGCTTTGAGAGGATCACCTCATTGAGGGCCTGCAATGCAGCGGCTTCCTGGCCTTGAGCAACGAGCTCTATAAATTATAATTAATTAATCCATCCATTGGCCATATATTTGAGGTTTTTGCGGTACCTTCGGCTCTCTTAAGAACATTATCAGGCTTTGCTGCGTAAAATGGAGCCATAGTGTGTATGGATATGCTAGTTTAGACTTCTTTACGACACACTCAAAAGCAGTGTAGAATGGATGAAGAAAGGCGGATTGGGGAGGGGGTGCACGCCTTCCTCGGACTCCGATTGCCGGACCTCTACGTCAGAGACCGGCTAACCATAGTGGAATAAAAAAAGAGAGATAAAAAAAGAAATCTGGTGCAAGTTTGCGCGTGCTTTGCATAATTATTCTTCAAAAAATTAAAGAACTTGAAATCTAAGCTAGCATGTTTTTTTGGGGTCTTTTGATTTGACAATTTTCCTTTTAAGAATAGCAAGTGTGATCACAACCAATATCAATCAATATAAAACAATGAAACAAAATACAAAATAACTATGGTGATTAAGTAGTAAGTCTCCCGTATTAGAAGGAGAACCAACTATTTACTAGAGGAATTGTAAACTGAAAAAAAATTGTTTTCGTGGAATTTATTCCTTTAGTAACCATTGCAATGAATTAATTGTACAGGTGATTCTATGCACTGCATCTTCCAAGTGCTTCTTCTTTTCTTTTCTTTTCTTTTTTTTTGCATGCATCTGACGAGTAGTTAGCCTTATACTTCTTTAGGAGGTAAATTAAAGTGGATAGGTGGAGCATATACGTAGTTCTATGATATACAAAGAGTTTTGCATTCTTTGACTATTCGAATAAATGTGCAATGGTCTGATAAATATATCGAATGCCAGCTTTGTTTCTGACGTGATGTGGGCAAAATGGGGGGAGGTTCAAATCAGAGGGAGTGAGGCCGATGCTGATCATAATGCCTCTCCCCTGATTCAAATAGTTTGCAGCTCTTAGAATGGCACAAACTCTCGATTATAAGGAACCGTGGCGCCTTTGACCATCTTATGTTCCTTCTTCATCTTTTTCAGTGTTTGCTTTGTAAGACACCTTGATCTTTTTCTGGTTCCATGCTACTGGATTAATATTTCCTTAATATCCCGTGGCTAGTGTGATCCATTGATCCATTGATCCATTGATCTCGATCATATATAAATATAAATATAAATATAAATATATATATAAATTAGTAAAAAAGCACAAATTAATTCCACAAACTGGAATAATCTTGCTCTTGTAAGCAATCTGATTGTTTTTCTGTCATGGCTGCAGCTTATACGACACCTCGGTCGAAATGCAGTACCGACGTTGTATACGATAAATCACGACAAGAACAATTAAAGGAGGATGAAGACAAAGCAATAGCATTCTTAAACACCAGCCTAGGTCTATCAATCCGTAGTGGCGAACTACACACAAGTCTAAAAGACGGAGTTCATCTGTGCAAGTGAGTACTTATTTGTGTGTATGGGTGTTTGCTTTCAAATTGTATTATTAAGGAGTTAAGTAATTATTCGGGTCATTTCTTTATACTTGTTTTTTTTAAAGAAAAAAGCAGAGACTTTTCAAATTCTCTTACACTTTGATAAACGCCTCTTGTGATAATTGGCTACAAGATATGAATATTTGCTTATGATAGTTTGTAGATAATATTATCTAGAGTAAAATATCCCCCCAATTTCTTACTTTATCACTTTTAGTCTCATAAATAAGATTCGCCCTGGGATAGTGAAACATGTCGGTCAAAAAAACCTCTTGTTTGTCAAGGTAAGAATCATCTCGTTGAAAGCGGAAATGGCCCAATAGTATTGTTGTTGTTTTCTAGGCTAATAAGGGTTTTCTTCTTCTTTTTCTTCTTCTTCGGCTAATTAGATGGATAACATCACAAGCTTCTTGCAAGGGGCTCGTCAGGTACACCATCGCGTACTTTTAGAATAGAGATAAATTAATCGTATATTGACCACTCCAGCCCTTCCACTTTCCTCTTTCTGTACTTACTAGTTAGGTCTTAATGAATTCCAGTTGTTTGGTACTGCGGATTTGCTAGAAGCCAAAGATATGGCTATGGTAATGAATCCTTCCTTTTCAAACTGTCACTTGCCCTGCATTATAGTCCCTCGTACTCCTCTTTACATACTATAAGCGCCACACCTAACCCAACTGCTTGGACCACGACGCCATACTCGGACACAAAACAAAAGAGAAAAACGAATATATACTTACCAAGGCCTTGTTGTTTTTTATATTTATTTATTCTCTTGTACATGCTATGTATATTTATATTTATATATATATATATATATTAGGTTGTAACTACTTTGTTGAGTCTGGCACAGATCCATGCAAAGACAAATATAAATACAAACACATTGACAAAATTACCACCAATAAGTTCAGTACATGTGCAGAACTCTAACTCAGAAAAGGAGGGTTTCCCGAAAAAGGGTCTACCAGGAGATATGATGGCAGTAGATAAAGATGTACAGTCTATAAAATACGACCCTCATGCACCTACAATCAATGGCCCTACCTCGTACAGTACTCTATCCGGAAAGCGCCCTGAAGATAAAGAAACAAGTTATATAGACAAATCAACCGACTTCCAACCAAAACAAAACATGTTAAACTTAGCTTGTTCAGAAATACAGGGTGAGCCGCAGAAATTTCTTGCCACCCAAAGGCTATCTTGTTCTGTAAAGAAATAACAAGGATACTTATCCTCATATTCGTAATAGATTCAGAAGGAGAAAAATCGGACGATATAGCGGCATGGCCGTCTATCCACCTCGGATTTGCCCGTCCACCAAAATCGCCTCTACGGCCACCTTTCAAACCTAGCTCTCAACAGATAGTACGCTCAAAAAAAAGTCAAGATAACTTGCTCCCGCCGGCCTATCGTCATTCGACAGATATTTCTCTCTTGACTAATTCCACCCAGGTTTATGAAAGTAGTATGAATAGCAGTATAAGCATGTTTCGATCATCATCAGCATCTTCCTGCTCTTCAATGTTTTCTTCTACTTCAACATCAACTTCTTCATTAAGAACGCCAATGACTTTATCTTCTGTCTCCAGTCGTGCCCAGGAATATCCAGCCGATTCAAGACCAGTAGAACACCATCCGGAAATTCTAGTACATGTCCGTCAACCATCTACAAGGCGACCAAGTCAACCTCGACGACAGAGTGTTACTATTCCACACAGAAGGGCAAGAGATGGCCAATCGTTAGACTATCCGCTTGAGGGAGACAATGCCGAGAGTTCGGCGAACACAGGGAGCCTTGGGCACAAGCTAGACCGCCAGTACCAGAGAACAATTGAGAACGTAAAAGACATGGACAAAGAACGAGAAAAGCTCGCGCTAAAGAACCAGGATGGTTCAATTAATGCTCTCTATGTAAGATCCCAAAATCCCTGGTAAAAATTCAAAAAAAAAGTGACATTTGCTTAAAAAAAATCCCTTTCTTCTCCTTGTAGCAATTGGGAAACTGTATTGGAAAAGGACAGTTTGGATCAGTTTACAGGTAAGGCTGGGGCTTTATATTTGTCCCTACAGAGAATTGTATTTCTGCTTACCTCTTGGATAAAAAAAAACTCATATTTACCGTGTTATTATCTATTAGGGGCCTTGATCTTACTACAGGCGAGATTGTAGCCGTTAAGAGGGTAAAGATTGTCAATGGCGAACTAGATCAAGAAGAAATCATGGCAAGTGGACTCACTATGAACTTTTTTTAAAGAAATACATACTCATCATGTACATTTCACCAGAAAGAAGTTAGTCTTCTCAAGGCTTTATCTCACACCAATGTTATTCAATACATTGGTTTTATCAAAACACAGAATCATATGAATATTATTCTCGAGTAAGTCCTTACATTCACTATACAAATAAAAAAGACCTTTATTTAACAGTACTAACACTATCTTAACATTAGATATGCAGAAAATGGTTCTCTCATGTCTACTCTCAAGGCATTCGGTGCATTCCCTGAGAAGTTGGTGGCCTCGTTTTCTATCAAGTTATTGAATGGGCTAGAGTATCTGCACGCCAACGAGGTATTGCTTGCAACTATTTTAAAAACAATGATTAGATACGTTGAAGATTTGTTTTAGCTACTAATAGTGGACTTTCTATGGTGTTTTTTTTTAATGAGTAGGTTGTTCATTGTGATCTCAAGGCTGCAAATATCTTGACCACTAAGACAGGAGATGTTAAGCTCACTGACTTTGGTATCTCACTCAACTTGAAAATCAAATGTGCAGATGCAGGAGCTGTATCCGGTACCCCCAACTGGAGTAGGTGTACGCCAAGAAAAATAAAAAGAGACTATTTAACTTGTAATTTGATTTTATTCTAACGTGCCTTAAAAATGTAGTGGCTCCAGAAGTCATTGAACTAAAGGGAGCTTCGACAAAATCAGATATCTGGTAAATATTATATATACAATCTGCTAGTACCTTTATCATTTCATATTCATTCTTATTCATCGACTGTATTGTATTGTTAACTTTATTCTTTATGCGAGTATAGGTCTTTAGGATGTACTATAGTTGAACTAGCGACAGGAAAACCTCCTTACGCCAATTTGATTTCAATGTCTGCCATGTTCCGCATAGTAGAAGACGACTATCCGCCTATCCCAAAGAACATCTCAGAGGTTCGGTCTGAATTAATTGGCTGTTATAATGTATGATTGATTTTTCTTATTCACTCCTTTTCCATTCAAATAGGAAATGCATAGTTTTCTCTTGTGTTGTTTCCAAAAGAACCCAGACCATCGTCCAACAGCTACAGAACTTAAGGAGCATATCTGGATTCGAAACAACGGACAGAGGACTAGAGATAGAGCAGAGGGTAGAGCTAAACTAACTCAATCTGTTCATTATGGACAACATCTTGCGCGTCAAGATTTGACATTTGAAGTGTCGAAACAATCTATTCATGTGTCCAAAAATCCCAAAAGAGAAACCAATACAGGGTCCGAAGAGCTTATAGAAGAAAAGGAAAGGCACGGGAAAGAAACAATAAAAAATACCAATTCAGCCATCACAAATGTATATGAGGCAGATCAAGGCGACGGGCATGATAGAGAAGGAGAAACACATAAGTTTGTTCAGACCTCTTGTGAAAAATGTAAGTGCAACTTCTGTCTTCTTTTAATACTCATAAAATAACTTTTTCTTACATAATATAGCTGTCAAGTGTAAAGTATGTTGTGAGCTTATCAAAATTAAACAGCTGTTCTGTGAAGGTGAGTTTGGGCGGGACCATTTATATGCAAGTAGTTATTTATTTTGACGTGGCACATTCTCTAATTGAGTATTGGCTAATATTTGATTGTATGTCTTAACAGTTTGCTCTCTGGTGTGTCATGAAGCATGCCGGGATCATGCATTCTCGTGTCCTCCAAATGTGAATGGACAACAGCCATCGTACGACGTAAGCACACTATGAATATCCCGTTTGGAAAGAAAAAAGTTACTCAACCTAAAAGGGTCACTAGTGTGTTTTCTCTGCAAAAATATACAATCATATCAAGCAGACACCAAATGGATCTCTAGACATTTCGCGCTTACCAGTAAAGCCTATACCCTTAGCAAAAGATCAGAGTCTTGGGAGATTCTCTCTGGAAGATCATCCCCAAGCCGAGAATATTCGCAAATATTCGAAAGCTCTTGGATTGACACCTCAAGAAGAGCGGGCGCTGAGTGAGAATCAGGCGCTACTATCGCACACACTTGCTCTACAGCTTATGAACCCAGAAGCAGTGGAACGAGTTATCAGACGAAGATCGAAAGAAGGAAAAAAAGGCCTAAACGGGGTGACAGATGAATGTGTTATTAGTTGAACAAGTCTCTTTTTTATTGTTTCTGTTATTGTATTTAATGATTTCTTTATAATTTTCTGTTTGTTTTATAGCGAGGAGCTAATGGATATAGAGCTTCTCTCTTTCTATCTTTCTTCTTTATATGTATCCTCTCTTTCTCTCTTTTATAACCATGCCAACCCCCCTAATCAGCTCTTTTGTGACGCAGAGATTCAGCCCCGGTACCTGAAAAGGCAGTGTGTCGAAAGGTTCATCTTGCACCCTTCATTGTCCGCCTTACTGGCACCTTTACTTTCTCTCCTTTCCTTTAACTTTCTTTCATCTTTATACTTACTTAATAATATTACAAAATGGCAAAGGCAAAACAAGCCCCTCCTCTTCACAAGATCATCATGGTTGGCTCGGGTGGTGTTGGTAAATCAGCATTGACCCTCCAATACATGTACGGCGATTTCGTCGAAGAGTACGATCCCACAAAGGCAGATTGTAAGTCATGTCTTCATTATACCATCAAAAACCCCTTTTCCGGCATGAACACCGGGAAGATCGACTTAATCTATGTAAACTCAAGGATTATATCGCCATCACCTTTCATCTCAACCATAAACGCCAAGACAACTAAGCCCGCTCATACACATTTAGAAATATCATGTTCGTAGCTAATCTTAGTTTTTTTTTTATTATTAAAAAAAAAGCCTATCGCAAGAAGGTCGTCTTAGAAGGGCAAGAATGCCAGGTTGATATTTTGGATACAGCAGGACAAGAAGAATACGCAGCCGTAAGTTAATAACATTTTGTGTGTGTGTGTGTATTAACTTGTACTGGAACTGAACCTGCAGATTCGTGACAATTATTATCGTTCTGGCGAGGGTTTTCTCTGTGTCTTCTCCGTGTGCGAACAGGAGTCGCTTGAGCATACCCAGGAATTCAGAGACCAAATTCTGCGAGTATTAGACGATGATACCGTAAGTTGAACTGATCCTAAAAAAGAATAATAACTGATCCGAGGTTTTATGATACGAATATTATTAGGTTCCCTTCATTTTGGTAGGAAACAAAGTAGATTTGGCTCATTTGAGAAAGGTCACTGCCAGTGAAGCATCTTCCATGGCCCAAGAATGGAACTGCCAGTACATAGAGACTTCTGCCAAGACAAGACATAATGTAGAAGAGGTCTACACAGCCCTGATGCGTCAAATAAGAGACAGAAAACTCAAGCAGAATAATGCGGGAGGTGATGAAAAAGACTCTTGTTGCATTATCCTCTAAAGGATGATATATTTTGCAAGTTATCCCGTAAAATCCCTCTCCCCTTATCCATTCACACACACACATTTATATATACGTGTATGTGTGTGTTCAGTTGTACCATTACCTGCCAATACTGCATTTATGTTTGGCTAGCTTTCACTAATAAATCTACAGTACTACCTTTAATTATCTAAATATTCTCTTGACTCGTAAAATTAAACATATTTTTAACAAATAGTTTCAATGATTTTTTTTTACCTTGAAAACTATCATTCTTGAAGAAAATGAAGAATAAACGGGCATTCAATAAATGTCTACGTCATGTAATCGAGAAAGAAATAGGTGCATATAGCTCGTGTCTGGCATAGCTAGTCTTCTCAATCTTTGCTCCAAACTTTTCATTCAATTCGCTTGACTGCAATAATGGTAGCCGCAAACATTAAGCGTGCTGCTCCAACTGATGATGTGACGATGAAGGGAGGATCGGAAAATAGCAACGGCGATGACACGCTAGCAAACATGACCTCTATTCTTGAAGGATCGGCCAAAAAGACGAGACTTTTGTTTACGACATCATATAATCAGGCAGCTATGGATGAAATGGCTAGGTAAAATCAAATGTGTTTTCAATTAATTCCTCATTTGAGATAGCTCATACGTTTTGATCGACCCTCTAAAGTCAGCGTGACAAGCTGACAAGTAAGATTCATGACGAATACGAAGATGTCCGCACTTTACCTGAAGCCCTGATCAAACAACAAAAGGAGGCTTTAAAAGCTAAACAACAAGCAGCACAATCAACAAAAACAACCGTTACAGATGCAGAAGGAGACGAGGGTGATTCAAACAGTTCTGTACAGAAACTCATCCAATCGATGCCAGAGAAGAAAACAAAGTACGTGAGAGGATCGCTAAGATTGCTGATGACTGATTGGAATCGAGTAGGGAAGGACCTGGTGGTGTGGTTGCATTGCGATCCAAGGATCAGTTCTCGGACCTTTTTGGTGATAGTTTAGCTGGTGGAGGTTCACTTGTGCGTCGTGCGCGTGCAAAGACTATTCGCCCAGTTTGGCACGCACCGTGGAAGCTGATGCGTGTCATCAGTGGACATCTTGGATGGGTGCGCTCTGTTGCAGTAGAACCAGGAAATAAATGGTTTGCCACTGGCGCTGGTGATCGTACTATTAAGATCTGGGACATGGCATCAGGAACACTTAAGCTGTCATTGACAGGTCACATCAGTACTGTTCGCGGTCTTGCTGTTTCACCGCGACACCCCTATCTCTTTTCGTGTGGTGAGGACAAGATGGTTAAGTGCTGGGATTTAGAACAAAATAAGGTTATCCGTCATTATCATGGGCATCTTTCAGGTGTATATGCACTTGATCTCCATCCAACTCTCGATGTTTTGGTAACCAGTGGCCGAGATGCCACGGCCAGAGTAAGTACTTTAAAAAGAAAAAGAAAAAGAAATATGTTCTCTTATGTATGTATTCTTGTGTAGGTCTGGGATATGCGAACAAAACAGTGTGTACACGTTCTTTCTGGACACACAAGCACTGTCTCCGCTGTTAAATGTCAGGAAGCTGATCCACAAGTCATTACGGGTTCTATGGACAGCACTATTCGTCTGTGGGATCTGGCGGCAGGAAAGACTATGGGTGTTTTGACTCATCATAAGAAGAGTGTTCGCGCACTTGCTCTTCATCCTACAGAATTCGGATTTGCAAGTGGAAGTGCTGACAATATCAAGGGCTGGAAATGCCCCGAAGGCACTTTTATGCAAAACTACAACGTGCGGAAATCCATCATCAATACTCTATCGATCAATGCAGACGGCGTCGTGTTTTCAGGAGGTAACTAATAGTAATCTTAGCTGGCTTAAAGTAAAAATAGAAAAACTGACACAGAAGTAATTGGATTCTAGGTGATAATGGTGCCATGGGCTTTCATGATTGGAGATCTGGTTACAATTTCCAGTCTATGGATACAACCGTCCAGCCTGGTTCGCTTGATGCTGAAGCAGGTGTATTCTGCAGTACTTTCGATAAGACTGGTCTTCGTCTGATCACTGGTGAGGCTGATAAAACCATTAAGATCTACAAGGAAGATGACTCTGCAGTAAAGGACGAGGACTTTTATCAATAAAGAAACACTTGAATGTTAAGAAAGGCACAGTATCCAATAACGTGACTTTGAATCGCGCTCATTCTCCCTTCTCAAATAAAATAAAATAAAAATGGAACTTGCTACGTCCGCTATCCTCTCATCTTGATTCTACACCATGGCCGACAAATATAAAAATCTAAAAGTGAAGGAGTTACAGGGTAATGATTACCAAATGTTGCTAATATAAAACAGCATAGTTTGTCAACTACTATAAAACGCGTACTCACCATTCTATCACGCGATGTCAGAGCTTTTGCAAAAGCAAGGCATTCCTCACACTGGCAAAAAGGAGGAGCTTATTGAACGTTTGATGAAACATGATGAGCGGAAAACGTATGAGATTGAATCCCTTGAAGCTGAATTCGGTAGCATTGAAGATTTTGATGAGTCAAAACTCAACTTTGAGTAAGCATAAATCCCTTTGAGATACGACTACAATTAAAGTCTTATGATTTGTGTACATCTTTTTATTATTCAGTGATCTTCATGATGTCGATCTCAAATCATTCAGCACAACCGACGCAAAGCAGTTGACCGCGGTTGAAGATGAATCAAAGGCGCAGGCTGAAAAGACCGAGATCTCAGTGACGGAAACTACTACAGATGCTTCATCAACGCAGAATTCGGTCAAGATATCTCAAATACAAGAGACAGTTGAAGTTGTTAAGCCAGGATCTCACTTTAAATTCACACCTATTTCATTTGAAAAACCTGGCGCTACTACTGCTACTGCAACTAATGCTACTGCTGCGGCTGCTTCTGTTGCAGAATCTGCTCAGACTACCCCTAAACCAGCAGTACCTTCACCCACAACTATCAAGGCTGCACCAGCACCAGCACCAACACTGTCTGAAGTAGAAAAGAAGATATTGGCTGAGGCAGAGAAGAAAGCAGAGCGCGCAAAGAGATTTGGTGTTCAGTTAGATGAAAAAGCAAAGAAAGAGTTGCGCGCTGCTAGATTCGGAATTCCTGTAGCGGTAGCTAAGACTGCTGCCTCGCCTTCCAAGAGTACTCCCAAGGTACAAACTCCAAAAGTACAAACAGGAAAGACTGTTGCCCCCAAGGTAAAAAAAAAATATTATTTGTAAAAACGTAAGAAGTTTGGATAAAATAAGCTTATTATATCATGTAAAAGGGTATTGATCCAGAGACCTTGAAGAAGAGAGCCGAGAGATTCGGATTACCCCAGAAGGGGGGTAAAATAGAGAAGAATGGCAAGAGTACTGTGTTGGACCCTGTTGAAGAAGAAAAAAAGAGAAAGAGAGCAGAAAGATTTGGCTCTGACCAAGTAAGTATACTGTTAACTGAATGGATTGTGGCTTATATTTATTTAATAGAGCAAGAAACAGAAGAATTAGACTCTTGTAACTGTATAGCTCAGGCTCAGTTATCGAACACGATCACCATGCCTCTTTTATTTGAACTTCTCTTTTTTTAATTATTCTTATTATATTATTGCACTAAATTGAAATGAGTCTTTGACTATTTATAAAAGCCCTGGAGCTGGTCCCTGAGTAATGATCATATACTTTTTCTATTTCTTTGCTCAAAATCTGCTATTTTCACTCTGAAATGTCTGTGCCAAATATAATGTAACAAACTACCATTGCACAAAACGTCATCATTACCATCATTTTTCCAAAATAGGGTAAATTCTACGCTTTCCATTCACATTTAAGCATTAATTCTGACGTCTACACCAATATTTCAAGTTATTTCTGCTCGTTTTTTTTTATTTCATACTTTTTACTTCTTACACACAATGGCTTCCAACCAAAACTATTATCCTACTTCTGGCCATGGAAAAGACAAAAACTCTGATAAGTCAGAGCGTCACCTATTTCATATCGGAGATTCGGACAACGACCTTCATGGCAATGGAAAAACAGCAGAAGAAATTCAAGAGTCTGAAACTAAAGAAAAACCCCAACACAGCAACTACGGCCAAGGAAACGATGAAAGTCGTATTCCCAAGTTTGATGACTATAGAAAGTATGGTGAATATGGAAATACCTCTCACGATGCAGCGCGTGCGACATACATTGATCCGAAAGTTATACCCTCTGCCGTTGGTGCTGGTGCAGATTCTACCGGCCGCGCTCAGAAAATAGCCGATGCCCGAGGTCAGCAACACAATAACGGAAATCACGTTATATCAGAAGGTGCAGAAAAGTCAAATAAGGAAGCAAAAGCGACACTCCATGATAAAATTAAAGGAAGATTTGAAAGCTTTTTGGGAAGGCTTACTTGTAATGATGAAAGAGTAGCTAAAGGTGAGGCCCTTAGGACATTCGGCCATAATCACATTTAAAATACATAACTAGATATAAACAACAAGGTCATTACATGTATATAATAACAGCAATATAATTATAATCATATATTTATTTACAACATAATATAAAACAATATTAATAAAGCATAATATCTATACTATACACATATCAAGAAAATATGCTTTTAAATATTGAATTGTGTAAGTTATTATACTAGCTTTCAACCATAATAATAATGATGGAAAAAGTGATTTTAAGATCAAATGTAGACTTCTTGAGGCTATCCTGCAAAGAACGGGTTATGTTTCACACCGAGAGTAAACTTAAGTCATGAATATATGCAGAAGTTTGTGATCACAAGCTAAACATATCAAGGGGTATATTCTTAGGCTCTGCTATTCAATAGGCTGGTACTAATGTACATGCTGGAATATGAAATACGACATATAATGATTCTAGTGCTGAAAATATATAGTTGTACATCGCTACATATAGTCAAAGTTGTGGTTGAAATTTTGGAACGCTCAATTTAAAAAGATCATATTGTTTATCGATTACTCTTTTGGTGTCTATTATTATTAGCTTATGATGTATAGGCAACAGTTGATCATCATTATAAACCGCCATACTCGATATATGTATATTTATATATATGATAGAGGCTCATACGGTTTATGCTGTACATACATATACTCTTTAAAAAATAGTAGGGAAAATAATAATATTGCAAGGTAAGTTTATAAGTCTCAAATACTACCAAGTCAATTACAGTATTATGATGAACAATGACTATCTCTTGCTATTTATACTTTGAATGCGATCTACTCATTCTCTTTAATAACATCATATAAAACATATGTCAGCCTCACAATATTATTAAACTTGTGATATGTTAAACATGAATAATATACCTTTGCACCATTATAAAATACAAAGAGTATTAATACACAGATTTATATAAAGCTTAATAAAATATAGACTCTATAAAAAGCTATAATCGAACCCTAGCTACAGAAATAGTGCACTTGGCCAAATATTTGCTTCAAGAGAAAGGGGGCTCCAATAAGCTCAGCTGTTTACTTTGGAAAAGCATTATCTTAACTTATTTCCAAGAGGTAGTTACATTTTAATATTTTCTGTGTTTTATTTCATTTTTATATGTTGAAGGCTTCTTCTACATGTGTATTGATGTTGCTTTTGTCGACATGATTCAATGTCTCTGGACTCCTTGTTTCCAGTCCCAGTAAAAAAGGGGAAAGGGACTGAAAACTACCTTTCTCGATAAAGAAAGATATGTGCCCATCTGATTGGAGACCCTGTTAGAGAATGGCTGGACTCTTACTTGATTTTCAAATTCCCTTTCTTACCCCTATCTCTTTTGCTGGAAGGCAGGAGAACAATGAGGAGTTGGCTCTATCGTGTCAACCAAGCACTCTAGCACCGATAATATGATAGAAGAGAATGTTACTTAACAATAAGTAATATCTAACAGCGTATTATGGCTCAATAGTTATTGGAATATATATATATATATATATATATATACATGTGTGTGTGTGTGTGTGTGTGCTTTATGTATTTACTTTTAAGAAAATATCCATCTTGACTTACAGTTAATCTTTGACTAAGAAACCCCTTCATCCTGCGTTCCCTTTTTTTTTTGGAAAAAAATGTAAACGCCAATGTGGCTATCTTTGAATTCACTGCTTCTTCTTCTCGACCATCCCATTCTATAACTTATTTATTTTATTCTTATTTATTTTCTCTCTCTGTCTTTATTTGCTGCTATTGAGGATAATAGTCTATGAAGGTTCTTTATATATTCTTCTTGGTTTTTCTAGCTACTACCTCCAATGCATATTTTTATGTACCAAATCTGATGAATAATCTTCCCTTTATGGGTGGCAATGCCGTTGCTCAACGGAATAACTCTCTCGTTCTTTATGGAGGAGAGGATGCTCTGTCTAACTACAAATCCGATTTGTATATGTTGACACAAATGCCGACTACATATACCTGGCACCAAATACATCAAAACAACAGTGTACCTGGCAATTCTTATGGCCAGGCTGTAATGTCTAATGATGCTGAGATTATGTTCCTGATCGGTGGTGTTACAAAAAATACAAAAAATCTTTTTCTCCCTATGCAAATCTACAAATTTCTTTTCAGCACTGGGAATTGGGATCCATGGGAGGGAAATACAAACCTCAACACAACGTTGCCAGTACCACCAAACCGTCAGCGCTTTAGTGCCATCGCAGGCCCAAATAACAAAGTATATATCTGTGGTGGAGCTTTAAACGAGAGTGCTATTTTTGGGGATTTTTGGGAGTTAGATACTACCACTATGAAGTTCACTGAGCTAGCCAGACTTAATGCCCCCATATACGCACATACAGCCTCTCTACTCAGGTACCAATTCCGATATTCTATTGAGAATACATGTGTACGATCTGCATAAAACCTTAATAGCTCTAACTTTTTTCCCTTTGAACTTTAGTAATGGAAAGCTAGTCATCCTTGGTGGCATCATTCAAACATCTCCAACCACTACTAAGCTGTCTCCAATGGACAATATTCATGTTTATGACATACATACAAACACTTGGAAAATACAGCCCACAAACAAGGACTCGAATGGAATGTACACTTCGCCACGTACCATGCACAATGCTGTTGTTAGTAAGTAACAGCACTTCGGCTCAATAAATATTGTTCGTTACTTATTCAAATATACTTATTCAACAACTACAGCCTCAGATGACAAGATTGTTATATTTGGTGGTAAGTCTCTAAGAAATCTTTAAATCACATTATCTACATAAACCGCCCACTCATATTTTCCTGTCTTACTTACAAAAGGTGATAACGGTGGCAACCAAAGAACTAAGGCCTATATTAACTCAGTTTCTATACTGGACACCAACACATGGACGTGGAGCAGCCCTCCCCCGCACGGAATACTTCCCTCCCGTCGCTCCTATGCTGCCGCTGGTATACTAGACGGGAAACACTTGACAGTTTCATTTGGTAACGTCTGATTAATGTATACGAATCATTGTATGTTTGTGTATATTTACTTGTACAAATTTTTGCTAATTAGGATCTGCGCTAAATTCCTATTACAACGACATCAATGTAATGGATCTTAATAGCCTGGAATGGGTCAACGACTTCTCGTCTATTACAAAGGACTCCACCTCAGAGATGTCCAAAGGGCTTATTGCTGGGGTCACTATTGCTGCTATTATATTGGTAGTAATTATAATTTTCTTGTTCTGGCGCTTTTGGTCTTATGTAAACTGGCTGGGTAAAAAGATACACGGTGACATTTGGAAACCTCGGTATGAAATCTTCAATTGTTGACGATAATGTATGCTCATATATAATGATTATTTTGATTGTCTATTTGTTTAGTAATGGTGAGCCCGCCTGGGCTGAAACAACGCGTATTATTTTCCAAATTATCCTACTATTCATTTTTACCATGTTCTTGGTTTTTGTAATCAAGCAAGCAGTCGACAGTCCAAATGTAACTCAAAGAATTCAAAATTCAGCAAGCAACGTGCAGGTTCCAGGTAAGTCAATAATAAGCTACCAATAAGATGACTATCTTTAGACTTTGCTAACAAATATGTATACATCAAAGATGTTCGCTTTTGCTTTGATGGATTTCCCGTTTACCCTCCCACAGACATTAGATCTACCGGTGTTTTGTGTCAGACAAACACGGGCGTTTCGTGCACTAAATATATTCAGCAACTAAATACATCTATATTCGAACCAGTATTTGCAGATTATCTTGGTGCTGTCAGTTGTTTTCTCTTCAGAGCTCCTTATGATTTCCAGCTGGTACAAACTTCGGGAGCCAACAATGGTTCTTTTCTAACTTTCACCTTCTTCGGTGACCAAAATGCTACTGGTCGTATTCACATTTCTGCTTACCCGAAAGAGATGGATCCCAATGTTAACGTCTACAATATTCCAAGCGACAACATCCCTTCGTATCTCTCTGTATCGGATATGTCCAATTGGCAAACCAATGAGCGCAATGATATTCAGTCGAAAAATGTGTTTACTGTCGAGCCATTCTCTTATAGCACCCTTGGATATGATCTGATTGATCACCGCTACCTCCAAAACGTTGGCTGGAACTATGTTGGCTTCTTGCCCTTATCAAATTCAACCCCCGAAATCACCACCAGTTTTCGACAAGAAGCAAGCAATCCAAACTATGTAACATCTGGGCACCCAGACCTTGGACTTATTACCATTGTTCCAAACACTTGGGCTAGTCTTGTTGATCGAGAGGTTAAGATGTATACCCTATTAAATGCCCTTGGATTTGTTGGTGGTATATTTGGTCTATTGATTACCGTTCAGACGTGGCTGTTTGGTTATCGTCCAAGATCTCCTTGGGGAGTTGTTCAACGCTGGTCGATTGGTGATATGAAGCGTTCACTCTTACGTGGGCTTCATTCTAAATTTAAAACGACAGACTCTGGAATCCCTTTAATTCACCCTGTTCACCAACGCTTCAGTGTTTCTGACTTTGGTACTTTGGAAGACGAAACGGAATCGCAGCGAGTGGCGCGTGTAGAAGAGCGCATGCAGGTACTCGAGATGCTTTTTAAGGCATATTATGTCGACGATGAGGTTTTTAGATCTCTTGAGTCAGCAAACAAGGTTACAGATAATGAGAAGGTATCTGGAAGCAACCTTCCTTTGTTCCCCAGCTCAGAAAATTCTTCGGTTGGCTTGCCATTCAACTCGGGAAACAACAACTTAAATACCCCGGGTTTTTCACATATGTTTACAAGGCAGCATAGTGGAAGCTCTAGTACCTATTCAGTATCGCAGCAACGTTTGAATGGTCAACTTTAAGGGTCCAAGAGAAGCTTGGGTGGAATCGAAACGAAAGGGTATATTCTCTGTTCGTAAGTGTTCCGTCCACTCCCTAAATATATCATTTGTCTTACTTGCCCATAACCCCTCCCTTGCATATGCTTCCATTTTACTTTCTTAAACCTCACAACCATGAATATTCTATTGTGCCTTTCTTTTGACCATTTTGGCCATATATTTATTTATTTTCAAACAAACAAACAAACAAACATGAATGAATGAATGAATGAAAGTAAGTAGAAAATAAAAACGACGACTATTATTACAATTATCATTATTACTATTCTTATTACTATTCTTATTATTCTTATTATTCTTATTATTCTTATTATTCTTATTATTCTTATTATTCTTATTATTCTTATTATTCTTATTATTCTTATTATTCTTATTATTATATAAATATTGCAGGCAATTCACCTGTTTAATTCTTGAATCTTTATAAAAACATATCGAATATCGATACTTTTAAATAGTTTAATCAGTGATTACACCTAGTCAGTCTTGTTGTAATGGAAGTATATTCTTGTAGCCATACAGATGTAGCTTATATGTGATTTTAATACCCAGCTCTAGATACCGTTTCTCTCTTTTGGCTGATCAGCAGCAGTATGCAAACCAAGATATGACACACTAACACTACGGGAAGAAATGCATGTTTAGGGGTGTATTTTTTAATGTGCTCCGAGGTGTGCTTAGAGGTGTGCCTTCACAATAGTGTAATTGACACAAATCTGGTTTTTTATTTATTTATTTATTTATATCTACCATTATTTTACATATTATTTTACAGTCATTTTTTTCTAATGATAGGCTATCGTAATCTGCTCGACTATATAGACTTATAAACACTAAAACATCTATTATAATTTATATAAAAGAGGAATATACTTATGAGACATAAAGATATGGAAGCCTCTTGAGTAAATGGCTGTGACACACTTATCTTGCATGGAATAAGAACCAATTCCTCCTTTTCATCCCTTTTTATTTAGCTTTTGAGTTCTCCTTTTGTCTCTAACTTGTTTTATTTCGGCATATATATATATATATATGTTACCATTTATAATGATTGGCACAATATAATTGTATTTTGGCAATTACTTAATCGTAGAGCTTTATATATACAAAAATTTGCAGATGCTTCAGAATCAATACATTAAACTCTATGCTATGTGTGTCAATCTTCAAGTTACTTTGGTACTTCCCATGGAATCAGCTTATATATAAAGTATATTTTTTGTAGGACGACTATCTACAAATGTATATATTAGAGAGCTGTTTAAAGTTGCCTTGTATCTACGCCCAAAAAAGGCACTTAAGTTGGAACATTTTTTTAAAATTTATTCTCCGATACATCATACGTGTACCATCATGTTGCGTCAACAATATAGCTTGTGAAAATATTATGCATGAGCTTCATTCTCTAACAACTTCTTTATACTCAAATTGATCATCTAAATTCAAAATAAAATGACCGATCGTTCCGAATATAACATTAGCAATCACGCCCAAGTTCATCAACAAAGGCAACAAAGGCAACAACTACAACAACGAAGACAACAACGACAACGACATCAAGAACAGCAACAGCAGCAAGAGAAACAGCAGAATGAAGAAGAAACCATACCTCAAGAGATTAGAAGAGCCAGGAGAGCTAGATATAGCAAACTAAACCTAAATCTCTTGAGTGACGGTACTTGTATATATCTATTTCGTTTCACTTTGGGTGAAATTGAGAGAATAACAACAGCACTCGGATTGGATCATGTGTACCGTTTTTCAAGTATACAAGTCCGTAAGAACCTTGGCTTTGCAATGTTACTCAATCGGTACAGCTTTCCAAGACGCTTAGGTGACATGTCTATACTTTTTGGAATGAGTGAAAGCAATGTATCTGTAGTTTGCCGAGGATTTGAGAGCATTGTTATGAACCAGATTAAATGGGGACTTCAATTCAATATTAAGCAATTTCGCCCGGAAAACTTGGAAAGGTTTGCAAGTGCAATCTACGACAAAGGCGCAGCACTGCCAAACATTGTTGATTTCATTGATGGTACTATGCAAGCAATATCAAGACCAAGCCAAGGTAATGAAGTTCAAAAAGCTTTTTACAATGGTTGGAAGCACATGCATGCTTTGAAGTACCAGTATGTTGTTACTCCTGATGGGATCACAAGCAGCTTGCTTGGACCATATGTTGGCTCTAGACACGATCAGTACATATATACCATGTCCAAAACAGAAGCAAGAGTGGAAAAATACTTGGATATTGTACCAGATGTCGAATTGCCATTTGCCTTGTACGGCGATCCAGCTTACATGGTTTCCAAGTGCCTGTACTCACCATTTGAAGGCGTATCTCTTAGTGATATAGTAACCATAAAAGATTGTCGACAAAGATTGTACAATATATTAATCATGTACAATAGATTTAGATAAAAAAATCAACAAGAGTATGTCGAAAGTGCGAGTGGCAGTAGAGTGGGAATTTGGGGAAGTACAGAAGTACTTTAAGTATTCCAAGTATAAGTATGCCATGAAAACAGGGGAAACAAGTCCAGCAACTGTGTACATGCTATCCACAGTATTCAAAAATATGATCCACTGTACTGGTCGCAATAGATCGCCAACAAGTTCATATTTTGGTTTAGAGCCACCGACTCTTGAGGAGTATATCTCTGGATTAAGACGTGATAAAATAGACGGAGAAGATGAAGATGATATATTATTTTAAATAAATTAATACTTAAATTTTTATGCTTTTATCATTATTTTCTTGTTTTTTTCAATTCCTCTTCGATATCGCACATCTTCTGAAGTATCTGCTTCAGCACCCCCATGACTTCAGCATGGCGGGTGGCCTGGGACTCTGGGACTTCATTTCCCACCTCCGGATGATCCTCATCCTCGACCTCATCCTCGTACTCATCCACGTCCTCATCCACGTTCTCATTCTCCTCATCTGCGTTCTCATTCTCCTCGCCCTCCTCGCCCTCCTCGCCCTCCTCATCCTCAATGCTAGCTGGGCTAGCTTGACTGCCAACTGGTCGGGCCGCAGCCATAGCAGAGCTCTCTGCTGGGAACTTCTCTTGCATTTCTGCGTTGGTCTTTTTGATAAAATCTCGGTATTTTTTCCTGAGATTTGTGATCTGGCCAGGAGCTCCCGACGCGATTGCCCGTACACGGCCTTCGAGGCCAAGCTTAAAGTCCTGTCTGGCAATCTCCTTATTACGACCAGAAACCTTGAACGCCTCGTGCTGCTCTTTCTACATTTAATTAAATGTATGTATGTAATTAGAAAACTGAAAGGAAACTAAATATAAATTTGACTGTACCTTGTCAAGGATCTTTCGGACAGCCTTCTCTACCTCTGGCCTGTTTCTATTTGCACCCGAGGTACCAGCAACAGTCCTCTCCTCAAAGGCATTCTTGTAGATGTCTACAAGTTTCAACATTTTGCGACGGCAAGTGTCGTAAGACAGCTCTGTCTCGCCAGGTGTCACGTCGTTGACACTTTTAACAATGTCCTGCCATGCCTTCTTGTGTGCACCTTTCTTCAAAGAAGGGGGGGAAAGGTGCGCGTATTCCTGTAAGAGTACCAACTCTTTGGTATCGTTCCAGGAACCATGTGCCTTCTTCGGCTTCTTCTCTTCCTCAAATCCAGAAAGTTTATACTGCTTGATTCGCAGTTTCTTGTTGCTGTTCTCAGCGTTCTTAGAGGTTCTTTTTGGAGGCATTGTTGTATTAGAATATATATATGCAAGAAGAGTGAAAAAATATTAGAATTCTGAAAAAAAACTGGGCTTTATATAGCTTAATGATTATGCTTGCAAAATATCATCGATATTTCTTATTCAAACAAGAAAAATCAAGATATTCGACTTACTAAAAACAGATGTTTCAGATGGTTTTGCATAAATTAATTCAAAAAAGGAAAAAAAAAGGGGGCTTGCATCAGATGAAAGGATACGCCTCAAATTTAAACAGCTCTCTAATAATAATAATAAACCCTCAAGGACCTGTGGAATTGGGAGATTGTGATAAAATTTACATTGAATTCTGATATTATATAGATGTTACCGTATATATGAAATACTATAGATAAACAAGATATATTATTGTGCCCATCACTGAGCTGCCGCTGTTGCTGCTGTGGTAGATACAATAGTCATTCGCCTTCCACGCGCTCTTATCGAATGATCAAATATGGGACGTTTGCTTGTCTTTCTAGTACGAACCATTCGAGTGGATTGTGACGAACGACTTGGTTTTGGAGTATAAGGACCGATTGGTGCAATTGCTGGAGTGGTAGTGATCGTTGTTGTAGGTCCAAAGATTGGAGCAGATCTTAGTTGATCAATATCATCGTAAATATTATCACCGTCTTCATCTTCTTCTTTCAGATCGAAACTGAAATCTATAACTGCGCTTCTTCTCTTATCTACCAGGTTTGTACTGTTTTCATTTTGAATTTTTTGAAGCATCCTCTGTGCCCGCAAAGAGACAGAATCTGTGTGAAGCGACAGAATACTTCCAGAACGTTGACGCGGTCGTCTTTCTCCACGCGTTCTTGAAGGTTGTTCAGTAGGGCCTGTTCTCAGACTGTCCATCAGACTATCCATGATTGCCTTTTCTTCAGCGTTGTCTCCATCTGTCAAAAATAAAAATAAATAACGCTTCGTATATTTATTTATCCTATTTTTCTTTCTACAAATAACAACTTACAGCTCTTAATCTCAACACCCTTTATCTTAAGTATAGATGTGCTTCTTGCACGAGTCTTTCGTTCCTGATCACGCATCTTTTGTTTCTCTAGGCGTTCTTTCTTTTGTTTAACCAAGTTGTTATCAGCAGAGCATTTCTTAAAACGCCAAGGTATAAATTCGTAAGTCAAGCAATATATACATAATATCAGTCTATGCCTTACCTCCCAACTGGATGTAAACTTTTTGAATATTCCAAAGAACTCGTCCGGGCACATTTTGTTGGGATCTTCTCCGTAATACCGTACCATAGACTCATAGCACTGATTCATAGTGTCTTTCAAAAGGAATATACGTTTAAACTGTGCCGAGGCATCTGTGTGAAATCTACCCATGACATCTTCAAAACGGTCTGTAGGGTCATTTGATGGCTTTCCTTCATAGTTGTTTTTCAATTCTAGTCCAAGTTGGTTGAGTCCAGACTCGAGATCACGGAACTCATTGTTCATATCTACTCCAGAAACTATATTTAAGAAAAAATAGTTTGTGTTAGTATCGTTACATGGTACTATATTCTTTAAATAATGCAATATATTAATTAAATTAATCATATTACCTTTACATGCCTCGCCACATTCTTCCAGTTCTTCCAAAAAATCTGCCATTTCCGGGAAATTCTGCTCCACTGTTTCTATCAAGAAGTGTAAGAGGGTCGTTGAAGTATTTGTTCCCTTTGTATCTACAAGCTGTTTTCATACACATAAAAATGAATCAATTAGCGGGAAATCCCAAATCAGCCCTTACAAATTATGATTAAATTAATTGAATTAGCTTACTTTATTGATGCTTGCAATTCTGACCGCAAAGGCACCACCGCGATATGTATTTCCATTGAGGTAATTTCCCAGCAAAAGTATCAGCTTTAAAACGAATACCAGAACAAATTAGCATGTTTACTTGAAATATTTGTACTGTTTATACTTACATGTAATAATTCTTTGAATCTCTTTCCGTTTTTTAGTGAGAGTGATGCATCAAACATACTTGTCATTTGCTAAATATATAGATAATGCTATTAGAAATAAGACGAATATATGTTTACCGTAAATAAGTCAAATTACCTTGTGAAGCTGATGGTATCTGTCCCAAAAAGTACTTCTAAACAACATACATTCAAGTCTTTCTTTTAAACGACTGATCTTCATCATCTTTGTTTTTCAGGGAGAGAGAAAGAAAGAAAGAAAAACAGTGTTAATATCTAGGACTTTGTCTATTACGTAAATATGTTTCGATTAATATTACCTCCAAGCAAAACTTGTCTGGTGGCGACAAATCAATAAGCTCGGCAAGGGGTGCAGTTACATAAGGTGCAAGCTTTCCCGTCTCTTCAGGTGTAGGCAAAAACCTTAGGAGATTATTCAGAATTTGTTCGTCCTCGAAATAAAAGTCCATACTAATCAGACGTTGTCTGATTTCTCCAAACGGAATCTTTTTACAGATACCCGTAACAAAGATATCTAATAAATACAAACATATATGTTATTGTCTTTAGTAATGTAGTGCGTGCTATTAATCATATACTATAAGACGTACTCAAATTGTAAGACTTTTTGGGCTCTATTACGTAAATAAACTCTTTGGTTCGTTTGATCTTTAGCTGAACTGCAGGCTTTTGAACAAATGTATCTTCAATTGTTTCAAAAACACCTGCTTTTGCAAGTTGAAACTCCATTGTTTCTTGAAAATCAAAGCGCTCTTTATCGTGAGGTCTTTCATAGCCCACCTCTACTCCATCTTTATCTGAATGACCCCACACCGTTTGACCGATATTTGGAATAGTCACCTTCTCCCACTCTACAAATTTTAATTTTTGTTTGGCTTGAAATGAGCTTGATTTTCTACCAACCATGCCCATCATAGGAGGAGGTACTTTTGGTGGTACGAGGCTTGAACTTGGTGACATAAATGGTGTAGACGGAGGTGGAGGTGGTGGAGGTGGAGGTGCTGGTGGGGCTGGTGGTGGCGGTGGCGGTGGCTCTAGTAGTACAACAGGTAATTCTGGCGAATATTCAGATGTAGAGAATATGATAGTAGGTGAATTTGGTGTGGTGTTTGATGAATTCAGTGTATCTTGCAGAGCTTGAAGGGTAGTAGGGTGCTCAATTAGATTATTCAAATCTTCCATATTCTCTACCAAAGTAAGAGAAGGTTCTGTAGACTTTGCTGAGGATGTTGCAGCAGGGGTAATTAAGGGGGTTGTAGGAGCAGATAATAACTCTGCAATAGATGTAGAAGATGCATTGTCGTGGTCAGAATCTTCGTACAGCTTCTTTAGAAGCATATCGACAGTATCACTGGCTGACAGCGGTTCTTCTTCTTTTACGTTTGATATATTTTGCGCATCTGATAATCTAGATCTGCCTGGGTGGCTTGCTCTATTTGATCTTCTGACTAAGAGACTGGTAGATTTTGTAGCACTCGGGGTGGGCAACTGATCTTCACTGTATCGTAATTTTGCTTGTGGAGGAAGAGAGCCTTCTATAATTGGGGTGTCGTTGATTTTAGGACTGGTCGGTTTTTTGGGAACGGGTGAAATCTCGGGTTGTGTTGATCGTCTAACCAGGTTGCTCATACGTGAACCGATGCTTACTCTCAGTGATGGTTTTCCGTTTCCAGATGAGGGGTTTGGCTGTGGATGTGGATGTGGTTGCGATTGAGACTGTGTTGGTGGAAGAGGGCTCGTTACTTCAATAGGAGATTCTGTCTGAAAAAAGAAAATGTCCCAATGAGGATAGGTAATGAGCAACAATAACAATAAGAGAGATATGATGTTTACAGACTATTTTTATCAAAGACAGACACTGACTTACCAAAGCTTCCGCATGGAGCGATTCATCGAGTAATATAGACGATATAGATAAAGGGCGAGTGTCTCCATCTATCTTTGGCTTGCGAACTCCTCTGACTCGACGTCTTTTATCAGTTGGGGATCCATATTCAGTCTGCTCTCTGACTGTATCATAAAGTCGTTTTATCTGTGCGTCTGTTGCCTCGAGAGTATTTTGGAACTCGATTTCAAGGTCACTCAATCTTTGTTTTAATGCAATATTTGCCAAGTTCGAAGCCTTTAAGGCTTCTTCAAGTGAATCAATTTTACAATTTAATTGACCTACAAGACCACCTATTATGCCACATTATGTTAATCGATTTTTTTTTAAAAAAAAAATAGACGAATAAATAAGTAAATTAAAATCACCTGCTCCAAGGTTAATTTGTCGCTGTAATTCTTTCTCACGCTCTATAGACTTATTTAACGATGTATTGTTTTCTTCCGTAGTTTCGTCTGGTGGTGATCCTTTGGTGTATCTTGCAATCATGTCGTGTACTGAAGATGTATAGTCATCCAAAAACTCTTGTGGTGAGTTTTTGTGATCCAGCACAATCTCACAAACAATAGAGTCAATAAGTTGATAATATCGATTTCTAATTAAAAAAAACATGTGCAAAGAAAAAGTGGAATTTAGTATGAAAATTTGAACCCGTTAATACTAATACCTCTTTTCAGGGTCGCACTGAATCAACAAAAGGTGGTGAAGGGTATTTTGTAAAGATTCGTACGCATGCGTTCCTCGAATAGTAGCAAGTACTTTATCAAGTACATCCGCTGGATCTATAACAGAGCCTACGACCAAACCTCCGTATAGTGAGGCTGAATCGAAGTCCTCTAGATCTTTAAACTGAAATATTTTCTCATTTAATTTCTCGTAATTTAGGCTATTCATTTTGACAAGAATTTGGGAAAGACCACTTTGATGGAGCTGGTTTCGAAATGCCATCCGACTATCGAAACCCTCGACGGTATCAGGGTCCAATATGGCATTAACAAGAAGCATATTAGAAAGCTACATGATAGTAATGATTAGCTGGCAAAATTTGGGGTACATTAAAAGATTATATTTACTGCGTATTCCATCAGATGAGCCTCTGGACTGCTGGGAGTGCCTATTACTTCAGTCTGCCACAGATCTTTATTGGCGCCCACTAAAGAGCCCATCTTCCCTCGATTTTCTAAGGTACTATCTAGAGCCTTGAGCCATGAATCAAATCTACCATACTCATGGCTACATTCTGTCAAGTGATCCATGCCGCGTAGAACCATAGAGTGACCTGTAGGAACATCGCAATAGCAGAGAAAAGTAAGTGCATCGCATGCGGCTGTTCTTGCTGGGATGTAAGGTGAGAGAAGAGAAAGTATCAGGTGAATACTACAGAATGGGTCGCTAAGAGCCTCTTGAATGCCAATCTGGTATGTATGTATGTATGTTTTTGAGTAGTAATAGTATGAGCAGAGCTGACTAATAAGAGTGAGATAATATAGTGACTTACGATGTGATTAAACATGGGTCTGAGGCATTTTATGATTCCTAGTTCAATCAAATAGTTCTTTTGCTCTCTTGATATTAAATTATTGTTAATTATTTTTTTCCGTAGTATATTGAGATTTTCGAATTACCTTGCCGGATTGTTATTAATCATCCCGAGCTCCTTTATTATTATTCGCATGCCATTTTCTTCGATAAACTGGCGTATCCAACTATCATATTGTTTGTTTTGTTTTTGTTTAGTTTGTCAGCCCACATCATTTAGCTTGTGTTTCCATCGGTAGCTTACCCGAGAGACGATGTTCTTAGTTGCGCCTCAAGGTCTTTGACTAAGCGTAGGGTGATTCCGGATCGATTATCTGCTAGGAACGGCCTGAGGAATGCTTGTGGTGTAAGCACTTTTGGTGCTGTATCCTTCAGGTTAGTTCGACTACGTGCTCGTGTTAGACCATTCTGCCTCTTCTTTGTTGTGTTTGAAAAGAGTTTCGTGAATTCTTTTTGATTACACAGTAACCACCATTTTCGGTCATTTGAAAGGTTTGATATATCGACCAAATTTGTGTGTAGGTAATCTTTCTGGAATTGCAACACAACACAAAGAAATGAGATCTTTCTTCATTTAATAAATAATTTGTTTGTCTTACTGATGCTAGTCTAAATCTTCGCTCAATTTCCTGATCTGAGGGTCTATGTGGGTCTTCTGTTGGCTTTTCTTTAATTTTAGGTGTCGAGCCCAAACTGGTTGTCCTGGCCTGAAGACGTGAATCTACACTACAACTGGAAGAGCTGGTTTCTAAAGTAATTTTAATTTATTTTTCAATTTTTTTTAAAGAAAAAAGGCAATCAGTTTTTACCTTGATCTTTCCAATGAGGTAGTGTAAGTTGTACTCCATTTCTCGGTAATGCTGCTTTGGAACGTCCTAGAGATTGAAGATTGGATGATAGTTCCTGATTGTGTCTAATGAATGATGCTGTTGAGAGAGTGTGGCTGGCTTGTTGTGCTGGCTTTGGATCTATAGATTGCTTTTCTGAAAGTGTTGGTGTGGTTGGTGATGCGGGTGTTGATGCTAATTTGGTTCGTGATAGATGAGGAATGCTGCGTTTGCTATGCAAACGCCCTCTCGTAGTGCTCTTTAAGCGGTGTTTGCCACCCGTATTCGGGAGTGTATCCATCCGCCAGAGATACTCTTAATAAAGAGCTTCTGTGATGAGTAACAAAGAAAGGAAAGAGAAGAAAAAAAATGTGCCTGAACACAAGTTAAAGCGGGAAAGCGACACCACTTTTTTGTTATTATTATTATTATTATTATTGCAATTGACGGGTTGAAGTGAAATAACCAAAGCTCTATATAAGGAAGGTTTTTTTTAGTTTCTTAATTGCAGTGTACGGGAATATCAGGAATAGAAGGTAGTTACAAGGAATTCTGCCCAATGGCCAGATTACTTTAAATGGGTATGTTGGTTTTATTGTATCACCTAGAACTAAGTTATGGAAAGAAAAATAGAGAGAAAGGGAGAGAAATAATAAGCGGCAATGGATTCTGTTCAACCAAAATGTTAAAAACGGGCGAGCGGATCTATAGCCATGTGTACTGGCTCCAACCCCTTGCTCTTTTAATAAGACGAAAATATTACTTCTTTTATACCGACGTCTAAAGATACCCACTATAACATAATATGTAACCCTTACATATGTTCTAGTGCAATCCACATAAGTTTAGCGTACACTTTCAAAAACACGTACTTACAGAACAAATTCCTTACAGAGGAAAAGAATCGTCAGAAAATACATCCCTTTACACGCAAACTATATTCCTGAAGACTACAGCTTCTTTCTTTTTATATACGCTTCTTTAAAGGACAAAAGTTAATTATTCTTCAAAGATCGGCAGAGCTATGTTGCTAATAATGAAGTACATATTTAATATATCTCTCAAGAGCAATTGGTAATAAACCGATTGTCTTCAAGCTTTTTCTTTAATTGTCACTCGCATGATACAGAAAATGTATCTTTTTGAGTCTAATTTTCATATATATATATATATTTATATATATCTAACACGACATAGTAAGAAGAAAAAGAAAAAGAGATATATATACAGTAGACACAGCCCAAAAGTTCAGTATACTAACTAAATCTTTTTAAGTTTATTAAGAACAAAATGGAGTCTCTTGATTAAATTTCTTTTTCTGTCAATATGACATTTAACTTGCCCTTACTTAGCTATATTCTGTTCCAAAACCAAAGAAGTATATATTTATATTAATATATATATAAAAACCTTAAATGTCTGACTTCAAACTATCGCGCAGATTTAACAACCAATTTACGGCGAATGATTGGTCGTTATCATAGAAATCCTGCCAAAGGGACCTCTCTGGCTGCAGAACGTGTTCAAGTTAATAATCGATGTAGGCATACGATCTGGAGAGTGGACACGATGAGAGGTCCCACTCTTTTCTGCCGAAAAAGCCAATACAAAATACTCGCTTAATCTCTTATAGATCATACACCTCATGGCTTTTATATAGCTTCTAAGCGTTTTAGTGTACAAACTATATCGGCATCAACCTGATGCGTGCCCACCATATGGCTAGAAGCAGGCTAGCCTGACCGAATAAGTCTAATCATATGAGCATATCTGAATAGTGGCTATAGAAAAATCTAGCTTATTTACTAATATCTAAACATAAATGGGAAGAATAAGAATAAGATCCCTGAAAGCTAATTAAATTATTAAAATTCCACCTTAAAGAAGATATCGGTTTGATTATTTCCGACAATAACATAAAAGCAATGTATGTTAGTTTTATTGGCTTTTTTACCCTTCTCAATATTTTATACTAGACTCTCTCTTATATAAAGCAAGACGATAACATACTTCCTAGTAAAGTATTTTTTCAAATATATATATATATATATATATATGGTACCATGTTTACAGCGTTATAATCTATTGTTAATTACTCGACTCGTACAAGATGTCTTGCGTAACATATCTATGTACCAAATATACAAAAAACAATAAAGGACTGATTATACAGGCCAACACATTAAATTTCTTTCATAATCTTTCCATATATGCTGGTAGGCAATTACTATACTTTATATTCTTTGTGACATTCAGAAAAGGGATGTAGTCTTCAATAGAATAAACATGAAACATTTCGGATCTGACGGAAATTTCAAGAACGCTTGAAGTCTTAGCTATAATTGAGAATGGCGCTCAGGCATATAGAATAACGTGGAAATATTTATTTGAGACTTTTGGGCCGTACAACAGTCTAGGGCTCTTTTGTATACCCTGGATACTAAACTGTGGTGTCTCAACTACGTCTGAGCGCCGTTGAAGACCCCGCTAGTGAAACCAGATTGATAAATGACAAGACGTCAATCCAAAGCATGTTTTTTTGACACTTTTCTAATATAACACATAAGCCTGCCTTTATAGAAGAAAAACTGATGGCTATCACTACATTTGCCTGTTTTTAATTAAAAATAATGGATACTATAAGTTAAACCCTCTGTGATTATAGCAACCTCTCTGTTCTGATCTATTTTAGCATCAGTTTAGGGAAACCAGAAAAAAAAACATGCTTATATTACTTTAATTCTGTAAAGAATGTAAGATTAAATACAATGAATAGCATTATAGTGAATATTATTAACAAACTTTAAATAGCTCCTATAGGTACAATGTATTAAGTACAGACGAAAATGAGTTAAAGTAATTAACAAGAACTTCTTTTTCGTTTGCCATCATCTATTCATTTATCTGGTTTCGTCCTTGTATTCCAATTTTTTGAAATAATAATGTATATAATTTTATGTGTGTAATATTTTAGTATATAAATAAGCTTCTTCCCTTTTTTATGCTTTATATATTCTTATCTCAATTACTACCTGCTTATACTATATGACCCACTTATAGCAATACAGAAAACATTGGTGTTGACATGTAACCATTTACTTTCTTACCGATTCGACTATTAAATAGTATTAAATTGTCTATAGATGCTTGCGTGTACCAGGTGAATACGCAAATATACAACACATTAGCTTTAATTCTGAAAAATGTTTGACTGGCAATACACCTTCTTTGCTAGAAAGTTCGAAACATTGCTTTCCCTGGTGTTATGGGATGTATATCAAGGTAGCTCGGTACAAGCCCTACAGATATATATATATATATAATGAGACAGTTACCTTGAAATGTATAGCCAATCCAACTTCCTTGCCAGATACATATCTGATGAATACAGAAGTTGTTAAGGTACATAACGACTTTTGTATACAAATCTTAGGCAACATATGATTAGCCGCATGAATTGTGTCTTAAATTAAGGTATAGGTACAATATATACAAGGTTCTTTCTCGTGTAGATTAAACTTGCGCTTCTTTGCAGGTATAAGTGTAAATAAATCTAGACAAAAACAGGGCCTTGACAAGACAACCTTTGGATTAATTTGTTCAAGCTGTTCTCATGGCATTGTTTTCGGGGATTGTGTCCATGGTTAAACTTTGGCCGACTATAAATTTTTGTCCGCCTTTTTTTGTCTCTAGTCATTGGAAGTGTTACACCCGGCAAAAAATAGCCGCACCAGATTTCAGGAACACGATCTTTTGTTGCTTTACCAGACACGAACGCGCGGTAGAGTAAGAGAAAGTGAGAATCCGAAAGTGCCCGTGCGTAACTTTGCAATATTTCTGTGCACTTAACTATCCATACAAGGGGCTTAGCATTGACTGCTGAGATAGACTGGTGTTTGATAATGGGGCGAGAGGATGAGGGTTGATGACGTGAATCAAACGCGCCCCCTATAAGACCATAAAGACTGCCGATTGGCCCTTTACCTTTTCCCCTTCTTATTCCGACTTGTGTCAATCGTCTAACTAATAACCATGACAACTGCTGAGAACAACCTTGAAAGCATTCCTGCTGACCAGCAAGGCAGCTTCTCTTCATTCCTCAAGACACTTGCATCTTTCACTGGTGATCTCTCAAGCTTGACATGTCCATCTTTCTTGTTGGCCCCCATCTCTTTATTGGAATACTCGTAAGTAAATTTGTTGTTGGGGATGTAGATGGTGTAAACCACAGGATGTTTGCACTGGAATCTTCACTGGACTGTGGTACCATATACACATTTGTCCTACGCCAAGCTTGTGAAGATAAAAAGATAATATATCCGCCAGTCAACCACATGTGTGTCAGTAAAGGCACCATGAGATAATCATAGATATTTACCTTTTCGTTGTTGCTCTTTAGATCCTTTTGGGCGGATCAACCAGCTTTGGTATGAATTGTGGAACATAGTATAGGGTCCAAGTATACTGATCACCATGTGATTTTATTCAGTTATCTTCCATTAGTGTCCACGATAATCCAGAGGATAGATTCTATGCTGCTATCAAATGGTTTATATCTTCCCTCAACGGTTCTTTCTCGAGCCGTGTTCCTAAGGGTGAATGGGAGAAAAAACCTTTCAACCCAATCTTGGGTGAGCAATTCTTCTGCTCTTGGGATGATGAGACACAGATCACTTGTGAGCAGGTCTCCCACCATCCTCCTGTCTCTGGATTCTACATCGAAAACAAAAAGTCTGGAGTGAGCGTCATTGGCCACGATGGTCAGAAGACCCGTTTTTCTGGAACCCAAATGATGGTTGACCAGGTTGGCTACTGTCTTGTCAAGCTTACTCATCACAATGAATCCTATCTATTCACCTTACCTTCATTGTCTGTGAACGGAATTTGGTATGCTGGTAAGTTGATCTTCCGAAAGGCATGGGATGAAGCACAGGGTTGTGTTTTAGGAAGTGCTGACACGTGAATCATTCGGATTGTTAGCCCCTTATGTTGAGCTCTATGGTACCTCTTATGTCCAGTCTTCGACTGGATTCCATGCTGCTATTGAATATTCGACCAAAGGTTGGATTTCTGGTGAACTCCATCACTTCAAGGCTACAATCAATAGCGAATCTCTTTCTGGTCCTACTATTATTGAGGGTCAGTGGACCGCCAAATCAACACTCACCAAACACAAAGAAAAAACTGAATACTTCCTTGACCTCACCAACCTTGTCAAGCCTGAACCAATTGTAAAGGCTGTATCAGAGCAGGGTGCACTTGAATCACGCAAAATTTGGCAAAAGGTTTCTAATGCATTGAGAGCCGGTGACTACATGACAGCTTCAGCCGAGAAATCTCTCATCGAGAACCAGCAGCGTGCTGCCCGCAAGGAGCGAGCAGAGACCAACCAGACTTGGGAACCCACATATTTCAAGGCTGCTCCAGGAAACCATAGCTATGGTGATCTGCGTGAAAAAATCTTGGCAAAATCCGACTCCAAGTTTGTAGATACTATGGGTGATGGTGCTTGGTTGTACAAAGATTCAGCAGTGCAAACTGCATGAATATAAAGATGGTTTTTGTAAAGTGTATATCGTGTTCCAAGCAGTTCAGATTGTATAAAATGTAGTTAAGTCTTGTTTATCTAAGCAGTATAGAGTATGAGAGCGTTAATACTACACGAAGACGAACAGGGCATGGAATATAGGAGAGAAAGTGAGAATATTTTTTGCTATCCGAAACAGAGCGTCTAGGCATTGTCATGAATAAAATAAATATTGATTAATTCAGCAAAGAGGTATATCTTTTTAATAGTTCCTATTAAACTATATAAAGATACATGTTCGAAAGCAATTTCAAGACTTTGTCTCGTAGTATTTATATATTAAATAACATTATGCCTTTATACACATCGCTGCATTATGTCCCTGTGCCTATTAAGGATTGTACTTCACTCTAAAACTGTCAGTATATGCGCCCTTTTAATTGATCTAAGGAAGTATTTACATATATACAGCTATTTCTAATATGTTCATTTAGTATAAACCTTCTATATATTATATCTATATGTCTTTTGTGTATACCTTGGTACTATAATAAAAAAATCTGACTGAATAACATTTTATCTATGAATTTGTTTTTCACTGATAGTAAAATTACTTTTCTAGTATGAAAGATACATTCCACTTGGTTTTAAAGATATATATATAAATACTATAGACACTTGCATATAACATATAGCTATTCATACCTCTATATTTATTTTTATTCATAACACCCTAGTTCGTCTTAGCCTTAATAAATCCTTAAAATCTGAAAATGAATAACTGGAGCATAGTATTTCTTTTTTTATTTAAAAAATTATATAATAGCTACTGTGAATAAAGTGAAGTGTTAGTTTAGAAAACTATCTAATTCAATTCGTATCAATAAAAAGTATATTTTATTCTCTCTTTGGCTTTATTCTATGATTTCCTATGGGCTCTTTTTTTTACTTTGTTATAGTAAAAGGATAACCAAACCAGAAAAGAGTTTCATTTTTGATATGGGCTGCTCTTTTAATGCTATAACACAACCAAAGTTAGTCAACCCCACTGGGAACCGTAAACAAGAACAAAAGAATAAAAACATAATAGTAAATAAATAACTTTTATTGAATAAAATATTGTTCTCTTTTAAATCTTTTTTAGACCTACTCAGACATGATGAATATCTGTTTAGGTCATCTTCCTACTATTTTAACTTGTATAAATTTTATAACATATTACCACTGACTAGAACGTTTTGAATACATAGATAGATAGGAATACAGAGAGTTTAATGATATGTCATTGATACAACTCTTGTGGTACTTATACACATTCATAAGATGAAGGCATCTAAGCTATAGCTTTTACATAGAACATATCGGGTATATTTTTAATAGAGGTGATGTAATTTGTCCTGGTTAACAGGAAAGGAAAAACCAAATGATATAAAATTAAGTACCTGTATTTACTATGTCAACTCTGACATATAAATCCTTACATTTTTTAAGCTAGATCTTTTCTAATTATATTGTGCGCAAAAAGGAATCACTTTGGTTGCTGTTCACAAAAGGGAACTACGTGTAATCCTTGCCCTAATTGGCTAGCAAGAATTTGTCGTTCCCGATCTGGGTTGGCCTTCCTTTTACTATAACAAAGTCAAAAGATCAAACCCACTGGGGATCAAGGAGTATACGTAAAATCAAAGAGAGGATAAAAGATACTTTTTATTGATATGAATTGAATTGTCTTATATAGTTTTCTAAACTAATACTGCGCATTATCCGCAGTAGTTATTATTTATATTTAATTAAAGAAATAGTCATTATACTGCGGTTAATGCTCAGGAAGATATTACTGCGCATAAAGAAGTACTGCGGTTAACTATCTTCAGATTTTACGGATTCATCAAAATAATGTCCAACAAATTTACAGACGAAAAATAAAAGTAAGCGCTCCCGGGTGGGCTCGAACCACCAACCTCCTGATTAACAGTCAGACGCGCTGCCAATTGCGCCACGGAAGCTTACGATGCTAATATCAGATTGCGCTAAGCTGATAAATCAATGGCCAAGCAATATAAAAACAGGCAAAGAAGTATACTTGATAATAAAGAAGTATACTTAAAGAAGTACAATCAAACAGACAAAATAATATAGTAGATAAAAAGATGATTTTATTATGAACAATTGCTATTGATATTTATACTAATTATTTGGAATGTTTGTCTTGGGGTCTTATTCAATATGATGCCTCATCTGTAAGAATGTTAATTGAATTATTGTTTCTGCTATATAAGAATGTGAGTGAGGGTTGTTGTGGTGGTTGAAGTTGAAGAAGTTTTTAAGAGGAAGAATTGAAGATTTGAGATTAGGAACGAAGATTTGTGAGAACTTGTGTAGGTTTTGTTTATTGAGAAAGGATTTTATATCAAAGTTTGACCAGGTTCCTATACTGAACTACTACTGCTATTTATATTGTTTTGGATTGGGAAAATTATATGACTGGGTGTGGTGATCCAGACACTCGGATGTTGGATTTATCACATATAAGAACATATTCATATTGGGATAGCGTAGTAGCTATCATCTTGTCAGTATAAAATATATATAAACGATTAAGTAATCAGCCCAATAATTATTACAGTTAGTACTGTAGATAATATCTTAAAGATTGTTAAGATAATTATATCATACTGCCGGGTAAACTGTGTCAGATCGATATGGAGCTAATTTAGTAGGAAGTCCTAAAGCTCTAGTATAAAAGAGAAAAGAATAGCTAAGAGCTAAAGAAGTACAATTTATGACTTGATGTCATAATTGTAACACCAACACTGGTTAAGCAGTAAATACACTCTAATAACCAAATATAGTAAAGGAAGAAAGCCTTAAGAAACTAAGACGTAATGACAAGAGCAGATTGTGTTTTCTTATAAAAAGGGACACTTTTTATTTATGAATAAAAAAAACTTATATACAGTCTCAAAGTATTTCTATACGTCTCTATTATCAAATATTTTATTTTTCTATTGTTTCGTACCTGAAATACCACACTGGGGTCAGGTAATCGATCCTATCTGAGCCTTAATCAGAGCAACATGATCTTGGGATAATTAATGTATGATTAATTATATAAATGTGTGTAGTCCCAATGAAGTATTAACATCAAAAGTAAATGTGTTTATGAGTTATAATTATGCTTATAATAATCCACTGATGTATCCCATATTATGGTGATATCATCATATGAAATATAATCACTATCATGTATGCTAAACCTGTGTGTTAAATAATAAAGTAATCGGTAGACACCTTTGACTGGAATAGCTGAGGCCTTATATTATTTCCTTCAGACTTATTCTCAATTACAGCAGTAGTCAATACTCATTTACAACAGTCTATATAAATGCACAATACGAATAGCAATAGAAGATCATCTCTGTTGTGAATGAGTATTGATTACTGCTGAATCTGAGAGTAAGACTGAAGGATAAAATAATATCCTCAGCTATTCCAGTCAAACGGATCTCCCTTTATGATATTATCTAATACACAGATCATCATACACATAATTGATTATTTATTATTATCACCATGACATGGGATATACAAATACATATACATTATATATATGGCATCATTATATTTCATCTACATATTTCTTTTATTATACAAATACTTAATTGAGAGACTACAACTACAACTATCTAATATTATGAAACATTACCCGAGTATCTGGGTCAGAATACTAAAATATTACCAATAGCATAAATGCTCTTCTTTACCAAAACTCTTGGACTGATCTGACTGGAGAAGTATCATATCAATTGGTCTTTCCGGATCTTTCCAGAAGAACAATACTCCTGGAAGATGACTCATCGTGATAAAGATTACTTAAGCACACACTGAATTACAAATTAGAAAAACATATAAATATCAGTAGATAGTTCCGTGTAGAAAGACAATCGAATTTTATCATTCTTTACTTTTCTTTTGAAATAAACAACCTACACAAGTTCTCACGAATTCTTTTGTCTATATTATATTTTGCTTTATTTTCTCCCCACAACAATCTCCTTTCTGATTTTTTCACTTCTTCTAATAAAACAAAGTCTCACCATACTCTTATCTGCACTTGTTTTATTTTATATCTTATTTTTACCTCATACATAACACTGTGGCTATTTCTAAGATGCAGGAGTATGCACTTGCTAACAACTTCACTCTTGCGACTAAAGACCGTAAACCAACCTGGGTTTACTTAAAGTGCACCAGGGGTGGTCACTATAGAAACACTCATAAACTTGAAGACTGCGATCATGTAAAAATCTACCCTAGTTCGAAAATTGGATGTCCTTACATGATAAAACTATCTTACAAGAAAGGAATCAAAGGATATCTTCCCTTGAAAGCTTCTAGTGAAATGGAGAGCTATCACAATCATCCTCTTGATGACAAATGCTTGGAATCGACTCTGAAAGGCAGATTGTCGAGAGTTACTGCCGAAGATGCCAAGCAGATATCTAAACTTGTTGAGACAAAGGCCAAGACTCGTGAGATTCAAAGGGCTATCACAGACAAAAAAAGACGATGGTCATAAGCTGTACGTTAGCGATATCAACAATATCAAGGCTGACTTTGCTCGAGTTTCTGCCCCTGTTGCCCAGAATACGGATACTGGACTTGTTAAGATAATGGAAGCAAAAGGTTACTAGGTGCGTTATGATGTAAATGGGGACAATTCACTGGAGAGGGTGTTTTTTATCAATCAGAAGATGATGGAGAGAGCTCGTCGCTTCTCAGAAGTTATGGTGGTAGATGCTACATATTCTACCAATAACTTGTCAATGCCGCTGATTTGCGTGGAAGGTATTCACAACCTCGGAGGAGAAACCCTCAAATCGTTTCCCATTGCCTTTGCCTGGGTCTCTAACGAGCAGCAAGGCACATATCTTTGGTTCCTCCAGCAACTCAAGGCACTTGTTTTTGAAGACAAGGCTCTTAGCACAGTTTTTGTGACAGACAAGTGTGCTGCACTTATGAATGCTCTTGATGTTGTGTTTCCAAACAACAGAAAGCTGCTTTGTTACTGGCACATGTGGTATTTCAGGTACGAAACAATAGAAAAATAAAATATTTGATAATAGAGACGTATAGAAATACTTTGAGACTGTATATCAGTTTTTATTCATAAATAAAAAGTGTCCCTTTTTATAAGAAAACACAATCTGCTCTTGTCATTACGTCTGTTATGGGGAGAAAATAAAGCAAAATATAATATAGACAAAAGAATTCGTGAGAACTTGTGTAGGTTGTTTATTTCAAAAGAAAAGTAAAGAATGATAAAATTCGATTGTCTTTCTACACGGAACTATCTACTGATATTTATATGTTTTTCTAATTTGTAATTCAGTGTGTGCTTAAGTAATCTTTATCACGATGAGTCATCTTCCAGGAGTATTGTTCTTCTGGAAAGATCCGGAAAGACCAATTGATATGATACTTCTCCAGTCAGATCAGTCCAAGAGTTTTGGTAAAGAAGAGCATTTATGCTATTGGTAATATTTTAGTATTCCGACCCAGATACTCGGGTAATGTTTCATAATATTAGATAGTTGTAGTTGTAGTCTCTCAATTAAGTATTTGTATAATAAAAGAAATATGTAGATGAAATATAATGATGCCATATATATAATGTATATGTATTTGTATATCCCATGTCATGGTGATAATAATAAATAATCAATTATGTGTATGATGATCTGTGTATTAGATAATATCATAAAGGGAGATCCGTTTGACTGGAATAGCTGAGGATATTATTTTATCCTTCAGTCTTACTCTCAGATTCAGCAGTAATCAATACTCATTCACAACAACGTCTTAGTTTCTTAAGGCTTTCTTCCTTTACTATATTTGGTTATTAGAGTGTATTTACTGCTTAACTAGTGTCGGTGTTACAATTATGACATCAAGTCATAAATTGTACTTCTTTAGCTCTTAGCTATTCTTTTCTCTTTTATACTAGAGCTTTAGGACTTCCTACTAAATTAGCTCCATATCGATCTGACACAGTTTACCCGGCAGTATGATATAATTATCTTAACAATCTTTAAGATATTATCTACAGTACTAACTGTAATAATTATTGGGCTGATTACTTAATCGTTTATATATATTTTATACTGACAAGATGATAGCTACTATGCTATCCCAATATGAATATGTTCTTATATGTGATAAATCCAACATCCGAGTGTCTGGATCACCACAGCACATGCTGAATAGTGTGGAAAAGGCTTTTTCGGGAAAAGTTGGCTCGGTACAAAAAAAGGAAGAGCTGACAGAATATATATCCAATATGATCCATAGCAAAAGTAAGAAGGAGTTTGACTGGGCTCTGAATAAGTTCAACGCTGTATCTGCTGGTTCTGAAGTAGAAAATGGCAATGTGAAAGCGCCAGTCTCGGCATATTTTCATGACAGGTGGATTATATGCCAAGAGAAGTGGGCAGGTTATCTTACTCAGAAGATAATGCATTTTGGATGCACAACATCTCAAAGAGTGGAAAGTGTCCATCAAACCTTAAAGAGAGGTATATCTGCAATAGCTTCTCTGGATCTCGCCTTTGAAAATATTTCAAGATATATCGAGAGGCTTGAGAGAGACTTCTGGAATGTGGAGATCAGGGAATCTACCACGGTTGACCCTCTTGTTGGACGAAACAAGCTTTTGTCTAGACTGCTCATGAAGGTCTCAAAGCGAGCTTTGCTGGTAATAGACCAAGAGGTTCGACTGAAATGTGAAAGCAGTATTGTTTGTGAATGTATGAACAAGCTCCAGTATGGTATACCTTGTCGCCATTCTTTGCCTGCTGGAAGGGATATCTATATTTCTGATATCCCTGAAAGGTGGGTTATTGATCCTCGTAATGTAAAGCCAAGGGACAACACTTGTCGGGAAAACTTCCAGCTTGAGGAAAGACCAGAGGTGTGGATGGAGGAAGTAATTAAACTCGAGTCACTGTTTCGGTCCTGTGAGGGCAGCCAGCAAGTGGCTAACCTCCTGAATAAGATCAAGAAGGTCACTTCTGAATTCGAAGGCAAAACTGGGCACTCTTCGATTAACTTTCAAGCCCCAGAAAAAATCAAGTACCCTGGCAGACGGAAGGGTAGTGCACGTCCAAAGTACCTCCCCAAAGACTTTGGTCGGGCAAACTGGAGAAAGATCAGTGTTTCGTCTGGTCATGTAAGATAAAAAAAAATAAGATAACAAAGTATTAATATGTATCTTGAAATACTAGGCTGGCCTTAAGGCAATGGTTAGACTGAGAGCTAAAATGAGGGAGGGAAAGCCTGCAGCTACACAAAAAACAAAAAACAAAAAACAAAACAAAAACAAACAAGAGCCTCTCAACCCAGGTAAGATGTGTTCTTATTTTACAATGTAATTGAATCTATGAGAAAGGATTCCCATCTTATACTTTCATGTTTTTTTAGTCGATGCTACCAAAAAAAAAAAACAAATAAAGCAAGAGCCTCTTGACCCTGGTAAGATGTGTTTTTATTTTACTTTAATTGAATTTATGTGGAGGGATGTTGTCTTACACGAATATGCTTTTTAGTCGATGCCACCAAAAATAAAACAACAAAAATAAAACAAGAGTTTCTCGACCCAGGTAATATGCTTTCTTATTTTACAGTGTAATTGAATCCATAAAGAGAACTATCGTCTTATACTTATATACTTTTTAGTTGATGCCCCCCCAAAAAAATGGGTTAAAAAGACCCGCCACCGCCCTAGAAGATTACCAGTATGATAATCGCACCTCTGTTGGCAAGAGGGTCAAATTCCAGCCCGGTTTTCCTGTCTCTCATGAGATAGTCGATGATGTCAAGGGTGGGTTTAGCCCTACTGCTGACGGGTGGTGTGGTTTTCGGATCCTTGCCCACTTGATCTACAAAGATCAAAATAAGTTTCCACTTGTAAAAAGGGATATGCTAGCCGCCCTGCCAAAATACAAAACATTGTACACAAATACCTTCGGCACTGACACAAGACAACTAGAAAAAATCATTCAACATGGCTCTCAACTCGATTATAGCAACACCAGCAACACAAACACCAACTCCAACACCAACTTCATCCCAGTATGTTCAGATGCCAGTATGTGGTTTAACACACCCGACTGTGCTCAACTAGCTGCGGACACATATACACGACCAGTCTGCGTCTACTCAGACAACCGCAACACCCCCTCAACAACCTTTCTCCCATTTGCCCTTCCCAACAACAAAACCAAACAACGACAACCTCTGATTTTTAATCATGTTAACAGTAATCACTGGACAACAGTTGACCTTTCCCGTAATATCTCTAGAAAATGGCCAACCGTTCCTGAATTATTTTTTTTTAGGTTGTGCCAGAAATAAGATTGATGATAACTTTGATACTTACTGGAACAAGTTCAAAGAATTTAACAAGCATGATCGCCGAAATGCCATGCTCTCTCTCCATTCTGATCTAGATTAACCAATTGATCTTACTCCAAAATAATTTCTTTTCGATATTCTTTTCTATTTTATTACTCTTTTAATTATACTTTATTACTTATATTTTATTAGCTAGATCTTTTCTTATTTATTTACTCATTTACTTTTATATTTTATTAGCTAGACAATCTTTTTTAAATCTTTATAAATCTTATCAATTTGTTTCTTTGCATCAACATAAGCTATCTATCACTTGTGGGTTAAATGACTCTCCGCTCTGTTTTTTCCTAGAGATCATTCGTGGGAAGTACTTTACCCTTCGAGTTACACTTATAACCAGCGAATTAAAACCATAAATATCGGATGGTGTTACACGGATCGAGCCAAACTATCTTCGAATATGTTATATTATGCATTTGCATCTACTTATTTTATCAATTAAAGTCTTGGCTCTCTATAACTTTGGATCCAAGTAGTGTATAGATATATGTATGTGTTCTAGGATTTTTAGTTGAATTGAAAGGGTCGATCATGAGAAAACTAACGTAATATCTCAAAAATTTGCTTTTTTCAATAAAATAAAATATTGTATTTGCTTGTAGAATCACTTTTTTCTCATTTGTTTTCTATGAAACTTTTACTGAATTCATATGTTATCTGAATATATGTAATTAAAAACTTTTTTTGGTCTTATATGAATATTTTTCATTTTTTGTATTTTTGATAAAATATCTCATGTACATGTTGCAAGGAAATGATAGAAAGAGTTTTTACAGAAGAAATAAAAATAAAAAATAAAAAATAAAAACATGAATTTTGTAAAAATATATTAGCTTTACTGCTATGCAAACTTTCTTAGGCATAAAAGGCTTCATTACCTTTATATCTATTACGAAAGTTTTTGAAAAAAATGCAAATTATATGGATTATAATCTTTTCCACTTAAATCACATAAAATGAAAATATATGATTTATGTCTCAAGTTAAATCGTGAAAAAAAGACTCATCAGCAACAGCAGGTATATGATTTGTTGACGGGAACCAAATAGATCTTGTGTTTTTACAGAAATAGGTGTGGTCACAATTTTTATTTATTTATTTTATATTGTGCGTTTATTGCATGAGAACTACAATAAAAAAGACATTGCATTGAAAATGAACTCTTTAAAATGTAAAGTAAAATTCTAGAAACCTCTATAATTATACTTATAGAAGCTTTACTTTCAATAAGTAAAATATTGCATCAACAGTTTTCTTGAACACAATTATTCTATCGCCACATTTAGGACACGACGTTATGCCTCTCGAGCACGATGTTTCTTACACAGTCACGTTTGGGACACGACGTTTTGCCTCTCGGGCACGACGTTTACAAATTGTATATTTTGTATATACTGCATAAAAAAATAGAAATTTTAATATGGTTACTACTTAAGTACACCTAGAAATTCCGTTATATTAAATGAAGATGTACTTTATTCATGAATTAAATTATTTATATTTTGATAGATTGATTTTACTCATATAAACTACTTTGGGTGGTTAGGGACCAGATAAAATTGCTGGATGCCGGACAACAAGTCACTTTTTATGAGGCCGGTAAATGGTGAAAGGCGGAGATTCAATAAACGTAGTGCTCCAGAGAAACGTCGTGCCCGAGAGGAAAAGTGTCTGGCCCGAATAATTAGCGCTATAAGTTACAGAGATTTTTGAGGTATTTGGGATTGTTTATGGGTTAGTATCTCAATAATGGGAAAATAGGAAATGTGAGAGTGCTATTTATTAAAGAAACAAAATAATATTGTTTATATCTGCTACTATTAAAATCCCTGTAATTCAAATCCCTGTTGTGTAATGGTTGGTTTACACTGCATGAGTGTATAGTGTACGTGTGTCTGGCGTGTAATGGTTCCGTAGATTGTTAACTTGCCAGGTTTATTAGCAAGAAGGAACCAGTGTTTGGTTTTGGGGTCTGTTCTTCACTCAATTGTGGTGTGTATACCACAATTTCATTGGCTTTTGACTAAAAAAATATATCATATATGTGCCTACTTTCTGCCTAGCTGCCATTTATTCTACTGTAATGATTAAATAAACTTATATATTTCTTCTTATATTAATAATTTGTTAAGAGAGTATACAAATAAATTTAAATGAAAAAAACAATAATATCCAAATATCTAGATTAAAATACTAAAATATTACTAATATTATAAATGCCCTGTTTAACTCTGTAGCATATACAATTTAATTAAGTAAAATATAAGCTTCACGATTCATCATAAATAATACAGTTCCTAATAAACCTGACAAATAAAATTCCAAGAATAGAACACATAGCAGACACTTATACACTTCATAATGCTTCAGTAAAAATCGATCATTAATGAATGTAAATCTTAAATCAAGAAACTAAATATGTATTTAAACAGCTACGAACTTTCTTAAATAGACAATACTTTTCTGGTACCTATTGTCCCCTTTGTAATTCTTTATAATTATACTTATAGCCATTGAAGCATTTTAAGACAAATTACTATATTGTGTCCATTTAATCAACTAGAATTAAGTTATATTTAAAGATATATTTTTGTAAGAGTGTAAAGTAGCTTATTAGTAAACTCAAAAGAGAAAAATAAAGAATATATAAAGTTACCTATGAAAGATCGAATCTTTCGGCTCAGATAAAGTAGTAATGATAATGATAATATATTTCTTATTAATATTTCTGATATATTTTTAATAATATCATTAGTTTGTATCTTCACTGAAATCTCATGTAAATTACCAATAGGCCAAGCTAATTTATAATGTTTGTGGTATACACACCACAATTGAGTGAAGAACAGACCCCAAAACCAAACACTGGTTCCTTCTTGCTAATAAATCTGGCAAGTTAACAATCTACGGAACCATTACACGCCAGACACACGTACACTGTACACTCATGCAGTGTAAACCAACCATTACACAACAGGGATTTGAATTACAGGGATTTTAATAGTAGCAGATATAAACAATATTATTTTGTCTCTTTAATAAATAGCACTCTCACAGTACCTACTTTTTCTATTATTAAGATACTAGCCCATAAAAATTGCGAATACCTCAATGTTATTCACTTTTCTTTTATTACGCACTGCTGTATAGTTGTTCGGTAAGCACTGGATAATACAGAGCCAGAAGTGATGGTTGCGTCAAAAACAAACAGACAAACACCACTCTTATATCTCTTTTGTTAGTTGAACTTCAAACATTAGTTATGAGATAGATATCATTGTCTTATTTTAAATTTTTAACAAATATTTAATCAATTAAAACACGAGAGTCAAACTTATGATATAATCACCCGTTTTTACCAAATTGGAAGTAGCGTAAGACCAAGAGAGAATATTTCAGAGAGCCGTTGTTTAAGATGAAGAATTTCGAGTTCCAGAAGAGTATAAATCTTTCACACTGGTTATTTCTAAATATCCTTCAAGTAAAACATGCTAAGTGTACTCTTTAAATAAATCTGAACTCTTTTATTTTTATCTTCTGTAGTGTGTGAAGGCAGAGGAAGATGAAGATGATTTTCATTAATTATAAAGTCGCCTACTAAAATTACCCCTTTTTACCATAGTGGTGCAGTACATTAAATAAACCGAATTTATGGGGATGGTGTGTTGTATAAAGCGTCAAGTAAACAAGATAACAATAGTTTTAATGATGAGGTATCCATTATATTTCCTTTAAGATTTTTTTATAAAGTGCTGGCCATGTATTCTCCATAATCTTACATATATACCAGTTCCCCAACGCTTTATATATACATCGAAGAACTAATAAATATCTAACTATTTATACAATGCATGTAATAAAGGCAAGTATTATTTTATGAATATGTTGAGAAAGAAAAACACATATGACTGTTTTCAAACTAAAGAAAGAAGTGAAGCTTTGTTTCAAAGGAATAGAGAAAACACAAATCTTAAAAAATGTGTTTTATTGGGTATGACGCAGAGTCTTATCAGTGGGGTCATATACACACTAATTGACAGCAAAACCTGATTTTTTTAGCTAGACAAAAGGCAGCATACATGTGTATTGTTTGCTTAGTTGAAGAATCGTCGGTTAGGAGAGTGGCCGAAGAGAGTGGCACGAATCTGAGGCAGCATCTAAAGTACAGTAAATAGTGTTACTCCAAATTCAAACAGATTAACCCCATGATTTGGATAAGGTACTTACTTCTTCACTGACAATTTCTAGGCGGGCTTCGAGAGTATTGTCGACAGTAATTTTGTTATCGAGACCGTAAAGGATAATACCACCAGCACTATAATAAAGTGTACTTTTAGACATCATAATAATACACAGTATTTTATTTTATTTTATTATATTATACATACCTTGATTCAGGCAAATAGTCCTCACTGACCGAAATACTAATTGACTGCTTGACACCTTCCTCAAATTCCTTGGTAACGTTCTCAATAGCAAGCTGAACGTTATCTGCATCAGCCTCGCGGCATCGGACAACTACCTCGGTCTCCATGAGAGTAAATACACCCTGAAGCATCAATTTTTCAAGAAGAACAGCATACTGCTCCTCGTCCTTCTGAACTTCGTTAACTTGGCTTCGCGCCTCATCAAACAGGTTGTCAAGTACTGATTGACGTTCCTGAAGGGTTCTGAGACGAGCCTTGTTAATGTAGTTTGACTGGGAGCTAAAATCAAACAGTTCCTGCGTCAAATAATAGTTGATCATATATATATTATTTTACTTACATTCTCTTTTGTACTTCAGCCTGCTTTATTTTGCGTTCAAAAATGGCTTCGATATTGAGAGATTCTTGGCGAACAATCTTTGCCTAAAAGTGGACCAAGAGTTTAGTAGGGGCGGGCATGAAACCCTTCCTTCTCCGTTATTACCTTCTCAATGTTGAACTCTTCGTCTGCCTACACGAGAATGTCATTGACCTGTTACTCTTTGTTTCATGTTTTCTCCCTGAACATTTAACATGATGACCCACCTTGACCTTAATCTCTCGAGCCTTTTCAAGAGCTTCCTGCCTAATGAAAGCTACCTTTACGACGAAAAAAGAATGCGTCAGCTAGATCATTGCGTTTTGGAACAAAGCCCTTACCATCTTCTTCATCTCGCTGAAAACCTCATCGTCATTCAAGGGTCTAATAGTAGTCATTTTAAAGCTATGTACGCAAAAAAAATAAGTTTATGCAAAAAGAACTTTTTTGTGTGAGTATGTTGCTTACTCCAGTCAAGTTCGTTCGGGAAAGAGAAGTGAGGAGAAAAGTGGGTTTCAAATGGCTCGACGTGTTGGAGTATGCTAGATACACCATCGAATGAGTGACGTATAAATAAATTTCTCTATCCGACAAGATTATATCTTCACAGCTGCCAAATGATCACTTGTAGCAGTGTTTTTGATCTTTATGAAATAGTAATAATAAAAGATACATATTTTAAATGAAATAAGTAAGTACGAATGTATTTAATGGCACTGAAAATCGTAGTATTAGTTAATTTAATTAACCAGAGCATTTATTTGGCAAACATTTATTATATAGTTTAGCCTTCATAATATCTTTATTAAAACTTAATAGCTCTCCTCTAGAAGTAACATATATTTTATTTTTAGAGAAATAATAACTCTTGTACTAATAGCCATCTATCTATGTGCCTTTAAAAACACTGATATAAAAAATCTGTAGATCTTAGTACTAACTTTCCTACATGCCTATATATAAGAAACTAATCAACCAACAAACCTATAGAATTTCATTCATAGTCTAGATCAGTATCCCATTTTGGTCTCATCAATTTTAGACCAGATATCCCCGCCCACCAAGCTTGACTTGGTCTCTTTTTAAGGCTCGATGTGCTACTCAGCTTCTTTAACCCTCCTTTTCCCGTATTTTATTACAAAAAAATGACTAAACTCCCTCCCTCTCCTATCTACCGCCTAAAATGTAAAACTCAATCATACGACTGGGGAAAATTGGGCGATGTATCCAAAGTGGCAAAATTCGCAGAAAAATCAGGAACCATTGTTGATCCTTCTCTACCTTATGCTGAATTGTGGATGGGAACTCATCCAAACGCGCCCTCCATTGTGATGAATGAGGATGAGGATACTCTTAGAGACATCATTAGAGATCATCCTGAGCTCAGTACAGAAGATATTTATGAAAAATATGAAAGTGATCTCCCGTTTCTTTTCAAGATTCTCTCTATTCGTAAAGCACTCTCTATCCAAGCCCACCCAGACAAAACACTGGGCGCTCGATTATTCAGAGACTTCCCAGATAACTACAAGGCAAGATAAAATACCGCTTTAATTTAATACACTCAGTATCATTTCACATTTAATTAATATGTACTTTACATCCCTGTAGGATCCTAATCACAAGGTAGTTTGTTATAAATATAAACTATGTATATAAGTATATAAGTATATATTATATTATACTATTCTCAATTACTCATTATTATATCATAGCCTGAGATGGCAATTGCCTTGACGCCGTTTGAAGCTTTGTGTGCCTTTAGACCACTGAATGAGATTGGTTACCATTTGGAGACGTACCCTGAATTCGCAGCTATTGTGGGACCTGAAGCAACAGACTCATTTTTGTCTATCATGGATTCTGATGATGTGGAGATAAATAAGTCTGCACTTAAAAATGTATTTTCTGCCCTGATGAACAGTCCTCAAGATAGAGTTAAAGAGCTCCTTACAGATATGATAGACCGTCTCAAAGACATGGAAGACAGAAACGAATTAGCCAATCTTATCCTGCGACTCGATCAACAATACCCAGGCGGCGACGTTGGTGTATTTGCAGTTCTTTTGCTAAATTATATCAAAATGGAACCAGGCCAGGCTATCTTCTTGGGTGCTAATGAGCCACACGCCTATTTGTCAGGAGGTAAGGAATACCACGCAAGGTCAACACTTCCTACATTAATACCTTACAAAAAATAGATTGCGTAGAGTGTATGGCTGCAAGTGACAATGTTGTCCGGTCTGGGCTGACGCCTAAGTTTAAGCACGTAGATGTTTTGGTAGATATGTTAACCTACCGCTATGGCTCAGCTGAATCACAGAAGATGACCCCAGTTCAATTCAGTGATTATTCACTACTTTATGACCCACCAATCGAAGAATTCTCTGTCATTTTGTCCTCTCAGAATCCTGGCGATGTAGAGCATGAAAAGGCTATTCAGGGTCCTAGTATCCTGATTGTCACACAAGGTGGCGGTATATTGGGGGAGGAGAAAGAGGGAATTCCAGAAGCAGAGACGACATATTCTCTTGAAGAAGGCTATGTTTACTTTATCGGTGCCAATACCCCAATATCTGCCATCGCTGGTGATAATGGCTTAGAATTCTACAGGGCTTTTACTGTTCTTCCTAAATTAGAAGAATAAGTCTCCTACACTAAGCATTCTTATAATATATATATTATCCATTTTCCATACTATAATGTTAAATGTCAACTACTTTGGACTGTTACCATCTATAGAAGTTCAACAGAGTAGTTTGATAAACTATTCTAGTAAAGACACGCGAGGGAAAAACTCAATATCTTATTGATGTATAATACTTTGGGGATACTCAGTCACGTTGTTCGAACAATTGTTGCATTCACAAAAACAATATTATTGGGCTAAAATTGTAATAGCCACGAACAAATTTCGAGCAAAATTTGACCAAGAAACGTATAACTCTGACCGGGTGAATCGTTACTTTTTTATATGCAATAAGATAATGTTTTTATCTGTATCCTTAATGAATTATAGAAGTCATCGAAGAGGAAATTAATGTAGAGCTGGAGCAGATAGTTGCTGTGAAAGAGCTTTAACAAACCCTTCAAGCCAATAAATACATACACAAGGTTGTCAATGTATTGCCAAAGCTTGAGCCAAAGGAAAGAGCACTTGATTTCTTCGAGAGTCTAGATGCCTACACGTTCAAAGAAGAAATCAGAATGTGCAAAGATTATTCTATAAATGCTATAAAAATCTATGAATTTTGTACGAATTTTGTACTTTTGTCTTTTGGTATCCTCAACTACAAAATAATATCATTAGTTAAAATTTACATAAGATTTTTTTCTAATAACCTGGTTGAGTACCCCCTATATTTCAAAAATTCTTTTTTCTTCTGCTAATATCATATATGAATCCAATTAAGTTTAATATCAACGTTAGTACATTATATATTACGTCCTGAATCCAAAAATTATTAGGGAACGACTGAGAAACCCCTATATATTTCCATATTTTAAATACCAATTAATATTGATTAAAGCAATTCTCCATGTCCACTGAAATATATAACCACTACATTTTGAATGACGCCATGAAGACCTTGCAGCATTACGAATAGTAATTCCACATATGCACACGCGTATATACATATATATTACTACTTAAAAAAACATTTGAAATAATATAGTAAAAAAGCCATTAAGAAAAATACAGTATAATACAAGATACAAGCTATGGAAAGAAAGTTAAAATAGGACGAATAAAGCAAATTAAACAGATAAACAAAACAAATAATGCAAGAACAATGACATTAGATTTATAGCAATCTACAAACCCTTGCCTGCACTGCAAGAACTTTTTACACTCGAAGGTTTATGTGACAGTTTTCCCTTGAATTTTGACATCGTGTGTGTGTGTGAAGGCCCGCTGTAGTATTTTCCAAGCAGCATTCTTCCTTTGCTTGCCAATTCCTCATCGTTAGGAGCCGGGGCAATATTCTTTTCGCAACGAGGAGGAATATTGATACCGCCTATACTGCGACGGTGGTTAGCTGTGCCTTTTTGGCAACCAAGATCATCCTCTACGCGCACGGGTATATCATGTTGTAATGGTTCAACTGTTTCAGTTGGGTTCACAGAGGTCTTTGTTTTTCTAAATCTAAAAACGAAACCGAAAACAACAAACAAATCCATTTTAATATTAAATTTAGTTTTAACCGATGTTATTTAAACTAATGACGCTTTACCTTCGTGCCCATGGAAGCACGCGACGCGCTGTCTTTGTGTCCGTGGGTGCCTCGGCTTCCCACCCAGCTTCCTGAGAATTGCTTGAATGCAAAGACACAGCATCCTTATCAAGTTCATGCTCTTCCTCTTCCCGGGAGCTCTCAGTTAACTCAAGCAAATCGTCTCCTTCGTATAATCCTTGGGGTTTCATTTGACTATCACAAAACCCACTTTCTTCAATAATAGAAGAACTGCTTTGTATGGATGATGTAGTATCTATATTCTTCGTACTATCACGCGGATGACGTCTAATTGTCAGCTTTTCTTTGATCAGCGCAGGACTGTTGTTCAATAAAGCTGCACGCATAAAATCTAAGCAGTAAAGAGTAAGGCAGATAATTTAACATAAGTTAAAAATTCTTTTTGTCAAACAATCAGCATACCTTTCTTTATGTTTGACATGAGCTCAAACCATGACCATGTTTTGTTCCGGTACTCAAGATTAGGTTGTTGAAACACGAAATCACGCAAATCTTCAATGTTCTTTTCTTTCGGACCCTTGAAACGTAAATAATTGTCAGTCCCTGATATATTAATTGATATTTAAGAGATAAGTATATATTATTACCTGATAGCTCAAGCAATGCTTTGCACCTGGTATTTTGACTAGAATAAATGCACGATTGTTTGATGCACGATTCTTCATGACCGTTAGATCATCGGTTGCCCCTTTTCTATCCAGTTTTGATTTATTTATTTTTTTCCCTTTCTTTCCAGTGGTCGGAGGTGCAGACACTATAGAAGATGTGTCTGGTGTGTCTAAATCTCCATTATCTTTTGGCATGTAAGAAATATCAACTGTCTTGATACTATCAGCCCCTGTATTTTTCCCGCTATCCAAAAACTTTGTGTTAGAGGCGTTTCGAAGTGAATCTTTGTCGACAGATTTTGTATCCAAATTTTGTATGCTTTCATTCTCTCCTGATCCATTTTCCATTTCTGCAAGATTTTGAGAAGAAGGCGAAAGAGAAATAGTTCCAACTGTATCCGGCTGCTTTATCCGCCTTTCCGGAGGGAATATATATGAAGCCATGGCTTTTCCAAAATCATAGGTCATTTGAACTTTAACAGGAGACAGATTGATCTCTAGATGCTGAATGACAGGAATACCACCGACAGGTGCAAGAGAGGAAATATAACAGCGAATCATCTTATGTCGAGAGAAATCATGCACCTTACGAGGATCTGCGTAAGGACCGATGATGTCCGTAAATACGGGTGGTATAGTGCGGTTGGTGACATGGAGTAGGTCGACTTCAAGTGTGTTAGTGCTTGAGTGATCTTCTCTGTTGATCAGAATAAATGTTGTATTTGTTAAGTTCCATTCAGAAAGCGGCGTATCATTGTCGGTCAACATTTCCCAGATAACTTTTTCGGCCGAGAAAACAAACTTGAGGTTTGTGATGGGCTCATGATCGTTGCTTCGTTTACTAGTCTGAGTAATCTTGATAGCTTCCATACCCAGAAAGAGTTCTTCACGTAGCTCGTACAATGTAGTTCGTATATCTTGAAATTTGTCCATTTGTGATTCATCCAAGTAAGCTACCTTTTGTCTATAATGGTCCCTGGTTTTTGTCAGACGGCGGATTCGGTTCTGAAGATTTTCAATTTTTCTTGTGATCTCACATGGATCTCCTCTGTCTGCTGCCATCATAATCTCACGAAGACGAGCAAGTCTTTCTTTTTTGGCTGGCTCTTTATATAGCAGTAGATCAACCGCAACCTCATACATCGCATTGTATTGCTGTGAGTTCGCCGTCAAGGCCAATTTAGGAAAATTGAGTAGAACGGTATCACATCTGTCTTCAAAAGGATGGATTTGAGTAATACTGGAGTAAAGCTTAGCCTTCATTCGGAGTGGGTTGTACTTGTCGTATTGAATTGTTGCAGTCAATTTGGTACCAACGCGCTGGAACTTATCAGACAATTTTACATAATTAATCAACATTTCCGAAGGAATCCAAGTCAACCAATGTTCGTTATCTTTGGCTCCATAGTGATTATCCAGAAGTAGATCAACTGTTTCAAACTGTTCCTTCTTGGCGACAAAAAATTGGGCATTGTCGATACTCACAATCGTCCGGTCTTTAACAAGCTCCATATCAGCCTCCGATTCGCTCGCATCGACAATATTAAAACCCTTGACTTGCATTCTCTGGTTGGACATGAGAACAAGGCTGTCTGGGTTGGCATCACTTTGGAGACTAATCTGCGGATTTAACAGGTCAATTAAATATCCACTCTTCATAAGATAGCCTGATGGGATACTGTTTATGTGAGCCTCTGGATCATTAACATTCTTATTGCTTGTTTCCGAAAATCCACTTCCTCTTCTTGTGTCCTTCGAAGTTCCTTCTGTTTCATTAGCCGCGTAGATATTCTTTTGGTCAGCAAGTAATTTCTCAATCAATTCTTGGGCCATCTGAATCCCACTATTGCTTTCATTTTCTTCCGATCCGCCCATCTCATTGCGCTGGTTTTGACGATGAGTCTCATTCATGTCTCGAAGAAACTTTACAGCACGCGCAGACATGTAGTATGTTAGAGCACGCTTGTGCGCCTGAACATCTAGTAGGTGGTATATAATATTTCGGATCGAGTTGTTCCAAAGAATCTGGGCATTGTGAACAATATAACGCTGTCTAAAATAGCCCATCAAGTTCTCCCACTTCATAAGAGAGTCGTGCCCAAAGATCATCGAACTTGAATATGCTGCTGTATCGGTGTGTCCATTGTGGGCTACATTTGGCATAGATTCAGTCGACAGCTCCCTGAGATAACGTTGTAATATGCCTCGCTTTTCAAACAGCATTTCCGTCTTTTCTACAATAGCACGCGACTGGAGAAGATGATAAGTTATTGTGTACTAATTGATTAATTAATTGATTAGTTTACCTCGTTCAGCAGGTCATTGTCATCAGAGCGGCCAGAGAGTCTAGATTCTACGTTGTGTAAACGAGCTTGATGCTTGCGGATCTGAAGATCAATATTATCGCTGCGCTCCTGCAAGAGAGACATCTGCACCTCACGAGTTTCTATAAGTTAATCAAATATCAGTCAGCTTTTGAAGCTATTATAAAATTTAAAAAAAGAAAAGAAAAATTACCAACAGCAGTTCCCAATATACAATCATGTGTTTTATGTAAGTATCGGTATTTCTCTACATCATCTCGATTATTTTGCTTAAGATAATACAGGTATGGCGAAAAAGCAAAGGGAAGTACTTGGACTTTGGGTTCGACTTTTGGTGTTGGCATGTGTAATTCCACAAAATCGTCTAAGTCTACCCACTCTGGGGGTGTACTGTCTTCGTTTGACTTCTCATCCCAGTCTTCAAAGCAATCTGCCCGGCTACTGTCACTGCTAAATACACTTGATGTATCTATGGTACTTGATGGCAACCCAGATTCTCCAATTATATCTTCCATGGGCTGCTTCTTTCTATAACTGGCTCTGACTGCTCTCATATCAACGTTCTTCAATTGAACTTCGGCTTCATGTAATGGCCAGTTTGCCTTGAGTTGTTTGTTATCAACATTGAGGCCTGTTTGATGAACAACCTCCCTACGCTGGTGCATATCGACGTTAAAACTACTCACAAGAGCCTTGAGACCAACACAATCTCCCAAATCATCGACAGATAAACTGCTCCCAGGTTCATTTTCATCTTTGTAAAAATAACCAATCATAAGTGGGCCAACCATAATCTTGTACTTCATTGTACTCATGTGCTTGCTAAATTTCTTTGTTGGCCGGACATCCAGTTTTGGGTAAAGTGTACCACTACGAGTTGGATAATTCATTGCACCACCAAAAAGTCTGAACCAAGCACCAAAATGATCAAGGGTATTAGGAGTTAAGTGCATAGAGTTCATAGAAACTACATCGAGATCAGCTTCCTTGTCTTCCTCAATCTTTAGCTTTACGATACTGATAGAGAAATGAATGAAATGGGAACGGAAACCAGCATACGCATCGTAGTTCTATATAAATTTATGTGGGTTAAACAAAAGCTTCAACTTATGGTATTTTTCTTACGTCTGAATCCCCTAGTTTCTCAACTGCGCTAGGTGTCATGAATTTAACATTATAATGGGGTAAGAAATGAAGAAGTCGACATTTGCGATCTTCCATTGCGTTTCCTTGACAGCCACACCCGTCCAAGTTTGGAGAGCATACTCGCTCTAAGTGACATCCAATACCCATACAGATACCACCGGATAGCTTCAAAAGGATCTTGGAAAATCTCAACTCTTTTTCATCTTCAGATGTATTCAGAGATGGTTCGCGAGAGTCGGACCAAGCAGATGGGCGACCTTGCCTAGAGCTAGTTCCACTTGACGAGGCTCCAGAAGATAAGATACTTGCTTCATACTGGGGTTGTCCTTCTGGCAGCAAGTTTAGGAATGCATATCCTCCACGAAGCAAATCAGGAACACCTAGTGCATAGTCGCGGCTCAGCAACTGCATAAACTCTCCTTGTGGATTGTCATGTCCAATGTACCACTCAACCTGTTTACGCCAAACCATGGACATTCCGAATCCTCTGTCGCTCATATCGTACGGATTTCTTGTTCCTTTCATTACACATGCAACATCGCCTCCTCCAACAAAACCCAGCTTACACTGCGTATGAATCATTAACCGAAGTTTGTCCCAGAATCCAACTTTTGGTGACGGATCGATAGGTGGACGTGTCAGATTATCAAGGGCACCAGTGATGTCTTGAATAGCAGGCTGATATGAAGTTGACCAACAGAAACTTGTCATACTTTGAGTAAAGACCTTGATATCGACAATTGAATAGAACTTTGGTGGTGTACTGGTTCTTGCCACATTGAAATTGTAATTGATATTTTCTTGATCTACAATCAAGACATTGATACTTCGAGTTGCTTCAATACTGCCAAGCTCATCACCAAAGACGTAATCGCCGGAGAGAAGCCACGCCGGGGTAGAATCGTCAATTGTAGTCGGTGGGGGAACATGCATAAGAGGAATTGGATAATCTCTGATCTGGATCCATGTCTTTCCGGCACTCCAATCGACATGGAACGGTACAAGTGTAGAAAACTGTGTGTCTAATGGAATACCTTTTCCATTTTTATGTACAAATTGGCGGGTATCCTCCAAAGGAAAACTGGGCTGGCTGAACTTGCATGCTGTCTTAAGTACGGTGATATTCAAAAGTGGAGGAGATCTCGGTAAAGGGATGGTGTGGATATGAAATAGTGAAGGTATTTTTGAGGTGCTGTTATCTAGTTCATCATACATCTCATCATAAGCTTCAGACGTAGGATTTCTGTAATTAGACTGTCTCGACTTGTCGTAGGCCATAGTTTCCTTCTGAATCAAAAAATTGACTTTTTTGATCCAAGAATTTGCATTGTGGTGTTGAAGTCCATGTAATGCTTCACTAACACGAGCATCTGTCTCGGGATTGTCACTTGTTTGAGTGACTGATTGTACCTTTGCCTCAAATGCATCTTCTAATGCTAGTCGGCTAGTCTGCTCAAGAACACCTGTTCTCCAAATTTTGCGTAGTCGTGCCTCAAATGGATCATCTTCAAGCTCTAGTGTAAAGTTATCACAGACAATACTCATCCGAGGAATTCCAAGTGGATTTGGGCTGATCTTGGGACCAAAGAATGTCAAAGGCTCTCCATATTTAAAACGGAGGCGGAGGGTCTTTATTGCTTTAACCATATTGAGTGCATTGTCGACAATATCAGCCATGACAAATTGATAGGGTATCCTCAAATAAAGCTTAGACAGCTTCAACTGGTGACCATCAGATGGATTGACCATACCGTTTTGAAGAGTGATGTCTAGGTTATCGGCTTCCAAAAGCTGATCCCATCGGCCAGAATCATTCACGCCCATTCCAAATATCATCAGATTACGAATAACCATTATAGGTCCCATCAGTTGAGTATCTTGCCATTGTGTTTTCAAACCGTCGATACGCAAATAGAGAGGCGTGTTTTTTGGTAGATGAATATGGAAATCTGTCCGGTTGAGTTGACATTGAATTCTCTGAATCTTGAAGAGTTTTTGCGAGACGGTATGAGCGGTATGAGTGGGCTGGGTTGCTTGGGGTTTCTTTAATATTTCCTGTATCTTTCTTATCGCTTGGAGAAACATGAGGGATGCAAAGTGATTCTCTAGAGAGTAGTGTGCCCCGATCTTTTTAATAACCACATCTGACCGAGCATAGACGACGCCTGATTCTGTGTGAAGATCAACTCGGCCGTTGGCTCTTGATAACCACCCCAAAAGTTTACTATTCTCAGGGGATAGACTCCTTGGACCATTTTCTGGCCGAAATTCCCTTCTAATACATGCATTTTGAATAGATGCTTTGAGTGATCCCAATCGTTTCATAGTCCCTTCTTGGCTAGGGTCAGATGTCATGTTGATTGATCCGCTACTGAGGTTGTATCGATGACTGCTCCTCTTCGAATGCCCAAATACATGTGCTCCTTTGAAAGATACCGAAAATCTCTCAATACTACCCCAGAACGATATCAAAACATCTTTTTCCGGTCTAGTATCAATATACCCCGGCCTCTTCTCTCCAGTCCCTTTTATGCCTGGATCGATAGCCTCCGCAAGAATAGTTACCCCTGTTATGACCAAGGAAAGTCTCAAGTTCTTTGTCCAGTCGAGATTTAATGGCTTATTTACTTCTTTATGTGGTTCATGCTTGGGTTGCTTCCATGTTTTTGTGATTTCGTGCAGCCAATGTACATAAGCAAGTTTGTCTCCTATACATGTCCAAGTATTCAACACAGGATTATCCACAGTCACCTCACCATCCACAATTCCCAGGGTTGGTATTACTCGGAGGTCTTTCATGTCTTCGGTCGTCTTCAGCTGAGTTGTAGCTACACACATAATCTGACTCAAGCAAAAGACAGGTTCTGACAGCTCACACGTTTGTTTTAGAGCAAGTTTATCGATTGTACTCCTGGCAGCTACGGAATAAACCCAGTCAATTTCCAATGATTTTTCGATTTCCTCAGATTCTTTAGAATACCATGGTCTCTGGAACAAAAGAGACCAAGGTCGCATCGAGTTTCGTTTACGAAGAGTTGGCGAATTCGCTCTAGGGTCGGACGCAAAAGGTATGGTTGGTGAAGAAGGCGAAGATTTTGACTTTTTGCTGTAAGCAATGTATCTTCCGGTCAGATCAATCACTATGCTTTGTGCACAGACCTTTGTGCTCCTATCTATATCCGCAGCGAGAAAGCTCAGCGAGGGTGTATCCAAGTGAATGTTGAGTTCCAAACTAGGTATAGCAATGGGGCTAGTATTTGTAGTTGACTTGGTCGTTTTTGTTGGTTTAATTTGTCGCAAAAGATCTATTTTGGTTGTATCAATTGTAAATGCAAAAGATTGGATGTATACATTTGTCTTGAGATGGTATCTTTGATGTTTCGACAAAGGCAAGGGGATTTTAAGCGTAGGCTTTGTCGTGGACTTCTCATGTTGAGTTCCTTCGGGATTGGTATTAGCGGTGATTTGAAGAAGAGGCAAATTGCAGATCTGGGTTGAATTGGTTTCTAGAGATATTGGTGCGTCCATGAGTTTCAATCCCGTGTCTTTAATACTAGCAGTGCATGCGTATGTAACTTCGCAATCTGTTCGTTCAGCGGCTACATTTGCTTGTATCGACTGTACATATATCATACTATAAACGTTCGTCGATGGATCATCGTAAGAGACCGAAAGATGCTCAAGGGAAAAGGAAAAAGACTTTAGAATTAGTGAACTGGCTCGCTTTGGCTTTCCATTCTTGGTGGATTCAATATTTGCATGGTCGCCTAAAGTCTTTTCCTTTGATTTCGGAGCAAGTTTTGTACGCAAATTTAATAAGCAATCGAGATTAATTTGAACTGGTGCCATCTGAAGGCTGACATCGACTTCCTTGAGCGTTACACATCCAGCTGAGAGATGAAATGAGATTGCGAGTCTGCTTCCAGAGGGAATAAGAACCCCATTCTTGGACTCATATCCAAGAAGTTTGATGGTCCCCAAGGTAACAGCTATCTCAAAAAACTTTTCTCGGAATAAATGATCAGCACACTTGAGAGAATGTCGTTGATGGTAATCGTTAAGAGAAAGGTGACCAGGTGACTGGGGTGTTTTGGCAAGAAGGGCAGCAAAAAGGGTGGATTGTACAGTGAGCTGATCGATGGAGAGACAGCAAGTGTTGTTGATACTCAAACGGCAGTCATCGAATTGAATAGCCACATAGTTAGCCAGACCATTCATGATCAGCTGGGCAGGAATAGCTGAAGTAAACTTGAGAATATTCTTTACAATTGAAAGCGAATACCACCAGGGGATATGTTTGAGCGACTGATTAATCATAGACATACGTCTGTTGAGTGCATTCGGTCTATCGGATCGTGTCTTTTTCGAGGCTCGAAGGACTTCCAGATTGTGTACATTGAAATGGATGCCAGAGAAATGGATTGTGATCCAAGGTGTTGTGACATTCCAGCCGGGTTTCTTCAATCGAATCTTAATTTTTCCAACATTAACTGACAGTATAAGTTGCTTGTCTTTGGTTTTTTGATAACCTAGTCCAGTTATAGAGAGAAATCCAAGATGACCAAGTTGGACATGGAAACGCGAGTCTAGAATCCTGCGAACTATCCAGCCTAATAAACAAAAGATGACCATGATGCCGATCATCAGTAGCGCATACTGCTTTACGCTCAGAGACATTGTAATGTCTCTTTATGACGATCTGATTGAAGGAAGGTAAATGAATGTAATAATGGGATAATGCTAAATATGTGAGAATGAAAGGCTGAAAGTCATGAGCCTCGTTGTTCAGCCAGAGTGAAAGAAAATGAGAAAAAAAAGTGTGTGCTCAAGGGACGACTTCCATATTAGGAAAATGTACGATGGTGTAACATTCGCACACGTTGTCATGGTTATTCGGGCATAGTTTATCCTTACTTTCTACATGTTGAATTTTTATGATTTACATGTTTCAGACCCACGCGTGCAATATGTTTATGAGAGACATCAGATAATAGATAGTTAAAGCAAAAAGAAGAAGAAAAATAGCTACAGAAACTTATTTTACTATGGTGCATTAAATAAAGAAATCGTGAGGTGAAGACGTAAAGAAGGTAATCGGAGTAATATCTCACTGGCTCTCTGCGCACTTAGACGGGCCGGAGTGTCGATTATCCAATATGACAGTAACATAATATATATACATATATGTACGTATGTATGCATATATTTGTATTAAATTATTAAAGAGGTACGACACAGAGGGGATTTTCTATTGTATAAGTGTTCATCACCATGTCTGCCCAGCCAAATAACTGGACTGTGTAATCTTGGGGAGCGAAGATATCAGGAAAAGCTTCCGAAAAGGCAGGGAAGAGTGAACCATGAAGATCTTCTAATTCCTCAAGGTTTTGATGTTCCTGAAGATATGCTCTATATGATAGATTAGGAAAGACGTAGCTAGAAAATCTAACTTACTTTTCAGTCTTTTCAAAGAATGGCTTCCATGGACTGTTCTTTTTGGTTCTTTCGTGTAAGAGTCCGATCATCCAAACGACGTCTTCTTCTTCCTCAATGTCTTCAAATAACTGTTCAATAGTGGATTTGAATTTTTTATCGCGCAGTAATTGACCAAGGGTAATGGTCACTGAGTCCATCATCACCAGACCTTCAGCCTCCAGGTCAGGATAGGTCAGCGATTCAAAATATCCTGGATTAAGATAATTCACAAAAGGTGTCACTGGGGCTATCCGTTCTTGTTTCTTGTCACGTGCCATCTTCTTGAATATAGTTTGTTTGAGATTTTCCATGGAAATTAATGTGAGAGCAAGGATCTGCTCTTGGCCTAATTTTTTGTTATTGATGTTGTTAATAATAGAAATAATAGAAGTAATGATAAGCTATTTGTGATTGTTATGATTTGATATCATTAATATATAAAATAATATATAGTTTCATTACCATCTCTATACATCAATGCACATCTCTGCACCCAACGCGTGGTCTCTCTGTTTAGTTCCACAGCCCGGATTGCGTTCAGTCGACTTTGCAAGAGAGCGCAAGTCATGGCTACCATTGCCAGTTCATTTCGATAACCCACCCACTCAAGCTGTTGTGAATCTTTGCATTGGATGTATATTTTTGCTTCAGTCTGGTTCATAACCAAGACACGCATAAGTTTGAGGAACATTTGAGGAATATGTTCACGATGAACATAATAAGTGAGTGGATCTGGATTACCAGATTCAATATGACATTGCTTTAAGATCTCAAGTTTAACTTGTCCGTTTGGATCTCGAGAGAAGTTTGGCTTGAGTGCTACATGATCATGCTCATTCACCTAAGGCAGATATCTTTAGTCTATTTGTCTTTACTTTTTTTCCTTATCTTTTTCCTTACCTCAAAGCAGAAGCCGTAACCCAAAAGTACTACAACATATTTATTTTCAAACCCCGTCTTATGCTACACATGTACATCCTAAACTTACATTCTTCGTTGGACTAATGGAAACAATAGAGATATATTAGAAAAAGAAGAAGACAGAGAATAAACTGTATTGAATATAATTAAATTCGATTGATTTTTTTATTTTACCTTTGGACCATAGTTATTAAACATCTCTTCACCTGCATTGAACACTTGGCCAGAAACAAAGGACAGAGATCCAGATTGATCATCCCCACTTCGAACCCAGGTTATTTTTGTGTTTGGCTTATGGTTCAGTGAGTCCACAAGTGGAAATAAGACTTCAGAAGGCTCGGTGTGTGTGGGGTCAATTAGTGTATAAGGAAAGGCTCTAGAGGTCAGCACGGTGTAGGCCCACAAGAATAATTCCCTTCAATTGTTTGGCTTAGTTGTCATGCCCGTTGATGCCGATGACTCTTACCATGTGATCTTGGTACGCAATTCTGCAGATAGTCTAACCACTAATGCTTCATAATCATTAAAAATATTCAGCTTCCTTTCGCGAACGGCGGTTGCAAGATTGGTTTGGTCGAGATAGTGGAGATCTTCTGTTTCCCAGAAAAATGGCGTGAGTATTTGTTTGGGAAGAATATTGAGGTAGGGTGCATAAAACGACTGATCGCCCAAAAGACTTTGATAGGCTACAAATAGAGCCATGACATTGCGGCATGAGACGTCTGACAGATCGGCAAAGGTCTTGCGGGCGACTTTCTCAGTAATGGTAACCCTGAATGGGACTGTGGCGAATGTGTCGTTTGGATAGACAGTCTCGGTTGCATGGACTGTGCCATTGGTTTCCTGGTCTGGGTTGTTGTGAATGAGGTAATTGATGGTTCGCAAGTACCTCTTCTAAAGTCCAGTTTAGAGTAAGAGCCTCCATTGCGGGCGATCCAGTCGAGATATTCGTCCATAGTAAAGATATTGTTATTTTGTTTCCTGTTGTTGTGACGTTAAATTAGTCTTTTTTTTTATGTATTTATTTATTTATTTATATTATTATTTTTGGCCATCGGTCTTTCTTCCGCTTTCTTGTGGGACATGGATTTGGATTGTGTGGAATGAGAGCTTTGATCGGGTATGGAAAACGCCCGGACTGGACATGGTCAGTTGATGGGGTCGCTTTCTTCAAAGGGCTTGTCAACACTTGTGGTACTCTCCAAGGTGGGGAAAAAAACAAAAAATAAAAAATACCATTTTGGTGACTCCGACATTGGAATATTTATTCTTTCATGGCAATTTCCCAACCTTTTTTTCCCTCTGTTGCTTCTTTCCCCCCCTCCTTTCTTTTTCACTTCTTCCTTCTTCATTTCTTCTCCCACCAATCTTTGACAATGTTAGGCACTTCAAAGCGACCCGCTCCTCTATCCCCCGTTGGTATGTGCGCAGCTATCGATGCTGACACAGAGCCTGCCTCTCCAGTTCTCTCCACCTCTTCCTTCATGTCTTCCATCTCCTGGGTTGCTGAGAAGTCTGCGGCTGATCTTGTAGCGTTGTTAAAGAATGCCTACAGTGCTATGAAAGAGAAAGAAAAAGGTACAACTTTTTTTGATATATAGATATAGATGTAGATATATGTATGTGTATATGTGTAAATATGCTACGAGTCGTTTCTACTTTGAATTGTCCTGTAACTCACGCCACCACATAATTTCTTCAGATCTTCTTTTAGCAGCAGAAATCGGAAAATCATTATTGGAAAACAACATGGCTCTCAAATCCAAATATGAGCATTTGCTTGAACAGGCACAGGCTTACCATGCTGAAAACGAAGCAGAGATGCTCGAGCAAATTTCGATGGCATCACGATTCGACGACGACAACGACGACGACGACATGCGTTTTATTACCACCCAAAATGCTCGCAAGACTCTCATCGAGACCCTTGAACGCAAAAATAAAGAAATGGAACAAATGCTCGAACGAGCTCTTCACAAGTCAAATGAGATGGATGAAGCCAACGAAGCCAAATCAGAAGAACTCGAACAAGAAATTGAACGACTACGAGAGAGTCTTGACCAGGCAGCCGTCAAGGTCCAAGAGCTCGAATCAGCCACACGTCATGCCAAGTTGAACGGAGAACAGCGCATGACAGAGCGAGCAACGTCAGAAGGTGTGCGACATTATGACCAGGACGATAGTGTGATTGCTGTCGAACTGGCCGAGAAGTTGGCCCGCCTTGAGACTGAAAATGCCGCCATCTCTTTTGCAAAGAATGCGATAAAGCAGCGTCTAACGAGTGCTCTGCATGATCTAAATCATCTGCGCCAGCAATTTGACTCATTTGAATTTACTCAACAGGGCTACCAAGATCTCCAGGAAGGATACCAGCGCCAGTTTACACATATTGCAGAGCTCAATGAGAGTCTCGAAGATCACCGACATGTTCTGTCCAAGCTGCGGGACCGTGGCCAATGGTCAGGCAAACACACACCGACCCCGAGTGAGCACCCCGGCGGTAGTCTTGTAAAGGCAAGCCTTCTCGAACGAAATACTTCTCTACTCGGAGAACTCCAATCAACATGGTCCAAAGGTATGGGAGACCTTCCGATTCTCACCGACCCCGATCTCCCTTCACCTCCTTCATCTTCTTGCTCTCTTGCAAATCTTCAAAGCTTTGCCACCCTGGCCGAGCGAAACCTCACATCTTTCTACAACGCACCCGCAGCTTATACTCTTGAGACCGCACTCTCAAGTGTGGGTATCAATGACCGAGGGGCGATTGACGAAGCTATGCGATTCCTCGAATATGATAGTCAAGATGGTCTTTCAGACCAAGAAGACAATATGCTAGTACCATACGATGGTTCTCCCACAACCGGACTCTATCCTGATCTTCCCAATGCTGAAAATCTGTGCCGTGACCTGGCCATTCCCCAAGAATCTCTTGGTGTTTCTGGCAGGATAGCACATCTTGTTCGGTGTCTTTTCAAAGCAGTCTTACGCTGGTGCCGGTTCTCGATCATCCTGACTACAGCAGTGATGATCAACCTGTGGCAGGGTCCAGAAGGGTTCTTGGAAATATAACACACACACACAAATGTTCTCTTTAAACAAAGCAAAGCAAAACAAAAAAGTTCTTACTGTATTGTACCTTTTCTCTCTCTCTCTCTCTCTCTCTCTCTACCTTTCCTTTTTCTACTTGTACCATGTCACACGCCTGTCTTCCCTTTTTTTCTTTTATTCCCATCAGGCCCCCTCCTTCCTTATAATATTATTCTTTATTTTTTTTGTATATTATATTAACCTTTCTTTTTAGTATTTCTGCCCTTTTTTTCTTCACATTTTTTTATTAACATTTTATAGTTCTATTCCCCATCTTGCCTTTCATTCTATCTATGAAAAAAACCAAATTGTAAAACTTGCTTGATTTTTTTTTATATAAATCTATGAATATTTTTATACATTTTTTTTGACTGTGCGTTTCATCTTAAATATTCTTTCTTTCTTTCACTATCTTTATAATTTTATTTTATTTTTATTTATTATCTTTTTTTTTTGTTTCTCTCTCTCTCTTATATTGTGTCTCACATTTGCCCCTTGATGTCGATCTTCTTGTACCTCTTTGCACTCTCTAGAAGGACCAAACAAGCGGCCTTTGTGTCAAGTAAGTTAGGATCTGGTCTTAAATGGTGGGCATTTTGGCTCATCAAAAATTTAATCAACTGTTCGTGATCTTCAAATGCCAGTTCAGTTTGAATAAATGACAAGGGAAGATCAGGACGACATCTATAAATCCCATGTTTTTAGTCATCTTGTATTTCCCTCATTTAAATTGTATATATTATTATATTATTATATTTTTTTTTTTGGCCTATTAAGATTTCCTACTTACGCTTTGCACAAGATAATCAATGCTTGCACTCTTTCACGTTCGATAAACTGATCCATAAGATAACCCCCCATGTTGGGAGCACTAGTGTAAAGCCTAAAGAAACGATGATAGTTCGAAGTGGCAAGACAGGAACGGACTTGTAATGCATGTTGCACTGCTTCATCCCTCTTTTGTTCAGGTGTCACCTCGGCCATAATAGAGTTGATGTCTACAAGCCAAGCCAAGTCAAGCCAAGTCAAGTCAAGTCAATAAAATAAATAAATAAATAAGTTTCGTATTGGAAGGGCAAACTCATAATCAACAGGAATCTCAGCTGTCCTCACCAGACCAATTTTGAGTGTGAAGGAAATACAGAATACGGTAGGCTGTAAACTCCATCACATTCCCAGGAATTCCAAGCATATACAACTGTTTTAGTTGTGATTGACACTGGTTGTACTCGCCTAAATCTCCCTATTTATGGATAAGTAAACGAAAAATATTGACTCTACTATTTGTTTGTTTGTTTGTTTGCTTGCTTGCTTGCTTGTTTATCTTACCTTTTCGAGCGCGATACGAGCATGTATCTCATATACTTGGACCGTGAATTCATCTCTTATCCGTTGAACCTTGAAATGATTTTACGTGTGTTGATTTTGTTTTTGTTTTTGTGTTTTTGTGTTTTGTGTTTTGTCATTCTCTCTATCCATACTTTATATCCTGACTTACTGTTAAGTCCTGGCGCATCGACTTGAACTGGTCACAAATATAAGTGTAATTTTGCTCTGCTTTCCATTTGTCTTTTAGTAATTCCAATGTTTGTTTTAAAATTGGCAGTGGGCGAACTGTAGAAGGATCAGGCGCCTAATATTTTATCACTTTTATAAACACTTATTCTTTTTTTTTCTTTCTTTTTTTTGTTGTTAATAACCTAAATCCCGGAACTTTCAACCTTACCGAAGTTAGTCGTAGATATTGTTTCTCTAGCTTAACAGAAGTTCCGATAATAGTCTGTTTGTCCCAATCCATGGGTTCCTAAAAAGATATACAGCTTATTAGATAACATGGGCTTTGTGGACGATTTGTCTTAAAGTCACCATACCGTCCCACTAGTCACCACAGCCGGAAGACTTGGAGCTTCTGTCCGCCGGCTGAGACTGTCATCATGGAATCGTCTCAGCCGATTTCTTCGCTTCTCTTCCTCCTCAGCCGTATGAGCAAGTGGAGGAAGTTGAAATGTTTCCTTCTTCTTACTATTAATCTCATCAGTATCCTCTACATTAAAATCCAAATTCACATCCAAATTCACATTCACGTTGACCAAAATTTAGCTTTGGATATTTACTTCTTTTTCTTCAATCGCTTTGCTGATATTGCCTGGCACGCACTACATCACATAGAATCAGAACACGTAATGATCATAATAATGACTTTGACCACATCTATTTTTCTTTCTTTTTATTTCTTTCATTTTGTTCGGCTTACCTCGGTAGATCCATTTCACTCCAATCAGTCGTCAATAATTCACCTTTCCTATGCTTCTCAATAATCAAATTGCGTAGTTCAAGTTCAGCTTGATCTCTACGATCAGCCGAACAATTGTTAAAAACATCTTCCACATATTGTCTATTATTATCATAATAATTATAATAAAAAAAGTCCCGTTAGCTTCATTACAATGTTTCTCTCAATATAATCAAATTTACTGTAATGACGGTGGCCATGAATCTACCGATGGGGGTTTCGAATTGTCTTCTTCGGCTACTACTGGAGCTGAGCGAGGAACAACTTTTACATAAGCGGGCTCTTCAGAAATTTTAGGCTGCTTTAGTGGTAACATGTTCATCTTTTTCGGCTCTCCTTGAATTACAGGTTCTATAGATTTATTTTAGATTCAAGTTGGGTAATGATAACAAAAAATCATTAGCTTCATTATATACCTAGAATGATAGCTGGCGTTTGAGAAGCAGTGAACGACAATGCTTCTGTCAATTGAGTCACTTCTTCGGCCGGATTCTGTTGTACCTGCTGTTGACTGCTCATAACCGTATTGTTTTCGGTTGTACCTGTACTTATGGTCGATGTGGGTATACTAAAAAAAGGTCCGTTTTTATGAGTACTTTAAATTTGCACAAACATAATCCTCTCCTATAAACACACACACAGATATATACAAGCGTTTGTGTAAAAGTAACTCTTTTATTTATTTTTTATTAATAAAGAAAGAAAAATATTCGTCTTCTTACCCGAGCGGAGTGTTGTTGACAGGTGGTGGTGGAGGTGGTGGAGGTGGAGGCGGTGGAGCTATTTGCTGAGGTGTATAATATGGATAAGGGTAACTACCTGTTTGTGCATTAGCATCGTGCGATCCACTATACAAAGAAGGCGATTGTTGAGGATAGCTCGCTTGAGCATAATAATCAGCGTGCTCTTGAGAATATGCATATGTATAGTCGTAGACTGGTTGTTGTGATGCTGAAGCTGCCGTACCCGGATCACTTCCTGATGGTTGTTGTGGTTGATACTGAGCGCTTTGATAATAGCTTTGATAGTAGGCTTGCTGCTCTGGTGTCTGAGCTTGGTAACTGTAGTATGCATAAGCTGGATCAGTCGATCCATACGCTTGGTACTGATGCCAAGGATCAGACCTAGACAACACCCATTGGTCAGTATATTTGTTGTCAATTAAGTACTTTGGATGATTCTACCAGTTTTGGCTTGGTGCTGAATTCTCTTGTGGATTCGCCAGGATGTCTCTTTGCGTTTGTTAAAAAACGGCTCGGTAAGAGCAACCATGGGCTCTGAATAACAAGATTTTTAAACCACATGATCACGTGAGAGCTGACATCGCTCGCTCGCTCTCTCTCTCCCTCACTCTCCCAGTTCAAGCATAAGGAACAAAAAGAGAAAAAAAAATAAGAAATATATAAAAGTTTAAGTTCTGGTCATGGAACTCGACAAACTTCGCCTAAAAACCCTTGAAAATGTTATACCAATATGTGAATCTCTAGTTGACTCAACCCGATTAATTCATGACTCTAATATTCGCACACCAACGCGTCACCTCGACGAGCTCTTAAAAGCATTAGAGACTGTTGTTGATCCAGAACAAGTTTTCGAAATTCGACTCATTAATCTTATTACTCGTTCATTGTTAGAGACATTTATTTCAATTGTTCGTTCCAACATTAAACCTTCACATGGCTTCCTTGAAGGTTGGCTGAAATGCATGCTATTTATGCTCACAAGAACATCATGGGAACCAAGTCTTTCTGTTCAAGAGCAAACCCAACTATTTCCACTTTTTTCATCATGCATCCAACCTCCTTCTGCATGGTTTACAGACAGAGTACCAGAAGAAATACAGCAACTTGCTCTTCAATGTTTTACGACTATACTTCCAGCAAATAATCAACTCGTACCATCAGCAGATACGCTTTATCGACCTCGACTGGAAGAACTTTGTAAAGATCATTGTCAACCAATGCTGTCTTCATGTGTATCTAATCTTCTCAATATTATCAAAAGCGATGTCGGGAGAGATTTACGACTCAATGCCCTCGAGACGCTGTCTAAACTCTTGCTAGATAACATCCGCCGAATCAATCGAATCGCCATTTTCTTTCCTGGTGTTGTATCAACTCTTTGTCGAACGATTTATCAAAAGAAAGAGAAAGAAAACCACAAGATCATTGCTAAAACTCTTGATGTCCTTGGTGATGTGATTCAAGCTGTAATGAGAGACGATAAAAACGAATTGTTAATTCACAATGTACGATCCATGAGGGACCTTCATTCCATTGATATAACCAGTCTGCACATCAATAAAAAAGATAATGGAAATACGACCACAAAAACAAATTCAGACGATACTATTAAAAGAGCCACCGACTGGCACATTTCAACAAAAGAGAAGCTCCAGACCATGCTAAAAAGTATCCTGATTACTCAGACACATACCGAATGGAGAGCACGACTAGCGTATGTGAGATTTGCGAACAAACTTCTCTCTACTTGTGCACAAATGCTGGATAACTGTGTGGATCTACTGGTAGCCACATTGGCAATGCACCGAGATGACCCATACGAACAAGTAGCAACTGCGTGTAAAGAAGCAATGTACAATATCTCACAATCCTCGACATACTTTGATACAGTTATGCCTGTAATGAAAGAAGAGCTCTACAAAAACATCGTCCGCCTTCCTAGATGTTTGATATCCGGAGACGGACAGATGCAAAGTGATGCTATGGCTCTCATAATCGGCTATCTGTTATTACTCAGACACCACGCTGAGAGTGTGATAGACACTGCCTTGAAGCGGAGTGCTGATGGCTGGCTGACTGCCTTTGCACTAGACACAGACAGTATTCATGTGCTGGATGAAAAATCGGAGGGTAAATATATTGACCTGCAGGAAAACACGCGGCTGCACGGACAGATATATCCAAGAATACACTTCAAATATCTTGTGACAGACCAAACAGTGGCACAGATGGCACGCATGCTTAATGTAATTGGACAAAACGGAGATCTTCAACATTGGATTGACTTTTTCATGCGCTACCTTTCTGCAGAGAACGCGGAAGAAGAAACACAGCCACAAGCCGCATTTGTAGTCTACGCACTATTGGAAGGCGGAAGCCTGCAGGAAGATGAGCTCTTGTCGATTGAAAAAGACACCAATAATATTCAGGATACTGCCCTTCGACTTTTACACGACATAATGTCTCTTTCACTTTCTAGCAATGCGAGTGATGATCAAAAGGCGGTAGTGCAACAATCGGCATCGTCTCAGGGGCTGGACAGAGAGAGTGCACAGATACTGACAATCTGTTTTGAATTGAAGATAATCGGATTGGTAGCGTCTATTCTTGGACATGATATTATCCAACAGGAGCTCATCAGCCTTCTTTATCCTCTTCTGGCCTACCTGGGTTCTCCAAACGTTTTTGTCCATACATTTGCACTCATCACATTAGACAATATTGCACATGTCTGCGGAGAGCCGGATGGGAAAGCACTTTCGATTGCAAACATCGACTATGTAATCAACATGGTCTCACAGCGCATAACCATGTTGGTGACTAATCCACGAGCACCGCTTGTTCTCAGGGCACTTGTTCGCATTGGAGGCATGGGCGCAGTTGTTTATTTAGAAGATTCGGTGGAAGAGATTTATGATGCCTTGGATCGTTATTGGTATGATGACTGGCTGTGTGGGCAGCTCTGTGGCGTATTATTTGAAATCATCAAGGTTCTGCGCAGCGGTATTCCGGACAAGCCTTTGATTACTTCAGATAAAAAGGTTTCCCAAAAGACACCATCAGATGGGGTGTCTGATGAAATCAAGGAATTGATTAGTCATCCGTGGGAAGATAAGGCAGACAAGTTGGAAGATGATGTGGCGACTTTGGAAGAGATTGGCCGTTATTTTATTGATCGTCAACAAAAGAATGCCAACAAAGCACCAAAGTTGCATGAAGTATTGGAAGAAGAGATGATGAGAGAAAGTAAAAAGAAAAGTTTAGCAGATGATAATGAGGAAGGCGAGCAAGAGCAAGAGAAAGAACCGGTAAAAGATAAAAAGCCGAGTTTATCCAAAGAACAAACGATGACTCTAGGTATTATGAAAAAGGTTGGGAGCATGTTGACTGCAAAGTCTAGCCACCTTCGATCACAAATGCTCTGTCTGTTGAGTTCTGGTGCGGTAGTGCTTGCTGATCAACCTGTCAAACTCAATACGCTCATCAATAGCCTGTGGCCCTTTATAATCAGTCGACTCGGCGACGAGCATTTCGTTGCGTTTAATGCGACAGAACTTATAAAGACACTGTCATCTATTTCAGGAGATTTCATTTCCAAGCGAGTAGTCAATGACATCTGGCCTCGGTTTAAATTGCTACTAGCCCAAACCACTCACGCTAATGCTTTGCCTTCTTACTCGTCATTCTCGTATACGCATCGACTCCAGTGCTGTATACTATCTACTCTTTCACACATTGCACAACATGTGCCACTGCCTCAATCAACAGTTTTGGAGATACTTGAAGAAACACGTTTATTTATGAGTAATAAGGTCCGTGTAGATCTTCAGCAAGAGGTGGTTGATCTGTTCTTGACCATCGGGAATACTTACTCGGACACTGTCTGGTTTTGTTGTTTTGCAATGCTGGGTGAGCATGTAAGCTTAAAACCAACAAGCAAGTTACTTGCACCATGTAAGGTCCCAGCTTGTTTGGCAACATCAAACAAAGACTATGTACAGAATGCGAATAAAGTACTGTCACTTATATAAAGGAGGCCTTGTGATATATACCACTTTATTATTATCTCCAAGAAATAGTAATCGGGATAGAAAAGGAAAAAGTTGTGGTTTCATTAAATTTTATATTTTTTTTTGAAGAAATGTTACTAGTTGTATTCCAAAATCACCGAGACTCTTACAATATATATATATATATATATATATATATATATATATGGCCATGCCTTGTTCAATTATACCAAACCACTTGAATTAGTGGAAGGAGTAATCAGTAATCAATAAGCACATCATCTTACTAGAGGCACAACCACCTCTTTAACTCTTTCTTTCTCTTTTCAATTTTCTTCAATTTCTTCTTCTTCTTTACCTATTTTACATACAAGTGTCATTCTGTTATGAATAAGGAGAATGAGACCGATAAATCAAACAGAAGACGGATATAGGAAGATCGCTTAATGGTGATTTGAGAATACAAGAAGTGAAAGAAGGGCAAGAAGAATATGGAGGCTATGGTTAATAAATTAGGATACTTACTTTCCTACATTTGCTGTGTTTTTATATAAATTATACACACACACACATATATATATATATTATAGACAGAAATCAATTGGATTCTCAGCAGTAATTTGAGGATGCACTTCAATTTTACTTTGGACAGGTCTGATCATTCTACGTACTCTTATTTTTATATTAATTTTAAAAATTTCAATATAAATAAGGAATCTCTTTAAGCAGAAAAAAAGGAGGGAAAAAATATCCTTTTTTTTTCTTGCTCAGCTTTATCTACCTCACATTCCTTTTAGTTGCTCATCTTACTATATTACCCCTAATGACCTTTTGTAGCCGCTGTGGGGAACTAAATTGCACAGAAAAATGCATTCGTTGTGGTGTTTTGTGTAAGTTTCTTCTTTAATAGAAAATAAGACATTAAAGCTATCAATATAAATTCTCCGATATATATATATATATATGTTATATTTAAAGAAAAGGAAGAAGTATCATTCATATTGTATCAATCTATCAAACCTTTTACACACATTTTAATAGCTGGTCAATCAGTATCAGTCCAAAGACCTTCTGTGGATAGGTGGCAATCAAGGTATAATACTTGTATATACTCAAAGTCTACATAAATGCATAAGAAAAGAAAACTTACTTGTTTGTGTTGAAATTCTGGGGGGAAAAATCAGATACCTGGGAAGTATCGTTGGCTTGGATAATCTTAAATCTCCACCATCATCTCCTGGACAAAGATCACCAAAGAAGATACTAAAAAACTCCCCTTCGTTGGGGTCTACGAGATATATACCTCACTCCAAATCACCCAGACGTCCCTTACCGACCCTTGCTATCATTCCACCAGCAAAAATGAACAACTGTCACTCGTGTAATAAAAAACTAGTGGGAAAAACGGTGCGCCTACCAGAAAGCAATGTACGATATCATTGGGAATGTCTTCAATGCACCCAATGTCACTTGCCATTCGAAGACACTTCATTTTACGTAGATCCTAACAAGTCTATATACCATCCAAAAGTAAATAATTTTTTTTTATAAAAAAAGAAAGAATCCTAATTAATTCAAGTATTATACTAAACCAGTCTATTTTTCTCTATGTGATATTTTTCTATTTAGTGTGCACCATCAACATACACCTTTAGAAGCTGTACGCGATGTAGTCTTTCGATAACAGACTCATATCTTGGAATCCAAACTTCTGTTCTTCATCTGAGAGTAAGGCTATAATATATACAAAAGTTAATCACACTCGTTTTTTTACTATTATTATCAAGAACAACAACAATAATAATAACAATAATACTAATAATAATAATAATCTACACCTGTGTTTATTTGTGTGCGTGTGTGTGTGTGTGTGTTTGGTCTACTAGTGTTTTCGATGTACTTCTTGCCAAAAAGTACTTCAGCCTTCCACAATTTACACAGATCTTAAGGGCACATTCTGCCAGCAGTGTACAAATACTACTCTCACACATGATAATGAAACCTTGGCACAACACATGAAGATTGTTCCTCAGCCTGTTCAGCTCAGTTTACGGTCTGGGCCTCTATCTATGTTTGGTTCATCGCTTTCTCTGGTCAGTAATCAAACGGGCAGTACGACCACAAGTGCCTGTCCCAGTCCAAGCACCAGCAGCAGCACAAACCGTAGTTGTGTTGGATCCCCACCATCCGTACCAAATTTGGTTTCACCTGCTCATGAAGTCGTACCTCCTTCAGCTCTAATGAGCAGTCGAGGTCGGCCGTTACCTCGGTTCGGGACGACAAAAACATGTCCTGGCTGTTGTCAGCGGATAGTATCGATCCACGAGGAAAAGCAAGGGCCAAAGGCAACTCGATGGCATATAAAATGCTTGGCTTGCACACGTTGCTCAAAACAGCTAGATTCTGCTGCTACAGTTCTGGAAGAAAAAACGGGTGCTAATCCCTGGTGTTCAGCTTGTCTTGTAAGTGTTTGGTACTTTCAACCTTCTTCTTCTTCTTCTGCTTTTATTTATCCTAATAGCTTCTTTATATATATATATATATATATATATATATATCTTGTATGTACTGAATATCAAAAAGTTGTGGAAAAAGAACGACACAGAAAATGAATTTGGAAGGTCTAGCTTTTTAACCTTACCACGAAAACCTGTGAGGATTGAATAGTCAAATATACCGATGCACCCACTATTCCCCCCCCTTCTCCTTCTCCTTCTCCTTCTCCTTCTTTTGCTTTTGCTTTTGTTTTTGCTTCTGCTTCTTTTTTTTTTTTAAAAAAAGAAACAAGCAAACACAAAAGACTAAACCACAAACCACTTCTTTAAAACCATCCATGTTATATATATATATTTATATACACATTTATTATTTACTTGAAAAAATTAAAAATATTGCTGGCTTCTATCATAATCATGCATTTACACCCACCCGACTGCCCAACCACTCACAGAAAGAAAGAAAGAAAGAAAGAAAAAACCTCTTTATTTCTGCGTGTCTTTTGTTGTTGCTGTTGCTATTTTTTTTTCTAGTTCACTTGATGAGGCATTATATTTTATTAGATTTTGTTTTTATTTTTTTATTTTTTTTCTTTATAACTCTGCTTTCTCTTTCTCTCCATGTCTTCTCTACCTTCACTTGTATCTGGACCTGAATTGGTGGCAATACCACTTCACATAGTAAAGCAACAACGGCGGCAGTGCTTGATTTGTCTCAGGAAAGATGACCCACCAGATGAACTCGAGAGACCCATTGGACCGCAATTGATTCAAGCAACGGGCCCAGAGTGGGCTAGAGTGTGCCCATGTCCGCGGGAAGCGCATGTGAACTGTATTCTTAGTACCGCAACCGACCTGCATTGTGAGACATGTCAGCACACTTATTATCGACAATGGCGCGTATTGGTTGCCCATATTGTCTGTTTTGCCAGTCATGTATTCAGTATTGGATCGGCTATCGGTATTGCTTTTGGTCTGGTGTATCTCGGACGTGGTCTGGGGCAGTTGGGACTCGGCAATGAAATGAGCAACAAGATTGATGATGATCCATGGTTCGATCATGAACTGGGTGTTATCCTTCAGTGGCTAGACCTGGTATACTATGCCACAGGGTTTTCTGGAGAAGCTCTTTTGGGACTTGTCTACATATTTGGATTCTGCAGTGTAGCAGGCTTTGACGAAACATTACTGATGGTCAACAATACGCTGTCTCTGGATCTCTCGTGGTGTTTGGGGCTAGAATATCCAATCTGGTTCAATAGAGGCTTGGCTTATCTGATTCTGGGGTTCATTGGACTTCTTCTTGGAACTTACTTGATGTTTTACACATGGATATGGGCATGTTTATTTCATCAAATACGTCATGCAGCGTTCCAACAGAGTCATGTTAAACCAAACAGAGATATGTAGTGCATAAAATAAAGTACCCAAAAATAAATAAATAAATAAATAAATAAATAGCTCAATTATTATTACTGTTATTTGTTTTAGCCAAGATATTCTTTGTAGAAAGACACGGTCAGTAAGGTTAGAAACTAAACAAGAGACGACCGTAATTTTCTTTTTTCTTGTAGTAATATATGTATGCAGAAAAGCACCCGTATACAGTGAATAAATTATGTTCTCTAGCTAGACAACTAAGAGCTTCTCTTGTGAAATATAATCCTACGATGACCTTGTCTCCCTATATTGCTCTCTTTTTTTTTCTTTTTTTTCTTAGGTCTGTTTACCGATATTGATATATCACTCAACTAAAAGATTTCATTTTATCAATGATATATGATCTTTTCCTATCTACAATGCTTGTGGTTAGTGACCTATTTTGATCTGCCAATAGACATACCAGATCATCAAAATCTCTCACACATTCAATATGCTCAACATCTACGCAACTCCTCAAAGATCACATATCAAACTTTCAATATAAATATCTTAAAAAAAATGGACTACCTTTCAAGAGAACTCCTCTATAATATATTCTAGATCAACCATGCATTCACTTTCATCATGATCTCTTTACAGGAAAGATCATTTTTTTCCTTCTTCCTTTTTAAAGCCAAAAAAAAGGGAAAATAAAAAAGAAAACATCATCCTTTGTCTATCACTTTGAACCAAACAGACAAAAAACAACTAAAAGGGATACCGTAAAGAAGCCCATTACTTTGGAATCACAATCTCTCCTTTCTTTCTTCATTTCTTTCTTTCTTACTTCTTCTTTTATTATTCTTTTTACCTTACCTTGCTTTACCCTAGTTTATACTTTATTTTTATTTTCAACTATCTTTATTATTATTTGCTATAATAATTCAAAAAACATGTCTGAAAAACCCAAGCAATTCCAATCAAATGAAGACCCTGCTTACGATAGTGGCAATGATTCATGGTCCCCCAAAATAAAGAATCGTCGACGCTTTTCTGCCACTGAAGCAGCGTTGCTGGAACGACGTTATGCAGAAGAGCAAAGTCCTTCGCAGCATGTACTTCAAGGTTTGGCTGACCAGATGTCTACACCGCGCAAGACAATTACTACCTGGTTTCAAAACAGAAGAGCCAAATACAAGCGCAGAAGTTACCGCAACAAACAAGCACCCGAGAAAGCAAATGATTCTCAACAGAAAACAAACGATGGCTCTCCTGGTCAGCGGATGTCTGACACGGTTTCTGATGTAGAAACCTGCGCTCGTTCTTCCTCGAGCAGTTTATTGCTAGTCGAGAGAAGATCACCCGAAACAACAGCCTCAAACACAAACTCAAACTCAAAATCAACATCAACATTAGCCTCAGTGTCAATGTCAATGGCTGTGCCAATGCCAACCGACGAAGGTTATCAGACAACTCCTCTGCCTGATGCATTTTGCGAGGACGACAGGCTTGGGGATTTATCTCATCTGCCGTCTACTCCAAGTCACTGTTTTGATTACAATAATTTCCTGAGTACCGGGCAGGGTGCGATTATGTACAGTTCTAGCGGATACAATCCTCCAGAATACATGTACCAGTTCCAAGACATTTCTGGCAGCTCTTTAGATTCAAACGAGCGAAACCAATATGTGTTAAATCAGAATCCTAGCTTGTGTGCATGGCAGTGCTACGACCCAAGGTTGTTTGTGCATCCCGATCAAACAGCTTGTATAATTGACCCTAGTTTTGTTGGGTGCCACACACGGGAGTCCAATACTTTCGAAAGAATCTGTTTTCCCGGACAATCGGATATATTCACAGACTCTGTTGACTGTACTTATGAATGGAGAGAACAAGTAGCATCATATTTGATTTCACCTGAAGGTAAATGAAATAATTAAATATACAAATAAAATAAAATAAAATTTATATCAATATTAATGTTAATATTTTGAATTACCTAACATCCAAATATAAAGATTCAAAGGACTGGGCTTCTGTACCAAAAGATATAAGTCACGCAATCTGACAAGAGTACAAGCTATCATTGACCATCCCCATTTAACAAAAACAACAAAAGCAAAAACAGTAGCTATAAAGATTTCTTCCCCCCCTTAATTTGCCAATAGCAAAAAAAAACCCCCTCAAAAAAATGTATAAACAATATATATACTTTGTTTTTATTCTTTGCATGATCTTTTATACAGACAAATAAGCATAATATTTTAGCACTTTTTATAATGAATATGTGTACACAGATAAATAACATTACAATATGTACGTGTATGAATTCGCTTGTGCGGAAGAGATTGACCAAGTAACACAATATTCAAGATGAAAACATCTTACCATTTTGTTCTATTATACTACCTATGGAATCGGCATGGTTCCATAGAAAACAAATATATATACAAACAGGATAAAGTTTTACTTTGTAACACGGCTTCCAGACTTTTCTTGTACAAAGTACATATGCTTACATACTTTCACACCCCACTTTTCACACAAGCTATATATATGTGTGTGTGTGTTTCTACATACAGATAGAGATATATAAACTCTATAGCCAACTGTATACCGGAAACAAAATTACGAAAATACAGATCATATTCACTTCTTGCGTCTAAATACACCAGGGATTTCTGTTTTGTTGTTGTTTTGATGAAGAATAGACAAAATCTTTGTACCAGAGAAAGTTTATCGTATTTTCCTTTTCTTCTTCTTCTTTATATTAAGTGTCCGCCTGTGTTGTACAGCATACCGCCACTTTACCAATACACTGGATTTCTGTAAAAATAATAATAATATAATAAAAAAGCGGAGTATATAAATAGGGAACTGAAAATAATCTCTACCCAATAGCGTAAAATAAATAGATGCGGAGATGATATAAATTTAAACACAAGATGTCCTTGTTTGTGAGTACAACTAACTACACTTGCCTTATTGTACTTTTGCTTTTACATTTTTTTTATATACCAAGACAAGAATACTAAAGAGACGTTTCTTACTCTCTTGCTTATTAGTAAGAAGATTAATAGTAAAATTTACGAAAGAAAAAAATACAAATGTCTTATATTTGAGTAAGTGTGCGCTTTTATTTTATTCTTCTTATCGTAATAATTAATTTTGGTCTTATTTATTGCTCATCCGACAGAGAGAAAATCATTGTTACTAAGGATTAATAATAATTAAAAAAAAATTCAGAGAATGTATCACAGGTATAAGTCAAACTACATATACAGTGTCTCCAACAAGCAATGTCACAGACAACCAAAACATATTTAATATTTTTAGAAATGAAGTCCCTCGTCGCTTGCTTAGAACACCCACAGCGGTTTATCTAAACCTGAAATCACATCTTTTTATTTGGATGCTCTTATATCGACCTCTTTTTTGACAGGTACTTTCTGTCTGGATTCGTGCATTATATCGGATATTAAAGTATCCCAAATACAACATTATGTTTCTGGAAAGATGACAATGGGTTGTCAGGTTGTTTAATGTATCTTTTCGTTCACGAACATTCCAAAGAACCACTTGATTTAGCTTTGGGTATATCAGAAGCCATAGTTTGGGCTATCTATTGCATGACGTGGTTGAGATCACGATGTTGTAAAATGGGTATGTTGTCGTTGTCTCCGAACAGGGTGAGAAGACTATTAAATAAGATTTTTATTTTGCTATTATTGAGTTCCGCCACAGAGTTGACGACAAGAGCTTTGTTCAATTTTGCAGTGGTAGGGAAATTAATCACTTCATAACAAATTTCTTGAAACATCTGTGAGGCGATCATGCTGGAATTATCGTTGTCAATTGATTTTTTGATGCCTTCGAAATCTGCATATGTGAACACAGTCAACGGCTGACAAAAACACCACATGGCAACATGGCTTGAAGCATAGAAAAGTATATATGAAGTTGGATAGTGGAATTGCACATGTAATTGTTTCATTTGACCAATGAGGTAAGATATGTGAATAGAAGATGCTTTGCTGTTCAAAGCAAGTGCAACTGCCTTTTCCCAACTTCCTTGATCAACGTAAATGTTTGATGTTTGTGGCAAAATTGTAATTGTTGACGATAATGGACCGATTTTGGGGTCTTCCGGGATATTGATATGAATACTCAAAGTAATAAGTCTAGTGCATGATAAAGACCCGATGACAGGCTTGAATCAATCTTGAGTGCTCTGAACACAAGGCCAAACATCATAATAAATGCTTGTCGCTGGAAGTAAAGAGGAACACATAGATACCAGCACATCTCAATGAATATCCACATTTTTTGTAATTCCGTACACTTCAATGGTGTTAATCATGATTGCTACACTAGATGATACATTCAACAGAATTGCATCAGCCAAAACGCGAGCACAGGCAAAATGAGATTCGACTCATGTTGCCAATCGCCGTTTAGTAAAGTTGAGACTTCATCATTCAACTGGAAATACGTTAATTGCAAGATTAAGTTACGAAGCGGCGAACCATGAATGAGTGATGCAAAGTTCGAATAAACGTTTAGTTTCATTCTGTCCCCTTCGATGCGCTTGCGCTTTTCCGATAAGATGGCTGCTGTAAATGAGAATTGAATACTGCTGAATCTGAGAGTAAGACTGAAGGATAAAATAATATCCTCAGCTATTCCAGTCAAACGGATCTGCCTTTAAGATATTATTTGGCGCTAGCGGCACGTGACTACTAGTGAAAACCCGGTATTATAAATAAGTCCAGATACCGATCTTTAAGAAAGACAGTTTCTCTTCCTAACAAAACTCGTATATCTATTCAGTGACTGACTATAAAGATAGTTTGCCATAAGTTGTCTCCAAAAGCTCCTTGCTAGAATCTCCCTTGATATCCGGCAGTATATCACGTGTAGGGAAGTCTCGCCAATAATAAAATTAACTGTAGACAGACAAGGTGTGATATGATTGGCAAGATAAGAATCCTTTTTATTCAAATCTTATTTTTGAGTTTTCATCTGTCTACCGCTATCATTATCACCATAACATGGGATATAAAAGTACATATACTATATCTATAGCATCATCATACTTTCATCTACATATTTCTTTTATTGTGTGAACACTTGATTGAGAGACTACAACCACAATTAAATTAATGTTATGAAACATTACCCGATCTGGGTCGGAATACTAAAATATTACCAATAGCATAAATGCTATTCTTTACAAAAACTCTCTGGCCGATCGGGCTGGAGAAGTATCAGATCAATTAGTCTTTCTGGATCTTTCCAGAATAACAATACTCCTGGAAGATCCACCATTATGATAAAGATGACTTAAGCACATACTGAAATACGAATTAGGAAACATATAAGTTTTATTATTATTTACTATTCTTTTTGAAATAAGCAACCTACACAAGTTCTCACGAAGTCTATAGTATACCTTTTTAATTGTTTTTATTTCTCTACACAAAAATAGCTTTGTATTCAAATACATTGTTAAACATCTTCTTAATGTTGGTAGCGTGACTGAGCGCATTGTATCCTATAACTTTATCTTGATTATCAGAGCATGTCAAGGCAAATGGTTCAAATTCCATTTTGTCAATGATCCAGGCATTTCTATCTTTATCATCTAAGCGACAGTTCATTGATTGACGAGCATTAATAATGGCTTGAGAATGCTCCCAAAGTATGACATTGCTTACCACTTTATCCAGTATGTGCTTTATTGTCTTGACTGTTGGAACAGCAATAAGGTCCATGGACAAATTTGCAACGTCGTTATCGGAATCATCTGGCAAACATAATTTAGATGAGCAACTGAACCTTTTGTGTATGTGTTTATCTTCGATTTAATCAAATATCTGTATTATTCAAACAATCACCTTTGGATCGCTTAATGTGGTTGCTCAGGGAGTCCAAATTATCGTATACTTTGTTGCGAAAAGGACAATGACGGCTGGTGTCTAGTCTTTCTACTACGAGTACTTAATTTTTACCTAGAGAGAAACAAGTTTATTATCCTTGACCAACGTGTTAATAGACTTCCAGCCATTTCTCTTATTACCATTGTTATCAATCGCTTCGTCGATAATCATGACACCGTAAGACAAAGCAAAGGGAAAAAAGGGGAAAAAAGTGCGGTCGTGAGAAAAAGGGAGAAAAGTATGCCACAACAAAGCAAACGCTTTTTCATAATCTCCTACCATTTTGTAACCATTGCTGGCCAACAGTCTTTGACACACAGTCCTCACACAATATTTCCCAGCAGAGATGCAAAAGTGAACAAGTATAAGAATAAAAGCATTGTCAAATATAGCCAAGCATGTCAAAATGAGATACAACAATGCTTATACATTAGTCAAATGACAAGAACATAACATTATTGCCATGAACGCGATATTCTATCTGCCACAAGCTGGAGAAATCAGCTTTCATCGAAATATCAGGTTCAACAGCTATTGAACAAGAGTACCTCTTTATCTTAGCCATGCTTTGTCTGTTATGTGAACAGAAAAGCCAAAATAACTTGAACAAAAGAATGAAACTTGTTTATCGGTCTCGTCAAACGCATGCAATTTGCCGAGATTTTTGCTGGCGGTCTTGAAAGCTGCCGAGATTTTTGCTGGCGATGAAAAATGGCCAGGGCCTCTCTCTCTACATGTTAGTATCAAAATCTTTGTTATCTATAGATCTAATAGTGTCGCTAACCATACCTGAGTTTATTATAGAGAGAGATAATCAAATGGACACATATACATATATATACACATTATGTGCATTAACATAATAGGTAGTATTGAAAGATTCTTTCATCTTATTTTTTGGACAACCGCTAAAAACGGAACTCATCTGATAGTCGATCAAAATGAATAAGAGTCTTTATTTTATTTTATTTGATTTTAGTTTAATTAATTTGTGGTTGTGGGATTGTGCTTGGTAGTGTGATAGACTATGGGGAGTAAACATTAACAGGATCTGTGTTTTTTTTTGGATAGCCTTTGTATAGAGAGTGATGTTCTGATCGATCAGATGATACATACAATACACAAACTAACAGCATATTTATGTGAGTATGTGTGTATGAATGTGTACAACGTCTTCAATGTACAAATAAGCTCTGTACACAATTACAAGCTGAGAATATTTAAAGAAAAAATAGAAAGGTGATTTGAGAACCGCTTTCCAAAGTACTATACTACATAATGCTTAGATCATTATAGTTTAACCAGGATAAAATACATTAAAAAAAAACATATATATATTATATACCTCAATGCTCATCTTTTATTGCACAGATATTATATAATAATAACACAACCCTGTATATCTATATCTATATACTATTTATTATCTTTTGACGATTTACTAAAAAGAATGCCCGTAGTGCGCCCGTAGTCTATAGTGTGACGTGACTTGCTTCCCCTTTCTTCATATCATAGATTTTAAAAATACAGATATAATATAAAAAGAATGAGATTATACTATAAAACTTTTATATATATTTATCAGATCAAAGATTAAAAGCGGGTTATTAAAGGTGCCTGTATTTTAACGTTATTTAATATCTTTTGCACTGTATTAATATTAATCTTAATCGATTCTTTTCTCTATTATCTACAAGTGCAAGTGCAAGGGCAAGTGCAAATACAACTGCCAATACAAAAATACAAGCCTTTTTGTATATATTAAATATATATTATATATATATTTATTTTTATACTTTAAAAAGAATCAATGCTTTATTAGATCTATTTATTTAACATATATAATAATAATAATAATAATAATAATAATTACAATAATCTGTTGCACAGTCAATTCTGGAAGAGGACTAGAATGTTACCTTTAGGAGAGGAACACAAGGGGTGACGACACTCGGTAGTGGACATTAAAATTAGATCTGATATCTAATTCTTTGAAATTTTAAAGCAAGAAAAAGAAAAAAGCAGGAAGAAATATGGTTTCTTTTTGGCTTGTTCATTGGTAATTCTTTCTTTTATCCGAGCCAAATTAATCTCACCTTTCTTCCCTCCTCTTCCTCCTCTTCCATATTCTATATTTTATCCTTCTTTTTTTTAATCTTTTTCTTCTTCTTCTTTTTGACTGTTGTCTATATTGTGCAAATATTTATATATAATATATATCTATATAAATACAAAGAAAAGAAAAGAAAGCAATAAAGAAGAAGAATAAACGGCTGTCATATATTATAAATATAAATATTTCTTTTATCAGATGGTTTTGGACAATCAGTCACAACATGAACAAATTGAGCTTGGTTGGATCAATGTAGTTGAAGCCTCTTCATTTGTTATCTTTGCTGGTAAACCGAAGTCTATTATATTATATTATATTATATTATATTATATTATATTATATTATATTATATTATATTACATTATATTACATTACATTACATTACATTACATTACATTACATTACATTAGTATTGAAACAAAAATTCAGTTACCAAAAAAAAACAAGAAAAGAAAAGCTTACTCATCCTGTTATTATATATGTACATATATGTATCTGCTCTGATTTATTAGCATTCATCAGCCTAATTATGGGAGTAAAGCTTGAAGTGTCCTTGATAGTATCCGGAATTCGATGTGTGGCTCAACTGACGATGATGGTACAGTAACCCTTACATTTTCTAATAATTGGTTATTTCCCTCTCTTTTAGATTTTTGAGCAAGGGTCAGGGTCCTGTCTATAAAATAGATTTTAAATATATAATATATAAGATCTGATTATGTATAGATATACTGACACATTTTTCTTTAAAAAAATTATATTATATTTAGGGATATGTACTTGACGATGTATTTAAAACCGATAATATATACGTGGTCCTATTTTTGTCTCGTAAGTCGAATAGATACATAATTAACCCTTTTATTTCTGTCACTGGTATTATCATTATTCTAATACCTTAATACAAAATAAACAAACAAACAAACAAACAACCTATACATATGTTAGTTGTACTCGTCATTCTCGGTACATACGAACTCGTCTTCAACAGGGCAAAAAAGACATTCGATGGGCTGGTAAATAAACAGAAACTAAAACTAAAACATTATCTGATTATCTCGGATAATTCTTCAACCATGGTCTCACATCAAATATAACCAAATAACATATGCATACATTTGTAGTTCTTAGTAATGTTTTTCATTCTCTTGTCAAGTAATTGTCTTGTGGCATATCTGGGGTCAGCATTTGCAATTCAGCAAGATCCATTCTGGAAACCAACCGTCTTTATTCCTATAGTGGGCATGTTGCTAGGTAACTCAATGAGTAGTGTTGCCATGGCAACAGAACGCTGCTTAGATCAAGTCAGGTAAAACACAATCATTGAAATGTTTTCCTTGTATATATGAAACCTGCATTTCTAAAACAAAATTAATTTTATGCACATAAATGTTTTAAACTTTTTTGTTTTTATTTTATCAAAAAAAAAAGCGTTCATGCCCCTCTTCTCGAAACACGACTTGCTTATGGCGCCTCAAGATTTGAAGCCTCACTTCCTTTGGCTGTAGAAACCATTCGAATGGCAATGCTCCCAACAATCACACAACTGAGCGTTATGGGAATGATAAACATACCTGGAATGATGACAGGTCAGATTATGGCAGGCACTCCCATGAAGGAAGCTGTCATTTACCAGCAGTGTATCATGTTTATGGTTGCTGCAAGTAGTACATTTGGTGTTGTGATGGCAGTTGGAGTAAGTCTCGAGTGATTATACTTTTTTAAACACATTATATATGTATATATTGGTTTATATCCATGAATGGATTTTGACAATCGTCTTTGCTTGTATATAATAGGCATGCATGATGATTTTGATCGATAAACAGCAGGCTTTGCGTATTGACAAGATTATCGACACATCTTCGTTTATCCAGAGAATCAAATCTAGTAAGGTCACCAAGTTTCGCGTTGTCCGCTTCAGAACTGTTACTCTACGTACCTGTCTCCCTGCAGCATTATTTAATAGAAGAAGACGCCACGAAGCAAAGTACGAAGAAGTTGAGCTGAGATAAAAGAAAAAAAAAAAAGAAAAAAAAAGAAGGCAAATTCAAGGCTGTCAATTATTATTGTTTTTTATATCCTACAATTTTCCCTTCTTCTTTTTTTCCTTCTTTTCCTTTATCTCCCTCTATCATAACTTTCATTTATTCCATATATTCTTACACCTTCCTTTACAACCCTCCTACCCAATCTCTCTCCCTCTTTCTCACTTTCGTGCTCTATCTCTACCTCTATCTATCCACCTTTCCTTTTTTTAGACTCCTTTAGCAGCAAAAAGAGACAAAGGAAAAATAAGAAGAAGAAGGAGAAGAAGAAGACGCCAGCAAATCATCTGTATGTATGTAGCCTCCCTATCTTGTTTGCCATGATCCCATTCACCTGTATATCCTTTTTCCTATTTGATTTTTTTCTTTATTTTCTATATATCTTTTAATATACATTCATATATAATATAAATATATATATTTTGGTTTAATATCTTGCACAAATGATTATTTGCCCTTTTCTTTCTGTTGTATTTCTACTTGGTCTCTTGTGTGTAATAATGAGCCGACATTATGCATATGCATATGTATATGTATATACTAAAAGATAATAATGTGATAATGATGATGACTTTGTCACAAGTGGCTCAGGAAGTCTTCTTTAGACACATGTATATATTTCAGTGTCACTATTTGTGTAGTGCAATAAATTGAACAAAAAAGAAATAAAAAAGGCACAAGTACACAACCACCTACTGAAATTCGGATAAGTTCCAAATAAATACAAATACAAACAAATGACAGTATAGATGAAGGTTGAGAGTTTAAATACAATTACAAACACAAATGTAAACACAAGTACACACACACACACACTAGACTACATTACACATGTGGTGTCTATAACGAATTTATTATGTTTTGTTCTATGTAACAAGTAAAATAAGAAGAGCACCTTTTTTTTGTCTTACCACTTGAAATGAAAGTCAGGCCCGGGAAATAATCTATATACACCTTTTCTCAAAATGATGTTGCACAATAAAAATTTAAGTTGTTGCACTTTTCAGAAAAAAATATGTCGCATCATATCTTTATTAAATAGGATGACAATTCAAACAGTCATCAAAACGTCTCACAGAATAACGAGCGAAGCCTTTGAAGGATGACGGCAATACACTGTTGCAAGCATCACCAATCTTAGCAGGAAGCATGTCTTTCTTGAGAATAAACTCCCTTTTAACACCACTCTTGACAACCGACCAAAATTGCTCGATTGGGTTGAGCTCAGGGGAGTGGGGTGATAGATAGACACATTTATACCCACGAGACTCAATAGCAACTCTAATCAACTTAGATGTGTGGATGGGAGCATTGTCCATCAACAAGTAGTGGTCCTTCATTTCAGGATATTTATCCATCTCTTCGAGAATATCATCAATAAATCTCAGGTAATGTTTAGTTATGGTGTCTTTTGTTTGTACTTTAGCCCCTCCTGCTAGCTTTCGTTTTTTCGAAGGGGGAATAGGCTTTCTCAAACAAACCTTGATCAAGCCGTTACTTGATATAGCACCCAATATTGAGGTCGAGTTTTCTCTTGCCGTAAATACCTTAACAATAGCTGACTCTCCCTTCGGAGCCCATCCCTGAGTTCTTCTCCGATTTACATTAAATCCTGTCTCATCAATGAAGACGCAGTTGTTCATGTAATCTACGCCCGTACTCTTCATCTCCTCCACCCATTTCTTTCTCGCCTGAATCCTCTCTGGAGTGTTTCCCTCTAAAAACTACAGTTGCACTTTCTCCAAACTTAAAATCTAAAGATCATTCAAATAACAATACAGTGTAGGTTTCGAAAGTGATAGACCCTCAAAAGTACTAGTCAATCGACCAAGTAGCTGGTCAGCTGTGGCGGTTGGCTGTTTGTAATAAAACTCTGTAACAGCGTTCCTCGTTGCTTCTGCCAGTTCGCCTTCTGCTTCGATAATTCTTGGTCGACCAATAGTTTTGAACAAAGAGTCTGGGCCTTTCTTCCAGGTACTATACCACCGTTGTAAACTTCTTGGTTCTAAGCCCAAGTCTAGAGCGACTGCTCTGACGCTATTCTTTGGGTGTATATCAACCAAGTGAGCGACATGTGCCTTAACTTCATTACTGACTCGTTTGTTCTTGATAATGTTATTTTTTTTGCCTCTTTGGAATCAGTTTCTTTTGGTAGCTTTGTGTTCCAAAAAAGTTGAACCTGATCAGCTTCCATCATCACTTTCTGTCTAGCCTCGATATAAGCGTTATAGGATGCAAGTTCCTCTAACTTGTACGGATCTTCATTCCCAGTGATATCCATTGGGTCGTTTCCATTCTCAAAATAAAACGAATAGCTCATTATAAATGTACTTCAAGAGAAAAAAGTGCAACAACTTAAATTTTTATTGCGACATCATTTTGAGAAAAGGTGTACAGAAGTCTTAAGTTTTCCAGGACTAATTTAAGGCCAAGATAGTACTTTTGTACTGTGTATTACAAATATGTATACACCAATATAATATGTAGTATACTTGTGCTCAAGTTTATACTCCAATATTTCATCTTCTTCTTCTTATTTTTCTTATTTCCCTTTTGCTAGTACACTATGGTAGTAGCTAAAATATATTTGTTAGCTTACATATAGGTGATAATTAACCTTTTTTTTTTGCTACTGCACACATTGAATATTGAAACATTTTGAAATCTCAATCCAGAAAACAGAATGAAAAATATATATAAAAGAGTGAGCCATTTAAACATCGACGTTTTTAAGAACCGAATGTTACTGAAAATGATGGATTGTTGTTGTGTCCCAAAGAAAGCAATAAATCTAAATACATATGCATTTTGAATTGTAAATATATGTGAGTTAGTGAGTGAGTGTAATTTCAGTGTATGCATTATATATATATATATATATATATGTAATTTGCTTAAATTCAAATATACAGAATATGGGCGTAGAAGGTATTATAAGAAATAAGAAGAAAAAGAAGGAACAATATATTGTATTAAAGCAAATGAATCCTTTGTTTTGTATATAAAGCATATATATACCTACAATATCACTACAAAATCACTCTATTATAGACAAGATCATAAAAAGCATACTTTTGTATATATACATATATACATACAGATACATATGTAATTCTTTTATCTTTGTAAAGTCCAACTGGTTTCGATTCGATTCAATTCAATTCAATTCAAAAAAGTGATGACGTACTTGACATCATTCTATGCTACAATCCTCACGCTCTTTATATATATATATATTCATATTCATATTCCTCAAAAATAAAAATAAAAATAAAAATAAAAAAGCTCGTTGATTGACTGGGTTAAAAAATAATAATAAAATAAACCAAGTGAATAATTACTTTATTATTGACTTTATTTTTATTTTTATTTATTTCACTTTTCACCCTTTTAATCCTTTAAACATGATTGACTCTGATGAAGAAGACTTTGAATGTCCTCTGTGCATGGAGGAGCTAGACATTGCCGATCGAAACTTTAGACCTTGTGCATGTGGTTATCAGGTACCAAAGAAAGAAAGAAAGAAAGCTATATATATATATACACACACATCCCCAAGAACCCAAAACAAACAAAGTACATATATATATATACTAGCATTTTTACTAAGGTCAAGAATAAACCTAGATTTGTCGTTTCTGTTGGCATCACATTAAAGAAAACCTAAACGGTCGTTGTCCTGCATGGTAAACATTCTTCTCCATCTCATTTTCTTTAATCCATCAAAAAAAAAACAACCACCAGAATATAAAATACATTGAGAAAAATACAGATGACTAATTAAATGAATCACGCAGTCGAAGAGAATATTCAGATGAGATGGTTGAATTCGAACCAATAAGTGCGGATGAGTAAGTTTGATACTCTTTAGTTGATCTACACAAAAAAATGAATACAGAGAGAAATAAGCCATGAGCTAATTTACATGCTTGTTATCCACAGAATCTCTCGTATCAAGCGAGAGAAGAAGGAAAAAGAACGACAACAAAAGGATATGGAGGCTGTGAATCGAAGGCATTTGGCTAATATGCGAGTGGTCCAAAAGAATCTGGTTTATGTGATCGGATTGCATCCAAAGTTGGCAGTTGAAGAAGTAAGACCTTTTGTACATACGTGCGAAATCAACTATACCAAAAGGAAAAGGAAAACGGGAATAAGAAATAAGAAAGTTAAAAGAGGAAAAGAGGAAAGGAAAGGCTAGGGTATCTTTGGAAGGGAGTGTAATGTATACTTATGCATGTATTTGGTATTTAATACATTTGCCTGTGTTAGACAGTACGATCCCACGACTTCTTTGGCCAGTTTGGTAAGATATCCAAGATTGTGATCAATAAGCGTCCAGTCGTGCCTACAACCAGTGCTGGTGGATCTACTTCAATGCAACCAAGTGCGGCAGTTTATGTAACTTACCAGAGAAAGGAAGATGCTGCAAAGGCAATTCATGCGGTGGATGGTAGTATAATCGTAGGAAGAATTCTCAGGTAAAGACATATAGTTTTGTTTTATAGAGGCTATATATGTGTGTATATTCATTCTTATTTTCTTATTCTTCATTTTGGTCGTTCACAATATAGAGCATCTTATGGCACTACGAAATACTGCACATATTATCTTCGTAACATGTCCTGTCCAAACCCAAGCTGTCTTTACCTTCACGAACCAGGGGAAGATGCAGACACTATTTCAAAGGAAGAGTTAGCAACAGGGTAAGTTTATAAAATAAATAAAATTAAATTATTGTATGTAAAAAAATGCACCCATCAGAATATTAACCCAATTATCAATTTGAATTTTATTTAGAAAACATCGTATGAGAGATCAATTGTCAACTGATGCTGAAGAAGGAAGTCCACCTCCACCTCCACCCGCCTATCCATCCTCTTCACTCGCTAATGACTTTCCGCCCGTATCAGCAAGCTCATCTACGCGCAAACCTGTCACTCTCGAATCAGTGGCCACAATTTCATACAAAACACCAGTCCGAAATGAACCACCTCCCAGACAATCATATCTATTGGATCATATTGAAGATGAGCGTTCAGCACTTCCAGCCACAGCCTCGTGGGCTAAGGCCGGTAGTAGTCCATCAACCCCGATCCTCAAATCGGGCGCTTTACCCGAACGCACCCTAACACCCGATAACTTTGGACCGCCTTTGTCTGTTGCTGTTGCTGCTGCCCAGAAACAGCCACAACAGCAGTCGCCTTCTGTCACAAAGCGCAGACTGGAGAAGAAGAAGCGAAAGGAGCAAGAGAAGATCAAAGCTTTACTGGATGCTGATGGCACAAAAACAGAACAGGAGCAGAGCTTACCTAATCAAACCGATCAGCCAGTGGCCTTGTCTGGGGAGACTGACGAAACAGAGACTGAAGAAGCAGAACCACCAGCAGCTACAGTATTAGAAACATCAACCACGACCACGACCACGACCACAAAACCGAAATCGAAATCAAATTCTACATCATCATCATTATTATCATCATCACTATCTACAGCAGCAGCAGCAGCAACACCAACGCCAGTATCAGGAGTGATGGCAGGACTTTCATTAAAACAAGCCGGAAAGTCGGCCGAAAAGCCATCCCCTCGCTGGACCAAGGATAATGTTTATGATGGACTTGTAAACTTTGTACTCGGAGACGCATTTGACCAAGTTTGTCCTCTGTTTGATGCTGATCAGGAAGAAGAGGACAGAGAAGAGGCGCCGGTTGGAGTATCCGCACTACACGACGGAACCTTTTCTGACGACGAGACTCCAGCAACGCCCCAAGGTCTTGCGAACAGTGATCCAAATTCGCTAGAAGAAGACCTTGACATGTCACCATTAGATTTCCTCATCAACAGTGTCCCCACACCTGCTTACACCGGTACATTTAATCCATTCGCACACCAAGTACTGCGTTCTACAGGAAGTCTATTCGAATCTCCTATTCGTAAGCACTCTCGCTTTGGATTTGCACAGATTTAGGATGATAAAATGGGAAATAGAGAGAGAGAGAGAGAGATAGAAACAAAAAAAAAACTCGGTCATTTTTTATTTTAAAAAAAGTATATCAATTCTTAGTATAAACATCAGAAAAAAGAAACAAAGAAAAAAAACAGAAAAAAAACCTCTCGTATACAGATACACACACAAATACAACTACATACAAATAGGTATAAAAACACTTGTGTAGTGTGTATACGTGTGTATACGTGTGTATACGTGTGTATACGTGTGTATGTGTACGTTTACGTGTGTGTGTGTGTGTAGTATGTGTGTCTGCGTATTTTTATATTCTTAAATTTATTTACTTGATTAAGTTATTACCATTTCCGGTTTGACGGTCTAGCTTACGAACACCTCCTTTCTCAGTTGTACTCATCCTCGTTTTTATTTTGAAATGACTTTGAATGAGAACAGAAGTGTATTTATCTGTCAGTCAGGATGTTGTTGTTTTCCGGGAGGGTTTAGTAAAGCCAATCGCAGAATAATCGGTGTGTATTTTTCTGGTGTACTTGTAAGTCATCCTCAATCAATCATTTAATTAATTCTTGACACCAACAAGAACGCGATGAACATAGCAGATTCTTCTGTTGCTATTTTCTAATAGCAATAATAATAATAATAATAATAATAATAATAATAAATTATAAAGGCCAATAATGACAATTACTGCCATTATCATTATTCTATATATAAATAAAATAATAATAATAATTTCAGTTTACTCTTGCATGGTGGATCTTTGTGGATGGCGTAATCACTTCTGCAAGAATGCTAGAGAACCCTGCTCCACCTGGATTTGAAGATTGGGCATCAGGAATCGTTCTTACTCTTGGAATGATCATGCAAGTGAATAGTGAAATTAAATAGTGTGTATATGTATGTAAACTATCAAACTAATAACGAAAATCTATATATTTATATAAATTTATTCAGTGTGCATTCGATAGATTTACAATCACTGAGATCAGATAGTGATATGTATAGCTATGACAGTGATTATAGCAGAGTATGGTTTTGTCGTCTTATGATGTTCTTGGTGAGTGAATCAACCTGTCCAATAATTATAATTATAGTTGGCATTGTCATTGACGTTGGAGCTGGAGCTGGATTTGGATTTGTTACCAACAATTTTCTCTTATTTTTTTATGCATTTCTCAAAGGGATCTACTATGCTGGCGGGTGGACTTGTTGGCTCAGTGGTAAGAAGATGAAAATTATTAACAAAGGCGTGTGTGTTTATGCATGCCTAATATTTCTTGAAAATTCACGTTTATTCTTTAGGTTGTTCTTGTGTTCAAGTATGTATTGCATGAATTATCAGCATTAGATTCCTACCTTGGTATATGTCAAGTTATTCAATGCAGTTTAATTCTGATATCGTAAGTCATTAATTATTATCAAAACAATGAGTCAAAGATAGTGTTGCTGTAGCCAAGGTTGTTTACTTGGATTCAATAGAACACTTCTTCTGTGGGCTGTACCAAGGCAAACAGACGATTATATGGGTATTAGCTAGATTAAGGACAAGAATTATACAATCAAAATTCGAGGAATGTATATTCCTTTCTTTTTTATATATATACATCTTGTAATTAAGCAACTACAATATACCTCTCTCTCTCTTCCTTTTCTCTCTATATACCTCCTATCACTATAATTATCATACCAATGAAGATAATTCAATGGCATATAATACTGGGGTGTATTTTATGGAGTATTTACATGCACTCAACAGAAGGGCTTGCCACCAAGCCAATAGCCCCACAAAACGCTCATTTATCACATACCAATAGCCAATTGGATGACAGTCCCAGACTATCTTCGGCTCTAGCTTTCCTATCCAAATTTGTCCACCGTATTGCAGAAGCAAAGGCAATGCCCTCGCTCAGAATATCGTCTTCTGTAGCCACAGGGTCTAATAATTCCACAGACGCTAATAATGCCTCAGATGCTAAGAATACCACTCAGTCTAATAATGCCACACAATCTACTACAAAGCCTGCTCCTAAATCTGCACAGTCAAGCAGCTCTCCCCCTAAGAGCAATCCACCACCAACCTCACCCACTTTTTCTGTTGCACAAATACACGCAGATATGGTTTCAATTGTAGACAAGCCACTATCGACAGACTATTTCGATCCTTCTGCACCCATAGTTGCCGAAAGTTTTATTCATAACGATGGTATACCCATGTGTTATAGACACAGAAGAAAAGTTGAGTTTAGTCAATTTTGGATCCCAAAAGAGGATGAGTGGGACGAGACAAACAATGGTGTTCGGGTGTATTTAAATGGAGGGCCTGAAATCCATCTCAAGGATTCCAAAAACAATGTTCTTGGATCAGTATCTGCAACCATGTGGAATAGATGTAACATGGAAGGCACGGTATGTTACCACGTATAATATATATATATATGTATATTTATATCTCCTCTCTCTTGTACTTTTGGTAGTGTTTATTGAAGAATGGTGATTTGGTTAACCTTGGTCAAGAACTTGGCACATTTGATATAATCGGACACTCTGGTCGTAAACAAAACCTCTTTGGGCTGGGCTCAGGGCCACAAAACCTCGTTCCTTTTGTGAGCGTAGCTTCAAACGATCTTCCTTATGGACAAACACTCTACATGCCTGATCTAGATGGTTTAGATCTAGGTACGGGAAAGACTCACAACGGATGCGTGCGTGTGGACGACACTGGATGGTCTTTTGACGGTAATTGCTTATTATTTGTTTCACTGTACCTCTAACTTATTTGTTTGTTTGTGTAGGTTGTCAGCTTGATCTTTTTGTGGTGTCCTACGTAGATTATCTGTGGCTAGGATTACCTGAGCGTGCTCATGTTCATGTTGTAGACTGCGAAGTAAAGAATTATGTGACACCAGCACATTTGAGTTATGTCAAGGCCAATGCGGATCAATCTACTGTTGATTCTGCTACGGAAGACCACTCGCCTGATTATTAAGATACCCGTGTACAATAACACTTTATTTCTATTATTTATTTCTCTTAGAATGCTGTTCTTTTTTAATGATTAGACAGACAAAATACAACATTTTACAAATAAAAAGATTACCACAAAGATTCAAAATAGATTACAGAAAATATACTTATACATACATACATACATACATACATACATTGTAAAGGATTAATTTCAATAGGTTCAAAAACGGTGAAATGATGTGATTTTTGGTCAAGGCTAACAATAAAACCAGATTGAAAATGTGATTGACAAGATTGTTATTACGAGAATATATTATTTAACAACTTTCAGACTTTTGTATTCATGTGCGTTAAAACGCAATATTGCTGTATATACGCGTGTGTACGTCGGTTAAGAACCATTTGATTCGAGTGTTCTCTGTATATTAGCTAATATTCCGCTGTCACCGGCTAAAGAGAGACTGACAGGCTCATATTAGTTCTCTATATAGTTATACTTAATATAAATGAAAGTAACATTTCTAAAACTTCTCCCGTGCCTTTAAGTGAGCACGATTTTCTATGAAGAATGCAATTTCTGGTCCAACTATCCAAATTTTAGTATTTATATGTTTTCAAGAGTATACTTATAGGGTACTGTGATAAACACTGCGGCAATCAAAGTGATGTAACGTTATTAAAGTGTACAGTAATGTGCTAAACTTTCTTACAACTTTATAAGCATACATGTATTTTGTAAATATGTCAGTACAAGGATAATACAAGCTTAAAGATAGTGTTTATATGTCTGTTTATTTGTTTATTTATTGAAAATAAGTATTAAATATATATAATTCCATTCGGTAAATCCTAAATGCCTATCCAGGAAAGTCCATCGGCGCTCCACATCTTGTTCTTGTGCTTCAAAATCTGCTGTAATAAAAAGAAAGAAAAAGAAATATAAAAGTACATACCTGCAAAAACAAACACGCAAAAAAAAACGGACCCAACGAGAAACAAAAACTAACTAAAAACACAGTACGAAGTTGGGGACATCTCACTCATACGACATCCGGCGGATCAGCACAACGCCGAGATGAAGGACGACTACGCGTCAAAAAAAGAAGTTGGCGCAATGCCTTGAAACCCTCGGCCTCGTACTCAGAATCCTGGACACCACCAGAGCTCAGTCAGGGTCCCGAAGGTTAACCTGTTGGCTTGAACCTCGTTATATACAAAATAAGAACAAAGTAAAATGCTGAGATGCTTTGCTTTAGCTTGTGTTTTGGAACGATTACTCACCGATTAAGGAGTCCACCAAAGTACTTGCGCACTCTAATGAACTCGCCCGCTGGACCGCTATTTGTTTTGAAAAAAAAAATTATGCAGACAAAACACATTAGTATCTTTTCATGTCAAGTTGGTAAGTAGTAAGCATGAAAATTAGCAGCAGATTTTTGCACACAAGAACAAAAAAAGGAGTGGTTTTCTAGACTTCTGGTCATGTCTTGCTGTCAGTCTACTGTAAATAACAAATAAAAAGTTAGATCTTGCTCAACATTAAGTGCATGAGGTTGGTAGCATTAGCCATTCGCTCGTTTTCTTGAATCTGTCAAAGTTGAAAATATGGAGCGCCTCTTTAAAAAAGAAAAAGGCGAAAATATGTTCAGGTTAGCTTATGACCCCGAAAGAGAGGTATTTGAGCTGGCTTTAACATGCTGGTGGTCTTTACATTCGTTACTTACCTGGCGTAAACGTAGGCTGGCCTAAAGGAAGGGAAATACAAATAAACAGACGCGTATGCCCTTGAAATAATTTTTCTTACGCCAATATAGGTGACATCATCATATATTTGTGATGCAAGCATTCTTAGCCACTATGAGAAAAAAATTGCGCTTCAGGGGGTGATTTTAAAAAATCACATGCATTCTACAGAATCGCCCTCTGAATCACACCTTTTTTTTTTACCGCAGTGGTTATTTTGCTCTAATAAATTCTCTCACAGTGGGTGAGAATGCTTGCATCACAAATATATGATGATGTCACCTATATTGGCGTAAGAAAAATTATTTCAAGGGCATACGCGTCTGTTTATTTGTATTTCCCTTCCTTTAGGCCAGCCTACGTTTACGCCAGGTAAGTAACGAATGTAAAGACCACCAGCATGTTAAAGCCAGCTCAAATACCTCTCTTTCGGTGTCATAAGCTAACCTGAACATATTTTCGCCTTTTTCTTTTTTAAAGAGGCGCTCCATATTTTCAACTTTGACAGATTCAAGAAAACGAGCGAATGGCTAATGCTACCAACCTCATGCACTTAATGTTGAGCAAGATCTAACTTTTTATTTGTTATTTACAGTAGACTGACAGCAAGACATGACCAGAAGTCTAGAAAACCACTCCTTTTTTTGTTCTTGTGTGCAAAAATCTGCTGCTAATTTTCATGCTTACTACTTACCAACTTGACATGAAAAGATACTAATGTGTTTTGTCTGCATAATTTTTTTTTTCAAAACAAATAGCGGTCCAGCGGGCGAGTTCATTAGAGTGCGCAAGTACTTTGGTGGACTCCTTAATCGGTGAGTAATCGTTCCAAAACACAAGCTAAAGCAAAGCATCTCAGCATTTTACTTTGTTCTTATTTTGTATATAACGAGGTTCAAGCCAACAGGTTAACCTTCGGGACCCTGACTGAGCTCTGGTGGTGTCCAGGATTCTGAGTACGAGGCCGAGGGTTTCAAGGCATTGCGCCAACTTCTTTTTTTGACGCGTAGTCGTCCTTCATCTCGGCGTTGTGCTGATCCGCCGGATGTCGTATGAGTGAGATGTCCCCAACTTCGTACTGTGTTTTTAGTTAGTTTTTGTTTCTCGTTGGGTCCGTTTTTTTTTGCGTGTTTGTTTTTGCAGGTATGTACTTTTATATTTCTTTTTCTTTCTTTTTATTACAGCAGATTTTGAAGCACAAGAACAAGATGTGGAGCGCCGATGGACTTTCCTGGATAGGCATTTAGGATTTACCGAATGGAATTATATATATTTAATACTTATTTTCAATAAATAAACAAATAAACAGACATATAAACACTATCTTTAAGCTTGTATTATCCTTGTACTGACATATTTACAAAATAAATATATGCTTATAAAGCTGTAAAAGAATGTAGATATATGCTGATAACAAAACAACTTATCACCTTTTCAGTAAATAAGCACTTTTTACACTGTTTACCTTCTATATTTATAGAAGAGCTCATTTCTACTAAATATTGCTACATTAAAGTCTTTTGGCCGAGGCCGTAAACCGAATGCATATTATTATTTGAAGGGTCAAAGGCTATGACCTCCCCTTCCCTCCCCTTCCACCTTACTTTACATAATTTAATACTGTTTGCTTCATAATGATAATGAATACAGGATGCACTTACCGGCAATATGTTTCGAAAGTTTCGTATAGATAAAGAAACAATAAAGTATCGTAACTATTTTTTCTTGAAAATAAAAAAAAAAATCTAATGAGATGTCTATTTTCGCTCAAAGATATCTAAATATGATAGTGTCGAGTTGATTAAACTGAGAGTTGAGTTGAAAATATTAAATATCTTGTTATCTGATGTTAGATACTTTTTACCAAAAGTAGCTTTCTCGTATCTGTGTTTAAAGTATTCGTAGACATAGAATATAGAAACGATCGTTGATAATAGAGAAAACTACCATTATAACCTTGTTAACATACATTATTAAAAATAATTGGGCAATAAAATATCTCTATTAGTACTGTCTATACATATAATTTGTTTTACCAAGATTTGTACTAGTGTAAAAGAGTATTTATGCTATATTTGCTTGTATTTGAGCTTATTATATTAAAACAATCATATCCAAAAACAACTTAATATGTTTAGCACCTCAATAATGCGCTTAAGAAAACATATACATAAATTTCACCGTAATTGAGAGTTTGCAGAGGTATGGAGAACATCTTACACTATGTAAACAAATGGTAGACACAGTTCAACACATGAGCTTACTCTTTTGATTATCGTATCCTAATATTTGGGACAGATCCTCTGGACAAACAGGTGCGTAGAGTTCTACATACTCTTGTATTAGAGCAAGCTTATTCTTGTTAGTCCATTTTTGCTATTCTTTTTTTTTTGGCTTTAATGTTATATTATACAGCCTCGCAGTTGATTGCTTTTCTTTTTCAGATGGAGAAGTGCAACTTTTGAAGATTGACTTCTTTTTACTAGCTATGAGAAAGTCTTTGAGAGTGATGAAGTTCATAATTACTTGTATATAAGAGTATATTATGAAAAATAGAAGGAAGCAAATGAGAAAAATTAAGATAAACACTCATACTTATACTAAACTTTTTGATATACGAATATAAGAATTGATATCATGTCCCATATAATGATTTTTTCCGAGAACAAATTTATATTTCTGATTGACATTGTGATACGTGTTGGCCAGGAACCTCCTTATATAGTTTATGCTGTCACAGTTGAAAGATATAAGGTGGATATGCCTTTAAAAATTCAGAGGATAATTTTCAGCTCTAGAGACTTAGATAGCCGTTAAATCTTCAACAGATAGCTTTATAGGGAAATGAAACACTGAGGTTACAATATTTTCAGAAATTTGATAATTCACTTAGCCTACACCTAAGCCGATGGTTTAACGGGTTAGCTACCAGGCTCTCTAATGTTACTTGTACACCGTCAGATGTTTTAGTAGGGTTATTCCGCTGATAATAATGAAGTAGATATTAAGCTTCACCATTTTATCTTTCTTTTTTTTTTCTTTATCAACAAGTACTTTTATTCCCGGACATTTTCTTCTAGATTCGCACACCTTAATACGATTAGCCTTGAGGGTTTGACCATTTAGATATAATATTCTGGCAGGAGTTTGTTTTTCCTTGGAGTAAAAGGCTTGTACCTTAACTTCTAATTACCCACCTTATAAATCCCAAACTTGATCCGTCATAGTTTGAAGATATTTATTTTTGTATAGTCATACTTTCAGAGAAAATAAATATGTTTGAGGTTATGAAAGATTGGCATTTTCCATATTTGATTAAGGTTATGTTGTAGAGGATATTGGGATCTCATTTCTATATAAAGTCAAATTACCTATCCGTTACCGTTTGTAGAAAAGAGAACGAAAGAAAAAAAGGAGTTCATTGTGATAAAAGTCGATATTGTAAAAGACAGTATGCAAAATAAAAAATAATAACAAAAAGATAGAGAAAAAAAAGAAAGCTATGTAATCTAGACAACACGCTTCACTTCAAAGAAACGCTTAAGATAGTTGACCTGCCACAAACAGACAGCAATCAACAATCCAACCTGACCGAGCGACCACCACTTTACACGAGCGTTTGTGCTTTCAGCAGCTATTTAGTTTTAGTTTTAGTTTTAGTTTTTTTTTTAAAAAAAAAAGAATAAGAAGAAATATATGTTTGTACAAATATATAGCTATTTAATCTTTTATTGCAAGACTTACTATTTCTGTGTTTACGTTCACGAACTACAATGTATTCCTGTTCAGACTTGACAGATTGGATGCTATCAGCCAACTCACGAATTTCACGTGCAATAGGATCGATATGTTCTGTATAATATTATATAAGAAACATAATATTAGTTTCAATTTCTCTCTTTGAATAAGTATTTATATATCTCAAATCTAGAACAAAGACATAAAACACAAAGCCTTACCCTTGGCACTCTCGTTGACCTTCTCCATATCGTGAACATTGAAACTAATGGACTTTGCAGTGACAGAAGACATCTGGTTACCGAAGCAGAATGTGTATCTACCGGGAGCAACAGCCTGAACTACATGTGTTCCAGAAGCCTCACGAGCACTGCTTTTGATAGTTCTACCCTGCTGATCGTAAATCTGTATAAGTATTTGATTTATAAAGCCAAATACACGAAAAGAGAGAGGAAAATTAATACTTTGATTGATTGATTGATTGTAGTTGGTGGTAAAAGGTTAGTAAACTGTCTAGAAACGATATTACTCACCCAGAAGTCGATATCAAGGTTTCCTCCCTGTCCAACCTAAGGTACAATAAAAGTATAAAAGATGATCCGGAGAATTTTAAGGAGAAGAGATTAATGATCATCACAAAGATTGGTAGGCATGCGTATTCTCGTACCTGGTAGGATACAGTCATCTTGTCTCCAATGTTGAGGTCTTCATAGAAGCATTCTTTGCCATGAGGAGCAACATCGACACTGATTGCAAGTGCTGTACTCAGTATACAGAAGGTGACTGTTAGAAGCAGCAAGAGCCGAGACATTATTAATAAGAAGTAGAGGAAGCGCGCTGTACGAGACAAGGAAAGTGATGAAAAAGATGATGTAAAGACCAGTGATTGGTTAAAGGTGTGTGTCGGACATTACAATACGGCTGAGTGGGAATATTTATAAAATGTTAATATAAACAGGTAGAGTATCTTGTCAAGGTTTAGCAGAATATGTGACATAGTGAAGGTAGGTAGAAATATTAGCTGTTTTTGCTGTTGGTATATTCAGAAATGTATCGCTCATATTTTCAGCAGTTATCCTTTTTATTTCTTTTTCGTATGCCTTTTTGATCCTGTATATGTGTAGTATTCTTTAGTAGAGCACCGTCTGAGCTGATGATTAGTTTCACAATCCCCATAAGAAGCAGTAGATACTTGATTACAGTTGGGATCTATTGCGCAAATCGATGTATTGTCCAAGCCTTCACTAGTTAGAACATCTCCAAGCAGTGTCACTAGGACATTTTGGTCGGAATAATGAGTGAAGTCTTCCGTATTGGTTTGAGAGCTTTTATTAATGATAACATCAGCGACGTAGCCGCCGGTTCTGATTACGTTTGAGACAGCAGATTTTGTCTTCTTGTTTGGATATTTTAGGTCTTGGAAGCTACTGTGCCCAGGAGCTTAGTTAGTAGGATTTTTTACGTACTATATATTTCATATGTTCTAAAGAATCTTACCTGCTTAGTCTGAGTCTCTTAAAATCAAATATCTTGCTGAACATTTCATATTTGCCTTCGTACGTGACTGGGAGACTTATACCAGCAAAAGCTGAAATAGGGTTAGGGTTGAGCGTTATGAACCTCCACTTCAGTGAAGTCACAGGACATAATGAAAACAAGCGTGGAAGCATTTGACTTTTTTCTTCATCTTCTTCATCATGTTTTTTTTTCTTGTTCCCGTTGTACCTTTTGTTTGTGTATGCGTTCGTTCTTTCTCATAAATCTAGACAACATAGGAATACACGCCTTAGAAGAGGTAGAAAAGCTTACAAGCGTTACAGACCTAGGCATATCTGTTGACAGAAAATCGGTACAGATGTCTTTAATAGCTGGCTTTTTATTGTTGTAAACTTCCGGAAGTTCATCTGGCCAGACTGGAGTCCCTCCACAAACGTATTGATAGAAATATGAATGAAAAATATATTTTATAACATCTTTGTTTGGCCAAATACAGAATGAAAGTGTTATTTTGGAAATAATAATAATATAATTTCGTATGCATACTTACGTTTACGAACAGCTTCATAATAGTATACGAAATAAATACTTTCATTCTAAACTCAAAATACTATACGATATTGCTTGTGTATACAGTAGCAGTTTTGATACAAGCAGCAGTTGGACGATGGGAGTATTCACTGACTGGTGTCATGTCATATGCTACATTATATCTTGAGGAGAAAGTTTCCCAAAAGGTAAAGCAGTCGCTTGGCATAGCTTTTTGGCTCTGCGTTCTTTTAAACGAGCTGTGCGATACAGTACCGAAAGTTCTGCGTAAAAACTCTTTTGTCAAGAGCTTCGTCATAATGGGCAGTAATATAGTAGCCCACAAAGAGTTGGGTATGTATCGTTATATTTCGAACGTGATCTGATACCTGTCGCACCTTTTCTTTGAAGAGCGTTTGGTATTCCGGCTTTAATATCGTTTCCAACTTTATCTTTTTTGTTATGCTGGTATAATTTCCCAGTAGTGCTTGTACTTCCTTCTGCTTGCTTGAGTTATGATTAGGACACTCTTTTGATTGTGAGCTTTCATGTCCACTTTGGTGACAGTTGAAGCATACAACTATATTCTCTAATTGTTGACCTTTAGAACCCTTTCGTTTTGCATCAAGTTTTTTGCTTTTTTGTCTCCTTTTCATATTCTGTAGGTCTCTTATGCTTTGTACCATCTATCGTATGTACATGTGTATTAAATATATTACCATTATATATTTGATGGCATTTATGTACATAAACGAATAAGTATATATACTTACCATGTCTCGATGATGACGCAAAATGTTCACATTGACTACTTTTTGTATGATGTCCGGACTTGTTACAGTCCTTCAAGCTTAATAAAATGCTTCTTACAAACAAAACATTGTTACAGCCCTTGCATATAACTTTAGCTCAACAAGCCAATATATATATAATGTATTAAGCTATACATACGTACAGCATGCATAGTATCGTCTTTAAAGCTTACCTTGTCCCTCTTCTATTTCTTTTCTATGCTTCAAAATCCTTTTTATTATATCTTAGATTTTTTCTCTGAACATTTATTTCATAGGAAAGTGGTATTGCAGGAAAGTAAGAGAAAGTAAGAGAAAATAGAATAAAAACAAGAGAGAGGAATATAGAGATAGGAAGCTGTTCTGAAGACAGGAAAAATACACAGTTATTTATATTTTGGGTTTATTTGGAAAGACGTGATGAGACTGTATATGTCAAAAATCCAAAACATTGATCAATTAGAGGCAGCCCTTCATTATGCGTGTTATGCTGTACCTTTATCATCTTTAGAAATTGTGGTTATATGTATGAACTCCCGATGTAAGGCTAAAGACAACACTCCAAAATAATAGCTTGTATGCACATATGTATATGCTTAAAAGAAACTTATCAGACTTCTAGTATTCATCAAAGAAACATTACAAAGCTGTCAAAATAATTAAAAAAAAATGTGATGTTCTGTGGCCACCGTATAATACAGTATTCATTTAAAAGGGATGTTTAGTATTTTATGCGATATATATCTCAATCGTGTGTCAATTGTATATGCTGATATACATATCTATATACATAACTCGCTAGGAAAGTAAAGGCATACAATACTAACGTAATTCCAAACATGCATAGTATTGAAGATTCTGTTACATGATGGATAAAATAACGTGTTGTTTGGTAATTCTATTCAAACAGATGGTTTTTGCGTCGGTCTTCTTTTTTATAGAAAGTTTGATCAAAACGACAATAGCAACATGAAAGAAGTGGAAGAGTCCTTTAGACCAAGTTTCCTTGACCCTGGTAGAGAAACGGGGTATACTGCTGCTATTGGACTTAATATAGATCAGCATGAAATTAGATGTTGTACAATCAAAGAGTATTACTACTTGAGAGGTTCTACGGTATATTTACAGAGGTCCCTCGATAATTTAACGGCTAATGGAGGATTTTTATGCCGTGAAATTAATGAGGGACTACTGTAAAAGGTTTGAAAATGAGAAAATATGGACAATGTTTTACAGAGTTTGTGTGAGGCTTGTTCTTTTGATAGTGCGAGTGGCGTCAAAGGCGATAGTGTGTTTGCCTGTAAAACATGTAATACACTATGGTAACGCGATGTCAGCACTGCAAAGAATGTGATGAGAAACTCATTTGCAATTTGGAAAGGCTTGAGCAGACCTGAAGCTTATTCCAGGGGCTAATATATTCAGTTCACAAGTCACCGTATTAAACACAGTTTTCCTTTTTAGAATTTTAGACTTTTACAGGCAAAAAAAAACAAAGTCAATATTCACCTCAACATGTCTCAAAACTAACTCTTTTCTATCTGGATTTTATTCTCTCTCTGTCTAAAAATTAATTTTGATTCGTCCAGAAAAAAAACTAACATCGTCTGAATTTAATGCAGAGATACTGTAATAGAGATTTGTATATTACACTCTTGCCCTGAAAGGGTACATTAATATATGTCATGACAAGGTATGTCTCATAGGAAATTATTTGACTGAATAAATAACTTATATCTCTTTATTCTTGAAGACCAAGATTTAAGGTATACATTGCCAATTAAACTCCCGTAGATCTATACATTTATACAGTGCTGTATCTGCTGAATATTAGATCCTTTATGTATGCCCACTATAAAAAGCTACAATTAGTTGAGAAATCTGAAGAGTATTACTAGCATAAATACATATATGTATATATGCTTAAGCTCAGAGAAATTTCGGCCTATATCTTGTACAACTAGTCAATACTTCTTTTCTTATTGTTCTTTAACTGCTTTTTTTTAATGCTAAAAAAAGCTTCCAGAAATGTGTCCCTTTAAAACCGTAAATATTCTTGACAACTCTTTAGCTATATTCTTTTTCTTTATTTACCTTTTTCTTATATCCCCCCCTTCTTCTTCTTTTTGAAGACTTCCTTGGGAAATTCATGATACAGTGGGTGGTCAAAAAGAATACAAAGTTGATATCTTACCTTGTTTCTTTGACTGACCTCTTTGGTTTTAATGTGACGTTTAAATTTGACTTTTTGAGGATCCATTTCACCTCCCTTTGTCGGATAGCCGGGCCGCACTTGGTTGGGCTTTGTTGGTTTCCTCATTACATTTATATAAAATATATATTTATTTATTTTTTTTAAAAAAAAAAAAGCAACATGTCATTGGAAGCAAAGAAACGTGTCTGCTATTTCTACGATGGTAATATACTATAGACCTATCTTTTTTGTATACATACATTATATACATTATATACATTATTTCTGTTTTTTTTTTGTTTTTTATAATTACAATCGACAAATTAGACTACAGGGTGAATATTTCACCGTGTATAATTGACTTAATTTAAACATGAGAGGATGAATGTGGCTAATTGATTAATTTATGATCATTCTGTACATGTATGTTCCTGTACCTATGCCTCTCTCTTTTCTTTGATACCCAGCCAATGTTGGAAACTACCATTACGGACCAGGTCATCCCATGCGACCTCACCGTATTAGAATGTGCCATGGTCTTGTAATGAACTATGGCCTTTACAAAAAAATGGAGATCTACGTGAGTTTTGATGAGCTGCATCCTCCAACACAGTTTTCGTAATCTTCCTCCTCCTCCACCTCTTCCTTTTCCCTCTCCTCTTTGTCTTTTGGCGTGACTAGAGAGCAAAGCCTGCCAACAAGTGGGAAATGACTCAGTTCCACACCGATGACTATATCGATTTTCTCTCGCGTGTAACTCCAGAGAACATGGAACAGTATCAAAAGGAACAAGCCAAATGTAAGATAATTCTACAGCTATATATATATATATATATCTGTGTGTATGTGCACAAATTTACAAATAGGCTTAACTATTGAATATAGTTAATGTTGGTGATGATTCTCCAATCTTTGAAGGACTTTTTGAATATTGTGGTCTCAGCGCTGGTGGATCAATGGGTAAAAAAAAATAACAAAAAAAAAAGAATATCAGCCAATCCAATGAATGAATGAAAAAAAAAATGTGTTGAATTTCCTGGGTTGTCATGATTTAATTTCTGTAGAGGGTGCTGCTAGATTGAACCGTGGATTGTGTGATATTGCTATAAACTGGGCTGGAGGTCTTCACCATGCCAAAAAAGCAGAGGCATCCGGCTTCTGTTATGTAAACGACATTGTGTTGGGTATCTTGGAATTACTGAGATATTACTCGCGTGTGCTGTACATTGATATTGATGTTCATCACGGCGATGGTGTCGAAGAAGCATTTTACACCACTGACCGTGTTATGACCGTCAGCTTTCATAAATATGGCGAGTTTTTCCCTGGAACTGGTGAACTTAAGGTAGATCCAAATGGTTTCATTGATACATATCCACATATATGCATTACATGGCACTACTAACAAAACTTATATGGCTTGCTAATTTGCTTTTATGTGCAGGATGTTGGTGTTGGAAAAGGAAAATACTATAGCGTCAATTTTCCTCTCAGAGATGGTGTGGACGATGATAGCTATCAGTCCGTATTTGAACCTGTGAGTTGGATTTCATAATACACAACATGAGTTGATAACTTATCATTTACGAATAGGTTATTGAAAAGGTAATGGAGTGGTATCGCCCATCTGCTGTTGTCTTGCAATGTGGCGGCGATTCTCTGAGTGGTGATAAACTGGGTTGTTTTAACTTATCTATGAAAGGTAAGTTATCGAGCTAGATGTTTTGTTTTTCTTAAATTACTGGGTTAAAAAGAAGAAAAATGGAAATGCAACTAATGGATTATTTTATTCTCCTGCTTTTTCTTTCTTTCTAAAGGTCATGCCAATTGTGTGAGATTTGTCAAGAAATTCAATCTTCCTACTTTGGTTCTTGGAGGCGGTGGATACACCATGCGAAATGTAGCACGCGCGTGGGCGTATGAAACTGGTGTTGTGGTTGGTCAAGAGGTTGGACCAGGTAGATTTGTTACGATATTTAGCTCTCAATAATATTAACAGTAGGGACTACAACAGTAGTAACTACAGCTGCAACCGACTGATTTATTGAAACTAATGCTTTGTTTTATCTTGTTTGATTTTATTTTGGTCAATTTTTTTAGACATGCCGTATAATGACTATTATGAGTATTTTGGGCCTGACTATAAGCTTGACATTCGTCCAAGCAATATGGAGAATTTGAATACAACTGAGTACCTTGAAAAAACAAAGTATGTCTAGTAGAAAGTGATAAGGGAGAAATATATCTGACCCACGACTTTAGAACCAAGGTGTTTGAAAACCTGGCACGGACCATGTTTGCGCCCAGTGTACAGATGCAAGGTAAGATAAAAGCAGGACTTTATTGATTGATTTATTTATTATGGAAGAGAAAAGAGAGAATGTCGGATATTAACAACCGATAATCTGTATATAAAGAGGTACCTGGCGACCGTGATATGTCTGAAGATGAAGACGAACAAGATCAGGATAATCGTTATATTCGTAAGTCTAAAAAAGAAAAGCAAACCAATAAAATGATAATAAAATAATGGATACATGACTGGTGGTGGTCTGAACAAGTGAATTTACATTCTTTATTATTATTACTATGCTTGTAGAGGCACTTTGGGACCGACGGGTCATTCCAGACAATGAATTCTATGATTCTGATGAAGGAGAGGCACAGGGATCGGGCGGTAATAGAAAGAGTAGACATTACCAGAATTATGGGGAGGAAGACAGCTCGGTCTATGATGGGGATGAGAGTGATGAGAACCGGGCCAATGGAAGTGAGGCCAGACCGACAAAGAAGACTAAATCGAGGGCAATGGATGTCGATACTGAGATGACTACTACCAAACAGGAGGATGTTGTGGTGTCTCGGGATGAAGAAATGGAGATCGAGGAAGCCCTGAAAGAGGACGAAATTAAAGTCGAGCCTCTCGATGGGACCACGGAGAGTGTGAGCGAGGCTGTCCGAAAGGGAGAAGAATCGGATGTACCCCAAGAAAAGGCCGAAGAAAACGTTTGTGAATACCCGACAGAGCCTATGGATTTATCAGGTAAGAAAACCAATCTTCTTCAAGGGCTCACAATATATGTACATATATATATATATATATTATCCTGACACATTTCTCTCTCTCTCTCTCTCTGGATCTCTATTTACCTTTATTTCCTATTCTTGCGACACCTTAGACGACAAAGAGCTGTCATTAGAATCAACTGCAGATAATGCAAAGTCATCTGATTCGGTCTCATCTCCAACCTTGGCTATGGAAATTTCGGTGCCTGCATCTTCACCTGCACTTGTGGCTGTACCCGAAACAGCGCCTGCTCCTGTCCAAACAGAAGAAGCAACGTCTATAATCAGTAGTTTGCTCGAAAATGTTCCTGCTAATAATACTGCTGATTCTACTCCTGCACTCACTCCTGCTGCCACTGGTGCCAATGCTACGTCCACTCCTGCAACTGCCACTGCCACTGCTACTGGTGCTGGTGCTGTTGTTGCTGATACTACTACTGCCAGTTCTTCTGCTGATACAACTGCTCCTTCTGTTGATACTGCTGCACCTTCTGTTGATACTGCTACACCTTCTGTTGATACTGTTGATACTGTTGGTGCTACTGTCGATACTGCTGTTGATACTGCTGTTGATACTGCTGTTGATACTGCTGTTGATACTGCTGTTGATACTGCTGTTGATACTGCTGTTGATACTGCTGTTGATACTGCTGCTGCTACTGGTGATACTGCTACTACTGCTGTTGATACTGCTGCTACTGGTGATACTGCTGCTGTTGAAACTGCTACTGTTGATACTACTGCTCATTCTGCTGATAGTACCAATGCTTCATCTGCTGATGTCATTTATCCTCCTACAACTACTCCCTTGGCTACCACTTCCTCTTCTCCACCTCCTCCTTCTCCTCCTGCTACTGCTACTACAACTACAAGTATTACTGAAGCTGAATCTGCTGATACCATCATGGCCGATAGCCCTGAAAAGAGTGAACCTATAAAGAACACTGGGGACAGTGAAGAAGAAGGCGAGGTGACATCTTGTAAATCGGCTTCACCAATCGACACCTCGGCTGGCGCCACATCAGAGCAGGAGAGACATATGTTGGTGGATATGGATAGAACAAAGGCTCAGTCAGGCATTTTCTCTCGAGCAGACATTTTTTCCAAGTCTGAGGAGCCAAAGACAACTTCTACAATAGTTACTGAGGAGGAAGATGCTCTTGAGGACGGAGAGATTGCAGATAGTCCTGGAGGTCATTGATATCAGCAACCCAATCACGTTTATTTTCTTTTTTCCATTTGAAGCCTTTTTTTTCTTCTTTATTTTTTTTTAAAAAATCCCCCCACATTCACGTAATTTCAAATTCAATCTGTATTGCTTATTAACACAGATTGTGTTTATATATAAAACAATATAAAACAACATAAATATATATATATATATAGCGTATTTTACTATATGACTACTATATTGTATTAAATTAAGAAAAATGATAAGATTAATCACATAAATTTACGCAAATTCACCGGTATAATTTTTGTTTGAACAGTATTTATTGAACAATTGATCTGTGGATATTGTTGCTTTAAGATTAAGATTGGTTTTATAGTCTAAAAACATTATAGCAGTAAAGTGAGTGAAATTTATATGAAGCTTTATTTTTTTTTAACAAAAAAAAAACAAGTTTCTCCTTGGAGACATGCACCAAGGTGATAAAGCTGCACTCATAGATAAAGGCGTGTGAGATTAATTGTACAATAAACTGTATCTTCTGTCAATTGGTTATCTACCTAGTAAACTATATTTCTATTACAAAAACAAGAAGATTTGATCAAAATAATATTAATAATTAATAATTATAAATTCTATATATGTACATGTATGTATATATGTGTGTATTACATATTTATCAAATATGCTTTTAGTAATTGGTTTTATCTATGTATCTCTGTATCTATATATGTATATATGTAGGTATATGTACATGTAGATGTACATGTACATGTACATGTATGTGTATGTATTATACCAATATTCACATATTGACAGCATGTAGCCACATGTATTTTAATCACACCATGAAGCTCTAATGTCATGACGAAGACCACGTCTCATAATGTCCACTATCTATAATTAAAACAATCATCTTGCACAAAATTTGTCCTTTTTTATTTATTTATTTATTGATTTTCTTCTTTGCTTCTTTGTTTGCTATTTTACCTTTCTGAAGAACATGGGGTGGCAATAGTTGTTTATTAAATTGTGCCATTTCTCGATCCTCGATTGTGTATTAAAGTACAAATCTTTACGATTATATATATATATCTATATCTGTGTGTAGAAAGGGAAAGAAAAGTATACTGAATTGAAATATTTTATGAATGCTATAAATACTTGGACATTGACCATTTATCAGGTCTATTGGCTTCTATTTCCAGTCTAATGCTTCATTCTAAATCGACTTGATCATCAGGGCTATATTACTTCTTCTTCTTTTTTTAGTCTTTATTTCGTTTGAAGACTAAAAAGGAACTAGTGAGTGAAGTATTGAATGAAACCAGATAAATAAATAAAGAAATAAATAGATAAGTAAATGTATAATTGTTTGTTAAATATAAATATGTCTATATATCTTTATATGAAAAATAAAATAAAATATCAATAAATAGATTAAAGGCTATAAGAATTTATTTCAGTTCAACCAATTACCATGCACTCCTTCATTATTTTAACATATTAAACTTCTTCCTCTTTTTTTATTGATTTATTGATTTATAACATCGGTTAATACCTTTGAGTTATTAAATATTTATATATTAGCACTAATTATATTATATTATACATATATCCTTCTTACTGTTATTGAAAATAGCATATATCAAGAATAAAATACTCTTACACCTTGACCCTAAAGTTGACTGTCAGAACTGTTGTATAGTTTCTACCAAAACATACATATAAAAGAGAAAATAGAGAATGTTCAAGGCTGGTCTTGTAAAGTATTATATATAAAAGTTAATTTTCAGGATATCTTATAAGAAATAGGTGCCCCAGAACCATGTCCTCGGTAAATAATCTGCTATTTAAACAAATATATTGTAGAGTTCTTTGCTTGAAAAGGTATCTAAAGGAAAACATATATTCAAAAGAAGAAAAATCAAAGAGGTTTATATGCGAAAGGGGAAATTGATTTGGTAAGTAATTCAGGGCTATTTTTTTTCATAAATTATATTTATTTTTATATATATATAAAGAGGGGAAGATTTGGAAACCCTTGAGAATGTAGGAAGCAGTGTGACAACGAAGATTCCAAAGGTATGTCTGGGCTACTTAAAAGGAAGTTGGTTTGAACAAAGGCCATTTGTTAGTAAGCTTTTATTTTACTTGAGAAATATAAGAAAGACGACTTGCAAAAGATAAGGTTGTCACACAGCCCTTTTCCAAGCAACAAGGAGAATTAGGTAGGAAGATTGTTAGGTAGGTAGGTAGGTAGGTATGTATGTATTACTTTTATTTTTCCTATATTTCTAGCGCCTTGTGTGCAGGGGTAGACTAAATTAGGTATTTTGTACATATGAAATATATAGATGGAAGCATAAACAGGTCCTTTCATTGACCCAAGTACATGGCAATTTTCTAGTGTACTAGAATTAAGGAGAGATCTGGGATTAAAGATCAAGACAGACCAGATTATTTCTAAAGGCTCGCATACACGCAAGGGCAGTGGATTATGCTAAAATTTATTTAAATAGATTCAAACTTTCATCCTGACACCTTTATCTTCGTTTTATTATTAATTTATTTAATTTAATTTTTCTTTCTTCTCTCTCTCTCTCTCTTTTTATTATTTTCCTTCTTCTTCGATTATAATTCATCATGACTCTCCAGGCCATTATAGAAAACCCTCAGATCCTTTTGCAGACTTCGATTGATGACCGCTCACTACAGCTTGAGTCTCTGTTGGGCATCGGTGCATATGGAATCGTTTATCTCGGACGTCGTATTTATTCAGATCGTCTTTATGCTGTCAAGCTTCTCACAAATCTCAAAGCAAGTCGCCACGAAGTAGATATCCAGGCCCATCTGTCGGGTCACCCAAACATTCTGTCGGTTGAAAAGATTGTTCACGAGGCCGATCTTACCTTTATCATACTCGAATATGCCTCAGAAGGCGATCTCTTTGGAGCCATCACACACTCTCACCACGGTCTAGTCGGAAACAACCATGCGATTCGACATATCTTTCTCCAGATCATCGATGCCGTCCAGCATTGTCACCAGAATAATATTGCCCACAGAGATCTGAAGCCAGAAAACATCCTAATGTTCCCAGACTGGCATATAAAACTAGCAGACTTTGGTCTGGCCACTCCACAGGCCACCTCTACTGAGTTTGGCTGTGGATCCACCTTTTACTTTTCTCCAGGTAATATATATATATAAGAATCTGCTAAACCCACCAAAAGAGAGAAAGCAACCCTTAATTTATTTGACCCTTTATCACATATTATATCCTATATATCTAAAAAAATTGTTTTATTATAGAGTGTCAGGGTAGTGCTCTTCAGAGCTTTGGGAAAATGAAGGGTTATGATACAAAGCAAAACGATATTTGGAGTCTTGGTGTGATTCTGGTAAACTTTGTGGCCGGACGGAACCCTTGGAAAAGAGCATCGATGGACGATCCGACCTTTGCGGCCTTTGTCAATAGCCCCCACACCTTTTTTGAGACGATTCTTCCTTGTATATCAGACGAACTGACACCGATATTGCGACGTTTATTTTGTCTTGATCCAGCCCGTCGCATTTCTCTGCAAGAGTTGCGCCTCTCTATCATCCGCTGCCGTACCTTTACACGCCAAGACAGCTTTGACCTTTTGAGCCTGTTGAATAGCAATCCAAATCTATACCCTGGAACCAAACTGCTGCCACCGGGCCAAGATGGTTTGCGAGCCTCATTTAATCTGGACGGTCCTGGAACAATGTCACAGACCTTGTTGGATTACATTTCGGATTTTACGGACGATGAGGACAACTACAGTCTGGTTGACATCTACACCCTGCCATGTATTCCGTCGACTGCCCAGGGATCACCCCCTTTCCCGCCACCTCTGTCCAAACTACCTCCTGTGCCGACCCATTCGACGTCAGCCGCACCTTCTTACAATTCTCAGATGTCCTCTTTGGCGTCTTCATCTGGGTCTGGTTTGTCTTTGACATCGTCCTCGTCTTCCTCTTCAGGATTCTCACTGTCCTTACAAGGCCTACAAGGTTTGAAGATCCAGTCTGATCCCCAGGCTTCTAAAACACCGACCGATTGCCACTATGACACGAGTTTTCACCTCTACGATAACTCCTGCGTAGTCTAAATGTACACCTTACTATTATCTCTCTCTTTTCTTCAATTCAATTCAAATCACTTCAATTCAATTGCTATTTGATTATAATTATCATTATCACTATCACTATCACTATCACTATCACTATCACTATTATTTCTGTTACTATTCTACATATACATACACGCACACATACACGCATACACATATACACATATACACATATATAATATTTCCTTCTTTCTTTTTTCGTTTGTTCACCCTGCCAAGTGTGTATCGCTTACTGGTTCAAATTTCCTTTCTTCTCAATAGAATCTTTATTTCCTCCTCCCCTGAATGAGGGCAGCTCTCTTATTCTAATCATCATCATTATCATTATTACCATCATTATTACTATCATTATTATTTTCTTTGGCGCACTTTGAACCATCGAAGTTGTTTATCCTTAAACCTTATCAACCAGTTTATACGGCTCTAAACTTCTACAAACACATATAAATATAATTGTCTGTATGTATCTGATTGAATACCACAAGAAAACATGTGGACCAAAAAGAAAGAGTACCTGCCACTTGTCTATAGGTCAAACAGTCCCTTATTTATATATTTATATATATAATTAGCATACTCTTTCTCCTTTTTCTTATTTTATTTTATTTTATTTTATTTACACACAGTAATATCAATAATATTAATAACCATGGTAACAACAATACAATTTACATCATAAACACATACACAAAAAAAATGTAAATTAAGCACATGTTTACTGCCAAGATAATATTTATCCATAAGTTTATTCTTCTTTTTTTTGGAGTCTTGTTTTCAACCTGCTTATTGCTCTTTATGATTTATATTCTGTATATTTTGTATGTATGTTGATGTAAATAAATAAAAAAAAACAGATGGTAAATAATGAAGAAATCGCATTTATTTATTCGTTTATTTTGTTTTTGGTTCTTGAGGTACAATACCATTTTGACCTTTCTATCTATCTATTTAGTTGGCTATTTGGATACTTCTTTATTGTTTTAGTCATTATCGATAATAGCAATAGCAATAATAAGATTGGTGATAAAATAGCTTATTTTATTTTCAAGACTCCCTAAGATACATTTTCTCGTGTATTATTTCCATTTTCTTGACTGTCTTTACTTCTTTTTTTTTCTTCATTCATTCATTCGTTTATTCCTTTATTCTTGTTTCTTGGTATTGAATTTGGCGTCTACTTTGTATCTCATCAAGGTTTGCTATTTTACTGAACAATCGTAAGGATCGACATGAGATGCTCAAAGTATTATCTCTATTCTTTTGACCTTTTATTTCGTTCTTTCTTTTTTAAGAAAAAAAGATAAACAGGATATATCTATTCTATTGCTATATCTAGTAGAAACCAAATTTTGTATCATTACTCTTTAATTGATATAATAATAAGCTTTGGCTTTTATTTATTTAATATGTTTCTTGTTGTCCGTGCTATCATTTGCACCCAAGGCTTCCAAGACTTCTTCTTTTGAGGGTGGGGAAAAAAAGGAGAAGGAGAAGAAGGAGAAGGAGAAGGAGAGGGCAGAGTGCAGAGGGCAGAGAGAAAGAGAGAGAAAGAGAGAGGGGGGACAATGGTTTCAATACATGTTTATAGGTCTATATTTTGTTACTGCTTGATACCAGACGGCTTTAGTTTCTAATTGAGCATATATGAACTTGAATTCAGCTATTAAATAAACTAGTAATTGTAGCTGAAATAAAGAAAAATATGCTTTTGATTATGATGATTATAACTCTAAACCATTAGCATGATACAGTATGCCAGATTACGTAGAGAGTATATTGATTACATTCAAGCAAATGCAAGTCTACAGGTAAAATATCTATTTCTTTCTTTAAAGGTCAAAATCAAATTTACCAGGCAATTCTTGTATATAGATAGATAGATCATTTTATTTAATGAAAATCCTATGGTTATAATTTATTTATTTAGATACTTTTCTCCCTCATACCCCCTTTATCTAAAAAAAATTTTCTTGATGTAATTGATCGTCTGTGTAGTAAATGCCTGGTATTACAAAGATACACACCCAAACATACTTGATTGGCTTAAAGAAGTCAAAGCCTTCTTTTTTGTTTTTATATGGCGTCTTTAAACTTTACGAAATCCTGTTTTTATATAAACATGTTACCCGCCAGTCATCAATTATTAATACTAGTTAGTAATAGTATTGTTTGATTGTTTTTTTCATAATTTTTTGGTGGTCATGCTCTTTCATCTTTATGTATTAATATTACTTTGGAAATTCTCTCACAAATTTTACTTTTTTCCCTCCCCTCCTCCTCCTCCTCCTCCTCCTTTAAATATATATATATAATATTTAAATTTCTCCCTTCCTTTTTTTTCATATATCCTCCATTTATAATTGCTTCATTTGTCCTTCTCTTTATGAGAGAGAAAAATAATAATAATAGTTGAATTGATATATTGAATAAGCTATACATGTTTTATACACACTCATGTTTGTTTGTTTATTTATTTTAAATAAATAAATTATAATAAGAGAAATATGTGTTATGTATTTGTGTGTGTGTGTGTGTGTATATGTGTATGCACGTATGCATGTATATATGTATGTGTAAATGTGTAAATGTAAATGTATGTTTCAAGTGAGTGAGTGAGTGAGCAAGTGAAAAGGCAAGGTAATGTAAAGGGTAAGTTAGATCCAAACTAATGATATATTGTTTCTTTGCCTTTGATCCTTTTCTCTCACTCTCTCTCTCTTTTGTGTGTGTGTGAGTATATATCCTTTTTCTTATTTCTTGATTTTGGTGGCTAATTCGAATCTTTGGATAAAGAAACTACAGATGAAACTCAACAAAGCCATAATGACACACGAGAAGAAGGAGTATCGCAAAGCAATCTGGTAGGTGTCCAGCACGATATCCAACACATCAACAGGAAGCAAGCTTCTGACCTCGGTCATTGATTTACGAGCAATTTCAATGTACTAATGGTAATTTTGTTTTGTTTTTGTTTTGAATAGCAAATAAATAAATAATAAAAAAAAAGAGTAAGTAGATATATAGATATCTATTATTGTTATTTACCTCTGCAGCATTGGGACCAGTGATGAGCTCTGTAAGACGATTCTTGACCACGGCTTGGAAGATTGCAGAGGTTGCAGAAATTCCAATTACGCCACCGGCCGAACGGAAAAGATATGACATGGATGTGATTGTTGCCATTTCTGTAGCCATAATAAAATAATATAAAATAGAAAGCGCATGCAGTCAATGGTACACAAAGTGCGAGAAAATACATTAGCCGTCTGGGGAACACAAAAATATACCAGCAAGAAAAATAATAATAATAGTAGTAGTAGTAGTGTATTATGTATATAAAGTGTAAAACATACCTTTCTGTCCAACACAAGACAACATTGAAATGAGCGCAGTGGTGATAATAATACCCATTGTGAAACCATCGATAAGCAAGGTCAAGAGCATAAAGGTTACAGATGTAGAGGGGTTCCAGGTACAGAAGCAAAGCATGGACACAAGCGAACCAAATGCGGCGGTGATTGTCAAAGTGCGATATTCACCTGTGCGGGACATGTAGACTCCCGAGAGAACGGAGCCAGTTGAGACCGAGGCGACCTTTGGCAAGAAGAACACACCGGATTGAGTAGAACTGTAACCCAAAAGGCCCTAACATAATTTATACATAACAAGACAATTTGAAATAATTGTATTAGTAATTATTACTAATTAAATAAATAAATAAAAAAGCATTCAAGTGGTTTACCTGGAAGAAGAGAGGTGCAATGTAGATCATGGCAGTGGAGCACATCACAGTCCAAAAGTTGACGAAAGAACATGCCAGGGGAGTCTGTGCCGAGATGATGTGGTAGGGCATCAGAGGGTTTTCGGCCACTCGTGCTTCAACGTAGCAGAATAGAATACCAAGAATGACAGAACTGACCAGACACCCGATTACCAATGGATCGGACCATGGACGCAAGTTTCCACCCAAAGAAGTGGCCAGCAAAAAGGCAACGACCGCGAGGACGATTGTAGCGGCGCCGATATAATCGATTTTCTTAATTCTCTCCACAAGGCTCGAAGTAACGTCTTGCTCCTCGAGATTGTAGTTCGACATCAGGCTGGACGCAACATAGATGGTAATCAGCATCAGGGGAAGGTTAATGAAGAAACAGTAACGCCATCCAAAGTTATCTGTAATGAATCCACCAAGAGGTGCACCTACAACAGAACCAACCTTTATTACCAAAACCAAAAAAATTATAATATTCATGATCAGCAAAGTGTATTTCTTTTTTCGGAATCCAAACCCAAATAATAAAAAACCAAAAAAAAAGAGAGAGAGAGAGAGTCCAAGTTTAACTTACTGCATATGCAATGTTACCATAGCCTTGATATTTGCCTCGCTCACGGAGAGGAACCAGATCACTAACAATTACGGTTGTCATGGTGTTGATACCACCACCACCGATACCGGCAATTGCTCTAGCAAACACCAGAGTCCAGAGACTTGTGGCAGCACCGCAAAGGAACGAACCGATAAAGAATACGCTAGAGGCAAACATCAGAGCTGTCTTGCGACCAAATACATCCGAGATTCGGCCATCTGAAAAAAGAAAAGAAAAAAAAGTTTAATTTGATTTAATTTTAGTTTATCCGGGTTTCAAAAAGGCTATGAATTTATATTTGGTTCTTACAGAGGGGTTGAAGAGCAGTATAACTGAGCATGTAGGAAGTTGCGATCCAGATGATTTCGTTTGACCTATATACAAAAGAATGTATATGGCATTGGTTAAGAAGCCAATATTTCTTGGATCATGAGATTTGTTATAATAGTCACTATTACTTTTTGAATTCTGTTCCGATTTGAGCGTAAATGGTTGCCACAATCGAGGAATCCAGAGAGGCCAGGGTGACACCTACCCAAAGACTGATAATAGAGAGAGAGAAAAAAGGTTAATTTTTCTTAAAGAAAATGATTACAACACTTGATATGAATGTCTTACCCGCAAAGAACTGTGATTAGGGATGCTCCACCAAGACGTTTGGCAAGAACCTCTTCAATGGTGGGTTCATTAATATGCTTGGTGTTATCCTCGTCATCGGGTAAATGTATCTCGACTGTCTCTATTTCGTCTTCAGGACCACTGCCACCAACAGCAGAAGTAGAACGATAACCGTTTACAGAATTGGATCCTTCGATCAATGGTGAATCCTCATCGACATCATGAGGGTGACGAGACATTATTCCTTGATTCAAAAAAGATATACAAAAGTAAAGTAAAGTAAAGAAGAAGAAGAAGAAGAATTATGAATTATGAATTATGAATTATGAATTTAATAAAGTCTTTTTTTATTTATTTATTTATTTTATTTTATATAATAATTCAAAGTACGAAAATACACAAGCAGATTAGAAATTTTATTTATATACATATTTTTAAGCAAAAAAGAAAAGAAAAAGCCTAATTTTACACCACAGTCACTGAATGTGCAATTGAACCTGCCAAATCAATATAAATATATAATTAAAGGCAATTTGATATACGTATAAGCATAAGCACAATAGTTTCAAAATTCAAATAGAACAGTAATGATAATAAGGAGCAGTAATGGCACCATTAGTGATAGCACCATTAGTGATGGTACCAATAGTATAGTTGTAGCAGTACGAAATATATATATGACCGTGCGCAATTCTAGATAAGAAACTTTGTAACCAAGAACGAATTACAATATATATATATATATATATATATATATATATATACATTAGATGTTGAAAATCATTATTAGAATAGTTATTCTTATACTATATATACGTAATATATATATATATATAACATAAAATTCTGTATAGAGAAATAATGTGGCCTAATTCTACTTGGGATAGAATTCATATAATAATATAAAAAGTATTGTGTCACAATACAATGTATAAAATGACCAGTGGAGGTTAATAGGCGATTCAGGTGGAGAATATAGAGCATTAGTATTCTATAGTCATTAAAATTAATTAATTAATTTATTAATTTATTTATTCACCTTTCTTTCTTTCCCTTTCTTTCTTTCTTTCTTTCTTTCTTTCCATTTTCTAGATCTTGTTCATTGTTCTGTATGTCTTCATTGACAGATCTGGAAAGACAGTCCCAGGACTCCAAACTGTCCTTGACTGGAATGGCATCTCAATTGGGTATCAACATTGGGATATCGTTTGGTGTATTGATGGTCTTTAATGTTCTACGGCCGAATAACTCTTGTACATAAAAAAAAATCATATTATATTATAATAAGAATAAGAATAATCTTTGTGTTCATTACCATCGGCTAAACTATTGTTTATTTTTAAAAACAACGCTTTCAACAACACCAACCAATTATATATATATATCTATTTGCATTTCAGTGGTCTATGCACCAAAGTATAAATATGCAACCAAGAGGTGAACCAACCATAAACTTTCTTACTTACTTATACAATATAAATTAATTAATTATATTAATTAATAAATAAATATCATAATAGTCAAAAACCACCAGCCATCAAAAGAGGCATGTTTGCCTGGATAAGGCCAGTAATGAAGGCATCAGACGAAGAATTATTAGACCAAATTGGCTTTGACGCCATTTTGTTCATCCGATTTATGCGAATGCTGAGGAACCTGCTGTATGCAATGTCATTTGTAGGCATTTGCGTATTAATTCCTATCAACGTCGCTGCCACATCTTATACAGGGTAAAAGAATAATAATAATGATTATCCTTATTATAATTTAACAAACAGAACAAGTTTCTTCTTGATCATTTGATGATCTTACTTTATATCTATAATCAATAAACAAAAAACAAGTGAGTGGCCACCTAGTTTTTGGGGTGTCGAACTCTTGTCAATCTCGACAATCAATTACTACGACGGTAAATTCCACTCAGAGGGAAATCTTTCGTGGTACTGGGCACACACTGTCGGGACATGGCTTTTTTCTCTTCTCATCTATCGTACGATATTCTACAACTATCGAGCTCACGTCCTTTTTCGAAAGAGTTATTTCGAGACCAAAGATTACCAACAGGCCACACATGCCAGGACACTGATGATTCTCAACGTACCGGCCGCCATGCAGTCAGACACAGCCCTAGGAAACTGGATCACAAGCATGGACCTGCCCTTCCCTTTCTTGCACGCATCAATTGGCAGGCATGACAGCCAACTCACAAAAAGTGTCGAGGAGCACGAGAAAGCTGTTCGCAAACTAGAGCTCTTGCTGTCTAACCATCTTCTTCAAGGTAACAAAAAAAACCTAACATTAATAACAGTAACAATAATAGTAATAATTATCAAATCAGTACTAGTCCTAGTATTAGTACTCTTATAATTCTGATTAATAAACATGCTTGAAATTTTCTTTACTGTTATTATTATAGATCATAATTATAACTATGATCACAATTATAATTACAATGATAATAATAATAATAATAATAATACTTCAATTCCTATTCGTAAGAGACCAATGATGAGAACAAAGTGGTTTGGCCGTGGTCAAAAAGTAGACGCAATTGAATACTATTCTTCTCGAATACAAACCCTCCGCCAAGCCATAACTCAGCTACGATCAGACACGGCCTCGGACAAACGTACTACAAACTATGGCTGGATTGTGTTTTCAAAACCATTCATGGCCCATGCAGTTGCCCAAAGACTCTCGGCCCCTTCTTCACCTTTGCTCAGCTTACCCCGCAGACTAGTTCAGGGAGCCAAGCCCCGTGTCGAACTGGCTCCTCCGGCCAAGGACCTTGTCTGGTCAAACCTGGCAATGAATGAGCATATCCGAGACAGTCGCCGTGTGGTCGGCAGCATTGTGTTCTATGTGTTTACCTTTCTGTGGTTCATTCCTTCGAGTTTTCTGTCGGCATCCTCGAACGTAAAGAACTTCATTCGACTGTTTCCAGACGCAGATCTGTTTATCCAAAACCACTCTACATTTGTGTCACTCATGAGTTCCTGGTTCTCCCCTGTCGTGATGGCCATCTTCTTTCTGATTCTACCCAAAATTCTCCGCCTGCTATCTCAGCAACAAGGCTATCTGACCGAAACAAGTCTCGACCGTCAAGTGCTATCCAAACTCTATGTGTTCTTTATGGTCAACAATCTGTTTGTCTTTACTGTCTCGTCTGTTCTGTTGGCCATGTATGCACAGATACAACTGGCCGCCAAAGACAATCGGGCTCTCACAGCCCAGGAATTCTTTGAGACGATGGGCAGTAATATGACACAGGTAGCAAAGAATCTAAGCGGTAAAGAGAGTTTCCTTTTATTTTATTTTATTTTATTTTTTTTTAAAAAAAAAAAAGATTCCTTATTTCAAGTATATATGTAAATATATATAAAAGATGTTTCGACTTTCTGGGTCAATTATGTATCCCTCAAAGGTCTTGGTGTTGTCATGGACCTTGCGCAGATATTTGGTCTTATTTCGGTGACACTAAGGTATGATTTGCTTTGCCATTACTACTACTACTAGTACTATCATTATAGAATACTGGGGTAATATATGTATATATAAAGACTTGCCATGTGTTTAAGAATAACTTTCTTTTCTTTCCTTTTTCATTATATCTATACATTCATATTCTTTTGTGTGTGTACATGTGTATCCATTGGTGTTTCAAGAAAACTCTTCACCAAACCAAGTCCGCGTCAGTTGAGAGAAATGACAGTTCCGATTGGGTTTGATTATCCTCTCTACTACAACATCCTCTTATTCTTCTTCACGGTCGGATTGATGTATTCGGTCATTGCACCTCTTGTACTGCCATTCACGATGTTTTACTTCATGCTGGCTACAATGGTATTTAGATATCTACTGATGTAAAGTATTGAACAACAACAAAAAACAACAACAACAATAGCCTTTTTTATGTGTATGTATGTACTTCTTTTTAGGTATGTCTATGTTACCCCAGTTGAGACTGGAGGTCAGATCTGGCGTGTTTTGATCAACCGCCTTTTGATATCAACAGTCATGTATCAGCTGGTCATGATTGGTGTACTAAACCTAAAGGGTGCAGTTGGACAGTCGAGTGCACTGATCCCTCTGCCATTCTTTACTGTCCTACTCAAGTTGTACTGCCGTCGATACTTTGATCCTCATGTGTATTATCAAGATCCAAATGATAAAAGCAATTTTAATCAGAACCTTAACCATAATCGTAATCATAATCATAATCATAATGATGTGTGGTCTGATCAAGAAGCAAGATGGGATTATTACAATTCCGAGCAAGGCAGCCAACATAAAAAAAAAGAAACAAACTCAAACCGACATGGTTTTAGAGATCCGGCCCTATTTGCTGAACTTCCGATTCCAATGGTGCACGAACGCGTACGGCATCTTTTGCCGCATCTCTACAGACGTGCCAGGTTTGGCAAGAAGATCACGGCAAGTAAGCTGACTAGAAAGAAGAGTGTGAGGACAGTTTCAAGGGTAGAGCTAGCCGGGCAGGAAGGGGAACTTGAATTCCAGTCGATTGGGCCAGACGAACTGGAGATTGAGGATTCTGGCGAGGGTGTCAAAGGATTCTATCGATTTGAAGATGTGGTATCTGAGGATAGCGTCCCAGACACAGACACAGACACAGACACAGACACAGACGCAAATCCAGATAGACCTGAAACTGTGATCAGACACTCTATTACTGTCCCCGAAAGGGTCCAGAGGAAGAGTCTAGGCAGGCTAAAGGATAGCATGTCAATTGTGATTCCAATGACAATGCCAGTTCTAGTGCAGATGCCGGGGTCTATGTCTAGGGAGTTGATGAAAGAAAACACGAAGAAGAAGAAGAGGAGAAAGACAAAGAGGGAGAGTAGAGAAGGGCTATATGCTGCTAAAGATGACTCTAATCGACCTCTACTACTCGATGATGATGATCTTGAATGTTATGTGACTGGAGTATCTTGTGAGACGCACGCTGGCCGTACGTCCCTAGAAACTGAAGTTGTTGAACTAGATGAATTTCCACAGACTAAAATTGGCACCAATACATAATCCATAATATTATTATCTTTTTGAGAGAAATTCCCCAATAAAATACACAGCAAGAAAAATGGAAAAATAAAATAAAATAAAATAAAATAAAGAACAAGGCGGTGGAAGTACGCGCGCATGTATCTCTCTGTGTGTGTATCTCTGTGTGTGCGTGAGTGTCGTTTCAGGATTAGATTACTATTTCCGAACAAGATCTCAAAACCAAAAATGTTATAGTTGTGCCGTACAACCGTACGACTTTTAAATATAATATAAAATAAAGTTTTGGTTTCCTTTGACTTACACAATAGAAGGACATGTTTGTATTATATCTCACTCTATATATATATTTATATGCCCTCTTCTTTTAAACACAAAGTGACACAGCCAAAAAAAAAAACTAAGACTAAGAAATAAAGAATAGTCTTATAATTGCTATTGGGTAAGTTCTTTTTTTTTGTTTTTTTTTTTTAGTTGAATCTAATAAGCCTGTATACTAATTTATATATATACTCAGATATTATTGTCTTCTTTATCAAAGTGGAAAAGAAGCTGCTGCAGTAAAGAAAGAAAGACCACCTAAAATACCACGTTTGTGTGGCACCTCGATGGATCAAAACAACATAATTCAAGACAGAAGTTTTTGGTTTGTATGGAGCTGTGACAGGCTCAGATTTATTAACGTTCTCTGAATGAGTAGGGCAAAAGAGAAAATTACAACATTTGTTATTTAAGTCAGAAGGAGTCAAGACAGGATATTTCATAAATGATAGAAAAACCGAACCGCACATTTATTTATTTTCAATTAGGAGGAAAGAAAGATTATTCTAGATTAGATTAGGAGGAACTTGACCCATCAGTGCTATTTGCATTTTCCATGTGTTCCTGATATCAATCCAATTGTACTAGTGAATTTTTTGGGTGAATAATCAGGCTGTTAGTGGCTGTTAGTGACTATGCTTCAGAAGCACTTGGTAAGTGCTCTTAGAGGCATCTAACAAGGTGCAAGGATAATCCGTGCCTATTATTAACCTGTGTAGACAAAGCCAAATACACAATGAGCCAAACGGAGCAGCCAAACCTTACAACATTTGGACGAAGTTTACTGCCCTGTCAGTCAATCGGTCGGCCCAAAAAAAACAAAATACTAAACACTAAACACTAAACTGTTTCCCTCTGATCCTCATTGAATTCAAACGCACTGCAAAGGTGAGACATTTATTTATTTATTTATTTATTTTTGGCAGGTTGATCAAATGCTCATAATATGTCTATATGTATACCTGAGCTTTTGATTCTGGGCTGAAATCAGTGACAAACCCAATATTTCGTTTTCTATTCTTTGCTTAAGAACAATGGTCTTTGCGAAAGAAAAAGGTCGTTTAGATTTAGGCTTTTATATTTTAAACGGTTGATACACAAAATAAAACTCTGTTGGATTTGATTAATATCACAGTAATCCCAAGTCGTTTCTTATTAACACAATCTCAAACGTCCTTGCTTTGTGTGTCATCTCTGGAACATGCTGCTATGGTCCTTGTTTCTTGCATTATATTATATTGTATCGACTGTTTCAAGACTAAATTCTTCTTCATTAGGGTCCACAAAGTGTCTAGCTTGCTGTATATTCTGTAGTCACGAACAAATAAATGAAATAAGTAACATACCTATACAATGCTTGTGTGACAATACATACTGAATATGCGGTACTTGATTTATCAGTGCTTTGTACCATATATTTTTAGAACATGAAACACTTTATATTCACTTCTCGAACGTGTGGGACATCAAATTCCTACTTGGTACAACTTATTGTTTGACTTTCCGGATACATCATATAAAAATAATAATAACACGCTTGAGACCAGAGAATTATGTAAAACACACACACACAAAAGAAAAAGTCCTCAATTTTATATTCTGATTATATATTCTCTTCATTAGCTATTTCACTTCTTCTTCTTCTTCTTTTTCTTCTTCTTTTTCTTTGGAATCATTTCTTTTATTTATTTTCTTATTACTTGTATATACCGTAAATATTGTACATACTGCATATATCTGTACATACTGTACATACTGTACATACAAAAGAATACAAAATATCAGTCGCTACAAGGTACACCAGATAAAGCAGCGTTATTCATGCACAACACATCCTCTAACGCAGATATTGAACATCTTGGAACCATGTAGAAGCACTTGTCACTGATACCAGACCCCCCTTCTCTTCCTCCTCCAAACATCTCTATTGTCGTTGCTGCTAAAGCTTGATATGTTTCGTACAACATTACAAGCATATATGTACACGCATAAGCACAAACACAAACACAAACACATCCCCACACCCATACCCGCATCTATACCGTTGTGAGAAAACAAAACAAAACAGATCCCTTCTCCTTTGGTAAGTTTTGGAATTTCCTATTCTTTGCAAGATGGTGTATACGTGATAAAGAGAGAGAGAGAGAGAGTATGTGTAATAATGTTCCTTTTCTCTTATTATATAGACTCTGTTGCAATGGCGTTTTATGATTATTTTCCGTTGTGTAATCCAAGGAACCGCCCAGAGATGCCCTTTCCTATCATCTAGTTGACTGTTGCTTGTCTAATAAGCTGGTATTATTGCAACCGTTGTGTATTATAGCACTGTACATATAGACACACCAAAACCAACAAAAAAAGGGTAAGTAACAAGTAGTAATAAGGGTAGTAGAGTGGGAGAATTGTGTGGCTTTATAATAACACGGTCATATCTTTAGACCATAATATAATCCTCGTCCGTAATATTTCCTTTCTTGTGGCTGGTCCCAGTACAAAGAACCAAAAAAAAAGTATTCCCTTACCAAAAACAAAAAAAAAACCTCCAAAAAAAATCCATTTGTTTCATTTGTTTCAATTTCTTTATTTCTCTCACTCTCTCTTGGATTAGGCCAGCTTTTATTCTATTTCTCTCTCATGTTTCTTGCTTATTATTACTATTCATCTATTATCACTATGCCCTTTATTTTCTTCTTTTTTTATTAAGCAGTGAAAGGAAGCCCTGCGTAATGTAACTGTATATCTTATACTCTTCCCCCCCCCTTTATTCACCATTTCACCTACTCACCCGCCAATTCTCACACATCTCTTTATATATGCAAGATCAGTATGAAATCGTATTATTTTTTCTTTCTTTCTTTTCCTTTTTGTCTATTTATGTTTCTCTCTTTTTATATATATATTATTATTATATTGAAAATATCAGCCACATTTTACATTCACAGTATTAGCAATCATACTCATTCAAATGCACGTCAAATTAAATAAAGTATTAAAAAAAATACAAGGAAGCTTGATGATAATTTTATTTATTTATTTATTTATTTATTTGACTATCAAACATAAATATGCTTTTGAAACATATATTGAGAAAACAGGAACCAAATAAAGAAATATTCAAAGAAAACTAAGCCTTATTCTTCTTATTCTTCGTGTTCTCTCTCATCAAGTTGAGTGCAGATCCAGCCTTAAACCATCCAATCTGACCAGAGTTGAACGTGTGGTTGAGCTTGATATCCTCAGTCTTGCCATTCTCATGGTGAAGGCGCATCGTCAGAGGCTTGCCCTCCTTAAAGTCAGTCAGGCCAAGGATATCCACCTTGTCGGTCGGCTGCACCTTGTCGTAGTCGGCAGGATTGGCAAACGTCAACGGAAGCATGCCTTGCTTCTTCAGATTGGTCTCGTGAATACGCGCAAACGACTTTGTGATGATGGCTGCTCCATTCAAGAACCGGGGCTCAAGCGCTGCATGCTCGCGCGAAGATCCCTCGCCATAATTCTCGTCTCCGATCACAACCCATTTCACACCTCTCTCCTTGTAGTCGCGTGCAGTCTCTGGCACTCCGTCGTATTTTCCAGTGAACGCGTTCTTGATCTTGTTCACCTCGTTGTTCTCGGCATTCAAGGCTCCAATAAGCATGTTGTTCGAGATGTTGTCCAGATGGCCACGGTACTTGAGCCAGGGTCCGGCCATCGAAATGTGATCCGTCGTGCATTTACCTTTGGCCTTGATCAGAATCGGAATCTCAAAGATGTCCTTTCCGTCCCAGGGTTTGAATGGCTTCAGGAGCTGCAGCCGGCTTGATGTCGGCGACACGGCCACATCGATCTTTGACCGGTCGGCCGGCGGGGCCTGGTATGTGTTCTGTCCGGGATCATAGCCATCTGGTGGCAGTTCATCACCGGTTGGGGCTGCAAACTTGTACGGCTTTCCATCCGCACCGGTCAGCGAGTCCTTGAGTGGATTGAAGGTCAGGTCGCCAGCAAACACCATTGCGGTCACCAGCTCGGGAGATGCGACAAACGCATGCGTGGCAGGGTTTCCGTCGTTACGGCCTGTAAAGTTACGATTGTAGGATGTGATGATAGAATTCTTGACACCCTTCTTGACATCCTCACGATCCCACTGTCCGATACAAGGTCCGCACGCATTGGCCAGCACCATACCGCCAGCCTTTGTCAGCACATCCATGATGCCATCTCGCTCAATCGTGGCTCTGATCTGCTCTGAGCCAGGCGTGATCGTGAACTCTGACTTTGCCTTGTTGCCATGGTCAAGCGCCTGCTGGGCAATCGACGCAGAATGGGTCATGTCCTCATACGACGAATTGGTGCACGAGCCAATCAGGCCAACCTTGAGTTCGGCCGGCCAGTCATTGTCCTTGACGGCCTGCTTGAACTTCGATATCGGGGTTGCAAGATCGGGCGTAAAAGGTCCATTGATGTGGGGTTCTAGTTTGTCAAGATCAATTTCGACCACTTGGTCATATTTGGCATCCGGATCAGCACGTAGATTGTCTGAGAATGCTTTGGCGTATTGAGCAATCTCGGACCGCCGTGTGGCCCTGAGGTAGTCACCCATCCGCTCGTTGTAAGGGAACAGAGAAGTGGTGGCGCCAATTTCAGCTCCCATGTTGCAGATGGTACCCATTCCAGTGCAGGAAATCGAGTCCACACCGTCACCAAAGTATTCGACAATTGCGCCCGTTCCGCCCTTGACGGTTAGAATGCCGGCCACCTTGAGAATGATGTCCTTGGGCGATGTCCAGCCATGGAGTTTTCCGGTCAATTTGACACCAATTGCCTTTGGGCACTTGAGCTCCCAGGGGAGGCCGGACATCACGTCGACTGCGTCGGCACCACCAACACCAATGGCCACCATGCCCAGACCACCTGCGTTTGGAGTGTGGGAGTCCGTGCCGATCATGAGTCCGCCGGGGAATGCATAGTTCTCGAGAATGATCTGGTGGATAATGCCAGACCCTGGTCGCCAGAAACCAATATTATACTTTGCAGTCGCGGTCGCAAGGAAGTCATAGACCTCCTTGTTCACGTCAATTGCGCGCTTCAAATCTTTCTCGCCGCCCTTTTGGGCTTCGATCAAGTGATCACAATGAACGGTTGTGGGAACAGCCACACTCGGCAGTCCGGCCGACATGAATTGAAGGATGGCCATTTGAGCAGTCGCGTCCTGACAAGCGACACGGTCAGGACGAAGATTGAGGTACGATTGTCCTCGGACAATTTCTTGGTTGTGAGGGTCGTCTAGGTGCCCATAGACTACCTTTTCAGACAAGGTCAAAGGACGATTCAATCTATCATAATCATCATCAATGTCTTTTATATCACTTTTATATATATATTATTTAATTGTGATGTCAAGACTCACCTTTTACGAACTACTTCAAGATTGTCTGCAATTCTTTGGTAGTTGATATAGTGGTTTTCTAGATTTGACATTGGAACCTTTTGGGAAGCCCATTTTCCGGTAGAGTAAGAAGCCTGTTGGGCCCGGAGACATACCAAAGGCAGTGAAGACTACAAAGATCACATCATAGCACATCATAGCACATCAGTGTATTGTAGTGTCAATGCGTTTGTTTTGTAGGTTGAGCTTTTATATCTATTGTTATTTATTTACCTTGACAGTCTTTCTGACAACGGAAGGAATCATGTTGACTCAAGAACAATAAGATAGAATGGCTGTAAAGAGAGGGGAGTAAAAGAAGTAAAGTAAAGTAAAGAATATATATATATAAAGAAGAGGAATCAAGAAGAAAGAATCAACCAACAAAAACAAGAAATCAAAAAGGGTTTTATAAGTAGCTTTTCTTATTTAATTTTATTTACTAATATGTATATATTTCCTCTTAATTAATAAAATTCTACGCACACGCAGGCACCTACTATACACAGTCTTTCCCTCCCATACGCACATACTTGAATGCATATACCAACAAAGACAGCAGAAGACAAGGAAAGAAATATATCTGTAAAAAAAAAAGAATATGACGATGCCTTGAAACTCAAAAGACTTGAGAAACAGGTAAAGAAGAAGTATCTCCGCTAACCAATATATGCGTACATATAAAATATATAAAAAAAACACCCACGTACCCATATATATACATATTGGATTAAAGTATAAAATGATGATGTAAACCTTGGTTTATTAGCCCTTGAATCTGTTTCGCTTCTTTTTCCCTTTTCTTCTTCTTCTTATTTATTTATTTAAAAAAAAACTTCATTAAAACATGTCTTTTCGCCCACCAAAGACCCTGCCAATTCTTTCGATTTTCCACAATCCAAGCAGTAACGCGTCCCAGAACGCTCTTCGGTTACTTCAGGCCAAGCAGAAACGACCATCCGGAGAGGATGTGTACAGAGTGGACGTGCAGGACAATCTGCAGGAGCCTCTTACTTCTATCCAGCTGAAGCAGATTGCAGAATATCTTGGAGGTGGAAAGCCAGATTGGAAACCTATGATTTCAACAACTAGTACAACTGCCACAGAAAATCAATCATTTGATTATGATGCTCAGCAGTTACTCCATGACCAACCAAGCGTATTGCAGAGACCATTGGTAGTAGACTGGAACCAAGGCAAGGCAGCTGTTGGGCCTGCATTAGATAAAATTCAGCAATTGATAGAATCCAGACTCAAACTGTAAATTCCGATATAATTTATATAAAGACATGATATTTGCTTTATTTTTATTGTATTTTATTGTATTTTATTGTATTATAAACATTTTTTTTTGTTTGTTTGGTTTCTTTTATATATATAATGTGTATATATGAATGAATTGATGAATTAATGAAAGATGTTCAAATAAGTAATATATATAAATATATATATATTAAATAAAATATAATATAAAAAAAAAGGTAAAGAGAGGGAGAAAAGAAGTTGTACATGGTTTAGAGGGAATGAAAGAGACTATATTACAGGGTAGTACGTGTGTAGGTAAAAGTAAGGTAAGTAGGTAAGGTATGTATATGAAATAAATAAAGAAAAGGAAAGAAGATGATGTATAAGTAATAAATAATAATAAAAAGGTAAATGAGGCATCTAAAGAACTAACTAATTAACTAAGCCCGGGATTCCTTTTGGCATCCCTTTAAACGATGGCCAAGACGATGATGATGATGCTTCTTCTTTGGCTCTTCTGGGGCAGAATTGTCTTCCGATATCGGAGCGGAATCGAGAACAATGATATTGTGACGCTCGCAGGCTTCTTTACTTGGCTCTACCAACAGATGATGCGAGTGTCCTTTTGCAGGAGTTTGATCTGTGCACATCGCCAGGGACTTGACCCAGGGATCTTCCATGACCTGTTCGAGTGTGCAGCGCTCCCGTGGGTTGGGTTCCAGAATGCGTTGGATAATTGAGCGGGACTCTTTGGGCAGCATCTTGAAGAGACGGGCTGCACCTTGGGTCGAAGGGGTAATGAAGTTCTTGTATGACTGGTCCTGGCTAGGACGAGGCAAGCGCCAGGGGAACCGGCGGATAGTCATACATACAAAAATGATACCAATCGACCAGAGATCTGTCAGGCGGGCATCATATTCAGTTTGGATGTATTGCTCGGGTGCGATGTAAGGATCAGATCCACAGATACCTTTTTTTTTTAAAAGAAAAAAAAATACAAGTCAGTTTACCCAATCAGACGAAACACGTTTGTGCGCGGACTTTGCTTTATTAAGAATGTGGTCATTCTTTTATATATATATATATATATATATTGTGTGTGGGTCTTACCTTTACTCATTCTGGACTCTTTCTCGTGGGGATATTTGATGACAACTGCGCAGCCAAAATCGATAAGCTTAACAATACCGCGATCGTCGAGAACCATATTGTCCAGCTTGAGATCTCTATGCGCAATTCCCATTGACTGCAAATAAGCAAAGCCGTCCAACAATTGGCGCCAGCAGCAGCCAATTTCTTCTGTGGTCATCTTGCCACTCATGACAACGTTGAATAGATCGTTGGGTGCGAATTCCATGATTTCATAGAATGTAGAGCCCTCCTGGATGATGTCCAGGGTCTCGATGACATTGGGGTGGTGAAGAGTGGATCCGATACAGAACTCGGCAGTGACCTTTTTAACGTATTCCTTTTCGTTTTCGGCAGGCAATCGCTTTCTGAACTGCTTGACAGCAAAGGTCTTGTTGTCTGTGTGTCTGCGAATTAAACGGACAGATCCGCCGGCACCCTTACCAACAAATCGACCTAATAATTATAATAATTTTTTTTTAAAAAAAAATATAAATACATGTAAAAAAAATAAAATAAAAAAATAAAAAACTTACCCCACTTGCCATATCGGCCCTCGATGTTCTTGTTGAATTCGTTTGCAAAAGAAAGATCGCTTGTGCGACTGCTGGTGCTTCTGATGCTACAATCGTCCTTCTTCTTCTTTTTGGTCTTGTCTGATTTGAAGAGACGCTTGAAGTCGTTGAGAAAACTGTCCTTGCGTTCGAGGTGGTGGAAATGTGTGTTGTGGAAGTGACTGTTGTACTCTGGCTTCTTGAAGACAAACTGGGATGGGGTGGTTGGGCGGGATGTAGAACGCAGACTTTCGTCGTCTCTGCTGGGAACACTGATTGTGAGGGTGGGGTGGGATGATGAAAGGGGCGAGTCTTTGGACTGTTCTCCGCTGGTGTGTGGCGAAAGGGATGGAGGGGTGTGTGCAGCTGTGGGTGGCAACTGGGGGCCAAATGATGGCGATGGATATGAGGAGCTAGGCTCGGATATGTTTTCATAGTGGTGGTGGATTTTGATGACGGGTGTGCCGGGAACAGAGATATCTGGCGTCACGTTCTCAAAACGATGGCCGCCAGCGTTCTTGAGTTGAAGAATCTTGGCAGGTGTGTTGAAGTCGACAGAATGAAGACGATCACTGAGACTGTTGGATACACTGTTGTTGGATTGATTCATTGTAGTCATGGTGAATAATCAACAGGTTTGTATGTGTGGTGTGTTTGGAAGTATTAATGCGTACAGTAGATCAAAAAAATAAAATAAAAATTAATTAAAAGAAGAAGAAGTAGTAGAAGAAGAGCAAGAAGAAAGAAAGAAGAAAGAGAAAGAGAGAAAGATACAAATATATATATAATGTACAAGAGGACTTTTTATTTATTTATTTATTAATATTTTATTATAAATACATAAAATTTTGAAAATAGAAATGTACTAGATTATCCAATATTTTATTTTATTTTGTTTGTTAAAAGTGCACAGTCAATTGCCGTTTCAAGCTGTTAGAATTGCCAGGCTTTCTTGTGATGAAGCATGCTCAGCCTTTCTTGTCAGCCATGAAGAAATTATGGCTTGGCATTCAATGTATGTACATAATGTATGTACATTATGTACCTTGAGCAATACAAATTATTATGCAACCAACCTCATCGATTAATGTTGAATGCATTGCTCACACCAAAGTCTTAAGCCAGTTCAGTTCAGTTCAGTTTAGCCCAGTGAGTATTATTTGCTGCGGATAAATTCGGACAATCAAGGGCATGGGCAAAGGAACATCCGGCGGACCGCCATGGAAAAACTACATGCCGATTCTCCTTGTTGAATTTTATTATATATATATAAATATAAATATATGATGTGTATAGATATTATTTTGGCTTAAAAACATTAAAGCTATAATATAATATAAATAAGATAGTCAGACACGACAATGAATAAGTCAAGCAGATTCCCTTTGCCATTAGTCTTTGTGCCTTTCTATTCAACAAGACATTGAAATCCTTGATTATTTGGCGATTTGGATCGTACCCAGCAAAATTTGGCCGGTACACCGGTCAGCTTTTACTAAAAGAGAAAAAGAAGAAACGTAATATTAATAAATGAAGGATATATATGTAAATCTATACACGTAAACATCTCCCCCCACATATATAAACACACACAGGTACAAATACACAAACATGTGTGTGTGTAGGTAGAAAGAGAGAGAGAGAGAGAAAGTGCTGCACCTACCACTTGACGTATCGGGCCGAACAGTACAAGCCCAGAGCTATGGACCCAGATGAATCATATTTTGTCCTTTTTCGCTTCCTCTCTCTCTCTCTCTCTTTTACTCTTAATTTTTTTCCATTCTTTATTTTCAAAACGGAAAGAGACGGTCTCATCTTTTAACCACCTCTTTAAACATCAATTCATAAAATTCTCTCACGCCTTAATTTATCTATTTTTTTGATCTGATATTTAGTCTGAATCTTTTTAAATTTTATTCTTATGTCTCTCAAGATATGGACACAGAAAGATTCTTATCTGTTCTTGTGTTTGTGTTTTTATTTGTATTTGTATTTGATTCAATTTGCATTGCCACATTCACGTGAGTTGATTGTAAATTCCTTTGAGTGGAAGCTTAATAATTCACCCAAGGCTGAGATAAGGAGAATGAGTAAAGTAGATCGGTTTGTCATCGTTCTCGAACACTTGATTTACAGGCCAACACAAGGCGGAGATCCTGTCTTGTGTGTATAGTGTGTATAGTGCGTTTGTTTAGGAGATATTATATTATATAAAATAAAATAAAATTATAGTAATGAGACTTCTTTAGACATCGATAAGCTTTTCTTGACCAATTCATACGGACGTTTGTAGCTCTCACCAAAGATATCCTTTTTAGTCACTCCGGCATTGCGCATTCCTTTTTCCCTTTATTTTGGCCTATTTTCCATTATACTATTTTAACCCACTCTCACAAGAAAAAACAAAATATAAACGATGTACAGATTGGCTTAGCGATCTTGCCACGTGTAATAAAAGGAGAGATCGCCGAAAAGACAGAAATATAAGGATAGTCGTAATTAAGCAATCATAAACCATACACTTATATCTTATTACATTTTTAATGTTTATTTTCCTTTAAATATATTTATGCATTTGTTTGTCTATCTGTCTATTCGTCCTCTTTATAGCCGCAGCAAGCCAATCTTGATAAGTTCTCTTCGGAGTAAAAATATCCCAACTAGTGGAAACTAGAAAATATATATATATATATGCTATTTATTGTATTCTCCTCCAATGATAAATTATTACCCAATTATGTGGCTTTTCCGTCGAAAAACAATACAATATATAATAAATGAAAAAGGAATCATACCCGAGTTTACATGAATAGAAATAAACATGGTAAACTTGACCTCATTAACAGTAATCATAAAGGATGTGGAGAATAAATCCCTCTCTAATATATATATATATAAAACACTAAAAAAATAGGTCCGTCCACTCAACAATTGAGCTGGTGAACATGATTCTTTCATGGATTTGAATAACACAAGACTCGCCATCAAGTATGATGAATTACACAAATAATAAATAACGAGTTTGTCAAAATGGGCTAGTTCTTTTGATATCTTCATAAAAGGGTACTTGTCATTCAGTTAACCGTGCTACGACGACATAATTGCTAAACAATATGCAAGACACTTTGACATTTGTGATATATATATATATATGTCTTAAATTCAGTTATTATTTTCTTAAAGTTTACCTTTCAAGTACCCCATTTAACATAATTACAATTAAAAAAATATATTTATTTAACCAATTCAATCATTCCCTTCATTTTTTTTAAAAAAAAAAAAGGTTACGGCACATTGACCAGGCTAGAAAGTGCTTTGTTTTATGTAAACAGCACATCAGCACGATGATATTTATTGCTAGATTAATTATTAGGGCAGGAAAATCAGTAAGATATTTGTTGAAAAGAAAATGGCAAAAGTATACTTGACACCACAAGTTTCACTAACTTCAATCAAGCATTTACTCATTCATTCATTAATTTATTAATTTATTATCCTAAAGGTATGACTCGAATGTTGGTATCAAAATCTGAGACCCATTCCTCCGCAAACATAAATTGAACTTTACCAATTGTGCTTTTGTGATCAAGATATATATATATATATATATATTCTTGTTTGTCCTGATAATGTTAGTAATGAACTCTATGATGATATGCATTTAGAAATAAGCGCAATTCAAGGATTAGGAAAACTTGTTTCATACACAGTCTAAAAATGGAAATAAAGTATTAGCCGTCACTTTCCGAGGAATCGGGAGAGGAGGAGAAAGAAGAAGAAAAAAAAAGGGGGGATGCTTTATAATAAACCACAAGAAATCTATATGTATATGTTTCATTGCAACAGTAATCATCGTATTCAAGTAGTGAGATTGACTTGAGTTCCTTCCATCGCTCCTCATCAGCATAACTTGGTATCATTATTACTTGTATAAAAAGAAAAAGGAAAAAGAAGCATAAAATAGAATAGAATAGAATAGAAAATCTTGGGGATTTCAATATCTGCAGAGTGATGATCATTGTGAAGCTTATCTTTGAACATGCATATGCACGAAATCAAAATATTTGTATATAAAGAAGCTCTGGGATATTGTATTTGAGAGCTTATTGATTAATAGACTACAAAAATAATTTGCTTTAGACAAAATAGAGTAATATTGAATATATACATATATCTTATTTATCTATTTAAGTGCGTGTGTATGTGTGTGTGTGCAGTTAGCTTGTCTTTAATACAATTAAAGCCAACTTTTATTATTATTGTTGTTGTTTTTATTTATTTTGAAATGCAAGATATTTGTACATACTAGCCAGAAATTAACCTTGTTTGAACTACTTAATTCTGCTTGTTTAAGGAGATATAAACGGTTAAATGCAATACGGTAAATAATTTTAAGCTTTCTTTATGTACCTACCTCTTGAGGACTATGGCCGAAAAATAAATCAAAATTAACCAGTTGGTCATTTGTTAGGGATACCATTATGCTCTAATAATTGATCTGATAAAAAAAAAGATATATATATATATTGTTATTAAATGCAAATATTTATTAATAATCAAATTTCCATGACAACAGAAATCAATAGTTTAAACGAAAGCATAACGGTTGCGTACCTGTAGCACCATTTGATTTCAGATCCAAGCAAAATATAATAATAAAATCACAGGTTCCCTCCTCCTCCTCCCCCCAAAAAAAAAGAAAGATGGAAATGGTTTAAAAGGAACTATCATTTTGTACTAATATTTTTGGATAAATATCAAAGCCGAGTTGCCGCTCCCAATTTATATGTGTTGTTGTATTCTGTGATCCACGTCAAAATATAATTCATTCTCTCTCTCTCTCTCTCTCTCTCTCTCTTTCTCTGTCTTTCCTATATCTCATCTTGATTGTTGTGTAAGAGCCGTTGAGTTTCTGTTATGCAAATCAGAAAATTGCCTTGCGTGTTATTTATTGTAGGAAACACAAGATCCAATACTTACAAACAATTAAGAGTAAATAGCCTTGATCCTTTTATTTTTATTAATTTTTTTTTGAAGGGGATTATTAAGAGTGCAATTGCAGTAGAAATAAAATAAAACAAAAATAAGAACAATTGGGTACCCTCATCTTGCTGTAAAGTCGTGCATTGGACCCATTCTCTGAAACGTCCTACAAAAATAACGGAAGGAATGAAGCTGTAGTGTACCACGTTTAGTTTACGTCGCGCTCTAGTACTCTCCGTAAGTGCACGATTGGACAATGAACGGTAAAACTAATGGGCCTTGAGATTCGTACCACCGTCAAAGTGAGTACGTAAAGCATCCTTGGAGGGCTTAATAATGAAAGCCTATATATATGTGTGTGTGTGTATGAGCCTTTATTTATTATGCAAAATAAATAAATAAATAAATAAACATTATTAATACATATACTATTCTTTTTTTTTCCTAATACCAGCTTTTTGTCTCTATGGTTATAATTTAGACTTTTTTTTTCTTACAAAAAAAACATTATTACTATCATTGGTAACCATGGTAACAAATTATTTTACAGTAAGCACAAGCATAATCATAATCATAAAAAAAAAGATCAAAACCAAAATGAAAATAGATGAAGGTAAAGGAGACGGTTTGTCTGTTCTTCCATTAAACATAATTGATCCACGACACTTTTCACTTCAAGGTAGTACAGATGTATCTACATGCATACATATTTTCGGTTATTTTATTTCGCCGTCCTAGGTCTGATCATCTTGTCCCAAGTATGGTACCTTTTTTTCTTATGTTTTCTTTGGAAGCCATACTCTTTGGGCTGACGGCATTTGTTGTTTTCGGAAAGTTGCACCTGGTGGAAACATACGGCGCAGTCATTCGAGGGTGAGTATTGACACACTGACAAATTAGGTGCTGTATTTTTAAGACGTTCTGTTGCACGAACATTGGCTTTTGGAATATATAAAGCGCACAAGTGGTTTTGCTTCCGGATTCTCATATATATCTAACTAACAAGTACAATGAATAATGCTTTCAATAAGTGCTCAATTTTCTGCGCAGAAACAGAAGTTGTGGCGCCAAATCTGGATATTGTTATCATAAAGTCTATGTATTTTACTGTAGGTGATGAGAGGAGTGATATTTGAGAACCGAGCTTTTGCACACATCTTTTTCTTCTAATATATTTTGGGAAGCACAAATTTGATAGAGTAGAGTCAATGCAGACAGAAAAATTACGTAAATGTTAATCGAAACACAGTGAAGCTAGGAAATATTGGTTAATTTAGAAATTTAAATGGTGATTTTAAAAAGAAATAGTTTGGGGCTTACTAAAAAAAGTATTGGTGAAAAACTGAAAAATGATCGGTCACTTTTAAATTTCTTATTGGCTTAATTGAGAAATTGTTTTGAGCACTTCTGAAATTCAAGTAATTCATTAAAACTCTTATCTTGACAATAACTGATATGACGCTTAGAGTGGCTACAAAATCCACGAAGATCACTAAAACGTACATTGTTGCAAGCATCAGTAATTCTCTGGGATAAATCATCCATACCCATGCTATCAAGCACCTCGTTCATGAACTTTATGAAACGAGCCGTAGTAGTACTTTTAGAAGGAGGCTTGTTGACTTCCCTGTCATCACTGCTCTCAACCTCGACATACTCTAGGACAGGTTCTCCGATAATAAGTTTGCTTACCCTTTGATCCCTGTCTCTTGCAGGCTCTCTCTTCTTCGATTTTCACTCTTATTTATCTGAAACTTTTGCGCCTTTTTTCTTATTGGTGGGGGTTTCTTCATTGCGACATGGAGGATACTGGAAGAGTGAATAGCACCAATAATGGTATGAGACGGAGAACGAGTTTTTTCAACTTCTACGATGGCAGGCATTCCTATAGTTGATCTTGCTTAATTGTTCTTCATATTAATATTGAATCTAGCCACATCAATGAACACACAGTTTACATCATAGTCTAGGTCAGAATCCTTCCACTCCATGAACCATTCGTATCTCTTTTATAGGGTTTTATCTGAATTTTTTATATTAGGTTCAAAGGTTGGGTTCTTCACGGAAATAAACACGTTATTTTTCAAATGATGATTTATTTGAGATTTAGAAATCGAAAAGCCTTCAAACTTAGACGTCAATGAATCAATAATTTCAACAGCACAGAGCTGTGGATCTTTTTCGACTATTTTTTGGATATGCTGCTCGGGTTCACCAGTAAAACCGCTAGGTCTACCTAAATTCTTTTCAAGCTTCTTATAGGGCACCTTCTCCGTTTCCTGATATTGTTTCCATCAACGAGCGGCAGTACTAGGCTTTACTCATAAATTTCTAGCAATTGCCGCTACTCTTCCTCTTTTGACAGGACCTTCAATCATTCGATTAATAAATTCCTCTCTCGTGTGGTCATCATAAGATCTATAAGTACTATTAACTGTAGACTTAGCCGATTTGATCTTATTAACAGGTATATCTTGAATTTCAGTATCTTTATCTTCGTGTTTGGCAGTCAAAAAGGCAGCTTGACTCGTTATAGTAACGAAAGCTATATTCGGATCGATGATTTCTGTTAATACACCTTCCATCGTGTCTACAACTTTCTCTCCATTCTTACTATAGATATTTTCTTACCCGTCTTCATAATAAAAAGTATTTTGACTCATGTTCTTTAATTAATATAGTGACAGAGGTATTTTTTTTTGGTCGGTAAAGACTTTAGTTGAATAACATAATTTATTGTTGAATAGTAAGATTTATAGATGATTAGTAAAATCTCTTTATCATCTTTTTTTTTTCAATCCGGGCAAATATCGCAGTTAAACCATGGATGACCTTTTGGATAATTATTGTGCAATTTTTATCAAATAGCAGGTCCTGCTATTTCTAGCTTCGTAAGTCAATGTCTAATATACTTCAAGAAGAATCGAGAAAAAAAAAGTACTTTGTTTTGAAGAGTTATTAAGAATCATTTATGTCCAACTGGTATCGGGTAAGTAACAGTCATAGCACACCTTCTTGCGAGATTGGGATAAAGTCATATGCTATGATAGATATAGTTTCATAGAGAAAACATAAATACCATTTGAATCTTAGTCACAGCCATCAAGATACCTTTCGTAATTTTCAATCAGATTTAATAAATAATTATACTAATACAAAGCAGAAAAGAGTAAATAAGAATACTTAGCTTTAAAGGATTGATTATGGGTGTGTTTAAAAATAACAGACAAGCCAACTCTCCCGACCACTGATTAACCAAGTTAAAGGGTTATTGTCATGCTTGACGGAGAATTGGTTTGCAAAAGGCAATTTTTTTGTAGCCGTCGCCAAACAGAAGAAAAAAATGTTGCCCCTTACCAAAAAATGCCGTCCCCTTAAACTTAGCGTCCAAGCTGTCCTGACAGGCTGTCCATAAGGTTTCCCGAAAATATGTGCATATGTATATAGACATCTGTTTTTTTTTTAATCCTTCGAAAAAGACCATTTCTACATCCCACGACAACACTTCATTTATGATATGGACAATAAAGTGCCTACTCCCAATTTTTTATCAGAAAACTCAGATATTGAATACTTCAAATACTCTACAGTTTCTAAGTGGGATTTTGAATCTTTTAAAAACAGGCGATGGAAAAGAAGAGGATGAAACCTAACCTGGCCGTTGTCTATACCAAATACAAACATTGCTTACATATGTTAATACGCTTTAGCGATATGTTAAAAGACAAAATGGAAATTGTAGATGATTTAATTAAAAACTGTGTAAGTTGTATCTCTTTTTTAAAGGCAAAATCTAGCTTGATTTTTTGATAACTCGAACAGGAAACACTTTTACGACAGGAGCAGCCACAGCGACAACGATCACCAGAAACAAACTACTACAACTATAGAACAATTGATTTTTAAGGCGAAATAAATGGTGAAATTATTTCTGTTATTCCTAGTAAAATAGTGTTGGAAGAAACAGAAGGAAGCCATGTTGAATCATCAAAACCAGATCAAAGCTGCCACTTTAGTAAGTGACCGAAGTTACACGACCAAAATAGAAGAACACTGACATTTATTTTCTATGCTAAAATTATAAGGAAGTAAATCACCGCGATCTTTATCATTAAAAGTACCAGAACCTACATCATTTCTTACTGATACAACAGATGAATCCTTCAAAATAACTGAAACATATTCCAGCTATGGTGAATTACTTAAACAACATCCATACATTCTAGAGTTGAATGAGTTTGATGATATATAGCTGACCAGCAAAGCATCAGCTCATAACATGGATAATGAATTGAGTCTGAATGAAAGATGGTAAGCCCATAATATGTATCTCCTAAATTTGGTCTACTCACATATATGCTTTAGACTTTTGTCTTCAATTAATTATTTATGTAGTTTTTCTATTTGCATTGACTCTACTCTATCAAATTTGTGCTTCCCAAAATATATTAGAAGAAAAAGATGTGTGCAAAAGCTCGGTTCTCAAATATCACTCCTCTCATCACCTACAGTAAAATACATAGACTTTATGATAACAATATCCAGATTTGACGCCACAACTTCTGTTTCTGCGCAGAAAATTGAGCACTTATTGAAAGCATTATTCATTGTACTTGTTAGTTAGATATATATGAGAATCCGGAAGCAAAACCACTTGTGCGCTTTATATATTCCAAAAGCCAATGTTCGTGCAACAGAACGTCTTAAAAATACAGCACCTAGTTTGTCAGTGTGTCAATACTCACCCTCGAATGACTGCGCCGTATGTTTCCACCAGGTGCAACTTTCCGAAAACAACGAATGCCGTCAGCCCAAAGAGTATGGCTTCCAAAGAAAACATAAGAAAAAAAGGTACCATACTTGGGACAAGATGATCAGACCTAGGACGGCGAAATAAAATAACCGAAAATATGTATGCATGTAGATACATCTGTACTACCTTGAAGTGAAAAGTGTCGTGGATCAATTATGTTTAATGGAAGAACAGACAAACCGTCTCCTTTACCTTCATCTATTTTCATTTTGGTTTTGATTTGTTTTTATGATTATGATTATGCTTGTGCTTACTGTAAAATAATTTGTTACCATGGTTACCAATGATAGTAATAATGTTTTTTTTGTAAGAAAAAAAAAAGTCTAAATTATAACCATAGAGACAAAAAGCTGGTATTAGGAAAAAAAAAGAATAGTATATGTATTAATAATGTTTATTTATTTATTTATTTATTTTGCATAATAAATAAAGGCTCATACACACACACACATATATATAGGCTTTCATTATTAAGCCCTCCAAGGATGCTTTACGTACTCACTTTGACGGTGGTACGAATCTCAAGGCCCATTAGTTTTACCGTTCATTGTCCAATCGTGCACTTACGGAGAGTACTAGAGCGCGACGTAAACTAAACGTGGTACACTACAGCTTCATTCCTTCCGTTATTTTTGTAGGACGTTTCAGAGAATGGGTCCAATGCACGACTTTACAGCAAGATGAGGGTACCCAATTGTTCTTATTTTTGTTTTATTTTATTTCTACTGCAATTGCACTCTTAATCATCCCCTTCAAAAAAAAAATTAATAAAAATAAAAGGATCAAGGCTATTTACTCTTAATTGTTTGTAAGTATTGGATCTTGTGTTTCCTACAATAAATAACACGCAAGGTAATTTTCTGATTTGCATAACAGAAACTCAACGGCTCTTACACAACAATCAAGATGAGATATAGGAAAGACAGAGAAAGAGAGAGAGAGAGAGAGAGAATGAATTATATTTTGACGTGGATCACAGAATACAACAACACATATAAATTGGGAGCGGCAACTCGGCTTTGATATTTATCCAAAAATATTAGTACAAAATGATAGTTCCTTTTAAACCATTTTCATCTTTCTTTTTTTTTTGGGGGAGGAGGAGGAGGGAACCTGTGATTTTATTATTATATTTTGCTTGGATCTGAAATCAAATGGTGCTACAGGTACGCAACCGTTATGCTTTCGTTTAAACTATTGATTTCTGTTGTCATGGAAATTTGATTATTAATAAATATTTGCATTTAATAACAATATATATATATATATATCTTTTTTTTTTATCAGATCAATTATTAGAGCATAATGGTATCCCTAACAAATGACCAACTGGTTAATTTTGATTTATTTTTCGGCCATAGTCCTCAAGAGGTAGGTACATAAAGAAAGCTTAAAATTATTTACCGTATTGCATTTAACCGTTTATATCTCCTTAAACAAGCAGAATTAAGTAGTTCAAACAAGGTTAATTGCTGGCTAGTATGTACAAATATCTTGCATTTCAAAATAAATAAAAACAACAACAATAATAATAAAAGTTGGCTTTAATTGTATTAAAGACAAGCTAACTGCACACACACACATACACACGCACTTAAATAGATAAATAAGATATATGTATATATTCAATATTACTCTATTTTGTCTAAAGCAAATTATTTTTGTAGTCTATTAATCAATAAGCTCTCAAATACAATATCCCAGAGCTTCTTTATATACAAATATTTTGATTTCGTGCATATGCATGTTCAAAGATAAGCTTCACAATGATCATCACTCTGCAGATATTGAAATCCCCAAGATTTTCTATTCTATTCTATTCTATTTTATGCTTCTTTTTCCTTTTTCTTTTTATACAAGTAATAATGATACCAAGTTATGCTGATGAGGAGCGATGGCAGGAACTCAAGTCAATCTCACTTTCATGGATTAGATTTTGCTCACTACTTGAAGATGATGATTGATGCTGTGAGGGGTGGATTTTTGTAGGTATTTGGATCGACATCGAAAAAGGTGACCAGGCTGATCTTTGTCTGGATGTCCAAGAGTGTGTTCCGGTTCCGTTGCTAAGGTCTCCGGTATGTCTCGATAGGCTTAATTCCAAGGCTGGGGCTTTTTGTTCCTTCTTACTGGGTCTTATACGGTATATAAATTGCCGAATGGCCGCAATAAAGGCCGGGTCTATAAGGAATATAAGGAATATAAAAATGCCTTTTTGTTTTGTTAGAAGCACAATCAATAAATTTAATCAAATCATTTACCTTGGATAGGAAGTGCGATGTAGGACATCAGAGAAAAGAATGGATTGACTTTTGACGTAGCAGCCATAATGCATACATTTATAACTGACCAGATACGAGTGATAATCAAGACTATGTATGTAGAATATGAGTATACAATCACAAGAATCACACAATATATCAAATGATCTCAATTATTAAGCGAAAATAATCATGTATCTTTCTTCTTACCAATAGGGTACCAAATAACTCTACTGACTGTCTTTAAAACATATGATGATTCTAGTTTTCGGTCATTTCTTGTTGACAACTGGGATTGCAGTAAGCTTGATGGCATTGATGGTTGCTCTTCCGGCATGGTACCCAAGCGGTGACGAGGTCGAAAAAATAGATGTGAAAAACAATAGTTGCGGTTGTTTTGGTTACTATCCACAGCTAGATTTGCATTAATTGCGACCTCTTCTCTTCGCATTTTGATCAAGATTATGCAGATTGAAATACAGCAGTAAAGAATAAAGATGGCTACCCAGAGGTATATAGTAGTGATGGCCCACAAAAGTGATCCCCTGTGGGTTGAGGCGTTGTACCAGCAAATCCCCATATGATTATTATGGCCGTAGTGTGTATTCTTTGGAAATAGAGGTAATATAGCGAGTATGAATGCAATAGAAAAACTTCCAATGACATAGTACCACCCGAGGTGTTTGATGTTACGGGCAGAATGAACGTAGACCAAATGCAGATTGATGGCCATACAGGTGAAGCAGGCTGCACTAAACACATTGCAGAATATGAATAGAAACATGCAAAATCCACAAGTTTTTACCGGAAGGAATGGTTTGTTTCGGCACATCGAAGCTGCACCGAGAAACATGTGCGATATGGCACCATAAACTAGTAAACGAAGTGATGCGCGGTCGTAACTTGGAGCTATCCAGCGAATGAAGCCATAACCGAGACATACGATTGCAGTGCCGATGAATGATATGATAAATAGACCACCACTGATTTTTTTTGAAAATGTCAAAAGATCATCAGGTACAACCCCAGCATCTAGTTCTGTCTGATTAAAGTGCCATAAAAACGACGCCATGCATGGTAATCCTAGTAGCGAGAAAATAAATTATGGTCTACAAGAAGAGTGTCGAAAATAATGCAAAAAAAAAATCAATAAAAATAAATATATAGATTTATTACCAAACTGAAACCTGTCAACTACATTTCCAAGAATTTTATCTAGCTGATATTAAATATCATATGTATATAATATTTAATCCTGGTTTACACCCCAGTGTAATGGTGAATAGGTGTATATCCCTTATATAATTGGGCAAGAGTTGCATAATATTTATATTTGTGGTATTTAAAAGGGCTTAGATGCCTACAATATCAAAGTCTCGGAAAATACAGTTTGTTTCAATTTGCAAATAAATTTATACATTCTTGTTGATATATATATATTCTCTCTCTCTCTGTCTTTCCCCCCTACTCTCCCCAGTCGGGAATCATGGCAAATTCATACCCGGGATATCTGTAGTACGCATAATAGGCAATGTACATATGATACACACCTATGTTAAAGAAGATATTTTACATATATTTAGCTGTGCATAGGCTATGGGTGTGATTTATTTATAGAATATATATTACCTGGAATAAACATTATACATCCAACAACGATAAATGGAATTCCTCTTTCTCCCCAACCCTTTATTTTTATAGCCACCGTTAGTATTAGAAACATTTGTTTAGTGTGAAAGTCATAAATAAACTTACATTTGCAGTAATATAATCAAGCTTAATCAAGACTCCAACTACAATAAGAGCCGATCCTGCCAAGAATAACAATGTAGCCAAGAAGATTGCTTGCCATGGCACTGTGATGACAGTATTAGTTTTTTATTTTCTTTTATTTTCTTCTTTTCGAGCATGTATATGTATAAATTGTTTGCCTTCTGGCTCTGGTGCAATAAACTGCTCGGCCGAAAAGCCGCTATCTTCTTGAAGTTGAGCTCGTTGTCGACGCTTTGATTTCGATTTGAATGGATTGTGCATTGGGATTCGAAGAAAATCACAAAGTTGCGGTCAAGTGAAAAATAAAAAGCCAAAAGTCGGCATGCCATAGCTTTTTAGCCCAACTCCGCCAAAGTTGCTCACATGGTTTAGCCCAAAAGACGAGAAATGGAGAAAATAATAATAATCTCTTTTCCTCTTCTTCTAGTAACATAGAGCTATCATATTCACGGACATTATATATATAATAAGGCTCAGTTTGTTGGACAAATTTTACATATACATGTATAACTATCTTTTGTGTATATGTTTATATGTGCATATATAAAAAATCGAATTATAAATATCTTTAATCTATCTTAAGGGACTGTAGGTCAAAGGCTTCAATATGTAAGACTGCATACTATCAATAAAGCGAACTATGTAGACAGCAATTAATAATCTTAGAATACTCACAAAATTTCTAATGTATTTGATATAAATATTAGCTTACCAGTCTTGTAAACTGTATCAGACCATCCCTCCACATTCCAGGCCTCCTCACGCGTTGTCTTGCGTGCTTGTAAATCCCTATCGTAATACCCCAAGCCAATTTAGTAACTTGTCTATTTCAAACAACTTATACTTACGGATAAGACCACATATGGTGAACAGTATTCAGGTCACCGAGTTGACTGAACCAGGCACCCACAGGTTCACAGAATTGACGTCTGCACTCGAGGCCCTTTCGCCTATAGAAATTGATTATTTTAATGATCTCTTTCTAACCCTCTGTGCGTGTGTAGATTACGGATACATTTCTTAATAGACAAGGTAGCTTACCAGTGCATTTCCCATTCCAGCAGATGTCCAGGCTACACAAGAAAGTATACCTTGTTAAGCGGATATTTAAAGAATATACGTCATATTTTGATTATTCTTACCTTTAGACTATACTTTCGTAGTTCATATATTCCGTTTGTTACGGTAGGCGGAGATGTCTTCCAGAAAGAAAACTCAAGCATGATGTTGTTATATCTGGAGATCAACAGAGGACGAAGTTCCTTCATAAACTGTGCGTAGGCCTAAAATGTAGTATTATTATGGCAATCAAAGGAAATGTTACTAGATTCTGTGTAAACTTACAGGATCCCGAGCTAACTGCGCCATAGTGTGCTGATGTCCAGGATACCCTTTGTATTCCCAAATGTGAACTAGTGTAACAGTGGGTTTCAGTATCAATAATCCATGATTCACCTAGGAAACATCATTGATTTTCCCACCCCAAATTCGTTTACCCCACTTATTCAGTTCATTTTTAAACCAAGAAAAAACACGAAACACCATCTTACCAAACGTATCCAATTCTCCTACTTCAATGGACCAGCTTCCACACAGATGAACATCGTTGGCAGGATCATTTGCGATCCGAGGATAGTGAAGAGATCTGATGCGCATAAAGAAAAATGGTTTATTTTCATTTTCTTTTTATATAAAGAACCCACTTTCTTACTTACACTAATTTGATGTATTCTTCAACCTTGTCGGGCTTAACTCGATGCTCTATATCCAGCGGTTAGGTTAGGATGGGTATATTTATGTATAGCAACCATTAGAAGCCAAACTTACTCTGAAGCTCATGAACATATTTTCCTCTAGCGAGCACCTTGGAATGAGTTTGGCTTTCATCTTCCTTGACTACTTTTGATCCATAAAGCACAGCTTCGATGATTTCATTGGCCTTATTGGGAAGGGATGCCACAGTATCTTCCTCCTTGGTCCGGAGTCTGATCGGAGAAGTATGAAGTCTTGCTAAAGGGGTAAGCATACGTACACCAGGAAGCACATTGGAGATACGTGCTCGAGCAGCTTGTCTGGTAAGCGATAGCATTAACAATAAAAAGTAAAAATAAAATAAAATAAAGATTGGTGATTTGGAATAATGAAAAAGAAAAAGAAGAGGAAGAGGAACAAAACTCTCACACCCAGAAAGTATTTAGTTTTAGTATTTTTTTATAGACTATGCATCTTGCGTCACACCATACTCTCACCCACACACTTGTAATATGCTTACAACTTTATCCATTTATTTATAATTTATATATAGTATATTTAATTAACATCTGTAGTGTCTACGATATCTTGGGATGCTACTTTTTGACTGTCTTTGGAGTCTGTGGCCGTGACTGTGGCCTTGGTCTTTGTCGTTGTTGCCGGTGTTTGTGCTGATGTGTCTTTAATAGTCTTTTGCTTCTTTGGCGCTGATCCTTCATTCTCTAAGGCTTCTTTTCGTCGTTCAATAGCCGTCTTTAATGTGAGTGTAGGTGGAATGACATCTTCAAGAAACTCGAATTGTTCTACCTCTGTCACAGTAGAAGCTATTAACAAGTAAAATATATTGTAAATTAGTATAGATTAATCAACCAAGAACTGCAATATTATGTTACTTTTTTTTTACTTTGATAATTTTATTTTACCTAAATCTTTATAGTAAACTGTCTTTCTTTTGTCTCGCTTAGCTCTCTGATATCCTTCTGTGACAAGGTATTCCATAAACAATTCCTGTAATATACAATATATAAATATACAATGTTTTTAATTGACATTTCAAAATTTCAAGAATCAATACTACAAGTGAATGTGGTATTTGTACTCACAGTAGCATAAGCAACACAGAATATAGCTTCTGCATTGATCAATGACACATCCTTGTCTTCTTTGATGACGCGTTTGACTCTTGCCAAAGGTATGATTGTTGTGCCTGGCAAGCGTTCGAGTTTTGAGTTGACGGTTGCCTCGGATTCCATGAGTTATGAATGAATGAATAAAAAAGAGAGTTGTGTAGGGCAAAGTAAGGGACTTTGAAGGTTAGGAAAAAAAAATGCCAGTCAAAGCGAAACTGCCTTATTCTGGTGACTGCTTCGTTTCTCCATTTCCAGACATTATGAATATAGAAATTGAGTAAAGGTATGTAATAAACTAATATTTGTTGTTCTTTAATACAACTGATAATTAACATTTATGCATGTTATGCAAGTAATATACTTGGTTAATAGTCTTGTAATAAACTGGGCATTTTCAGTAATCCATTATAAACGGTCCTTTTATATATATATAAAGGTTTATGATTTTAAACTCTTAATAATGCAAAAAAAACTTATATAGAAAGATGTGTTATATTTTGGTACATCATGGCCATATTCTTGGTAATCCGCTTATTCCTATTACTATTGAAGGGCTGAATATGCTGATTTATTTAATCTCATCCAAACATCATAATTTATAATGTCACACAGTTGCAAAATGAATAGTGAATTAAGGAGTGATGCTAGGGAGTACTCTCAATGTGATGAGCAATAATCTCAGTGTGTGAATGTCGGATTACTAGATTATTTATCTGATAAAAGAGTTCGTGGCTTTTACAAATGGAAGAAAAAGGGTGGATATTGACTTGTTGCCTAGATATGTAAATATGTAAATATATATATATATATATATTTGATAAAGAGAAGAGCATAATACATGTTGCTCTTGACTATCTGGGTCTGACAACCAAATGTGAAAATATGAAAAGGCTTTTTGAGGTAAATGTACATTAGAAACGTGTAATATTTTCTTATATGTTGCTAATGCATTTCAAAAAAAAATAGTGCTTGCAGTGACATCAAATGAGTTACTATAGACCTTATATTATTCAAAAGTAAATCCAGGATGTTTACTAATGAACAGCCTTTGAACAATAAATAAATAAAATTCTGAAAACCTATTATGATTTAAATAGGTGGAGACTCTAGCTGTGTAACCATTTTTATTGGAATACAAAGATCCAAAATAAAATTCTATATCAGTGTACTGTACATAATATAGCTTTATTCTATTGGAGGATGCGGGGACTAAACCAATTTATTTTTTTTGCTTGTTCCCGGCGGTCAAATAAAAAAACACAATGCATCAAGTAGGAAAGAAAAATAACTCGGAAAAAGTTGTTCTTTTCATTATGTCTCTCCCTACTGACAATTTCCTTGACGCAGTTCGCGTATCATCCAGAAAATGTATCGAAAAAAGTGCAGTCAAGGTTGGCATTTAACTTGAGCAAACACTAAAGTTGTATCTAACGCGTTCTATTCTAGATATCCGACGAAGGCATACGTACTTTCCTTCAGAACCTCGACAAGCATCAGTTTGAAGAGCTTGCAATCGACTCTCCCATGCGCATGCCTCTCAAGTTCAATTCAGTGGCAGAAGAAATCAATTTTGTCAGTTTTATTGACTTATTAAACTTTGGAAGCGGCTATCGTGTACCTCTTCATGAATTGGCTGGTAGAGGGTAAGAGACGTAAACACTCCATCCCAAAGCATGAATATCTTTATAATTATCATTGCCATTTGCAGTGCTTTCGATACTATCCGCTTTGGTGCCATGTCTTTTCACATCGGAGGGACACCTATGACAGCCAATAAATTCAAAAATATCACAGCCTATGAAGTATCAGAGATCTTCCAGATCCCTATTGAGCGTGATGTTCATCCTCCCAACATGCCCTTTGTCACAATGTCCGAACCGACTCCTCTTAAGCCATTGGCGGTTGGAATTGCTTCCGTTCTCAATACTACTGGTGAATTCCTCGAAAAGCATCACTACAACGACATGGCTAGTTTTATATTGGATGTTACCAAGCCGCAGTCGAATCAGATGCCCTCTGCTTCCAGACTTGTAGAGCATCTCGTAAGAGCGCTGCCGGGATTGCAGGATCTTTACACTATCGACGGTGAAGATGTATACATTTTTAAAAAGGCACAGATCCTCACTTATCACTTGTGGATGTTCTTTAAGGATCAGGATCCTGATCGATTTGACTTTGCAGACATTGAACGTTTGACAATCTTTTCTGATAATGTGATTCCTACTATGCTAGAACATCTAGGAATCTTGGTTATTCCTTCTGAATGGAAGCAAGATATTGTAGATAATAAGGACATTGGTGAAGAAAAGGCAACGATTCTTCGAGCAGCTGCTATTGTGGCATGTGATAAAATTGTTCAACTGACACGGTCATCATCACCCATTGGACAAATCACAAACATGATTGAAGGTGACCTTGATGTGTATCTCTGGAGACTTGGAAAGGAAGGCGAATATCGAAATATTCCTCGGATTGAGTGGAGGGACACAGTGATGTTTTAGCTAGTCTTTATTTAAAATATACAATAAAAATATTTATATAAGCATTTCATCATATTTTTTTTCTCTCTTTGGGCCATGCAAGGCGGCCATCGTGACTTGCTTTCAGGCAAAGGCATGTTTTTGAGCTCTTTCTCTCCCCGCCTTTTGCCTTTCATGCCCTTTTTCGTTACTTTTTGCTCTGGTACAACCCTCTGTGTGGTAAGAAAGAAAGCAAAAGAAGGAGAATAATGTGTATAGAAAAAAAGGGATTATTTTTGTATGAACACAAGTAATTAAAATTGTACTTTTGATGTGGACGTGCCCCAGTGATGCTTCCACAAGTGCCCCATAATCCACTCTTTGCAGACCGTCTTCCGCAGCCCAGCAGCTACGCATCCGCTCCCATAAGACGGGAGTACGACGGTACAAGAACATTCAGCTACACCGATGCTTATTCTGCCCACATTCCCAGTGATTTCTCCATGCAAAATACTCAATCGCCACCGACAATATCACATCACAGTTATCAGGAAGACCATCCTTCATCTCCCTTTCCATCCATCAGCACAAGTCCATTCCACACTTTGGATCCAACCAGACAATATGATTCTGTTGAACCGGAAAGAAACCAGTCTGTTGATCCATTGGCTGGAAGGTTGACCATGCGCTATTCGTGCAGGACAAGCCCGATACCAGACTGTGATACATATGGTGTCGAAACATCGTATTTGAGTGGGCAATCACAGCAACAGCCGCAACAACAGCGCCAGCAACAGCAACAACAGCAACAGCAACAACAACAGTCGCAACAACAGCAAAATCAGCAACATCAGCACCAGCAACAGCAACAACAACATCAGCAACAGCACCAGCAACAGCAGTCGCAACAGCAACAACAGCAACAACAACAACAACAACAACAACAACAGCGTCAAAGGCAGCAGCACCAGCAACCCCAGCAACCCCAACAGCAGCCTAAACGTCAGCAGCGCCAGCAGCAACATTCTCAGCAGCAGCAACCCCAACAGCACCATCATGAAAATAAGAAGATAAAGGTCCAGTCATCGACACCGCTTGAAAGACCTTATGTAAGATTTTTGTTTTTAAGTTGCGAAATCTCATTCTCTTGTTTTAGACGTGTTTATTTCCTAATTGTGGAAAGGCATTTACGCAACAGGGAAACCTTAAGGTAGGGATAAATATTATCATTTAGGGCTTGAATTCATTGTTACTCTTATTAGACACATTCCAGAAAGCATACGGGTGAACGACCTTATCATGTAAATAAAATTATGTAGATTTTGCTGCTAGCAATATATACATACATACATACATGTGTGTATTAACCTCGAAAATTGTAGTGCTTATTTGCAGGATGCCAGAAAGCATTTACTCAACTCGGTAATCTCAAGACACACGAGAAGATACACTGGCCAGTTAAGCCTTACATATGCCAATTCGAAGGATGTGGCAAAGGGTTCACACAGCGTGGAAATCTAAAGGTATATCTATATCTATATACACATATACATATACATATATATATGCATACATATGATTTGTATTCAGAAAGTAAAAGGAAAAGAGATTACAGAATGATTCTAAAAGAAAGTACAATTTTTAGACACATCAAGTCAAAGTACATCAACAACATGCCTAAATCACTTTTTATTTCTTTTTATTTCTTTTTATTTCTTTCCTTTTTCTTTATTATCTTATGGTTATTATTTTTTTTTATTTCTTCCTTTAAATGTCTTTCTTTTCTATACCCTATCTCCAACCCCACTCCCTTCCTTACGAAGCTTATTGCAACCTCTAGGCTATGAAGTGTTTCCCTGAAAAATTCAAATAGATTAGAAAGTGCACACATGCATATGGATGTGAATAAGGAAAAAAGTGCTTAGGTGAGGGTAGATAAGGATGTTATATATTTGGTTTTATTCGTTTTGCTTATGCATATATTTCGGATATGGTTTTTCTGCTTTTCTTTATTTCTTTCTACTGGGTTTCCTCAGTAGTAGAGGCATTAGCTCCCACATTCTGTTCCTTTAACAAAGCGTCGATCTCGGCTGGTTTATAAAGTTCATATTTAACCTTATCGTTTACCAACCGAATGGTAGCGAACTCCACTATATCACACAATTTTAGTTTAACCTCACTTATTTTTTTTGTAACAATAACAATATCAAAAAACAAAGAAAATTATTATGCTTACATTTCTCACTTGTCAGTGTTGTACTATCCATAGTCTTGCTCAAAACCTTGATAGCCAATGCCTTGGCTTCCTCCAATGTCAACTCTTCCTTGTGATCCTGCTTCAGAATACTTTGAGCAGTGGCGTTGTTGGCACCAATGCATGTTGCTTTCCACCCGCCATAGTTACCAGAGGGATCAGAGTGATACAACTGGAAACCAAAATGCTCATCATAGCCAGCAAAGATAAAAGACACGCCAAAAGGACGCAGACCACCATACTGTGTATAGCCCTGCTTCAGATCACACAAGCTCTGTACCAACTGCTCCACAGGGATCTCTTCGTTATAGCTAAACAGATATCTCTGTGCACTTGCTCGTGCCCAGTTGATGAGGATATTTGCGTCGGCTGTAATTCCTGCAACACCACAAATCATATTGCTATATATACATAGTAATGATGTAAGCAAAAGTATACAATGACTGAATAAAGCAAAAATAAAAACATAAAAACAAAATCGTATTGTGGATTACGCAACTCGTTCAACTTGTAAATCTTCTCGGACGACGCAGTCTGTTCGAGTAGCTTTGAGGTGACCTTTTTCTCTGCAGCAATGACAATTCCATCTTTGGCAAGAATTCCAAGAGCAATTCCGGCGTGAGAAATTGCCTCCATGGCATACTCAACCTGGTAAAGACGACCTATCAGGCTGTGGGCGTCAGGTACAAGCCAGAATATACGTGGGTTATTGGCTTTACAGCCTTCCCAGCAACGTATAAACGCGTCATTGAGATTTACCTTCAGGAGAAAAGATTGTCGTTCTCGAATCGTATCTTCGTGACATAATGTGGTAGGATGGTGTACTGTTGAGGAAGAGGTTCTTAAAAAATTAAAAAGGGCCGTGATTACGTGCTTGTGGATACGCGCACGCTACAATTGTGGGTGACGTCGTACTCCGTTTTTGGGAAAATGGAGTTGCGCTGGGCGAAATGCATTGACAGATCCAACTAATTGGGTGCACAACGCAAAGTATATAGAATTACATATTTATTCTTTTAAATTTATTAGCTTCATGTTTTTACATGAGAGCAATTGTAAAGGGTGTAAAGCGTAGGCTTTTTCTTTTACCGAGAAATATATTTATGAGATGGGCATTGAGCTTAAAAAGTTAAGTTAAGCGAGATAGAGATAGGGTGAGCATGTATATATCACTGTTGGAAAAAAGAGTGGTGATTCCGATGGTGATTTTGGAAAAACCCCACCGGAATCACCATTTATTTTCCATAGTGAATATGTGTGGCTTCATAGTAAAGCCTTTTTTTTACAATACATACAGAGGTTTATGCAAAAAAAAAATATCATTCTAAAACAATCTATATTTTTCTTTGGTCTGGTAGTAATCGATGACTAACACCAACCTGCCTATTGGTAAGGTGGGATACGATAACTTGACTAGGGTGCATTGCCAATACCACTATGTATTGTTCTATTGACAACTTATTCAGCAAGCTACATATTATATGTATCTATTTATATGCTTTATAAAATCAGTACATAATTCCCCCTGGAAATTGATTGTGAGTATGGAGAAAGGAACAAAAGGCATACTTAAGAATAGTATGCTTGTTACATTGTCAATAGTATAGGTTTAACTTCCTTTCTTTTCTTCTATTTATTTTTTTCAGTACTAACCATCAAATCAATGTTGCTTAATTATAGAATTTTACATTTATGATGAACTGCTTCTGTGGAAATTCTGAGAGGGTAGACATTCTGTGAACTGCCTGGCTTTTTCAATACCACAATTCTTTTTGAGATTCACCTAGACTATTCAAATAACGCAAACAACTTAACAAATACAACCACTTTAATAAACGACATTTTCTAATTAAGCTATTATAAGTCTATGTGAGTGTCTTTTTATGCCGTTATAAAAATGATTGCATATTGCGAACTGATCCTATTACTTGATCATTAACTGGAATTACAAAGAGAAAAATTAATTGGAATATCAAGGGGAGATATTAGTCATTTGTCGAGAATTATAGGCATAATACTAGACTCACATTTAATGGTTTAGCAGTTGACTTTTTGGAATTATTAATATCTGATGATCAAGAAGTATATATATATATTAGATAAATAAATAAAGTAAAATAAAATAAAATAAAATCAAGCAAAACAGGCAAGGCCACTGTATGAGTTGTTTTTGCTTATGTATATATGTACAAGACGGGTCTAGGAGCTTAAGGATAATACAGTCAAGGAGTGCAGATTTTCTTTTAAAAAAAACCTAAATAGTTAATAAGCAATATCAACAAATAATAATATATTCAAGGAAACACATTGGTCTAAGGCAATATTAATCACTTTTGCAAAATAAAACCATATTATTTGTAAGAAGTGTGATATTTTATAAGGAAAAATTTTGTCTTGTTTTGGGAATCAAAAATCAATATGAGGTTGGATCAGAAAGACAGGTACCAGCACCTGTCTCCAATATATCACTGGTTGATCTGTAGACTTTTAGACGTACAAAGGGTGTCTGTAATAATTCCATACCAGCGGAGAACTGAGACAATGCATGGTCGTCGATAGTCACTTCCTTTGTGCACTTTCTTTGATCAACCAAAGAAATCCTAGTCGAAAAATCCCAGTCTAATCATAACAGTAACATAATAGTTTTGGTACATTATATTATAAGCACCTGTAATTATCTGACATATTACCAAGCTAGTATTACCTAGAAGAGATCCCGAATTTTCCTGATGACTTCCTGCTACCATATGAGCAGGATCCAAATGAGTTTTGGGACTTTTCCACAAACCGGTATTGTCCATATCAGGTCTCCTAGACAAATATCGAGCCAGAAACTGAGGTCCTTGAGCTTTTCTCAAAAAAGGATGAGAAAGAGCATCTTGAATTGAAATGCGCTCAAAGGGATCCTTGATCAAACAAAGACGAATGAAGTCTTGAAATGCTGTGCTGGTTTGATACTTGCATCCACTGCTTTCAAGAGTTGGAGGGGGCTCATTTATAATAGACGAGAATATCTACAGGTAATTAGTATTGATAAAGTATATATATATTTAATAGTATGGATTATAACTTACCTTGAGTGGATCAAGGTGCCAACCGGAAGGACGCCCAGAAGCAAGTTCAATAGCTGTCATGCCAAGAGACCATATGTCAACCTTTGTATCATAAGCTCGATTCATAAGAATCTCTGGGGCCATCCAGCAAGGTGTTCCAACAAATGATCTACGAGAAGCCTTTTTGGCCTCTGTAACCAAAAGAGATGGTGTTTGTTCTTGAGAAATAGATTTAAAGGAAATTGTGTCAGAGCAAGGTGATATTTGAAGATCGGGTATTGTCGTTGTATCCTGTTGATATCCAGGTAAAGATGAAAATGAAGGTCTTAATTGAAGACTGTCAATAGCTCTGCAAGGTGCCTGCAGGAAACTCTCGGACTCTGACGATACTCCATCAAAATCGAGTAATGCATCAGGGTTGACAAGACTATCACTGACTCCAAAGTCAGCTAATTTGACAATTCCTGTTGTGTGATCTATCAATAAGTTTGCAGACTTGAGGTCTCGATGGACGAGTCCATTACTGTGGAGGTATTCGAGACCAAGAGCGGCCTGGTGAATTATGCTAATTGCCATGTTAGTACATGTCCTAAAAACATGATGTTTAGCTTACCATCCAACAACGGTCTCTTCTAACCCATAATGATTGTTACGAGCCAATAGACTGTGACATGAGCCTACACAAAGGATAAAATTAGAAAGAGAGACAGGAGGAGAGAGAGAGATGAGCCAGTAATTATCAGTAATAGGAAGGAGAGAAGAGATAATTAATTATTGACTGGATATAGCAACTAAAATTCAAATGAATGTGTTTTTTTATGTATATATATTCGTCTTCTCTCCTTACCAGCCGACATTATTGGCATCACAATGTGTAAAATCGAGCAGGATACAAAGCTCTGATGTACTGGGAGTATGTGTGGGTGACGACAGAGGGTCATAATTTGAATTTCTTTGCGTAGTCTCTCCAACCGAGAGGGCTCGCCATCTTCTAGCCGGTCAAATGATTCCAGAAGGATTGTCTTAACGGCAACGAGCGATCCTGTCGGCACATGTACGGCAGCGTACACCTTTGCCGTCGCGCCCGAGCCAATTTTTCTGACGAGATCATAGTCTGTAGACGATGTTGAATAGCTAGATGGCTTATCGAGTGAGCGTTGCTGTCCTGGCCAGATAGATGCTGTCAATCGACTGACTTTGTCTGACAAAGATCGATGACGAGACAATGGTTTAATTTCTGCTGTAGGAGGAGACGCATCCGTGGAAGCCCTTTTGTGGCGCCTGTGGCGCATGGCTGAAGATAGCATGCGATTGATAGAAGTTTGGCGCCTGGGTAATTCTGGCTCGGAGTCTCGCTTTGAAAGAGTACTCATGATGTGAAAAGGGTAAAGAAAGAGAGAAGAAAGACTCTTCGATTTCTTTAAAAAAAATGGAGTCCAATATATCTTTTTTATTATTAATATTATTCTTGTTATTTTTAATTTTTAATTTATTTTTTTTGAAATCTACTGGCAAAATAAAAATTCAATTGCATTATGGTAGGCTCCAGGTACTGTATAAATTAAAGCTCAAGTACATTATAGATTATTCAATGGTTTAAGCTTTGGCTGATACAATAGCATGATGGACACGTTATTTATGAAACATTTACTTGTTGCTTTCTATTAAGAGAGAGAAAAAAGGGGGAGGGGAGGGGAAGTGGTTGGTGGGGGTGCCAAGCAAAGGATAAGGAGAAAGATACATATCTCAGAATGTTGACCACTGCCAACCATCCAGAGCAGAATATGGAATTGGGTCAAATTTGCCTAAATTAAATTCATATGACACAGATCAACGATAGTCTAGAATAAAGACATAGGCCAATGATAAAGATGTGTTTTTCTTACCTAACGATAACAAGTATCCACCTTCAGTATCTGACACCGGAGCAGGTAGAATGATATCTGTAAAAAGAAATAAGAAAAAAGCAAGAGAACTTATGTAAACAGCACAATACAGAGGAGATCATTAATAGCCTTGCTTACCATCCCGTCCAATTTCCATTATGCCTTCCATTGCTTGCGGTTCAAGTGTCATGATGCTACGATGCTTATCTCGTGTATTGGGTGCAATGTCTGCTTCGTCCGTACACCCCTTTTTGGTTCTGAGTATTTCCCAAAGGTAATATAATACGCACTTATCACATCCACGGCATAAAACCCCTTTAGAATTAAATAAAGCGTTTTTGTCCAACCGAATACTTTCTGAGCAGTGTCTATCACAAAATATCTTTCCACAATAACTACAATGGTGTCAATTTACAAGCACACCAAAAACATTAGAACAGCCTTTTTGACCACAAAGTGTAGTGCTAGAATACGGCTATAATTTATTATTATTATTGTTGTTGTTATTAGTAACTATTATGATTCTATGGTTTTTAAGCGTTCTTATACCTTCCAATGAGCTCTTGAAGGTAGATCTACAATATTTTGCGATTCTTGATTGACCACAGACCTCTCAGTAATCAAGGTTTCCCGCGTAGGTACTTCTGGTAGGCTAGAGTCTGCTTTTGATATAGTCAATTTCCTAGGCTGTTTGTGGCTCAAAAGATCGTAAATCTCCATTAGTTTGTACTAAGAAGAACTGATATACTTTTTTGTTGCAAGTTTAATAAATACTTTGTTGGCAAAAGTATATATTTGAACTACCGCATCGGTAATTATGAAATGAAATCTTCAAGAAAAAATGAACAATCTGACCAGCTTTAGAATATCAATCGAGTATAATACTATTGCTGTTAGTATGCCTTGTAAGCCTCACCTATTTGCATGATATATCCATGAGACATCAATTTAATTTTGGCTATAATTTAGAAGAAACAAGACAAAAACAAATGAAGATTCAAGTAGTAATATGATGAAATCATATATGTAACAAATAAAATAAAGACTTATTATTTATTTGTTGATAGTTTCTAAGAGGAGAAGACATGTTGTAGATATACCTGATGGGCTGTTTTCTTTTTGTCTTTGGTTTTAATACGCGAATGACTAACGGTGATATTCTAATACTGGCAATATCCTTAGCCAATAGATATCACTAAATGGCATTTCATTTCTTCCTTTCTTTTTGATGACAGTAATCAGTCTGAGAGTAACTATTAAACCTGATATAGAATTTTATAATGTGCCCAACTTCATTCCAAAGTGATTGGTCTAGGATAATATTATAATAAAAAAAAAGATCCAGCTCATGCCTAGCAGATTTAGTTTTATGTATTCAATGTGTATTTATCTCATTTCTCACATGTCGTTTGAGCAAGCGTTTATTACAGTAAACTCTTCCAAGATAAGATTGGAATAAAGAGCGTGGTAGGTCTATGTCCTCTACAAAATCATAAGCAAGGGGTTTGCTTGTATCGTATAATCTATATAATTTTTACTAAGAGTCTGGGGAAATAACTGAATCTTTAATACCCTTTATAATTAGTATTTCCTCAACAGTACAAAATCTTAACAAGCTCAACGACTATTCTAATTCATTGTGGTCCATTAAATTTGGTTAACTTAGAGTTCAGTATAGCACAGTAAAGCATAACTGAGTAAATGTATTTAATTTATCTGAATGGTAACTGCAACTAAGCTTTATTTCCGATAATATTGTCTATACAATAAAGAAAAAAAAAGAAACTATTTCTTGGCGTGTTTAACAAGGTAGGTCAAAAGATCCACCTTGGTAACAACGTGCTTGACTCTAGATCCATTGGCAGACTTCTCAGTAACAATAGCGCTGGAGTTCTTCTCGAAGAAGCGGGTCAGTTTATCCAGGGGGGTATCGACGGTGATTTCGTCGAACTTGCTGGTACCGAGGTTGAACCGGAACATGACCTCTGAAACAGGAGTAGAGGGCTTAGCGCGACCAGAGGCCATACGAGAGAGAATGTTGCCCATGGTAACAAGACCCTGGAGGCGACGATGAGGACCGGCAGCAACAGGCAGCTGATCAAAGGCATTCTTGTGCATAATTTCAATGGCTTCCTCGCAAGTGGTCTACGATAATTACAGAAATTATCAGTAACCTGATATTAAACACGCATTATTCCAGCTTACCTGGCCATCGACAGTCACAGCCTCACTCAAGTTAAGGCTGCTGACCTTGGCACCATCGTATTCTTCCTCTGCCTTCTTTTCGAAGCTTTGAGACTCAAATTTCTCATCAGTGAAGCCACGCTCTCTCATCCAGTCATCGTTCAAGAACTTGGTCATATAGTTACGAACTGAGTCGGGTAAGATGACAACACAACGCTGTCCTTCCTTGAGCTGCTTGGCGGCTTGGACGGCAGCATACATAGCAGTACCAGAAGAGCCGCCACAAAGGATACCTTCATCACGGATAAGGCGTCTGGACATCAAGAACGAGGGCTTATCTTCAGACTTGACCCACTCATCAACCAAGGGACGCTTCAGGACATCAGGGATGAAATCATATCCGATACCTTCAACTTGGTAAGAACCACCCTCGACATTGAGAGACTCGGGGAGGGCCAGGATAGAGCCAATGGGATCAACACCAACAATCTAAATGGCCATTTACATTTAATACAGTTATGGAGACAAACACACATACGCACACCGCCAGTAATTTTCGTTTAGGAAGTGAAGCTTTACCTTGATGTTGGGGCATCTCTCCTTGAGCTTCTTTGCAATACCAGTGATAGTTCCACCAGTACCTGCACCAGCGACAAGCATATCAATCTTACCGTCGCAAGAATCAAGAATCTCCTCTGCAGTGGTATCGTAGTGAGCAACAGGATTGTAAGGGTTGTTATACTGATCAAGAATGACAGCATGAGGAATCTCATCTCTCAACTTTTTGGCAACGCCAATGTGAGATTCGGGAGCATCCCAAGCAGCTAAAGAAAAATATCGATACGAGTTAGTCTTTGTTTTTTTTTATAGACAAGCAAAAAAAAAACTCTGAGATTCGAAATCTTCCACCACTAATTCAAAAAATTATATTGTTTTACCTTCAGTGGGAGTACGAATAATTTCGGCACCCAGGGCCTTGAGCACGTCAACCTTTTCCTGAGACATCTTCTCGGGCAAAGTAATGATAACACGGTAACCCTTGACAGCAGCAGCAAGAGCAAGTCCGATACCTTTATAGTATTATTATTTCAGTAAAAAATAAAAGAGGGTTATAATCAGTATTCACAATCACTTTGGAGGCTTGGATTTGGTCTTATTTACTATTGCTTAATTCACAAAGTAAAAAAAAAAATCTTACCAGTGTTACCAGAAGTGGGCTCGATAATTGTGCTTACACCAGGAGTAATCCAGCCAGACTTCTCAGCCTCTTCAATCATACGCTTAGCAATACGATCCTTGACAGAACCACCAGCATTGAAGTACTCGCACTTGGCAACTATTGTAATGACATTAATAAGATGTATATTTCACATGCCCTTGCTTAATTTCGTAAAGAGAAAAGATCACTTACGCAATTCACACTTGAGGCCTTCATCCTTGGCAATCTTGTTGATACGGACAAGGGGAGTACGGCCAATGTTATCCAAGATAGTGTCACAGATCTTGGGGGCAGGACCACTAGAGATGCAATTAGCATTTTTTCAATTAACTTTAGGTGATTCTTACAGCTTGATGTGGTTGTGCATTTCGTAACTGATCTCAGAAGCCATGTTGGTTATACAAAGGTAAGAAGGCGTGAGAAAATAAATAAAAACTAAAAGAACTTTTATGAAGAAAAAAAAAGCTCGAGAAAAAATATTCAATCTCAGATTTGAATCATCAACATTAACTTTTTTTTTGAAACAAGTGAACATCAGCCAAGGGGAGAAAAAGACTTTTATTATTATTATTATTATTGTTATTTAAAATTGATGGTTTAAATATATATAGTATAATACAAATTTAATATATTAATATTAGGCAATTACTTCCTTGCTATAGTGGTAAAGTCTAAGTTATTAAGGTCGTTTATAAAGCGGAAAGAAAAAACTTATGTGAATAAGGGTATCTGTTTTTTTTTTGTAATATTTACTAAAATATGTTTCAAATAATATGAAAGAAAACAAGAAATGATATATTATGATATTCACTGATAGAAGTACAAATAACAGCTATGAGCTCTTAATGTACCAGCCTTCAGTTGTATAATTTTATCTAAAGTATAGGACACAAGCAAAATATATTACACTTGTAAGGATAAACTTTCCCTTGTAACTTTAGTTTGGGTTAGGTGTAATTCGTTTTATGCATTCTTGTCTTTTACTTTAGTATGATAAAAATTAATAAGACACTGTAATGATACAAGAAGTTTTTTTTTTTTTTTCATTTCATATCAACTCTAAACAGCACTTGTTATACGTATACACACACATATATATACATATGATATAAAGAGTGAATATATTTGTATTAAAATTAGTCTACAAAAAGTTAACACCGAGACCAAACTGAAGACCAGGTACAGGCAAGTCAGTTGAAGTGAACTTCAAGGGTACACAGAAGTTGACCTCTACTCTAGCTACGTCGTGATGGAAGATCAAACCGAAGCCTGCTGCTGTTCGAGGTTCCTTGACAAGTTCTTGAACAGTATCAGCCAAGGGAACATCTGTGAATACATACAAAATTAGCTCTTGGTATTATTTACAGTTCTTACGCCTTACTCTTGTTCCATTCGATTATGCTACCAGCATTCACAAATGCATGACCCTTTACTGGCAGATGAGACAGTCCGGGAAGAGAGCTGACCAAGCTAAGTCCAGCAGCCCAAAATAGGTTACCACCCAAGGCATCGTCTAATGAATTATATAAATATACATTTTGATTTTTCAATATGTCTATTTACGAAAACTTACTACCATCTCTAGGACCAATACCACCAGCCTTGAATCCTCTAACAGATAAGGGCCCACCGAGGTAGAAGCGATCAGATACATTGACACTATAATCGTTGTCTACGGTGGCAAGTAAACCAGCCTTCAAACCGGTGCTCAAGATCAAACGACCGTTCTCTCTAGGTTGCAATTCATTGCCCACCAAACTTTTGTGATACTGGGCAGACATCTCCTGCTTGACATAGTGGACCTCGCCCTGGGTGCCTGTACCAGCTACCTCCTGGAACATACCAACATAGTGACCAGTGGTAGGCAAACTAAGACTGTCACGGGTGTCACGGACAAAGGAGTGGGATACAAATGTCTTTTGATTCTTGCTCGAATGGGCACGAACGCTATAGTTTGATAAGTAATTATGATAGTTCTTCAATTGACAGAACTTACGTTCCTGATGCCTTGGGATGTGCAGTAATGTCTCTGTCAGACATTCCAATTGTAACCTGATGGCTACCGTAGCTTGAAATACCCTAATATAACTAATTCAATCCACACGCTCTGCTCCCATATCTCGGATTTATATATGCATATGCATATATATGCGCTTTTCTTTGAAGTTTACCTTAAACCTAATACCAGCCGATTTCTCATTTTCATCATAAAGATTGATGAAAGAGTAATCCTTGATCGATCCACTCACAAAGGCTTCAAGCTTAGAATAAGGTGAAGCATTGAGAGGGGTACTGATAGAAGCCTAAATTCTTAATCAGATACATATCATTCGACAGTCTTGTGTTAATCATCCACAATATATTACCTCAACCTTGGCCTTGGTACGCTGGCCAAAAGAGAAGCTCAAGTTGGCACTCTCTGCACCACCAAATATGTTACGCACAGCCACTGATCCAGCCTAATACACAACATAGACCTTAATATTGGGCTGCCCATAATCTTGCCAATAAAACACAATTTACCGTGTAGGCTTCATAGTCTCCCACAGCGATCGATGTTTTGTACAGTCCCTTGGGCTTCTCTTTCAGATCGATCATCACATCAACGGTATCAGAAACAGTTGGGTTTGTGTTCAGATAAACTTTGATTTCGTCAAAGATATCGAGATTATCGAGCTTGCTCGCAACTTGCTGCACATTCTTGAGGACCTCGGAGGTGTTCCCGGCTTTAAAGAGCCCAGAAGTAACACTGTTGAGGAATGACGAACGTGTAGCTGACACGCCAAGGATCCGGAGAGCATTGACATGAAGAGGTGCTTCGGGATTAAGGGTCTTATAAAAAGGAATAAGAACGCGTCATGAATCACGGAGAACGAAGTAAATGATTTACCGTTGTAGTAGCCATGGTAAAGTTGATTTATGCAGACTTGTTAGGGAAAAAGTCTTGCGTAGAAATGACTTGTTCTCTTGATTCCAGTCCGCCCGTATTTATCACGTTTCTCTAGACGAGACTGCGTATAAACCCCCTGCGAGACTTTAGCCAGGTCGCTAAAGGAGTTTTAAATCAAAGGTTACCATAGATGATACCTTCACAGTACATGGTATTAGATACTCGTATAAGAGCTCCAAGTATCAATACAATAAATTCCTAGGACGTAATGCAAGGTTCGGGAATATCTACAGTTTAAAATTTTGGGTTTGATATCTATCAATAAAAATGAGTATAGTTTGGATATGAGTTCATTCATCATCCTAAACATGATCACTATTTTATTATTTTACATATCAGTGTTTCGTGAATTCACTAATTCTATTCATATAAAGAAGATGTTTTTTTATTATGTTGCCCATTAGACAAAGGTCTTTAGCTTCTAATATATGTCCTAAAAATTCAGCTACATGTGCTTCAGCTTCTTATCTCCAAGAACAAGTTTATTGAAGACAATATGCAAATATACGTGTATAAACATTTCTTTGAAACTATTTTCCTTCCTTGTTCGAACCTATTTATACTATAGTAAAAGAAAGGGCGATTTTAGTAGGATATTTTTGCAAGGTTTCGGGGGATCTAAGGGCTACTTTAAAGTTGAGTTGTAATTAGACACCACTCTTCTTTTCTTTAGCGCTCTAAAGTGTCTTTCAGAATCCTGGATTTATTCATTTAGTTTTTGCAAATTCTCTTGGATTTTTTGCTTTGAAAAAAAAGTATAAGTTATATATTGTAGCATAAAGAAGAATATTTCCTGCAAAATAAAATAAATCCAACATGCAAACAAATTTGAAATATTGAAACTTAAAGAAAAATAAGAAAATGACTATCGAGTATAAAAGCATACAACCTTGACACAGTGATTTCTTTTGGAAGTCTTCATTAAATCCTACAAAATAAATTAAGCTTTTTTAAAAGATTCTTTTTTTTGCGTTTTGGAATATACTATATTGTTCACAATTAAGAGTTGCACACAATTTTTGATATCGTATATAAAAAATTAGATATTATATTGTGATAGTAAAAACTCTATTTTATTTCTTAAAAATCAATCAATCAGACATCGACTGTATGTATATATACTGTAGATACCAGACAAACAAGAATGACCCAGAAACTGGGATTTATTATATCTCAGGCATATTTGATCGCCCAACAATAAAAGATAAAGCTGTAAATTTTTTTTTGGGCAGTTTTATGCGATTTCAAAACTCTACTATATATATAATGAGGAGTATAACACATATTTAACCTGACGGATATATTGAAGGGGGGTCTCAAGGTATGGTACATACACTGAGAAATAATTTGTCACAGACATGCAAATACATTGGTTGCCTGTCATCTTTCCTAAGTTTCTTCAACTAGTTAAAGACTGAAAGATAGCTACACCTGGAGTATAGACAGTCACCCAAAATATTATAAATGCTTTCTGTTGAGCTAACAATTTTAAGCATGTTTGATAATTCATTAATACTGCTTGCAATAGTTTTTTGTTTTTTGTTTTATTGAGTGCCTTATGTGATTTGCCTTTTTCTTAAATGCGGTTGATTATTCTTACTTTAAAGCTTAGGATTACATGACATATAGTGCTTTTATAAAATATTACTTTATTTGTTTAAATTCGCACTACCTTAGACTACAAGAAATATAATAACCACTAATCCTCCATTTTTCTTTTGGCCTTTTGGCTGGAAGAAATTGGAATAATACTTTTGTTTGAGTTTTATTTGGGCCTAAATTTCATCGCTTAATCTGAACGTAAAAAATAAAACTAACAAACCAACCAAACAAACAAACAGGATTCATAGCTTCAATTCAATAAATTCCATCCTTCTCCCAACTTTATTATGTTTTGTGGCAGCTTTGAATACACTGTCGTATAATCTATTTGATCATAAATTAGCTGATGCAACGCAGCGGCTTATATTAAGAATTTTCGATGTTTTGCGAGCAGTAGTTCTGGAAATTGGAAATCCAGTAAGCTTGTTTAAACTTTGTGTAGTAGTAATCCAAGGTTAGTGCGTGTTTCTGTCCACGGACTATTGCAAATGTCCTTTATCTTAGAAAATAAGAGGTTTGTATCCTTTTTAGAGTCGCCTCTTCAGTAAACATAGTTTCAGAATAATTATCTATCATACTATGGAGTATTTCTACATTTATACTCTTCAGTCAAAATATCGCAGCAATATATGATACATATTCTTACCAGAAAATCATTTTTTATACTTTCTATGATGTATTTTCTCTTTCTTTTTATTTGATTTTGAAAAATAAGACAATGTGCTTAAAACGATGAGTGAGCCTTTAAAAATTTGGTTACTTTCTGCAAACTATGTAGGTTTCAAAATTCATATTATACTGTCACGATTTGGGCAAAGTATTTATAAGAAAAAATGTTTAGTTTGCAGCATCAATTCAATCCAATTTAAATGAAAATGGTTTGGAAATTGGGATTGGCTTAACGAGATACTTTATGAAACAATAATAGTTTATGTAAAGTCTTTCACAAATATTAAAACAAGAAGGGTTACTTGTAAATAATACATATAAAGGTAGAAAAGAGAATTTCAGGTGACTAATATAAACTTCTTTTTCTGCAAGGTAATACATGAAATTTGTATTCATACAGAGAAAAAGGGCTGGTTACTTGATACTTTGTACCCCCCGTAACTCCCTTGTCCAAACGTAACGCCCTTTAGTCTAGAACGATATGTACAGAAGATTTGTTCCAAGTTAGACCGGCCCTTGAATACAAGTATACTTCTAGTAAAGCTGGCCTTGTACATTATTGTTATTAACTATATCCCCCTCCTTTAATATATATATTAGACTTGTCTCACAGACTTTGCGACTTAGAGTCAAGCTTGATTCTTGCTCTTGAGGACTTCAATTCACTGCATTTCTCAGCTGTTACACGGCTGTATTCCAATTATTCATGACCTACCAGTTCAATTTGTTGTCATCAAGGTAGCCAGGTTCATTTCACAACTCTTTATGGGCCTGATCGACCACAAGAAGTGTTAAACAGTCAGTGAGACATAACTATAGCGAGTATCTACTAGATAAGCTGCTCTTTTAATGAATAAGAACCATCTGAGATTGGTGCATAATTAGTAGACACGTGACAGTATGGAGGTATCATTGTCACCATGTAAAATAGGTTCTTTTTTTTTTTAAAAAAAAGAAAAGTACTTCTTTTGGTTATGGTGAATATGCTTCTAGATAATAATGAAGATGATTTGGGTACAAGTTATCGATTATGCAAAATATGTCTAGAAAAAGACGATATTCGTCGATTGATATCGCCATGCAAATGCAAAGGATCAATGTAAGCCATTTTATAGATCCAACCGATGGAGACTGATGATCATCCAAAAGGAAATATATTCATACCTCATGCATGGCGTCATGGCGAAATTCACTTATGGAGAGTGGTAGAGATGGCGATCTCTATCATTGCCAGTTGTGTAAGCACAGGTTATATATTAAACAGCACCGTCCGTGGGCAGCACTTTTAAACCATAAAGGTAAGTTAATGAAAAACCCCCGTATCGAGTGAACTGGCATGAATTGTCTGACTTTAGTGACCCGTTCGCTGATCACTGTTGCACTCCTGGTACTTTTGTTGGTCCCTTCTGGTAAGCTGGAGTAATATGTGTCGTTATTAGACTAGAATCAATTTCATCGCGAAAAGTTCTCTTTGATTCACTATAATTAATATCGGATCTTAGGGGTGGTGATGAAGGTGTTTATACAGCTCTCGGTTATATTGTCAAATTATCCAGATGGTCTTATCAAGGCCTGGTCTTCTAGCTCAATTAAGGATGTATTTACCACCAGCCAGATAGACGTACATGTTCTTGCTGCATCCTCCTCTTCAGAAACAGCTGTTCGTGTCATTTACTCTCCGTTTCCTGTCTGTTTCCGTCTCTCATCATCCGATAATTACGATCTCTTCAACAGCAGAGCACTCAACTTATTTTTATTTCCATTTTCAGACGAGCGGTTTTGGCAGCTGATCCTCTGCCGACTAGAGCATTTTCATCTAGGGTTCTTTTTGATAGGAAGTGTGAACAATATCTGGTTGACCTACAAGATTCTCGATGATATGTTCGATTTGGTCTTGATAGGTTCAGACACACTCCAAGACGGGGTCCAGGTAGAAGGAGAAGAGGAAGAGGAAGAGGAGGAGGAAGAGCCCAATCTACCTACGATCAATCGTCGAGTGGGAAAACTTGTCAAGAGCATGTTACTCTTCCATTGTTGCACTCTTGTGGTTCTGTTTTGGATTCATTTCAATTTGTTAGCTTTCCACACAGATTCACCCCAAAATGACCCCCAGACGTACAACACTCGTCAATTTTTAGCAGAATTGCCTATGTGGACCCTCCGTTGGGTTACCCTTGGCATTGCAGTAGGAGATTTTGCGCTACGGAGTATTTATCGATGGCTGGGACGCATCAGCAATTGTGTTGCAGAAGAAGAGGTGCTCACATCGCCTGAAAATCAACCATTACACTAATTTACATACATCTCATATACACCCACCCACCCAAGTATATACATATATACATATATACATATATAAATGTATACATAGATACGTTTTGTTCACTAGATAATACGATCATACAGTCTTCAAAATTACGATACCAAATGGATAAGATGACAAAAAAAGACTTTATAACTGCCAACAGGCTTAAAATAGGTTTCTTTTTTGAATGTTGAATTTATGCCTCAACAGCAGCGGGGGCAGCGGGGACAGGAGCAGGAGTGAAGTCCTGGACAATGGGCTCCTCAACATCGGTCTCCTCCTTGGGTTCAAGGATAGTGACAATATCGGGAAGAGTGTTCTTGGGTCCATTGCGGCCGGTAGGATCACTGTCAAGCATGATCTTGACCTTGATACCGAGGACACCCTGACGCAACATAACGTGGCGAACAGCAGTGGTGATGAAATCACGAGCGGGCTGGCCGGAGTGGATCATGAAACCATCGCTGAACTTCATGGCCTTGGCGCGGGCAGCACGGAGCTTACCGGACACAACAACCTCGCAACCCTTGGCGCCAGACTCCATAACGAAGCGGACGACACCGTAGCATGCACGACGGACAGCAAGACCGTTGAGGAGCTTGTACTTGACAGACTCGCACTGGGCAATGGCGCAGAGACCACGGTTCTGGACACGCTCGGCGTAGAGCTCAACAGCGTTCTCGGCGAACTTGAAACGCTTCTGGACGAGGAAGGTCAATTCACGGATGCGACGACCCTTCTCACCAAGAACGTTCTGGGTGTGTGTGGCACGGATGATGATCTCAGTGCGGGCGGGGGTGACACGGACCTCAACACCAGCATAACCATCCTCAGCGAGTTCACGAGTGAAGTATTCATTCAACTCGGCGTAGAAGACACCATCGGCGACCTAGAAAGACAAGGTTGTCAGTGCAATGGCCAATATAATCTAACACACGTTTAGATAATCGATCGACTTACAAACTAGGTTGGCGGACAGAAAGTTGGATTCATATACATATTGGTTAGCTCATCAATCCATCCATGCATCAATCCATCAGTGTCTAACCTTTCTCTTCTTGGAGATTTGGGCAGCCATCGTTTCACTGAAAAAAGGAAGGAGGATGGTATGGGCTTTCCGGTGCTGTCAAGAGGCCGCCAGCGGCGTGTGTGCCCTCCAAGTTTCCTGCGGCAACAATTTGACTCTCCGACCGGACCACTCTCTGGTCCCCCTAATTTATTTTTTTAAAGCATTTTATCACAGCCAAAACTAAATGAGAAAGGAAAAAAAAAAGAAAAAAAAAAGAAAAAAAGAAGCATATATCAATATCAATATAAAATACGTAGGGAAAATTCCCTATTATTTATCCCTTGTATGGGCTGAAACCAGAGGCCCCTCTTTTGATATATATATATATATATATATATATGTATATCAATCGATATTCTTTATCGCAATCAAGCCTGTGTTTTCTAAATCTAATTTTCTTTCTTTGATTTCCCCTGGCTGAGAAGTGACTGCAGCGCTCTCTCGTTTATTTCCATACCTTGCCTTAAATGTCAAGCAAACCAACTCGGATAAAACCACCCATCGTCATTCTTCCCACTTTTATTTATTAATTCCCTTCCTTCTTTCTCCCAATGTCAGATATCAAGACGTATCGCAAACAAATGTCACAAACAAGAAACGGTAGCACCGAATTTATGGCCAATAGTCAAGGCTTGCAACGCACAGACGCGTCCTATATTCACCTCAGCAGAGAACAGCAGCAGCTACGAGAAGAAATTGCCCGACTCAGACAAGAAGAGCAGCAGCTGTGCGAAAAAGACGTCTGGGTCAAGAAAAACATTGTTGCCGTTAGAGAGCAAATGCACAATGAAGATAGATAATAGCCGTTGTGTGGCGACCACAAAGATACCATAATAAACATTCCTCAAATTTTCTATATTCAAGGCTATTGAGAAGATATGGAGTCCAGCTATGCTTTATATTTTATATTATGGGGATGATATATATGAAAGATTTAGTATTATTGGCTGTCTATAGGATGAAGGTCAAATTGCCAAGGATGCTCTCTCTCGTTCCATGCTGGTATCACTAGGATATTTGCTAGAATTTTTCTGCTCTCGCCCAAGGGACCGTAACCACCATTTCTGTTCCGTCTTATCGGCTGCCATCAGATAATAGGGCTTTTCCTGCATTAACTTCCGGTAGTCATCGCAAGCTAATGGATAGTCTATACACCAGTCATGGCGGCTATATCCACATTCAGTGCAAATTATTGTGGCCTGTTCGTCATGACATATTAAACAATGTACATCTGATCCTTCTATACGCTCAAATGAATGGTGCTTGGTCGCATTTGATTGCTGAAAAGAGGTTTTCTAGAAAATGAAAAAGGGGGGATATATTAGTATACAAATGTTTATAGCATACATATATACATATATGAATGTATCCATTGTATTTTAGGAAACTCACATTGATAAGCTGCTGTCGTTTCAGGGTCAATTGACAAATCTTTTTTGTAGCCATCAAAATTGCATGCTCAAGTTCCTTGTGAATTTTCCGCTGTTGTTCCTCGCTCGAAGTATTCATACCACTTGCCCTGAGCCCATTAATCAAACGAGAACGAGCTTCGAGAGTCTTTTTTGCACCTTCCATGTAACTTTCTTCTAACTTCAGTTGGCTATCAATTCTGGCCAATTGTATACTACTATCATGAGACATAGGACGTGTTATTGTAGTAGAGACAGTCTTTGAAGTAGCAAATGTTAGTATTTAATATCATGGCTACTATATTTCTTACCGATTCACTTGCACATGAAAGACTGTCTAGCACTCTAATGGAGAAAGTGCATTCAGCCTGAGAGGGGTTTAGGAAAGCTAGCTCATTGCTTTGCACAGGTTGAATAAGCACAGTTGGGGATCTAAAAAGAAACGTGATTGAATAAGAATGCCTAATAAATAAACTGACAACCTTACGCGATTGGAATCCTTATGTCAGGAAGTTGTCTTTCAAGCTTTTCACAATTCGAAGGCTTATTCTTGAAAGCTAATAAATTTCCATTTTTATATTGCACATAAAAAGCTTGGAAGTCTTTGGAACTTGGGCGGGTTGAAGTAGTGATTCTAAGAGGACCTCTGGGGCTGGATCCTACTTGTTTTTTAAATATATAAATAAAGTATAATGATTAATACTAATATATTGAATTTATAAGCTTTTTTTTTTAAAAAAAAACCATATATTAATAACTAGCTATATTAACTTTACCTTGACTAAACCACCCTTGTTTTTTTGAATATACTTTATCTTCGCGTTTATCTTGGTCATTGCTTTGGAACAATCTGCTTACTGTAACTGTCTCAGTTATTCGGTGCTGGGGTTGTAGAGCATCTTTGTGGAGGCGGGATAAATCCCGTTTGGCATCATGTAACGCATTTTCAGATTCCTCAAGGGCCTTTTCAAGTTGACGGATGGTTTCTCTGTCCTTTCGCCACATTATTGACAGAATCATGCTCCGACCTTGCTCAGGTGCATTGGGCTCCAAAGTTGGGAGTGCAGGAAGTGTTTTAGCAATCTGTCTAGTCTTTCCGACCGTCTTAAACTCACGTCGAAGGTTTTCCAGTTCGATTCGCAAGGATGCGGCAGTGAGCTGTGTAGACTTTGCCAAGGCACGCAACAACTGACACTCTTTACGCTCCGCTGTTATGGCACATACCAATGTTTCCTTTTCATTATGAAGATCCTCCAGGGATTTCTCTACATTGGCAAGGTGCTGGATATAATCTTGATGCTGGGTCTCATGTACAGTATTGTCTTTTTTATGACTCTGAAGCTGGGTACTAGTAAGTTTTAAGTGCTGCTTTGTTTGTTCGTGATCAAGTATCTCTTTTTCGAGATTCTCTTTAAGTTCGATTCTTTGAGAAGTTTCATTCTCTAGCTCCTGTAAAGCATTGTTTTTTTCATTTTCTAATTTTGCAGTGTCGTTAGTGAGTGCCTGAATTGTCTGGAGGAGATTTGATAGGCTGGCTTCTTTTTGAGATCTATCTGATTTCTGCTGCAATTCCTGCTCTTTCCAAATCTGTAATTCACAGGCTTGCTGGTTGGATATTTCTTCCAATGATTTTATCCTATCTTCTAGTTCTGTGACCGTCAGCTTAAGTTTGGTATTATCTTGTTCAAGTTGATCGACTTTAGGATTTACGGCATTGTGAACTTCTTCAGTATATATAGTGTCAGAAAGCATATCCTTTAAACGTAACTGGGGATCATTTAGCTGTCTTAAGTTGGCGATGTCATCTTTCATACTTGGAAGGATGTCCTTTGTCGTGTTTGGCATAAGACTTGAATATGTGTATCCAATAAATGGAAGACTTCGTCCTTCATATACGCCAGTATTATTAGTCTGCTCGCTAGTTATAGTCGGAACCGTGTCTTCTTCAGGGACCGAGAAATTAGATGTGTCATCTGGTGAAGATAGAACGGGAAGAAAAGGCGGTGTGGCTGTATATATGTATATATATATATGCGTGTGTATGTATGTATGTATGTGTGCTGTGAGTACTTGAGCATATGTCAAGGATTATTCCCACCTTCAAAAGATTACATTACCTCCTCTTATATTCTCCCAATCGATTCCTTTAAAGAAAGGATGGTGTTGTATTTCTTGGATTCCATTTTTCCCTAAACGATCCTCCTTTTTGCACAATAGCCTAAAGGTAACGTTACTATTCTGATACTTAATATGCGAATGAGAGGAGTGTGATTTACTTGCAAATAAGATCTTTCGCTTCCTCGGAGATCGGAATGTCATCGTTGAACTTTAGAGAAGACTGGGCAGATCTATATTTAGCAAGACAACAATGCAGATCACCCACAAATTACTTACTTGATGAAAAATAATCTTCCGATAGGTCTCGCTCTCGCTATCTCGCGAATAAAATGGCGGGTTTTCTTGAAGGACCTCGTACAAAACAATGCCCACAGACCACCAATCAACTTCTGTACCGTAAGTAACATTGCCCTGTTGTGATTCGAGTACTTCGGGAGAAACGTAATCGCATGTTCCAACTGGTGTTGTCGGTGGGATCTATCAAGTAAAGAAAAGAAAAAAAGGCGAAGCCTATATTTGTATACAGTACAGACTATGATCTTGGATTAAATATTTACCTTTGAGCAGTGATCGATTCTAATACACGATCCAAAGTCTGCTAGTTTGACATGCCCACTATTATCAATAAGAATATTTTGGGGCTTAATATCCCGATGAACGTATCCCAATGCATGCAAGCTATCAACAGCCAGGATTGTCTCGGCCATATAGAACCTCGCTTCATCTTCATTAAGGCAAAGATTTTCTTTACGATCGAGTACACTGAAAAGATCGCCTCCACCGGCATATTCCATTACCAGATAAAGATTATCCACATCTTGGAAGGCGGCGTGGAGGACAGGCATCCAATGGTTTGCGTCTGGGTGTGACAAGACTAAGCGTTCTTCCATTGAGAATGCCTTCTAGTAAAATTAAATGGTAAAATATGTGAGCTTGGATGACTTATTTGGTGAATTGACATACTTGTTGCTGTTGTAATAGTGGATCTTTACTAAGAACTTTCATCGCATATACATTACCGTCTAGTTTACTGCGGACTACAGAGACCTAGAAGATATGAGTTGGAGAAAAAGGTTTATAGACGGAGAATTGTTCTACTAAACAATCCTACTCACTCACGCAGTAACTTACTATGCCAAAGAGCCCATTGGCAAGAGGCCGAATGACCTCAAAATCATTCTTGTTGATTCTTGCCGCTCTTAGTTGCTTCTCGACCTTTTGGACTAAAAAGATTCGTGTCAGATTAAGCTTATTGATGTGGGGTTATTACATTGACTGAGAAACTCTCCGATAGTTTCTTGTCTATTGGTTCTCTGGTAAGCTTCACAATCATCATAAAGAGCTAGAAGGGCGTCTAGGAGGGCATCAGTGGTGTATAAATGGCGCTGTTCTAAACGGGCGGAGATAGAGGAATGTTGGGAGACAGGCATGGTGAAGAGGTGTGTTGAATTATTTGCCTGTTGAGTGTTTGTTATATTGTATTAATTTATGATATTCTAATATATGGTTAATTAGTAGCAATGTAGAGGGAAGGGTGACAAACAATAATGGTAATAAAAATAAGAATATTAAGAAAACAAGGGTACGAAGCTAAGAGAAGGAAAAGAATGGATGTTTTCGTCCTTGCTCGATTCTATTTATCGTATATAAACATTCTCCTTGTTTGGTAAGTGATGGACAACAACGGTTTTTTTAGCCCACTGTGTAAAGATCCATGACGTCCTCCTTTCTCCCCCCTCCCTTCCCCCCCAACCCACCCACCCACCTTAATAAAGCACAAATCTTTTTGGATTTACGGTGGAATCATACAATCTTCCAAAACCACCATCATGATTGGATACACCACTTCAACCAGCGCAAATAATCAAGAAATTCAGGACTTTTTTTCATTAAAACTATGACTTGACAAGGAAGATGTTTGTCACCTGACCCACTTTCTCTTTCTTGGTGTCCGCCCTCCTCTTTTTCTTTTTCTTCTTCTCATCTCCTGCCCTCATGTCTGCCGCCAACGGAACATCTGATCAACGGTACACGCGTTTAGAGAAACTAGGCGAGGGCACATATGCTACAGTGTTTAAGGGGAAGAGTCGTCTTGGAGGAGAGATAGTCGCACTCAAGGAGATTCATTTAGATGCAGAGGAAGGTGCTCCATCCACTGCTATCCGCGAGATCTCTTTGATGAAAGAATTGAAACATCGTAATATTGTCCGCCTCCAGGACGTTATCCATACAGAGAACAAGCTCACTCTCGTCTTTGAATTTATGGACCAGGACCTGAAAAAGTTTATGGATGTCACCGCACGATCTAGTCATGGTGCACTCGAAACACCTATGATCAAGTCATTCATGTACCAACTGCTACAGGGTATTGCTTACTGCCATGAGAACAGAGTGTTGCATCGTGATTTGAAACCCCAGAACTTGCTTATTAACAAGCGAGGAGAACTCAAGTTGGGTGATTTTGGTCTTGCACGTGCCTTTGGCATTCCCGTAAACACCTTCTCCAACGAAGTTGTCACGCTTTGGTATCGTGCACCCGATGTCCTGTTAGGTTCACGAATGTACTCAACTTCAATCGATATCTGGTCAGCCGGCTGTATTATGGCTGAAATGTACACCGGTAGACCCCTTTTCCCTGGAACTACCAACGAGGACCAACTCCAAAAGATTTTTAGAGTGATGGGTACTCCTACCGAACAAACATGGCCAGGCGTCTCTCAGTTGCCAGAATATAAACCTGCTCAGGCTATCTATCCTCCGCAGCATATCACCCAGATTTTGCCTACATTGGATCCAATGGGACTTGATCTCTTGAGTAGAATGCTCCAATACCAGCCCCAAATGAGAATCTCTGCAAAGGATGCCCTTAGCCATGTGTATTTTAACGATGTAGCTCGCTCCTAATGGCTTAACTATAAAAAAGAAGAATATCCAAACTTTGACTCTACATATTCACCTCAACACTTACCCCTCTCAATCTCTCTATTTCTCTCTATCTGTTGAACTCAATTTACTATCTTTTATATATGTCCAACATATAAGCACAAGCATTCATAATGTAAACAGCCCACGTTTGCATGGATAATAAACCTTTCTTTCTCTCTTTTTTGTTGTTTTATATATGTATATATATGATGTGTGTGTATATATTTTAGGTAAATGTAAAAAAAATAACGTCTTACTCGCCAAGTTGAGGTCCCTTGAGCGAAGTTCTACCAGCACGCATCATCTCATCAACCAACAAAAGGTTACTGGCAATCACAGAGCTATAAAATAGTATTAGTATCTCTATTCATAAATAATAACAATAAAACAAAACAAACTCAATATTACCAAGAGTGTAACATGTGGCGGTGAACTCTGTAGTTGCTCCATACACCTTCCAGCTTGGGGTCCATGGTCTCGCCTGTCTTGAGATCTACACCAACAATATGTCCCTCCATATGCTCATCCTGAAGAGCAACAATCACGTCTTGAGCATCAAAACCAGCATTTTGAGCCAAAACCTTGGGGATGACGAGAAGAGCATCGGCGAATGCCTGTACACCCATCTTGGCTCTACCCTTGACACTCTTTTTGAATTCAACCAAATGTTGTGAAAGAGCAACTTCAAATGCACCGGCTCCAGCAACTACAGCCTTGTCTTCGATCGCATTCTTTACTGCACGGAGACCATCACGGACAGCATCGTTGATCTGGGCAATTGTGTGTTGGTTAGGTCCCTTGATGAGGATAGTGACACTGTAAGGATCCTTGACGTCTTCAATGAATGTGAATTTCTCTTCTCCAAGAACCTGCTCATACACAAGTCCAGCATAACCCAGAATCTCAGGAGACAAATCATCAACCGAGTTCTGAGCAACACCACCGCACACTAACTGGAGGCGCTCCATGTTTCTACGTTTGGCACGGCGAAGACCGAGAATGTTGTTCTTGGCAAGGATATCGAGTGAAAGAGGGTCAATACCCTTTTGGTTGATAATAACAAAGCCCTTGTTGGCGTTGACACCAGTGCAGAGAGAGTTCTTGAATTCGACCAACTTGCGTACCTTGTCGTCTACATGCTTACGCTCACTCTCAACCAGCTTTTCGCGCTGTTCAGGGGTGGAATAGAAGAAGCCAGAATTGATCTCACTCTTCTCGTATTCCAGACTCACGTTAAGGGTAAGAATAAAGGCATCTTCAATCTTCTTGGGCATATCAGGGTGACGGGCACCATGATCCATCACCAAACCACGCACAAGTCGGGACTCACTCTCGGAACGGTGCTGCATTTTCATGATCTCCACCATGTGCAAATCAATAGGCTCTCCTTCACGGTAAATGGCAAGAACAGCATCCACAACAGCCTCAGTCAATGTATCTGCCAACGAACGGTGTACCTTTGTACGCAACGAAGTACGTGCCACAGACACCAACAATTCACGGTCTACTACAGGCTTAGGGGTCTTAAAAGTCTCAAGGAACTTGAGTGCCTCGTTCTTTGCTGCATCATAACCCTCTGTAATCACTCGAGGGTGAAGTCCCTCGGAGATGTATCTCTCAGCCTGCTTAAGAAGTTCTCCGACAAGCAATACAATCGAAGTCGTGCCATCACCTGTGATTTCATCTTGTGCAGTGGCAGCCTTGGCAATCATGGCAGCAGTGGGATGTTGGATTTGCTGCAGATTATAAATAACATTTTTAGCTTTTAATTCCTTAATTGTTCTCTTCATCCATCGTCATCTATTTTTACCATCTCGGTCAGCAAAACCTTGCCATCCTTAGTCAACTTGATGGAGCCTGCACCATCAACCAGCCTAAGATGCACATTAGGATGAGTTCATTATTGGTGTGTACGTAACATCATCAGAAAGCTTGTATTACATTTTAATGGTACCGCGGGGACCAAGGTTAGAACGCAGGACTTCCTGGAGACCAATAGCAGCGGTGATGTTCAACTGGAGAGCCTGACCGCGTCGGGCGACATCTGAGTTGGGGTTAATCAATTTAAGTGCTGATGATGCCCTATATTACTCATAATTATTAATATCCACTCGAAAAAAGGCGCGTTTGGAATTTACATGATGAACAGGGAGTGTTCTTTTTTGTACAGATGGATGAAGAACGAGAATGAAGTGAAGGAGCTCTAAGGTGGAAGGATGGGTGGCTGAGATAATCCAAAAAAGGCAACTAAAGTCACGATAGTTAGCATCACTGTAGACAATTAGATTTTGTTATTCTAACAAATAAATACAATACAAAATAATATTTAGACGAGGTAGACCGGTTGTCCCTATTGGGACAGTTTAAGAAGCAATAACCATACTACTCTAAGAAAGAAAAAACTGTTCCTCTAAGTTCATTCAAATATTTGATACTAAAACAAAAAACAAACATAACCCATAACCCATACAAAAATTGAAAACCTTGGTTCAAATAAAATAGCAATAATTGCACTTGTTTAGTTTCTTTTTTCTTTATGTCATACATTGTATACTCATCTTCTAACATTTATGATAACATTTCTTCCTAAAGTTTATTATAAGCTTTTTATACTGTTAGCAACTTAAGTATTCACTACCCATTTGCACTACCTGTTTGTCTAAATTTATGAAAGTCTTTCAAATTTCTATAATTATCTTGATAGATAAAGGTTCTCTTGTGTAAATCCAATTGCTATATAGTGTGCCAGTTGATCCCTAACTTTAGCTACTTCTCTACTGTTTATCAATTGGGCATACAATTACCATTGACTACAACATGTGCGAAATTCAGATATTCCCTTCAGTTAAATGTTTACTTGCCCCCATTGTTCATCTCAAAGGGGAACATAATTACATTGCGAGTTATCCGTGCAAGAGTCATTCGTGAACTTGTTTTTAAAAATACAGAAGGACCAAATATAAGTCATGTGCAGGGTATCTCCCTTTCTTTTTAAAAATATAGAAAGATATATATATATATGATAATGATGATGATAAGTATTCTCTAAGTAGCCTTTTTCCTTTTCTTCATCTCTTCCTTGCCCATTAACTATATCTGATCCTGCACCCTGTACCATTATTGATTTTGTTTCTCTTTCTATAGTAACCCTCTCATAAGATTTGAGGCCTTTAAGACACCCCAAGCATCGCCGATCATTACGAAGCGTGACTGTGTAGGGACTAATAATAAAATATTGTTTTCTACAAAAAAGATCTCTAAGTAGCTTTGGTTTAAGTAAAGTTTTTAAATAGAATGGTATTTAATAATACAAACTGCGCCTTTTATGGACTTAATAAAAGCAAATGACCATTTACGAAAATATCAAATGTCTACCATATCCAGCTGTTATTTAATCTTAATCTGGTACAATATATAGGATTAGCAAGTACAACGATCAGCTCCTTCTATTATTTCTCTCCTGATAAGTTGTATATTGCTCAGCAATTTGATATTCAAAGGATTTTTTTAGATGACTGCATGTGTGTGTATTTATTAGAGGAGAAATGATGAGCAATATAAAACATAAGGGAAACATAGAAAGGCAAAAAAATAAGTAAAAAGTTCAAATTCATACTCAATGGGAAACAGAATTGGTTGTGATTGAAGAGATCTGCTGGCCATTCCAGTCGAAAAGATCATCTAATCGAAACTCTAGGGGAAAGATGTCGGACAGAGACAAACCGTCATCTTCATCAGAGGAGAAATGCGATAATGGGGGCGAGCCAAATTCTGCAGAACCATTGAGTATACTTTCTTCTTTATGATTTACAGCCTCCGCTGCAGAGACAGGCCTAGAACTTGATGAGATTGAGAGTTGGTACGATCGTTGAAGCTTAAGTCCCGCTTTGCAAAAGGGAATTCCATTGGGTGGTGGATTTTAGGACGTTGAGTACGACAAAGCAAAGATAGAGAAACAAGGTATTCTTGGAGGGTTCCAGCAATCGAGATCTTAAAATAAGCTCTTGAGCCTGTTCGCGATCCGTGCTGAATCGCAAAAGCCATGAAACATAAAGGAGGAAGGGGAATTGGATTTGACTTGAGCCTGGAGTTCTGCCAACTGACGACTAAAGGCTTCGAGTTGGGTCGTCAGTGCCTCGTTTTGTGCTTCCAAAAGTTTTGCACGCTTTGTAATCTGATCATTTTCTTGTTTGAGTTGTTCGTTTGTGGACTCAAGTGTAGCGACATAGCGACGCTTTTTATCGCGCGATTCTTGTGCGGCTGCTCGATTACGTAACACTCTGCAAGAAGAGGAGAAGATTTAGCAATTTTCCTCTAACTAGACTTTGTAGCGTGTACCTTTCTTTAGCTTTCTGCTCTTTTGTTGTTGGAGAAGGTTCTGGCTGAGCCTGTAGTTCTTCAGCAAACTGACGAGGTGTAATGTTTTTGACACTAGAATACTCAGAATTTACTGGACTTGGTTCTCTTGAACTGGAAAAGAGGTCTTGAGAAACAGGGGAAGCTACGGTGACCAGGGGGTCAATAGTGAAATTCACTGGCATTGAGAGCATTGCAGAGATAGATTCGGCATCCGTAGGTTGAACATCATATTGAGAGGATTCCATTGTTGTTGACTTGGTAAAGATGTTTGAATAAAAAAGTTACAAGAGAAATCTAACCACCACCCAATGGAAGTTTCAGATTTGTCGACTAAAGAACATCATAATAATATTGGGAAGTAATTTATACCTTGTGTGGGATTGATTTCGCCCAATCAAAATCCTCCACTTGTTCAGTTAAGCTACGTCAACCAGATTGTAACCCCACCCCCTTTTTTTTTTTGCTAATTGTGCAGTTTGTAGAAAGTCTAAACGGATTTACATTTTTAATCTGAAGATCGCACAATATTTTATTACTTGGTGTGATTTGGTTATTTTTATACTATTCACCAGCGAACAAGGGAATTGTCGAGGGAATTGCATCGAGGGAATTGAAAGACAAATTACTTTTCATACAAGAGAAGGTGTTATCTCACAGAAATTTTGATTTTCCATGAGATGACCATTTAACGGCACTTTAATTTCCAAATATTTGTTTCGCTTTTTACTAAAATGGTAACCACTCACAGAATTTCTGTGAGAAGTGCCCAAATCACAGAAAATTCGAACGAATTTTCTGTTACTTATATTTTTGACAAATGGTGCCAAGAATCTTTGTTTAAGCAAGATGTTGGTATAAGACCTAAACTACACAGAGGTTAATATTGAGACTAAAGATCAATAGTACAGAAATGACTATAACATAAACAGATAATTAGGTGCTATTTACTGTGAAGTAAAAAAAAATTACTAGTATAAAAGTTCTACATAGTCACATAGTAGGCAATAGGAAGAAGGATATGTATATAATGTGAGGCTATTAGAAGTTGAAAGATATATCTTAAACACTTATATACCAAGGACTTTATATGCTCACATTGAGATAGATATTTGCAAAGAACAAACTACCTCTGGAAGAGTAAAACGGAATTCTTTCTTGCGCTCAGCGTCAGAAAGGTCTTCAAGATTTAAACGTTTACGGCTTCTCCTATTGGCTTTAGTTTCCTGAAATTCTTTATCACTAGTATTAAGATACTCGATCAGGTCAGGGTTAATTGAAAACATTTTTTTTTATTTTGGGTGCAAGTTGTCTTTATATTAGGGGGTTTCATTATCTCTTAGGATTAGGATTCGGATTAGGATTCGGAAAGCGGATGTTAAACCTGTAGCTAATGATAGTGAATATAAAATGAAAATTATTGAGTCTCCCTTTTTAATTAATCGTTTTATTCTTGAACCTGATATTTTATTCTAAACAATTGTTAATTTCTATTACTTATATTGGACATTTAGCTTATAAAAAGTTGATATATAAAGTAGAAATATGTAATAGAGGCAAATAAATTGATAAACTTTTGCTCTAAGTATTTCAAGACGTCAAAATGAGCAATCCTAAATTTCAATCCGAAAGCCTTTTCCTTCGGATTAAATCTACACATTTTAATTCTATTCAAATTCTTCTCAGCCAATCATTTCATAATGTAAACACCCGCTTTCCGAATCCTAATCCGAATCCTTATCCTAAGAGATAATGAAACCCCCTATTGGTATTAAGAAAGAAACTCACTGCTTTTGATTTTCTTTCTCGCAGAAATTGTAAAAAATTAAGTTACGATATTTATTCCGACGTTGGGCATCAATTTTTTTTTTGTTTGTATGGAGCTGTGACAGGCTCAGATTTATTAAAGTTCTCTGAATGAGTAGGGCAAAAGAGAAAATTACAACATTTGTTTTGAGGGTTTATGGGGGTTATTTGATGTTTTTGGCTTTTTGGTTTTTGACTTGTTTTTGTGTGATTTAAACTTTTTTTTTTTTTTTTGTTAAAATGTTAATGTGGTGTTATGCGAGGGAAGAGTCAGCGGAGTCAAGCTCGAGCTCTGAGCAGATGCGGGAGATTGATTTCCTAGCAGTGGCAAGAACCAAGGAAGGTAAAAAGGGAGCAGAGTTAAAGTGGAGTGCCCAATGGTGGTCCCAGATAGCAAGGATGGTCAGTCCGAAAACCGAGGCGGCTGGAATACTGGGGTTCAGCGTGGGAGGGAAGAGAAAGGATGTGAATGCCGAGGAAAGTGCAGAAGGTGGTGGGACGGTGCCGAAAAATTCTAACCAAATGCCTAACCACACCGCAGATTTCAAAGGACAAGAAAGAAGAAAATGCTCTTGCGTCTCGATTGACATCTGGCAGATATTGCAGAGAGGTGAAGAAACAGTGAAGGGCATAATGTGGTGCAAAAGAGCTCGGCACGATAGTTTGTTGTGTAAGCCGCGAAACCAAACATTACGGGCCCGGTGAGGAAGTGCGAAAGACCAGAAAGAGTGCAGTTGGCGAGGGCTAAGATGGGGGCTAAGTGGTTGAGCATTAGCATGATGATGAGAACAGGTCAGCCGGTAAGAGCGCGTGGACAAGCGTGACCAAGGTTTGCCGAGGACCAGAGCAGAGATGAAGGGATCAAAGTCAAAGGGGGACCCATCTCGAGGAGGCATATCCAAATGTCGCGATTCTAGGATGAATGTAGGAATACAAGCTCTGAAAAGGATAGGGTGAGCCACAAGTGAACGGTCGAGAAGTCTTTGCAGGATACGATTAAGAGTGATAAATCGAGGAAGAGGTCTAGCAGGGGCAATGGGCATCAGGACGTCCAAATTATGATCAATTTGGTATAGGTGGTTAACCTTCAGGTCTCGCCAAGATTGTCGGTAGGGCGGATGAGAGGGAGGGCTATTAACCATGGAGGACAAGGGCAACATAAGGCACGTGGATAGATTCGTGAGGACGTCGTCAAACTTGTGCGGGAGGTGGTCCATGGCCTTCAGGACAAGATGAAGAGGCGAATCCAGTGAGCGATGGGTGCGAGGTCTAGAGTCTGGGAAGATCCAAAGTAGAAGGGGATCACAATCCGTATTCTCAGTGCGAAGGAGAGAAGCCATCCATTTGGGGACCAAACCACGGGGACCCAATGGGTTCTGGATTATTGGCTTGAGCCAACGAAGCTGAAGAGCGCATTGCTGTGTAATCGGGTCGAGGATGCCAAGACCACCTTGAAAGCGAGGAAGGCAGAGGGTGTCCAAAGCAATGGGGGGGAACGAACGGAAGCGGAAGAAACGGCGCATCAGAGTGCGTATTTTTTCGAGAAAAGAGACGGGGAAGGATACTACGCGCAAGACATGCCAAAGTTGGGCGAGAATGAGAGAGTTCATGACAGTGGCACGGCCGCGGAAGGACAGGGTGCGTGAGCCGTGTAGAATACAGCTATTCTCAATCTTAGAAAGAAGGGCCTGGCCAAATGAGTCTCGTTGGGCAATGGAGGAGAAAATTGGATATCCCAGATAGCGAAGAGAAGAGGAGGAGGTCCGGTCATGCCAATCCGTAATATTGTGGGTCCGTAGATGTGAGGACCAGTCTGGCAGGGGTGAGCCCGAAAGTGAAAATGCCTGCGTCTTGTGAAGATTTACGCGGGCGTTGGAAGCCGCAGCATAGGTGTTGAGGTGGGTGTGGAGGCGAGACAACTGCCCTGTGTCAGAAAGAAAAACAAGTAAATCATCAGCGTACGCAAGGAGTTTGATCGGTGACAGAGGAGAAAGACCAGCAGGAACAGATGGTTGAAAGCCCGAGAAGGACTGGTCATGGATCACTCGTCGTAGTAGAGGCTCAAAAACTAGATTGAACAGTATAGGGGAGAGAGGGTCCCCTTGGCGTAGTCCCCGAGATTGAGGCAAAGGGCGCGAGAGGAAGCCATTCACATTTATTTGCAATTTAGTAGAAAAGAAGAGGTTAGAGATCGAGGTGACAAGAGAGGAGGGAAATCGAAAGTGTGTCAGTACTTGGCGAAAATATTCCGGATGTACTCTATCATATGCTTTCTCCTGATCGAGGAGAAGTCCAACACCAGCTGATCCCTCCTTGGCGGCTTGTGCCATGACCAGCCTGGTCAGCATTCCATTATCGGCGATGAAGCGACCCTGAACGAACCCTGTCTGGTAAGGAGAGACAAGTGAAGTGACCGTGGTAATCATGCGAGCATTCAGCAATCGGGTAAATACCTTGGCATCGGTGTTGATCAAGGCAATTGGGCGCCAGTTCTTCAAAGAGGTGAGATCGCCCTTTTTTGGGAGCAGGCAAACGCAGGTGGATTGCCAGGATTCCGGAAAAATGCCTTTTGATAGGGCGTCGTTGTAGACTTCCGAAACCAGATCACCACAGACTGGGTGGTCTAGTATCAAGCGAAGGATCTCGTAGGGTAAGCCATCGGGACCGGGACTGCTAGAGGTTGGAGTGCGCGACGCACCAGAGCGGATAGTAGACAATGACAGAGGACGAGTGAGGGCAGTCTGCCGACTTTCTGACAGACCAAGGTCAGAAGGCAGGTGAGAGAGCAGGTCGTCCAGAGCAGATTGGTCGATAGGGTCCGGGGTATACAAGCCTTCATAAAAGGCGGCAGCTGCTTCGGTCATCTTTTCGGGGGTGGAACATATTTCGTTTGTTGCAGGGTGGCAAAGGCTGGCAATTGACTTGCGTGACTGACGAGTGGCGATGGTGCGCTTGAGATATCCAGCAGAGGTCTCACCTTGTTCCCGCCAGTGTTTCCCAGCCCTAAGGGACATGATCTCCACTCGTTCAAGTTGGACTTGCTGCAGAAGCCGCTCAACAATAGGCAGCTGAAAATTCTGTGCAGGCTGGTGTCGAAAACGGTGTATTAGTCTGTCTCTCCGTTGTTGCAGGCTTGCTTCCAGGTCGGTGAGAGAGGGTCGGAGGTGGCGAGAGAAACACTTGATAAAGCGTATGACTTCGCTCTTTATCGAGTCCCATCGTGCTTGAGGAGAGAGGTTTGCGGGAAGGGCAGGGATGAGGGTGGATAGAAGAGTGTTGAGGTCGGTGCAGAAAGATGTCAACCTGGCAAGTCGGGGGTTAGCACGCCAAAGTCCCTTACCAGAGGATTGGGTGGAAGGGAGAGCCAAGCGGACGGTCAACAGGCAATGATCGGACCAGTTTTGGTGAATATATCTCACCTGGGAGTCAGTAGTGCGAGGGTGAAGATCAGGAGAGGCAAGAATATAGTCGATTGTAGTGGAAGACAAGGCGCGATGAAAGGTGGGTTGTGGGTTCTGGCCAGGAGGAGTGACACAGTCAATCATATGGTTGTCCAGAAACTGGAGCCACGCTAGTGGGGCACGACGTCCGAGAGCGTAGTTAGAGTGAATGGCATGGTTAAAATCACCTAATAAAATGAAGTTGGAAGGATTGGATGGAATGAGGTCAGGTGTCGACAGTAAGGAAGAAAGAAAATCATAGCGGGGAGTTCGAGAGGCGGGAGCATAGATGACACCCATCTTGAATGGGGAAAATTTATTGTCAGTATGAGTGACAGTTGTAATGATGCACCTGCCGCAAGGACTAAATAAAGGGTCTGTGAGAATAATATGGGGGGAGAGGCATACAACACCACAGTGTGGCGACCATAAAGATGAAGATGACCGAAATTGTTGGTCAAAAGTGTCTTGAAGCATAGAAGAGGAGGCATGGGTTTCTTGCAGGGCTAGTATATCAATTCCCTGAGAGCGTAGGTGGCGTATAAAAAAGGAGCGTGATTCAGGGTGTCCAACTTTGGGTAGACCCCTACAGTTCATTGTGCCTATTTTTATCATTGGTTAATCTTGGCCTCTGCGTCGAGGGCTTTCTTGCTATGTGGGGGAGTGAAGCGAGGAGGTGAGAGGGATGTGTTGCGGCCTATTGGACGTACTGTCCGAGAAAACCGGAGATGAGAGAGGCGAGAGGCATTCTGAAGACGGAGAGTCCGAGCCTCGACTCTATCCGTGAAGTCAGTGATCATGTCGTCGTCTATCTCATCGTCCCAGCCCTTCACAGGAGTGTCAACAGAACGACTTCGGGGACGAGGGCCGGAGGACGTGGTTGTCGCAGATATTGTCGTGATGGCAGGGAGGGTTGCCGGTAGGGTTAGTTTTGCAGACTCAAGCAAAGCAGGTTTGTGCGGATTGTGCTTGGAAGCCTCGGATCCTCCGTAGGTGAGCGAGAGTGCAGTCGGAATCAGAGGCTTAGGCTCGCGGATAGGTCGATCGAGCTTAACGTTGCGGTGGGGGTGACGGGATCGCTTGTTTGAGGTCTTAGAAGTCTTGGATGGATCGGAGGAGTGCGGGCAATTGGCTTGCAGGTGGCCGATCTTGTTGCATCCAAAGCACGTTCGGGTTTCGGCTGGGCGCTTAGTGCACTGGGTGACTTCGTGTCCCATTTCCTTGCAATAAGTGCAGTGGGAGCCCATCGAAGGCCACTTACCGAGTATCTTTTGCGTAGCGTCGTATGCTATTTGGTACGTCAGGGAATCGGATGGCACCTCGTCAGTGGGGGTGTTGGCAAGGACAACATATCCAGAGCCGTCAAAAAACCCATACGTTTCGTGAACGGCGATCTCACGCACTTTACCAAAAGGAGACATACATTTCGTGAGCTGTGTAGCAAGTTCCGGATAGGGGACACGAGGAAGCTTGGTCAGGAAAACACGGCGAACAATTGTGCCAATGGGAACAGCCGGTTGAGCGGGAAAAGATGAAACGCCGACTACCAAAGGATGAGAGCACGCTCTCTCACAGTCAGCACTGGTAGCCAGGTGGAGCTCGCATGTATCAGGGGAATAGCGAGATCCAAGAGTGATTCCCATGTTAACTTCGCGAGGGTAAGCTGCGAGAAGGGCTCTCCAGAAAGGGTCGAAGTTGGGTGACGTTTTTGGTGGGGCGGTAAAGAATACAGAGAACTTAGAGGACCCTACACGCCAGGTACGTGGGGTTGTGTTATTTGTAGAGCTAAAGATAACATGTGGTTGCTTTTCGGTGAGTGGAGGTGCATTCTGTGTAGCTACTTGTGAGTATAGTGGTGTCAGAGTAGGTGAGATTGGTGTGAATGAGGTTGCCAATGGTGGAGATGAGCCAGTGGTGGAGGGGTTTTTGACCCCTGGTGGTTCCGGAGTGTTAGTGGAAAGAGCCATGAGACGTTGGGCATCAACTTTTTATATTTAAGAAGTCCCGAATTTTCTGTGAGATAGCACCTCTATTTTTCATGGTTAATTTGAAAAATTGCAAAAGTCTCCTTAATGCTGTTATTTGATTTTTCACAATACGTTATTTGGAAATTTTGTACACGCTCATTGAGATTTTGAGAACCACTGATTGGATAATGTTTTTCGCGCTTATTGATTTTTTATTTTACGACAATTGGGTTTTCAGAAATCGCTGAATAATTTTTGAAATCCGCTATTTGGGACCGTACGCACTGTATCTACTTCCAGAGCTTCTTCAAACTGGTGTTGGAATCAGAGTCCTTCTTCATGACCTTGGCTACGGACATCTCAAAGTCCTCCTGAGTTACGTGCACACGGCGTTCACGAAGAGCAAACATGCCCGCTTCTGTACACACTGCTTTGACTTCAGCACCACTACTGCCAGTCATTTTTTCGGCAATCTTACGCAGGTTGATTCCACGAGTCAGATTCATCTTGCGAGAGTGAATCTTGAGAATATCTGCACGAGCCTAACCATCCATATAGCAATTATTAAAGCTATATTACATTTATAGAGATCATATTTATCACTCACAACTTCACTCGGGGGAGGGAATTCAATCTTTCTATCAATACGTCCAGGACGCAGCAAAGCAGCATCGAGAATGTCAATACGGTTGGTAGCCATAATCACCTATTTAATGGTAATATAAAAAATTAGACCCTTCCCAATCCACAGATATTCGTCTATATTTCAGATTACAAATAAATTACCTTGATATTCTTGGTGGGCTCAAAACCATCCAACTGATTCAATAATTCCAGCATAGTTCTTTGTACCTCAGAATCTCCTCCTCCTCCACTCTCCATACGAGCAGAACCAATAGAATCAATCTCATCCATAAAAATAATAGATGGAGCATGTTCTCTGTTTCACCGTATCAGTAAATTATTCCGTGTGCATATTAAATGAACATATCTCTATATTACCTGGCCATAACAAACAGTTCACGGACCATACGACTTCCTTCACCAATGTACTTTTGAACCAACTCTGATCCAGATACACGAATAAAGCGACAGTCTGTATGATGCGCTACGGCTCTTGCCAGCAAAGTTTTTCCTGTACCTGGTGGTCCGTATAGAAGAACACCCTACCGATTTTCCGCATCAGACATCCATATAAAAGCCAGATAACTTTTATATATTATGCGCATGATATGAAATATTACCTTTGGTTGAGCAATGCCAAGGGCTTCGAATAATTCAGGATGCTTGACAGGAAGCTCGATGACTTCTTTAATTTCCTTAATTTGTTGCTCCAAACCACCGACCATTTCATAGGTCGAGTCAGGCACTTTCTCGACCATCATCAGGGAAACAAGAGGATCTATTTTGTTAGGTAAGACTTTGTGGAGTTGGTAAGAGTCATTGCGAAGTGCGACGCGAGTTGTTGGTGTAAGCTGAGAAATGTCGATATCTGCTGCAATATCGACGACGTATTTTCCTTCGGGGTGGACCTGAAAGGATATAGATTAGACTATGGATTGAAAATCTTACTGCTCTAATCCCATTACCTTCACTAAGACCTTCTTCTTTCCCATAACTTTGACAACCTCGCCTACATAAGATCCAGGCTCCTGTAATAGCTGAAGCTCCTCTTTTAAGAGGCGGACTGTAATGAAGGATGAGTGTGATGGACCAAAGGTGACGTGTTCGTCTTGCCTTTGGTATTGAGTGCGTTACGCTGTGCCTCCAGACGTCGAAGGTCCTGTGCCTTTTCATTGATGACGAGTTCGCACTCTTCAATTTTTGCTTGGTAGTAGACTTTGATTCCTTCCTTCTTCATAATGGAGGTGTATAAGAGGAACAGTTACTTTGAGTTTAGTTACAACGGCGCGCACCATGATGAAGCTACACCGCGACTTTCCTTTGAACCGTACGTAATCAGTGACGTGTAAATTGATTTTAAATTCCGAAGATCAGAGCAGCTTTGATACAGTACATCCAGTTTATTTCTCTTCGTTTTTATAGTTAATCTGAAATCTGTAAATCAATGAAGAAGATTTGGACCGTTTACAATATCACAATAATTGGTATGAAAGGGTGGCATACAGGGATTAACTTTAAATCTCACTTATGAAGCATAAACAATAATAATAGTTTAGAGAATCTCCAATAGTCACTTTTATCTCAACTTTTATGTCAAATTTAAAATTTTAGTTAAAAGTCCTATAACCAACAACTCGATTTATTTTATTTTACGAAAAATTTATTGTCCTGAATTTTATCTTTCTGCTAAATTTGACAGGGATTTAAAAGTTTTAACTGAAGACGCTCTCAAAATTTATTCCAAAAAAAAGATAGATTAAGACCGTTATTTGTGAACTTTTATTTTCTCTGTAAGAATTTGTCTTCATTATAATTCATAGCATCTACCGGTAGATGTAATATAGAAAGAAGTAATATGAGAATATTTATTTTGCTTACAGATCAATATATGTATTTATTTCTGAAAATAAAAGCATACACTATTTTCTAAAAACAATGTCGTACTAACAGGTTACATTTTGTATGTCTTGTATTATAAATTTACGGATTTCGTGATATTGTTTTCAGGAAATAGTGTATGGTTTATTTCATACTCTGGATTAACAATCCGGTGATCTGGTCTGCTGGAAAATTTGGTACTCTTGTTTTCGGTACAGATAAATAAATGCCAATATTTCATCAGTATAACGAGAGCCTTTCCTTTTAAGAAAAAATATAGATAGAAACATAGTAATACTTGTTAATTATCATTATATATATATATATATCAATATGTAATACATCGATCGGCTCTTTCATAATTTGGTAGCTTTTAATATGCCTTTAACAAACAAGGTGCTAATTTAAAATTTGTACTATCTAATTCTTTAATAAGAACCTTGTTCAAATAAAGCTAGTCTTTGGGAAATTAGGACCTCTTTTTCGTTTTCATTCCAGTGTTGTGCATGTATTATATTGTTTCCCTTCTACCGCACCGGAAACCTTAAGTCAACACTTCTCATTTTAGGAGTGTTTGGGTAACCTGTACATTTTCATGTGTGGCAAAAAAAAGAGCAAGTCAAATTGGACTTTTGTGTGGGAAATAGGACCATTAAAAATGTCAGTTCTAGAGTTTGTGAACACAAGATGAATTGCTCATGTGTGCAATGGTAAATACGAAATATAATGTATTTACCAAACATGCCTGTAAAGAATGTCAGAGTATTGAATATTACTGTAGGTTTTTTGTGTCACATAGAAATGCCTATCTTTGCTAATACTATGGAAGTATTTGGAGCAAATTTGCTGTCTAATTCGTTAACTGCTAGGTGTTATATTAGGTATATAGGTCATATAAGTACATAAAAGCATTATACGTCTAAAGAGCAAGGTGTACTGCGCAAATGCATGCGTTGTACATAGTGAAACAAAAGGAGAAATGCTGCAATGGCTCCCGTCTCTTGTTTGCTTGATTAGGCACCTTGCAGTTTAATCAGGTGTGAGACTGTGTGGGTGCTTCCCTAAAAATATTGGCTGTCGGGGTCACTTATTCTTAACTCTCAGTGATAAATTCATTGATTCTCAGTTTGCACCTGGTTCAAAACCAGAACCAGTCGGATGAAAACCTACAGAGTAACAGATCTAGGTTATCTGCTTTGACATCTATCATTGTTTTTTTCTCGTCTATACTAAGCCAACCAATGCTTTTATTTTCATATTGAATACTTAATTACAGCCGAATGGTAAAAGCAAGCCAAGGTCTGAAAAACAAATATAAAAGAAATGATTCAAATCCATGCACAATGTATCTTTTATAGATCTTCAGTTGTACATACCGGAAGGGTCGATTTAGCCGGGCTCCGACTCACCTCCAAATAGATAGACATTGGTGAATAATGTACGGTTGTTTATTCTGCCAAGTGAATGTACCTAATCATAGTTGTCCCCACATCTACTCTAATTCTAAGCATCGGAGAAAACGGCCCGGGAAGGGTTAAGACTGGACTGGGAATAAATGCCCAAGGCAAAAGAGAATCATACGGAATCCAGTTGAATATCTCTAAATGAATACCATGAGAAAGGTCCAATAGCTTCGATTAGAATGCCGTCAATAGTTTTTCCGTAATATGAATTTGTGGCAGTTTTGAAAAAAAAAATTATACTTTAGTATTACTCTCCCTTCTTGTTCCGTTCCCGCTCCTGCGATGAATGCCACAACACAATTCTTCACTTCTACCATACAGGCATCTCTTCGGTGTGATCCTTGGTCGGATGAAATGCTCACTCTTTGGGTCCCAATTGTATTTTATTGGGTCTACAGCATCTCCTTTCACTTTTTGATGAAGGCCGAAATCCCATTCTTTGAGAAATACCGCATTCACACCTCAAGCGACATGGAAAAACGCAACCGAGTATCTATCACTAAAGTACTCTACATGGTTGCTTTTCAACAAGTCATTCAAGTCATCCTGGGCATCATTGTTTTCCGGCCAGTCGATCAAAACCTTTTGGCTATCCAACAAGTCAGATCTATTAGATTTCTGACAGATGCCGCATTCAATCTCTTAACTAAATTTACTCAATCGAGTGACATGATCTTCAAAATTGCAAGTTCAATTGCCTCAATAATCTACTGGGGTATTATTCCTGCTTTCCAGTTCGTTTCTGCTATGTAAGTTAATTGTTCATAGTTTAAGGAGCGTAGATAAAAGAGAGATTTTTCAGTGTTATGGATAATAACCTTCCACGCAGGGTTATCATGGACGCACATCAGTACTTTTTCCATCGCCTGTTTCATGTCAATAAATTCCTTTATCGACATATTCACTCCCATCACCATCGCTTGTATGTTCCATATGCATTCGGAGCATTGTACAACCATCCTGTAGAGGGGTTTATGTTGGACTCTGTCGGAGCAACACTTGCAGTTGAGATTACTAGAATGTCGCCTCGCTTGAGTATGATCTTCTTTACATTCTCAACACTCAAGACAGGTAAGACCAGAATTACAGAAGAGGAAAGTGAGTCAAATTTGACCAAAACATGACGTTCTTTTTCGTTATTTCTAGTTGATGACCACTGTGGGTATGCACTTCCATGGGATCCACTGCAGTTTCTGTTTGGAAACAATGTCGAATAGTAAGTATAGTGTAACTGTGAGGGCAGCTTTATTGACTTGTGCTATAGTCACGACATCCACCACCAACCTTACGGGATCAAGAAGAACTTTTCCCAACCCTTCTTTACCATCTGGGACAAATTCTTTGGTACTGAACTGTCTGTACAACAAGTAAAAGCTTCCAGAAAAACAAAGAAAGTCGAGTAAACCTCCCTTTTCTTTCCACCTCTCTCATAAACCCTACCCTCCATCCTATCTATTTTTCTATTATTGTTCTCTTTATATTCCATACGTAGTCACTCGTAATTTCATCTATATTATTCCTTGTGCTGCTTATTCTACTTGCATTCTTAATAATTCCGTTAAATGACACCTTTCATATCATCCCCACTTTATCTTGATAAAATCAAGCTTAATTATCTCATTTTTTTAAAAGTTGCAGAAAGATATTCTTTATGAAATGATGCGGTTTTCTCTAGATAGAATTATTGAGGGATAAAGAAAGTGAAAGGTAAAAAAAAGCGGGAAGGTAAGCAAAGCGAGATTAAGAGTGGCGTATTTATTTGGCAGCCAAGAGTTCAACCAACAGCTTGGCTCCAGAATTCTTCTCCGCTGCTGCCTCGATCTCTTTTTTATGGGGCTTGAGCGCCTTACGAACATCCTTCTTGGTTGACGGCTCTTCTGCAAGTGCGACGACAACAAAGCTACCGAAGTTTGTAGCAAAGTAGCCAAGATGGGGCTGAATAACCTCGAGAAGTTTGGGAGCGAACTCAAGGGGAGCGAGAGCTAAAAAAAAATAGGAGTTTTCTTTAATATTCTATTTAATTATGTTATCTAATTTATACTAACCCTTATCGTTCGATTCTTCTGCGGTATCAGCCTTAATCATAGCCTTGATGATACGGTTAGCGAATCTATCCACAATAATATGGTTCTCATTTTCGATGGGCTCTGCAGCCAATTCCAAAATAGAATTGATAGCAGCAGTTTTGTCACCTAATTAAGCATATATTTATGAGTATTTGGACTTTGGGATTAAAAAGTAAAAACAATAACCTACCATCAGCATGGAGCATAATTTCATGGACTACTTGGGATGAAAGCTTCTCGCGCATCAATGTGCCAGCATTATCTGCCACCATCTTGATCAAAAGTGGTGAACTTGCCTTCAAAAGTTCAAGCGATCTTTGTTGGGGATCTTTTTTGCTATTTCCATCCAAATATAGAAATTAGAGAATGTACCTTAGTATTTTTATGCATGAAAATGCCTTACCTGGTGCGAATAGCATCACCAGCCTTCAATTCCTGAACAGTCTCGGGGGACAAGTATCTGGTATTACGTCCAGCCAAAATATACAAAAAGAAACGTCTACCAAATTTGTTGGCGAATAGTTCCTTGGCGTTCTTACTCAATTCCTACATTAGCACAAATATAAGTAAATCGAATATATTTGAATGCATAATGTATTACTTACACCAAGAACAGCCTTGGTGATCAGAACAGTATCGTCAGTAACATCCAAAAGACGTAACAGAACAATGTAACCCTGTTCGTCACATGCAATCTTGGAAAGGAACGGTTTGAAGGCTTTAATAATGGTTTTACGATCCTACAAGAAGTACATAATTAATCCAGTAATCTCAGTCGCATTTCAGTATTAATTTACCTTGGGGGTAGCATATGTCAAACAAAGCATAGCAACGCGAGCACCTTCACGGGTATGGACAATGTCTTGAAGATTCTCCTTGATATGACCAAGAACATTCTAAAAGAAGCAAAAAAATAAGAATATATTCCTTTTATTTACAGCATCATGACATATGTCGTTCTTACCTCGCGACCCTTATCGTCAGTAAGCACCAGGTACTGAAGCAATGCCTTGTGTACAATACTGTTGACAACAGTACCCTTATCCATGCAGCCATCCAACATTTCTCCCATATATTTCAAGATAGAGTCTTTCTTCTCGGGGAGCTTCTCCAATAATTCATCAAGAGACTTGGCTCCTCCACCGTGGTTAAAGAGAGTCATCTCAGGACCATAGAACTCCGACAATAGTTCCTGGCGCTGTGCAGAGGTGGAGTACTGAGAATAGAATGATTCAATGACATTCGAAGCTTCTTTGTGGCGGATAAGCTTACGGATGTGACCACGGAACTCAGCAAGAATGCTATCACGCATCCAATGACTACAGAATCACCATAATTAAATTATAAAATTTAGTAAAATTCTGTTTAACTTGTACAATTCACATAGACTTACCAGTACTCAAGTGCCTTAATAACAATAAACTTTCCATACATCGACTTTGACAGCTCAAGGTACTTGCCCTTAAGTTCCTCGGCGATCTGACGTCTCTGATCAGAGTTACCTTTCTTTAAGCATGTCTGGATCATACGTGATGCGTCGTGCTTAAAAATAACCTAATGACCCGGAAACAAACCAAAAAAGTTAATTTTTAATTTAGCTTTCTTCATTCGTTAAATCTACTTGCTTCCTGAACACGACCGGTAATAACAGCCATGATCTCGTCCATTAATTGCTTCTGCTCATCACGCTTAATATCACTACGGCGCAATTTTTCCCAAATACGCTTTGCCTCGGAGATCATGTCGAAGTTGCGATCGTGAGCCTTGCGCTCCATTTTGGTCTGTCTCTGTTCACGACGGGCCTCTACCAACACATTGGAGGTTATTATAAGCTCAATTCAGCAATGCTCCTGTAGTTTTTACCAGGCTTAGGCTTCTTGTTGTTTACGACAGCATCGGTGGGGGCTTCCTTTCTCTTGGCGGTGAATTCAGACATGATGTTATTATCGGATCACACACTTTGAGATCGTTCTTTTTTTGCTAAAAAGTAAAGTGTCTCGGAAAGTGTAGTCACGGCTTGAAAGCCACAGGCGGAGCCACAATTAAAGGAACGCGCTTGGACCAGACAACGCGAACCCTGTTTATTTTAAGTTGGACCGCGTTTTTAGTAAATTGTCGTGTTGTGTATCTCTTCCCATGGCGATTGGCAAAGAATTTGGTGCATCCAAACAATTTCAGAATTCAAGGGGAAGAGGCCGACAACTGGGATCTACACGGGCTAATAACTCGGCTCAGAAGTATGGTCTTCCAACAAATTCTATCAATGAACCATCCAACCAAGATCAGCGGTTCGATGATGTTAAGGCATTAGATGAATTGGAAGCAAAATTCAATTTCAGTCGTTATGAAGATGGTCCCGAGCAATTGGGCTGGATGCTTAACATGCATGAGGTAGAAACAACTTGTATGCTACTATAAATCGACCCGACGATAATTTATAAAAAAAGTACATGCATAATAGACCCTCATAAAAGACGATGAATGGCCTTCTGGAAGGGCTGGAGTTGATTTTTACTTTCTCAATGACAATGGAGAGACCTTTAAAACTACACAAGCCTATAGCCCATACATGTTTATTGGTTGCAAGGTAAATTAGGGAAACAAAGATAAATCTGTAAAAACCCTTCTTTTTCTTTTAAGAATAAAAAAAACGCATTTTATTAAATATCATCTGCAAAAAAGGCAGGAACCGAGGCAGAAGTTGAAGAGTTTCTGAGACGCCGATTTGAAAATACCATTGAAAAGATGAAGCGGGTCAAAAAAGAGGATCTTGACCAGGCATGTTCTTTTAGACTCAGTGTGGCATAAAATTCAAAGCTAACTTCATTATTTACATTTGTATACATATATATAAAGCCTAATCATCTGGTAGGAAACACACGCACATTGATTCAACTGTATTTTAGAAATATGAATGATATGTACGGTGTACGTCGTGTTCTTTTACCAGCAATAAAAAAGAATCAAGCGAAGATCAGTGCTATGGATACATATGCAGAGGTCGTTAGGTATACTTATACAAAAAAAACATGTCATTTCTTTTTCTTGGAAAGGCTAATATGCTCTATATAGTGAAGCTAATAATGTTCACTACGAGCCTGAACATTCCTCTGCCTCCATGGCCTCTCGCAGAAACCCTAATGAGTCCCTGGAAAATATCATTGATATTCGAGAATATGATGTCCCTTATTATGTCCGTGTAGCTATTGATCTCGGTAAGGATAATAAGTCAAATAAAAAGTAAGAGATGATTAGTGAACATATTTTTTGCAGATATCCGTGTAGGTCTTTGGTATACTGCAACTGCAAAAGACGATGGTTCCGTTTCTCTATCACTTCGCCCTGAGCTTGTTCATCGTCCTGAACCTGTTGTCCTTGCTTTCGATATCGAAACCACTAAGTTGCCACTCAAATTCCCTGATGCTTCTTACGATTCTATTATGATGATCTCATATATGATTGATGGACGAGTAAATATCTATATAACAAAATACAAATATTATTTTATAAATGCTGAAAGTTATATTGATAGGGCTACTTGATTACAAATAGACAAATTGTAAGCCAAGATATTGAAGATTTTGAGTACACGCCAAAACCCGAATTCGAAGGTCCATTCACAATCTTTAACGAAGAGGATGAGGTAGGAGCTATAACAAGTTATTGAATAAATAATTTATCGTTTTTCTTGGTGTTAGTGTGCTCTTTTGACACGATTCTACGAACATATACAAACCGCTCAACCGAATATATATGTAACATATAACGGTGACTTTTTCGATTGGCCATTCATGGAAGCACGATCCAAAGCGAATGGTATTGACATGTACAAGGTAAAATAAAAAATAAAATAACTGAAAGACTAATAATGTTGTATAGGAAATTGGTGTATATAAAGATGAAGAGGATGAATATAAGTGTAAACACGCCAGTCATATGGATGCCTTTAGATGGGTGAAACGTGATTCTTATTTACCACAAGGAAGTCAGGGTCTTAAAGCAGTGACGACTGTTAAGTTAGGATATAACCCTATGGAATTAGATCCAGAAGACATGACTAGGTAAGTAAAGTGGCATTAATAGTAATAAAATAAAATCTAATTTAGCACCTATTAGATTTGCTTCAGAGCAGCCACAGACGCTCGCCCAATACTCTGTTTCAGACGCTGTAGCAACATACTACCTTTACATGAAATACGTTCACCCTTTTATCTTCTCCTTGTGTAATATTATTCCTTTGGTTCCTGATGAAGTGCTACGAAAAGGAACAGGAACTTTATGTGAATTGCTGCTGATGGTAGGCTGTTAGATTTCTAGATATGATTATCAATGCATATGGTTAACACTAAACAAATCAAACCTCCTTTTTTTAGGTCGAAGCTTTCAAAGTGAATGTTATTATGCCTAATAAACACATGGAAGCAACCAACCAATTTTTTGATGGACATCTCCTGGAGAGCGAAACATATGTTGGAGGTCACGTTGAAGCGCTTGAAGCAGGGGTTTTCCGAAGCGATTTACCTACTGATTTTAAAATAGAGCCACAAGCTGCACAACAAGTAGGAAATACACTATTAATGCAGTTATTTGTGGATAGACTTACCCAACTTCTGCCTTTTCTCTGTAGCTAATAGATCAACTAGATGATGCTCTTAAATTCACAATTCGAGTGGAAGAGAAGAAAAATCTCGAAGATATTGAGAATTACGACGAAGTGCGCGATGAAATCAAACGCCAATTAGAAGATCTGCGCGACAAGCCTTTACGCCATGAGCCGCCTTTAATTTACCACTTGGATGTTGCAGCAATGTACCCAAATATTATTCTGACGAACCGACTCCAACCAGACGCTATGGTCGACGAATCAACATGCGCTACATGCGAATTTAACCGACCCAACAAAACATGCGATCGACGTATGACATGGTCTTGGCGTGGTGAATACTTCCCTGCGAAACAAAACGAATATCGTATGATTCAGCATCAGTTGAGTATCGAAAGCTTCCCGCCGAAGTTCCCAAATGGCCCCAAACGACCATGGCATACACTTTCTGAGGCTGAACAGGGTACTTTACTGAATAAGCGTTTGAGCGATTACTGCCGTAAAGTTTATAAAAAAGTTCATGAGACAAAGACGATCGAAAGAGAATCCATTATTTGCCAACGCGAAAATCCTTTTTATATTGAAACTGTTCGAGCGTTCCGTGATCGCAGATACGAATACAAAGGTCTTCATAAAACATGGAAGCAAAACATGGACAAGGCTGTAGGAGAAGGCCAAATAACAAGAATGGCGGAAGCCAAAAACATGATCGTCTTGTACGATTCGCTTCAGCTGGCTCACAAAGTCATTTTAAATTCTTTCTATGGTTATGTGATGCGTAAAGGTGCCCGCTGGCATTCACTTTCAATGGCTGGTATTGTGTGCTTGACTGGAGCCAAGATCATCCAGATGGCTCGTCAGCTTGTAGAACGTATAGGTCGTCCTCTTGAGCTAGATACTGATGGTATTTGGTGTATCTTACCCAAAAGTTTTCCTGAAACTTTCTCGTTTAAGCTCAAAAACGGTAAAAAAATCAATATCGATTATCCGTGTACCATGTTGAACCATCTTGTACACGCCAAATTTACCAACGACCAGTATCAGGATCTTGTTTCTCCTGAGACATTCGAATACAAAACTCACAGTGAAAACAGTATCTTTTTCGAAATTGACGGACCTTACCGTGCCATGATTCTACCATCATCAACAGCTGAAGACAAACTGCTTAAAAAGAGATATGCTGTCTTTAACACAAACGGATCCCTTGCAGAACTCAAAGGTTTCGAAGTTAAGCGCCGTGGTGAGCTTAAGCTCATTAAAATCTTCCAATCTCAGATTTTCAAGGTGTTCTTGGAAGGAAAGACACTCGAGGAATGCTATAAGGCCGTAGCAAAAGTAGCTGATCAATGGCTGGATGTTCTGATAAGTGAAGGAGAAGAACTTTCCGATGAAGAACTTTTTGAGCTGATTTCAGAGAATCGAAGTATGTCAAAGACGCTGGAAGAATACGGTTCTCAAAAATCTACTTCCATCACAACCGCTAGACGTCTTGCAGAATTTCTGGGTGATGAAATGGTTAGAGATAAGGGTTTGGCATGCAAGTTTATTATATCTAAGAAGCCTTTGGATTTACCTGTGTCCGAACGTGCTGTGCCGGTTGCTATCTTCAATTCCGATCCTAGTACACGAAAGCACTTTCTGCGCAAGTGGCTTAAAGACAATTCGATCGTAGACTTTAACATTCGTGGTATATTGGACTGGGAATACTACAAAGAGCGATTTGGAAGTGTCATACAAAAGTTAATCACAATTCCCGCAGCAATGCAGAAAGTCAATAATCCAGTTCCTCGCGTGCGCCATCCTGACTGGCTTTTTAAGCGTGTAGCCGCAAAGGACGACAAATTTAAACAGCATCGAATTACCGATATGTTTACAGTTACTGATACCCCTATGATTGAAGACATTACAGGAGGATCAGACGTCGAGATGGAAAACGTAGAAACGGGAGATATTGAAGAGTTGGATGTTCCTAGAATGAATAACAGTGCCGCTAGTTTGGTTAGTCGTCACCTCGCAAAGGTCACGAAGCGCAAGAAACCAGAGACTACCGCAGCGCTTCCTGAAGAAGATCGACAAGAAAATATGCCAGACATGTATACGGACTATAGTGCTTGGCTAGTATTTCAGAAACGCAAATGGAAGCGACAGCGTCTTCTGCGCCAAGAGAATAAGGATATGTACGGCCAAGTTAGAACAGGTGATAGAAGTAATGTAGGCGGCTACTTTAAACGTCAAACAGGATCTTTAGTTTCAAGTGTTTGGGAAATTGTGCAAATTGTGGAGACAGATTCACCAGGAGAATTCAAAATGTGGATTTTTGCACAGCAACAAATGCACTGTGTCAAGTTATCTATTCCACGAACATTTTACCTCAACAGCCGTGAAGAAGAGCCTACTGAAGTATTTCGACAAAATCCATCCTGTGAAATGGCTCGATGTGTACGTACACTACCACGCTCACGCCCCTGTTTGAATCTTTTCCGTATTTCTATGTCAGAAGCAAAATTCCAAGAAGAGCAAAAAAAATTCTCGTCCATTTTCAACGATCCGTCCACTGAAGGTGTTTATGAAACACAAATGCCTCTTGGTGTACGAGCTTTGTTGGAATTGGGTACTTTGTGCGAGGTTAACAAAAAGAAGGCTGGACGTAACAGCTTAGAAGACTCCTTTATATTGGATGATTTAATTCCAAGAAGCGATTCTCGTCTACAGTACATCAGTCAACCCAGAGAATTCAATTACATCTATCTTTATCACGTCAATACAGATAATCGTCATTTCTTTATTCTTATCGGCGCCTCTCTCCCACAAGCACGCGTGTTTTTAGTTGGAAGCAGCCAGTTAAACCAACAGATGCCCAATATCAAACGTATCTATAACGATATATATGAACAAAAATTTGGCGTATCAGAGCTTCAAAAGACTACCGTGGCTATAAAAAAAGATATGGAATTTGAAGTGACTTTCCACAAGAATGAAAGAGAAGTATTCAAGGGACTTAACAAGACTCTTGGAAAATACCAAGATCTAAAACGAGGTCCTACTGTGCTTGTTATAAGTTCTCCTCGCCCAGCCAGCTATTTTACTCAGCAGACACGCGTGATGAATGAGTTTCCCTACATGACACTACTCTCACTACAGCAAGACAACCGATTTGACGCCCTCAATTGGGTGCAGCCTGTTATCAAGCGCATGTTTGAGCATTATTTTAATTTAAGTTCGAGTGTCAACAAAAGATTATCCCAGGCTAGATACTCATCTGTACCATTTTGCAATATTCCTGAAGACGCTAATCTATTCATGGCGGATATAGCCATAGCACGTCGTATGGTAAAGAACGATATGATTCTTTGGTGGTCTACTTCCACTAAGCCTGATCTTGGTGGGCGTGAAGACGATGAAAACTTGCTGGCAACAGAAGAACCGATAAATCCAGAAATCAATAATCCAGGTCTATATCAAGACATTTGTGTGGAAATTGACATCTCGCGCCTTTGTCTTGACACAATTCTAGAAGCACCTTGCATCAACGAACTTGAAGGAACTTCAGGCGCGACTGCATTTGATGCCGTAGCACACACACTCGATGAGTATGCCAATGGTACCGTCAGCATCGCATCTGCATTTGGCGATGGGTCCATATCTCAAAAAACCTTTATGATGCTACGGTCTACGGTTCAAATGTGGTTCGTTCAAGCGGCTGCCCAGGGCATCGAATTGGCAGAAGCCATGACAGAAACTCTCCACCGTTGGTTACTTAGTCCTACATCTGGAATGTATGATCCTTGCATGTACGCGCTGGTACATGGTATGATGAAGAAGGTGTTTATGCAACTGGTGGCCGAGTTTAAGCGACTAGGTGCTACGGTGGTATTTGCAAATTTTCACAAAATTGTGTTGGCAACATCCAAAGAAACTATGGACAGTGCTCTTCCTTATTGCGAGTACATACTTCGTTCAATTGAGAAAAAGCAAGTGTTTGAAGTAATTGGACTTAATCTGGTCGAGTACTGGGATGTATTAGTGTGGATGGACGAAACAAACTATGGTTGTGTTAACGCCAACACAGACGAAGGCACGAAGATTACATCTATTTGGAACATTCAGTCATACCTTCCCACTGCTGTTCAAGGAATGTTCAGAAATCTTTGTGCTGGTTTTGTACACCAGGAGCTTTTGAGTAAAAAGAAGTTCCCCCGAGGCTTGTCAGGCCACTTAGGAGTTCCAGGAGATACCAACCAAGTTAACCCACGTACACAACATATACAAGAGTATATCAGAAGTGATGTGATGCGAGGTAATTTGCGCTGGTTGCCACAGTTCTTACATCGTCAAGAAGCCAATACAACTGGCGAAGATGAGGCTTTAAAGTTTCCTCAACTTCCGGGCTCTCATCTCAACATGACAAATCCTGCTCTTGAATACATCAAATTCATTTGTGCCGTGTTCAATCTCGACAAAACACTTGAAAAAGAAGTCCGAATCTTTAAGCGCAATGCTCTCAGGGCAATGGGTGGTATGAGTGACTTTAGCAGTGAGGCTCAGTTCCGGAACCCGTGTGAATATGTCAAAGTCTACCGGGTGGTTTGTACCAGTTGTAATTATACAGCTGATCTTGACTTCTGCCGAGATGAGAGCTTGAGGCCCGTAAATGGGCAAGTACAGCCATGGCGTTGCCGAGGCTGCCACTTTGAGTACGATAAGCATCGAATTGAGGAACTTATGATTGGTCAGGTACAGCGCTGGCTTACGTCTTTCCAACTTCAGGATCTTAAGTGTGGACGGTGCCGTGGTGTGAAGCGCGAAAACTTGTTGCAACAGTGTGATAAGTGTGGAAGCGAATATTTGCCTACACAGTCAAAGGCTGATATTATCCGTAGGTTGCGAGTATTTGGAAACGTAGCACGCGAACAACAATTGCGTCTGTTGGGAGAGATTATTCAATGGAGTTTAACCCGTATCTAAAGGACGAATGTACATAATACATATTCATAGCATTTTTATTTTACTTTTTTATTTATTTATATTAAAAACAAAAAAACAATTCCTTAATGGTTTTGCTTTTCCCAACTATAGGCAGCCATTTTCATTTTCATTTTTATTTTTATTATTGGTAGTTCGGTTTATTTTTGATATTGTACAAAAAAAAACATATACACCATACTCGAGCTTTGTGACAGATGGATTAACTGCGCACTTAGCAGATACAATGGTATGAATTTCTTCTGATGTTGATCTAAGAGCAGAGTTATCTCCATCGTCCAGGTCTTGCGACTCGGCCTTTGATAACCCATACGCCCCCACAACAAGTAATTGAAGAAATTCATAAACGTGGTCTGGACGGCAATTTATGCCTTTTTTCCATTCTTTTTAGAAACGTGACTGTTATGTGACATGTATTTATGATTGAATTTGGTTTACCTTTGTGCAACTGTCATCCACCAATAACAGGTTGTTATTTGTTACAGCGGGATTAAAGTTTTCAAATGACACTTTCAAACGTCACTTATTTAACAGTCATTCATTAATTTTTTGTTTTCTTCTGTCTATAAAAGCTGTACTTTTCTTTGCGCAGTCGTTGCTCTTTTATGAGGTAGTAAGCTTATGTGTACGGGCAAACAAACGATTGGACTTGTTCCTTTTTATAAATAACCCGTGGGAAGGTCTGAGAAAAACCACAATGCTCTTACCGAGTAACTTGCGAAAGTGAGTGTGAGCAACCAGCGATTATTTCCTTGTTTGCCGCTATAACTGTTGAAGGTCTTTTTCCTTGTGAGAAAGACTGGAGGGTTGGCAAACTTGGGTATTTGAAACCGGCTTGCGGGTGGGAACGCTATGCAGTGCAATACATAGGACTGGCACTTGTGCCAGCAACTCGATTCAGACTACTCTTCTTCCTCATCACCCCCAATAAACAAATAAATGAAAATAAATTATCTTCTATTCAAAACAATTCATTTATTGAATTTGAATGAGGTTTAATCAATGCAGGATCTTTTTCTCTTAGCTTGCTTAGGTTTACTTTGACTTTATTCCTGCTTGACTACGGTTTATGTATATTTGGTGTGGACAGACTAAAAGTTCAAAAAAGGGCAAAAAAAGAGCAAAACTTTAAGTCATATCATTGGGCGAGAGTTTTAATTAATTTTACCCCTTTTTTGCCCTTTTTTTTGGAGGTTCAAAAAAAGGGCAAAAAAAGAGCAAAAAAAGGGCAAAATTTTTAATCGACTCTAATTAGCTAGTTTTCTTCCATTGCCACTAAGATTGAGAAGAGAAGAATTTTTTTATAGAGAAGATATCCCATATGATGAGAGGTCTAGAAAAACTCGCAATAAAAGGTTCTCACTTAATGACAGAGACGGGATTATGCACAATTTTATCTAATATGTATTTTGAACTAATTCTGAACTTTTTTTTAAAAAAACGGTGTGGACAGTCATAAATTAGTCTGATTGACTGTTCTGGATGAAGTTGTTTTACCCTTTTTTTGCACTTTTTTTGAACTTTTAGTCTGTCCACACCAATTGTATCATTATAAAATGAATTGCTAGCCACAAGCCTTGGAAAAGTTCATTAAAACAGCTGAAGCAATATAACAATATGCAATAAATTAAATTAATATACAAATAAACCTATATAAGTTTTTTCCAGCTTTATAAATATTTGTTATTAAATTTAAGGAAAAATGCGTACACCATCTATGTCAGACCTCTCTAAAAATTAAATCTAAATGCATCTATTATTCAAATACTTTAGAAACCTGATAACAACGATAAAGAAATAAAAATCTGCGTATACAAATACTATCCCTATATTTATTGCAATGTCTTGAAGAAATAATAGTCTAAAAGCCACAGTGCTCTCCTAGTCATTTTCAAAGGCCACTCGCAGGACTGTGTTGATCTGATTTTCAGTACGCTTAGGATACTACGCTTTTTATCTACAATTCTTACATTATTATGCCTGGGCCAAAAACAAAGAAATCGCCTGTCGTTTTAAAAGACAAGAGCTTACAAGCAGTTGTTGACTACATTAAAGAAAATGAAGGTGCTGATTTATAATTAAGAACCTCATTGTGGCCTAATAACTAATAATCAAACAGTCAAGAATGTAATTGTGATGTCAGGTGCAGGTATCTCGACAGCGGCAGGCATCCCTGATTTCCGAACAAAAGGCACTGGGCTTTACGACAATCTTCAAAAATTCAATCTTCCATATGCTGAGGCTATTTTCGATATCGAATATTTTATGGTACAAGAATAATATATATTGATGATTTTAATTAACTGGTGTATGATCAAAGGAAACACCAGAGCCATTTTATGCTTTAGCCAAAGAACTCTATCCTGGAAGACACTTTCCCACAAAGGTTCATTACTTTATTCGTCTCTTGGACGAAAAAAAGATGCTCTTACGAAACTATACGCAAAATATCGATACTCTAGAACGCCTATCTGGCTTGTCCCCGGAACGCATCATTGAAGCCCATGGCAGTTTTGCAACTGCTTCTTGTGTCGAATGCGATAAAACAGCCGACCCTGGCTTCGTTAAGAATAAGGCTCTAAAAGCCGAAGTAGCAAGATGCTCAGAATGTAATGGATTAATTAAGCCTGACATTACTTTCTTTGGTCAATCTTTACCTGAACGCTTCCACAATAACCTATCAGTAAGTATACCGAAGATCTTCGCATATACTTACACCTTATTAAGCTAATATGCATAGGACTTTGATAATGCTGACTTGCTTATTGTTATTGGCACTAGCTTAATGGTTCATCCATTTGCTGGACTGGTTGACCATGTTCCAGGAAATGTACCTCGATTACTGATTAATATGGACGAAGCAGGTGTAGTAAGTAACACAGTAATTGGTACACGCAAATTGGACGCCTCACACATGTACCTTGATTTAAATAACAGCACAAATCTCCTAATCATGGATTCGACTTTAAGTGGAAATATGGAAAGAAGAGAGATGTAGCTGTATTAGGCTCTTGTGATAAAAGTATTGAGAAACTGGCACAAATGTTAGGATGGGCAGTAAGTGTAAAAAAAGTTGATGCTGAGAAATGAAGGCTTTACTTATGCTTTTATAGGATGAGCTTGAGGATCTTTATAAGGAGGGAACAGCGAAATTAAAAGCACAGTGGGAAGCAGAAAAAAGTCAAGAAGCAGAGACAAAGGAAGAAAAGGAAGAAAAGGGAGAAAAGGAAGGAAAGAAAGAGATAGAAGTGGATGCAGTTGATTCACTGGCAAATGAACTTGATAAGAAACTTAAGGTCATTTCTGAATCAGAAGAATAACACGAGATTGTTGGATAAATACACACACACACACACTTGACTTTATTGAATACAAACAGCTTTGTATTAGTCCTCATCTTCAGGATCTGCACCAAATTGTTTATAATCAATCTTCTTGCCGCGCGTCCGTCGGCCACCGGTAATAATAACGGACGTGTCAAGGGCTTCGAGCTCATCCTCTGAAAAAAATAATGAGTTACGAGCCATTGACTGTAATCTGCACTTACCAGATATATCACTCTTATCTTCCTCTGATGCTTCTCCATCGCTTCCTTTTTGCTTTGGTGATTTTGTTGGCTTAATCTTCTTTTGTACTCTAAGCTTGTTGCTAGCTTTACTGCTAGATTTGCTCTTTGACTTTTTACGATCCTCATCAGAAGAAACTAAATGTTATTTTGAGTAAAACTAGTTTTTTTTTGTATATCGAGAAAGTCCCCCTTCTCCTCCTACTAATAACTTACAATCTTCCTCTTCCTCTTCCTCTTCTTCCTCTTCCTCTTCTTCCTCTTCATCAGAGGTCGAGCCTCCATTATCATATTTTCCTTGGTGGCGGACACGAGGGGCTACTGGCTTGGAGGCTTTCTTTGAGGATGAAGAAAGCTTTGATGGCTTGGAAGACTTTGAAGGACTGAACAGACTAATGTGAGAATGGGGCAGAATGTAAGAGACGATGATTTACCGATCGATGACTTTAGATCGCTTAGGGCTAGATTCTTGATCGCTTCCATTTTTTCTCTTGGAGGCGAGAGCTTCAAGTCTGGCTCTGCGGTCTGACATTATGTGGCGTGAAAAAAAAACGGGCAGAGAAGAGAAAAAGAAAGGTGAGAGGCAGTTGCTATTTTTATTTAGAAAATACCAGCGCGAATTTAGAAATCATGTTTTTTTTGATATGGTGATTGTGCTGACCAGTAGATGCTATTTACACCATATACAAATATCAATCGACGTCATGAAAGTACGACTACAAGATCTTCCTCTACACGGGGTATTTTGCTAATTACATGACAGGTACAAGAACAAGAAGAACTTTTGATAAAAAGATAGTGTATTTTAGCTATTCATTATTTTATATCGATTAGTTAAAAAAAAATTACGTATAACTTAAATCAAAAAAAATTATGTTTAATAAATCAACAGTTAATGCCAAATGAATATGTTTTTTATGATAAGCATCATATAAAAAAAAAGATGGAGAAACCCTTTGGATTATTTGACCAAATAGTATCCGTGAAAAATCTCTGTGCTGCTTACTTTATCGAATAGAATCGATTAAAAAAATAGAGTTTTGCCTAGTATTTTATTTTGCATATTTTATACATATAAAATGTATTCAGCTGCAATAGAGAGACACGCGCATTGGTAATATGTGTATATATTCCTGGTGTCGTATTTGATTAGTACATATATAACAAAGATGTATATTTTTAGACATGGTCATATCATTTTTATTCTGTTAATCTTGATCAGAAACTTAGATATTGAATCATCTATACAATTTTGGTACAACTTATAAATATTGGGTTGGGTTGGATTGGGGGGGTCAATTAAGAAGGTTGAAACAAAAAGTCGGGGTAATATTCAACCAATGATATCAATTTCAAATTGATCCCTCCACTTTGAAAAAGGTTTAAGCTTTTTTCTTTCCTCTTCAAAATAACTTGGATACTTTTTTATGGTATTATCTTTTATTAAGCATAATTAATTAGCTGTGTTATGATATATCAACGTAAAAATAAGCTTTATATAGCATTCTATTGCCTTGTACTAATATTATTACGAAAGTATGTGAATTATAATAATATATACACTATGTAAGCTTTTTGTTTTTGTTTTTAGTTTTTTTGGAGAATGCTCATATAAATTCCAAGTCAACGAGAGCCAATCATTTTTTTATATTAAAATTTGAGCTTTGCTTCTCCCCTCCGCTCAGAGAGGTGGGGAGGGGGCTTTATCCTATAGGCAGTTGATATGTAACCCTTCCCTACTGCTTCTAATAGGCACACAGTTATACCTTTCTATTGTCTAAGATTTGATGTACTTTTAGCTTATCACGTGATATATGAAAAGGACTGATTTTAAAAAAGATGCATATCATGTGACCTTGGCAATTTCCTGATTTTTTAAAGATATGGAGAGTAAAGCTATCGCACCCTTAAAAGCGAAACATCTAAAACCATTGAGACACCCTGTTGAACAGATTGAAAAGTAAATACCCTATAACCCAACATATCCCCTTTGCCCTCCATATATCTATAAAAAAAAAGAATTATTTAACTTTGTGGGCATGAAGCTTATTTGGTTACTGAAATTTAAAAAAAATAAGCCACTCAGAATCTATAATCACACTATTCTTAGCAATTTTATATGGTTTCTTGTATTGATACCCTGTATTATGTATATGAGCTTTTAAAAGTATATGAAAAATGGAATACTATATATATATATATATATGTATATATATATATATATATATATTTAAAAAATGAATGTCTAAAAGTTCAGAATTGGTTTATGTGTACAATTTAGTTCTCGACCTTGGCGAGGAGCTCAGAATCGCGGTAGAGGTGGTATTCCTAGATATCAAAGAAGACAATCAATACACCGCATCTATCTATCTGCCCCCCAATACAGAGATTGTCATTACTATTACCTCATCCTGAATCTTTACGATGCTTCCACCGTAGGTAGGGAGAAGGACCTTGTCACCGGTAGCGACCTGAAGAGGGATGTGCTTACCATCCTTGGTCAAAGCACCCTTACCAACAGCAACAACTACACCCTCGTTCAACGCTTCTTGAGCCTTCTCAGGAATATAGATACCAGATGCGGTTTGCTAAAGTCGAATACACTGTTTTGAGTAATCTATTTTTTTTTCAATCTAATATCTACCATATTTTTACCTGCTGTGCCTTGACACGCTGGATAAGGACGCGGTCCAAAAGGGGAACGATGTTCTTGATCTTTGTGGCAGCAGACTAGTGGGAGGTTAATGGAGATTCCACTCGACTATCTTTGCGTACATACCATGATGATATTGAGTAAAAGGAAAACAAACCAAGAAAGATGGCGGGGGCCTGGATGGACTTGAATTAAGTCTATGTGACTGCGTGCGCGAATCAAAGAGGCGTGGGAAATCTTCCATCAATGCGCACCTCTTGGTTTTCAAAGTAGTGTTCCGTAGCAGACGTCACACACGTCTATTGAACTTTAGGTTTGTAAAAGCAAAAGTATAATCATTTTTGTTTTTGTTTTTAAATAGACAAAAGATAGGGACTGTACGAGATAATAATTGGTACTTTTAAATATTTTGCTTTTAACGACCAACGATCTAATCCTTGCTTAAATAAAGAATATCTTAACTTCGCAAATCATTATTGTACTTGGTTAATATTACAATTTAAGAAAATTAAATGTGATACCATATTACTGGTAAAGTTTAGTCTTTAAGAAATGAATATGGAAAATAGCATGTTTTTAGTGCTACAACAATAGACATTTTGCCTTTGTACTGAGAAACTATATACTAATAAAATCTAGAATATTCCCGCCGATTTTTTTTTCAGTAAAATTTAGAGAGGTTTTACTTCATATTTTAATAGCAAGGTTTAAATGAGGTTTAAACTATATGAAAGTTGTTTTTTTTATACGTCTAATGTTTGTTAAGAATATTCCAAGCTACCATAAACGATCATTAAACTTTGTTATTTTTCACTTATTTGGCAGCACTCCCAATCGCACGCTATCTATCAAAATTTGGCTTTCTTGACCACAACAATAAACATTGAATCCAAATGATACATACAAAAGACTTTTTTTAAGGAAAAAAAAGAAAGAAAACATCAAAATAAGCCGGCTTTTTCTATATATCATGCTTCTTCATCCTCCTCTTCTTCTTCATCCTCTTCATCGCCGAATGAGATGGCAGATTTACTACCCATCAAATCCTCTTCTTCTTCATAATCATCCTCTTCCTCCTCTTCCTCTTCCTCATCCTCGTTGTCTTCTGCTCCACTTTCTTCGCGTGGTGCGCCACCAGTACGTATACGATGCTCCTCCTTCTCCTTCTTCTTACGCTCTACATCCAATTCTTGTTTATGTCTACGATCGGCCTTCTCCTTCTCAGTGCGTTGTCTCTTGCGTTCGTTCTCCTTGATTTCCTCGGAGGTCTTCTTAACATAACGATGGTAAAGAACTTCGCCACCACACATTCCATTCTCAACCTTGATAAGCTCTAACGTCATACGGGGACCAAGCTCATGTAAGCGTACGGCACGTTGGTCATTCTTGCGGTTATTACGGCCGTGGTAATCTTGAGCAAGTGTGACAGTAGATTCGGGTCCATCCTCGACATCACTTTCGGAAACAACAGCCTCCTTGAGAATATAATCTGAAATGTCTTCGTAGTCACCTAGATTGGGGATATCTGTGTTGATAACACGCTTGATCGATTTAGACACACCAGTGGTTTTTACACCGATACTGTAGTGTCGTACGTCAATCATGCCGGTATCTTGGTTGTAGTTGAATAGCAGAACACGGCGAGCTTGAGATAGTTGCATCTATTTTTGGAATCAGTAAGATGATCAATTAAACCAAGGTTTTTACTTACGGTCTGAACATCGATTGATGGGAACATGTTCTGCAGCATCACAGTCATTACTTTGAACTCCTTTCCCTCCTGCTTGAAATTGTTCAAGACAAGTAAAGGACTTTTGCGATACTCAAGCTCGGAGGTCTTGGGGGCCTTTTGTAACGCAAGACAATCTTTAGCAAGAGCATATTCTGCAATACGGAAGGTCAGAGTAGGGCCGCGCGGTGCACGACAGATACGCAGGTTTGTGTTTTTTTCTGTTCTACTGAAGATCATAAAGTGTGTGACGCCAAGTTGGCCAGCTACCATTACGAAATCTCGTAAACGATTGGTACGTCGTTCCTAATTAACAAATTCAGTTGAGAAATGGACTGCTAGAATACTTCGTATATATGTATTCTTACCCTAAGATGTGTTGCAGTGTGTGGCTCCATGACACGGCGAACATCATGTACAAGAGCTGTGACTGATTGACCGACAATTCCAGATCGCACCACAAAACTCTTTGGGATCTTGTTCATTTCCTCCTCTGTGGGGACGACATGGGTCTTGGTCTTTCTCTACGGTAAACGATTAGTATTATACTCTTTAATGTGTTAATTTGGTGCATGTGCTTACCTTTCTTTTACCCATGATTTATAGTTTGTATGAATGCAAAAGTTTTGCAACAAGAAAAAAACCTCGCTTGTCAAATTGTTAGCAGGAGAACGAGTCACAAGTGGTCACTCTTGTGCAATGTGTAGAGGAGTTTGGCTGTCACACCACAAGAAAATGGCTGTCATAGCATTGGTTTAGCCATATGCAAACTGAAAGCTGGGGAAAAGAAAACTGGTTGAAAGATGACCTAGTGTGATATTCTAATCAATTTTCATTTTCTTTTTTCTGCTTGAGAGGTATAAATAAACCTTATGAAATTAATGGCACCCATATATTTGTCTATATATATATTACTTTACTATTATATTTAGTTGCCAAAAACCGAAAAGAAAGGATATCATTACATAACTGAGAGTAATAAACGATCCAATAAAGCTGGATTTTGCTTCTGTTAATTTAGCTGCTTAAAACATACTTTGCAGAAAACTTTTTATATGATGAGCTGCTTATCTATTTCCAGAAGTTTAAGACCAAAGAAGTTAGGTTATATAAAATGACTTTTTGAAACACATATACAATTCTTCTAGGTACAATGCTTATTCTCGCATTGATTGTTCCTTAAAGGTAGGCAGTGGAAAGACTTGAAAAATTAGACATACTTACGCTTATGCCAAAGACATCAATGCTATAAATTACAACATTCTAACTATTGTGTGAAATGGACTTTTATATACAAATTTACTAATAGAAAAAAATTGTCTCGATCTCAATAGAAACACTGTACAGGGCTTTCTATATCATTTCCTTCTTGGTTTAATACTTAAAAATTATTCTGAAACCAAATTAAATGCGAGACTTTAAATTTGATTGCGGCACAAGATTTCGTTTATTTCTTGAATGGTATTTCTGCCAATCATAAATTTTTTCTTTTTGTATATTTTTGCTGGCTTCAAATTTATTGCAAAAATATATCTATAATCTGTGTTTGATAGTGGTCCTTTTTGTTACAGTAGTGCACACTTGCTCACCCCACAACTGTGTAATCTATATAAACACACACATATCTACAAGCCCGGTAATTAATGTACTGGATTTTTATCCCCAACATGTGTCCTTGTCCATGAGAGTTTCCCAATACTATTCTTTTCTATCGTCTAAACAATTAGATAAAGCAATTACTTCCTTTATCCTTCCTTTCAACCTTTTTCACTTATACTATGGATCATGTATTCCTCTTTTAATTAATAGATATACGCATATTATAAGCCCCAAATCAAACAAGATGACTGTCTCTTTCTTTCTAAATATAGTGCCCTATTAACAGAAATATAAGCTTCCAATAATGCCCTACAGGAAAATTATACCTCTTCGTTTGGAATCTAAGAATTTACAATGGGTCAAACTGATCTAGAGTTCCGGTACATTAAAGTGAGCGTATTACTATTCTTCACTCTGAGCTGAGTCCTGTCTATTGATAGCGATCGACAGGTCCAGTGAGCAATGTTCCGTTTGTATATACATATATATTAAAACACAGCATAGATAAGACACAAGCCAGGTTGTTGCACGAGCTTAATCGCTTTTCTTCTCAACACTTTTTCTTCTGTTCACAAGTGATTTATTGTCATTCTGATTACATCATGGATCCCAACTCTGATCATGGCCAAACACTTCCTGCCGGCTGTCTGTTGGCTGACCGTGGAACTCAACAACACCAGCCTCAGGCTGAAGATATCTTAATCGACGAAGATCTTCTCGACCTCTTCCGAATCATCAAGCTCTTTCTACGAAAACGACCGAATGCCGAAAGAATAGCTAAATTATTGTTCTGTATATCGTATGCGTTGAGCGACAATGTAAAATTTTATCGACCCCTACATGACAACCATATGTATTTCCGAGATGAAACTGTCTACGGGAGTGCAGTACATAGCGTACAATTATTGAGCAACACCGTGTGCTGTAACAACCCCAGCAATTCTACCTCTTACCGTGTTGAGCAGGAGTTTCCTGCCTCCTCATGCCAGGATACCGCCTCTGCATCCTCAATATCATCATCTTCGCTCCCACGCCTCTTATCTGTTTCGTACCTCACTCATCCTACACCCGACGATACATCTACCGATGCTCACTCTGTCCGGCCATATACTCATTTTCGTCCTCTCTACCCTTATCAATCCAATGTCCGCCGCGAAGAGCCACCTACTGAAGTTTTAATGGAACCGCGCCAACGCGGATTCTATTACCAGGATGGCCGTATCTCTCGAGAACCAGCTCTTTTGCAACGCTATGCCGAGCAGGGTGTTCTTACTCAGGCTTCTCTTATGCGCAAACGCAAACGTCAGACATCAGACACAGAATTTCCTTATGAACTCACCAGCCTCCCATCATTTACAAAAAAATCAAAAATCCCACACCGACACGGTGAATTCGAACAAAGACGTAGGTACATTTGAACAAAAGACAAGTTTGTCAGGAGACCCTGACAGATTTGCCATTCTACTAGGCGAAGATATTTTGACGAGAATGCGATTGATCAGTATGGCTGATCTTGAGCAAAAGGCATCTCGGTTACCAGACAACTTCACCTTGGCCATAAAACAAGCCTCTATAGGTACAGGCGATCCCTCAAGCCAACTTGAGCCAGCACTCCGGATTCTGACTGAACACTCAAATATGAAGCCTCATTTGGATAATGGTATGAACCAAAATGGTATATATTACAACACAGACTACTACCGACTCTACCTGGCATTTGATCAATTCCAAAAGATCTTTGCCCAACTCTTCCCACAGGAAATTGGGACGGATCTTGAGGCAGACCGGGAAGGAGAGGGAGAACGAGATAGGGACAAGGAGAGGAATGCGAATATGAAGGCCTATCGGGTGTGGATTGAACCACTCTTGACAGAAACCAACTGGGCAGCCTTTAGACGCAATATCGTCGTGGGAGAGCGTATGGTGCAGCTGACGAATGTGGTTGGACAAGGACTGGTGCTCATGACAAAAGAACTGAGTGGGTCGAAACTTCATTTGACATTTACAAATAACGAATGGGATGACTTTATCAATGGTCTCATCGACCCAAACGACATTCAAGATCTCAAAGAGCTCCAAAGCAAGTTCTCGACATGCTATTGGTTTCGCAGTGATGGTAATATTGTCACAGTTGAAGAGCGTGCTAGACTTCTTTCTGGCCAATCAAACATACCTCATTCTCCAAATTCTGAATAGCACAGGCATATACTACTTAATAATAATAATAATAATAATAATAATAATAATAATGATAATAAATAAGCATTTTAGAAACACAAAAGATGTTATCTTTGGTCTGTGGTTCAATGTAGCTCATAGAACTACCGTGCATACAAGCGCCATCTCCGCTTTCTTGACCATACTTGGATACATCGGACAGATATATATATATATATATTGGATCGAACTTGTGCAGGTAAGGGACAAGAAATATACGCCCAATTGGACTTTATAATATTCAACACTATGATACATAAATATTTATCATACATAGATTTTTGTCTTAAGATTAAGATTTTTACCCAGGATACAGGGTATATAGTATACTACAACGTCTATGCCCAAATGGGAAATTAACTACAGCCATTTTTTTAAAGAAAGGTTGATATCAGATTGAAGGTTTTTTTGATACACGTACTATGTTAAAAGAAGTATCAATCTCCTGAATAGGAATACATATACATATGTACGACTTTAAACTTAAATCACATATTATCCATAATTATTTCTAATGGATGAGTAGACACTAAAATTAATGTCGTTCGATAGGCACAATATAAAAAGGCAAAAATGAACAAATTTATGTATAATATGAATCTGTGTAAGCTACCCAGAGCTTCTATCAAAGATAATATATAGAATTTCGTCCAAAACTGGATTTAATAGATCGTGTCGTTAAATGTTCTGAACTCGCCAGAAAAATGGAGACATTTATAAGTTGCTATATTTGACAATCGACATCTAAAACAGGCCCAAATTTGCCTTTTTCAGAACCAGGATCTTCTTAGAATTTGGAAAATTTGTCCAACTTTCAATCTGCAAGTTATATTATTTTTTCTTATTAAATAAGACAAAGCTCATAGGGGATACATGCACGTATGTCTTCTCTATATTGTGCATAAGTTATAGCTGCTTTCAATAGATTTTCACGGAGATACAGCCTATTTATTCAATGTATCATGGAGAAAAGATGTACAGAATATATGCCAGGAAAACTATGTGAGACATGATTTGTCCTTATTTCTTTTTTTGGGAGCAATAAATTAGAGCTTTTAACGACACTAGACGACACATTATCTAATGGAAAATTCATGGCTGCTAAAAATAAAAGATTGGTGAAACCCAGTAAAAGATAACGCACTCTGGCAGCAGTTGTGAAAACTTATCAGTTGATGAGAACATCATACTGCGTCAAATATAAGAAAAATATATCTTTATATATTTCAATCTTTTTCTTTAGAATAAACTTGACATTTAAAGATCGAATTGATTAATTACATATACAATCGACACTCCTGGCTACCCTATCCCTTGATTTGAGAGCGAGAGAATAAACTTGATTTTGAGGAAATATTTAATGGGAAATGTATAGCATCATTGGAAATTCACTACAGGAAAAAAGGGGTGTTTTTTGTAATTGTGACTTCATTTTTGGGCTATAATAATTAAAAAATCACCAAAAAAATCAAAATGAAACAAAAAATTTCACCACCACAAAAATTGGAAGCCAAATATGGTAGGGTATGGTACCCAAACAATATTATTGGCCTAGAGAATTTTTCTTTCTATAATTTCGTGAGTTGAATATTTTTTCTTCCAAATAAAGGAGGAAAGAAGGTTTGGTCCTACTTCAAACTTTTTTGATCACAACAAAAAGCTGTTCAAGTAAGACAAAACATTGAATAAGGAAATGCGGAGGCTGTATTGTGTAATAAAAAAATAATTCTGTTAAAATTCGGTAAAGGCAACGATTTTCAGCATATAAAACGACTTTGTCAAAATTTCAAATAAGAAAAAATATACGATTTTTTTTGTTTCTTAGATAATATTAGTAAAGAATGCCTAGCAAAGGCAACCTTCTAAAGCACAACTCAACCCAATGAAGATATAAATATATACACATATTTTTTTTAATAAGTTACAGCTGTAATTTCAATTATTTGCTATTAGAACATACCTCTTTAACTTATAAAAATAAGGCAAACCGAGAGAGAATGACAGCGTTTTTTTTAAAAACATTTCTACGAGTTGCAATATTGATATTAAAAGCCAGTAGACCAATGAGAATTTTTTAAATCGATTTTGAATAAGTGTGGGATCACGTCCTTTGCGTTGTTTCTTACTCTACTTTACCAACAAAAGTTTGTTCATTACGTGTGTTTACATATAGTATATTATCTTTTTAGGAAACGTGTCTATATATTCTTGTTTTTAAGGTATGTATAATAAAAAAGCAATATTGTACTTTGTAATGCAGTTATTCATCTTGGGTCTCATTAGCTGACAATTAGCCTTTTCATCATCTGGTCAAAATAAGTTGAGATAATACCTGCACACCTAGTTTACAAAGTAATTGAATACTAACCATCTTTTATTCATTTTTACTTGTAGAGATTCAAACTTTTATGAGATGCATCTCGGTAAACTCAAAGGTAAGCTTTTATTTAACTTATTTTTTAAGCTTGAAATACTTATTCATATTTATATTTTATTAGGCTGCTCTTTTATTCCACTATTAAGGTAGCTCTTTGGTGCCTTTGTCTTCAAGAATTATAAGGGATATAGACTCCATGACCCTATCTTTAGCTTAGAATAACTAGATTTAATTTATTATATACTTCTGCTCATAAATTATATGGTGTAGCTATAGCTTAGCATTTTTTTCTACTTTGAAACAAAAAATAAAAACCAATTTATTTGAAACACAATTTTTTTGAACCATTTTTTTTTTGAAAACGCATTTTTAAATCCGTGATTTATTTCGACCAGAATTTATCGCAGATAATTGTGTCTATATATGGGCATGTAAGGTACATCTATATTCCTACACAAGAAATTTCTCTGGCGGTTATTTGTTAAAGAGCGGAGTTATAAACTAATCCATAACAGGCAGGAGGTGAAAAAGTGGGTAGGCAAAAAACACCCACCTGGACGACCTCCTGAGCGGACCCCCAGTGAACCCCCGGAAGCACCTCTTTTTTTCCCGTAGTGATTAAGCACAGATTTAAGTAAAAATGGATAAAAAGGTTCAATTTTCCACTAGATAACGTGTCGTCTAATAGCTATCTAGCATACAGTTTCAAAGGCTATATACTAATAGGAAACGCCAGCCCTTATATTTTAACCGTTGTGCCTTTAATACCGCTGTTTTTTTAGTTAAAAAATTCAGACGAAATACATACAAAAAGGTGTTGGAAGGGATGTTGTCAGATTCGGACATTTCCATGTCCAACCAAAAATGAAGTATGCGAATATGCAATAGTCACGTGCCTTGTCTGTGAGCGTTCATGGAGAAGAAGAAGCCAAGAATGACAGAGTAGAATTCTGCCAATGCAAGCTGCTGTAGCGACAGGTAAAACAAAAAAAGTCATTGACGATGTACACCAATAGATTGAAGTTGTTTTATTTTAATAGGGTTCTATAATGTGCTTGTTACCAAGGCACTTATCTTGTGGATAGGTGGCTGCTCAGTGGTAGCTGCAATATTTCAACAAAAGATGCTTTTACATCTCCAACTTCGCCCCCATCTAACTGTTCATCATCAAGTAAATAAAGAATTTGCGAAGATTTAAATTCAAATAAGAAATAAGAATTGTATACTAAAGAATACATACCCTTTTTTTTACGCTAATTACTAGTTTTGGCGATTATTGACCTCCCATTGCGCATTTACCAATTCCGGGGACTTATTCTATGGAATGCTACTCTTATATGCTATGCAAGTAGTTGAGCGAAATTTTGGCTCTGCAAAATATGCAGTAAGTTTGACTCTAAGCCTTTTAATCTCATAATCAAGTGTGCCCGAGGAATCAGTATAATATAGCTTACAGAACTTCTTTTGGGATACTTGTTCAGGCCTTTGTGTTTGTAGCTTTAGGTTTAACTAGCTTACTCGAAGTTGGGGCATTGGTACTCGGCAAAGCTTTGGGATTAAAGCGTATTCCCGGGGGACCGTGAGTGATTTCTAAAATGAAAAGATTTTACCCATACTCTGTATTGATTGAATACTACAATGTCTGTTTTATAGATATGCACTATTGTTTGCTATGCTATACCAGTATCACCGTATTGTGCCAGTCGTTTATCGCTTACGGGTGTTTGGCTTGAGCCTCAATAATAAGATGATTATTTATCTTCTGGCTGTAGAGGTAAAAAAAAAAGATAAAATGTTTCAAGCAGTATTGGGTTTGGTGTATCGCGATATGTTGGTTATATCTCAAAACAACAGATGGCTTTTTCACAAGGTATTGACACCCTTGCACCGGCAGTATGCGGGCTGCTAGTGGGAATGCTTTATCGATCTGATGTGGGTCACATAAAACAATGGAGGTTCCATCGATCTTTTAAATCATTTGCAGTACAATGGTTACGTCCCTGGTTGGCCTCAGCTCCCATCGCACGTTCAACGATGACCATGCCAGTTCAGCAAACTTCAGCTGGATTTGCCGTAGATCGTCTTGTTTCAGCAGCTGGGCTGCGGAATCGGCAGCCCCAAAGTACAGCAACTACCACCGAAGCGAATTCAGTGCGGGTAATTTTTCTCGATTACTTTAATATGTGTCATATAATCTAATCCAACTAATTCTTTCTTTCTGTTTTATTTTAAACCCTCAATAATGACAAAAATGACAAAAATATTATCATCAACAACTATCAGGCTTATTTGGATACACTGACAGGAAGTGCAGCAGTCGAAAGTAATCTAGCCCCACTTTCAGAAGAACATGTTGCATTACTGTCCAATATGTTTCCTGAACATCCACCCGAGACTGTGGAAAGAGCTTTAGCGGCTGCTAATAATGATGTCAGTAGAGCTGTAGAAATTATGTTGAGCACACCTGCTCCTGAAGGGAGCAATACTCATTAACTACAAATAAATATCAACAAGCATCATTTTAATGTATAAAAAAACACCACTTGTGATCTATCCGTGTTGGATTTTTTTTTCTATTTACATTCGCACATGAAACAAACAGACAAAAAAATACACTGTTGATCTTACTGCTGAAGACACAATATATATTTACTTTTTTTTTTAGTAATAAATGAAGAGAAGTCGATGCATTTTTTATATGCCTTATACCATGCTCACAGTACATTATGAATGATTATATAGAAATATCTTTTGCAACTGTAGACGAAACAAAATATAGAGTTAATACATGATTACATACAAAACCCAAAATACACAGCAATACTTTTACAACTGTGAAAATATTTCAATGCGATTTCTGTATAAGTTTCTGTCGCTCAAGTATGGTACGATAATTCTGGTATAGATGACACTTAATTCAAAATGACCTGTGTACGATAAACTAGCAATTTTCTTTGAAGCTATGTATTATACCTGAGTTCAGAGAAAATGCCTAAAAGATGTTATTCTATAGGATTAGAATACATTAAAAAACAAATAATGAAATTAGGAAGGATACAGTCCTAGAAACTAATGTTGAAAAATAGTAATCAGATGCGTAACTTATAAGCCTTTATTAATTAATGAAACTTGGGCTGGTTTGAGAACAATAGGGATGATTTAATATATACTTGTATTTCAATTGCTGTGTTAATCAATGCTATTAAATACAATAACTCACATACATACGTACACACACGCGCGCGCGCGTGCAAAGATGTATTTAATAAAGTGGCAAAATACGATTGTTTGTACATAATGTACACATTTATAGGAAAAGAAAAGAAACCAAGAAATAACGAAAAAAAAATATTTATTAGACATTAGAGCTTGTTTTGGGGAATATTCTTGTGCAGGGTAACATAACCGTTGTTAATAACTATAGCATCTCTTTCTTTGACCTTGGCAGCGAAGATTACAGCGTCGATCTTTGCATCAGGACCATCTACCTTCCACATGTAGATCTCAACGGTTTCGCCAGGGAATACTGGAGAAGCAAAGCGGGCTTCAATAGACTTGAACAATTTGCTATCATTCTTGGCAAAATGTTTGATAATAGAATGTGCGCAAGCACTGTAGCTGCAAAGACCATGGAGGATTGGCTTGGGAAACCCAACCTTTGGGGCTAGCTCAATGTCAGCATGAAGAGGGTTGTAGTCACTATAAAAATAAGAAAAAGTAAATATCTATATACTAGTCTTGTGGATATAGGTTTTTGTTTGTTTGTTTGTGTGTGTGTGCATTTGTGCGTGTTTTTTTGCTTGTGTGTTTGTATACGTATGCACGTGTCAGTACATGCGGATTTACTTACCCAGAGAGTCGATACAAGAGAGCCTGGTTGGGGGAAGTAGAGAAAACTTCAATAGCATCAGGATTGCGCTTAGGAGGGTTGTAGGAGACAGCCTTGGGTCCTTTGGGTCCCTAAAATCCGCAAAATTTACCCCGCATATTGAAAATTATAAATATATATATATAAATATATATAATCTGAAACGAGCTAGACCAAGCTATCCCAAAAGCACCTTGTATCCTTTTGAATTAGTTAAAAATTACTTACGTCCCAACCACCATAGCCGCGTACAAACGACTTGGTCAACATACGACAGTAGTGTACATTGTCCTTCTCACCGTAAATGTCCATTGTAGTTTCTACAACCATACCGGAACCTAATGATGGTCGATTGCATATTAGCTCCTAGAACTTTGTCATTCATTCGTTCATTCAATCGCATGTTATAAAAACCTGCCTTTGTCATAGACACCCGAGCATGTCTTCTTGAGAATAAATTCACCTCCATTAGCAGGCCAGGGATTGACAGCCTCAAGAGATTGCTCTCCATGAACAATCTTGTTTGGGTCGTAAGGTGGCATACCGGGTAAGTCACCTCCGGCTTTCATACGTTCAGCAAAAACGTTAACGTCACCAACATTGCCTCTGAGAGACAGCACAAGAGGGTATGTAGCGAGAGGGCCAAAGTTCTTATCTATGTTAGGAGTAAGTAAGAAACCAATTAAAGAGTGTTAAGGTTGCATACCGTTCTCGTAAACATATCTCATTTCATCTTCCTTGACACCGACTGCCAGGGCGTAAAGGATGAAGTCGCGACGATTGCAACTGACTTTATCCAGGGCAAAAACATGGCCGACAGCCTTGGAGGTGTCTACTTTGAATCCTTCGACAGGCATTATTTTTATTTGGTGTGTGGGAAGTGTGTGAAAAGAGAAAAAAAAAAAAGAAAGAATGAATGAAAGACCCAGTCTCTTCTGTACAAAGCACAAGTTCCTCTCCGCTAAAATTAAACATATCTGCTTACCAAATTGTTTTCACACTCATATTTCAACTTTAATTTTATTTACATAGTAGAAGATGTGTGGGTATATTTAAGCGTGTATCTCTTTACATGTACCAGTTTTTTTTATGTAATTATATATGAAATTATATATATTTAAATAAAATGGGATAAAGAGAACAAAACACGGGTACCAGCCCCAACTAGTATATATAATGTGTATGTGTGTGTGAATAGTAATGTATAATAATATAATTAACGGGTTGAATTAAAAAGTCATCAAGTGTGCTATTGATGGATTTTTCATCCAGTTGGGAGATTCTTTAGAATGATTATTTAGGGTAGATTGTTTGTCATTCATCAGCAATGCATTAGAAATTCGCAGTGCTTCAAGAGCAGCATCGGATGTAGTTGCCCCATAATACATCATCGGCGTATCGAGTAATTTCTGCTGTTTATCAACTGTTTGCTTAGGTTTTGCTGGCACTGTGATTTGATGTTGGTGACTCTTTTCTTCGACTTTTTCGTAAAGTAGCATGTATGGATTAGCTTGTAGAACAGTATCAAGTGAACATACATCCACCTTTGTATCTGACACTCGGTACCATTGATCTTTTCCTTCCCATTTTTCTTCTCTGGCTCCACATTCATCACATCTGCACGTATTGGAAACTAGTCGGCGTTTATATGTAACGAAATGTCCGTAGCTGTGATTTCCATAATGAACCACTACACTCATCAATCGATACTTGCATGTATCGTTCTCTGAAGAAAATATCGATATAGGGACATTTGGAGTCGTATTCAGGGTGCCATTGGTGCAATATGGTGCTAGATTGAGATACTCCGGAAAGCTCAACTGGCAGAGGTTTTTATAAAGCGCCCCGGATTCATGAAAGGCCGATCTTGAGATGTGAAGGCAAAGAATTGTCGGTGGTTTGGCAATCATTACTTGCTTGCTTGACAAACGACGTGTAGCTCGAAGTATAGGTACTTTGTCGCTGCTCTTACCCCACAGCTCAACATCTTCAGCCTCTTCCTCAATTCGTCTCTGACTTAATCTGGTCTTGATCTCGAACCTGATACTTTCAAGTTTGGGGAGATGTTTGGTAATCTCGGGCTTATTCTTAGACTGCTCGTTTAGATTTTTTTTTTCTAAAATTTGTTTAATATCCAATGAAATAGCCTGGACCGTAGAAACAAGAGTGCATTTCCGACAGGTGACATCCTTGAGAAACTCCATGGATGTAAATTGTTGAAGACATTCATGTAAAGTGGTTGTATACTTTTTTTTTAAAAAAAAAAAGAAAGAGTAATAATATCAACAGAGAATATTTTAATTATATTGAAGAAGAAAAATGGATTTGTGGATGGAATGAGTTACTTACAGCATTTGGTAAGTTTAGCTGAATGTTATTGAACGGAAAGTGGCGAATAGCTTCCTATGAATAGCATGAGATTTCCGAAAAGATTGGTGTGCTTTGTCCACGTTTTATTATAGCAGTATAGCATTAATTACCGTATAGCCACAATGCATACATGACAACCGGTTGGCCAGTAACCCGGATAAGGGGTTATCTGAATGAGTTATTTCTTTAATGACCGAAGGACACTTTAGAGGTTTGGATGTTGTAGGGAATAGTTTGGTATTGACGGTATTGGGATAGAGTGTTTCCGCGAGCACATGTTGTAAACCGCCTATCTCACACTGCTCCATCTTCTGTGTTTCGGCTTCAATTGCACTAGACAGTAGCTGGAAGACCTCATGAGCGTCTTGCTGTTCTCGATTAATCACCCGACGATTTGAAGGCATTGTAGCCACAATTTCGGCCGGTCTAAATGAAGAACGCCAATACAGCGGTTTAGAGAGCTTCCGCATAGTTTTTAAGAGTGCTCGAGTAACTGGCAGAGGAATGCAAGCAACAGCAGATTGACTGCGTTGGGTTAAATAGGCATGCAACGTCGGGAGTGAGGAAAGTGCCTGTGTGTAGAGAGTTTAAGCGACATGAAACTTTGTCTATCAGCAGGATAATGGTTTTACTTTACTTGTAGAACAGAGTTAAGGAAACACGAGTTTCCAGTATTTACGAGACCCGAGACTACGGCAGATGTGTCTTCTGCTCCGTTTGCTGGTTTCACACACATAAGCGCATCTTGCTTATCGACTATGAAGTAATAATCAAGGAGTAAGTAAGATAGATGAAAGAAAACATTATAATGTGTTCTAACATTGCATGGCTTGCCAGGTGTAGTCAATGTCCAATCGAGCTAAGTCATTGTAATAGGCATCCGGCCGGGTCATCTCTATGAGCTTTTGGATGCCAAGCATTTTAAAGCATGCTTGGAGGGCTGATTGGAAGCTTCCATAGATAGTATAAACAATGTCGTTGTATAGTGGACTAGTCTGGATTACCGGCTTGATGATGGCCAGCAAACCGATAATAGCGAACACGAGCTGTACAAAAAAGGTCACGTCGTTAAGTAAAGGTTGGAGCCACCCTAGAGTCGGTTCCATGGTCTATATGAGCTGTCAATCTATAAAAATAGTACACATGTATAAGGTTTACAAGTAAAGTACTTTTGTTCCCTAGTAACTAATTGCTATTTTTTTTTAAAAAAAAAAGCAATAACTAGCGCTTTTTCAAATATTTCAGTATGAACAAATTGAAATAAACAACTTGGTGTAGTTGAACTGGTTGGAATCAAATTGTGTTTATTGATAAAGATATTAAGTGTTTGATATCATGATATAGCTCTTCCTTTATTTCCATTACTATTGTTATTATTATTGCTTTTTTTTATTTCTATTACTACTATATATCAATTACTAAAGGACCTATGATTTGGAGATAATTATTCGAATATCATGAAAATAAAAGAAATGCCTCCTTATTTCTCATGTGAATCGACGGTCACATTATTTTATGTCACACAAGTGGTGATGGGATCTTGCTGTAAAGGTGAAAAATCTCCATTGTAAACATCAGCCAATCAGTGAATGAAATAGCAATTTATCGGGAAATGTACTTTTGGCCAATAAAGTAAGATGCAATTGATTGAGTTTTTTTTTTACTTTCTTTCTTTCTTTCTTTCTTTCTTAGGGATTCCAACATAGAAGTCTCTCAATTAATGCTTTATTTTGGTGTAATTATAGCACTTTGTACAATGCTTTCTGCGATATTCTTTATCGAGGAAATATAGCTGCTATAAAAAATATTCTTGTGTACTGATTTGTATTCTGAGTTCCGTGAACCCTGATTGAGGGAAATACAGATCGCTTCTCTCGGAGAGGAAAGCGGACGAGTGTCTTTTTTGGTGTGGCGCTTGTGTTGTCATTCAACTGATGGTTATGATCAGTCAAATATCAAAAGCCAAACCCTGCCTTTATTATTATTATTATTAGTTAGTCAGTTAGTTAGTTATGTATATATGTATATATGTATATATGTATATATTAATATATGTGCCTTTATTTATTTATAAACTCGTACTAATAATAATAATCATAATATTAATAGTAATATGTGCCTGGTTTCTATGATGATGCTTTTTTTTTTGGGTTGAGCTAATTAGAGTTTAAAAACTGTTTCCATGGAGACAAATGGCTAGGTGTTAAATAAGGAGGAAAATAACGCCACTCGGGTTTTATATACATTATATATATATATGATTATATACGTGTGTATGTGTGTATACACGCGCGTGTATTGCTCATTATTCTTTACATTTGATCCTTTTAAAAGCTCTTTGATGGTTTGTCTGAGACGGAAAACCTTTGACATACTGTATTTGTATTAAGGTGCGTCGTTTTTATAAACTGCACAACCACAATGAGCTCTTTTTTTATTATTTCTTGAAACATACACAATTTGTACTGGAATTGAAACAAGTACCCTGCAACACAAAAATATTATGGCGTAATGGTCGTACTTGCCACTTGGGAAAGAGCCTATTCTCTTACACATCAATAGAGTTTTAGACAAGAAAAAAATGTATATAGAAACTGTGGTAAGAGAATAAGTTGAGTGACAGAAGTGACAAAGGATTGTGAGACCTCCAACTGTTACGTAAAAGTTTAATTGTACATACGATTTTGAAACCTTGGACCAGCCTGGTGATAGAAAAAAGAAAAGAAAAGAAATACCAATCTATACGCCACGATTGAGATCCTATTTGGATCAATTTCTTGGCACGACCAGAAGATCTTTTTTTTAACCTTTTCGATTTCTTTGGACAGCCGATTATGTTTACGCGGAGCGGAAGGTCCTTATCGATGCGTTCATTACACATTGACTTTATGAGACAAACGGTGGCATCAATGCTGTTCTGCAAGTCGTACTTGTGAGACAAAACCCTGGCTGTCAGTACACAATCTGAGTTCTTTTTTCTTCTTTCAATCGTCAAAAGTTAGAATAACCTTGATGGTGCTTCCTCAACTCAGGGGCCTTTTTTTTTAGTGAGGCAAATTTATGTAGGATTAAAGAAGAGTAAGAGTCGTGTGTATTATATAAATGTATTTTTTTTTTGGAAATTTGGCGTGCTTTTTTGTATATAAAGGTATTGTGGAACAAAAAAGTGGATCGTTGTGGGGGTGAATATCATCATCAAATGTGTCACCTTATTGAATGAGAATTTAATGAGATTAAGATGATTTCCTTTATATACATATCAGTTTTGGCTACAAATTGATTGGCTGTATTGTAATATTGAATATATTGATTATATTGAATATATTGGTTATATTGGTTATACATTAGTTGTATTAGCTAACTATAATTATAACAGAACAGATCAGAACCAGGCAATGATTACTATGGGTATCAATGTATAAGAATCTTGACTAGACTGGAATCAAAGGAGGAATACTGGACCCTTTTTTGGATCAAAAGTAAGTATTTGCCACACAGGGTCAAGTGATGGTTGGTTTTGGTTAAATGTGGCCAAACTTGCCATGCTTTTTAAGATATTGTCGCGCGCACCTAGATACAGTTTCACATGCCTTGCCTAAAGAGCACAAGAAAAATTCCGGGACGGCTTGTTCCTTGATTTCCACCTGGCTTAGTAGTGAATATCCGATAAATTATAATATTTTCTAGGGTTTGTAGATCAAATAATAAATAGATTTCAAGGCACTAAGGACTAAGGACCAAGGACTAAGGACTAAGGACTAAGCATTAAGTACTAAGTACTAAGTACTAAGTACTAAACCCACGCACACCTATATATATTTATATATATGATGCTACTATATTTGCCACGTTTATGCATTGGTAAATTATAAAGGGGAAGTATGATTATGATTATGATTATGAGCATGAGTATGAGTGTAAGTGTGGGTGTTGGTGTGGTAATTATTACCGGTCACTGAAATGAGGATATGATACATTGATACAAGTTTTGAGGGAATAATGATGCCTTTTTGACTATAATGGATGACTGTGGTTACCTTTTTGTTGTCTGCCGACTCATCCAAGGTCCTCCTATCGCCATTGATCTTGACGTAACATATCTGCTGTTGCAGACTGTGTGGCCTATCCTTTTACTTTTCATTTTCATTTTCTTTCTTTTTTTTTATACTCTTGTGACTCGCAAGTTTGGGTGTAACTGCGCTGTTTCTTTTGTGTGCTTTTTTGCCCTTGAGGTATGTCAGTAATTTCAACTCTAGCCAAAATAACGACACAGGTGTATGTATATAGATATAAATATCATGTTTTTTTCGACCAATAGAAGAGATATTCAAAAGAGAAACAGGATCTTGGTGCACCCTTCCACCTTCCCAAACCCCACCCCTGTAGAACCCTTTTCAGAATTGCTGCAAAAAAAAAAGAAAAAAAAGAATTATAATCATAATCATAATCATAATCATAATAATACTACGAATACTAACGATAATGTTAATGCTAATGCTAATTCTAATGCTAATACCACCACTTAATAATCATAAAAATAATAATAATCATAAAAAAATCATAAAAATTGAGAGGTTTCGCAAATGATACAGAGCGTTGGTTAAAGTATAATGTTGACCCCGCGAAATGATAGTAATAGTGATATTATTATCATTAAAGAAAGAAATATAGAAGATTATTTGGGTTGAATTGTGTGCAGTAGAAAGAAAAGAAGACTAGAAGCCATTTGGTATTTAATATGAATAGAGCAAAGCAGGGGGGGCTAGCTATGATATATTGATAATGATAAATAGAGGGTAAAAAAAAAAAGGGAAAATAGCAGATCTTTGGATTGAATAATTATTTTTTTTCTACCAAGACAAGAAAAATAGTATAAGGAAGTTTACAAGATACAAAAAGGGTTTCAAGTTTGTAAGTGCTTATATATAGAATATATCCACTCTTCTTTAAAACCGTAACAGCTTAATGATAATGAACCAAAAAGAAAAAAACCACCACCTTTATATATCCCTTGGCTTTATACATTATTCTTTATAGAATAATACCAAACCAGTCATTTGTTATTAAAAGAAAATGATGGTTCTTTTGGTGCAGAAAGGAGAGGGGACAGCTTGCACGATATAGCAAGTCCGCTGATGCGTTCAAATCGCTATTGAACAGTACTCAGGCCGAGGGCCAACACCCAGGCACAAAGGGGAGAAAATAAGGCGTTCTGAGACCAACGCAATAAGAGATGCGTTATTTTGGCTAATGGTTAAATTTAACGTGCCTCTTGTCGCTTTGCAGATGAGGGTGGTTTTTGCTCACTTTTCCTTGTCTTTAGATTACCGAACTTGTTTATATATATATATATATTTGTATTTGTATTTGTATTTGGTGCTGGGATCTAGAATACACTAAGGTTTTATTCAATCTTCTTACCTTTGAAACCTTGCTCTGAATTCCTTATTTTTTTTCCCTCTTGTTGCAAATAAGAAAATCAAGGGAGAGATCCGCCCACTCCACCCATTCACACAATTACAATTATAATTCCAATTCCAATTCCAATTCCAATTCCATTTCCTATACGCTTACACTTACACTTACACTTACACACACACAGATATATATATATATATTATACGCTTTCTCTCTTAGACTTGCACACTCACACAAAATTGGCTCTAAATAGGACTTTTTTTTGACTCCCTCTTTTCCTTCTCTTTCTATTATTTTATTTTATTTTTATTAATATTTTTTGAAGTCAAAAAAGTCACCGTTCTTTATTAATATTTTGGATTTATATATTACACACAAATATATATATATATAATTGCATATTATATATTTACAATTCTTCTATTTTACAACCTTTTTTTTTATATTTTATTTTATTATTATTTTTTCCTAATCTTATTAGGTAATTAATCATTACCTATTTATTATTTATTTTATTTTATTTTATTTTATTTTATTTTATTTTACTTTATATATATATTTTATATTTATATATATATAATTATATTTTCGGATTTTCACTATTTAATACCTTTATTTCTCTTTCAATTGGGTATGCATTATATCTCTACAAACACTCTGGATTATAGTAGTAACAAAAGTTCTTCTATCCGCATCAAGTACTTTCTTGAAAGCCTTGTTTGAACGGTCTAGGGTTGATCTCAGCAACAGTGCTGTATCGGCTTTTTTGCCCACCTATCTCTCTCTCTCTCTCTCTCTTTATTGCTATCTTACTCTCGCTGCCGCTGTCGCTCTCCATTTGCACCTCCATCTCTATCTCTATCTACACCTTTTTATACTCTTGTCTGTCTACGCCTTACATATTATAGCACCATGATTATCAACGGCTCCAAGTTTGCCTGTGGGACCTGCATAAAGGTATACCATTAAATCAGCTTTTGGATAGAAAAATAAATATATATGTATCTATTCATTTCTCACTCATTTTATTTTATTTAGGGTCATCGCTCTTCTCACTGCAGCCATACTGATCGCCCTCTTTTTAAAATCCGAAAGAAAGGCCGGCCCGTGAGCCAATGTACCTATTGTAGAGATCTCAGAAGGACTAAACAGATACACGTCAAATGCGTTTGCAGCGAAAGAGGTATTGAATTTATTCCATTTTATTTTAATAGTCTTAGTATTGGAGTATAAACAAGGGGTCTTAATAGTATATTTTGTCCATTTGTTTGTATTTACGTTTGTTTATTTGTTTGTTTGTATTTCCCAAAGAAGTGTCTACCCGCCCACCTCAGGAGCTCTGTCATCCATGCCACCTGCTCCTGGCTAACAAGAAGTCTAGCAAGGCGTATGTAGGCACATCAAACGAGTCGGATGCCAAACTTCTTATCCATCAACAGTCCTCTTCTAGCACCCAAAAATGCACCTGCCAGCACAAAACAACCGTGCGCACAATCCCTACAGACTACACGTCCTTGAACCCTACCGACCAACAAACCCTATCCCAAGCACCAAATATTGACTACACTCCAGATTTTATGAGCGACGACATCAACTCATGGAATACGTCTAACCCACACGACCAAGATCAGGATTTCTTTAATCAACAGTACAGTAACATCAACATCAACAGCAGCGATAGTAATACCAATAACAATATCAATAACAATATCAACATCAACAGCAACATTAGTATCAGCAGCAGCAGCAGAAGTAGTACAAAAAGCACAAACAGCGTAAATAGTACAAACTTCAGCTTTGTCTTTCAGTCCCCAAAGATCTCAAAACATCCCAAGCTTCGACTCAGCAAAGTCAAACGCAGTCAGTCAGCATCCACTCAATCAACTACCCGTTTTCTCGAACAAAACAGACGAGTTCACGAGGGCTACATCTCTGACCAGAGTACCTTTTCGCCTCCCGAACAAACCCTCAGCCACGCATTTGGCTACTCTTCTCTTCCACTTGTCGAAGAAACACGATATGCAGAAGATTGTATTGAAGTAGATATGTTTCCAGCCCAATGTCCAGCCGAACTGTCCGCACCACCTGCGTACGACTATGTCTCAAGCGAAGAGTTCTCAAATGAAATGAATATAGCAGATACTGAAGAGCTGACCGCCCTACTGAACGACGTGCTGAGCCACCGCGAGACAATGTCTTCCAGCACGGCTTCTGTGTCAGACACACTGTCCTATGTATCAGTTCCTCCGTCCCCAAAGGGCCACCCTCCTACTTATGCCATGAGTTGCCTAATACCAACCCCTCCACAAGCTCACCTTTCCCAAACTATGTGTGGATTACCCGGGTCCCAGCAGCGCTGCCAGCCCAAGAAGAACAACAAAAATTCACGAGGTGAATCAGTCGTCATTACCATCACCCCTTTGCCTTATTTCAACAGCCGTCGTTCTTCATCCCAAAGCTTACCTGACCCAACTTCCCCAACCACCACCACAACAACAACAACGCGCGTTGTTACTTGTCACTGTGGTCCTTCATGTACTTGCCTTGGCTGTTTTGTTCACCCAAACAATCTTTACTTTCCTACAGAAATCGTTGATCCCTTTGCAGGATTTTTGCATCATCCAATTTCATCTGCTTCTTCAATGTATAGCTCAGACGACGAAAGTTTGCATATCATGGGCATGTAATGTCAGAGAGAAAAAAAAACACCAACCAACCAACCTCTCCTTTATTTATATATTCTGTTTTACTTTACTTTATTTTACATTCATTCAATCCTTGTCTTTCATAGTGATCTCCAAATTACTTTCTTTATATATGAACCCTTTCTATTATTTCTCTTTCTTTCTTTCTTTGATTTCCTATGCAAAAATTCTTCTTTTATTTTTATGTATGTATATAAGCACCTTTCATTTTCACTTTAATTTTTTTCTTTAAAAAAATAATAATCCCTGTACTGAACTATAGAAATCCTTCTCCTCAAATATGTATGCTTTACTGTAAGATCTTTCAATAATATATAATTTGTACAATCAGACTGGCTTGGTGTAAATTCTCTCTGGTTCTCCAATCTGATAAGCAGCCGTTCTGGCAGCATTAAACAGATAATCACTCAATCTACGAGAATATTGTTGTTATATATTTAAAAAAGTCAAAAGTAAATGTCTTCTTCTTAAAAGTAATTTACCTGTTAAGATAAATTCCTACACTGTTATCACACAGCTGATCACGCACGAGTATCTGTACGGTTCTCTCTGCACGACGACAGACCGAGCGTGATACATGTAAGCTAGCACTCGCCTTTCCTCCTGACTGTGTAAAGATATGTCAGTACATAGAAAAAAAGAAGACAAGGAAGATTGAACGTACCGGGAGAATGAATTTAGTCAGTCTAGGCAATTCTGCGTCCATTTCGTCGATCCATTTTTCGAGTTGAGCAACATGTTCGCCTTCTTCATCAAAAGTAGTACGTTCTAAAGACCAATTTTGTTTGGAGATGTGATTGAGTGATCCAATTGATTCTGTTAAATGTTCACAAAATAAGACAGTCATTCTTACGGAGCTTTCTTTCATTGGATCTGTCGCGAGGGGTGGCAATGTTGGATCCGATATCTTGCAACAAGCATTGGATCTACAAAAGTACAATTTTCGTATAGACACATTATTATTTATTTCTTTACTTGTTTTACAATTTACTCTTTCATCAAAGATTTCCTTTTTTCAAAATATTTTAATCGTACCTGTAACAACTGCTCCACTAGAACTTTACTCTTTTGATCTTCCAAGTATGACATTGCCAATCTAAATCAAGCAAAATTATAAGCCTATTTAGATTCTTTTGTAAATTATTAATATTATCTTACCCAATGTTTGAACTCAGCTCATCGGAAGTTCCTGCAACACAAGAAATATATATATATATTTGAATATTTTCTTGTTAATAATAGATTTAATATTAATGCTTCATATTATTACCAAGTGCCTCAAAGACATCGTCGTCTTTAACCAGACGTTCTCCGTTATAAAGACTAGAAGTTCCTAAATCATAAACATCAGAATATTGAAATTTGTACACATTTATTTATTGGAATGACTTTCTGGTCAGTTGGAATGTACCTTTGTCGCCTGTCTTGGTGTAAATCTTCATTGTCTTAATCTTTTGTTTGTCATTGCCAATATTAATGTACCTTTTCTTTTCTCTTTTAATGAACAGAAAAAAAAATACTTACTTTTATTTGTTGCTTTCAAGAGTGAAGAGTTGCAAACCTATGAATTTAATATTTTAGATGGATTTAGGAGATAGGCTTTTTTCTCTCTCTCTCTCTCTTTTTTTTTTTTTAAAACGCGTCTTGTCTTCTGCAGTCACATCTACAAAAGAAGATCAAGATGGGAACACAATCCTAATAATATAAAAAAAAATATCTCTCTTTGGTTGTAGGACAAAGGTTTCTCAATCGCACAAAATCTCACCAAAAATATACAAATATGCATATTTGAGTTTTACGCACTTTCCAAATTTGTAATAACACTGAAAAATTAAATTAAAAGAAAAAAAGGGTTTAACAAAATGGTGAAACACATTTTCAGCCTTTCTTTCCTGTGGATTTTTATTGTTTTTCTTCTTCTTCTAAACATTGATGTACGTAAAGATCATATAACCAAAATTCGTTAATGATAAACACATTAAACAACTTTGGATAAAATATATGTGTTTAGCCTTATAATTCGGTTAGAAACGGTCCACATATAGACCAGAATATTATAATCCCAAAACTATTGGTTAAAATGTACAGTTGTTAAGATTTTGTCAGTGCTCACAAAAATATCTCTAAAAGAAAAAGCTAGCTTTTTATCTGCTACCAATATATCACTTTTCCCGGCTACAGATACAATGGGAATATAACACTCATATCACACTCATGTCTGAACAATCCAAATAAATTTATTTCGTTGAAAAAAAAGAAGACAAAATAGATGAAATCGATAATCTTTTATTCGAACCATTCCAGTCTATTGACAGCTGTAAATGTATCTTAATAAAATCTTGAGTAGTGAATTAGGCTACATAAGAATGAGCTTCAAATGTCATCTTAGGAATACCTGGCTATAACTAGGGGGAAAGATTTATATTCTTTATACTCTCTTTAATCTTCGTCTTACAGAATAACCCTCCAAAACACATTATGTTAATCTTGCAGTGTTTCCGACTTGAATGTCACGGGAAATCTTACTAAGAATTTTGCCATAATGTCGCAAGTTCAAGAAAAAAATGGTCTCTATTCCACAGCCTGTATTCAACCTGTAACGACTCCTTGTCTTTGTTGGCTGAAAACGTATCGGTAAAATCTTGATCTGGCCACAGTAAATTCCTCGTATGTGTATTATAAAAGGTTTCTTCTCCCGGGACCAATAGAGACATAGAGGTACTAATTATTTAGTGCTGGTTTGATGATATATTAACATAAGAAATGTTCTCTTAGTTAGGGATGTTGGCTTTCCTGTAAGTAGGTATTTGGATACTATTGTGGGTCTGCTTGATAATGGAGAGGACAGTGATATCTGTCTGAATTATCCTTCTAAACCTCATGTAGCCGCATGATTAATCTCGGAAAGCCGCAGTGTCTAAAATATAGACCTACCTCCCACAAATTCAGTTTGTATAAAGGTAATCTCCCTTTTTCTCCCAGGTTAAGTTAACAAAGAGCCCTAGTGTCCCTTTTCATGTAACATGAAGGTAAAGATTTGCGAAGAGAGAAGTAGCTGAACGATAAATTCTCAAGTTATTCTAAAAATCAAGTCATACGAAATAATGCAAGAAAATAGATGTGAGGAGATGTTTTAGGGTCACAATATGTATGCTTATGCTGGAATTCGGGTCCTTATAAGTAGGCTGCCAAGAAAAAACAGAGCTAATTATGATAATAGCTGAAAATATTTTCTGTTATAACAACCAATAAAATTCTTTTTGTATAGTATCTAACTCTATTTTAGAACTTTACTAGATAATCATAATAATCTATTATAAAGTAAAATACCTACAAATAAGCATCGTTTGATAGAATTCTGCTATAAGACAAGACAGTTATATTTAGCTATACAGGAAAACTCTATTATGAATTATTCAGTATATATATAACAGTATGTGTGTGTGTTTGAAGTAATTTACATAATCTTTTTTAAAGTATGTACCTCTTCGAAAGCTTATTTACTATGTTTAATCACCGACGTAATTATGCATGTTTTACTCATCAAATGGAAAGAAGACCAGCGATATTAATGATACTGAAAGGATTGTAAAAAAGTCCTTTTTCTATTGAACGGTATTTAAACTCTTTTGAAATATATTATCTGTATAAAGGAGAGAATAAAATATTCTTTTTATATTTACTACATAAACTACCTTTAAAAGGTTGGTCCTCACCTGTAATTTGATAAATCTTCAAAGACAATTAAATCTCTAAATTAGATTCTAATAAAGACCTTGGAGCTATAGTCCTTTTTTCAGGTTCAGATAAAAACACTCTGCGATATACATATGTATGTATGTATGTTATTGCTGGTGTGACATCTGCAACTTCATTTAGAAAGACACCTTGAGTAAAGAGATAGACGTGTTTGTGACTAAGCATATTAATATATATATAAATATTCAGATATACCAAGTTTAGCTGTATTCACAAGATTGTGTTCTTTCAAGATAAATGAATTATTGAATAGAAAGCAAGCATGGTAAAACAGGATCAAATATATCAAAATTAAATGCACAAATGGTATTAAATGACAAATGAAATGACGTCATGGTTTTTCAAGCTTTTCAATTGTCAAGTTGAATTGATGGTTTGTCCAGTAGCCTTGGTGGTGTATCTTATTTATTTTTTCTAGGGGTTCTGAAGTCAGGGCAAGTGTATTTGATGATTTTATTAAAGAAGTTTCTTGTTTTTTCTTAAAAAAAGGGGGGGAATAAAAGCACAAAGCAGAAAGGTTAAAAGAAGGGGAGTCAGGATATCTATAAAGAGATATATATCTATATATACATGTACATAAAGAGCTTGATCTTTTTCGTTGGCTTGGTTTACTAGCCAAACTAAACTAAACTAAACCCCTCCCCCCCTCCACCACTAAGAGCGAACACAAAAGCGATAATAACACGGCCCCCAAACCCCTCCCTTCTTTTTTTTTATTCCCCTTTTCTTCCTCTTATTTTTTCTTCTTCTTTCTTCTTTTTCTTACTGTGCTTCTTCTTCTTCGTCAAGAGAGTCTAACCCTACTATAAAAAAATAAACAGACATCAAACCGACTCCTTCCAATCATTGTCCAAGAGTCTACCTCTATGAACGATTGGCAACCAATACCAAGAAGTCTTCGGGAATTGCTTTACGTATTTCAAAATGGAATTTCCCCCGATGGCAGCACCCAAGCACTCGTACAACAAGTAAGAAAATACTTAATTATATAAAACAAAAGAAAGAAGGAATGAAAGAAATATTTTTTTAACATGCGATGATCGTTCTTGATCATCCATCCGAAAATAGCGATTGCAATCCTTTAATGAGATTCATGATTACAATTCATATCTCGTTTATATATTGACAGTAATGCAAAACGAGGATGTGTACACGCGTGTTATTGCCGGATTGACATTAAAGAACAATATACGATCTCATTTTAACGCCATTCCGCTGTATGTGCTAGAGCATGTAAAAATGTGCTGTACTATTTCGCTTCAATCCCCCGAACCCGACGAAGGAGTGCGCAAAGCCATCGGGTCTGTAATCACTGCGCTGGTCACACGAGGACAGGTTCACAATTGGCCAGAGATCCTTGAGATTCTTATAAATCAACTAGACAGTCCTAATTATATTGCAGTGCAGGTAAATACTCTCTTTATTGTTTTTACTAAGAAAGAAAGAAAGAAAGAGCAAGTTGTCTGAAGAGGAGGTTGAGTTAAGGGATGGTACTTAACTCAACAGAGAGGCTAATATTCCTTTTGGGGTCTTTTTTTTTAATATCTTTATCTTTCTAAAACAACATTGTAGATGGCATGGGATTGTTTGAGCAAAATTTGTGAGGATGCGGCAATAGATTTGGATCAGGAAATCAATGGGGTCCGACCTTTGAGCTACATGATCCCAAAGTTTATCAAGTTTTTTTATCACTATGACACAAAACTGCGTGTTCAAGCGATTGGTGCAACAGGACAGTTTGTCTTGTTACGCTCACAGTCTCTTATGACTCACATAGAGGAGTATCTGACGGCTTTATTCGCAAATGCGGAAGACAAAAGCCCAGAGATAAGAGTAGAAGTGTGTCGGTCTCTGGTCATGGTCCTTGAAGCACGTCCAGACAAACTCGAGCCATCTCTAGACTCAGTTGTAAAATACATGATCTCCTCTACCGCTAACTCAAATGAATTGGTCGCACTTGAAGCATGCGATTTCTGGTTACAATTCACAAATGTGGAGATTTTTAAAAAACGTCTATTGCCATATCTGCCGGATTTGGTACCAATCTTGCTGAGCAAAATGGTCTACTCGGAATCAGATCTAATGATGCTTGATGGCGACGAAGACGATTTTAATGTAGCAGATAATGAATGTGATATAGCACCTCGATCATATCGCCACAAGACTATCGTGCAGACCAAAAAGAAAGAAGACGACAACGATGAAGATGACGACGATCATGGGGACGGCAATCAGTATTTGGATGACGAGACTGATAAACACCAAGACACAGACGAAGAGGAAGAGGACGAAGGAGACTTTGATGACGATGAATTTTATTCAGAATGGACACTGCGTAAATGCAGTGCTGCTACTCTGGATCGACTTGCTGTTACATACAAAGCAGACCTTGTCAATGTTCTTTTGCCGGTTGTGAACCGTAACCTGGCAAATGCTGATTGGAAGGAGAGAGAGTGTGGCATCTTGGCTCTGGGTGCTGTAGCCGAAGGTAAGAAAACAGAAGAAGAAGAAGAAGAAGAACAAAACAAGAGGTGGGTTGGCAGGCATCTGACGGCAATTACAATGCTATAGGTGGCATAGAAACAATTGCGCCTCATTTGCCTGGCCTGATTCCCTTCTTGATCCAATGTCTGAATGATCCAAAGGTAGTTTCTAAACACAGTTGCTTTTTTGAAATCGAAACCAAAGAAACAAAAAAGTCAAATCAAAATCAAACTAAACCAAGGGTTATTCTTATCATTTATATTATATATCTGTCTGCGTTGCATAATCTGCTTTATTTATTTTTTATCGGGGGAATGTATTCTTGTTTCTGTATGAATGCGTATTGATTTAGCCTTTGGTACGATCCATCACTTGCTGGGCTATTGGCAGGTTTTCAGAGTGGTGTGTCAACCAATGCTACACACTCACGGGGCGCAAGGATTTCTTTGAGCCTGTCCTCTTCAGTCTCCTCAACCGACTCTTAGATCGAAATAAGCGTGTTCAGGAGGCCGCTTGTTCTGCCTTTGCAACGCTAGAAGAACAAGCGATGCAAGAGCTCGAGCCTTACCTCGAATACATCCTTAATGTGCTTACCACAGCATTCAGACTTTATCAGCACAAAAACCTTCTTGTACTATACGATGCTTTGGGTACATTGGCCGAATCTGTTGGAACGGCACTCAATCAACCCAAATGTCTTTTGGTTATGATGCCTCCACTTATCGAAAAATGGAACGGATTGTCTGACCAGAGCACAGACCTTTTCCCTCTTCTAGAAGTATGCATTATATATATATATATATATTGAACACAAGCAAGAGAGACAGTATTCAATTCCTTTTTGTTTATTTAGTGCCTTTCTTCTATCACAACCGCCCTTCGCGATGGATTCGCACCTTTTGCAGAACCAGTATTCTCTCGATGTGTCAAGCTTGTGGCATCTCATCTTCATGAAACTTACATGGCCAGCCAAGATCCCAGTCGATTTGATCCTCCCGATGTAGAGTTTATGGTTGTTGCCTTGGATTTACTAAGTGGCATGGTTCAAGGACTTGGTCATCTGATCGATCCTCTTGTTGCCTCGTCTGATCCTTCGCTTCTCTCCCTTCTCACCATCTGTATCCACGTAAGTTTTGTTTTTTATTCTTTGCTTTTGTGTCTTTTAAAATATTATACTATCAATAATTCACAATAAACATAACAGTAACAACAATAATAATTATATTACAATCACAATCATAATAATCTAAATATATATACTAAAAATCTCTCACACACACACAAAGGACCCTGTTATAGAAGTTCTTCAGTCAACATATGCTCTGATCGGAGACCTTGCCATTGCTTGCTTTGACCGGATCAAAGACGGGCTACCTTTGTTTATGCCAGAACTTATTAGCCAGCTATCACCAGATATAGAGTATGTATCAGTATACAACAATGCTACCTGGGCAGCGGGTGAAATTGCAATGCGATGGGATGGTATAGATCCCTTTGTCGAACCATTGTTGGAGCGTCTGATTCCACTCTTGAGTGATCCTCAGGCGCCTGATTCTCTTCAGGAAAATGTAATCATTACGATTGGTCGTCTTGGACTTGCTCGGCCTAAGGCTCTAAGCGAACAGCCAACGCATTTTGTCCGTCCCTGGTTACGGAAGTCAATAAACCTTCCTGAAAACGATGAGAAAGATACCGCTTTCCAAGGAATATGCCAACTCATCAAAGTATCTCCTCAACACTTAATTGATGTAAGAAAAGAAGATTACTTTAGACTTAAATATCTAAACAGCCAAATAATCAAGAACAACAACAACAAAAACAAAAACACAATAATCAATTAACTGGTTTCTTGTGGGAACTTCTTTTTTTTCTTTAGGAATTACCAATGCTTTTGGTTACCATTTCTCAATGGGAAAACCCTTCGCCGGAACTCTTTGGATTGTTTGGAGAAGTAAGAATATTTGTTTTTGCCACTAAAAAGAAGAACTGTGAATTACATTGCTCACTGTTATTACATTGCCTGATTGTAGGTAATTGCTGGTTATAAGAACATGCTCACACCTGAGCAATGGAAAGAAAATTGGGAATGTGTTGGAAAAAGTTATCGAAATAAACTTACAGAACGCTATGGTTCTATCGATCAATAGTAGCAAAAAAAAAGAATAAATCAATAAACACTGTATGAAGATTTATTTTTTACAGTTGTTCCAATGCGGGTGATTTTTGTTTTTTTCAAGTTACCGGTAATCATATGTTACCGATAGCCATTGTTACCGATAACTTTTTTTTCATGGCTGGTATTGCTTGGCTGATATTTTTTTTTACAGTTGGTGTGGACAGATTAAAAGTTCAAAAAAAAGGGCAAAAAAAGGGTAGAATTTTTAATCGACTCTAATTAGCTAGTTTTCTTCCGTTGCCACTAGGATTGAGAAGGGAAGCATTTTTTTATGGAGAAGATGTCCCATATGATGAGAAGCCTAGAAAAACTCGCAATGAAAGGTTCTCACTTAATGACAGAGGCGGGATTATATGCACAATTTTATCTAATATTTTGAACTAATTTTGAACTTTTTTTTTAAAAAAAAAAGGTGTGGACAGTCATAAATCAGTCTGATTGACTAAGTTCTGGATGAAGTTGTTTTACCCTTTTTTTTGTTCTTTTTTTGAACTTTTAGTCTGTCCACACCAACTGTATAAAAAAAGGAAGAAAGATAAGCTGATCAAGATCAAGTTTAGTTTGGTTCAAAGCTAGTCTTCATAAACACATTTATTTTATCTTTAATATGTAGCATTTCTGTTGCTGTTACTGTTCCTGATGGTGTTATAGTGTTTTATTTTTATAACTGACCCAGAGTACATATATACAATTCATTACAGGCCCTCGATAACTTTGTTTAATACACTTAATAATAAGTAGGTTTGAAAATATCAATTTAAACGCAAACACACAAACACACACCTCTTACTAAAAGGAATCATGGTTAACTTTATCAATACCATTTTATTTCTTACTCCTTTACTTTACCAAAATGAGATCTTGTGACTTTGCTTTTCTCAGACCCCGAAGAAATCCGTTGCCAAAAAAAGAGAATGATGTATTTAAAAAAAATGTATAAGTCAAACCGACTCACCCACACATATACATATAGGCCAAAGTCTTCTTCTTTCTTATTATTTTCCTTTATAGATATAGACATATATTAATTAAAGTAATACGCTTAAAGCAATGAATTCAGTGTTTCGCCATCTCATTGTGGCAGCTCTTGGTATTGGACTCAATGCCTTGGCTACATTCCGCCTACCTGGAACAAAACTGATGCAGGACCCAGTCGAGACATTAGCTTCAGCAGTACCTATCTTGTTACTGGGATATTGTCAACTACTCATGTTATCTCTTTATTTAAGAGGATCGTCTGTTCGTGATGCATTGGTAAAAAATAAAAATAAAAATAAAAATAAAAAATAAATGGAGGGAATTCGCATGAAGTCCTTTTACTTTCCATTTTTTCCCTCCTTGTTTTCTTCTTCTTTTATTTGTTAATATAGTTGCTTAGTTTACCACCGGGCGCGCTTTAGTGGCAACAGCCTGTGCTACACTTGTTTTGCATTTATTAACCATATTGTTTGGCGCACCCCTTTTAGCGTAAGTTTTTTTTTCTTATTTTTTATATATTGATTTTAATATTTCAACTCATATATATATATATATGTGTATGTGTATGTAATTAAATGAGCATTTTTATAGTAAATTCTACAACACATTGGTTTTCTCGGCCTATCTGGCTATCCTGAGTGTCTTTCCAACATTTATAGCAATTGTAACACCTGGACAGCCTTCAGGTTGGTTCAAGATATTCTTACAACATTGGTAAGTAAACTGCAAAAAGAAAGGCCAATTAATCACAGAATTAGTTAATCAGTTAATTTTATATACCTGTGTGAAACTATAAAATATGATATAAACGAATATATGTATATTTTTGATAGTCCAACTACCACTTCAGAAATCTATGGGTATACACAGGCAGTATGCACATTTTCAGGTGCGTGGATTGGAGCAATAGTCTTACCGTTGGATTGGGATCGAGAGTGGCAGGTATGGTTAATCAGGTTAATTAGAGTGTATTATGTAAAATAGTAATATTAATAGTAATAAAAAGAAAGAGAGAGAGAGAAAGTAGCTTGATAATAATATTAAGGGTCTAAATTTCTTCATTTTTTCTTCTTCTTTTAGGCCTGGCCAATCTCATGTGTGATCTCTACATTTCTAGGTCATGCGGTCGGTGTAGTGGCTGGTTTTGGGTGGTCATTCTTTAAGCATATCTGTGATAAGCCAAAGACAGAATAGCAGAATATATATATATATATAGTAATAATAAAATTATTATAATTATTATTATTCTCAAGAACATCATTATTCTGTTTTGTTTATTTATTTGTTTATTTATTTGAATATGTGAATGTAAATGTGAACAGAATAGAGGGAATGAATGTGTGATCAAATGAATGAGTGGGAATGAATTAATGTACAAATGAAGATGAAGATGAAGATGAAGAAAGAAATACAAGGAAAATATGTTTAACACATATCATAAATTGGTGCTGATGGCAGCTGCTCTAAAGTCTTTGTATAGCTTGGAGGTGCTTCTGCGGACTCATAGGCGGGTGGTTGTGGACGGCCTCCTTCCCAATAATGCTCACGGGTAGTTACGGACAAGGGAATCTCAAGAGTACAGAGTGTACCAGTAGAAGGCTCAACGACAGATTTGGGTTTCATGGATTGGAAGGGATGAAGATTGAGGAACGAAAGTTTGGTAGCTGCATCTCTGAGAGTATCAGAAGGATGACTCATCCCGTGAAGAGAAGATAGCGATGAAGAGGAAGATGTGCGACTGAGTGGAGGAGTGGTTGTACGGCTGTGGGCAGGAGAGTGGGTGCGACTGAGGGCAGGAGTGGTTGTGCGCGAAGCTACATCGATTTCGGTGGGATTCTTTTCTTCAACATTGATCTTTACAACTAGAGAATGAGATACTTTGAGCAACCGACTAGAATTGTCTGCATTAACACGAGGGCAAAGTCTGAATATTGCGTTGTAGTGGTGGAGCTCTGCGGGGTCATAGGTCGAATCGCTAGATGGAATGAATGTGCTCCATCCAAGCGGATATGAGTCATCAATTTTTGATGTTATCTGGCATGAAATAGACTGCTGCCCAGTAGTGTGATAATGGACACGTTCCTGAAGTGCACAAGCCACGGATTTTACAACATGAGTGTCTGGGTTGACTAGCTGCATTGATAGATTGAGACGGACTAGACCGCCTTCACGAAAAGTCATGGTGGGTGCTGATGCACTGTAAGTTAGGATATCTGCACCAACTTCACCACAGACCGTATCGCGTAAAGTAGTAAGCATTGGCTGAAGATCATTAATAAGACAGCGGCGAAGGACAATGGGATGTGAGTTGACGATATTGTTGAGAAACAAGGACCGGTGGAGAGTTGCTTGTACTTGATAGCTTATGTAACCACGCTTGCCATGAAAGCTGCTTGGTAATCTGGATGATATCTCAAAAGAAAAGGGATAATCGTATTCTCCTGGTTCCATTAGGTGTGAGATGCCATCGTTGCCAAGAAAATGAGTATCTGTTGATGCGAGTGTACGTGATTCGACGCCTTCAGTTGAGGGTACGCCTACAGTGTTTATAGGCTTGAGGTTGATTTTTGATTTTCCTTCAAAGGAGACCAAGAGTCTACGGACTCTGACAGGCTTATTCACAGTGAGCCGACAATAGCCTTTTAGTGTGCAACCTTCGGACTCATCGTTACTCAGACCGTAGATGATTCCCTTGAAAGAGGAATCTATGAAGAATGAAAGAGTAGCGTCTTCTTTGTTGGGCATTTGTGTGAATTCGTAACTGAATCAAAAAGGGGGAGTAAAGGGGAGGTTAAGTAGCTGTGGTATTGAATCAAAGGACTTTTTTTTTTCTTTTATGAAAAAATCAGAGTAGTTTATATACGACTCTTCTAAGATCCTATCGCGTTCCTCTTATCAAAAATCACGACTTTTTGGATTTTCTGGTCTGGTTTGGTCGGGTCGGTGCTCTCGGAGCATGGGTTAATCGATTTGGTTCAATTGATAGGCCGCCCTTGCTACACACAACGTGTATACGATTATTGACTGATTAAAGATATGAGAATAATCAAATAGCCACTCGCCACAATCAGTAAGATCACCTTGTTGTTTACAGTCGGAAATATATGGCTACTTTCACCGCTTCCTCTTCCTCCCGTTACTTGAATAAAGTACTGATAGTGCGGTGTACCAATAGATTATTGATTAGAAACAGAAAATAAATAACCAAAGCAAACCAAGGATTCCAAATGATCATTTAATGTTATTTCAACTTTATCAGTATATTCAAATTTATACATTAATACACATCTTTACATGCTTTGATAATGAAAAACTTTACTCTAGTATAAAACGTCAAAAGATGTATCCTTATTTGATTCCGTAATATTCCAGACCTACCCATTATATACCAGCCCATATATTATATATATACATGTTTACAAAAAAAGAAAAGAAAGAAAAAAAAACATATCAGGCCACCACAATACCCGTTTGGACGATTTGATTAAACAGTCGGCTTCTTTTGGGAGTACTGATAGAAATTGTAAGTCTTATTCTAGACCCATTTCTATTTCTTCTTTGATTTTAAAGCGACAAAATCATCGTGTCCTACCTTTTGGATACAATCTATGAAAATAAATAAATAAATTTTTTTCTTTCTTTTGAGCTACACACATTATACACACATCTGATCCCTTAAATGTGTCCACGAGGGATAGCAAAATGGCAGCGGATAATATTCTTTTTTTTTTATAATTTATTTATATGTAATTTGCTTTATTCTTCTTATTAATTATTTTTATTTATTTTTTACTTGATAAGCTTTTTATTCCTAAAACGCGATATTTTCCTTTGTTCCATTCCAAAAAAGGAATGTCTTTCATTTACAGAACTTCAAAACCTTTAAACTTTTATATATATATATATATTCTCCTTGGCTACAACAAGCGACGATCTCTTCTCTCCTTATTATCTTGTCTATTATATAATTAGGTATATATTTATCAATTAATCAGTCCAATCAGTCTATCCATATAAAAGCTCTTGTACGCACACACACAACTATGTATATTCATGCAAACATTCATGTGTCTGTCTCGATCTATCAATTGCCTCTGGTCTATAAATCCAGCCTACACACCTCACCATTTAACTCAAATAGACAAACAGACAGACCAAATGCTTATCATTATCAAAGAAATCAAAGCAAACCAATTGTTAAAGAGAGATCACTGGATACGTTATTTTGTCGTTGTTTTTTTTTGGCTTGGATAACATTTTGGTTTGGTTTATTTATTTTTGCAAGCGATCAAAGATGAGAAGGTCAAGTTGTTTGTTTACATAGTCAATTCCTAATAAAAAATAAAATTCATATAAATTAGTGACCCAGGCCAACAAGCAAACAAAACAAAATAAAATACTTTACCATGATGGCGTTAACAATGTCGTTCTTGTTGTTCTTCAAAGCCTTGACAGCCTTGGAGCGGCTGACCTTGGCCTGGCTGACAACAAGCTCGATATCCTCCTTGCTGACGCCGGTCTCGTCAACATCGGTTTCCTCCTCCTCTTCCTCCTCAACAGCAGCAGTCTCAGCAACGGGCTCAGACTCACCAGCAGCAGCCTCAGCAGCGAGCTGATCAGCAGCGGCAGCCTGGGCGCGGGCAGCCAAATCCTCAACCTGCATCTCACCAAAGACGATGAAGGTATCAGAGTTCATGCTCTGGTAGACCTCGGGCTTGGCAATGGCGTAGACAGTCTAAAAAAAATGCGCAAAATTATTATAATTATTATTATTATTAGTATAGATATAAATATATGTTTTCCCTTGTTTTGTCGTCTATTCGTTTGTGCGTGCATGCGTCCATATACACACGCATATATGTTTTAACCGAGCTAAATAGAAATCATATGCTTAAAATTAAAAATAATAAAATAAAAAAGCTTACGTCTCTGCCACGGGTGAAGGTGACACGGTTGATGCCAGCGACACGCTTGAGACCGAGACCAAGGATGGCCTTGCGGGCCTTCTTCTCACCACGGGAGTGGGGGGAATCGACGACGGTTTCCTCAAACTCTTCGGCGATTTCCTCAATCTGCTCAACGGGCTTCTCTTCAACTTTGGCGGACATCTACCATGATGAAGCAAGGGTTTTTTTTTAATTTTTTTTTTGGTGTGTTGAGGATGGTTAGTCCGGTGGCTGAGAGAGCGTATGTGTAGAAAGTGTGTGTTTTGTATACAGGAATAGACGTCGAGTAGAAGACGATGAATCCGTTCTTATTTTATGATTCATCCGTCGCATCCATCGATAAAAGTCGCTAGTAAGAATCGATACTTACGATGCTTTGATAGGTAAAAAAGGGAAAGTATCACCATCTTTGGGGCCTGAATTTCGATATTGGAGCGTAGGGCCCTGGTGAGAGGATTTTCTTCAAAGCCCAAGCCTCGGCGGACTCCACGTCATTCCGGCGCGCGTCATTTTTGCTTCCCCGCCTCAAAGAAGTAACGATAAGTTTATCTACTTCATACGGATGATACAAAGCTTTATTATAAAAACAATAAAAACCACCTAAAACGATGTGAGAAGAAGTTCAATAAAAAGCTGACAACGCTTACTAAAGACTTAATTGGTGGTTTGAAAACAAAACAAAGCAAAAGTAAGGAAATCAACGAAGAAGGTCAAAAGTGCCTGTTGTGCGAATTTATAGAAAACAGACATTGGGAAAGTGAAGTTCGTTTTCATAAAGCACGTGACATAAGAAAATTGAAAAAAAAATTGAAATTGAAACACTTCACCATATAAAAAGGTAAGCTACAGTGCTCAGGGTCGCTCATATTTGGTGTGGACAGACTAAAAGTTCAAAAAAAAAGAGCAAAAAAGGGCAAAAAGGGCAAAAAGGGCAAAAGAAAAGGACAAAATGAGCTCATCTTGAGCTTAACCAATTAGACTAATTTAGAGCTGACCACACCTTTCATTAAAAAAAGTTCAAAATTACACTGTAAGAAATGGCAGGATTTATAACTTCGGACTCGTAGATAATGCCAAAAATTAAATGAAAAAAAAATAAATCATTATGCGTCGTGGTAGCCACAAGCTTTAATGGCAGCTTTATCGAAAAGCATTTGCCACAAGAGCACAGAGAACTTTAGAATCAGATCTCTCCAAATCCTGAAGGATACAAGCCTTGGGAGGGGATTTGACCATATAGACCTATTCTCTTTCTTTCTTTTGAAACTTTGACTTTTAAAGCATCCCGAGCGTGCTCAATCGGGTTAAGATCTGGACATTGGGATGTTCAATTGTCAAACCATAGAATATTCGAGCAAGGTTGTCTTCCTTTATGATCTACATAATTTAGCCTAGCAGTCAATACTATCTTGAAATGTGAAGATTCTGTCATGTTCCTTCTTATTTAGTTTTCGATACCAGGGATTGAGGTCCGGTTCATAGCCAAAACATTTGACATATACATCTTGGTATACAGACCATTTAATTAATAAACAATAATAGCCTAAAGGGCCGCTTAACCAAAAACCTTTCTTATAATCTCTTCTTCTTGCAGCTTTAAGAGTATGTCACTACTACTAATGTCTTTCTTTTGAGTCAAGAGCCACAGGATGGTCAGAAATCTTGCATTTTTCTTTGCCATAAACCTGAGTTTATCTGAATCACCCTTTCTTAAATCCCGACATTCAATACAAAAGCTGTTTTTAGTTCTAGCCCTTCTCCAGCTCCAGTACAGCCAGTTCTTTTTCTTTTGACAAGTGAGATGGGGATTTGGGCTAGATATTGCGCTGATGTTTAACAGGCAAGACTGTGTTGTTGTTGTTGTCGTTGCCGTTAGATGTCCGGTGATTATATATCCATACACTTAATTACACTAGAAACTTCCAAAATTCTTCAATGACATTCATAAATCGCAAATTGATCTCGGCTCACAATTGACCATAGACTTGGTATACTCGTAACACTAAGAAAAGAATTATTCTTTTTATTTTATTTTTGCTTCGTTTCAGTAATCGATTATGTTGTTGAATGTCATCCGTGGGTTGCCGATGTATGTTTGGAATATTTGTTGGGATGATATGTTGAGACTAAAAAGATAAATCATGCCATTGCACTTGAATTCTGCCAGTTTGGGTTTAGGAGACAGGCTGTTGTTAGTTTTGGCTATTTTATTTCTCGATTAAATTAGTGATGGGATTATAAGAAAATAAATTGTACAGAAAGAAAGAACCACATAAAAAAAAAGATATGCTGAAAAAGAGAGGGCTATTTTTATTTGTTAGTGACGCCTAATTTATGTCATCGGTGTTTATAAGACAAAAATCACTGTTCCATCAATGCTACATTTTTTCATTTTACTTTACTTTATTTTAATATAAGAATTGGGCCTGCCTTGTATAATTTTAATCAAAATTTATTGTAGGCATCATGTAACCGAATAAAAAATAAAAAAAAAAGCATTACAGTCTTGTGTGTACCTTGAAGCCAAGAATAATGCTGATGAATCTTGTTGATGGTTTATTTGCTCAAAAGTATAAACTCCTTACAATTTCACTACACAACATTTGATTGAGTTTTTTTTTTTTTTAACTTTATAATTCAATATTCTTTTATTTTATTTTTCTTCTTTTTTTGTAGAAATAAAAATGAAAATATCTTTGTAGTATAAAATACTATTAATTTGATGTCAAATATTTTTTAAAGCTGCCAGTAATTTCCATAATGCACTTCATTAGGCTTTCCTTAAATGGCTGAACAAGTTTTTGACATTTGAAATGAAGTTGATTCTCTGCTGGATCACCTGACTATCTAAAGAACAAAGTCACATTAAATGCGTGCCAAAGAGAGAAACTCAAGTGTAAGCTTGCAATTGTACATTCATTCTTGTTGACCCTTTTCTCGCCAAATTTCGCACAACTTTTACACCTCTTCTTTTCTCTAAAGAAAGAAAGAAAAAGAAATGGTAACAATGAAAATCTTTAGCAGAAGAAGAAGAAAAAAGAAGAAGAAGAAAAAGAAAAAACATCCCTCTTCTTCCATCAGTTCGCAATTAGATATGCAATTTGGTAGAATGTTTTTCTTAAAGAAAAACGCATGTCTTAAATTTAGGCACGTAACGAAGAGAAAGCCCAGTCGATGCTCTATCGCTTTCGCGAGGCACAGGCTGCCGAGCTAGGCTTGATTCGAAAGAAAGAGAGAAGACCAGGAATGGCATCGACTGTGACATCTGTAGGCGAGTGTGAGCGATGGCGTCGCGAAGTTTTAGGCGATGTTTCTCGCAAAGTTTCCAAGATTCAGGATGGTAAGATTAATGGACATTTACTTATTACTATTATTATTATTATTTGGATCCACACACAAAAAGACGAACTTGAGATTGATGATGTTTTTCTTTCTTTTTTTAAAAAAAAAAGTGAGCTTGTCGGATTACCAGGTTCGCGATCTAAACGATGAGATCAACAAGTTGATGAGAGAAAAATACCATTGGGAACGGAGGATAAGAGATCTTGGTGGTGCAGACTATACAGTAAGTTTTAATAATATGTGTAAAACTATCTATCTGCTCAAAGTGGATTGTAAAAAAAAACAAGAAAGAGAGAGAGAGAGAGAGAATTTATGTAAATATATTAAAATAATAATAATAATAATAATAATAATAATAGAGATCAGCACCAAAAATGTTGGATCACGAAGGCAAAGAAGTCCCAGGAAACAGAGGATACAAGTAAAGAGAAAGAGAAAGAGAATAACTGCATAGAGAAAAGTAATGGTTTGGGAATTAAATATTTGAATTTCTTAAGGTACTTTGGAAGAGCAAGAGATTTGCCAGGTGTCAGAGAATTGTTTGAGCAAGAAGGTATAATGTAGTTCGGGTTGTGGAAAGAAACCGAAAGAGAGACAGCGAATAAATGGTTTCTTTTACTTTGATGTAGCTCCCGAACCTGCATCTCGTTCACGGTCAGAGATCTATCGTAACATTGATGCAGATTATTACGGATACCGTGATGAAGAGGATGGTGCGCTTGTAGAATATGAAGCAGAGCAAGAACAGGATCTTGCAGAACGTGCACTACGGGCTGCAGAAGAACAAGAAAAGAAGGAAGAGGATGATGAAAAAGAAAAGGCAGAAGAATTGGAGCAATTGAGATCAGAATCTGCTGTACCTGATCAAAAGGACATTGAAGCTTATCTTGTAAACCGACGACGACAGCAGGTAAATTTTCTATGCTTATTGGTTGAGATTTTCTATGTGAAATATACTAGGTAGCCGACTAATTTATTTATTTATGTATTTATTTTTATAAAAAACAACAACAACAATAACAATAACAAATAATTCTAGCTGCTGGACAAGTACGTGTCAGAGGACTTACAGCAAAACGAGCAAGAAACAAAGGAACTCACAGGCCAGAAATAATAAAATACACAAAACACACACACACACATACATACACATACACTTTTTTTTGGAGTCACCATCTGAATCATCTGGTTTATTTGAAATACCTAGCAATCAAGGGAGTTTAATAAAGAAGTTGGGCAAAAAGAAAGTAAGGGGAGTTAGGGGAAGGTGGTTTATTTCAATAGACTATTGTGGTGAAGGCCAAACAAAATAAAAATAAAGATAGAGATAGAGATAGAAAGAGACAGAAAGAGATAGAGTGAGATAAAGAGACATATGTGCTTTTCCTAGGGTTATATTAGCGTTATTTTACTATTCACTTGTTAGTCTGGGTCAGCGATTAGGCGATGCTGCAACTGTACAAGTGGTTCGTCTTCAGCCTGATGTTCGAGTTCTTCTCGTTGCTGAGAGGTGGTTCCCATTCGAGTCTGAACCTGAGCCAAAGGTTCATCTTCTGGTCCAATAACGTCTTCATAGTGTGGTGGTGGAGAGCCTGGATAGACTGGTGGTGGAGTGCGTGGTGGGCGAGGTCTTCTTCTTCTTCGACGTCTTCCGGGAGCACTAACGTCAATATCGCTTGGCTGTAGGCGGCGCCAAAAAGAAGAGGCTGACATTAGGGAGTTTGTGCTCAATCTGGAAGTTTGGGGAGGGGAAGAGAAGCGCAAGAGAGGCTGTCGCCTATTGTGCCTGTCCATCAATATGGGTGGGAGAGAGAGGTGTTGAGCGGTTATCATTCCAGAGTTTTGTGGTGGGAGTGGTAGGGCTGAGATGGTTGGGGCTCGAATGGCTTCTTCATCTGCTTGTTTGTTGGCCCTTTGACGAGCATTGCGGACGCGTAGACAGAAGAAGAGAATGAGAGCAGCTAGGATTGGTAGGAGAACAAATAGCCATTCGAGGCGCGGAGGAGACATGGTTTTCTCTACAAGGCGGGTGAGAAACCATTCTCGCCCTAGGTTTAGTTGCTTTGGTTTAGTTGCTTGTCTGGGGGACTTCTCTATCAAAAGGGAGAAAAAGGCACTCGACTTTACCAAAGGTTCACTTGCTTTTTTTCTTTTCTTTTTATTATTATTATTAATTTTTACACTTGATGTAAAAGGGGGAAAGAGAAAGGAGAAAAATATATCAAAGTATGATTTCTATTTTATTGATTGCAGATCTAGGCTATGCACACATGCACACACACACTTAGGTACATACATACGTACATACAATTGTGCACCTTATCTTGCCTTCTCTATTTATTTAAACTCTTCACCCTCAGTAACCAATGTGCCAAATATTCTTGCTTCTTTGCTTCTTTCTCTCCTTTCGCTATTTCTTTACCTTCCTTTGATTGTTATGACTGAGGTCTACGTGAATACCAAAGAGACTTATGTTAATAATAGTGCTACTTGACTTGATCTAGTAGATGGATTTGCAATTCAACGTTTGTGTCATGCCGCAAAAAGACCCTCTTTATATCTCTTATTCTTATTCATTTTGCTTTTGTTTTTTTTTTGTTTTTCTTCTTGTATCTTAATACAAAATTCACAATGCTTATTTAATGTTAATACCAGTTTATTCTAAACAGTTTAAACCTGATTAAAAAACACCCAAAGTATTTAATAATAAAATACAAGTGCTGATCAAGTCTTGGCGACCTAAGCATAAATAGTGAGAATAGAAATTTTATCATGCTCAGCTTGACTACAGTCCATCTGACAGAAAATTAGAATAAGATTGATATAACACTCTTTGGCTTGTAGAGTATTCTGCGAAAAAACAAGCGTACAAAAATCACTCTGCTAATACAAAGACTTATATATATGTATTGGTTTTATTATTAAAGAACAATATAAAATCCCGGATAAATTTAATAATCTGTTCTACTTCTTCTCCTTATTGTTATTATTTTTGTTCTATATTTCTTTATAAAAAAAACATACTTGAGAAATCAGGCGTCTCTTGTTTATAGATTTATATATATTATTGACAATCTGCTATATTTATCTACTGTTTGTTTTGATGTTCAAATAAACATATACATATAATGAGAAATCTCGTGTGAAAGCAAGAATCCTGTCATCACGTATAGTACATGATCTTCTTAATGCATTAGGAAGCATCTCGCTTATTTTTTTTATTTACTTATCTATTTATCGTTTATGAAAACGGGCGGGCTGTGGCTGCATAATGGTTGTAGACACAAATCTATATATTGTTTGAATATCCTTCCAACGGCTTTATATTACAGTATCAGAATCAATCTTAATAGGAACGATAAGCGTAATAATAAAAGGTAAATGCTACTAGCAAGAGTAAGAGTAAAAGTAAAAGTAAAAGTAAGAATACGAATAGGAGTAGGAGTAGTATGACTAGTAGCAATAGTATTAGGGCTGTTAATACGATTTATAGCAAATTTAAATAGAACAAAAGCTTAAAATATAGACTTTATGTAAATGTAAACCTTTTTTTTTTATAATTATAAAAAAAAAGTTTAAATTTTTGTATGTATATTTTCTATTTATAGATTACACATAACTTGGGAGTCGAGCGCAATAAAAATAAATAAAATCATAAGAATCCAAATCCAAATCCAAATCATCTTATTTGTCTGATCTAGCACTCAAAAAAATACTTTGTATTTAACCGCAATAACCGCAAATCTGCTATTGAGAAATAGTCTAGCGTATATACTTTACCTTTATAAACGCAAAATTCTATCAAACTTGTTTCTAAAAATTGACATACACATTGCATTTATATCTAACCGCATCATCTCACCATGTACTGTACTGCAATAAGGGCCTGGACTATTTTAAGAACACCACAAGTTATATACAAGTGTGCGTATGTATAGTATAGTATACTGTCAACACATACTCATTTTTTTTTTACTTTTCTTACTTTGTGTTGGATACATAGTATTTCTTTAAAGATACTATGTAAAGTCAATTGTGTTATTTACAGGAATAAGCAGAAGGAGAATAAGGAGAAAAGAAAGAAAAAGAAAAAGAAAAAGAAGAGAGAGAGAGAGAGATTAATGTAAAGAAACCCTTTCTTCCTTTCCTTGTTTTCTTGCTACAATTAACCCCCTTCTTTTTCTTTCTTATATATATATATATTTCTTGATTGGTGGTTATGTTTTTGTACGTGTGTACCTAAGTGTGTGCCTGAGTGTGTACCTGAGTATGTACCTGAGTGTGTGTCCGTGTACTTGAAAACCCTCTGTATTTTAGCAAATAGTGTCTTTATAATTTATTTATTTTTTCTTCTAATCTCTTTTGATTTCTCATTGTTTATTGGAAATGTGGACAGCTTATTTTGATGAGACGAATGTAAAGCAATGTGAATTGTTTGAAGCACTAGCTTGTGCAATCCCAAGTAATGCACTTGAAAAGAAAGAAAGAAGAATGGGAATGTCCTAAAGATTGTAAACTAACAGACAAGACCATTCATGTTCTTACTATCAGCCCTTTCACAAGATGAAAAAGCATCAGTAGTCAATCGCTTGATAGAGGATCTCGAGAAACATGAGGAGTATGAATGGAATGACAAAGGTAATAAAGAAAAAACAAACAAACAAAGCGCACACACATACACATACACATACACATACACATACACATACACATACACATACATATACACATACATATACATATACATATACATATATACGTACATAGATTACATAGAATACATAGATACATAGTGAACATATTTGTGAATTTGTGAGTTTGTGTGTAAAACTGCACTGTAAGTTTAGTAAATATTATATATGTATATATGCGTGTGTGTGTCTATGTGTGTATGTATATATACATATAAAGGTCAAGACATAATGAACCAATGACTGTGGACTTGATAGTTACCTTGCGTGCATTGGAAGCATTAAAGTTACTGGGTCGTGAACGAGAAAGTGCTGGACCACTTTTTACAGAACGGGTAAGTCAGGTTAAGAAGGAGTATATATATATATATATACTACACACACTACACACCACTACACACATGAGCACGCACACATACACTTGACTTGGCATGCCTAACGGACTTTTCCTTTTGAAAGGGAATGCGTGTTCTTTGCAGACATGCGGGTGTGTTGAGCAAGCGTGCGGTAGACACACTCTGCTCCTGTGAGGCTCTCAAGTGTATTGCCAACTGTATCCATCTCTGTGCGGATGTAAAACAATATTTAGAAAAGAACAATATTCTAGAAGGATGTTTTGACCTCTTGAAACTGCCTCAATTGAGTGTTGATGGTCAGTTCCTGGCTTGTCGAATCCTGTTCTTTGTTACGGTGGGACGTGAAGATCTTGTTGAAAAGTTAATCTCCCTTGATATTGGACAATGCATTACCAAGGTAAGGTATTTTATGTATGTATTTATATCTTTATATCTTTATATATTATCCCCAAAACCTATCAACAAAGAAGCACCCAAATAAAAAAATAATATTTGATGCTCACATAATCAATAGATCTGCACTGGCCACGTAAAGACGCTTCAGTCTGGAAGATCCAAATTATCATCAACATCACCGATCCACCCCATGTCAGTGCTGTCCGAGGCCCTGAAACTTCTATTCAGTCTTATGCTGGTGGACAGCCGACGGGAAACTAAAGAGACCGATGACAAGGAGAGTTCTGCGGGAGATACATTTGAGCCATGCCTTGGACCCATCTTTGACATTCTATTTACACTACCGTGTCCAGAACCATTGCCACTTGCACCACCATTGTCGCATGCCGTTCACTGTCTGATGCAGTTTTCGTTTGAGGCCGTGGAGAGTTACTGGAAAGAGCATCAAAAGAACGGGTCGCCAGCGCTGGTTGTAGAGACGCTTGTCGATGTTCTTTCAAGATCAGTTATCTACTTGATCCCTAATAATGAACCAGATGAAGTAAAAGATTCGTCCACGGTTGATGCTACTCTATCACCCCTTCTATTGGTTCTCCGTACTCTGGCCAAGGGAGATCTACGTTTGAGACAGTCATTATCGGTTTTGCTCTTGCCTCAGGAAAGGTATATTTAAATATCAAGTATCACAGCAACAATATATATATATATATAACAGAAAAGAGGGAAAAAAGGGGGGAGTTTGTGCTTTTGTGTGAGTGATTGAGTGTGTACTAATAGCGCGCCACGGGCAAAAATATATAAATTCAATAGTGATCGTATCCAGCCTGTGCATCAGGGAACACGGTTACCTGCATACCTAATCCGCCTCATGACTTGTGCACTCTTACCACAGACGAGGGACGCTGTCAGTGAACTATTGTGGATATTGTGTGATGAACAAGGTACCATTGAATGAACCATTCATATATATATATTTGTACACATATAACAATGAGACTTGTCGCGATCGATTGATTTATATACATTGTGAATTTTAATTAGCTTCCGAGTTTACTCAACAAGTTGGATATGGTAATGCCATTGGATTTCTGGTTAACAAAGGTATTCCAATGGCAGCTCCAACTGATTCAAATGGACCAAGAGACCAAAATACGAACCCCATTACTGGACAGCGGCTTGAGGATGAAGATCAGGGACCAAGTCTGGCCGACATGACTGACGAAGAAAAGGAGAGAGAGGCCGAACGGCTGTTTGTGTTATTTGAGAGACTAAAGAAGACTGGATTAGTCGATGTAGAGAATCCAATTGCAAAGGCCATGAGAGAGAATTATTAACGATTTAAGTAATTGAATTGAATTGAATTGATTGATTGTGTTGATGGAATAAGTTTTAATAGCAAATATGGTGATATTACATGTTCTGGCGATTTGAATAAGGGCAGGTTATAATATAACATAATGTAATACAATACAATACAATTTAATATAGGATAGTGTAAGGGTAGTGTCGTGTAGGTTAGGGTAGGGTAGGGAGGTCATGACGAATAAAATATATATTTGCATATCACCACTGCAGGATAATGAATCCCATCCTGTTGTGTAGAGCCCAGGTAGACAATGTCCCGGTCGGCAGTCTAAAGATTCCGCGTGTGTGGATAGACAGATAGATATATACAGACAATATATATACACCAAACAAAAAAAGCAAAAAAAAAGAAAAAATTAAGGGGAAGAGGGGGGTATTAAAGAAAATCTCTCTCTTTTTTTGGTTGACAGTATTCTATTGAAAGAAGTGTAATTAATTGATTATTATGATTTTTGCTGTTACTATTATATATGGAAGATATTTTTCGCACAATGCCATGCCATGTAATGCTTTGTTAAGGTAGTCAGGACTTTCACATACCATGCCTGTTGATCAGAATACTAAATAAATTCACACTACACAGCTCAGTATTGACGAACCCATTTCTGGCTACCACAAGAAAAGAAAAGAAAAGAAAAGAAAAAAAAAACAATGTAGACTTGGTAGAATCATCAACATTTCACTGCACAGTATTAATATCACATCAATTTGTTCCTCAAAAGGGGGGGAAACAAGGTACAGAAAAATCCTGTCTTTTCTTTTAAAGAAACAATCCCTCTTCCTCTATCTACCTCTCTTTCTCTTTCTCTTCCACTTTCTCTTCCACTTTATATATTTCTTTATCTAACGCGTGTATTTCCCATACTCTCTTCCTCCCTTTTTATTTATATTTCTTTCTTTCTTTCTTTCTTTCTTTCTTTCTTCTTATCTCTCTTTGTCTTGTTCACCAACCCAACTCACTGTATATAAATATATAAATATATATAGTGTGTGTAATTATACATATTATATATCATTACTACTAGCATAATGTCTTTAAAGTCTAAAGAAAGTAGAGCTTCTACTGGTCAAAAGTTCTGGCAACTCAAAAAATTTTCGCTCGGACACCAAGCAGAAACGTTCTCTCAAGATCCAAAGATATCTGCTGGTAAAATTAAAGACTAGGCAAAATGAAGCAGGAAGACATTTACTGATTCATGTGTACGCCCACACTCTCACACTCTCACACACACACACATACATATACATATACATATACTTATGTAGAAGCAACCAACGAAGTTGACTCTTTGGAGAGCACTAAACCAAAGAATAAAAGATTAAGGTATACTAATCTACCAAACCAATATAGTCTTAACTTGATTCACTAAGCAACGAAAAAAAAAAGGCGTTTAACTCGCCCAGATAAATCAACTTACTTACATCTTTCGCCCCTTCCCTCTTTTTTTTTTCTCTCTCTCTCTCTCCTACTTCCCAATTTGCCCCCCCTTTCCTGCACCTTTTATAAAAAAAAACAAATTGCCCCTTACATCACCAACAGCTCTTTACTTTCACATCATCGTCGTCAAGGTAAACAACACGCTAAAAAGAAATAACAGAAAAAAAAACCAGAAAATCAGAAACAAATGGCTCCAATACACTCACACTCTTAAGCAACATTTTTGCTTTAAATAAATAAACAAATAAATAAATAGCCAGTCCTAAACAGCCGACAAAAGTTGATACTTCACTTACCCCGTTACTGTCCCCACGAAAGACATCAGTTATCAGTCTACCGGCAGTAATGTTAGCGCAAGATGTGGGTCACCAGCAAAACAATAGTAACAATAACAATCAACAACAACACCAATATCAGCAACAGTTACATCAACAACAGCAACATCAACTACAGCAGCAGCAGCAGCAACAGCAGCAACAGCAGCACCACAACCAGAATATTCAGCAAGAAAATCGTCCATCACCAACGCGTGTACGACAACGTACCGTGTCTCAAACTGTCACAGGTTCACTGCCTGGACTACCCAAAGATCAAAAGCACCAACGAGCATCAACTGTACGCAAGACAGACGGCCAACGCTCGATCCGCCGTATAGTTTCACTTGCCTCTCATCGTTCAGTAATCACCCCCGAGGTGTTTGAGCCCGATCCACGACCGACCCAACGCAAATCCCTCGACAGTGCATCCGAAGAAGACTCGGATGAACAGCAACTGCCCAAAGAACCCCCTGCCCGTAAGATGTCTCCCGACCTCCGACGCTCACTCAGACCTTCTGAAAAAGACAAGGATAAAGACAAAGATAAAGATAAGGACAAGGATAGAGACAGAGACGAGATTCCAAAGTACACTCTTAGAGATGCACCTGTGAGACTCAATAACTCTGAAGTCGCCAACACAGATGATGCTCCTTCATCAGTCGTCAGACGGTCATCAAAGGCTTCGGACGATTGCGGCTATAAGGAAAGACTTCAGCAGCGGGCGCGCACCCTGCGGCCAGCTGCATCCCTTGCAACTTTGCGGCAGCTGGCCCAGCCGATGGGCGAGGAACTGCCCACCCGACCTGCCACTTCTTTCCGTCGATCGTTTAGTCAGGACGAAGAAGCCGCCGCGAGCTGGAGACTCCAGCACCCACACTCGCACTCGCCACCGCACTCGCCACGGACGAGTGGCGCACGTCCCCTTGTCCGTTCAGACACGGCCCAGAGTATGCGTACACTGACGCGCCGGGTGAATGCACGCGAAGACTTGCAGGGATGGTCGTCTGCGAACAATCTCCACAGCAGGGCTAATACGGCCACGACTACGATTCCTGACCACAACGACATTGACGCACCCCTGGACAGCTCCATGAACTCTGAAGCGAGTTGGTGGTCAGGCCAACCGAGTGATGAAGACGAACACCGGCCAGACACAGACACCTCCTCTGACTCGAGTGAGCATTCGCCTTGTCCACGGCGGCGCATCGATACTGTAGATCAGCTTCGAGCAGCCCTGGATCAGGACAAGGCAGTCATCAAGGCATTGCAGGGTCAAAAAGAAGGCAAGCATACAAAAAAGAAAAAAAAAAAGGGGGGGGGGGAGCTTTAGAAATGAAAGAAACCCTCCCAAAACACAAACATCCGTTAAAAAAAAAGGGAGAGAGGCATCTAATTGCTAAAATAAAGAAAATAATATAATATAAACTCGTGCTTATTTTTTATTTTATTTTTTGATATTGTGTATAGCCTGCAACCGAGATATTGCTTTTCTTAGTCAAAACATTGATTTGCTTTCGACCGAGGCAGCAGATTGGAAAAAGAAGTGGGAATCCGAAAAGGTATTTAGTTAGTTATTTATTTATTTGGTGATATTAATGTGTTTGCATAGTTGCAAAAAGAACAATGTAAGGAAGAACTGACGTCTGCTGTGCGCAGATTAGCTGAAGCCTCTGATAAAGCCAGGTAAGCATCGATTGATTGCAGCTCTATAGATTACCAGAAGAAAGAAGGAAAGAAGATGGTTTGGTAGTAAGAGTATTCTGCCAAAGATAAGATACGGTATTTATGTATATAATACTTTGTAGACAATTGTCAAGTGCTAATGAAGAACTTAAGCGAGATCTTGAAAAGTGTCGTCAGCTGGAGACCAAGGAAGAACCAATGGAACCTTGTTCTGATGACAATAATACCAGAATAGATCAGCTCAAGGCTCAGCTTGAACTATCTCAAGACCAGGTTCGTGTCCTCAAGGCTACGATGGAGCAATTCTTGCGTATGGGAATTTTCAGCAGTGACCTTGCTCAAGGCAGTTCCTGTTTGTACGATTCTACTTCTGACGCAAGGTAAGCCTAGTCAAATATATATATATATATATATATGTGTGTGTGTGCATATTGATGTGCATGTAGGTGTGCATATGCATATTTCTTTATTTCTATTTATATTTTATTCATCTTTATGTTCATATTATAGTTTTATAAAGGCAGTGGTGAGAGAATTGCGATATGCTCAGCTCAGACAGCGTCAGACAGAACCTAATACTTCTGTTGAGTCTGTACAGAAGAGTATGTTGACTACAAATGAACCCTTAGTGCTGTCGGACACCCCAGCGCCAAAAGATGAAGAGACGGAGAATAGTACGGCAGCAGAACTAGACGTCCGACTAAGAGAACTCCTTTTGGAGAAAGAACTTGTACGTAGCTGTTTCTTCTGTGCAGTCCTCTTCTTTGCCTGTCTCTCACATGTCTACTTGCTATTTCTTTAATTATATATATGTGTATATATATATACCTACCTATACATACGTATATACTTATATACTTATATACATACATACATACATACATACTTATATACATACTTATATATCTATATATATTTATTTACATATTGTTTATCAAATTGTCTCTACAAATGGTACACTATATTCATTCATTTATTTGCTTCCAGCTCCAGGCTGAGTATAGTAAGATTCCTGTCAGTGGTGGTAATGCGCTAACACGTCGACGTCGTGAAGAGTTGGAAGACCGGCTGGATAGTGTCGATTCACAGATGAGCAAGATCAAACTCTGGATGCGACATAGAAATGTGCTTTACTCCACCATTGGATAAAAAAAAAGACACCAAAACGAAACATGCAACATACAGCATACAGCATACAGCATACAACATACAACATACAATATAAATCATAAAGACGTACACAGTATTCTAGTCCTACTATCCTTCTATTCATTTATCTATATATTTTATTTTATTTTATTTTATTTTACTATATTTATATTTATATTTTTTGTTCAGTTTTAATGTAAGAAAAAAAACAGCCCCATTATTTTATTTTGTCCTCAAACAGATGCATTTACCCTCCCTTCTCCTCATACTCATATTCATATTTATATTCATATTCATATTCACATTAATTACCTGTCACTGTCACTGTCATTATTACCATCATTATCATCCTCATCATATTTCTCTATATATTTCTCACACAAAAAAACGCACTATTATATATTATTTTTACATTTGTTATATCTCAATATATTTATGTGTTGCCATTCCGTCCTATTTCTCTTCAACTTGTTTATTTTAAACTGTATGACCATCGGATATCAATGTCTTATGGGTTGCTTCTGGTGCAGGGATTGCTGATTCGATGTGTGACCCTTGCAATCTTGTGGTGTGTCCGATTGATTCATCAAAGGCAACCTGTCGCATATTTGAAGGAGGTTCGATCGTGCGGATAAAGTGGCAAATTACAAAGGCAACTCCCACCACAAGTATCTTGAATTTGCCAATCAATTATTACACATCTTTCTCTTTTATTCTTTTATTTATTTATTTATTTATTTATTTATTTTTACTGCTTACAATGACACCCGAGGCGATCGATAGTCCTTTGTAGCCGAGTGTAATGCCTCCAACACTAAGTTTTGTGATTTAAAAGAAAGTTAGGAAACTGAACCCAATACACATCATTGATTAATTATCATTCTAATAGAAATATAATACTTGCAAGATGTAAACTACAAAAATATATATTTATATAATTTGAATTTTAGTCAATGGTTCTGCTTCCCTTTTTATTTTATTTTATTTCATTTTATTTCATTTGGTTATTAGATCCTTACAAATGCCGCGGCCCAGGAAAGAGAACATAAAGGAGGCGAACTGAGTAACCTGCCCCGGAAGCTTAAACTCAAATACGGCCGTCATGAGTCCAAGAAGACTGTTGTTAATATTGTTAACATTAACATTAAAATTAAAATGTATATATATATTTTTTTTTTAAAAAAAAAAAGACAGGCAACAACAACGACGACAAGAAGTATACAGCATAAAGTATAATGCATATAAAATATTTAATTGGATTAGTTGTTTGGGTGTTTCTCAAAGGACAAAAGAATAAAGCATATTCTGTATTTATTTTTTTTATTTTTATTCTTTATATTCTTTTTCTTTTGGCTTCTAATATATCCTTGCTTACATGCAAAAGATCCCTTGAATAAAATTGGGAAAGCCTATTTATTGTTGTATATTTCACATTATACAAAAAGCAAAGAAAAAAAAATCAAGTACTGTCAGGGTGAAGAAAGCAAAAATAAAAAGTAGGTTCCTTTTGAGATCTACCTCCGTCAATGATGGTAGCAACTGCACCAATAATCATAAACACTGCCACAACAATGTTAATGACCCGAAATACAAGTGAAATGTCGACCATGATGAGAAAGGGATGAGTAAAGGATAACTAAAATTCAGTGCACAATGTATATTTATTGTTAATTGATTCATGTTGCACCAGATCATTTTCATTTTCTCTCTCTATCTATCTATCTATATCTATATATGTCTTATTTGAAATCAAAATCAATATAAAAGGAAATGAAGCCCTATTCAATATAATCACAAAATACATACTCCTGTTTCAATTTATAATTTCAATTGATTTATTTAATGTATAAAATATCTTGCTATTTTATTTTATTTTATTTTATGGCAGAAAATTATGTTCAAATGTTATATATCTATCTACTTTATTCAAGATCATTGGTCGCTGTTGTTGTTTTGGTGAAGAGCTTATCAAATGTATTCCAATGTCGAGTACCAAACCAATTGGTTGGTAAGCTTTAACGTAATTCTTCAAGTAAGATATATATATGTAAAGAAAAAAAATAATAAGAATCGAATTATGCGATATGATAATATAGACATATTTAGGTATACAATAATAAAAATACAAATTTAAGGAACAAAAATTGGGGATTTATTAGTGTGTGGCTTGAAATGCCACATATATATATATTTTTCATTTTATAAAAATAATAATAATAATACTGGGGATGGTGGTGATTGTTACCATTAGATACCAAGTTCTGTTTTTACCATGGACCATGGGACATGCATTGATGTGTACACGGTAATGATTAAGAAAGTACAAAGTATTTTGGAAGGGAGGGGGGACTTTTGATTATATATGTTTTATTACCTGTACGACAATGAACCGGAGAAACGGTCGGACCTAGTGTAATACAGTTTGAATACAAGAATGAAAAGAGAGAGAGAATACGCAAAAGTAAAGTAAATTGAAGTGAATTATAGACGTATTTATATATTGGTATTATATGGCTGCAAATATGTATGCATTTGTATACATGTATATATAGTTTATGATTATTGTCGATAGTTCCACAGCATTCACAACACAGTAAAGTGGCGTTTATCCCGAATTGTGGCAGCCTTCTCCGATACCCTATTTTATTTTATTTTATATTTGTAATAAATGAATAAATCACACAGCCTCTAAAACGAAAAATACAAAATACAGGATAAAATGACAATTGAACTAAAAGCAAAATATCGAGGTAACTACTGATATTTATATTATAAAGTCTTGGGAATGGAAGAGTATCAAAGATTTGAAATATAATTGAAATAAAGGTGAATGCCAATTATCCGCTCTGTCCAACCTATCTTTATTCTCTTACGACCCAACAGCTGCGTCTCTTAATCGCACGTTTTTACTTATGTACAATTCAATGTATGTAAGAATATATATATCTATATATATATATAGATGGGTTGTGGGTGTGAATTTAAAAATAAAAATAAAAGCTGAGCAGGGTGGAGTGGTTTCCGAAACATTATACTACAGCACAGCTTAGCACAACTTAGAACAACTTAGTACAGTGCAGAATAGTAGGATATAATATATGTATATATTGCCTGCCATTTTTGTATAACTGTCATACTTGTCTTTTGGTTTATAAATAATACATACATTTATTTGTTTATTTATGTATTGAGAGATATATATATATGTATAATATATCTATATATATATCTATATATATATATATATATCTGTATATCTTTAATAGGTATACAAGAATCTGTACATATATTTACAGCATGTACAGCTCGTCAAGAGAGCTACAAATTATATACTAGTAATTTATTTTATTTTATTTTTTTTTAAAAAAAAAGGGTTATTATATAGAGCAAAATCAGGGCTATAAGAAAACCTTGAGAAAATAAAGCTTACTTGAGATTCCCCGATACATTTCTTTCGTGCGATGATTACAAGATGTAGTAAATTCCCTATTAAGGTAATTTTAATTCAATCCCCCTTTGTCCCGAACCCTTCAATCGCTCTACTTTTTTTTCTTTTTGTTCGATAGACTGAGTCTTTCTCATATATATATATATATATATATATAATCGATATTTATTTATTTATTTAGTATTTTAAAAATAGGTACTTGATACCTGTATTCTATTTATTTATAATTTTTTTTTTATTTTTTTGTATTCTTTCTCTCTTTCTCTCTTTCACAAACTTTTTCTTTACTTCCTCTCCATCTTCTTTGTATAAATATTTAGGCGTGCGTGTAGTAAGATACATAGACACATATACAAATGCGGTGCAGAACTCTTGGTCTGTTTTTGGGCCTAGCTACATCAGTACTGGCTCAAGATTCAACTGTCAACCAATATTACAGTGCCCTGTTAAATGACTCTCTTTGGTTTTACGAAGCCCAGAGAAGTGGCAAACTACCAGCAAACAATCGAGTGGACTGGTAAGAACTTTGGTACCATTATATATTCTTGTTTCCGTGTTTTAATCAATTTGATCAAATTTGAATTTTATAGGCGCCATGATTCTGGCCTTGAAGATGGAAGTGATCACAATATAGATCTTGTTGGTGGTTACTATGATGCAGGGTAAATATACATATATACACACTTTATAAACCTGTTTAACAACTAACATTTCTATTTATCTATACCTATTTTTTTTTTTAAAAAAAAAAGTGATTATTTGAAATTCACTATTCCACTCGCCCACTCCCTCGTCTTAGTGGCCTGGGGAGGTATCGAATGGTACGATGGTTACGCCAAAACAAACCGGACACAAGACCTTTACGATATGATGCGATGGGGAACCGATTGGTTGATCAAAGCCCATCCCGACCCAAACATACTTTATTTACAGGTGAGCTTATTTTTTTTTTCTCTTTGACGAAGCACAAGTGTATATACATATTGGTTACATAGCAACAAATCTATACATTTACATTCATATACACACACACAGTCTCAACCAATTGCTCAATAAAGGAGAATAAATTTGTATGAGTTTATTTAAATATATATATATATTAACGACCTTTCTTTCTTTTCTTTTCTTTTTAAAAAACAAAGGTTGGCGATGGCGATGTGGACAACAACTACTGGGGTAACCATAACAACATAACAACATAATTACTATTACTATTATTATGACTATAATTATTGTACAAACAATCTAAATAGTATCTATGCGAATACTGTGTTATACTGTATGAAATATGTATATCTTCTTACATGTAAATTACTATCTATCATTTTCTTTGGGTTAATCAACTCATAGGCCCGGACACGTCGATCCCGACACCCCGACCGTCGTACATGATCAATGCAACCGCACCAGGTACTGATGCAGCTGCCCTGACAGCAGCCGCGTTTGCTTCTGCAGCCTGTCTATTTAAAAACCAATTGAACGATTCGAGCTATGCCGAAACGCTTCTGAGCCACGCGATTTCGCTCTACAGCTTTGCCGAGACAGCTCAGCCATTCCAGGTCTATACGAACGCCATTCCACAGGGCAAAGACTTTTATGACACGAATGTGTTCTACCCCCAGCTTGTGTATGGCGCCCAGTGGATTTTCCGTGCGACCGGCAACACCACCTACCGTGACAAGGCCTCGACATACTTTGACCAGGGCCAGCTTGCCGCAGCCACGACTCCGCTTCTGGACTGGAGTGACCCCACCGGCGCAGTCTATGTACTCGGGGCAGGCATTGACAACACAAACACCAAATACAGCACGGCCGCAAAGTCGTATCTCGACACAATCATCACAGCCAAAAAGGGAGGGCCCTGTAGCTTCACAAGCGGCGGTCTGCTCTGGTGTGGGGGGTACAGCAACTCAAACTCGCTCATCCCTGCTCAGGACACTGCTCTATTGGCCTTGCTGTACAACGTTTATGACAAGTCTCGTGAGTCTGATTACAATTCGTTTGCGATCAAGCAAATTGATTACATGCTCGGAAACAACATGATGTGAGTTAAAGTTAAATGATAATGATGATAATAATCATTTTGGATTATTTTTGTTTTTGTTTAAGGTTGACACCTTATGTGGTTGGTGTTCACATGAATTCGCCCGTCAATCCTCACCATGCAGGTGCTTCGGGTGGTACAGATATCGGTAACATCAACAGTTCCCCAGCTGTGGAGGCGCATGTGCTCTATGGAGCTGTTGTAGGCGGACCAGACGAAGACGACAAGTTCTTTGACGAGCGCTCGGACTATGACCAGACCGAGGTTGCATTGGATTACAATGCGCCCTTCCAGAGTCTGGTGGCCTACCAGATCTCTGCTGGAGCAGGCGACCCTCCATATGCGTCCATTACTCAGCCCAGACCAAAGGTTACCCGATCTCATCATATCCAGAAGTGGCTCATTGCCGTTATTGTCATTGTTGTTGTGTTTGCGCTGGCTGCAATTGGATACCTTGCTTGGCTCAAACGCCATCGTTTATGTGGTGGTTACAACAAATCAAGAGTATAGTTTCTTAGTTGTACAATATTCTTTTTTTTTTTTTCATCTATTTCCATACCTATTATTTCCTTATATTTCCTATTTCTCCCTCAATTAAATTACAAATTACAAATTACAAATGTAAATTAAATCATTTATTTACTTTTTTGGGAGTGATGGTGGCAGTAGCTATTGTTGTTTTCCATGTGTTGTATATAAAAAGAGGAAGAAAGAAAGACCTTGATATACTGACTGACTAAATGATGATTTGGTAAAAGAGAATCACGAAGAAATTAAAGACATGTTTCTTGTTGGATGAAAATGAGTCTAGATGAGGTTTATTGATGAAAAAATAAAAATGATGGCATGGAGAATATATGCATAATGAAGACTTTCTCCATTTTTCTTTAAGCAAAAAAAAAAAAAGAAAAAGGAAGAAAAAGGATGTAGATGTGATGTGAATATGAGGATTTTGTTTCTAAACATACAAAAGAAATAATAGTGAAAAGAAGAAGATGCATTTGGGGTGTGGTTTTTGGGGGTGGTGTGTAGGATTCATGTGCATATGATATGAGAGAAAATAAAAAGAAGAATATTAAGAATAAATAACAAGTAGATAAAGGAAATCGATCGTCTAAAATGCTGATCATGTAATGTATAATGTAATGTTTGTGTGATGTGGCATGCAAGTGAATCTGATGGTATTTGTTCTGTTCGGTTTGATTTGATTTTTTTTTTTTGGTTTTGGTTTTTTGGTTGAAGGTGTGGATTATTTCTTGTTTGAGGATATGCTTAGTTGGTGTGGACAGATGTGTGAATATTTTCCAATAAAGAAGAAGGACAGGCCAGATTCATTCCCTCTTTAAAATTGTTTTTTTTTTTGGATTAAATTTCTTAGATGAATGAGGTGGTCATAAACGATTGCCAAGACGATGCTGGTTCCTGAAAGGTCTGGCTGAGGTCTAACCAGGGAGTAAATGGCTTCTGGATCAGCATGGTCTGTGTTTGGTATATTGGCTGTGACAGATTTGGAACATAGGCTGATGCTGATGATGACCAAGATGGGAGGGCGTTAGGGTTGGATGCCATCGAAACACTAAAACTGCCATCGGTAGGGCTGGTAGGAGGGAACAAAAGGCTGGTGTCGGTTGGCTGGTAAAAGCTGTTTCCATGACTCAACATTGCGCCGTATGATCCTGATGTTGTATTGTTTTCTACTAAAGGAGGAATGGAAGACGGCACAACGGGGGTGGCGACAAATAGGTCTTCTGTAGGATAAAAGGGCTGGTTGGGGAATGTCTGGGAGGTAGGTGTGATGGATAGGGGCGAGAGAGAAGATGATGAGTATGAAGATGAATAGGATGCTGCCGATGAAAATGACGATGATGATGGTAGGCCTGCTTCAGTCGCCTCAGTTCCTGCTTCGGCTGCTACTGTTGCTGTTACCGCGGCTGCTGAAAAAAAGTTGCCCAGACCATAGAGATCTAATGGATCACTTGCGGACAAGGGCGATTGAGAGAGAGGTGGAGTGGAAGAGGTGGCAAAAAAGTGGCTGTCGGCATAGAATTCTTCAGGTTCAGGCTTGACAGATTGGTCAATGTAGAATGCTTGGTTGTCGATTCCAAAGACGGGCTCAATTGTCTGCGAAGCGTAGGCTGGCTGCCAGGGTTGCTGAGACATCAATGTAGACGGGATGGTGAGGTAGGATAAAGGAGACTCTTTGGTGACAGAAAGAGCAGCGGGGCTGGTTAGGATAGGTGGAACGATTTCCTGAGATTGACGTTCGTTTGTGGGTCGAATGACAACTGAAATACAATAATAACAAAAATGATTAATATTTCTGTAAAAGATCTAAAATAGATCCTGATGTATTTACCAGCTTGATGGTGGCGACGCTTCTTGTAAGGACCTCTCTTGACACCCTTTCTACGCTCCTTTCTGGGAGAATTGATGCAGGTTTCAGTCAGACCAAGCTTGACACAACGTTTGCAGGGTCTTCCTTCGTCACACTTCTTACAAGCCTTTTGGCAATTGACTAATATATACAATATAATATCGGAGATTAGTAAATGTTGAACCATGTGAGGTTAGAAACGAGCTTCTATATTTTGTTCTTGTGTGTGGCTCGTATCACATCAACTTTGTGACTCAAAAGAGGTCGAATTAAGAGCCACGCCATTGTAAATACAATGAGCAGAAACAGAAGCAGAAATATAGATATATATAGAAGGGGGTGTTGAATAATTACCACATGCGTTTTTGACTTGTTTTCTTTTGGAAATCTTGCTTCGTGGGGTGCGAGACCGGATAGATGGTACTGACACCATGGCAATGGGCGTCTTTTCGAGCTGTTTGATTTCTTGGGTGACTGTAGTGTCTACACAGAGCGAATCGTGACAAGGAGTAGAATGGTTGAAATGCATGTTGGTTGTCTATTTGATCTGTGATGCTGATGATGATATTGATATTGATATTGATATTTGTTCTTGTTCTTTTGTCTGTTGGAATACAAGAGATAGATAGAATAGGATATTTGACTGGCTTGGTTGTTTAAAGCTGGTTTTATTCCAAGGCTGTTTGTTGCTTTGTTTCGAAAGAACTAAAGAAATGGGTGGTTGAGGAAATAGAGCTTTATATATATATATATCTTTTTTTTGCACATTTAGTCTTGCTTATTCATTTTATTAAATTATATAAATAAATTCTATATCTATTTTCGCCTACTAGATTGTAATTGGTCGCACGTTTTTTTGTGTTAAATTCGGATGGTCTTAACGTCTATTCTATTTTATTCTATTTTATATATATTTTACTTTTATTTTGTGCACATGGAACCCAACCACACTTCTACTCAAGACTAAAAAAGAATAATCTTGAACAGCCGTGCGCAAAAATATTAAGACACGTTTTTGCCTATTTACCCGAACATCTCAAATTCAACATGTAAATGAATGACAGGTAAGACAGGACAAATAGGCAGATATATATATGAGGGAGTAAGGGCTTGTGTCAGTATATCAAATAGAAAGCTAAATTAGTAGCTCAAGACATCAATAGCAACAGCAATAATTAAAAGAAGTAATTGAGTAATTGAATAATTGAATAACTGAATAGTAAACTATATTCATGTATTATAAAACTGTGTAAAAAAGATGTATGTTTAGGGTCCATGTAGTGAACTTTACAAATATTGCTTCCAAATCAAGCAAGGAAAAGGAGGCAAATAATAATAATAATAATAATAATAATACACACATTATACCCACATAATGGAAGATCTCATACTATAATAATAAAATAAAATATAAGAAAAAAACCAGTAAGAAAACACCTTTAGATATCCAAAATAATTTGTTACCGTAGTACGGACACATGCGACAACCAATTAGCCACGTTCTTTCCCTAGTGCAATGGTTCAGTTACACTAAACAGGCGCCAGATTAGTTGCTGCTCGCGTGTCTATGAGTAGCACAACGATCAAGCCAAAGCAGTGAGAAGGAGTAGTAATAAGAACAAGCCAATATATACATACCTGAATAATTTTAGTTTATCAAGAGTGATACTCTGTATGTATATTCATATATTACTTGCATAGCATTTTATTATATAATTCTGTGATTTTATGATTAATGTTTATTTATATATATGTGTGTGTGTGCTTTATCTTGGCAAGTGCTTCCTAATTCACAATAATAGTAATACACACACACGTACAAACGTACACGGAGACGCACACGAAGCAATCCACGAATAGATATGCAAACAGAGGCAACGCATATGTGTGTGTAAACCGGGGACCTGTCTTATTGTTCTCTAATGCCTGACCAATAATAAGCCCAACTGTTCCAAAACTACCTGATCTTTTGAAACCAAAAAATAAAATAAAACAGATACCTTTCTAAACCGTATCTTATTTCCACGGCTAGCAAAAACAGGAATTAGCACCTGTTTGATTGCTTTATATTGAATAATACAATTATGATTATGATTATTATGATTATTATGATTATTATGATTATTACTGTTATTTCTACGATCATACCTAGATGATATACATATAATATATATATATATATATATACATAAGAAAAAGGGATCCACGTATAATTGAACCTCAGTTTTATAATGAGACTGTGGGTATATAATTAATTAATATTTGTTAACAAAGTATATATATATATATATATATAAAATAAAATAAAAATAAAATCGTTCGATGATAGAAAGAATTGTCTAGGTGCACTCGGACTTGTAGAGAACGTGCCGAGGATATTTCTACGCAGTCTTATTATTGTCCTTCTATTAGCCAAAATCTTCTTTGCTCTAGTTACTTACTTATTCATTTTTGTAGCTAAAATCGTATGTATATAGATATACTTAATGTAATGTAGTGTAGTGTAGTGTACTTATATAATACAAATAGATCTACCAAAAAGAATATATCTGATTTATAGGCAAGTAATATTATATATATATATAAAAGAATGGAGATCCGAACGCCGGTTTAACGGTATAAAATTCAAAAGGTAAAAAAAAATCAATCGATATTCTATATTCACACACAAGCTTATAACAATAGTATTCTAGAATACAACAAACGACTGACTAATTAAAAGTTGGATTGAGAATATATTTCGTCACAGTTGATGACGTAAAATTAGTAAGTTACCACCTTTTACTTTCATTTGTTTCATCCTCTTTTTTGTGTGTGTATTTATATTTATTGGTACTGCCGACGCATAGAGTTGGCGGCCTTTCAAACTAAAATAATAATAATTAAGAAATAGGTGTACAATAAAAGGGACGAGAGTGACATAAACACTTACACATTAGTGGTGAGGTAATAGGATCTACATATTGCAGTCACTACCTTAGCTGCAACCACATTAAAGAGTAAGGGGAGTGCTGTCAGATATTTTTTCCCATCATTCCTAATCAAGCGTGCACCATTCCAACATGGTCCCACACAATATGAAGAGAGGAGGAGATCAAAAGAAAAAGACAAGCGTCGGAGACAAATAATAAAGAACAGTTGTTTCAATACCAACTTCCACACTTGAAACTTGCGAGGGTAGGAGAAGGCAAAGTTTTCAAAGGTCCAGTGTGGAGAGACAGAATGGACAGTTTAGGCTGGGAAGGAAGGAAGAAGTGCGACTAAAGACAAAGTCAGTGGTGGGGACCCCTCGTCAAAGGGTTCCTGTTTTTTTATATACTCTTATAAATTTGTTTTCATTTGAGATATCAGGCACCTTATCTTCTCTTCTTTTATTATGATAGCTTCAATAGCATCCTTTAAATACCCCAATACTCGTAGCAGTATTAAGAACAAAAAAAAAGGAGTCAGCTAATATAGAATTAAAAATCATAATAATATGGATACTGAGTAGGGTTTTCACCCCCTCCAAGTGGTAATATCCAAGACCATCAAGAGGGCAGTGAAGATCGCTACGAGATTCTCCCTACGATGTTACCTTTATGACCTTGTTATGACCTGTCAAGCAAAGAAATTCTACGGGCTAATGAAATCAAGGTCATTGTAGCCAAACCCCTTGGCATTAAAAGCATGTCGGGCAACGACTTCACCCTCAGCCCATCCGAGCAGAGAGATGGCCGGCGCATAGACATGCTTTATATCCCCGCCAACAATGTAAAGAAGTGTCTCGCTCCAGTAATTGTCTCACTCCAAAAAAAAAAAAAAAAAAAAAAAAAAGGCGACAAGGACTTCATTGAACGTGATGGACGCAACAGAATTATATCCCCATGTCATGGTAATCTCATCCGATGGGTTTTCCGATAAACGATTTCGAGATTCTACGTTCACCAAAGAAGAACCTCGCACTTTCTACACCCACCCCTGCCAAGCATTGGCAAAGAGCATCAGAATATGTATATCCCGGAGCCTATTTCCTCAATTGGATCAAACCCCTTTGGATAAAATGATCGCTCTCTGCCACATATTCTTCAGGAAACAGAAGAGCATCCTGATTCTTGAGAAATACGATGATCTTTTTGTACAAGCCATATACAAAGTCGCCCTTCAAGTATGTGCAATTCAAAAAGACAATACATCAAAACTTAATGAAGTAATGCAGATTTTTTGTGATTCTGTCGATAATCAATTCGACAAAATCTTAAAGCAATATATATATATATATATATGGACGGTTCTCTTGTGTTAATTGCTATGATAAAGACAACTCTAGAGGGTTATTAAAACGCTAACGACAAAAGAGCATTCTAAAGAGCAACCCTCTGACTCCCACTGCAAAAGTCGAAAAAATAACAATAATATATGACATTCAGGGCAGCCTCAAAATTATTTTTCTGCCCTGATTTTAAATTCCCGCATAATAAATAAATAATAAAAAATATTCTTACTTGTATTTGCCTCAACAAGTTATAAATATGTAATATATAATGGTATGTGTGGGGTGTAAATGCCCATATAAGGAATATTGGCAGACTAACAAAAGCTTAATTTAAATCAATTATGTAGGTAAAAGTGCACATTTATATATACACCTATAATTTATTTATATATATATATTTATTTAAAGAACTAGTCTAGTGTACAAGAATGGTAGTCTAGAAATTCTAAGAACAACGTGTCTTACGTGATATTCCAGCCTATACGTTTTTCCACTTAATTTCAGGACATTTAATGACCCTGGGAAACCCACCAAAGGGCTTTGACCAATGGTATCCTTCATACACATACGAAGGACCATATTTACCGAGAATCCCGGACCAACAGATACATAAAATCCTAAATTTATTATTATTTTATATATAAAAACACATTTTACAGACTCTATGATTGTAATAAATTACAAAGATCTAATCAAAGCTTCATTTTCTTATCTACAACCAAAAGGGAAAAATAAATTATTATAATTTTGGCTTTTTGAGAAAAAAGACCAAATGTATTCCTTGATCCGAAACAATCGTTTATCAACAAACGTGGACTTTATTCACTAAGCCATCTAGTCTCTTTATGCTTTCATTTTGTATAGCGCACAGGCAACATTACCCTATTTCCCTTTTGTTCTTATTACTCTTCTCCTTCACAGTATCCCTAAATAAGAAGATGATCCACTTGAATTTACACACACACAAATCATATAATCCTCATGTAAGTCTTGATTTAAAAAGTCAGGCAGCTAAAGAGTGATACAACAATTGCTTATCAAATAATATCTACTTTTATTTTTATATTTTATATTGTACCTTGTCTCTTGTTTTCTTAATGTCACTAGACTCAATAGCACAAAATGATACTCTCACAATAAAAGAAAACGTCCTTCCCATCATCAATTATAAAATAGCCATATTCTCACAGCCAATTATCATATATTAAATCAAATCAAATCAAATCAAATTAACTGTAAGTTTATTTCTTGATAATTGCAATAAACAATAATTGTCCCCTAAAGATTTATACTAGGCAATATCATCATTAACAATCACCAACCAGAAACAAAGGATAGATATACCTTTCTTTTTCTTTGTAAATATATGTGCATTGGCTATTAATACATGTTTCCCGCCAACACTAGATATTCTATTATACGTCATAAACTCACCGATCGATACAGAGCCCAATTTACAGCTGCATGGATACCATGCCTTTGTAACTTACAGATCGGTTTCCTGCACCTTGATTTCCTTTATTAAAAATAAATAAAGCGTACAAAACCTTCCAAACTGCCCAAGGGCTGGCACACTACATGACTAATGGTTAATATATTCTCCAGATATATATTTTTATTATTTGTAAGAAATAAAAATAAAATGAAATGAAATGAAATTAATGGTGTTTTCCAAAATAATAATAATGATGAATGTAATTGTACACAGGAACCGTTTTACACTGAAACTATGTATGTAACACTCCCACATTAACATGTCTAACAATGCATACTAAAATTTGTGAAAACATCATGTACCATAAAGAAACGTGCAAATTCCAAAAAGAAAAAAAAAAGACTTGGGCTGTTGTAAAACATCTGTCTCTTATTAGAGGTTTCCCAATTATTGTTACAGTTACAATCACACAAGTGTAATACCGAGATATTACAAACAACACCTTTCACATTATAGTAATGAAGAGGGCTTTGACTGTATATCTCGTTTATTGTGGTTGGGGTTAAAGGTAAAGTATGTAAAAAGAAGTGGGATCAAGTATTACGTTTCACTCCAGCTCTTAACCCATCATATAACCATTTACACACATATATACATAAATACATACATACGTACATACGTACAAAGCCAGAAATATTCTTAATATGTAGGTATTATTATTAGAGGGTGAGTTTTATGTGATATATATGTTTTTGTGTCAATAAAGTATATAATCCTTTTGAAACTCACCACAAAGACAAAAGGGTATTGTGCAGTCCATAAGGATACCTATGTCTAAATAACGATGGGTAAGGGACTAGAGATTTTTTTGTACACACTGGTTGATTGGACCTAGAAGTAACAAATACAAAAAGAAGAAGACAGGACTATGGTGCTACCATGTCAAAATCCGAAAGGTGCTTGTTGACATAGCTTTCAATTTATGTCAGGAAGGGTGCAAGAGCCTCAATCTATATATTGCAAGAATTAAATGAGATGGGATATGAGGGGAGGAGATATTATTTGTAAGTTTTCTACTGGAATTTGAGTATATCTTGGCGGTAGATTATTATGCTTTCTGGTACACAGAAAATAATATGTGCACAGGTATTAAAGGAGCTCATCATGGGATATATTGACACAAAGTACTAAAACATCCTGTCTGTCTTATATTCTTCCGTTTTGAATTGAATGAAATACACGCAACATTTATTTTCATTTTGGACAGCTAGTACTCTGTTATGCATTTAAATTTCCTTTACACAAACACAGGGTTAATGTATGTTGCTCTTATTTCGGAGCCTCTTCAGATTGTTCCAATAATGCGGGGAAATGAGATATGAAATGCGTATATTTCTTCCAAAGAACTCCAGATGGTCTTGTGTAAGCACGAAACTTGATATCTTTGCAAGTCGCTTGAGCCCATTCATGTTGAACTATTTATTTTCTCTTTATTTTTGGCATTAACTTAACAGTAATGCTCTATTAGGTGCTGTGCGGCTTTGTTAAATCAGGGATTAAGAGTTAAAGCATAATACATGATATATATATATATATATTCTGTACCCTGTGTTGAGTTATTTGTACTTAAAGAAGTCTATATGTAGGTATCGGCCGACGTGAATTCCGTAAATGGATGTAAATTTGAGATTACAACCAGACAGACCATAGAGATAGCTTGGAATACACAAGCTTTCTTTCATCCTTTCTTTAATCTTCTTTTTTGGCGCTCTATATGGGGTTTACGAAGCTGTAAAACCAAAGGAAAAAGGGATTTTGTAAACAGTCATATATCTATTTTTTATGTGCTTTATTAGGCTAAATCTGTACCAGTTTTGATCAGTAAAATATGTAAGCTTCTTATCACCTTTTATTATTATTACTTAATCTAGAACGTCTTTACTGACCTAGACTTCAAGTCTACGACAGGTGTTTTTTTTGTTATTGTTGTATATGTGATAATTCAACTTAATAAATTAATAGCTCAATATGGCTTTCTTCTTTATTTCTTGCTAAGAGTCTGTGATTATTACTATATGTTTGTTTGTTTTTTTGGAAATATAGCTCATCCTGAAAAGAAAGAGAAAACATAATCGACATTACTATGTGTGTCTGTGTACTGTACTATAATATAAGAGTAGACCAATAAGAGTTATAGATAACGGATAATAATTTATATCTGTGATGTAGACGAATAAGAGAATCCATAGCGCAATTAAGTAAATAGATGAGTTACACTGCCATTATAAAGTGTTGGGTACTTGTTATTATTCTTGAATATCTATAATAACAGTATAATCAAATTAGCAATTTAGCTCAAAATAAATATAAAAAAAAAGTAAGCTGATTATTATTACTATTACTATCATTGATGTCGTTGTATGTAGTAGAAAATATACTATAGATTTGTAGACTTTAATGTCTCACAAAGCACTACTTATAGTCTTACTACAGTCTCAATATATATATATATATATATTAAGAAAACGCAGCCCCATTATGTAGAACAAACTAGCCAAGGTATACACAACTAAGATACGATTGGGTCAATGAAGAATATCAAGCCTCAAGATAAGAATCCTTGTTTTGATCATTGTGATGATTAGTATTACTATTTCTATTATTAAAAGAAGAGTAAGAAGAAGAAAAATTGTGTTTCATTTGGTTATAAAGCAAATTTATTGTTTAACACCTAGATTTATAATATTTTACTAAAGTATTATAAACAATATATATATATAGCTATTGAATTGGCTGTTTTAATTCAATTGAAAAGATTTGAACACACACTTATATACAGAAACATCAGGCTATTATCTAATGAGATGTAAGAACATGGACTTACCATTAATAACAAAATGTGTCAATTGTTATATCCAAAAAAGGTTACATTGTTTGTCAGCAAGATTCTGAAGTGACAAATAATTTATTTTATTTTTATTTTTTATTGGTAGGTGGTTATGGCTCTGGCACATTTATAGCATTATTGGGCACCCATTGCAAGGTGTGGCAAAAATAAGATAGAAAAGGAACTAGGGGCAGTCAACCATAACAGCCCAATGAAAATGGCTTGATTGCTCTGATTGGCTAGTATTCATTTGTTGAATATTGTATCAAAATTAAGATTATTATGAATATTCATGCTTAATACCTGCTTCAATGGTATTAATGATAGTTAGATTGCTAATATACCGAATAACAATGCTTACAATAAGAATGCTCCTCTGTATTGCTTATCAAGCCATGATGTGGCTGAAAATATTACAAATAACATTTGTTAGTATATATAGCTTACTCTCATAGAATTACATTATTATGGTTGTAAGCTGCGAGGAAATATGGATATGGTAATCGTTCCTTCATAAACGCTTCTCTAATAAGCATTCAAAGCATCACATTGCTTTCTTCTCCTTGTGAAAATCTTATAGAGACATATTTTGAACGTAACTATGAAAGATAAAATAAAAATAAAAGTAAAAATCATAGCTAATGAGTGGTGGCCATGGGAAGCTTTGTTTTTTTTATTTCCTTCCAAAACTAATAGTAGATGACTTTTAGAAAATCTAGTAAAGATTTCTCAGGATTTTTTTTTAGTATTATTATTATTATTCACATATATGGTGTAAGCAGTTCTATGCTGCTAATTACTTTAAGAAACAAACAAGACAAGTCCCAGAATAATGTCCCTCGAGATGTACTTTATTTATCACTAGATGTTTTATAAGGAACTATAAGTGCTTTAATGGGTATATTTGACAGCTTCTCGTAAAGCTGTCAAGTGAATACAGAATCTTCTATAGATAGTTGAATATGAGATGTTCAGCTCTACCTTAATTGCATCTGAAAAGAAATTACATTAAGCACCAACATGCATTATTATTATTATATATATAATGAATAATCCTTCAAATGTTTTATTTACGCAGTATAGCTCATAAATATTATATACAGATATCACCCTTTAATTTCTGTATCTATTGAACTCAAAATGTATGTAAGAAAAAGATAAAAGGCATATAAAGCAATTCAATATGTAAATACTAAACACCAATTCGCCCTTCAAGTACGCACAATTCAAAAAAACAATAACGATCCAGTGGTTCTAATGAAAAGCATCTGCAAAAGTTATAAGAGCTATGGCCTGGTCTTTTATAAATGGTAAAAGGAGCAATATATATGGACAGTTCTTCTGCGTCGACTGCTATGCCAAATGCAACTATAGAGGGCTGTTTAGACGCTGTAATAGCTATAAAGCGCTAAAAAAAAAAGACATTCCAAAAAGCAACCCACTGATTTCCACAGCAAAAGTCGAAAAAATAATAACAATAATATACTTCAAATCACCCCTAAATCACCCCTTCCAACCACTCTTTTTTTTCCCCTTAGTGGTACTAATTAGCTTTCTTTCCAAAGATAAATATATTTAGTATATTGCGGGTCTCTTTTTTCATAAGCTATAAAGCTTAAAATTTTGAACCCTTGCCATATAGGTTGACAAGGTGATATATTTGTAACATTTAGAGCGAGTATTTATATATCTATATATACTTGGTAATTGAATATATATATATATATTCTCTGCAATGTCTTTAAGAGCTCGAGTTATGACTGCGCTTTGATATGTAGACCTCTATAATATGTTTAAATTCATTTCAATCCGCAGCGGCAGTCTTGCTAAATATCGAAACAGTATTGTATTTGACTCGTCTCTTTGCTGAAGAATGAAAAAAGAAAAATACTTTTTTTTTGGCTTTCTTACCATAGTCTTTGGTAATTAGAGTATTGGCCCAAATACATCACAGCACATTAGCTGTATTTAGAATACCATAAAATAATGCTTTTGAAGCTTCTTTGAAATGTCTTGCCCTTTAATACACTACAGAAATCGAATTTTCTCTTTTGACCTTGATTTCCTTTAAAATCTGAGGATTTTGATGTAGACTGCCTTTATACAAGGTTATAATTCAACTCAATACATATGTAACTGTAACTGTAACTGTAACCGTAATTGTGAATGTTATTGTGATTGTGATTGTATATTAATTACAATTGGCTTTAGTCAGGACTTTACATAGTAAGTTTCTACACATGCACCTTTCAAATAAATCCCATAAATCCCATAATTCTCCTTTATTCTTTTATCTCAGTTCAAATTTCACAACAATTCCCATCTTTTTCTTTTCTTTTGTGTGTGTGTGTGTGGCTGATTTAGTAAAGAATCATTAACCGCGTTAAATAAGAATACAGTATATATATATATATATATAATATATAAATAATGGTATTTAAACCGTTGAAAACAGTTCCCACTATCATTATTACCTATGTCCTCATATATTCATTTTTTTGCTTCTATTTTACTTTTTTTTTTATAAAAAATAAAATAAAAAAACAAGTATTCATTCCATCTACAAAATCCCTTTATTTTTATTCTTCTTCATTCAAGTAACACCTGCCTTTTGGGACACATATATTCAATTCCCTTTTTGTATACAAGGCAGAGGTCTGGACATTCAAAAGGTTGCTCCTTTTGAGCTGTGACCGGGGTCACTGTTTCGTAGCTGTAAAAAAAAAGACCCAAAAAAAAACTTAGGAACAGTTCTGTTACGCCGCTTATCTAATCCATCGCCTTTGTCTTCATTGATCTTTTTTATAGAGATCCTTAATTTAAGGTATGTGAAAAGTTTGTAAAACTTGTCGATTATAAACATAAACTTGTAATAAAGTCAAGAACCCTTAAGAAAGAAGAAGAAGAAGAAGAGATTAGCAGTAGTTTACTTCAATAATACATGCATACTTATACATACCAAGACAATTGTGGTAAGTGAGTAAAGAAGAAAAAATTAACAATGAATCCCGGAGAGCTGTGTCTTTGGTCGGATATGTTATTTCAAAAGAAAAAAGAAAAAAGTTTCTGTTACTCAAAAATAATAATAAAAACCAGCTTTTATATCCCGGTTTTTCTCGTACAAACACATCGGGATCGAACAACAAATCTTGGTTGACATCTCGCTTGTGTGGACAAGTGTTGCTTAGTAAAGATATTTCAATTATCGAGTATTGCTTTTATAAGCAGTATTATGATCTGTAATGTAGTCTATGAGATATATTATTTTACCATTGCTTGTAATATACACTACTTTACATATCTGTATATATATCAAATCCAAAGTTCGATATAGACGAGTGAGGACTGAGGACTGAGGAGGGAAATGAAAAATTGCACAAACTTGGAAAGTCTGATGGTTTATAAAGAGTAAAAAGAAAACCAAAAAAAAAGCTTGGAACTGAGGGGGTACTATCGATATAGACCATATAAACAGACAAAGTATATCTCGAACTGTGTATTGTTTTCTTACCTTTCGCCAAGGTGCACAAAAATTATAGTTTAGTGTACCTTTATGAAGTAAGCACTGCTAATTAGCTCTCGGTACGGAAACCCAGAGCGTTCCGGCTACAAACAAGCTTTTATTAACCTTCACTGATGATACACAAAGCTTTTGATGCTTTATAATTTTTGTTTGAGGTATCAAGATAATCAAATGATTGATCGTTTTTTTTTATTGAATGTATATTGAATCTATAGACTTTGACTAGCAGAGTTATTTCGACAAAAAGTGTGTATATATATATATATATGTGTGTGTGTGTGTGTACTACGCGCCTGGATAGACTTCCTTCTCAGCTAGGATAGTGGGAAGCTATCGGTAGTATATTTTTTTATAGGAGTGAAGAATGAGGAGTTTAGGTAAAAAAAAGGGTGCTTTCTATCTCATCTAGAGCTTAGAAAGATCGGTATTTAATCCCAATTCCAGTTGATGTTGATACGGCCTACACCCAAGTCAGCGAGCTTGGTGAAGGCAGCGGGACTGAGGTCGAGATCACCAGAGGCACAGCCGGGGCAAGTATCGACAATCTTAACGCGGACACTGGTGCCATTAGGACCATTGACCTTTACATAGCGACCGCAGAGAGGGTTGTTGTTGGGGTTAGGGACGACACCCATTTGAGGAGCATTCTGTAGTAGAGAAAGAAAGAAAAAATTAGATTTCTAGTATTTGTAAGCTGATATGTAATAGCTTACCAATGCTGCAATCAAATCAGTGTTGGCGCTGACCTCGCCGCAAGATCCAAGACCAGTACCGTACCAGGTACCCTCGCCAGAGAATTTACCAGAAGAAGAGTTGGTGGCAGAGCTTTTCTTGGTGGTAGTGGTAGTCTTCTTGGTAGTCTTCTTGGTAGTGGTGGCCTTCTTGGTGGTTTTCTTGGTGGTGGTTTTCTTGGTGGTTTTCTTGGTGGTGGTTTTCTTGGTGGTTTTCTTGGTGGTTTTCTTGGTGGTTTTCTTGGTGGTTTTCTTGGTGGTTTTCTTGGTGGTCTTCTTGGTGGTAGAAGCCTTCTTGTGGTGCTTTCTCTTCTTGGAGTGGCTCTTACGGCCACGCTTTTCTAAGCTTTGAACTTCGAGTGGGCTATCGGTGTAAAATCCAGTAGAGGTAACAAGGTCGCCATTAGTATCTCTGGGAAGAGGTGCGGCGTTGACGAAGATGGAAAGGGCAGCAAAGGTAGCTGAGATGAGCAAGATCCAGAAAAACGAAGGGGAGTGCATCTTTGTATTGTTAGATGATCCGAAAGAGTGTAATGGGTTGGTAGAGAAGGAAAGTGTTGGAGGAGACAAGGAATGAGAAGAAGGACTACTTGGCCGTTTATATAGGTACCAAATTTACAAAACAATAGAGCGCGATTAAGGTTCTATGATTGGAGCATGCTTAATTCAATATTCAATATTTCTTAATTACGCTACTTGTTAAGGTAATAAAGGCAACATTGGCAAATACTTGATTTGGTGCGAGGGCCCATCATTGCTGCCTATACATTCTGTTTTTTTATGCACCCGCAACTTGCCGTTCCACCCAATCAATTTCCTTCAACTGGGATAAACAGATATTTTACTCGGTGTGAGGTCGATAAAAGGTAATTGTATCACGTTCTGACTGTTAATATTAAGCGCTGCGAGTGTGGCCTTCCCTCTCATTTTCTGTAGAAGAAGAATTTGACAAATAAGGAAATTGGGTGGCGCACAAAAACCCCCTTTTCACCTCTCCTTCTTTCACTCCCTGCTTAACGCAGCAGAAAGCTTGAGCGTATTTGGCGGCTATAAACTTTGCCTAAGTTTACTAAAACTCATAGTATAGCTAAGCTTATTGAAAACCTTTTAAGGGGATAATATAAATTGTCCAATTGATTGTTCATCTCTTCAACAAACAGCAATATGTAATGAAGTTATTGTAATATATTCTGTGGCTCAATAAACTGGCCTATTTTCTGTTTTATTGCTTTTTTTCTCTTATTTGTCAGGCAATGGGTACACACATAATTTCTTCGAAATGCAAGTTTTAGACTGAGCTATTAACGAGAGCCTGTTGTTGATTATAAAACATTAAAAAGATACCATCCGATAAGTTGAGCTTCGCCGCGTTCGGGGTGACATGGAGTGCATACTCCAACTAGGAGTATCCGAGTGGCTGAATCTTACTTTCAGGTACTGAAATGCGGGTACTCTAATTACAGAACCAGATCAAAACAGTTTCATTTCAATAATAATATTAATAATATAAAAATAAGGGGAGCCGATTCAGCACTGCATTGCATGGGTGTGGAAAGAGTAGGATATTCCACCAAAAACCATATTCAGTATTGCAGGTGTTTCTTAACCAGATACTGCCATTGACATCTTTATTTGTCCTTCTAGAGTTTCTTTTTACATTAGATCAGCTTAAATTTCATCGCGATTTATGGGTTAGTACTAATAAATCAATATAGTCTTCAATTGCATCTAATATTCTTGTGTCTAGGAAAGGCAGATGAAAGGTCGAATAAAATGGCACGGCCATTTCTTATTTTGGTAGGTAATCATAACTACCATCAAATAATCTACACACAGTAAAATTCTCGCATGCTTCCAATCAATGGATCAAGTAAAATAGTCACGAGGAACTTGTAAGTCAGACTGTGTAGCCAGAAATACGGGTTGGTCAAGTTTTTTTTTTTTTTTTTGCATTGAGGGTTAGCCAAAAGTATATATCTTTTGCAAAAATATGTCGCTAAAAGAATCAAAAATAAAATAAAAACAGGGTCAATTTTTTTGGGAACTAATATCGCACAATTCAAGAAAATACAGAGCTTCTTAAATTTGTGCTATAGCAACCAGTCAAAAGAAGAAGCAAGGACTGTCTCAAGCTATTTCTACTTTCTTAGGCATGGTTTTGTGATTCTCATGAAAAGGACAGTGATATCTTACAAAATACATTTATTAGAAAAGATAGAAGAATATACAACGTGAAGTTTAAAGAGGTTCTTTATTATCATATCTATGTTCTTCAGGGTACGATTGTTCAATTATATGTTTCCGACTATGTTTATTTAGTTATGGTAGCTGAACAGGCTGATCAGATCAATAAAAAAAATCCTGATTTTTCTATGATAGTAGCATTGGTCATTCAAGAAAACAGCAGAACCTCCTTTTTTTGATCCGTGCTTCGAAAGGAAGCTTGAGGAAAGTGTGCGAAGTTCTCTAGAATAGCCAAGAAGCAATCGTTAATTAGTTTTTGCTGGACATCGATGTTTTCACTCTTTCATTACCATAATGTATAATTCTTAGTCTAAACAGATAAATCGATAAAAGCAAAAATAAAATAAAATGTTAAATCAACTGTTTAACCAGTCTTCATACAATGATAATCGGTAAGGACAGAATGTGTTTCTTTTAATTGGCTGTGCTTGTTTTGATCGTTTTGATCTGTCTGTACCAACTGCGAAAAGTTTTTTTTTTTAAAAAAAAAATACAACACTTTAATTTGTATTCTTGCGACACCATTTCGGAAAAAGGGGTACAAAATAAAACATGATAGTTCATTTGCATCACATTTCCAGAATAAGAGTTTTCCAGAAATTGTCACCAATATGAACAAAGAAATACTGTGAACATCTCCGGTCGACGGTTTCTTGAGATTTTCAGCGGTGCATAAAACTGTATATTCTGTCCAATCAATTCCTCTATTCTTTCATGTGTATAGTGTGACATTCCAGATCTATAATTTGCCTTTTATATTCATCTTTGAAATAGAATCACCATATTTACCCAAGAACCGAGAGTGCGCTCGAAAAATCAATTGTTACACTTATTAGATCAAATTATTAGATATCCAAAGAAATCTCTCAATCTACAGAAACACAAGTACAACTCAATATAAAAGAAACAAAAAACCAAACCAAAACAATTATACCATCCAAGGCAGAATTATGAGACCTGTGCAATCGTTAAATTAATAATTATGCTTTTTAAGCACATCTAATGTATTGTATCGAATTGAATTAAACATAATTAAATTAAATCAATAAATGCTTGAGTACAGATAAATAATCAATGGAACAATTTCTAATGAGACCCGATCCTTTCTCTTGCGACATCTCCGTGAGTATAGTTTAAAAAGGCGTATTTAGAAAATTATGGCCTCTACCAAAATGAAATACCTAAAACAGTACTCATTACGTAGTAAAGTGTAGTACCAATATTCAGTCTCTTGGAGGTTGAGTACCGTTTTATTCAACATATACAGCTTGTCTTCTTAGGGTGGTATATCCCCTACCTTATAATATATTTCTACAAGCTTTTCTATATCGCTAGAAGCTAACAATATTATTGTCTCTGACACTTGCTCTTGCTTATTTTTTAGATACATATATAGTGTCGCAATGGTTATGAATTCATATATATATATGTATTGTGGCAAATTCAGGTCAATATTTGCTTATGCAGTTGTTGTTTCGCCCAAGTTGTGTAGCCGTTTCCCAATCAAATATGTATCGTCTCGTATTGTCTGTATCCATAAACGAATAAGCTTAATACTGCCGGTAAAAAGTCCAAAAAGAATAGTTATACACAGTACGGCAGGGTAAGAATATCGGAACACAAGTAGTTGAGTGACTGGATTACTTATAGCTACAAAGCAAAAACAGTAGTTTCAGTATATATAAAGTACGGATCCAAGCAGACTAAGCTTACGTATAGCACGTATTACTCCCATAGCTAGTATACCGGGCAATATTATTCCGATAAATAATCCAAATACAACTGGTGCAAATAAAAAACGTGTAACTGCCCAGAGGCGAAGATTCGAAATGCCATCTTCTACTACTTGATCAATCCTGCGTTGTAAGGCATTGTTGGGCAGTACGTAAATCACACCATAGATAATTCCAAGGCAGACAATTCCAAGTGCCCAGTCCTGAGATAATTATGTGTTTATACATTTGGTATACACCCAGAAAAGAACAATTCTTTTAATTCCAAAATTCGACTTACCTGTGATAGGTGAATCGTAATTTCATCGCTCGGTTCGGAAGCTCTAAGGACCATGAACAGGTAGAGCTCTATTGTGACACCTAGAAGAAGCGGAAGGATCAGGGCAATGATGCCCGATATGTAGATACTCTTTACACTCTACATACGCCATTTCCATCAGTCTCTGTAACACAATCGTTGACCAAACCTTCTAGATTAAGATACTTACCAATAACATGTATTGTTTGACATGTATCATGCCTTCCTCAATACTCGCTCCTAGCCCACGTTGCTTTGTACGTCCTATTATTTGACTAACCCAATCGATAACTACACTAAATAGCACCATAACAAATACGCCTAGGATCACGGCGTAAATATCACCCATTTGTTGATTTGGGCCAAAGTACATTTTGTACAAGCTACGCCCTAATACAACTAGTGTGTCCCAAGTTTAGCTTTTTGTTGTCGTTGTTGCTGTTAAAATATTCAAAGACTAAACATTTTCTAGAGCTTACGTGGAGTAATTGTGTGGAGACATACAGCCACTGACCCAGAGACCCACACAAGAAACACGAACATCATAATCTAGAAAAGTATAATTGAAATAAAAGGAAAATCAGTTTTGTTACCCAGAAGTTTTTTTTTTTTTGGTTTTGCTTTGGGAATCGTACCCTTAAGCGGAAGTGAGGAGGGATGTACACTACTGTAGTAACATGTCTCTCTTCTTCAGGAGAAGCAGCAGCAGGATGTCCTGCCAATCTTTCTTCTTCTTCAATTGCTTCAAATGTAAAGGGATTCACAGGAACAATCATACGCCTCTCTGGGTGAACAGTCACTGTATCTTGGTTAGGCACCCGTGCAAACATGCCATCACGTTTGAATACAACATCAGCATCATCATCTTCAATAGAAACCTCGTTGAATATAGTATCATTAATCTGGGTCTCTTTTCTCAATATCCAAGCTTTGAATGTTCGTCGCACATGAACGCCCTCTTCCTCGGGATGACGTTCGTTAAACATAAATGACGAGAGGCGTAGAAAATGCGAAGCACTTCGCCACCAAAAGGACATCAGTTTCTTGGTGTATTCTCGCGGTTGAATATAGTTCATCAAAAGTGGCAATAAGAATTGGATTGCCAGAAGATCAACTGGAAGAGTAGATAGGGGTTTTCTAAAATTGAAAACTATGCTTAGTAAAAAGAAAAAGACAAACAGAAGCACGCTTTTCGTTCTTATTTTTTCTTAAAAAAACAATACCCAAAGTTCAATGAAAGAGGAAAAAGATTAGTGCAATAGCCAAGAACTGTAGTAACTGATCCAATTCCTATTATGATGAGGGTGGAATACATGGCTGCACTTGAGCTGAGTTTTCGTAGAAGCAAGGTAATAGGTCTTTCGATCATCTCCTGTACAGGGTGAAATTGAGGATCACTTGGGTCTCGAATGAACCACATTACGCCTGTCCGTACGACCTCTCTGCACAATGTGACAAATACTGCAAAGTTAAACATAAATCCAGTTCCAGCAAACCAATATAAAAACCAGCCAGAGTAAGGGTTTTTCTGAATAAAAGCCCAATGTGATGTTAAGGAACCATCAGAAAACAATGGAACGGTGGCAATGTCGATAAGAGCCCCACATATGATTGGAAATATGATTAATTCGAGTAGGATGAGGAAGAATACTTTGAGAAATATGCCTTGTTGCCAGATGATATCTTTGAGTGTGTTTCCATGAATTCTTCTTGCAGGAGCTGTAGGTCGTGTAAGATACCATGAGCCAGCAATTATCAATACAGAATAGCCAACTGTAACGCAGACTGAGCGGTCAGCCCAGGTTTGACCAATTGCAAATTGATGCCATCGTTTTAGAGCAAGGTACCCTAAATCTTCAACTTTTTTCTGCATAAGATCCGTCTGTTTGCCAAATGATATTGCTGTATCTAGTACATTGACTGTGTGATTCATCGAATTAATTTTTAATGCTGATTCTTGATGGTTTTGATGTTGTATAAACTGTAATATCTGGGCTGTGTATTCTGTTGTCCACAACAGTAATCTTTCAAGTGCTACGTCGAGTCGCTTTGTAATTACATGGTTCTTAAAGTAGCTGGCGTCAACTGTTGCATAAACTGAGAGTACCACACGATCCATGAAAAAATCCACAAATGGGTCTGTGAATAGTCTGAGAATATATATGGGCGTCTGGATAAAGCTTGTGGGGCGAATCTAATAGTCATAGTCATAAACCTACCCATACTCTTTTCCTCTTTCTGTTTAAAAACTTACCAAAATTACAATGCGTCCAGTCATGTAAGGAATCCATACGCATACACCCAGGAATATGCTAACCATCAATGACATTAATGCCGCATTCTGTACTAGCATCCAAGGGTTTCCACGCATTCCAATTGCTTCTAAAACGCCTTCAATGTCTTCGCCAAAATCAAATACATCTTCTTCTACTATTGGATTCTCTTCTTCTGTATCTCTGTCTGACTCGTCGTCTGAGGGTATTTCGTGGATTTGATTCTGAGAGTCTGAGTCTAGCATCAATGTCGGAGCTACTGGGGAAGCAGTGCGATTTCCACCATCTATTGCGCTTTCTGGCGAAGGAACGAATTCGGGTGCTCTCCATCGGGTATTTGCAGACTGACTATTTTCTCTTATTTCCAATCGATCATGCTCTCTTCTCCAGCTAGCTAGTAAGGGTTGTCGACTGCTAGATTCACCTGCATCGTCTTCGCTATATTCACTTGCTATGCGATGATCTAGATAGCCGTCGTATTCTATCGAAGAAGCTCTTTCCAGTCGTGATTTTCCTTTTCGATCAGATGATCCAGACGAAGATTTACGACTAGCAGATGATTCTTCTGACATTAAAAATTCATCTTCGCTGTGTATTTCACTATCTTCATATGGATTTGCTTCAGGAGACCATAGTGCCCTAGCAGAATTCTGTATATTTTCCAAAGAATTGTCTATACGAGACAAAAGACTGTCTGTGGATGAAGGTACAAAGGTGGCAGCGTCATCCCCTGATTCACTCTCATTATAATCTTCTTCATGGTCGTTTGTGTATTGTTCCTCAAAGTGCGAATGATCCCACAAAAGCTGTTGTTCTGAGGTATCATCATCCGAGCCACTTGAGCGACTCTGACGATGGTTGTCTTGGTGGCTGTTAGGATATCCTCGATTAGAATTTCTATGTATCCACTCATTTTCTCTTCTGAATTCTTCCAGAATGTGCCCTGCCTCTTGGTGTTGATTTATTTCTCTATCATGTTGACTTGCTTCTAGAAACTCATTTTGATACATATCAGCCAATTCGGCAGGTCCAGTGAAATGATTTATATTTTGGTCTACTGGATTCATTTGAATAAGGGGCGGTAATTCTGCCAATTCGTCTTCTGGCAAGAATTCGATATTTCTTTCTTCTGGTGTGTTTTGAATTACCCATTCTCTAAAAAGATATGCTGTCACGAATACGACAACGACGAAAAGAGTGACTATTTGGCCTTCAAAACAATCCTCCATAAACTCCCTAAAAAAGATTTACAAAACAATCAATATATATATATTCATATGCCTATTTGCGTAGGTGTATGCATGTGTGTTTGTTTGTACTTGTGTTTTTCTATTGGATATTTTGGTTGTTTAGTTGCATTTATAAATACCTTTGCGTGTACCCAAAAAATCCAAATGAACTTGTCTTTGGGTTATTTTGAGGACCGATTATTGGCAAGGAATCTGTAGTTGACTCATTTGGACTTGGTGAGACCAAGCCTTTCAAACTACTTGAAAAGTCAAATCTTGACCCGCTCCAAAAGCAAAAGCGCCACGCCAGAAGGGTTAGGCAAGGCACTACTACAAGCCAAACTAGAATCACAACAATTGCGCGGAGAAAGCCCCGGAGAAAGAAAGCAAGATGACGAATGGATTGTCGGCATATGATCCGTAAAGGCATCCGATCCGGCATGTCTTGTCTGTAGATTGGTGTGAAAACAAAATGATGCTCGCATAGTTCGCAGTATCTGAATGAACAATAATTAATGTAGGTATGGATTAGCTTTGTAATTAATAATATTACTAATTTGAAAGATGAATTCACGATTATGCAAAATCATTTTTTGAATCTCACTTTTTCTTGCTGTGTGAAAGCCATTCAAACAGGCTAAAGATGATGGGGATTCAATCAAACAAGTTCACTCTTAATATGCACATTTATGTGCATGGCTTAAACTGACCAGTCTTGATGGACAAAGCGAATGCTACCGGAGCACTTGCAAGGATGAAATAAAGGACGATTAGAGGTGGATTCACACCTACAAACTCTGCATATTTCTATTGTAGATTACAGCAGCAATTATTGAAATAAATAATGATTTTCTGATGCTCAATCTTCTAGCAAACTTGCCTTGGCTGTCTTCCATCGCTGATGAAAGACGTCCAAAGGTTAAATGTCTTGTTGAGTTCTAACCAATTACTACATATAACTCCCCTTTCCCTTTCTTATAACAAGTGCTTTCTTTTTTGTTCTGCAAATCCAGCTTGCTACGTCACAAAAGGATTGCGTGGTTTCACGTGTAAATAACTAGATATCTTGTTTAAACATTCACCAAAGTAATAAATACGTACACAGGCACACACACATACTAGCACTTACTTAAAGAAAGATAGAAAGAAGAAGAAATGATCGCTTTGAGATTTTGGGGTTTAAAGGTAATGCATATATAATTGGCTTTACTTGACTTGAAATTAAGTTTAATAAGATAATATTTAGTAATAACAATAATAATAGTAAAGAATTATACAGACATACATTGTAACTTTGGATGTAAGAGTAAATTTCTTGGAGTACAACTGTTAAAGATAAGTCACATACAAAGCATATCTGAAAAATAATAAATCTTTTTAATTTACCAGCAATTGATATACCTCACTATTTATTATTTTTATATTTCGCTACCTGTACACTTGATTAATGGGTGTTTAAGCTTTATTGGATTTAACGATATAATGTTGGAATATATTTGTCAATATGCATATAGCTATATATATATATATGTAAGCCTAATTTCCTTGATCAAAGTAATACCCCAAGCTATATATATATTTGTATTGAATGGGGAAGTAAGAAATTTATTTGTCTTTAATATAAGAAGGAGTTATGGGACACAAACTGATTTTGGTAAGAAGAAAAAGACAATTCTCAGGGACCAAGCTGACCTTTGTATCAACGTGTCTTGCCCATTAAAATCAATGTGTCACAGTGCAACCAAGGACAGTAAGAAGATGTTGGTATTCATTGTAAGAAATGGCAGAACTCGAAACACAGCCTTACGATTTTCTTGGCCAATGGAAATGCAGTATTTAACAATTAGTGTTACAATGATCTTCATGTACATCTGGGGATCATATCTTTATTAGGAAGTTACAAATACTCAAATTCATTAAAAAAGGCTCCATTGAAAAATAGAAGGATATCAGTTTAGTTAAAAAAAAAAACACTTTATATTTACTTTTGACAAAGGTATTTTAAGCCGTAGTATAATAACTGAATATCAGTATAAAGACATCGTGAATTCTGCCAAGTCATTTTTTTTACTACTAGAATTGCACTGTGATTTCATTTATGAGTGTTTGTACGTTACAGCATGCCTTATTAAGGCGTTTTGTTGTGTGGAATGTTACAGAAATGCTAAAGAAGCCAAATTAAATAATTAGATGTGTTATCACTCGAATTTATTATTTTTTGAGGTTAGAGGATTATACTTCGATATTTGTTAAATGTTTACAAAAAAAAACGCTAATCCTACGGGACCAACATTTTCTGGTGGGGCACGACGTTTATATTTAACCAGACTATGCTCTGAGTCAGGTGTCTTTCTCTAATCCTTCAGGACAAAATGATGTGTCCTGAAATTCATAAAATATATTCTATTAGTGGCTCTAAATCTAGACTTGGCCAATAAATAATAATAATTAGTCACAAATACACTATATCAATAGCCAGCTATGCAGAATATCATAAAGAGTTTTTGTCATTAAAGTGTGACGCAATATTGTTGTATATTCTACTCTTTATTGGGCTTCTTACGCGTAGAGTGTCTTTTCTTTTCTTTCGCATATATATTAACGGAAGATAATCTAAGGTTTGTTATTGAGAAAAGCCAAAGCCAGTACGAAAGCACCAAATAAAGTTCCCAAATAGTCGCGCCAGAAGCAAAGGCTGAGGATAAAAGATGTTGGAATTCTTTTTACCCTTTCCTCCAAAGATATAGAATAATCATGCAAAGGTCATTTCAGAATGGACATAACTTGTGGTCCATAAGATTCAAAATGTTGTCCCCCACTAGGAAACGTTGTCTGCTTAGGGTTGGTTTTCTTTTGAAACATTTAACAAACATATAAAAATATGACTCTCCAGCAAAAAAAAAAAGTAATCTTGAATGACAGTACGCCTAATTATTCAATTTGGTCTCTTTATCATGTCCTGTCAGCATCCCGCCAGCATATCCATAACGTCCCCCAAATTTTGACAGTATGAAGACGGAACTTTGGCGAAACGGTGATCAATACCTGTCAAATAACAGGCAGTCATGCAAATGACAAAAAAAAGACCTTGTTCATTGTGGATACTCTTCAGCTAAAGCTATTGGTCATGTTTAAAAAAGGCGGTACGGAGCAAAATTTCCTGGCTCATGAGCGTATTGTCAATTGTATCATCACATATAACGATACTTTCATGCCCATTTCGCCATTGAAGCGTTTTTTATGAATCGGACAAAGTTGCTTGTATGAAATCCGCGTCCACGACTGTTCCAGGTTTTGAGCGTGTCATTGCATCTTCACCTTACGCAAAGCTAACTCGGCAACGCCAATCGGTTGAGTTGTCTCCAGATGTTTGCAAAATGCTGAACAATGACCGGGAATTACGTCCACAAGTCAGGTATTTTACTGCAAAGGTGTTGTCTGGCGCCATAATTCACAACATTTTTAATAGTGAAGCTATCATGACCAATACTATAGAACCTTATGGAAGGACCAACTACGTCGATGCACACCGTGAAACATTTGGAAAAGAGAAAAATACTGCAATAACTACATCAATACCACCTCCTACTTACACCATGTACATCAATGTATGGCTCGTAAGTCTCCAACGTTCAGATGGCATTAAACTAGTGATTGGCCCCCAAGTTTCCAACATATTGATCACGTCAATTATATTCGCTTGGCTACAAAAATGAAGCCATGTATCGGTTCCAAGTGCATGACTTTTCAACTGACCACCACCGCTGATTCCATGAGCACAAGAATTTCTCTCAATTTGACCTGCTTGCAAGAAGTATTTACCACTCTAGCGTCGCCACAAACCTCATGCATATCCACATCCAACATCATCTACCAACTACGGCAGATTCGAAGCAATTTTAGCTCACCAAATGCATAAACACCGTCTCTCCTCCTGTCCCATCACCAAGTCACATACCTGCCACCCGTTCAGTGTATTTGCGCTGGCAGATTACGATTGTGGTAACAACCCTGGAGCCTACCTCTTTGGTGTCATTGGCGTTCTTGTGTTGAAACATGGCTAGAGGATACACTTACCTAGTAACAATATAGAGGAATGGGTTTTTCTGGAAAATGGCAGAATCAAGACCATATTTTTTTGACATACTTTATGCCAGTTTCCATCGAAAAAAGTGAACAAATAAAAAGAAACGACATTCAAAAGTGCCCTAACAATGATTGACCAGAACAATTTTTTCAGGGCAGTTTTCCAGTCTGATATTGAAAGAATATGTAATGGTTTTAAAGCTCACATAAGGCCAGGGATATATTTACTCGTTACCACGAAAACCATATTGATGATGGATTGAATGCAAGAAGAGTTTGTGGGAGGAATAAGAAAATACGTTAGTAACTGTGGGCTGTCAAACCCAAACACTGCATTGAGATGAGAAAAATGATCGAATAAATAAAAAACGAACCGACACCTTATGAACCAGCCACTTTTATGATAGGTTCTTTTAAGCACCTGTTGTTGCGATATCTATACCAAGATTTTTGACAAACCGTTTGAAGCCACACTTCCACCCTCACCCCTCATCCACCACCTTTGCTTGTTTTCACTGAATTTCCCGAGTTTTTTTTTTTTTTTTTTTTTTTTTGTTTTATAATCTTTCTTTGTTGAGACACTTACCAAAATATTTTGCAGGATGAAAGACAAAGCCTCTGAAACCACTTATATATAAGCTATCGCATGCCTCACTGATTCTTGTCATTGGTGATTTTTTTTCCAATAATTTATTTCGCTTTACTTTACTTTTGACAACTAGCCAGAATTACTCAATTGGATGCAGTTCAGGAGAATATGGAGGAAAATACACATGTCGATATCCTCTTGAGTGGATGTGCTTTCCTATATCAGTTGATCTATTGATAAGAACAGTATTCATGACAAGATAATGTCCCTTCATTTCTGAGTACTTGACCATTTCATCAAGAATCGCCTTTAAAAAGCTTAAATAATTCCCTGTCACTGTTTCGGTGCCGTAGTCCATCAGTCACACGCCCGAGTTTTCTCTTAAGCTAACATTAATTAAGCCGGTAGCAGATATTGCTCCTAACTTCGATGTCTTGTTCGCTTTAGCCGTAGGTACTGTGATTATCGTAGGATTATCTTTCTTTGACCGAGCTATATCTCGTTTCAAATTAATGGGAAAGGCTGACTCATTGAGAAAAACGCAATTTGTTGTGAAGTCCAAGTCAGTCTGTTCCCACTTTTGAGCCGAATTGTACCGTTGTTGATTTTTTTTCTTTGCTATTTTCTCCCAAAGGTTAGAACTGTGTCTATTTAATGGATAGATTACATCAAGCTGTCATATAATTATAAGCCGTGCTACGAGAAACATTAAGATATATAAAGTTATGTGTTAAGCTCTCTACTATTTCAGTTAAAACAGAAGAAGGATTCTCAGCAATTTAAAAGAAATTGGGTGTGGTCTTCCTCGAGAATACGACATTGACCTGACTATTTATTTTTCAAGAGCTATATATTAGCACATATATGCTTTAAAATATTGGGTGTTAAGAGAAAATAGACAAATTAGCGTAAGAAGGCTAAAGAGGTTGGTGTCATGATTTGACAGAATCTTAAATACTTTATTCAGTATTGATATGGGTCTGCAAAATAAGTACAATTTGAGCATCTCTTTTTGACCTGTATTCCATCCTCGGTGTGGCTAATATACACTATATATAATATCTTCCGAAATCTAACCGCTGAAGACGTTCTTAATGAACCTGCGTATTTGTGCAGAAATAAAAATAAAATACAAAAGTCTGACCGCTTTCCAAAGTTCTGATAAAAGCAAGCAAACAAGTAGCAATCACCACAACAATCAAAATAGCAAGAGATATAGCAATAACAATCCCGTCACTACCGAAAATAGTTTTTCTCTTTGAACCATTTAGACAATTACAGGTAGAATGTCTGAATAAATATCTACTTTGTCTGAAAACTAATTTCTCTTTGTCTAAATTTCATTCTCGTTTCGCCCACAAAAGGTAAGCATATTGTCTACGATTACATTTTGATTCGTCTAAATCATTTCCTAATTTGTCTCAATCTTAAGTAGAAACACTGTATTCTCATCATCGTAGGTACAAGCGTTGTTTAATATACGTTTCTGTTGTTACAATTTTTCAGATCTATCCGTTTCATGTTCTTATTAAGTATCCTTGTGGTCATTTATCGATGGATAAACGGTTGATTCCGGGTAGAAGTCGTTTCAATCAAGATACTATAGAATACTTTTGTCATTAAATATATCCTTTATTTTTGAAACAAATAAATAAATAAATATATATATATGTATACACTTACATAGAGAAGCGTTTCAATCTCAGCCAAAAATCAAGAAAAGGAAGAAAAAAATGAAAGTATTATTTTATATTTATATTATTAATCGAATCCAACATCAAATCAACATTATCATCAAGCAACACACACTTTTACAGTAATAGGACTAATATTTACAGAAAGATGTAAATTATGTACATGCATCTAGTAGATTTTTGAGAAACCAAAAGTATAGACGTTGACATTAATGTCTAATGTGAAAAGCATTAAGAAAGTAAAAGAAATCGGATTGTCTAAACCTAGATACTTTACTAGAAAATATTTAAATATAAATGAGAGGACAGAAAGTTTTCCAAAGCAAGTGTTAGTAGATGACTAATTCGCTTAACATGAGATGCTGAATTCCTCTTTTAGCAGATGTAAGTATTATTCTGTAAAGACACAAAAATTAGATGTTTTAAGAGGCTTGGGGTTGGTTAGTATATTCCAGTCTATGAGAAAGTTTTGACAGAGATACACAAAGAATTGCGGTCGCAATGAGATAATGAGTATATCAACTGGTCTGATGATGGGCAAGGATTACTGGCTATCTTAGCGTCCAACTATTATAGCCCCATAAAACATGTTTAGCAGGTATTGTGCGAAGCTGATACCAAGTAATTATTGATACCAGAGAAGGGAATACTCAATATTATGCTTATACCTTTTTTTTTGCTGTGTTTTATTAATATATGTATATCATCTCATTTTTTGAAGCTATAGGAGCCTAAACATAACCACTGATGAACAGTTGAATAATAAAGAAATGCTTTATCTTCTATCATGAACTATTATTATTTTTCAATTTAAAAGGATGAAATATATATATATTTGGCATGTTTATATGTATGGACTAAACATGACATTGGATGAGCATTTTATGCGTCGTCTTCCTGGTTATCTTTTATAATAATTTATGAATAAAAGTCGGTACGGTTAGATTACCATTACGAGAATGATATTGAAAGAAGGTGGAACCAAAATGATCACTGCAACATGTTGATTATAGCAGACATGCGTTTGGACATTGGGCCAATCAATATCGAACCAGAAAAAACATATCAGAATCTTTTTTGGATAAAGCGTCTATCCACAGGGTACGAGCAATATTTGCGGATGAAGACATTTCTCAGGCACAATGTATTCCCGTGCTGCCCCAGTTAAATCAAGTGCATTACAAATTCCATCGTCTATCAACCCATACAATGTACCGTTCATTATCACCATTTTTATTCTTTATCAGACGACAGGTATCATCTATTCGAACCCTTTCTTGGGATGTATCGCGTCTATCAGCACTGCTTATGAGAAAAATGGGATTTTCTTTATTTCCCATACTACCTGCAAAAGCCATCACATCTAGCCAAAAGGCAAACCCAAAAATGACTGGTATTCAAGACAATATAACAGTGGAGAATCCCCTCTATTCCAAAAAATATTAAATAAATTAAAAAGTCAATATACTAGTAATAAAGATAGCTTACTATTCTCCCACTATTAATGATGATCTCTTGAGAGAGAGAGAGAGAGAGAGAGAGAGAGAGAGAGAGAGAGAGAGGGATATTGATATATTTTTATCGGACGTTGGCTTTTGAAAATCTTTCTAATTCATGTACAGTAGATATCCTTTTATTTTTGAAACAAGTAAACACATATTATGTATGTGTATATATTTATACATTTAAAAAAAAACTTCTTTGATAATAGTAATAATAAAAGCTCATGTACCAGCAAGTATATAAAAAGGCCGATCTGGCAAGATAATGGTCCGATAAATTTGAAATAACCAGGCCTGCAAATAAACTATACTGAAACTGATGTTTTTTATGACTAAATAGTCGTGTCTCTTTCGATTGTACTTGGGTATTCGAGATAATACTTCCGTGGGTGAGTGTGAGGGAGTGCGTGTGTGTCTATCGTAGTTTCAACCAGTGCTTTAATAGTCGTCCTGCCATGCAAGTTTTCTTCTTTTTTTGTGATATGTTTTTTTAAAAGACAGAGCCATGTGTGTGTGTTGTATTGTGACGATGATCAGACTAAAAAAGAGGGGCTCAAATCCCGCCTCTATTTGTACTCTCGTTGGTTTTATTCCTTCTTCATCCTTTTATTCCATTCCTTTTTTTCTTGTCTTCTTGAACTTTAACTTCTCTGACTATGCCTCATATCGACGAGAATGGTCAGCTAAGAATCAGGCGTCAGCAACCAAGACAACCTCCGCCAAGCATAAATACACTTCAAAGCACATCTTCCAGCAACAGCAGTGGCCATGCGCCTACAATTTACTCCAACGATATATCTACCCTAACCAACATGACAAACGATCTATCGCTAGAAAATCAGAACGCAATCGGGGATTACGATGAAGACCAATTTGGCATTATTGACAGCCTAGACTACGACGATATTGATGATGGTTTGATCGGTATGTTGTACCAGCCATGTTGTGCACAAATACGTTTATTAAGTTCAATAAGAATAAATCCCTAAAAACATCGTTGTGCCACAGACCACGAAATGATTCACCGACAACGAGAGGCTCTTATTCATCAACTCTATACCTCTGAACAAGCCTACCTTGAATCACTCGAGCTTGTCTTGAGTGCGTTTCTGAACCCCCTTCGAAAGAATTCAAAGCAATCTTCATTTAACTTTCTTGGAATGAAAAAGCTTGTTTGCACAGATCGTGAGCTAAAATGGCTTTTTGGAAATTTCGATGAAATACTTGAAATTCACCGTGAGATACTTGCAAGTCTTGAACAACGGTACATATTATTATTTTTAATTGATCCTTTATAAAGTATGATTATATTAACAGTCTGTTATAGTCTTAGTATCTGGGGTCCCACCCAGATCATGTCCGATGTTTTCCAAACCTGGGCAAGTGAAAATGAATTGCGCTTTTGGGACAAAAGCAGTATTTATTCATATTTTTTTTTACAAAATATAGTTTAGGTCTCTGGGAGTCTACCACTCATATTTAGATAATTATGGATTTGCTGTTACAACCTACGAACGACTCACTCGCTACCAGCCTTTCAAGAAGTTTATTGATGTATGTTTAATTACAATTTATAAGCTCAACTGAAATTAATTTTTAAATAGGCAGCGCACAAAGACCCAATCCTCAGAGGGGCCACATTATTGTCTCTACTTCAAATTCCAGCAGGCTGTGTCAACAGATATGCCCAATTAATGTGTCAACTTGCTGATGGCACCTCACCCATGCACCCGGATTATGTTGGTCTGATGCAGTGTAAAAAGCAAATTCTTGTAATTGCAGACGAGATCAGACCAAAGTATGCACATAATAATAATAGTGATATGGACTGTTGATATTAATTTTGTGGGTGTAGGGTTGAAGATGCCGATAATGTGGACCAAGTGCTTATGATTCAACAGGCTCTTGTCGGTGCACCTTTTGGTGTGAAGGCTCAACGGAGGCTCGTGCTACAGGGCCAACTGTCGCGCGTTGTGATCAATTCAAGATCCACAGGGGAGGAACGCACCTACCTTTTATTCTCAGACATTCTCGTATTTGTACGACCTAAACAAGACCAGAACAAGACTCTTTTGCAATACAAAGGGCACTTGAATCTCGAGCGAGCTCGCATTCGGGCTCTTTCGGTAGACGAAGCGGGTGGCCAAGAGTTTTGCATTGAAATTACCTCGTCGTTTGAGGGAGTCGATACCTTGAATACGACTTACATGGGATCACCTACTGTTCATGTATTACACACCCAGAGTTTCGAGGAACAGACTGAATGGCTTAAGCGCCTGGAGATTGTGATTAAGAAGCTCGATCGGGAGGCAACAGCAGTAAGAGGTAAATTGATGATACTAATAATAAGCATAATAGTCTTTATTGACGATCAGCTTATCAATTTATTTATTTTTAATATTTAATATATAATAATAATAAAAACTTTTTTATATACATATATACGCTTGTAGTCGCTGCAAGCAAAAGACTTGCCAATAGCAGATCACCCCCCGATTCATTAAAGCGACAGGGAACGACGATCTCAAGCTCCTCATCTAAATTGTCTACCGGAAGCACTGGTAGTGTTCACAGCAGCAATGGTTCTAATGGACGGTCCTCAAAACAGTAACAGCTACACCTTTACATTCCTTTATTTTCTCAGCCTTTTAAAAGACCTTTCTTTATTTTCATATTAAGAAACAAAACTCTAGAAGAATCTTGTCCTGATCTGATTCTACACTCTTTATGCCAAAAAGAAGCAAATGACCACCAGGCTGTGGTTATTTATATTCTCTATAATCCTTTACTATGCCTTCCCTTCCTTCCCTTCTATTTCCTTTCCTTTACCTTACTTTACTTTCTATACACGCATTATACTATATACACTGTACAACTCTTGAAGTTTACAAGATTTAAATAGATATTCAAATAATTTATATAAAAAGTTCTATTAAACTTGTTCTCCACATGACATTTTTCCAGCCAGAATATATATGTATGGATCTTATTCAACTAAAAAAAAACAGTAAAAGATCAAACTGATTAGCTTATTCCACTCCGGTACTTGACTTAATATTAGTCAGGATAGGAATTTAATCCTAATTGTTGGCAGAAAATATTATTGTTTCCATTCCTTTATTTATTTTTTCAAAAAAAAAAAGATAAAAACTATTAAAAGGAAAACGGCCGAATTCCGTGAATTATTCCGGTTCTCGTAAGATGAACTTGAGAAAACAAGATGGCGGAAAAACAGAGTTTGAAGATCCTAACAGCACAAAATCTTGAAGATGAAACATGAAGCTTGTATTCCCCGCCTACTACGGTTATCACTATAGCAATACAAATACACATACCCACACTAAAAGGCTTGGTTGAATCTGATAAAAGAGAGTAAAATCCTTCTAGCCAAAGACAATTATAGAAGTCTATTATTTAAATAAACGGCTATTCAAAAAGAAAGACTAGCTATTCATGCGGACAACAGTTGTACAAGTATACTCTTGATATATTGCTCAAAAGAAGTAGACAATTTTCAAGTGGAGCAAGTATACGTGTATACAAAAAGAAGAAGAAGCTTGCCATTGAATTCCTTGTTATTTTTGGTAAAGGGAAATATATGGCGATAGTCAAATAGAAGGAAATTATATAGTTTTATATAATATATATATAGTGTATACCTATGTCGGTAAAGAAAAATCTTTCTGATGTTGTACAACAAGATACTCTGAAAGTAGCTTTTTTTTTATTGGAGCTTGTTTAATCAATGTTAATCCTGACTAGCACTATAGGGAATGGCAGAATTTATAACACCGTTTTTACATCTTTCGCTCAAAAGTCACCTTTTTTTCTATAGTGTAGTTATGGCTTTCGAACCTATCAAATTTATTAGCTTTTACTTTCAACACAGACCATCGTTTTATAGTCTTGTTCTAAAATGAATTTTATAGCTATTAGTATTAGCTTATAGAAAAGGAACTATAATTCTATTTTTGCTATTTTCACATTTCATATATTATCCGCAAGAGTATACATATAGAAATTGTAAAATAGCGGCTGTTTGTAAGCGATTGGTAAGCGAAATACATCACTAACCACTACAAAAAAAAATACTTTACTGAGCCAGCTCCTTAATAAATCGAAATAAACACACACAAGCATACACCCACACCCACACCCATATATATATATATTCCATCAATAGGTAAGATAATAATTAATAACATCTCTATATGGATCAGCCTTATTACGATTAGTCTACTTACATATTCTAAAGGTATATTCCGTGATATAAGTGAAGATTCCAAAGCAAGACAGTCGGTATTCTTCTTCTTTTACCTACCACTCTCAAGGAACAAAGGAAGTGCCGTCAGCTGAACGACTTGATATGCCAATCTGCCCTTCAGGCTAAAGATTGTTGTGATTAACCAGCTTAATACATAATAACTTGAAAATAATATGCTCTTTAATATGTATCTCCACCGTTAAAAGTCTGATACATATTATGCAGATGTTCCATTCCTTGTTTCAAATACGAAAATTTACATCCTCTTTAATATTATTGGTATAAGATGTAATGACCTGTGGAAGCCTTTAACTCAACTGCTTTTTATTTTGAACGTTAAAAAGCAAAAATAATGTATATGCTTTTCAGATTTTTTTCAGATATTTCTTTCTTAATGAATTTAAATGTGATTATAGAGAAATGAATAGGACACGGCCAGTTTATTTTAGAAAAAAGTCGCTACACACAATGTAGATACAGACAAGACACAATAAGGAGCTGTAAAGTTTGAGTGTATTTGGTAGGATGTCCTTTCTTTTTCTATTGTGCAACACTACCCCCTAATTTTATGCTAAAAAGAAACCTCCCTGTCCCCTAAGAGTTCTGTTCCCACAGGCTTTTAGGACCACTTTATGTCTACCTTGCCACTGAAATATTCTGCATATACTACACTGTGGCCCGAGTTATTTAACAACCCTTGGTATTTTGCCTTCGAAACATTTCTAGATCCTGATGCACAATTACTATGAGTGTGTATTCTTATTCTTTCTTATTCTTTGGCTATGTTCGAGAAAAAAATAATCTAAAGGATGTTGTTTCTGTCCCTTTCTGTTGTAAGTGCCCCCAAGGGTTATCATCTGTTTTTTTTTTTCAAGAATTGCCCCTTGACTTTTTCTCGGCTTAAGATTTTTGTTTAATCGGGAGAAATCTCTCTGGAAATATCGCACGCTTTTTTTGTCTTTTAGTTTTCAAGATTCACCAAGAAACCAAAGCACAATAAAGGTTTGTGCATATATTCTCTCAGTATATATATATAGTACTAAAAAAAAAGAGCAATATTTAGAATACAATCGGGAGAGAGAGATATACAGCAAGGTGATTAAGGACATGCGATGAACTGTAGAAGAGCAAATGTATCAAATGTGTGAATATTATATCCTTATATCGGTTATTGAAAGCTCCAAACCATGAGAAATTCATAAAAATATAATGCTAGTTTGCATTATCTACTTTAGACCAAGAGCAAGTATCTTTACCAGATACAGATATAACTTTGGTATACTTAAATTACAAATTCCAAAGAATAACTGTATGTATCTGTGTCACATTTATTATACAAAACTTCAAAAAGATATGTGATAATCTGCTCCTTTTTAGACAGGGGGATTAATAGTTTACTTTTAAATCAACAATTGTTTTTTTTGCAAGGTAAATATGTTTTGATGAGTATAATCTTGCGATCCCTAGTCGAATAAAATGACTACAAACCATTAAAGAATATCTTTATAATCTACAACGAGTATTTTTAATAACCCTATCTACCCATTTTATATTAAGGCTTATCAATAAGCCACAATATATATAAAACGAAAGCAAACTAAATTGGATGTACCACGCCATTTGGTTGCTTAAATAAACTATTAAAGATAGTCTGTATAATTGATTGTTACCGCATGTACTTGTACACTTGTGAGCACAATTTATACAGATTATCATAGGTAACAGACCAGGTAGCCAGCCGTTTTAACATATGTCTTTAACAATAAAGGACAAAAACTAAAAGGAAAAATAAGGGCATTAAGGATACCTTAGCAACCAATAACAGTCAATATCTTAGAGAGTTGTGCTGAATAAGCAAATTTTTTTCTATCGTGCTCAAAAATGATTCGCAAACCGGAGTTAATAAAACGATTTCATGTGACGTAGGTCTTTGACAACCAAGCAAAACAAAAAAAAATAGGAAAACTAGAGAGAAATCTTTGCGATTTATAGTACAGATATACAGCCACTCTCGCTAGAGGAAAAAGGAAAAAAAAATGTACGTAGTCTTCAAACAGACCCCCCCCTCCTCCGTTTTGGAAGCTAGTTAATAGGAAAAAAGAGACCTTTTCCTTGTTATACTAGTATTAGAATACAGTGGTTAGTTTGTGTTTGATCATCTTTTGCTCATCTGTTGCAATCAGTATAAAGTTCCAACATTCACAAGAGCATGACAAATCAGATGGTCTCCCGATTCCGAGTAAAAAAACTTTCACCAAAGCACCCCCTTCCAGTATTCAAAGAAAGCCAACTTCCAGACCTCACAGAGGCCGCTAGTCTACAGCGTTCAGTACCTCAAATAGAGACTGGCGTCGAGAAAGAAGAGGAGGAGGAGGTACGACAATATTTAGTCTTCCTTCAAAGCCTTGTATTTTTTTTGGGGGGTTGCATGGGCCCGGAGTTAATTGGGCTTACAATACAACAATTACATGAAAAATTTCAATATTCAACAATTACAAAAAAAAACAATTTTACTTACCACAAAATCTTTACCATTCTTCATCTATATTCTGTTATCGTACTGTTTTTTTCTTACTACATGACAAATTCTACAATAGCATGATCTTCAGGCTGCCATTTCGGCTGCTCAAGCTGCCGTAACAACAGGTGCAAAGGTTGAAAGTTATATCCCAACTCCGGATGCCTCAAGAGTCATCCCGGACGAGGAGTACTATTCTCTTTACAAAAAAAAATACAAAGAACCATCTACACTTATTCGGTTCTCTTCTACTGTTGAAGATGTCACTGGTTGCCCTTATATGATGGACGAACAAGATGACGAGTTCCTTCAACGCTATAATGCCAACAAAGCAAATGAAACTCTTACACCAGATGCCTTTGAAGAAATTATGTGGCAGTTTGAGTCCGTGACAAATCATCAGCTACCTCATCTCAATCTTGTAAGTTACTATATAATCTATTTACAGCAACTGGTCCTGATGATAGCCATTCTTTCCTATCAGGATCCATCGCACATCCCAGAATATGCGGAATTCATGACAATGATTCCTGAAAATTCCAAGTTACGTGGACGGCCAAGCCTAGAAACGGTTTATCAGCATTGGAGACAGCGCCGTTTTAAGCGCCAAGGAAAATCAGTTGTACCAGAACTCAAGTCAGAAGACACATTAAGGAGCGAAATTGATCCATATGTGTGCTTCCGTCGGCGAGAGACGAAGCCTGTTCGAAAAACAAGACGAACGGACCAGCAATCGCTGGACCGCCTGCGGAAACTGCGTACAGAAATGGAGATGTCCAGAAATTTGCTCGAAATGGTCCTGCGAAGAGAGAAGATCCGTAAAGAGGGACTTGTCTTGGAGCACACCGTATTTGACAAAAAGTGCAAACTCAGAGAGTATCAGCGTGCACTTGGAATCAAGGAAGACGAGGATCTTTTGCCAGCTCCTAAGAAAAAGAGAAAAACTTCGCTTGAGATTGGATCATCTGGGTTAGTTTTTTTTAATACAAGCAAATGTTTCAACTCTAACCTATTTTTTTTCAGTGCGACTATCAAGATTCCACTCAATAAACTCAAGAGAGATGGCCTTGATGGACGGCAAGATAAGACTCCTATGCAGATTGCCTTGGAAGCTGAGTTGGCCCGCAAGAGAGAGCAAGATGCGCCATACGAAGATTTTACAGAAGTATGCTATAAACAATCATCCGAAAACATCTATTTTTTTTATTAATATTTTTCTTAATTTTGCAGTGCCCTTATCAGCCGTTTCCTTTACCAGTTCCTCACCAATTCTTTTGCTCCTTACCTTCAAGAGGCCCAAGATACAGAAAGCGTGTTGGTCGTGGTGGCCGAATATTTCTGGACCGGACTGGATACAAGCGAAACCCATCTCATTCAATGGGTGGGAAAACAAAGCCTGGATTTCAGCAAGAGTTGTATGATCCTTATCGTTTTGAATCTGATTCCAGTGACGATGAGTTCAAAGTGGACGAGATGCAGGATAGGTACGTTTAGACATTGAAAAGAAGAAAGAAAAAAAAAGAAAAAGAGAAAGAGAAGGGCCAGACTGGTTCTAACCCCCCACGGCTAAATTAGCTTTCTGAGGCATCGCGCACAGCTTCTCACAGAGGTCGAACTCCGCAGCCTTGTCACAATACCGTTTTTGACCCCATTGAATATGATGAATCTTCATGCTGCAACAATGCGGGCCAACCAGGCTGCTGCTGCTGCTGCTGCTGCTCAGAGAGCTGCATTTATGGCCAATGGGGCAGCTGCAAATAATAGACCTAATGTTCCCAACGGCACCGTTACTGCGCCCGTATCATCAGTGTCCAATTTATCTTCTCTTCCACTCAAACGCCAAAACAGCAGGACAAAGATGACTCCACAGCAGGCAGCTGTAGCAATGGCTAATGGCATGATAGCAGCAAATATGGCCGCTGTAGTTAATGGTTCTACCGGCCAAAACAAAGCAATGCAAATGGCCATGGCCGCCGCACAGCAGCAACAACACCAACAACATCAGCAACACCAACAACACCAGCAACATCAGCAGCACCAACAACACCAGCAACATCAGCAGCACCAACAACACCAGCAACACCAGCAGCACCAACAACACCAACAACATCAGCAACACCAACAACACCAGCAGCATCAACAACATCAACAACAACAAAGTCCAGTGGGCATAAATGGAATGATGGGTACTTCTTCATTACCAGCTTCACATTCCGCCACACCCACTCCACCTTCGATTCCTTCCTCCTCTTCATTCTTACGTTAACAAAAAATCAACCAAGACTCTAAGGTTATCACATATCTTTTCTAAAATCAATGAAAAGACAGCGACCATTTCGCCTTGACAATTTCTTTCTATCTATCCAACTACACCTTGGTCTAAATCAATATCCCTTTCTCTCTCTCCCCCCTCTCTATTTTACACTTACACTCCTCCCTTTTCCTAACCTCTTTGTTTCACACTTCCATCCAGTTATTCTCTTATATTTCTTATTTAGGCTTTTTTTTTTAAAAAGAAAAATTGCTATGTACAGTCTCTTTTTGTTGTTTAGTTTTTTTTCATATTTACGCTCTTCCGTTTTTTTTATTACTATTATTATTATTTTCTCTTAAAGCACGAGCTTATTCTGATTCTTTTTCAGGCTCATTTCTCTTCTAATTCTCACGTTCATTGTAAAGATTTGTATTGGAACATTCTACTTTTGTAGTTACCAAAGTTAACATGTAACAACCTCAATTAAACACATTTACACATAAAAATAAAAAAAAGTTTAAGAACAATCGAATTGGGGTTTATTGAATATATGTATATAAATTGAACTTTAACAAATTGTCTAAATAACAATAATGCATTTTATATAGAAAATTGTTGCCTCTATAGTACAATAGATCTGATACAGGTTGATCAAGTCTGGAAAGTCATGGTACTAGGAATAGGAGCCACGAAAACGGTGTTGGACAAAGTACCGCTGACCGAGAATACAATAGCCATGCTCTGTTTTTCGGTATTATTGATCTGGATCGAGACCAAACTACCAGTCTGCTGGAATACACCATTCTCAACCTCTGTGATGTTAAGACCTGGGGATATATTGAACTTGACGACAATATTGGATCCGAATGGCATAGTGTTAAGACGACGAGCATTGATAACAAACGTGAAATTGCTTGTATTGGAAGATGCCACCGAAACTTGGGCAGAGACCTGACCAGATGTGTAAGGCTTGGGAACAGAAACACCAGATGATCCTGAAGGATTTCCTTTGATTCCAATAGCATTTGAGCAGGTACTAGTACCCGTAGCAGCACCACAGTACACCGAAGAAGAATCGGTGGTCGCGAAACATTGGGTATTTGGAGGACAGTTTTGTACAGACCATTTTCCATTGGAGCAGAGACCATAGCCCGAGCCACTGCATGTAAGTTGTCCAGTAGTAGAGCAAGATTGTCCATTGGTTACACATGTTCCAGTAAGAGGTCCAGTAGCCGGTGGAGAAGGAGAGCTTGTTGGGGCTGTAGAGGCAGACTGTGTGTTTGTAGGTGTTGTTGTGGGAACGGGGATAGTGGTTGGGCTATTACCTCCAGGAGATGTTACAGAAGTACCATGAACGAGCTGAGCAAGAGCATGAGCAAAATCAGGAGAAACCTCGGTGTTGCTGTATGATTGAGAAGCATCTAAAATAAAGAGAAGACAACATTAAAACCCATAATATCCAAAATAATGAATATATGCTTCAGAATTACCCCACACACTGACACCGCCATAGCTAGAGTACTGAGAGGCCACTGACTTGACAATAGAGCTCAATTGAACAAAGGGTACATATCCACTGCCAGCAGCACTAGGAGATCCGGGGACGGTTAAGAATATCTGAACATTCTTGTTTGGAGAGGTAGACTTTGCCCAGGCATCCCAAGCATTAAAGTTAAAATTAGAGCTCGTGGGGGAGCAATAGTTATTGTAGAACTGAACATTGATAACATCAAACCCAACTGCGTTGATTACAGATCCTAACATTGCATCAGGAAAAGGACATTGAGGAGCTGCAGTAATCATGTAAGTCTTTGAGGAGTCCGAGTTAAACAGCGTTCGAAGGCTAGTCACAAGTGTCTAGTAACTAAGTGATGAGTGACTTGTACGCTGAAGCATGTCCAAATTTAACAATGTATGAATGTATGAATATATGTATATACTAGATACTTACAGCATATCCAGTAGATCCTCCTCCTTCAATGTCAAGATCAAATCCATCTAAAACAGCATCTTGAAATGGCCTATTAGAGGCAGTTCCTTTGCCAAAGAGATTCCAGAGTGTTTGTGCAAACGCAGTGCCTTGATCATCGCTTTGGAAGCCGTAAGCACCTGAAGCACCTCCAAGAGACAAAAGAATCTTGACACCTTTGCTTTGGCATGTCTTGATATCTGGATTGAATAAAATCGACGAATTTATATCTGTAACTTATACTTGATTTACTTACTAGTAAAAAAAACTCACCAGCAGAAACTTGAGGACAGTTTAGCTGCTGAGTTCCTGGATAAAACTCAGTACAAGCATTGGCAAGATTGAGAACAGGTAGTCCACCAAGATTGAATTGGTAAAGAAAAGACATGATTATAACATCGGCCGACCCATCACAATAGCTGGCTAATGGTTTTTGAGTGGAAGCTCCATTGGCTGAATTCTATGTATGAACGGATTCATAAAAGTATTGATTAAAGCAAGTCAAATTGGGAGGTTCCCTTTCTTTAAGATGATACCTGGCCCCAATATTGCATAACAAGAGAGCCGGCGAGAGCTTGATTGGCAAGAATTGTAATAGCACCAAAGATTGATAATGCTTGACGAGAGGGAATCATTGCTACTGAGATGGATGAAAGTATCAGGAAAAGGTTGGTGTTGCTTAGCGACGAAATTAGTGCCCTTTTATATTTCTCTTCTGCTCCACTAGAAACAGTGACAGCCTCTGTTTATTAATGTTTCTGCTTACAATTTGATAGGCTTTCTTATGTATGTTACACTTGGGAAGTAGCCATGAAGAGTTATGCTTTACAGCGCAACTGAGATATAATTAAATAAACAAAATCACGCTTCTCTGGGGAAGTGATATTGTACTACATCTTTAAATTTGCGATTAATATATAATATATTATAGCTGATATTTATATTTTCGAGAAATAGATAGAGAGCGTATATATATCTTTAAAAGAATTAGTATATACAGTGTGGGATGAGATTCTTGTGCAATACATTATTAAAGATGTTGTGTAATGACAAAGATGTATAAACGAGGAAATATTAATGCTAATGAGAATTCTATTGATATAGAAATTAATTGATGAAATTTGAATTGCATACTATACAAATGCTGGGACCAAATTCCAGTGGATTGAATTCTGAGTATGTTAAAGATAGGTCCAAGTCAATAGTTTGCCAATGTAGAATAATAGGAACTTTCAAAGTTGTAAACTTTACGATTTTCCCGTGATATAAAATCACCATTTCTTTTGCGTGTTTGTTTGTTTTTGTTTCTGTTTTGCAATATTACTCTGACTAAAACGTGGGATTGTATTATCTATCTCATTTAAAAACAAACAGTAAATAACAGGGAAACATAATAAAGGAGAAACCTTATTACACTTAATACATATTTTGAAATCCAAGTTTCATTTCAACTTCTATCAAGACAAAATTATAAGGTAAAGATCCAAGTATTTGCACAATGATTATTAAGCCTAGATTTATTAAAGTCTACAGCTTGAGTAATCAAAACTACAAGTTGGTTAATATCATTGGCACCAGAATTCAATTGATCGTCTTGTATAATTACTAGCCAGCATTTGTTTTAGAAAATATTATGATAAATCTTTAGACTGCATAATGATGAAATTGTTTTTTTTTATTGCAAACATCGGAAGATCCTCTTGGCTCGTGAAGACTAGGTAATATTTCATTATTTTAGTATATAGTAGATCAAACCAAGCGTTTCAGACAAGTTCCTCGGAATCAATAGTACTTCTCTGATATTGTATATTGCTTATATACATATGACTAGTATATTTGATATCTAATTAAATAAATAAATAAATATTTTTTGTCTTTTTGCAATAACATATCAATCAATTAAGCATTTAATTAATTAACAAAACCATTAATTAATCAATGAATTAATAGTATTAATTTCTACTGAAAAGCAATAATGATTACCTTTGAGAAAAGAAAAATAAAAGGGAATTATAATGAAAATTATATAGTGTTATCCAACAACTCAAAGACAAACAGTGTGTCTCTTTTTCTTCGATCTCTCTAAAATAACTTTATTCAGGAACCAACGTTGTAATATTTCTCACGCGATTTATTGCGTTTAAGCAATACATAAATAAATAACAACCTTATCAAATCAACAGAATATTCCATACTAGTATTATATTGATAACCGAACTTGGCTACCAGTGTAAGGAAATGTGGCTACAAGAGAAATTACACACTGTTTTTGGCACTAAATATACAAGTGCTACAGATTCCTAATCTAATAAATTGATATTGTTGAATCCTACTGTAATTGTGAATCTAAAATAAGCAAGTAATATTATTACTGTGTGAAACAAATATTAAATTGTCTATTGATGGGAAAAAATCTAATTTCTTATCATGGGGTTCTTGGAGAAATATAGTTCTTTTACAAAGTTAAGTAATAATGACCCTGTAAGAATCACAAGGGTCCTTTGAATAATCTCATGTAGTATCTCGTTAATGGTCATCCAAGGGTGCTTAGATAATCAGATGTTATTATAATATTTGTTTAAAAAGACTTGGTGCATATTTATGATAGCAGTGGTCAGCAGAAAGATATGTGTGTATGTCTAATGCCAAACATAATAATTGTTTTGAATGTGATATTAAAGACATCACTGGATGGGTGTAACATTTAGCTGCTGCTATGTTTACTGTTTTTCTATCCATTAAAGCAAGCCTTTTGTAACAGAAAGATAAGCAGCATTTTACAATTTAACAAAGAGCATTTTAACTACAGTACGAAAAAAAATGTGTATTTAGAGGTGTATTTTGCAAAAATCTCCTTTTTTATTATAGTGTATGTCAATAAGCAAGATATAAGCATGTATTTGAATATATTTCTTATGAAAATAAACAGGTGGCCAGAGATACATATATGAAAATGTTTTTACTAAAAGTAAACATGATTTTGTCTAGTATAATAATAATTTAAATAAAATGCTATACATCATTACTTATAGTGCATTGATTTCAGCTAGGTTTAGAAAGCCAGTGTCCAAATAAGGAGGCTTGTTATTGGCTTGTTGTTGTATTGACTACACTAAGATTTAGTTGTCATGCCTGTACCTTTTTTCCCCTTCTACTCATAATAACATACTCTTTGTCTATCTTTTTTATACATGCATTTCATTCCACTTAAGCAATTAGATCCTGTAAACATTCGATCTAGAATACTCCCAATCAAATGTTGTGGCTGTGTTGGTATACGAAGAGGAGGCGCTTTAGGATGCGTTGTATGGGCTGTACGTTTATCATATTCCACGCAAAATAAATCAACGTATATATCTAAGTAGTTTTAAAGGATGTTGTTTTATTGATATGTTAAATCATATAGTTATTGAGCTTCTATTTTGCTGCTCTTGGCTTTATGGGAAGAAGTCGTGAGTATAACTTTCTATGTATTTAAAAGCCTACTAAATTTTATTTTTCATTTTAGCATTCTTCTCTCATCTTGAAAGAGCACCGTTGGTCATATACGGAGTGCTTAATCTTGCTTTTGGAATCGCAAGTCTATTGGGCTTATTCTTCATTGGCTACATGGCAAGTCCCCCAAAATATACAAATACATCTGTCTGTAAATATTGACTTCTATTGGGTAGACTATCTTTACTAGAGTGAAGCTTCTTTCCCGTATCCTGTGGTTATTCGCAACCCTAGTCATAGGCGATACCTTGATTAATTTCATACTGTTTGTTGTCAACAAATCAAAATTCGAATCCTGGTGTATTGAAACTTCAATTAGCAGACTTGAACAGAACCCTGTTGTACCCAATCCCACACAAACCCTTGATATAGGAAATGTTGATTATTACAATTGTCAAAGGCTTTACATAGATGAAGTCAAATGGTCACTTCTAGCTGCTCTTGTAATGTGCATGGTATATGTAAGTAAGCTTCTACAAATTTACCCCTTACTTATATATTTGTAGATTCATTGGGCTCTGGTAATAACTGCATTCGTTCATGACTCCTTTATTATCGTCGCTCCTCGCATTACAGGTGTACCAAAAACAAACATTCAACTATCTTCACCTGTTACCGACCAATCTTCTACTGATACCATAGTACACGTGGACGATAATGTCAATATAGGCTCTTGTTTGGTTCAGAATATTTCAGACAAAGTTCTACATACCATCTCACCCCTTTACGTCCCTCAAAGAAGAACGTCAATACATACTTTCACTGCAAAACAAGGAAATAACAACAAACCATCCGATGATCTCGAGTATGAGGGTATCTCTTCATCCCCCCCTTACGGTAAACCTGCAAGATTTGTAGACACGGATCCTGTCTCCAATAGTAACTTGCAGCAGACGTCTTTCATAACAGGCCAATCAAGATCAAGGCGCGATAAGGCGACCGTGTTTTACTAGGAAGTCTGCAGTTTGCAGCCCACTGTATACTTAACCAACTGGCGAACACACAATATATCTAGTTGATTTTTAGACTTTATTTTATTTTATAACAAAGAGAACATCTTTACTGGGTAGACCAGAGAGCAGAAAAACAAGATACAATTATTATTAATAATCATTTATTTATTTTAAAGAAAAAAAAAGAAGAAACTTATAAAATCTATGTTTCTATTTTCTATGTCATAATTTGATCATATTTTCTTTCGCTGGCCATTCCCATCATATAATATCCTTGTTGAGTTCACATTTTCTAAGCCTGTTCAACTTGTATAATTACAAGTCTTTCTAGTTACTATACTTATTTTATCTTTTCCTTCCATTCTTGACTCAGGTTATTGGAATTACGCCAAATATCTGCTGGACAAAGACTTTCTTAATCAGATAGTTGGCACTTACTCATTTACAAAGACACGGCCAAAGCCTCACCAACTTAATAAATTTAATAGTATATGTGCATTACACTATAAGCTACATGTCTCTTAATAATTATAAAATAATTTGGTTAACACATTTCTTTTCAGTGCACCCGAAGGCTATGTTTCTTGTTATTCAGAAGTTATCAGACATCTGCGTTCATTACTCGTTGATAATCTGGGCTAAAGCAATCAATACTTTAATAGCTTGGACGCGGAAGCTCTTTATGGCCCTAGTTTCCAAGTTATTTATTTTAGTTCTGCAAATAATGATATTATGGATCTATCAATATTCCAAGGATATGTGCGCAAACGTATTGTTTAATACTGTATTTTCTTATCATTACGACTTTCATTTCATGGGTTCCAAAAATTGGTTTTCTTCTTCCCTTGATTTTCAACCTGTCACATTCTTCAAGCTAACAATTCTAACCTTTTCACTTTAACAAATGATGAAAAGGATTCTGTCAGGTTCACTATCAAGTTTTCTTGTTCCAAACTGTCCAATAAACGATAATAGGCACACCAATTACTCTAGTCTCTTTTCTGACAGATTTGCGGTATACCCATACGACTCAACCAAGCTCTACATAGTAAAAACCATATGTTTTATTATTAGTCACTATCACGCTTATTCCGTCTGTCCTCATTAGTCATTTTCATTAAAGTGCATTAGGGACCCATTATAGTCTAGATCATTTCCATCACTTCTTGGCTGCAATGTATTTTGCTCTCTACATTCAAATCCATTAGCAATGCATTCCAACACACACACATACTATTACTTTGGAACACGGCATATTAACAGCTAACGTACACATTCTTAGTAGCCAGTCGAGTCTTAAGGGTTTCTAGTGGTATTGTAGTTGAGATTGTACTTTTTTCTTTTTGATTCCACAAGTACGATTAAACATCTATCTATTTTAGTTCCAACTTCTCGTTTGATTGTCTCTAATTTTACATGATTCCTCCAGTAATGAAAAAAAAATATTTTTGTTTCTTTTTGTGTTTTTCGATAATTTCAGTTTAATTCAGTTATATGAGAAATATATTTTCATGGGAGAGGGGTTAAATCGCTCTATTTTTTTTTTGGTTTATGTTTTTGAGTTTTAATACTTCAGATCATTGGCTGGTATAAATTATAAAAAATAAAATTGAAAAATTATATTGGTTAAAATAAAAAAAAACTATGTATATTAATTATTATTGGTCAATAATTAAAACTAAAAAAAAAGTGTAGAAATGTTGGATTCCCCAAACGCACAGAATAAAAATACATTTTGGCCTTCTCACCAAAAAGGTTAACTTACAATATTTTAATAAGTATACGAGTATAAAATATACAAGCTGTAGAGACTACAGAGTTTAATATACTTTATCAAGTAACCCACTCGCCTAACTAATAGATGTTATATTTTATCATAAGAAAGTGCCTAAATCACTAGTAATCAGTCAACGAATTCTGCAATATTACTAGCAGTAATAGTATTTTATCTCATTGACCAGTAATCAACTCCTTTAAGAGTATATATCTTCACTGCTATGGTGCCTGGTATAATTAACAGTTGCAATAAAATCCGTGTGTTTATATCCTCATTGTTACTCAGCATTTATTCTCTTAAAAGGTTTTGATCTATTGAGTCCAATCTTGCTTAAATCTGAAACATATATGGCATTCAGGAAGTAAAATTATTAAGTTCTAATAGTTGGTACAGTAAAAACAGAGGACATACAATTTTTAGATCACACTCTTGTACGTTTCACACTTATTTAAGTTATATACTCATTTATCAAGGTTATCTCTCTACACAGACTGAAACTCTCCTTATTTAAGGGAAATATTATATTCTGCTCTTACGAAATTAAAAGTGATTTAACGAGACTTTTATATTGTCGACCTCTTTGTACTAAATACTTGATAACCTTAAGACATTAACACAATCAATTAAAATAACATCATAATCGTTTTTTACATATTCCACGGTAATAATAGGCCTACATAATCTTAGTATGGCTTTTATCTCAGACATTATTAAGACACTTCTTACATTATTTGGTCAATATATTGGATGAATTTTAATATCCTACTTCTTCACCATAGCAGAAACACCCGTATTTTTTAATACACAATTCAGAGTATAAGGTTCTATCTTGAGAAATATAGATGTCCAAATATACTTCTCAGTCAATTAATTTGTAAGAAAGTCTAAATCTCTAAGGTTATCTATTCACATTTGGATTACATTAGTTTTGGATTTATTCGCAAGGTTTTGTTAAAGCTACTGTTCATCTAAGAAATAAAACAAGAGAAAAAAAAAGGGTAGTCATATCCATTGAACGGTTTCTATTTTCTCCGTACCGAACACAGCCTCACCTACCCTTATCTTGAAAAGCAATCTATATATACAAATACTAAACATTTTGCTTTATTCTAATACTATCCTATTCATTACAAACAAACATAGCAATCTTCAGACCACAAGATACAATAATGCGCTATATAGTTCCACAGATACTTAATAGCTTTTTATGCAATCCCAATAGAAGACGATTGGAAAGGGGTCTATTTATATTTATATCTATATGTTTATTTATTATTATTTTTGCCTACTCGCTCATTCTCTCTTTTTAAACCTGGTGAAACCAAACAGACCAAAGACAGAAATTTACATATATTTTTTATTTTTAAATTTCTACTACTTCCAAAAGTGTATCGTAGACTCCACCCTTATCATGGCCCAACTTCCAAAAATTTCACGCGTAGCTATCATTGGAGCTGGCCCAGGAGGTCTTGCAGCTGCAAAGGCTTTACGAGACGAAAATGCATTTGAGAATATAACAGTGTTTGAACGTAATAATCAAGTTGGAGGCACATGGTAATGAATCTCATTCATCTTTGTCTTATACATATGTGTGTGTATAATATACAAAACGCTTACAATATAAATGCATCAAATCAATAAACATACACACACACACACACACACACAAATAAACAAACCAACAAAAAAAAGGATCTACTCTCCTAATGTGAATGCCTCACCTGCCATTCCTTCGGTCAATGCTTTGGAAGTTGACCCTCCAGGACAGCAAAAAAATGATCACGTCCAAGGCTCAGCAATCTATTCCCATCTCAACACCAATCTCCCTACACCTGTAATGGGGTACCGTGATTTTCCATTCCCAAAGAACACCCCTCTTTTTCCTTCTCATGAGCATGTCTTGAAATATATTCAATCCTTTGCTGACAAGAACCAGCTTAAGCCAATGATTAGATTTAGTACGAGTGTAGTACAAGCTGAATATCTGCAAGAACAAAAGGTTTGGCGCCTTTCCTTGTCAGAGCAATCGCAAGGATCTTCACTCCGAAAAGAATACACAGAATATTTTGATGCTCTTGTAGTTGCCAACGGCCATTATTCTGTTCCCTATATACCTGACATTGAGGGCTTAAAAGAAGTTGCAGCCAGTAGTATCAAGAATAACATAAAAATTCAACATTCTCGAGATTATCGAGAGCCAAATGAATTCAAGGACAAGGTAATAATAGTAATAGTAATAATGATACTGATAATAATAGAGGCCCTGAACTAAAACAAAAAACAAAAACAAAAAACAAAACAAAAAAAAGAACCCAGATAGCCCAATACAGCGTTATGCACTGCAATGCAGTACAATGTACACACCATGAGGAATGCGCAATGGCCATGCATTTGTTATTGCTTATTTGCTTAGTATTGACTTAATCTCTCTAGACTATTCTGGTAATCGGGGGTGGGCCATCCGCTTTAGATATCGTCCGCGAGTCTTCTGCTACAGCCAAAAAAATTTACCATGCTGTAAGAACAGAGAACAAACTATCCGCAAGAGCTCTTGAAAATCAAGCTCCTAATTGTCATCGGGTCACTCCCCCAAAAAGATTCATTGCCGAAACAGGAGGGCGTTCCAAGGTGGAATGCGTCGATGGAAAGCTATTAGAGGACATCGATGTTGTAGTATTTGCTACTGGATATCTTTATAGCTTCCCATTCTTGCCCTTCGAGAAAAACAATTTGATTATAGACGGTCAAAAAGTATTGCATCTCTACCGTTTCTTGTTTTACATCCCAAACCCTACATTGGCATTTATCGGGCTCCCTATCAAGGTAGTCCCGCTTCCATTATCTCAGTCTCAAGCGGTTGTTATTGCCCGGGTCTGGAGTGGAAAGGCAAGATTGCCTTCTGAAGAGCAGATGCGAGAGGACGATCGAGAAAGGCAAGAAAGCAATAACAGAAAAGACATTGTATTGTCCCAAGAAGAGGAATTGTCCTACGCCGATCATTTGGGTGCATGGGCAGAAGGTTGGGAAGGAGGCGATGATTTGAGTGGCTGGTCTTCGGCAAATGTAGTTACTGGACCTCTTTCTCAAGATTGGAAGCAAATGCGAAAGACGTGGGTGGACCTTAGAAAGGAGCACCTAGGTTATTGATTTTCACCTATTGTTTAGATTATTATTATATATATACACAGGCTTCCTCCCCAATATATTATCGTTTGTTGCTTTGTTTTTTCGATGATGCAGGTCCAATATCGATAGGCTGTAGATCGTTTGAGTTGTGTAGCTTGATACTCTATATCCAAAGATAAAATAATTTAATGAAACAAAATGACTTTATTAAGCTATATTAATATTTCTAGGGTCTAAAGTCTACATTTCTCTTCTTTTTCTTCATTACAGCATCTATCACAGGCACACACAAAATGATAGTGCTCTAACAATCGCTCTCTTCTTTCTTTTACGCCTTCTCCGACTGATCCATATGATATGCATGCTTCCTCTCCTTTTTGAATAGTGCGTCTTGCTACAAAAACCATATTGCGATCTCTGCGCAGCTTGATTACATTTGCATCACATGAATGGTTGAAATACACAGCCATAGGATATATTCCCCAACCAAGCAGTTCAAGATCATCTGTTACGCCTTGCTCCTCTGTGATAGCGGATGGATTCTTTGGGATTTCCCAGATACCAAAGCTATTTGACATTTCCCGGAAGTAAACGGAGCGGAATAGCTCATGAGAGTACTCGAGACGGGGTTCAATACCAGGTGCCGAAAGAGCGGCTGAGAAGAAGAGAGAAGTTCTAATGATGTCAAGTACACTAGGAGGCATATATTTCAAAAAAGCCGACACAGGTTGGCCTTTGGTGTATGGTATCGAGTTCCTGTGAGTAGGCATACTAGCACGGTATTGGATTCGGAAATGCGACAATTCATTGTCCTGGATGGTCAATAGGTCTTTGTAGCTCGGGATGCTAATATCAGGATAGAGCGAGGCTTCTTCACACTGTTTTCGGACCAAACAGGCAGCTATTAAGCGACACATGGTATTATCGGCTGGTCCGGATGAATATAATTTTGCCTGTGAAATGAAATCGGTGGCTTGAGTGATACAGGACCACGCTTCGTCGATCCACTGCTGGACACGAATGTCATCGTCGAGTTCGATAAATTCTGTTGGAATAGTATTGTCTTCTGGGGTGGTGTCTGGTTCTTCTGCGGCAAGACCAGCTCGACGCTTTGTCTCTTTCTCTAAAAGACTCAATGTAGCAATATGCAATTCCCATTCTCTAGAATATCCGTGGCTTAAATAGGCTGATTTGCACTCTTTTGAACAAAATAGCAATTTTTTTTGTGATATCGAAATAGTTTTCTTTGATTTATTTTCCTTTGTCCACTTGGTAGACATCTCTCGAGATTCTAGTTCGTCCAATGCCTTGTGTCGCATTTTCTTTGGGTAGCTGAAATTAAAGCACCAGCCACAGGTTTCAGGTGTCCATTCATCAGATACAGTTGCTGCCAGAGGGACTGATGTATGAAGAATGGTGCCAGGTAGGACAATTGATGTTGCAACAAATCCTCTTCCTTTACCCGGTAATATATCCACTTTTAATAATGGATTTGTGTGTGAGGTTAATTGATTGTCAATTGCTTTCTGTTCTGCCAAAGCAATTTCGTCTCTGAAGGGCTCATCGACCACATAGGTATTAGGAGTCATGGCTGGTTTTTTATTCTGGTAAAAGAGACTATACAGAAAGTTTTTTTTTCTATTTTCTTTTTTTTTTAAATTGATCCTGTACGGAAGTATATACATTTTTCTTTTAAATTCCCGTCTTGGCTGTCACCTTTTTTAAGCGGCCAACAAAATAATGATAATAAAAAAAATACAGAAAAATATTGCTTAGGAACTACGATAAAAACAAATTATAATATTTTTATATATATCTTCTTTTTCTGCCTACACAATTCAGTTTTTCTCTTCACATTTTTGCGCACCGAAAATAATAATTATAATAAAAAAGTGTACGCTAAATTTAATTTTATACAATGGAGGGGTTTTAAGATATATGTTCGCCGATTATTACATGATCCCCGCCAATTTAGTTTTTATGCCATACATACAAAATAATTTTATCCTTTGCAGTACAAAGTACAGATATTAACAGCTCTACATATTACCGGTACTTTAAGTTGATGTGTATTTTTGTATCTCGCTTAATGTCTTTATAAAATGATGAAATAATATTTATCTATTTATTGTATTTATTTTTAATAAAGAATAACGGTATCCAAATATTAAAGCGGAGAACATATCATAATTACCAGACAATATAGAAGAAATGTGGGTATAATTTTTTTATAGAATTCAATATTTTAGCTTACAAAAATAAACAAAAAAAAAATGAATTGCGAAGGCAGAAAAAAAAATTAAAAAATTTACTGACAGAAAAAAATAAAAATAATATTGTATAACTTATTCGACTAGTTATTTGTTTTATGTAACTTGCTCGACCATTGGACTAGAGCTTGTAGAGGTAAGTTGAGTAAGAGCTCAAGCTCAACTCTTGATTTTGATTTTGATTTTGATTTTACTATTAATATTAATTGGTATTTGATATTGTTTTTGGACTTTGGGAACTATCAAAGAGATTCAAAGGGTCTTTCAAGATGTGTTTATTTATTATTTCTTTATTTACTCGTTTCTTTATATATTTATATATTTATCTGTTTATTTATTATTTATTATTTACAGTTAAGGTGCTTTATTTGGGTAAAGAGGGGTTTGGTGATAAATACAAACCAAAAAGACCAATTATAATTCTTGTATTATATATTGCAGGAATAAGGATTATAAAAAGGAGGCGTAGGCTTAATATCTTTCTTTAGAATAAAATAAATAAATAAATAAAAACCCTTGTATGAAATAACCTTTGGTGTCATAACTCTACCTTAATTCTTTTTTTGTTCGTTTATTTCTTTGTTTTTTTTGGGGGAGGTCAAAATTGAAAAAAAAAGGACCGAAATACCAGCGAACAGTATAATGAATTGGAAAGTAAAATATAATAGAATAGAATAAAAAAAGCTTTCGTCATTCTTTTGTGATTATTATTATTATTATTATTCAGTTAGGTTTAACTGTTTGAATAACCTTGTCTCAAAGCAATCCTTAGTCGATCTATTGATTCATAGCTTCCAAAATAGACACACACAAGAAATAAACACTTCCCCCCCCCCCAAAAAAAAAAAATAAAAATAAAAAAAAATAACAAAACAAAAAAGATCCCATCGTTGATATAACAAAAGTAATTGACCTAGGGTTCTAATACACTTTATTAAATATTGAATTGAATATAATCGAATAAAGTATTAAAGTCAAATGGGGTATAAATGAAATTTGATTGATATGCATGTCTATCAATAAGAGACCAAAATGCTTAAATACATATACATATAAATATATAAATATAAATATAAATATAAATATAAATATATAAATATAAATATATATAAATAAAAAACACGCTTATCAATGCAGGTAATAGACCTGTTAATACACATACACATACACATACACATATACGCACACACGCATATTTACCTAACAATATCTCGTCTCCGGGCACCAATAGATGTCTTGGTAAGTTTGTCATCAAACAGAAATCAAAAGCACTATGAGTTGCTCTTTAGAAATAGAATATTCAATCTGAACCTTACTAGCCACCGAGTTTATTCACATTGGGTTTTTAGTTAAACCAAACTGAAAAAAATAAGCTTATATCAGGTCGTGTAATAAATTGGTTTTATACATTTTAAATAAACATCATAAAAAAATTGGTAGCACATCACAAATAAAATAGGTTTGTTTACCATTCTAACAATAGATGTACCAAAAAAACCATTAGACCAGGTGAGCCCCATCAGATTAGCTTGCAAAGCCACCTTGTCGATAATGCACTAATACACAGTCAAGTAGAGTATATCGATAGGAAACCATGAAGATTACAAGTAAAAACAAGCAAATACACAAGTTAAAGTCATTGAATGATATTTTTTTTTCTTTAAAAAAACACACACATATAGCAATGTGTCTACTCAAACACACAACAATCTCAAGCATATAGATGTTTCATTTCAAAAAAACTATATGTTCATTCTCTTTGTCTCTAAATCTATCTTATTTTGTATTGATATCTTTGGCGTATATATATATATATATATATATATATATATGTATGTATGTATGTGTGTGTGTAGCTACAGTGCATATGTAACATATAAGGATGTTTTCTGTTGATTACAATATAGAATATCTTTGACCTATTGCTCTTTTACTCATAGAAAATGAATAGTTCAAATAAACAAAGGATACGTTGTCCTGATCAGACTACTTTTATACTATTGCATTCCACATCGGATAATTATAAATCTTTGTTTAAAGACGAAAATCAATCGAATGGTTTCTAGAGAGACATCAGAAAACCAAAAGCGAGGGACATGACTGGGGTTCTACCAGACCATCGGCTCAATCTCCAAAAGAGCTTCGCATACAAATCGTATTCCCTTTGATGATGAAAGCAATAATAATAATAGAAAAATAAGCGAGACACGCATCATTAATTGGTCTAATAATCCAGGTTAGAACACACATATGATAGCACATAGTCCTATTATTATTTTTCTCTCTCAGATAAACTGTTCTGAAAGCTAGGATTAGAGAGATGTCCTTTTTTTTTTAAAAAAAAAATGCCCAATGATCACGAAACATTATAAGCAAAAATAGAATTAATAAAGAGAGCAAGCGAGATATAGCAATTATTATAGCTGTGATGTGACATTCTGTATAACTTCGGTATCATTTTCGGATCAAGTGTAATGCAAATGCAGATCCAAAAAGTGAAAGAGAAACTACAAAGAAAATAAGACCCAGCCTCTTCCTGTAATGTACAGGTTAAAGCCAAGCCCAATAATCTAAATGAAACAACCTTCTTGAGATAGAAAGTGCACAGCGTCAAAGGACCAAAGACAAAAATAGCTTTCCTTAGCATCTACCCAGGCCTGTTCCATGTTATATTTTTATAATCTGATGGAAGCCGCATGGCGCAGAGAAGCGCAGGCATACTATCAACAAAACAGCAACAATCTAACAAGACTTGAACTTCATTTTGTTTCTAATTTAAGCCGGTAATGCACTCAATGGGGTGGCCACTGGTTGGCTGAACCTTCCACCTATATTTCCTCCGAGACTGTGAATCATGAGTAGCAAACAGGGAGCCTTTTTTTTTCTTACTTTGGGGGTACTGTCGGCATCATTGATATGCAGACGACACACAAATAAAATCGTAAAATGAATAAATACTACGCTGTCCCTGCCCATTCACTCGTCTCCACAGCATACTCTTCCTCTTCTACCACCAAAAAACAAAAAAAAACAAACACTTCTTATTTCACCATGCTTCTTATCACCGGCGCCGACCAATACGTGGGATTTTCTATCGTCTCTCATCTGGCACGCTACGAACATTTGCGTCCTTTGACGCGTGTCTTGTGCCAAAACAAGGCACCCTGTCTTAACTTTGCCAACAAGGGTATCGATGTTCGCCAGGTTGATTACTCTCACCCAAACCATCTTTCGCTCGCTATGAGAGGCGTGGACCACATTATCCTTGCGGTAGGAAACGAAAAGGATCGAGTGGCCAACGCAAAACATCTCTGCCAAATTGCAGCTCAGTCGGGAGTAAAGTCTATTATCTGTATTTCTCATGTCGGTGCAGTATCTGGTGTTCACGAATCACTCCAACATTACGCACTCATTGAAGAAGAAGTCATAAACTCTGAACTCCAGTGGACTATTATTAGGTGAGAAGAGAAGCGCTTTTACCAAACCACCACTATAAAACTTGCTGACAAAGAAAAACTAATTACACACATATTTGTCTATTTATGTGAAATGCATATAGACCAGACTGGATTCAGCAAAACTTTCATCTTTGGGCGGCACTTGTCGAAAAACACCGTCACTTGGCCTTACCAATGGCAGAGAATACCGAGATTTGCCCGATCGACATTTCAGATATTTGTAATGTAGTCGAGCAGCTTGTGCTCGACCCAAAGGAAAAGAGACTCGTAGACTCTCTGGACAATGACCACATTGATCAGGTTTATACTCTCACCGGTCCAGCTATGATCAATGGCAAACAGCTGGCTGATTCTCTAAGCGAGGCAACTGGTTATGATAAGATGGTTTATCGTCATGTACGGCCAATGGATCTCAACTATTATCTAAACGAATTGAGAAAGGATATCTGGTTCGATGCCCGTCTCAAACAGGAGAGAGCACAGTTATATCGTGATTCATTTGATAATGACAGCTATCGCTCCAAAGCATTTGCCATCCCTACAGGTAATACACACGCACACATACACACACAAATTTCTCTAGTAATTTTCTAATCGTTATTAATTCTCTAGCAACCCAAATCCAAACCTTTGTTGATTACTTTGACTGGGTGACCAAAACAGCAAGCAGCATCTGTGTACCACACGCTCCTATGATTACCTCTATGCCATCTCGGTCCATTGATGACTTTTTCAAAGAGAATGCCAACAGCTTTAAGCCAAGAGTCTAAAATCGAGCAACTCTATATTTTGCGCTTATTTCCCACTCCTAAATCTATCTATCTATCTATCTATCTATCTATCTATCTGTTTGTTTGTCTATCTGTCTATCTGTCTATCTATCTATCTCGCTTACTTCACTGCATGTCTCAATCGTTTTCTTATTCTTTTTTTTTTCTTCTTTTTTTTTAACCTTTCTATTGCTCGTAATGTACATTCTTCCTGTATGTTGTGTATCTTATAAACAACGTATTTTTTTTAGCAAACAACGAAATGTTATTATTCTCTCTCTCTCTCTCTCTCTCTCTCTCTTGTTATCTATCCCCTTTTTGATCATCAACCCCCCTTTTTAAACATCGAGCCCACTCTTTATATGGAATTATTATATTTACACACAAACACATATTAAACTCTGCATGTTCACCAGACACATAAACTACATCACATACAAAAAAGGAAGAAAAAAAGAGAAAAACGAAAATGATTCCATGTGCAGTACACCCACTCAAAAAAAAGAGCATCAATAAAATAATAAAAATATCAAACCCACTTAGAACTAGGAAAGTGGTTAGCAATCAAAGATTAGGAAAATAACAAGAGGGACAAATTTTATATGCAGACGATGAAAATAATGGGTTTTATAGCCAAAAGGACCTTCCAGCCTTGAATGTTACCATAAAAAAGCACAGTTAAGAAAATCAAGATTTTTTTTTTTAAAAAAAAAGAAAACTACAAAGAATCAGGCTAAACAAATTGTGATATCGAAAGATATAACATATACAAATATATATAAGAAATATGCACATATTAGTTGCCATGCTTAAAACAAAGTAATAAATTGATAATAACACCTTACCTATTTCATTCTTTACTCTCTCTCTTTATCAGAAAGATTAAAATTCTCCTGGAAGGCCTTTGTAGCACTCATCTTTCTTTCTTCTCGTCCCTTACACTGTTAAGAGATTGGTAGTAATAATACCAAGATCAGGAACCGCCAAGCAAATCGAATACAGTTAAAACTTACTGGCATATTTTCTGGTCCAGTCCCGTGCTGTGGCCTCATAGCGTGCGCGGTCTGTCTTGTAGATGTGGGCAAGCTCAGGAACAAGGGGATCTAATATATAAATAGATGATGATTGTTAGAAGATTTTAATCTCACAAAGAACGAGAAACAATAACACATTAAGAGATCTGATTGTTTACCATCAGGGTTGGGGTCAGTGAGCAAGGAACAAACAGACAACAAGACTAATTAAAAGCAAAAAGAGTGAGTCAGATAAAAATGGAGGGGTATATACGTTTCAAATAACAATCAGTATTTCTTTTAAAAGAAATTAGTTAGTAGATTTCAAATTTACCCTTGGAGATTGTGAGAGCAGGAGACCATTGATCCTTCAAGATATCTAAGCAAATGCTTCCATTGCTGTTGATATTGGGGTGGTAAATCTTGGTGGTGAAGTTAATCTGAAAAAAAAAGTGAAAATAATAAAGCGGGATTAGTAAGATGCCATCATCATCGTTTGAATTCCATTTTTTTTTTACCTTTGGGGGCTTGAAGGGATAATCGGTAGGGAAGTGAATAGAGAGGAAAAAGACACCACCTTGATAAGGGCTGTCCTCCTGTAAAAAGATAAATAAAATTATAATGATAGTGATACCAATAATAATAGCAATAAGAGAAAAAAATGTGATGAGTGATGGGGTTCATAAAGGTTGCATGACGTGGGGCCATCTATAACTTACGGGACCCATGATAGTGGCCTGCCAGTGGAACATATCGTCACCAATGGGACCAGCAGAGCATGAGGATGGAGGATCACGCTCGAGATCTTTCAATTCCTAAGCATCATTAAACAATCCCTCAGTTTAGTTCATAAAATTCAAAGTATTATATATAATATAGATATAAACATAGATATAATAAAGTATATTTATATAGTCCATAAGTCACCCCATCCAAGCTGATATATATAAATATATTGATATTTATAATAGTTGCGGCTCAAAAAAACCTTGATGCTACCTCATTATTAACAATAATGCAGTATCAAGTAAGGTCATGAACTTCATCATCAACTGCGCCTCCATTTTTTTTATTTTTTTTATTTAAAAAAAAAACAAAAAAAACAAAAAAACGTAGACGCGTAATGGAGATGGGGAGATGTAATGATATCCAAACTTGTAGAAAAATATATAAAAAATATAGGCTAAAAGATAAATAAAGTACCTTGTTAATTCGCTTCAATGCCATGGCGATTGTTGTTAAAAAGTAGCAGACTTGTCAAAAGGGAAAAAGCACAAGTTGTAAAGGAAATTCAGAAATTGTAGGCAAGGTCAACCTGGGGCTAAAACCCAAAATTTGTATTGGCCAATCATATCATTAATACAAGACTTATGATGTCACGCCATTACGTGACCTTTTTTGTGTCGAAAAAAGGGGAACCAAATTAAAGCGGTACATGAAGAAGAACAAGTAATAGCAGCAAAAAAAAATCCAAGTCTTATTTTTCCACATTAATAGTAGGATGGTGGAGTCTAATGAAGTCAATGGTCAAATAAAGATGACTCCAGAAATTGTTTCTTGCTATAAAACTGCAAAGACTTTTCGACTGGGAGATAGACCGGTGTCCGCATTGTCTTTTAGTGATAATGGAGAATTGTGTGTAACTTCAAGTGAAGATGACAGTATCCATGTGATTGATTGTCTGGAGGGAAAGTACGTTCTCCTCTGTATAGGTGTATAAAAAGATAAATACTAGGGATGTGCTCTTATAACTCACATTCACTTTATCAGACAGAAATCAACGCTTTTTAGTAAAAAATATGGTGTAAATCTCGCTCGATTTACTCATCACACCAATGCGATTGTTCACGCGTCAACAAAAGAAGATGGTAAGCTTTTCTATTCAGGCACCGAGAATTCTCAGAACGATACAGCCGAGACTTATTATTCACAGATACTCTTCGATATTTATCACTGTACGACAACCAGTATCTCCGTTATTTTCAAGGCCACACTAAAAGGTAACTAATCTAGAAAAAATAATCAAGATTGTAGATCAACTTTGGAATTATGCTGATGGCATACTGTAGAGTTGTGTCTCTAGGGATGTCTCCTTTGAATGACAATTTCTTGTCTGCATCTCTCGATGGAAGTATTCGTTTGTGGGATCTTCGTGCTGCAGGATGCGAGGTAAGAAAAAAAAAAGACTCCCTCCGAGAATTAGGCACCAATATATTGCATTGATGGGATATTTAATAAAAGAGATTATAACGGATGATATGCGTGTGTTTATATATTGTGGGTATAAAAAGGGTGCTATGGACGTGAATGGTTATCCAACTGTTGCATTTGACCCATCAGGGCGAGTATTTGCAGCAGGGCACAGTTCAGATAAAATCAGTATGTATGATTTGAGAGCCTGGAGAGCGGTAAGTTTTGGTCACTTTTTTTAAAAAAAAAATGATAAAAGAGATTGTTTAAGCTGTGAGAGTGCAATCGCAAGTTTTGTACCTCTTTCTAATGGGGGTTTTTTTTTTAAAAAAAAAAAAACGAACAAAAAGGGTCCATTCTTGACAAACCAAATAGACCAAGGCGTGGCTGGGTGGAAGGGTATTAGTTTCTCTAATGACGGAAAGAACCTGTTGTTGTCAACCACTGGTAACTCTCATTATATCCTCGATGCGTACGACTGCACGATAAAACATCAGTTGGTGGGCCACACTGGATCTACCCTTGGAATGTGTACAGAGGCTGCGTTCTGGTCTCCAGATGGTCGATTTGTGTATGCTGGAACTAGTCAGGGTATGCTCAATGTGTGGGATACCCAACAGGAAGCATTTGAGCTTTCTCCTTTCAAGACTTTCAATACACCCCATCAGCAAGAAGGCACTCGTGTTGCAGGCCATAACCCAACCACAGCCATGATGGTGACAGGAGGCGATGTTGTGGTAAGATTTTGTGTATAATAGGAAGATATCCAAGTGCAACATTGATATTAACTTCGATCAATTGTAGGCATTGTGGCTACCTGAAGTATAAATATTGCTTTACTTTCTTACCTTTTATGATTTCATTTATATTATATATATATATATAAAGCTAAACTTGTACATATGATTTTGCTCTATACGTGTATATCTTGATCTTTGAGGGTTTATCAATTGTGTGGGAGTCGGGTGAAGTTTCAACCTAAGCATGCGGGTCATTAATCAACCGAGGGGATTTGTTTAATAAAAAGGGGTGGGCTAGTAACTTTTTTTTTGCAATACATTCCTGCAAGATTCCAACAATGTCAAAAATTCATCAGAATGAAAAGTTGACGATCTGTATCGATCGAGGGGGTACTTTTACAGACTGCATTGGGTTTGTTGGCAGGCCAGGTGAAGCTGGTTACCGCGAGTTTGTGGTAAAGCTTCTCTCAGAAGACCCAAATAACTATAAAGACGCACCTACGGAAGGTATTCGCCGTATTGTTCAACTCGCTACAGGACAAACGATTTCACGTAGCCAGCCAGTTCCCACCCAATCCATTGGTATAAATAAGAATAAACTATTATTTTTTTTAAAAAAAAGGGCAAATTTATCTTAATTCCAAGTTGGTTTGATTGAATAGAGAGTGTACGCATGGGTACAACCGTGGCTACTAATGCACTCTTGGAGCGTAAAGGAGAGAGATGTGCACTTTTGATTACCAAAGGATTCAAAGATCTTTTGATTATTGGTAATATTATTGTTGAATACGAGGATACGCGTGGATGCCATGTACCAATTTTTTCTTGGGGGATTTATGCTTTTTATTAGGCAATCAAGCAAGACCAAAGATCTTTGATCTTTCTATTACTAAGCCCGACGTTCTCCAGCAAGATGTGGTAGAGATTGAAGAGCGGTATGGGAATTTTAACTATAAGTAGAAAATATCATAACTCAACCTTATCTGTAGCGTTGTATTGTTAAACTCTGCTGCATCCCAAGAAACTGTAAAAGATCCGCACACATTATCCGATGTAGTAAAGGGTATTTCTGGTGAATGGCTCAAAGTCTTACAGAAGCCAGGTAAAGTACACACACCCACACTCATTTTTTTTTCGGTTAATCAGAAAACTTATAAAAAGTAACGCATAGATATCAATCTGGTAAAGGCACAGCTCAAAAATCTGTATGATGATGGATACAAAAGCATTGCTGTCTGTTTAATGCATGCCTACACTTTCCCAGGTAATATAATCACATACTCGATAAGAGAAATGGTACACATTTGGTTCATTTGTACTTACAAATAAAGATGATATCTAGAGCACGAGAAGAAAATAGGAGAAATTGCAAAGTCTATTGGATTTACCCACATATCTCTATCAAGCGATATTATGCCAATGGTTAAGATAGTTCCTAGAGGAACTTCTGCAGTAGCAGATGCTTATTTGACACCATGTATTCAAGGCTACATTAAAGGCTTTGTGAGTGGGTTCGATGATGGATTTGAAAAGGGTACCACAAAGCTACAGTTTATGCAGAGCGACGGTGGTTTAGGTATATATATGAGATATCTCTACATAAATCTGCACGTACAAGAAAACATTGATTTATTACTGATTTTTATATATAATATTCCAGTACCTGTTAATAATTTCTCTGGGTTCAGAGCAATTTTATCTGGTCCTGCTGGAGGTGTTGTAGGATATGCTCAGACAACTTTCGATAGTAAAGATAAAACTCCAGTAATCGGCTTTGATATGGGAGGAACTAGTACAGGTATCTATTGGATTAATAGCTCAATAGAAATATCTGACAGCTGACTATATTTTATATATATAGATGTCTCTCGATATGACGGCCATTATGAGCATGTTTTTGAAACAACCACAGCAGGCGTCACTATCCAAGCTCCTCAGCTAGACATCAACACAGTCGCTGCTGGTGGCGGATCAATGCTTTTTTTCAAGAATGGCATGTTCACTGTTGGCCCAGAGGTTCGTACATTTAATATTTAACATAAAGGTATGGTAGGTATTTATTCTATTTTATCACATCGGCGTTTATATGCTCTTTAGAGTGCTGGAGCACATCCTGGACCCGCTTGTTATCGGTAAGAACAAAAGCTAAACTAAAAAAAAATCAGACTATTTACATATCTATAATATGATTTTATATATAGCAAAGGAGGACCACTGGCGGTATCGGACGCTAATTTGTTATTGGGCCGCCTTTTACCTGACTACTTTCCAAAGATTTTTGGACCCAACGAAGATCTTGGACTTGATATCAATATAGTTCGAGAGAAGTTTGCTGAGCTTGCTAAAGAAATCAACAAAACAACCGGAGAAATCAAATCATTGGACGAAGTTGTTTATGGATTCATCAAAGTTGCCAACGAGACAATGTGTCGACCCATTCGTGCACTAACAGAAGCAAAAGGTCATGACACCAGTAAACATATATTGGCAGTGTTTGGAGGTGCTGGTGGACAGCATGGTAAGACAAAGTGAAGCTAGAGCACACAACTAAAGACTTCTAGTACTTAACCTATTCCGTATCATCTTTAGCCTGTGGAATTGCTCGTAACCTTGGCATTAGTCAGATTGTGCTTTATCGCCATAGCTCAATTTTATCTGCCTTTGGACTTGCCCTGGCTGATGTGGTGCATGAAGTTCAAGAACCGTCCGCCGAAGGATTCGACTCTTCTTCTTTGCCTAGAATCAAAACACGAGTTGAGACCCTTGTTAAGCAATGCACAGATAAACTTCTGCAGCAAGGATTTGATGCTTCAGAAATATCTACAGAAGTATATCTGAACTTGCGTTACGATGGTACTGATTGTGCGCTTATGACACTTAAACCTCTTTCTCCTACTGATTGGGACTTTGAGGGCGAATTTGTCAAGCTCTATAAGCAAGAGTTTGGATTCTCTTTACCTGAGCGTATTATCTGTGTTGATGATATTCGTATTCGCGGAATCGGTAAATCGTTCCCGTCCAAAGAGTTGACCCCAAGAGAAGAGATTGAGCGTCGAAAGTCTAGTCAGAACAGCGACGTCAAGGCACTTGAGGAAAGCATAACATCGGTTTATTTCGAATCTGGCCGGGATGAAAACGTGCCTGTATACTTGCTCCACAAGCTTCCTGCTGGCTCACTTGTTCATGGTCCAGCAGTCATTATCGATGCCACAGCCACAGTGGTCATCGAGCCTGCCTGCAAGGCACTTATAACCTCCCAGCATATTACGATTACCGTAGGAGAGGGAGAGAAGAAAAAGGTTACGACTGAGATGGAACCTATCCAACTTTCTATCTTTTCCCATCGTTTTATGAGTATTGCTGAGCAGATGGGACGTACACTGCAAAAGACTGCAATCAGTACAAACATCAAAGAGAGACTAGGTAAGCAATACATATAAATACAACAAATATTTGTGTGGTTGATATAGACTTGTTTAATTTCACTAGATTTCTCTTGCGCTTTGTTTGGTGCTGATGGTGGTCTGGTAGCCAATGCACCTCATATTCCAGTTCATCTCGGAGCTCTTAGTCATGCAGTTATCTATCAAATGAACTATTACAAGGAGGATCTACAAGAAGGTGATGTGATCATGACTAACCATCCTGCTGCTGGTGGGTCTCATTTGCCAGGTAAGACTTGAATAGTAGCTTGATTATAAGATATCAAGCGCTCAAAATATCTTAGACATCACTATCATTACACCCGTATTCGATCGAGGAAAGATCGTATTCTTTGTTGCTTCAAGGGGACATCATGCAGATATTGGCGGAATCTCACCTGGTAATATTTTGTTTTATTAAATAATAATAATAATAATAATAATAATAATTGCGTATTCTGATCCAAAACGTTTGAAATAGGATCCATGCCACCTCATTCTAAAGAGGTACAATAGATCACAATATTTCTGTGCTTAATCTCTAACACACTCAATTTATTTATAGCTTTATCAGGAAGGAGCTGCTATAAAATCATTCAAAATTGTATCAAATGGTAAATTCGATACCAAGGGAGTTGAGCATCGATTGTGCGATATTCCAGCCTCTTATCCAGGATGTTCTGGTACACGTTGTCTCCGTGACAATATATCGGGTAAAGTGTGAAAAGACACATGCTTCCTTTTTTCATTATTATTATTATTTATTTATCTATCAGCCTATTTTTAACCCAACCATGTTTGTGTGCGTATTATTCAAATAGATCTCAAGGCCCAGATTGCTGCCAATCAAAAGGGTATCATTCTTGTCAAGGCTTTGATTGAAGAGTACTCACTTGAGGTGGTCCAGGCTTACATGCTTCACATTCGTCGAAATGCTGAGCAGGCAGTACGCCACCTCCTCAAACAAGTTGCAAAGGACCATCAAGGTCATGACCTGGTTGCAGTTGAACACATGGATGATGGGACCCCCATTTGTCTACGCGTCACAATTGATGCCGACGATGGGAAGGCTATCTTTGATTTTGAGGGCACCGGACCAGAGGTGTATGGTAATACTAATGCCCCCGAGAGTGTTTGTCACAGTGCGATTATCTATTGCATTCGATGCTTGGTTGGACAAGATATCCCATTGAATTCCGGATGTCTGGAGCCAATTGACATCCGAATCCCAAAGTTATCTATCCTTAGTCCTTCAGAGACAAGTGCTGTAGTTGGAGGAAATGTGTTGACAAGTCAGAGAACGGTTGACGTGGTATTGAAAGCATTTGAAGCCTGTGCTGCTAGCCAAGGATGTTGCAACAACTTAACATTCGGTAAAGGAGGCAAGAACGCAGAAACTGGAAAGACTACCTCTGGCTGGGGCTACTATGAAACGATTGCTGGTGGTAAGAGCATACTAATCTTCTAAAGTAATAGATAAGAAAATAGTGATTATATTGACATCATTGCCTATAATTGTCCATTAGGTAGCGGTGCTGGGCCAGGATGGGAAGGAAAGAGTGGTGTACATACTGTAAGTCATACAGAATAATTAGATATCTTATTAACGCACTTTGAGTAGCATATGACAAACACTCGAATTACTGACCCCGAGATTCTCGAACGGCGCTATCCTGTTATCTTGCGCGAATTCTCTATTCGCAAGGGTTCTGGCGGAAAGGGACTTTATAATGGAGGAGATGGTGTGATTCGTGATATTGAGTTTATCGAACCAGATATTCAAGTATCTATCTTGTCCGAGCGCAGAGTCTTCCACCCTTACGGACTTTTGGGAGGCGAAGATGGAAAGACAGGGCTGAACCTTTGGATCCAGTCTTCAGATGGAAAGGAACATCCTGTCAATCTGTCAGGCAAAAACTCGGCTTTGTTTGGTAAAGGAGACCGGATTATTATTCAGTCACCTGGCGGAGGAGGTTATGGAAACCAACATCATAGCAGCCCAGGAATAGTTCAAAAAGCAGCCAAGACATTGAGTAATTTTGTAATCAAGGCAGGTGGAAGTCTAGGAGCTTACAAGGATACATCAGAAAGTGCTTAAAAGAGGAAAACTATGAAAATTCGTGATTATGGAATTTACGATTTTTAAAGAATAAAGAAAACGTATAAATATTGCTATCAAGTACGAAAGGATATATAAAAAAAACAAGGATTATCTTTAAAATACACATCAACAGACACATACATACATATATATATATATATATGTGTGTGTGTGTGTATGAACGTGTAAACCTAAAGGAATTATATAAGAGAGATGGAGAGAGAATTGTGGGAAGGTATTGAATGTGTAATGTTATATATCTATTTGTTTTATTTAATCCAGAGGAATCCAATCTCTTGGGTTCTTTAGAACTTCTTCTAAATCTGCTTCGGTTGAGTTGACTTTAGGCGTGTACATATATTCCCAACGGGCAGTAAGAGGAAGAGTCATCAAGATGGCCTCAATCCGTGCGCCAGGAGTCTGTAATCCAAACTTGGTACCTCTGTCACAGACGAGGTTAAATTCAACATAGCGACCACGACGGATCTGCTGCCATTCCTTCATCTCCTCGGTAAACTTCATGTTCATACGCTTCTTGACAATTGGTATATATGACTGGGAGAATCGGTTGCCCATTTCTTTGATAAATGAGAACAATTCTTCGGTAGGTTTATCATCGAGATCATCAAAAAAGATACCGCCAATACCGCGCGACTCGCCTCGATGCTTAATATAAAAGTATTTGTCGCACCACTGCTTAAAGGTCGAATAATACTTTTTGTCATATTTCTCACAACCATCCTTGATCACTTGATGGAAGTGAATAGCGTCTTCCTCGAAAAGATAACTGGGTGTCAAATCAGATCCACCACCAAACCAGGCAAGTCTAGGGGATCCGTCTGGGTTTTCAATCTCGAAATAACGGTAGTTCATATGCACGGTTGGTGCATTTGGATTGTGAGGATGCATGACAAGCGAAATTCCTGCAGCAAAGAAAGGAACTGGTCCATCGGCACTAATATCTTTGCCTCTGTCGTGGCGCATCTGTTCAACAGCAGCCTTTGGAAGCTGACCGTACACGATAGAAATACCAACACCAGCCTTTTCAAACACATTGCCGTCTTGCAAAACACATGTGATACCTTCGCCGCCTTCCTTACGTTGCCATGTTGTACGGCTGAATTGTTTCCCGTCAATGCTCTCAATATCAGCTACAATACGACTCTGAAGCCCCTTGACAAAGGATTCCATGCGAAGGCGCATAGGATCTTGATCTGTAATGGGACCTTCGGCTCTCTGCTAAAGCTGATAAGTAAAACTGTAGATACAAAAAATAATCGCCTTACGCGTTGGTTGTCTTCATGGGCAGCATCACAGAAGACCTGGTTTAGATAAGGGAACAGGTCAGCCGAAGATGTATAAATATAAGCACTTCTTTCTTTTCTCATAAAACTATTTTGCCTATTTACCTCTTTTGCGTTTAAAGCAGTAAAAGCTAAAATGGCAGCAGTAGCTCCCGCAACAGCATAACCAGTCTGGTACTTCTTCCACGACTGTGTAGTGCCAGCACGAGTGGCGGTAGAGTAAAGACGGGGAATCTGGCTAGAGAACCTGTATGATATATTAACTACCGACAGTTTTTCTATTATCTTACAACTTAAGCTGCTCTGATAGGCTTACCCTCTGTTAGTCTTTGTGAGAAGACGTGTTGCACTTTTTACTTTATTGTTTTATTTAAAAAAAAAAGAAAAGAAAAAAGGAGATGGAAATAAGCGTGACAATCTTGTTGATTTTTATTTATTGACATTGCATCTAAACAAGTCTTACACATGGTGAATTGGTGTCAAGGGCTAAACCACTCGAGGAAAGCTACTCCACAACACAAGAGTGGGCCAGGGGGACGGTGCTGTGACAGCGCATACCAGTTGAGGCAATGAATCGTCACAAATCCTTGGTCTCTTTCCTTTTGTCCATCTATTCTCATTTGAAGATTGAGCTTCAAAGATCAATCGATTGATAGCATGGATTACTTTAAACGTACTTCCGAATCACCCATGGACTTTGAGTATGATAGCCCACAAAGCTTCCCTAATGGTCTTTTTAACAGAGCCATAAATAGTCTTCAAAAAGAAAATAGACGTAAGAGAGAGAAAGTTAAAGAGATAGAGAGGGAGAGTGTGTATGGTCTCTCTCTTTTTTTTCTCTTTATTATAAATTTGTAATTACTTTTATTGATTCTAAAAAATATACTTTTTGATTGAAGCAAAAGAAAAGATATTCAATGTAGAGCCTACAAAAACTGGGTTTAGTTTCCATTTGGCACCATCGTTTCTGGACGTGAGTGAAGAAACACGACGGGGTCTTGAAACGAAAGCAGTATATCAATCGCTCAGTAATCTCGGACTAAATGACGATAATTCAAAACAAATCCTCACTAATGCTATACCAGATGCGGAAGTAAAAGTAAGTACTTTTTCTTTCTAAAAGAGAAAAAGAAATGAATAGAATTAAGAGAAGAAGGAAAGAGCATCTTGACGAAATATATAGACACAATGATTTTCTAAATCATTTTGTTTCGTAAAGGTGAAGGATTCCTGTGCGGACATTATGAATACGAATTTACCTGAAGACGACAAAACAAAAAACGACCAGCCTACCTCAAAAGAAAAACCTTTATTATCTACAAGATCTACCCAGCCAACATTATCAGAAACTCAATTACCGTCACATTACATACAGCCATCTGTTTCATTATCCTCATCTTCAATGCCATCACTCACTTCCTCATATTCCTATTCAAATTCAAACCCAGAATACATTAATTCACCTTCAGCATCACAACAGCTGGTAGAATACGATCAACCACACAAACCAACCTTTGTTCACATACAGAATGATCCGACTGCAGAAAGACACAGCTATGTTTTTCTTTTGATAGGGTGAGTGTATAAAAATAATGAAAAAGACGACTTTTATAATAACAATTATGGTTTAGATTGCTTCGATTTGGGTGTCATTTGGCTCTATTTGCTATGGGGGCTTATGTAGCTATTAATTTTACATTAGCCCTCAGAAGGGATGTTGGGATAAAAATGAAGACATATGAGATTGGTAAAGAGGAATAGAATAGAATAGAATTTTATTTAATTTTATTTTTGGATTGCATGAGATGTAATATGTATTTATTTGAATAATCAATAGATCAGTTGGAAGATTATTTATATATCCAGCAGGAATACGATAACAATCGGTGTGATCCACTAACACGACTGCCGGGGGTTGCAGAAAAATGCAGAGATTGGCAGAGACAACTTAATCGAACGATCAAGCCGGGCGAGACCAAGGTTTTGGCGGAAACATTAGCAGAAATTCTGAACAGCTTTTTTAATACACTATCTCTCAAGGCAATGGTAAGAATATCTATATATATAAGTAGAAAAGAAAGAAAGCTATGTGATTTGGCTGTATGACCAGAACGTGCTGTTCACAGAAATTAATGACATTTCAATAGTTCTTCTTTCTTGCTACCCTCCTCATCTCTCTTTCTACCAAAAAGCTACAGTCACGCCATCTCAATAACCAAGAGCTGCTGTCCCACAGATCCCAGGAAGCTCCCAGGGCGAATAGATTGATGGACAAGTAGTGAGGCGTTATTATTATGATTATTGGTGGCCAAGTGTACTTATCTTGGTCCGGATCTACAGCTTACAAATAAATCGAATTAAAGAAGAAAAAGATAGAGAGAGAGAGATACACACACACACAAATGCACACTAAATACACTACAGATACATACACAGGCTTTATTATTATTATTATTATTAGTTGATCGCTTTGGGTTATATTAGTTTTTATTTTTGTTTTTGTTTTTTATTTCTTATATGTTCTCTTGTCGTTTTGTGTGAAACAAAGCTTGTGCTTGGACAGGGTTCTGCTCGGTAACCTGCCAAACCAAAACCATCAAATCTTGGCTTAAAAAGGTCTATCTTTATCATGAGCAAAAACTACTCGTTGCTTTCATTCCTTGATTTCCATGCCCCACATTTTGCTGTCCACTAAGAATGCTCGAAGAACTGAACCTCCAGGCGTCATGATAACCATTCCGTCGGGTGTTCATACAACCTTAAAAAAATATTTCTCGGCTCTTTCAAGGGGCCTTTTCCTTTCTTCCCCCCCCCCCCTCTTTATCAAAAGCCAATCGATGAAGCGGGATAGCCTCACCCAAAATAAATACGATTTGAATTGATTTGAATTGATTTGATGCGCATGTAAAAGAAAAAGAAAAAGTTTCAAAATACAACAACAAATGCAAAATAAAATAAAATAAAGATTACGCCTTTTACACATATATATTGGTTGATTGCTTTATTGATTTATTGAATAAGATGCTATGCGATGATAAATATATATTATTGGTATTATTGGTATTATTGGTATTATTTACAAAAAAATATCTTCTGGTTTTTTTTTGGGCTTTTTTTTTATATGAGAAAAAAAGGGGGGGTAGGTAAGGAAAGATAGATAGATAGATAGATAGATAGATAGAAGAAATGAAAAAGGGAAGAAAAAGAAAAGAATACCAGAGTCTTTTGTGTTTTCGTAAGTCTTGGTTAACAAGATAATGCAAAAAAGATGAAAATGATTTTTTTTGGTGTTGGTGTTGATCGATAGCTGTGGTTGCACACACGTACATACAATCATATTCACAGAAAAGAGAAAGGTATTATAAATATATATAAAAATCGATGATAAATTGAAGCCGATCATTTGGTTCAAGAGATTGGTTGTTTGATTTCCTCCAACAGGCGATAAGGACTATTGGGATTGACTGTGATGTTTTCGACTGCCAAGAGTACCTGGGTAGATGAGTCTTCGGTCGAGTGATGTCTGTGGGGCATTATATAGATCATGACTTCAACAAAGAGCGGGAACTGTTGAAAGAAGTCTTCCATATCTTGGGTGATCAATGGCTGGCCATCTTCCAACTGGTGATAAGTGTAGATGTGCCCTGTTCGTATTTTGAGTAGCACTCGCGAGAGACCCTTGAGTCCACGGACAGATGAACGCGATTTTATCTTATTAAGAACGTCTTCAGCCACCAATTCAACAGAGTCCTCAATGATAGGAAGATAGTCTTGTCGATCAGTGTCCAAAAATTCTTTGGGGGTTGGGTGGTGATATATTTTGTTTTCAAGCCATTCTCTGAACATCCGTGAAATGTGAAGCGCTGCCTTTGTACTAGTTGTGCCAAGCGATGGAAGCTGTAAAAATAAATAGATAAATAAATATCTAAAATATAGATAGATAGATAGATAGATAGATAGATAGATAGATAGATAGATAAAGATAATTGTCTACTATTACTATTATTATTATTATTTTGCTAATTAATTTATTAATTTATTAATTTATTAATTTATTAATTTTTTCTCTTATAAACCTACAGAGATAAACCGGTTGCCTCCGTCCATAAAATAGGTATTTTGGTAGCGAGATATCCGGCTGTCATCTATATCTTCCATTTCTTCTTGGAATGTGTATGAACAGGGCGTGGAAATGTGATCCATGAATAGTGCATCGGTATCATCGTCTGCCATCATACTCATGGTTCGTCCTGTGGCAGATGTATCATCGTCGTCAGAATAAATAGGATCGTAGGGTGAATAGTTTGGGCTGTTATGAGCAGCCTTTGTTATATCTATTATTATTATCTTATGTTAATTATCTACAATACAAATGTACTTTTATAATTCAATATATAAAAATAAATAATTTACCAAACTGTGGTGTATCTAGCAACATTGATTTATTGATTTATATAATTAGATCTGTAGTCTGAAGATCTAAATGGTAATTGTGATAATATAGATTCACGTAGATAAAGTAACAAGTAAAGTCAAGGACAAGAGTTCAAAAATATATAAAAAAAAAGAAGTGTTCTAATGGTATTTATACAAAATAAATATTTGGGTTTTGTGGGGCTATACACACGATGATTGGCTAAGCTTATCTCCCGATCACCCTGTGAAATGCAGCCCTTGTTTGATGGTCCTATTTTCCCTTGATTCAATTTTTTTTCTTTTTTGCTTATCCAAGTACTGATAAGCCATGTGCTTCCCTTCTAATGCTACTTCCCTACACACAACATATACACTTCCCCCATCACACAGCACTATCCATAAATGGCACGGCCATGTGAGGTTATCGATTGTGTAAGGCGGCATAAGGGAAAGAATCCAAAGATGAGGGTACCTCTCCATTTTAGGAAATCCTGCGAGGTGTGGAGATGCCCTTTTGCTGTCATTTCACACGTCTCCTCTTCACATTATACCAGCCAGTCCTCTTTAAGCTAACCGCACGGTTATCCTCAATGACCTCTGCTTTAGCTGTCATTCCCACGATAGGTGCTCTTTTATTTTACTTTATTTTATTTCTTTGACTCTCTGCCTTTTAGCTGATAACAAATCTGTGCCTATTGTAACAATTTCCTTTTTTCTTTTTCTTCTTTTATTATCACAATCTACATAATCATTACTTTCACCACCAACACCACCAACACCACCAAAAATAAATAAATCACAATTGTGTACATTCTTTAATGCCCCGCCTTTTCACCAGATTTGCCTCCCAACGTAAAGAGCAAGACACAACTGATGACTAAAAGAGACCCAAATCCCTTGTGTACGGTAAAACCTATCATTCATTTGATCAATCGATTAAATCATTTGTTCTCAGCTTTGATCAATAAAACCTACATTGGGCCGAATCTGTGGAGCAATACCAAGCATGGCTAATAACATACACCAGAACTGCTCTCAACCCCTGAAGAATCCCGGTGGCAACCTAAGCGATACGATCTCTAATTTAGCCAATAATCCATTGATTTTTTTTTTACTTACACTTCCCGTCCTATCGATAAGCTCATAATAATTCCATGCGTGTGTCCCATTGGCAATTACCACGAGCACATACATTCCAAATACTTGCCAAATTGGCACAGTAGGATCAATGTGGATAAGCTTATCGAATCTCGGAATGGTGTAGATTGCCACCCACACAAGAGATAGAACACTGGTATACATCCCAGTATAACAGCATACTCTGGCAGCCAGTGGGGGTGGAACATGTTTGGACAAGATATGATCAGAGTACACGTATACGCATGCTAAGATAAATGAACAAACAACAAAGATGGTGGGTGACAGGTATACATCATTTTCTAGACTCCAATTGATTATTAGCTAGCAACTCTTACAATAGAAAAATGTGCCTCCCAATGTCATCAAGGTACCAAACATCAATATGGTTGTATTTGCAGTAGAGGCTAAATGTATATATATATATGTGCGTAAACAATTGAATTCAGTATAACGGCTTTCATTACATTCTATTGTTCGTTTTTACCTTGCTTCTTGTTATCACTAGATCCTAGTGAGCAAATAGCCAATCCAGCACTTACACCCAGAATAGCCAACCACTGTAAACGACCAAGACTACGACCCATAAAAAAATAAGCCAGAATCGCACACCAGATCACAACACTGCTATAGATCACTTGGTACATCTAAGAAAGACACACAAGTTAATCAGTCAGTCAGTCATTCATTCATTCATTCATTCATTCATTTAGTTATTAATCTAACCAGCCAGCCAAACTATAATTCACTCTCTTTTTCTTTCTTTCTTTCTTTATTTTCTTTCATACCCCACTGCCGATCACTGCAAACCCAAGTGTTACGCAAAAGTTAGCCACTACATCTAACACAGCCAATTTCATTATTGATCGATGAGGCACAGGTCCTTCTACATGTCCGAGTTTCTCTCTTTCTTCAGGATGCATCGGGTTCATTTGAATATCCTCTGCCTAATAATAATGGCATAAAAAAATTATTTCAAATTTTTCTTTTCTTTTTTTTCTTTTCTTTTCTTTTAAATATTTATTTGTTTGAATTCTTTCGTACCTCATTTACAGCATCATCAGGAACACTCGAGTAACCTTTAGAACGGTTGCGTACCATAAAGGGAATCAACAGTCCAACCATTACCATTCCAAGGTATTGCGCTAACTGGACCAAGTAACTATCTCCAGCTTTATATGCCAAGTACAATGCAACATGATGAGAATGTCATTTTTTTTATAATTTTTTTTTTATTTTTATTAAGAAAAAGAAGAAAGTAAACCAAGAATTTATAGGAATCAACTTGACAAGCAACATACTTACTTGCTGCTCCTTTGTAGAATAGCCATTGAATGCCGAGAGTAGTAAATAGACCTGTGAGGAGGAATAGTAGCTGATGAAATATGATGTAGAGCCGGTCATGGCCAAACATTTTGATGAATCTCAATGGCATAATGGACATTGTAGCGAGATGAAGGCTTCGTGTTTGTCCAACACCGGTCCAAATCAGGAACAGCACAAATCATATGACCAACAAGGGCGTCACAGCCTAAAATGAATTCCAAAAGATAATGAATTTTTGCTATGTTTTCAAATCACCTTTATAATCTGTGTGCGTGTGTGTGTTTGTGTGGTTTACGACTGGAAATGAATTTGTAAACTTCCAAATATAGATATCATTGTAACACAAGATCTCTGTCTCAGGTTACGAAGTAAGAAGTTAATTGGCCAATTATTATAAGAAAAAAAAGGGCGTTTTTTGCTTTGCCTGTGTATTGCTTTTGACCTTCTTTTAATACACTATTCCATGAAAGTAATATGTCAAGATGTCGTATTTTGTATATTTTGTATTATAAATTGCTAAATTTTACAACCATTTTCAGGAAATAGTGTATATAATAAGACGTTGTGATTAAGCTTTTGTTACGTCCCCACCCCCCACCTCTATATTTATCTATCTATCTATCTATTTATCTATTTATCTATTTATCTCTCGCCCCCCCCCCCCCCCACACACACACCCAAAAAAAAAAGAAAGTCGTTTTGCTTTTTGTTGAATAAATATATTTAAATCCCGTCATATCTGATGTCTCAATGATTTGAAATAAAGAGCTTGATGAGCAGGTCCAAAGTAAAAGCAAAAGTATTCGTATATTGTCCTTGGTGAAGAATGTGGAGTCCAATATACAGACAATCTATTTATACGTGCGGGTTAGATCAATACATAGAAATTCACCTGGGAAATTTTTCTTAGTATCACAAAATAAAGATTACAAAAGTTGCTTTTATCAAGTTATTAGAGGCTTTACGTCATACACCAAGCTGTAAATAAGTAGTTAAAGCTAAAATAATATATATATATATATAAAATCAGAGCCTGTTCAAGATATTCTTTAGTGCAAAGTCTTGTGCTTTGATATCAAAGTAAACCTTTGTTAACTGTAGCAAATTGGGCCATAAATTAGGAAACATATAATCAATTATATTAAAAGAGCAACTTACATGATGACTAGCGCTAGAAGACGTCCCTATAAGGCACTTTAAAGGTTCAACGACACCAAAATTCTGTATTTTACAGTTATCTGGGCGATAGATAATACTTTGGCATTGATAAACAAGAAGAAGAAAAGGAAGAAGGCTGCAGTTTTATCTTGTTTCTAAACCTTGTAAAAAAAAAGAAGGAAAATGAAATATCAAGTTCACTAATAAGCTGCGTTCTTTTTGAGGAGAGAAAGTTATATTTGACATGCACAAACAGAGAAGCTTTGGTCGTTCTTTGAAAGAAAAGCTAACAGAATGCACTGTGTCAGTATAAAAGAATGCTACTACTGCAGTATTAAAAACCATCCCTGAAAGATAGGATATGGTGCATCGACAAAATATTATAAGCTTCTTCATGTCAAAGATGCGATATTTTATTGAAGAAAGTAAGTAATATGAAATCTTATAGCCATAGTATACGCATATGTGAATATACGCACAAGTACCAGTACCAGTATTAGTACCAGATGAGCCTCTTGGTAATCTAGTTGGCGTTATACCTTCGTTGCCAATTGACTACTATCAAATGATAAAACAAAGGCTGTTTAGGTAGTTTCTCAAAATTCTTTAGAAGCTGCCCATCGAACCTAAAGAATCTCGTAGTGGTTGTATAAAAGTATCGACCCGAAAAAGAAAAATAGAAACCCTTAGTTTTGAAAATATATCATAGCTTGTATAACTCGAGTGATACGATAAAGCTTTTTACACACGCACACGTATATACACCTTTTATATAGCTTTCACTTGAGTAGATAAAGTCACAATAAGTAACACAGACAAACCGTTTGGACAAATATCTTTCTTTTCCACATTTCCCCATCAACCAGCCAATCCTGTCCCTTTTCTTATTCTTCTTCTATTTCTTATTCACTATGGAATTCGAATATACTCGCCTATATGCTTCTTACATTATAAGACGTTTATCAAACATTCATTTAGAATGAACACATACTGCGATCATTCCACCAGCACACCTGCATAAAGAAAAAGAAGTACAGCAATTGACCACTGAAAAACTTGTTTCGAAAGATTGGAGTGTCCAATCTCTTACCCTGATAGTCAGCATTACATTACTGCATGATGAATACAGCCGTAGTTGACATTATAAGAAGAATCACGAATTTATATATCGACCTCTTGCAGTAATTACATTCATACAATTATGATTTGAACATCGCCAAAACCAGAAGAAGAAGAAAAAGAAGAAAAAGAAGAAAAAAGGCTTTAAGTATTTGACTCTCTTGCTCACTCTCTCAAACATACTTTAGCTTTGTGTCTTGCTGGTATATTATGACCAATATATATATATATTATAAAAAGTAAATATAATGTGTAGGATAATTATTATCAAGTTGTTTGCTTATAGAGGGTGGGTTTAGTTGTCTTATGAAACTGATATTCTTGGATGCAACACGTATTTGTAAATCAGGATAATTGCTGCAAATGTAGGTATCAACACAGTTGCCAAACTATAGAGATATACGTAGAAGTTAGGTTTTTGGTGTGGTGTAAATTGGACTTACGATCTCTTAGGCTTGTCTTCTTCAATCTTGCGTTCGTAAACACTCTCAAACACTTTACGGGCTACACAATCCTGTTTAAAGCCATATTAATATTATAACAATTATATGCGTATATTGTATTAACTTACATCTTCATGTAATTGACCAATCATAAATTGTTCAAGCGTCTCTCGAGCAAGCTCAGAATGGTTAATGTCTTCAAATGCTTCTGTCGCATCCTTTCCAGCTAATAAGATTATATTTGTTTATATAAATATAAATGTGCGTAGGTTTATTCAATTATAGTTGATTGGCTTACCTGCCCTGGTAATCAAAATATCTTCACCTATTAAAAAAAAATGGCATTTTTATATCGATTTGATATTCTTTAAGATCATAAACTTACTACCGGGATGCTAATTAAATATCAAAGAATAATAATAATAAGTAAATACAATCAATTACAATGTAATATAATCTATAGTTTGATGTCTTACAGCAGGTACAAATGCAGTGACGTTGTACACCTTGTTGTGTAATACTACCCACATATCCTCCTTTGTATTATGTTTTGAAACATCTTTAAGGGTGTAAATATTGACCATCCTTATTCAAATAGTATAAAATAAATGGTAAAGGAAAAGAAGATGAAACTGGGCGTTAATTCAGTGGTCTTTTTTTTTTTAAAAAAAAAAAAATGAGCTGTTGTTGGGTTAAAATTTTTTCTTAAAAATAATAATACAGTGTTTCTACTTGATATTGAGACAAATTAAGAAATGCTTTAGACGAATCAAAATGTAATTGTAGCTGATATTCTTACCTTTTGTGGAAAAAACGAGAATCAAATTTAGACAAAGAGAAATTAATTTTCGGACCAAGTAGACATTTAGTCAGACACCAGAGCCTTGAAATCAACTGTACAACTATATATAATTAACTGCTTACTTTGGAGGCTTTCTCCCTAAGCCAATAGGTTTCTAACAGCTTAGCTTAAACAGATACTACTTTATTTTTATTTATTTTGAATCGAATAATAACAACAAAATTATGAATATGTAATAAAAGGTTCGCTGTGTTATACCTTCAAATAGAAATATTTGAAGGGGAGGGACAAATGGTGCTCACGGAGTGCGACTTTGAAAATAAAATAAAATCGTATTGATACAAAAGTAAAGTTCTCTATCTCATAAACGTCAAGGTAAGAAAGATAGACCAGTGTGTGCATAACAATAGACCAATACCATAATAAATTCTATACTACAAAGGTAGAATACAGTTCGGAAGTAAAGCCAACAAAACGTATCTCTTTTGCCTTTTGATTAGAGCTATTGGATCCGTAAAGATAACCCTGGGACGCGGCGTACAATTATCAGGTAAAACGCATTCACTTGATTACTTCTCTATTATATATTATACTTTTATTTTTCCCAAAGATGCCCAATAATCTCTTAAAAAGTTTCTGAACACACAACCCAACAATCTATGACATCTTCTTCTTTTTTCATATATTTATAATATTGGGTATCATTAGTCGATTTCTACTTTACGCAGAATATCTAAGCAAATATTGGTCGCACAGTCTCGGTATTGATTTATACCACAGATGCCTTGATATGGACTGATATGTACACCTTTCCAGAGATTACACAAATCTACAATATAACATTTATACCAAGATTTTCAAACAAAATGGATTGGATATTAACAAGTACCAATTATCGTCAGGGCAAATAAGCTGTTAATAGTAAACTCTGAAAAGAAAGGCTTCTGGGGTTCAAGGGACCACTATATAGACCGACGCCAGAAATAGCAGCCATATTTTATCCTATTCTAATACAAAAACAAAATACTTACACTGAAAAGACAAATAAACTTCATTTCTTTGGAATATAAACTATTATTCGTAGCGAACTTCATCATATTGATCAGACAGCACAATAAAACTACAATAGTTGATTGATTTTCTTTTTGGGTAATCAGGTACATCTTTGATTCAATAAAATACCATTCAATTTGAAGATTTGGTCCAATGACACGCAGGGCAGACATTGTGAGCCCTTGCTTGTTGTTCGAGATAGGATATGTTACGAAAAAAAAAGTTTTATCTATTCGACATTTGGTATACTTTTTATTCCAAGTGAGTTATGAGAAATAGCACGGTACGGTACAGTACAGTACAATAAGACAAGGTTTCGGTTAGTAAAATTAATTCTTTACAAGCTGCAATAATCTTTCTCGACCGACCTTTTCATGTAACATAAATAATATACCATAACTTCTTCAGTGCAGTCAAAACTGATCTTATCAAAGTTTCATAAGATTTATCTCCCGTCCCTCTCTTCATTTGTTATATTCAAGAACCCTTGAATATTGCTGCGTATCACCTTATTATTATTTTTAAATATATATATACTGTTATATCAGAAAATAATCCCTCAATGGCTTGTATTTACCAATCAGCTCATCTCCTGGCAGTGCAAGATGACTAGAGATTGATTCATTTAAAGTGTTGGAGCAAGAAGCTTTATACAGGGAAGTGTGCGATATCAATTTCTAATTGGTACGACTTTACTTTCCGGATATACTATACATAATGTCATTGTGATGACTACTTTTTTTTTTAGGTATTCAAAAATAACAACAGAGAAATAAAAATCGTCTTTAGGAATAACGAATCCAATCTCTCATATTTTTTGTAAATTCAAAAAGAAACTTTTTTTTTGTGCATGCGCGATTTTAAAAGAGAGAGTTTATCTCTCTTTTCCGGCAGCTTTTTCTTTTTTTTTCTTTTTTTTTGTCTATTTCTTCTACGAATTTGCCGAGTTCGGACTGTACATAATACGGTAGTGTAGTGTTTCTAAGACTGGTTTGCTTGTAATTCATACCTTTACATAAAAAAGCGCCTCAACAACTGAAGGCAAGTGGACTAGTTGGTAAATTTCTTCAACCAAAGAGAAGCGTTCAAATGCCAGAGACATGTAAATTCCATCCGCAAGAAGCTTCATTTGGAAAAGTGTACATTTAAAGCCTATTAAAGTATCTGTATTAAATGATATGCAATATGTGATCGTCTTCGGGCTGGTACTTGCTGGTAATTCTATGTCTCTTTACTTCAACAAAAAAGAAGTAAAACTCTTTGTTTTTGGCCTTTGTGCCAATCGTAAAATCTAGCTTTTTTTTTTTTTTTGGGGGGGGGGGGTTTATCCATCCTATTTGCAAGTATGATATACGATAATTAGTATAGTAAACAAAAATAATTGTGTGTGTACTTATATGGCATAATGGATATTTTTGCCTGATTTTTTCAACAATACTGTTCTGATTACTGGCATCAGATATTTTCCTATAAATGTTGCTTCGGAATTATCAGCAATAGAAGCGCGAGATTGCTTCTTTTCTTTAACTGTGACTTTGATTGCCCTCATCATGGCCATTTTCTCTTCTTCCTATTTGCAGATATTGTTAGAGAAAGCTATTTTCTTGAACTGGTTCAACTTACATCAGCTTTATCCTTACAATACACGACTGCCTGCGAAGGTGCACGATATATTTTTGGGCTTTTTTTTTTCGTTAGCTACTGAGTTCAGTGCTTTGCGCGTTTTATTGTCAAAGTATTTGTTAACGCATTTTCCGACATCAAACTTGTTGATCGGGAAAATGTGAGATAAGGAACTAAGTTGAAAAAGTTTGGTTCAGTTGAAGTTAGTATATGAAGAGAACGATGGAAAATAGCTCTAAATACTTACATGATCTTCAAGCTGCTTATGTCGTTATTTTTATGGACTTTTGCAATTGACTGTTTTCTGAATCTCTTGAGAGCTTCAGTTATATTGCTTTCTCACACAATAATCTAAACGTATTTATTAGAAAATTTTCAGCTATAGGTATCCACGCTCCCATTTACCTTCTCCTTTGACTTCCACTCAGAAAGTATTTTTTTTTCAATCTCTTCACCTCAACAGAAGAAATTGAAAGGTCTAATAACTTTGGGCACTGAGCTAAAAGAATATTAATAAATATATATTTAGTTCTCGCGAATGAAGATCTCTATGAGCATACATCTTCCTCTCTTTGAATTACTTGTAATGTGGACATCGCTATTAATAATTGGTTGGTTGAAGGTGATGGACATTTTAAAGGATAAGATTAGAGCACTAAGAAATATAAATGTGAAGAATAAGACTTGTTGTGGACTATCTTAAAGGGGAACCTTACGGGCAACCTGGTGGAACAGCCTCAAAGTATGCAGCGTAAATCTCCCTACCAAACGCAAAAACACAAGAAAAGTTTTGCTGATCTTACGGGGACAATGTTTCCTGGTGCGAGACGACATTTTGATTCCACCAGACCACAGGTGATCTTTTTGCTGGTATCGAATAATTAAGTCTGGTCCCTAAGGATACAGAATATTCGTATAAAGACTTTCTTTTGTGCTTTGCAGAAGAAAAAAGGGATGAGCGGGAATTACTTACCAGTTGGTGCTTTCAAACTCTAGAAATATAAATAGATGAAATAAAGAGAAAGACATTATGCGCATAAGCAGGCTAAATAAATAGTAAAGTATCCAACAAGATTGCGTCACACTCTAATGACAACAATTCCTTATGATGTTCTGCATATGTGCCCAAGTATTATTTCTTTATTGCCAAGTCTAAACTTAGGACGCAGACTGCTATTAATTGAGTATACAAGATTTGTATTAGTATGAGACAGTATTTTATGATTAATGGCGTTCTCCAGCATAGGGAGCAAAGTCATCCCAAGTAGAATGGTTTTTCAATCTAGATATTGAAATATTAATTCAGAAAGCAGTCAACTGTCCAAAAACGTAAGAGTCAGAAGCTACAGCTAAAATTCCCTCTACAAGTTGCAAATCATAAAATAAATGTATATAAGATAGTGACTAATGGTGTTCTCCAGCATACCGAGCAAATTTGTTCATGAGATTTTTCCATTCCTAAATGAATTTGCTCCATATGCAGGAGAATCACATTGCAAACGCAAATCACTATAAAAGAAATCTCGATCTTAATTTGTACTAGAAGAAGAGCAAAAGGAGCAAAGAAGACTGGGTTCCTTAAACTTCTTATAAAGCTAGACTGTAGTGAAATTGGGATTTTTGATTTCGATTTTGATTGTGATTAAATGGAGATTTATATCCTAATATGGGTTATATGCTATAAAGCATAATATATATACTGTACCCAACCTATGGGAATCCTCATTATCATCATCGTGGCCATATCAATGGTCCTAATATTATGATATCTAATTTGGGAGGGGGGGAAGGTAAGGTATCGGTGGTAAAAGTGGGGGTGGGTGGAGGAATAGATTATTTTAGGATTATTATTATTTATTTATTTATTACTTTTCGAATTTAATAAGTATAAATATAAATCTTGTATATAGAGAACCTACTTGGAGATAGATAGATAACGATTCCAATCTTTTTTTTTAGTTAATCAGTGGGCTGACAAAATGGAATAGGACGATACAGTCATTCCGGAAAACATTGGCGTACCTCATGAGAACATTGTCGGATTCCGATTAATTTCTTTATGGATTTTGTTACACTGATTCTCCTTTTTCTTCTCTCTCTATTTGTGTGATTGTGATAATAATTTTTCATAGCCAAAGGACACTCTCAAATTGATCATCACAATCATATTTGACAAGCCAATACAAAAACTACTAGACTCAACCCAATTAAAAATATATATAGCATATTTTAGAGAATACAAGGTGTGCAATGACAACAGCCAAATCTTATACATGCATGCATACATACATACTTCATGCTTCATGCTTCACAAAAGCAAGCTAACTAAAACAAGCAGCTAGGGAAATCAGGGTCAACAGTGTATATACACAAAGCCTAGAGATATTACCATATACTACACCTACACTTTAAAATACAGTTCAATACAAAGACAGGCCGAGAATACTGTATACTTAATGGAAGATCTGAATAAAATAGTGAAAATTAAAGAAAATGCTATGAAAGTTCCTATTAACATATCCTGCGTTTAATATAATTAGTTAAGACTTGCCCCAAAAGTTTTGGAAAAAAAAAGTAAAAGTAATCCTTATTTTTTTTCACACATACACATTATTGATGAATATAAACTGTATTAAATGATCCTCTTGATACCACAGACTTTGAATATATTATATATATATTTGAGATGTTACAGGCCAACATATATTTTCTAACTAACAATCATATAGATACCAATATTCCTTAACAGCATTATAGCCATAGCCACAAGTTTATTTAAGAGTGTCTCTAGCTACAGATATATTCTTTTGAACGAAAAGGCCCCTTCAACAGCCACTTGGGATAATAACCTTTCTCTCTTGACTATGGCTGCAATCACACACATATAGATTGTGTCCGAGTGTTCTGGTCATTTGCTTTTGTTTCTATTCTTTCTACTCTTATTATTTGTTGATAATTACGTTGGTATTCTCTTGTGTATTAGACTTCTTTTAGTTCTTTCTTTAGAGGTGAAGATTTCCCTAGGTACTTTTTATTTTATAGTATTAAGGGACAAGTAAAAACTGGTGAACGGACCATGGAGAAAGAATTTAAACATGAATTATAAGCTATTTACGTTTTTACCAGTAAAACTACTACATGCTTTCAATGCTAAAATTTCTGTAAACTTCCTCTGTTTAAAGTACACCCCTAAACACGCATTTCCCCCCGTAGTGCTAGCTCAAGAGGTTGATAAAAACCCTAAAAAAATACTATATGTATTTTTCTGTATTTATTGGTATTTTACCAAATAAAATAAAATAATTGTGATTATAATAAATACCTTATTTTCTCTTGTTTTTTTTTGTTTTAAAAAAAAAAGGTGATTCTATTATTCATAAAAATAGCAAAAGCTGATTCAGGTGACAGATAACAAAGAATACTTGCTAGTTTCAACACTTCTTCTAATACTAATAATACTCTTTACATTGTTTTATAGAGTAGTACTGTCACTATACTTCCCTTTTATCACTTCTACTTATGCTTTTTCAAATCCAATGAATTATCTACCATGAATGTATACATATACATATGTCATTTAACAGAGGATTAAAAAAGGAGACATGGAAATTCCACGAGTCATCGATCTCTTTCCTTTATCCCTTTTTCTTGCTTTCTTTTTCTTTCTTGCTTTCTTTCTCTCTCTTTGGATTTGGGTTTTGGATTTTGGATTTTGGATTTTGGAATCAAATAGGCATATTCGAAGATGTGAATGCTGCGTTGGCCATATTGCGATTTTGAAGATCATCTGTCCTTGTTAATCGTTTGTTTTCTGATCCAACACCTTCCATATCGTCTTCAGGTGCTGGTCTTCGTCTTCTTCGCTGCCTCTCCAAATCCTCAAGGGTTTCTGGAACCCTCACATTTCTTGCTTGATAGATTGGTTCATATTCCTTTTTTATACAATTTTTTCACATTTTTAGTCCATTCTTTGTATTATTATCACAATTTTGCAAGCATGCGTATGCATATTATATTACCTTGAGCTGACTCTTGAAATTTTCTTTTGGGTTGATGCAAAGACGTTTACTCTGTACAAAGTTGTAGGCTTGAACAGCCCCCAGCTCAAATGTCTCCATTACATAGGCAATCACAAAACAGGGACTTCGTGACATGCCACCGTTGCAACACACGAGAATCTTGCCATTCGAATGTTGTAATACATTCTTAATTTCAGTGCTCACGGATGGAAAGCTGGAAATGAGGTTTTGAGTGTTGGAGTCAGATATTTCAACTGCCTTGAAGTGAAAATAGTTGGACAATGTCTGAGTACTTTTGAACAGATTAGTTTCGAGTGCATCCAAAAAACATAAGATGTGCGTGATTCCATTCGTCTGAAGACCGATTGTGTCTTTACAAACTGAAAGTGGACCAAGATAAAGTCCAGGCTACCAAAAAAAAAACAAGAAATAAAGAAGAAGAAAATATGAAAGCATAAACAAAGAGAGAGTGTATGGATTTAGAAAGAGCAAAAAGGAAAAGTGAGATTCATAATCAAGTCAAACCAAACTCACCAGGATTTCTTGCATCTCTCTTCTCATCTCATATTGCCAATCATCAAGCGTGCTTTTGGATACGGCATTGTCAAAGAACTCTTTGTCAAGGGTTCCTTGGTAAGGTTGATCTGTAGTGGCATTCATCAACGCCGTTTGTTGTATCCTTTTCTTCTTTTTCTTTCTCTTCTTCTTATTTGTCCTTTCTTATTATTTTATTTTAATTTTTAATTTTTTTTAAAAAAACAATGGCGTTCACTAGACAGTTGGAGGCGTTTGCTGTCGACGTTTTTTTTAATAATAACATATAAAAAGGGCCCTCAACAAGGCTGTGTCTTCAACTTTGATCTATTTACACCGCCGATGGATTTTCATTGGCTGTAAAATAAATCTACCTTTTTTTTTTTTATATCACTAGTCTTTCTTGGCAGACAAAGTATTTGGAAATAGCCATTCTTTTATAGTATTTGTTTTTGTTGTTTTGAAAAGCCTGTCTCTATCACTCTTATCACCCATTTAGGCTTGTCAGCTATATATATATATATATATATATTATTTGAGGAAAATAGCTTATGGTTGATGCTTATATATACTTTAGAATGTGCACTACGAAAAGTTGTTCACGAACATAATCAAATTAAAACAAATAACGAATATAAAACTGATGGGCAGACTCGATTCAAGCGGTGTATTCCCAAAACAAGTTATGGAGTTAATCAGACAAATGTGTATCAAACTTCCAACTAGAATATGTAACGTACACCGATTCGAATGTTGTATTACTTTAATGGTGACATTTTGTAGCATTAGGATATTCCCCACAATTAAAGAGAAAAACTAAATCAAATTAAATCAAATCGAATGTCTCACACACAGAATAAGATATGATACAAGAAACTGTAGCAAATTAATCCAACTTATTGAAAGAAACAAAGAAAGAACAGTTCTTGTTCGTGAGCAGATACTTTAAGTGTTAAGATCCGACGTATTAAGAATACCAGTCTAGTAAGATACTAATACTGAGTGAGTAATACTATGGTTGTTTAGATGGTAGTGATTTGTCTAAAACAAATAATGGAATAATAATGTGTTACAAGGGTACTATTTCAAAGGTCAGGCTGTGAAGATGTATTAAAGAAAACGGAAAAAAATAATCTTTAATAGGCAAAAGTGATAAATTATAGATTGTAAGAATTTTTTGAATTTACTCAAGCAATAACTTTATTTTATTATTGCCATTACTCATATTAATATTATCTAGCTTAGTCGCAGGTTCATGGCTATTCTAAGAATTTCTGTTTGGAAGTTGGCTGAGAAACCACAGGTTTGTTACAAAAAGACTGAACATTTTAATTTAGTCTTTACAAGCTCTTTAATAAACGGTTAAGTATATATGATGTACACACTAAAGATGTAGGCATAAGAATCTATCAACTCAATAATGAATATGATAGCTGAAAAATAAAAGAAGTGGTATCTAAAATTTTCGACAAATCCTATATTTATTTACTTCTACTAAGTTTAGGCCACAGTGGTTACAAGTGCATGTGCTGTATAATTTTTAATATGCTTTTTCTCTATACATTTTTCAATCTTTTCCCCAAAAACTATAAAAAAATTAAAGTGTAAAATAATAATAAACCCCCGTGGTCTTGAAGAAAGCCTTTGGCAATGTATACTTTATGAGCACATATACATACACGTTGTAATTTTCGAATCCACGGTTTCACGCCCAAGCCAAAAAATAAAAGAACATCAATTAAGCCACAGCAGGTATGAATAAGAAAGATGGATGTATGGGATCTTTCAGGAAAGTCAGATAGAGCGTATACTTTTAAAACGTAGATTCTTTGTTTGATCCAGAGTTTGGCAGTTATTAATTAAACATCAATGTATACATATTCCGAAGATGATAACTTTAATCCAGGCATATTCTCTTCCCCAGTATAGCATACATAATACTGGTATCAGCCCAGATAAGAAATAGAAGGACGAATATGGTGCTGTGTTAACTATTGCTTCACCAAGAAATCCTCTCCTGGGCTGGGGTTGTGTGAAATGTGAATATGATATGATGTGCTATATTTGCTTGTATTATCTTGGAATATCTGTTTAATGCCTTAGTATGTCAAGTAATATTGATACATGTATTTATAGACATAAAATTAGTTCAGAGCATTCCTGTTTGGTGCATGTCAAGGTCTTTGAAACATATGATCTGTTTTAAAAAAAAATAGCTGAAAAAAAAATTAAGCAAGTACAGAAGTGCAAATAGCTTGCGTGTACCTTAAAACAAAAGGAAGGGTGACATGAAGCTGAGCGGACTGCGATTTTAGAGCAGACGCGTACGCTTCCAAGAACCCAAGTTTCCTTGGACTCGTAATTCTCAAGTGTCTCCCCCTACAAAAACCTTTCATTGGCTTTCTTATTTTTATTTATCTTATTTTTGAATCATGGTATGCTTATCTACTATTTTGCTGATGAACTCCTTTCTTGACCAATGGGTTTTTTCAATAGTCGATTATGCAATATAATGGTGGTTCGGTGGTGGCCATGGTCGGAAAGGACTGTGTTGCAATCGCTGCTGACAAGCGTCTCGGACAGCAGTTTATGACCGTCTCTACTGAATTCCAAAAGATCTTCCAAGCTAGTGAAAAGAGTTTCATTGGCCTTCCTGGACTTGCTACAGATGTCTTGACATTGTGAGTATTTTGTCATCGATTGGAGACGAAAAAAAAAAAAGAAAGCATCAACGTCATTTACTCATAATAATTGGCTGTTAGGTCTGAGCGTTTCCGATTCAAAGTTAACATGTACAAAATGCAGGAGGAGAGAGATATTGAGCCAAAGACACTTGCTCATGTCGTTTCTTCCACTCTCTATGAGCGACGGTAAATGTTGTGAATTGACATTTACAATCTACTTTTCTTCTTTTTCTTCTATTCTTAGAAGAATATTTGCTCATTACCTTTGGATTAATTAGATTTGGTCCTTACTTTGTTGAGCCTGTCGTGGCTGGTCTTGACAAGAACAACCAGCCTTTCATCTGCTCTATGGATTTGATCGGTTGTATTAACTTTGCAAAGGACTTTGTGGTGAGCGGCACAGCAGGCCCTAACCTTTACGGCATGTGCGAATCACTCTGGGAACCCGATATGGAACCCGAAGATTTGTTTGAAACAATCTCACAAGCCTTGTTGAATGCACAAGACAGAGATGCCTTGTCAGGCTGGGGTGCTGTTGTTCACATCATGTAAGTAGAGAAATATGTTTGTGATTGTGATTGTGATTGTGATTGTGGTTATGCTTGTTGTTATGGATACAATACTAAATAATAATTAATTTTTACTGTTGTGAATAATAGCACAAAGGATTCGATTATTACCCGGACACTCAAGTCACGTCAGGTAAAACAATCTGCTGGTTTAAAGATAATCAGATAAAGAAATGTCAATATGTATAAGAAAAAGCTTGCTTACACAATTTATTGTTAATTAAATAGGATTAAGAACTTGTTGGCTCGAGATAGTGAGGAATATTTGAAAAATAATAAAGGCAGAATTGTGGTCTGAAGCGACCTCTCCCCTTTTTTGTCAAACTTGTTGCTAACGAAGTACATTTAACTGCCTGTGGTCTAAAGATCTTCCTTTTTCTTTTTGAAATATTATAAAGACAAATAAACTTCCTAAAAAGAATATGTGTGTATGTGTGTATGAGATTATGTACAACATGGCTGCTTCTGGTACATCTTTAAGCAATTTTTTTTCTTGTTAAATCTACCAAATTCTCGGATCAAATATGCTGAGATCTCTCAAAGGTGTCCTGAAGAGCTTTGATCAAGTTAATGTAAGGAGCTATATAAATAAAAATGAAAATATAATATGAAAATACAGATTATACATTTAAAATTCAGGCGGTAATTTTTTTTTGGGCGAATCAAAATAAAAAGTTAGCTAATTTGATTGACCTTTTCAAATAAATAAAATAAAATTCATACATAGTAAAAACTTATGCTTAGAATATTTATCTGTAAAATACGAAAGCTTTAGATAAAACCAGATAATGTGTTTTACAGCGCTTAAAATAAGTAATACAAATGCAATGATTTAGCCAAGGTTGGAGGCCTTCTACTTCATTCCGATATATCAGGTACAATTGACATTAATATCCCGCCGCCACAGTGTTCTACAGTACTCTACGAGCAAGGGTGCTAAGAAACAGTACCATTGCACAATGGTTATGAATGCTGATTTTGACAGCTTGCCAATCTATTTATTTCTTTTCATCCCAGTTTCTATCATATCTTCTTTTTATTCTGTTGAGTGCTGTGTTCAACATCAGTTCCGGTGCTATTTACCTTCATTGTTATAACAAGAAGCATCCTTTACACATAACAAACTATAAAAGTTGAATAGTAGATTTATATGAAGAAATACAAAGTATTTGACTTTGAGAACATTCCAAGACACTCTTTATCCTATTTTTATTTATTAATCTCAATATTCACCAAATAAGACCGTAAGAGAAGGGCTCAGATAGACCTTGTACGATATACCGTCCCTGATTTTTTTTAGTTTATACATATCAATCTTTTTCTTCCTTTACCTTTCAGGAATAAACAAAGAAAATCAAGTAAGCATAAAAAGGATGAGTTCAGAGGGGGGAGAATAAGAGTATAGGATATCAAGTAGTAACATCGGTATGTACAACGTGTACATGTACATGATCAAAAGAAGGAATCAAGCTGATATTCTAGCTTTCAAATGAGTGTTAGGTGTATAGATTGTCTTAAAAGAAAACCTAGGCATAAACACTCAAAAAATTCACAGGAAAGTTTCCATTTGATCAATGGTTACAAAGCTTTTATCATGGTAAATTGAAGTAGACAATTTTCTTTGTTTAAGATACACTACAAATGGTTTTAAGAACTTGTTTTTTTTGTGAACTAGTGTACATTGGAGCTTATATAGCCCCATATACAGCAGATCGGCTACGAGAGCCTTTTTGTATCTACATATGCCAGCCATTTAATAGGGAAAAAGAATACATGGAATAAATACTACCTTACTAGAGAAGGTGAGCCGGGGATTTACTTGACAATTGAAATGCTCTCAAACAAAGTCGCGGAATTATAATTTGCAATGGAACAAATTTCGAACGATACCAGCCAATGTCTCACTGAAGCGTATGCGCAAATTATCAATCATATATACCAATGATACTATAACTGAGATCTTGTGAGAAATATACCTGAGTTGTAATATGTGTACTCAGACAAACATTTTAAACCTATAAAATGCAGTAAGTTACATTTTTATATTTCAGATTTTACTTCCCGGTTCGGGAAAAAAAAGTATATTTAACCTACAGAAAAAAAAAAACGCACGGCCATCTTGAAGGATGTTCACATGTCTATTGGTTTACTGTTACTTTAATACTCCCATTAATTGAGTATTTAAAGCCATGGATAAATAGACCAAACAATAAAAAAAAATGAATTAGAATAAATCAAAGTATTTCAAGTAAACATAAACTTTAAATATAATGCTAGATTTGTGAGCCGTTTAGTGAACAAGTATTGTGGATCATTCAAATAAGAAAAAGGGGTGCAAAAAAAAAAGAGGAATACACATTCTAATATTCTTCTTATTATTATTATGAAATTGGTAGGTAGCTTTCTTGAGAATGTACAATCTTTGACTTAAAGACATATTATTCTTACACGTGTTTGAGGCAGAGTCCGCATTCTACGTCTGCTACTGTGTTCACTAGTGAAAAGCCCACGGATCTCTAGGCAGACAAAATTCATGTGGGAAGGACAAAGAAAAAAAAACACATAGTTTTTTTTTCTTTGATTGAATTTTCTTGCAAAAATAGATAAAATATATGTTTAGGTAATTTGAAATATTCGCTTACTATAAAACACATACTCCCTTTTAGCCTCTACACACACAGACACATATTATGTAAGATGAATAAAATGTCAGAAATCAATTATTAGGATTTATTTTTAAAGTGTATAAAGAAGAAAGATGTACTACGAGAAATAAAGAAACCCGGGATGGGATGGATTGTAATACGGTTTTTTTTGCAAGAGATTAGAGGGGAATAATTAGATCTTCTTGCTTCTAGGCTGGACCTTGCCGCTGAGCTTCTTCTGGAGAGCGGCGGCTGATTTTTGCTGGTAAGTGATACGATAAAAGTTGATGAAAAGCAAGAGGTAGGAACTGAGGAGAGCACAGCCAAAGATGGCAGATGTTTCGGTACCAGCACAGCTGCCCATGTTAGGGAGGTGGGGCCAGTATGTGGCGGTGAAGTAGGTGTAGGTGCAGAAATAGATGGCAAACAAGTCAATGATAAACTGGGTGATCTGCATAGTGGTAAGGTACTTCTTCCACCAGATCTTAGCACCAGCAGCGGTACGGAAGTAGTAGTAGTACATCAATACATGGACGGTCAAGTTGAGAACAATCGGTACCCACGACTACAGAAGAAATTTGAGAAATATACATAAATATATATGAATAACTTGGATTTAGAAAAAAAAAAGTAATGTTTTTTTGTATGGATGTGGACAAGTGCGTATAGGATATTTTGGCGGCGATTCGACTCATCTACGGTGGAATTCCAACTCTATTCAATCCACCCAGCCTAAAGCCAGACTTCCAACACCAACATCAACTCGGCCACACGGCTTCTCTTGACCGAGAATATGAAAGGAAAAAATAAATAAAAAATAAAGTTACACTTACAACAGATGTCTGACCGTTGAGCTGGGTGTAGCAAAGGACCATGGTCAAGCTGTGGTGATAGTAGTGGAGGAATTCTAGTAGATTTATCAAATATAAGAACATGTATATCATAAACAGCCATGTACCCCTTTCCTCTTCCTATCACTTACCAAGCTTCTTCTTCTTGAGGACCAAAAAGACAGTATCAATCAACTCCCAGTACTTGACGAGGTAGTTGAGGTAGTACAGAAGCTCCAAGGGCTGAGTCCAGGAATCTGCAGAGCAGATAGCATTGAGAAGACCTTGACGGTAGAGAATAGGGAAAATCTGCTCAACCATAAGGAGAAGGATGACACCCGAGACAAGGGTCAAGAGCAAGTTGTGGACCTGGAAGAAGAATTGAAGCTTGAAGGCGGGCATGTTGGTCATCAGGTAACGTCCACCGAAGATGACGATGAAGTAGGTGATGCAAGATGCCACGACTAGAATCGATCAATCAATCAGTCAATCAACAAAAACCAAAAACCAAAAACCAAAATAAAAAAGTCAGAAATAGGTAAATGCCGAGAATTTGACTCTTTTGTTTTCTGTTGATTACTGCTATTTGCCTTTTTTGCCTTTTGTTTACCTTCATTGACAGTTGACAGAGGTGTAGTGCCTGCAGTGTACCTGAATGTACTTGCAGGTTGCCCTACGACAGCCTCATAAGCCTTATCAAAGATAGGATATAGAGGAATTCCAAAGGGAGTCTCTGGAGAGAAGTTCAACTGCTTCAGGACTTCCATAACTGCCGATCGAGAATTAATGAAAAGTAGTAGAAAGGGAAAGAGAATAGTCGAAGGGTATCGGATCGGTCAAATTATATAAAATTCGCGAATTTTTTCTATTGGATCACACAGACTCTCTCTCTCTTTTAATTATTTTTTATTAATATTATTTTTTATTTATTTATTCTATTTATTATTATTATAATTATTATTTTTGTATTCCTGTTTCTCCTTTGCTCCACAACCTATTTTATTTTATCAATATTTCACACAGCCTGTGCAAGTTGAGAACACATATCATATAAATAAATATAGTAATGATAATAGCCATATTAACAATACTATTACTATTACTATTATTTATTGTTGTGTGTTCACTATAAAAAACGTTTTTTTTTTCCCATATTTTTTTTGGGTGACCGCCTAAATTTGCTTGGCTCAAGTCTGCCCGTGATAGAGTTGGCTCTGAAGATATTCATCCCAAGAAATCAAGCCACTATCATATGAAATTGTCATTGTTAATAGTGTTTTATTTTATTTTTAATATTGAAAATAAAATAAAAAAAGGGACTTACTCTCCATCGATATCATCTTCTTCAAGAACATGGTCTACCATCTCTGTTACCTCTTCTAGTGAAATGAATTTTGTCGGGTCCTCATCTCCTTCCTCAAAGTCAGTGAAGGCCGCTCTGAGCTCATGTCCATCGAGATGTCCATCTGCATTCTTATCATGTACCACAAACAAATAATAGACCATGTCCTTGTCTTCTACCTTGGGTGCTTGTCCATCCTTAGCCAATGCATTGATGTGTTCTTGAATGTGCCTAATTACCATCACTTCAACATCCAACATACTAGATGATGTGTAGTCAAGAAGATACTTACTGTTTATTCTTCAAATCTTCACCATAATTGGAATGCCCGGCCTCAAAACGATGGGTTCCTGGCCCAGCAAAGGCAAGAGGTAGTAGTAAGCATGAGATAAGAAAACAAAGAACAGGTGACGAAGTACGCATGTCAATGAACTGGAAATAAGTAGTAAAGAAAGGGGCACAAGGCTGAAGTGTCTGCCTTGGGAAATAGCAGTCCCATGACAGAAAAAGGGAGGTTGCTTTTATGCAGAAAAGAAGAGAGCAAAAGAGAGAGAGAGATTGAGAGCGAAAGATTTGAGAATTATTACTATTATTATTATTATTATTATTATTGTTATTTGATCAGAATTTGTCACACTGGCTTATATGGAAAATGAAATAATAATAATAATAATAATAACGATAAATATTATTATAGCCTTTCCTTTTTGTTTTGCCTTTTCTTCTTTGTACAAATTATTCTTCTCCCACATTTTCCCTTCTATATATATATATATTCTGTTGTCTTTGTTTGTTCTTTCTGTATATTAAACTTCTTCTTCTATTGTAAGAAATGAACGGGAAATCTCATAGGAACCCATTATCATTTTTACTAAAGCGTAAAAACGGTTTGTGGTTCAACTACAAGGACACCAAGAAAGGTAGACAGTTTGAGTACTTTGTTCTGTCTGTATCTCACATAACCCAAACAAAGGCCCACTCAATGGCATCTTTGGTGCGCCGCTCGAACACGGTGCTCAGTGTGGATCAATGACTTCCCAAGGTCTATACGTTCCTACAATTGTTCACAGGTGTTTTACAGAAATAATGAACCGAGGTAGCTTTATTGACTAATACGTAGACACACAAAGATAATTTGAAAATTGGTTTATTAATCTTGGCTCAAATCCCAGGTCTTCTTGTGGAAGGAATATTTCGATTATCAGGCGCAGCTTCCGAGGTCGATTCATTAGAACTCGAGTTTGATCGTCCTCCAACTTATGGAAAATATCTAGACTTGACACACTATGACATACACGCTATCACGGGTGTAGTTAAGAAGTATTTACGTAGTTTGCCCAACCCTGTAATTCCGAGCGCATATCATAGTAGATTCTTACATTATGCAGGTAATAATGATAATAATAAAGATAATAATAAAATCAGGAATTCATTTCTACAACAACAACTATTACCACATATGACGAAAAAACAAATAAACTAACCATCAATCCTATGATAGATAATCGAAATAAGAATATACAATCACTGTACAGACTAATAGAAGAACTTCCTACCGCTAACTACCAGCTACTACACTACATTATGATTCTCGTGTCATCCATTCAGAATTCCTCTCATGTTAACAAAATGAATGCTGAAGCACTTGCAATTGTTCTGACGCCTGTGTGCAGTGGTCTCGAGCAAACTCTAAAGAAAAATTCTATTAAACGAAACACCCGACCACGCATGGAAAACATGCAGAACCTCGTACAAACTAACGCAAGGTGGACGCATGTTTGGAATCTTATGATTACCAACCATGCAGCACTTCTCTTGGCTTGGAATACACATTCTCGTCTTGGAACAAAGACCCTTCCAGCACTGTCCACCCACACGCACACGCACACTCCATCACCTGCTGGGCATTCAGATATTTCTCAGCACAAGATCTTGCAGCTGGCTTTGTTTCCAGAAGAAGACACATTGGATTGGTGCCTAAACCATTCGCTGATCTCCTTCCCTGACCAACAAACATCCCCACCTCCTAATCTACCTCTATTGCCACAAACAGAACAAGAGCAGAGATACGGTGTTGTAGTCATGAGACGGAATAATACTGGATACAAAGGTGGCGGACGACAGAGACTAAGGCAGCGCATGGAAGCCACTTCAGATACACCCAAAGATTATCTCGAAACGCTCTTTTTAGATCTCTCGACCGACACCATTACTAAACCACTCACATCCTCTCAACCAATTCCTTGCCATTCAGACTCTAATGAGTCATCAAGAGCCAACTCCTCCACAAGCCTTAACCAAGTACTCGCATAAACAACCAAAAAAAACTACATTATATTATATTGTACTATTTCATCTTATTTTATTTAATTCCTTTTGTAATTTTTTGTTGTTTTTTGTATCTCTCTCTGTATGTGTTTGAAAATCTCATGTAAAGCCTCTTTAACTTATATTGTATGTATAATACTCATCTTTATGTCTATATCACTTGCTCCCTTCTGTTTTTTTTGTATTCAATCTATAAATACCTTTTTAACAATATGTCACATATGAATTACCAAAATATCGAAGCACGCGGATCAATGTTTTCAATAAATCATGTTTGAAGGGTAATACAAGTGCAGCACCTATCCATTATTCGTTTATGAACCTACTACCAAAAAAAATCAATCGAACAAACAAACAATAGTTAGTCAATACATTTTACTATTGCTTAAAATAAATAGCTAGCAAAATAAGTTTTATTAAAATATGAAACACCTGAAATAGTCTCTTATTTTTTTTTAATTGACAGGCAGTTTATCTTTATAATTTCTTTAAGAGAAAGGTGTGATTTATCTAATTTCTAAATTTAATATTCTATAATCGACAGATATAGAAACATTACCATGTCATTATGAACCTAAAGTAAACATGGCTTATTATCATCGCAGACCCCTTGGCTTCTAATGATTCAGTCTTACCTGCGCCTAAAGCAATCCAAAAAAAAGAAACATACAATAAAAACGAAGATCGTTCATTTTTGGATGATTTTGATCGCAAAAAGGAAAGGGAATAACAATACAACCAAAATTCCACAAAGATGTTTCAAAACCAAAACCAAAAAAAAACATGGCTGAATCACAAATACATACTAAGATGGCGTATGTAATCCCTACGACGTTTTTACGAATAGTTTAACATTAGATATACACACACTTATATATATATATAAGTATATATACATTATATCAATTCTTAAGAAAATAAGAATATAATGACGAAAGATCCATTTAGACTTTTAGATTCTTCTTCTTGATATTTGTATTATCATTTATGTGAGTTAAAAAATGGTACTACTGATTGTATTCATTACAGAGACTTAACCTATTTTACGGCTTAGTAATTTAGGTTTATTTATATGACATACTTACCAGACCACCTAAATGTGACCAACCCAAAATCCAATAATTATATCCGGTCCCTAACGATCCATAATTATTATTATAATAAAGTTACTTTGATAAAGAGAACTTGTTGTATTTTCTTAGACATAGATCTTTTTCAAGTCATGAAAGTCATATGTAAAATCCTGTTGAGCGTCCCAACGGTGATGAACCATCGTGTGAACCAAGTTCAGCGAAAAAAAATGAATACTAATAAAGACCTGGTCCATTGGCCAGCTTTTATCCCGGTTCATTCTTCCGATGTATTATATCTAAAATTTTATCTAGTAAAAAGGGCGTGAATTTTTAGCAATTAAAACCAAACTGTCATAGCTTAAATGTGCTATGACACTTTAATAAAACAAATTATACTTAAGCTGAAAGCCGGATATACAGTTGATGTGAAAAGATCGAAAGGATTCTTTGTATGACAAAACTTTATTAAACAACCCAAAAAATAAGTCTTATTTACTATAAAAGATAGGTATATAGCTGAGAGGATATTAATGAACACACAAAGTGTGGAAATAAGGTAGTGAGCTAAAAAATATAAAGAAATGAAGAAATACAGAAAAAACGAGTCAAGCTTTACAAATATGTTTATGTTTTGAAGATATGAAACTACAGGAAATAACAAAATCACACTATACTACATCAAAATAATACAATGGTGAAGATAGTATACATATTTCTTGACTTATTTAATATAGACAGCTTCACATTATATATACCCAAAGATCATTTTTATAGATAGTCCCAATCGATAAATCCTACATTTCTACCTTGAAACGTCCATCGATGTTCCATATCTTGTTCTTGTGCTTCAAAATCTGCTGTAATAAAAAAGAAAGAAAGAAAAATATAAAAGTACGTACCTGCAAAACCAAACACGCAAAAAAAAAACGGACCCAACGAGAAAAAAAAACTAACTAAAAACACAGTACGAAGTATGGAACATCTCACTCATACGACACCCGGTGGATTAGCTCACCAAAGTGAAGGGCGACTAGCCAATCGTCAAGAAAAAGGAAGGAGGACACAATGCCTTTAAACCCACGTCTTCTAATTCTAAACTAATGTCCTTGAAACCTTCGGCCTCGTACTCAAAATCCTGGACACCACCAAAGCTCAGTCAGGGTCCCGAAGGTTAACCTGTTGGCTTGAACCTCGTATATACAAAATAAGAACAAGGTAAAATGCTGAGATGTTTTGTTTTGGCTTATGTTTTGGAACTATTACTCACCAAAGTACTTGCGCACTCTAATGAACTCGCTCGCTGGACCGCTATTTTTTTTTTTTGAAAAAAATTATGCAGACAAAACACGTTAGTATCTTTTCATGTCAAGTTGGTAAGTAGTAAGCATGGAGATTAGCAGCAGATTTTGGCACACAAGAACAAGAACAGGAGTGTTTTGCTAGGCTTCTGGCTATTTCTTGCTGTCAGTCTATTGCAAAGAATAAAAAAAAAAGTTAGATCTTGCTCAACATTAAGTGCATGAGGTTGGTAGCATTAGCCATTCTCTCGTTTTCCTGAATCCGTCAAAGTTGAAAATATGGAGCGCCTCTTTAAAAAAGAAAAAGGCGAAAATATGTTCAAGTTCGCTTTTGACACTGAAAGAGACCCATTAGAGCTGGCTTTAACATACTGATGGTCTTTACATTCATTACTTACCTGGTGTAAACGTAGACTGGCCTAAAGGGAGGGAAATACAAACTAACAGATGCATATGCCCTTGAAATATTTTTTTGCGCCAACATAGATGACATCATCATTTATTTGTGATTAAAGCATTCTTAGCCATCATGAAAAAAAAGGGGTGCTTCAAGGGGTGATTTTTTAAAACATCGGTCATTTTTCAAAATCACCCTCTAAACTATCCCTATGTTTTTACCATAGTGTAGAGGTAAACGAATATATTTGAAAATGAAAAATAAGTATTGTGAGAATGTTGGTTATCTAAGGAAGAATACCATACCTGCTTACATATATATTTGGTTTCCTAATTTAATATCTCCGTTGGTTAATGGTTATTTTTCATTGAAGTAGTATGAAGTATACGAGTTTCTGGAAGGCGTTACGCTTTTCATATGTGACCTTGTCAAGTTCATTAAAAACTATATGATTTATTTTAGATCGTAGATTGTGTATGCCACTCAATTCTGGCTTGTATATTATATCAATAAAATTGGTAATAAGGATTTTTTTTTAAATTCTATATCTTTATTATATATCACAGTTACCTACAATTTAAAACTGGCTTATAGAATATAATTATTTACTACACTTTATTGGTATAAGGTATCTAATAAGATTGATATAAATACCAATTTTAAAGGGTCTTTATAGTAAATGCATGTACTACAGCACAAAATTGTTATGTATTTTACAGTATTTAATACAAGTATTTGTTTTTTAAACCAAGTTTATTGAAATAAAGTTGAGGTATGGCATATAAGTATCAGAGAAAACATATACTTGGAAAATTAATTCGTGATATCATTATCTGTATCAGACTTATAGAAAGAGTAATCAGTGTATCCAGTGCTGTCTCCTCCATAAAATGTAGAGCGATCATACTTATTGAGGGGCCAGTCATTCTTAAGACGAAGAACAAGGTCAGGATTTGCAACGAATGAGCGGCCAAAAGAAACCAGGATATTATTCGATTGTTCAGCAGTCTCAAATGCACGCTTAGGAGTAGTAGTGTATCCGCCGGAAGTAATAAATGGACCCTTCCATGCTTTACGGAATGGCTCAATTGTGTCGTTCTCGATAATCTTCATTCTATCTACTCCAGGGTTAGGACCGCTGATATAATCATCACGAGGCTCAATAAAGTGTAGGTAGGCCATCTTAGGGTATCTTTCTTGAATTTTGCTGGAAATATATCCCCAGGTTTTATATGGTGTGTCATCCTTCATGTCCTGGTACCCAGACCAAGGCGAAAGACGAATTCCGGTGCGATCATCTCCGATAGCTTTGGTGACACTTTCTACGACCTCCAGAGCAAAACGGGTGCGATTCTCGATAGATCCGCCATACTGGTCCGTGCGCGTATTTGACGAGGTATTAATGAATTGATCTATAAGAAACCCATTTGAACCATGGATCTCGACACCATCAAATCCAGCACTAATAGAATTCTTGGCAGCCTGAGCAAATGCCTGTGAGATTTTGGAGATCTCTTCAACTTCAAGGGCGCGAGGTACATCATACGTTGCTCCAATAGCGTTTTTTCCGTTGATTGAAATTGCAGATGAAGAGACAGGAGCCCTTTTTCCAGGAATAAAAATAGATGGAGCTGCACGACCAGGGTGACACAGCTGGAGATATATAATTCCACCCTTGTTATGGACAGCCTTGGTTACAACTTTCCACGCCTCGATTTGTTTGTCATTGTAGATACCCGGGGCGAAAGGAAAAATACCGTTCTCCTCGTTAATAAATGTGCCTTCTACAATGATTAGACCACCTTCAGAAGCACGCTGCTCGTAATATTCAGCCATCAGAGGAGAGGGAGCATGTTCAGAATCAGCACGAAGACGAGTCATAGGACTGTGAACAACACGGTGACTCAAGAGAGATGTACCGACTTTAATAGGCATAAAGAGAGCAGTCGCCATTTTTTGATTTTTGATTTGAGAATTGAGGATTGAGGATTGAGGATTGAGGATTGAATTGAAAATGATGGTTATTTTTTAATTGATGCTGGAGTATTTATATAAATTGGGTGTCAGTGTTTTTCTAATAGATAAAAAAAAGTTTTGCCATTGTTAGACTTGATGTGTCAGCAAATTCCAAATGTTACCTGTCTAGTAAGTACAGATACAGCTTTGTTCCTGATCTGTATTATGAGGCTGTTTTTTTATTGAGCAAGTATGACAAATATTAATGATTTTAGAGTATTAAAGATATAATAGTGTTCAATGGTTGCAGCTTTCAAGTGAAAAAAATCCCCATATTTAGAAATCTTACGTAGATTCACTTATAAAGAAGTAAAAAAAAAAGTTTAATTGTACAATCAGTAGAGTATACGCTATTTCGAAAAATTATTCACGCATTTTTGGGGAAAAATGTATACAAAAAGTACATTTTGGGCAGTACGTCCTTCATGTTAAGCTTAGTTTTTTTGCTGTAAATTTTCTTGTAATTCACTTGATATACTAGAGAGCAAGTAACACAGGGCTTAAGTTCACTCTTAGTTTGTTCCTGCAATGATCAGTCAGTTGATCAATTAGATATAAATAGTAGATAAATATCATTACTATTACTTTTATAGTTTACTGTCTCACGAAATCGAAAGATTAATAGTGCTGTCAGCAGTGACACATTTTCTTTTCGTATAGAGGCTGTCAGCCGTGACTCAGCAATTCCACTACTGTAGAAAATGGAAAGTATAAAGATCCCATTGTAACACATCGATGCCATCAAAAGTGCGCCAGACTCTAGCAGTCACAAAACTATGCAAGTGTAGATTCGAAAAGATACTTTTGCTTGAATATATTACTTAGCATCTTAAATAAAACGCTTTGAAATATACACGGTATCAGTCTACCTTCTATACTAAGCTCATTAAGGGGAGACCAGGGCTTTTATGCCTTTAATTTTTGTTATTTTCTTTTTCTCTCTCTATGGACTTACATAGGATTTCACCATTTTATCTTGAAAAAGATGCTCATAGTTATTTGGACACTAATCAACTTATACACATATATGTGTGTGTTTCATTATAAGATAGGAATAACATTTAACGGTTTATGAGACCGATGTCAGTAATTGTTAGAATCTGGTGCACTTTTAATGCTACCCAATTGGTATTCTTATTAAGAGGTTACAAATACTCAAATTTCTTAAAAAACCTCAATCGAAAAGATATAAGTCTGCAGAAACTATGAATGAGAAGTTTCTCTTTAAGTTGAGAGTATTGGCGTTAAAGAGTCTCAATGCATACATAAACCTGCAACAGTTTTTATCAATATTCCTAATTGCTTAAGAGACAGTTTTCATAATAGAGATAGAGAAATCAAATGGATGACAACTGTTACCCTTTTCTGGATAAGCTTCTTATATCTTTTCCTTTGAGTGTCAGCTATGGTACTTTATGCCTTTAATAACTTATATAAGACTATTATCTTTTTTAGTTAAAGTGTTTAAATCTAGAAACTAAACATGGCTATATTTTTTTCCAAAGTGGACAGTGGTATACATCCTACATAATATTTTTCTAGTCAAGAGTGTTATTATAAAGTAATATAAAAAATTGTAAAAATATAAACAAGATACGTGAGCACTGACCACAATAAAAGCCGTCTCTTCTAATTATGCATTTTGAGAATCCACTCATTACAAGAGAAAATAAGAAGTTATTCTATACAGTCTCGATAGAGTAAAGTCGTATATGAATATGCTTCTTGTATTCATATAAAGATAAATTCATAGAGAAAGCCAAAAACGTTTTTTTTTTTCATTGGGCATAAAAATGTATTATACATCTTGCGTTTTTATCTTCCAAAAAAAAAACATTAAAAAGGTCACTAAACGAGTTACCATTGTAGAAAAAAAAAGTACATATAAACAAAGCTGTGATTTGTCGAGTCTCATAAATTTATAAAGAAGTTTGTTTACATAAAGCCAGAATGCAATTTTGGACACTGTTGAGGTATTCGGGATTGTTTATGGGTTAGTATCTCAACGATGGGAAAAGTAGATACTGTGAAAGTGTTATTTATTAAAGAGACAAAATAATATTATTTATATATTTTACTATTAAAATCCCTGTAATTCAAATCCCTGTTGTGCAATGGTTGGTTTACACTGTATGAGTGTGCAATGTACGTGTGCCTGGTGTGTAACAGTTCCAGAGATTGTTAACTTGTCAGGTTCATTAGCAAGAAGGAACCAGTGTTTGGTTGTGGGGTCTGTCCTTCACTCAATTGTGGTGTGTATACCACAACTGCTAAATCTAAAAAAAAATAGGGGCGAAAGAGAGTTTCTCTTTAAGATCGTTTGCGATACAACAAAGGGATTATTCAAGGTTTTATAGGCGTTAGCTGTGCCTTTATCCGATAAGTATTTTCACAAGTTTCTATGTAGAGTCAGAATCCACTCTCGTAGAGTGACTTAAAAGCCAAAAAAAAATAGTGATTAATCGGAAGAAGTTATCGGAATGAGCAAAAGAGCATTACTAGAGATTGTCATCTTGGAATGCCATAACCTAGAATGATGAGTCGAGATTTCAACTTCGCAGGAACGAATAATACTACAGAGTTTTCTGACATACTATGAAGGCTCTTATACCCAACACCGGCTCCTAGAATATGTGGTTTGATGGTATGTGTGTAAGGACACTTTTTGAAAATATATTTGAGAGTAACCTTCTTAAAAAATGGTAAATAATATCAGAACAATGTTTGCATTAATTTAAAGTTATCTTAGACGCTTTATAGCCACCAGTACAGATGAGTACATACAAAGAAACGGCTCAAGATGAAGCCTAAAACCCGAAATGTGCTTCTACTCAGCCAAGAATAGAAAATAGGTGAATATTCTTATTGATGGAATCAAGGCATTCAAAGCTATCAAAGCTCCAACAGAGTTTCCAAAACTCGAATTTAAAATAAAATTAATAATATTAGAGTTGGTGGTATTTAATTCTTCAGAGCCAAATACTTTTGGTATTGCTGTGCAAGATAATAATTTTATATTACTGTGAGAGACCGCAGAAAAGTTAACAGTAGTAGATGCTTTGGATATTTAGCCTTCATGACAGACCTTTCCTGCAATAACACTTGTAGGATGTCAAAGCTTTACAAATTTTATATTCCCCAAAGTACAGAAAGATTCAGTGTTTTGTACCTACTATAAAGGTTTTACTGTCCTTAAAAGTAAACATTATAATTTAGATATTAGATTCTTCCCCCTTTCCTTTTGTTCAAGCTTGGAATATTTTGTAGGGTATGGTTACTGGAACAAAAGAGGCTATTGATAAAGACTATTCTGAAGAAGGAAAATTAAAAGAAAAATAACGAAGAATTAGATCTACCAGCCCACAAAGAATCCAAAAATTGAATAAAGGATTTCTTTTTCCCTTCTTCTTTTTTTATTTTTGTTTTGTTTTGTTGTTGTACTTAGTTGCGCAACTTTAATAGGCTCGCGTAAATAAAGGAGTTTTTTTTTACTGTAGCTGACGATATGAATTTACGTATAAGCTTTGGAGTTGAATGGAACATATATCTATAAATATAATATAAATACATCAGAAAGTATGAGGAATATGGTGTTGTGGTTCGATTTTTAGTTTTCCTTACTTTAAGAAAAGTTTGATATTTCTTACACCTTCATAGTTTCGAAAGAAAACCGTCTTTGACTAACTCGAAGGATTACATTGTAAAGGGAAGCACCTTTAACGTGAGCTCAGTACTTGTAATAAGAGTATTGTTCCAGATTATTCTGTATCCACTGACTGTTTGAACTTTCCATCAGAGCATAAATTTATGAAATGGCTAAATCAAGTAGAAAATAAACATGCCAATTGGGTCTATTATTAGTATTATGACAAAAGGCAAATTAAGTATTTTTTAAACAGTCTCAGAAAAAAAGAATAGCTCTCTTTTCAACCAACTGTACAATGTATAAGAAGAACTAAATATATTAATATTGGCTGTCCTTGTCAGCTTTACAGTCACGCCTAAATTTTATAGTATCATCATTATCCAATATAGCGGACATGATCCTGAGTATGGCTTTCTCAAAGCAATAATAGAAGTACTTGATAGATGGCTAATGAATTAAAGCAATGAACTGAAAGGAGTTTTTTTCAGAATTCTGCCTGTAAACTGATTAAGAACATGCCAGGAAGCAGTAAAGAGTGATTTATTGAAACAAATAAAATTAATATATTTCAAGAATCTCTACTAATCTCCAGTCATATAGCTTGAGCAAACCGAAAACAAATATTATTTCTCCAAGTATATTATCATAAATTACCGATACATGATATATGCTAGCAATACTTGTGTAATGAAAAATCCAATATTTGCTTGGAAAAAACTCAGTGAAAATGTAAATTTCATGTTATTTAAAGCCCATAATAACCAGCCATTCCTTCTTTATTGGATTTCAGATAATAAAAAAAGGAAATAAATTATAAAATTTAAATAATATAGAGTATTCTTACTGATATTACCTGGTAATATATTAGCTTCTTCGAAAGGCTGAAAAGTGGTGCGTTGGCTCAACACACAAGTCTAGAGAAAAATTTAAATTTGAAACACAAAAAAAAGGGAAAAGAAGTGATTTGCCAAAATACCACCTTTAAGCAAATACTAATAGCCCGAGAATCTGTCAGATATATACTTTAAACGCTCGCTTTAATACCAGTAATTTAGTATTTAGTATCGCCTTGATCGTGGTATTTCTTCGACTAAATTCCTAAAAGGAATTGATGGAGAACATGCTTATATAACAGAAAGTAAAGTTTTAAATGTAATATATATGGTCAGTTCAAGCATATATAAGATTTTATTTATTTTCTCTATCTTTCTTTATTGACTCTACTTCAAGTCTTCTGCATTCTGGTTAAACCATTTTTGTACAAATCTTATTTCGTCTACAATCATCAATAAAAATATTTCCTATATCCAGTATTCCTTGTATTATAAGGATAGAATCAATGAAAATGCTTTTTTTAATAAAACCGCTTATATTCGACTCAACCACTACAGCTTATATGAAATCTTTCAGAATAACTGTCATTTAGACTATTTCAAAATTATTGATCCACACCTTGTTGAACTTAAGAAATGCGATTACAAAACTTAAAAAAAAGACGTCCTGAATCTTCAAATTGCCCGCCTAATTTTTGTTTGTTTTTGTTTGTTTGTTTGTTTGACGTGTGGTTGGTTATATTCATTTATTAAACTACCTGTGGAACGATGTATGTTATACAAGTCGCATTGTTCGTAATTGATATATTGAATTTTAATACACTATATAAAATGAGTGGTGTTTTTGGGGGTGTTTTTGGAAAGTACAAAAGACATTTTCCATAATTACCATCGAAATCAACACTCCTTTCTCATAAAGATACCTAGAAATGTTTACGAGGTATAAGGATTAAATAATTAAAATCAATCCCCCAAAATGGCCTATCATTGCTTTTATTTTTTGTTGAAGCTATGAGTGACTACTATATAGTGGCCTGGAGCGTAGATCGTTTATATCTAACTGATAATAACGTACCACTTCATTTTGTTTAGCTGATCAGTCGTCAAGAATCAAAGATTCTTCACACTTGGCTATCAATACTTGATTGTCATTTTTCCATTTTCCATTTTCATTACGTATATTGGTTCCATAATATTATGTATGTATTGTATATACAAGCACGAGAATGTTTTGTAGAAGCAGTTTATCATATAATAGTTTATTATTCGTAAAAAGTTTTTTTTAACTTAAAAAAGGGTTCTGGCTTGTAGCACATAAAGCAGCAACATTGAAAGTCATTTTGAAGGGTAGAAATATGTCAAAGCCAAGAAACCCTTTCTCGAGTGTAGACTTTAATGATGCTGTAGTCACGATAATACGACTCCGCTTACTGTCTTGGAAAAACAAAACAAAAACAAAAGGACATTATAGAAAAGAAAGAAAAAACTCGGGTAGATACCTTTGGCCATACCAGTGCATTTTGAATATCAATGACACCTTAGAAAATACGAACATTCTCTTCCAAAAAAAAAATCCAGTACAACCGGATATCTTCTAAAGAGCCAATAAACCCTACCATAGGTGTGGTGCAAGATGTGATGTATTGTACAACGACTAGCGGACTTGTGCATTTATGACTTTTTTATATACTCTATCATTCTTCAAAGGTGTTGAACAGGACATACAGAAAGAGTAAAATGGTTGCTTGGTGTTCAATAGTAGAGATTCGTCGGAATATCCGCAATCAAATCTCATGGCCTTACAAAGGAATGGAATATCTCATCATCGTAGAGCCAGTACACCGCATATAAACTCTCCTATAAATTTGGACTGCAACAGTCTCCGCATATCTCTTTGGTCCTTTTCTCGGCAACCGTCTTTCCTCTCTCTTTCTCTTTCTCTCCCATTTCTTTCTTGTCTTACATACCCACTCAGAGTTCAGGTAGTCCTCGGCTTCGCTTACCTCTTGTGTAGCAAGGTATCGAAAAAAAGGAAGACTAGGACAAGATGCAAAGAAGTCGGCTGTTCACAGTAACAATGGGATCCTCGTAATATATCCGGCCCTGTCCTCTCGAGTTCTTTGCACTTTCCCGTTCCTTTTTCCTGCATAGGTAAATGCTTCAAAGCACATCATTTTCTCTTGATTCCCCAAAAAGAAATTACCACTACTAACACCTCAAACCAGTACCTTTTTGCAAGGTCCTTTCTGATCTTCTCGTTGTATCCTCGGGTGGGAAGGCAAGAATAAAGAAAACATTTGCGTATGCTCATCATTTTCTTTTTGTGTAAAGGAGAAGAATAGAAGGCTTGTTTTTTTATTTACCTGATATTTGTTTGATCTAACTCTATTCTCTTAAATATATTCACAATATATATATATATACCATCACCACAGGTTTGTCCATTCTTGTGGGGAGCTCCCGACTGCAAGGGGATATCGGAAGGGGCAGTAGAGGAAGATATAGAAACGAACTTACAATAGCCTCGCGCTGGGCACGACTCCTTTCATTTGGTAAACCGGGCGGGTGGTAGGCAAGTTACTCTATATCTAATACGACTAGCATTCGCTAATACCTTTTTCTTTATACTCTCACCAGCGAGTTACCTGCCATCGCCTGTGTTACTGGAGTCGTGACAGTATAGTGTTCATGTACCCAAAAGTCAAGCCAGACTTTTGGTGAACACATATTTTTCCTTGCCGAGGCAAATCTTTAATAAAATAATAAATTTTTTCTTGAAGAAAATAATAATAATATTGTTAATTTCTGTTAGGCTGTATAATTTTGCCCTGCAGATATTAAGTGTTGGTGGCAAAATAACCCACACGCCCCCCACACACACATATAAATACATACATACATACATACATATATACATATATATATATAATACTTTGTATTTTTATAGCATACATACATTTATACCCATGATACATCGAGTGGCTTACCAAGTACGACCCAAAATAAATAAATAGATGTTGTACAACACAAGAGGCTTGTATATTGTTTCCTCTTTGACTGAAGTCTTATTGATTGGTGTGAGTTGTTGTATTCTGGTATTATAGTTCTGTTCTCTGCTGTATATATTAAAATAAAAAGAAACATTTCTTGTTAGTGTATTACTGTAGATACTCTTTGGTACTCTTCGCTAGAAGCCCTGGATTCTCCGAAAGAGATATCTTGTGTTACATTGGTTTTATCAATAGAGAGGTTCTGTTGAGAGAAGAGAAGAAAATAAAGAGGGGAAAAAAGAAGAGAGAAAGAGAAAGAGGAAGAAGAAGAGGAGGAGGAAGAAGAGAGAATCCAGGTTAAAAACAGAAACGCGAAGGCGAGAAACAGGATGGGTGGTTTTATAAAGAGATGATATTAATCGGTAACCCAAATAACATATCCCGCGAAACATATCCAATAACTTGTATGCATACAAGTTTCTTAATTCAAAAGAGTATGGCTTATCTTACCTCAGATGGCGAGGTTGGTTATTTTTGTGTCGTGTACTTCGCCCGTGAGATAAAAACCAGCGGCCTTTAATACACACCGAAATAATAGAGTAAACTCAAACAAAATAAACATAGCCATTGTATTTCCATGGTTTCTTTCTTCGTTTTCTAGCTAGGTAGCGTGTTTGTTAAGATTATGTCAGAAATTTATGTGACTGATGGTTAAGTGTATGATATATGGATAGCTTGTCTTTTTTTTTAAAAAAAAAACAAGGGACAGGGAAAATTCACAAAATAATATTAGGTATTGAAACATAGTAGCAAAAAATAGACAGAGAACACACTAATATATACTGATGTGCGTTTAGATTTGGTAAAAGAAAAAAAAACAAAAGATTATTATTATTATTATTATTATTATTATTGCTGTTACTATCGTTAATATTATTGTTGTTGTTGTTTTTGCTGTTGCTGTTGTTCTTGTTTTATCATTAAAATAATTTATCTATTGGGGTCGAGGTGGCGATGAGTTTGAGGGATGATTAAGGGGAATATCTTCAGGAACAATATCTGCCTTGACCTTTTGGTATACAGTTCCAATAATCTTAAGGCCCATAGCGCGTGCCTTGAGCGTATTCTTAGAGGCAGTCGAGTCACTCAATACTGTATCACACACTTCGCGAAGAACACTTTCCACTTCCATCTTTGATCCACGCCATATGGCTTGTAAACCCTGATACCAGACAAAAAAGAAAGGGTTACTTTAGTACAATAGTTCCATAAAAAATAATAATATTGCGCAATCCATCTTACTTTTTGGGCAGCTTCCTCTTCCAATTTAGCCTTTTCTTCATCAGTCAGACCCTTTTCTTCTGCAAGTTGAAGTTCTTTGAAGCTTGACTGCAAATCCAGAGCTGTCCGGAGAGTTCCAACAGTCTCGCTAAAGATGTACCCTTTTTCTCGTACAGTGTGGAACATGCCTCCCAAACCAAATGCTACACTTTTACCCAAGTATTGATTTGCTTTTGCAGTATATGTGTATCCGATGGCATGCAGCAATTCTATACCATAGTTTTCATGTTTCAAATCCTCGGCCTCAGCTTGAATAATATTGGTAAATGCGGCTGCGGATGTTATAGAAGGTTCTGATTCAGTATATATGCACAGTTTGTTGACCAATTTCTCGCTTAATGTCTTTACACGAGCTGCGCGTGTCTCATTACGCTCGGCCTCTGACTTTTCTTTCTGTGCTTCTTTTTCAGCCTTTTGTTCAGGAGTTTCAGTAGATCTCTCTTCCCCTTCTTCTCCATCTTCAGCTGTTTCCATAGCTTCACGCATATCTCTGCCTATAGATAATTCACCGATAATATCAAGGAAACGATCTCCTCCAAAAGAACTCTTGAAGAATTCTTCAGGGTCAACTGGGTGATATTATATAAATTAGCATAAAAAGCTTTAAACTAAATTGCTTCGTTTCTTTCTTTCTTTTAAAAAAAATTTACCAAATCCACCGTCTGGTTTTACACCATTTTCTTCTCCATACTCATTGTAATTCTTTCTCAACTTTGGATCTGACAGAACCTGATAAGCTTCCGAAATTCTTTTGAACTACAAAGGTTCATGGAAATACATAAATAAATAAGTATATGATTATTATCTTTTCAACGATACTGTTGTTGTTGCTGTTGTTGTTGTTGTTGTTAGTATCAGCTAACCTTTGCTTCTGCAGTAGGATCATCGGGATTTTTATCAGGATGAAATCGAATGGCCATTTTACGGTAAGCCTTTTTGATTTCATCTTGTGTGGCCAAGACCTTGACATCGAGTAAATCATAATACTCGGTCGTAACAGGTTTTTCGTCTATATTTAACTTAAGTACAACAGACAACATTTCGTATGGTACAAATAGTTCATATGCTTACCTGTGCCTTTTCTCTTTGGACGTGCTGCGGTAGTACTGGGCTTCTTTACACCGGTACCATTTGAGTCAAGTTCATACTCTACTTCTTTGTGGCATGCCCAACATTCAACCTGAACTTTTTGGTTTTTTATCTTTGACTCTGGAAGAAACTCCAAAGGGGTAACGCATTCTTTACATGTAGTATTAATATACGGTTCTGGTTTTCTAGACTTTAGAATAGGCATTTCTTAAAAGGAATAAGAAAAAGAAAAAAAAATGATTGAAGAATGAAAGGGGTCAAGTGTTATGCACGCCGCTTGAACTTTTTCTTCTAGTGGGCTGTTTCAATGGACTAAAGGATATGTGACTTTGTAAAGATGTTACTGGTTAGGAGTCACACACGCACACACACGCACACACGCAGGTAGAAAGCGATAAGTAATCTGTTTGGTGTGCATTATCGATTGTCAATAATTAAGACTTTTCAAAGCGTGAATGTCAATGATCTATTTTAGAAATACACTGCTATATAATTCAAAAGTGTCCGGGATGTTAGATTTTGTCAATGTTAGGTTCGTAAAAAAATAAAATGTCTATAATTCTTAGAGATAGACGACAATTACAAAAGATTGTGAAATAAATTATCGTCAAAATGTAATGGGTGTAAATGAGTTTAATGTCTTGCTGATATATAAGAATACTATTTACAATATCTTGTAGGCTATCCATAGAAGCTAATATATTGTATTGAGATAAATTTACTGATTCAGGCTGATGTATCTTATATTAAATAAATAAAAAAATAAATAAAAGTCGTCTTTACATGTGGGGTCTACGATCAGTTTCATAGAATACATTATTATCATGTTTTTTAAAATTTAATCCCAGCCATTCATTCATGTATGTAATGAACAGATTAAGAAAATCATCATAGAGCTTTGAAGTTGTAACCTCTCCAATATAAGAAATCAACAACCCTTAATTTAATATTGAATATACCAGAATTCACCAATTTTTTTTTGGAAGTTACTAATATGGCATGCACTGGGAGACATTTTTCTTTTCCAAGTCCTCCTTCAGTTACTCCCCCGGTTCTGAGGGATAACCAGGCTTTTTGGATACACCTTCGTCCAAAAATATTCTAGGCAATCAATATTGAACTTTCGGTTGAACTCTTGAATACACACTCAAGAACATGAATGTCAAAATCTTTGAATTTTCTCAACATCGCCACCTTGTGTGGCCGAGTTGTCTTTATTTCTTTCTTCTTCCCCCCTTAAACGAGCCACTCTGCTCCAATGGACTATTATTCTTGTAACACTCTTGTTTTATATATAGCAGTAAATTTATTATTATCATTGGCCATCATTTACACATTGGAAGATTTTAGCAATGAACAATTCATCTTTGCGCATACAAATCATTATTCTATTTTCAGTAAAAGTTTTCTTTTCCTCTGATTTTTTGTATAAAGTTTGAGAACAAGAAGGGAAAATGGACAAAGTTTGTAGTCTATGATTCTTTCTTTATTTTTTTTTAGTACATCTTCGTGTGTTGTATCTATTCCAGCTAATAATACAAGAAGAAAAAAGTATGTTTTTCAGTGCATATTGTTCGAATTATCTTTTTTTATTATATATACCAATCTTCGCAGATTTTATATTATTGATACAATAAAAACATATTTTTCTTATAATAAAGATCGTATTCGGTTGTATATTCGTTGCATTGTGTTAATCTGGAAGTGTTATTAGTATTAGTATCAATATTATTAAGTTTGGTAACCTGAGGAGGAGAAAATGATTCAGAAGGGTAAGAGAAGTCTACCTAAGCCATATTTTGGAAAGAGAATAAAAGGTCACATATAAAGTCGCCTCTTTATCTTTTTTTGAAAGGTTGAGTGTATTAGTTGTATAATCGCTTATTACTTTGATCACTAATGCCTAAAGAAGTCAAAACAAAAAAGGCCGCGAAGGCCGCCATTCCTAAATCCCTGGACACATTCTTTGGATTTACCATCTTACCCGTACTTGTGGCCGAGAACACCAGACATTACATGTACTTGAAGAAGCATGAGTCTCGCAATGCCACTGAATTGCTTCCTAATAACCGGTCCCTATTCGTACTCAATCTTCCTGTGGATACAACTGATGACCATTTACGCCAATTATTCGGTGATTCCGGCACCATTAAACGGATATTCTATCACAATGGTGTAGCAGCAGATACAGTATACGACAGCGATTGCAGCGACGAAGAGGAGTTTGGCGTTGTCGAAGCATCACCTGAAAAAAAGGAGAAAGAATCTAAAAAATCAAAGAAGAGAAAGAACTTAGAAAGAAGAAAAGAAGAAGAAGAAGCACCCATTGAGCTGCGGAAAGTACTACACACAGGATCGTCAGCACATATTGTGTTTGCCCACACAAAGATGCTTGAGGCTGCATTGAACACCGCTCGTGATCGTGTCTGGACAGCAGGAGAAAATGTCAACGTACAATCTCTTGGATTTGACCGTGAGTTTTTAGGGCTATAAAATTCTGGAGATTTTAAGAGAAAGAAGAGGTTTTTTTTTCTTAAAAGAAAGACAATATTGCACAGAGAATCAAAATATATTTATATATTTATGGTACCGAATGGGATTGTAGGTTATATGCTTAGATTCTCGGTATCTCGCCCTGACCCTGCTAAGCTTCAACAAAAGGTTGATTCATTCATGATGAAATTCAAGGCCAACGAATATGAACAAGAACGTTTGGCATTGGAGCGCATGAACCAAATGGATGACGATGGTTTTGTGGTGGTTACCCGTAACAAAAAGGTTAAGACTTCAGATGGCACCACTAGTGTTTCTACTTTCAAGGGTGAATCATTTGATGTCAATAAGGTGAAGAAGAAGGAGCTCGAGAATTTCTACCGCTTCCAACTTAGAGAGAAGAAGCAGAATGGTAAGTTATACTTAGTATTATTAATGTAGTACAGTTTAGTATATTGTAATGCGTTTGTGTGTTTATTGTTCAATTGCAATATACTAAATATTTTTTTATTATTTGCAGAATTGGTTGAGCTGCGAAAGAAGTTTGAAGAGGACAAGGAGAAGATTGCTGTTCTCAAGCAATCGAGAAAATTCAAGCCTTTCTAAATTTTGTAAAAATAAATAATAAATAAAATATAAAAAATATAAAATAAGAAATAAGAAATGATATTTGTAATTATAATTATAATATAATGATCATGCATTAAGAAAATTTCGAATCAATGATAGAGAGAGGGAGAGAGAGAGCGAGTGATTACTGAGGCGGTAATTAAAGCCAATGTGAAAGACTTCCTTACCGGGCCATTAAAAAAAACTAAGCATACAAAATACTCATACTATCTCCCCCCTTTTTGTTTCCTTCTCTTTCCCAAAGAGGATTTACTTACACAATAATAATATAATACATTACACATAATAATATACCCTCCCTCTTTTAAAACCCTTCTATATCATATACCTGATTTATAATTATACACTATACATCTTACATAAAAGAAAAAAAAAACAATAATAATAACAACAAGGGAAAAGAAAAGAAAGGAACCGAACAACTTCAATTCTTAATAACCCTCATGTTTCGACAACAACTGAGTCATCTAACCAAGCTGACCACCTCAACCCTCAAATATGCTTCTACGAACACAGTCACCCTCCTATCGATGGCAACATCGACAGAGGACCCAATGCCATCTCAAGCACTCATTAACTTTTGGATTCAAGAAACTCAAAGAGGCCTGGTAAAAAGAATATAGCAACATTAATAAGATCAGAAATATCATTCTTCTGTTTGTTTACTTGTTTTATAAAACAAAAAGTCCCGAGACTCATCAAATACATGTCTTGTGACATAGGATGCTTTCTTTGATGATCAGTTTGAAACTGCCCAGATTATTTTTGTCCAACATGTTACAGAGTCACCATTCCATGCTGTCGGGTATGCGATGATTGCCTATGTCGAGGCCATGCTTGGATTTGAACCCGAAAAGATCGCCAATGCACTTCAACTCATTCACACAGCAGAAGCCATGGCCAGGCAATTTGGTAAACGAGCAAGACGACGAAGTTGGAAATCCAAAGGATCTACTACAGCAGATGATCAGGAATCATCAAATTCTATTTCTGAATCATGCAAGGATTCTGCCCAAAAGAAGAGATATTTTTCGAGTCGGAATGATCAGCCAATTGACATTCAGTATGTCTTATTGGAAACAAATTGCATGCTAATGTCGGCCACAATCCAATTCTTAAGGAGTAGCTGGATCGAGTACATGAAAGCAGCATACAAGTTAAGAAAGGCCTACAAGATGTATGAGCATTTATTTGAAACTCTTACTGGCCAAAAAGTACTCGAATATGCTGCAAACCTAAAGGGTCTACGACAGCAGAAATTAGGACCCAATTTTGTACCTGCACGACGACGTAGTGATGCACAGGGGACTGAACCAGCCAATACAGACACAGTATCCCTTTCAAGTGTCATGACAACCCCTGCACCACATTTGTGGACAGAGAAACGTTTTGGAGTATTCCGACATCGCAAGTCCAACACTGATCTTGGCCCATTGAATCGGAAAAAAAAGTCAGAAAGCAGCTCAAGGAAGCAATCAAGTGATCCAGGCGAGACAGCAATTGAGAGTGGTATTTTCTTTGGAATTGGGTTATTCAGTCTTATTTTTTCATTATTACCACCCAAAGGTAAGAAGAATTATTTTTATTTTTTATTTTCTATGTGTATGTGTATGTGTATGTGTATATGTGTGTGTGTGTGTGGATGTGGATTTTCATCGTTTCAAAATCATAATTGAAACAAAAGAGAAGTCTAATGGATCACTGAATCCTAGTCAACAAGATTCTCAACACACTTGGGTTCCACTCTTCGCGCCCTTTTGCTATCCATCTCTTGCAGGAATCGTATTATTCACAGGGCCTCTATTCTTCCTTAAGCGCACTTACTCTTCTAGCCTATTACACCAACCTTTCGTTATTTATTCATCCTCAACTACTACCACGATCATTTAGTCTCGAAAATGCACGGATTATCCTAAATGAGATGAAGGTCCGTTATACACAAGGCAAGATTTGGAAACTATTGGAAGGAAAATTGTGCAAAATGGAAGGTAGGACACGTCAAGGTGTCGAGATATTGCGAGATGCCCGACGTCGGCGGCAAGATCCGGACATGGATAGTAAACATGATCCGATGGTTAATGAATTGGCTCAATTACAAGCTTTGGCGGTGTACGAGATGGGCTGGTAAAAAATGATAGCTTGTGTTTGCTACTCTCTCTCTATATATATATACAAAAACAAAACAAACCGAACTAAATTGATTGTATATTCTAAAGGGGACAATTATTCTTGGGAGACTACTTTCAGGCAGCGGAGACATTCCTTCGTCTGGAGCGAATGAACAATTGGTCACGAGCGTTCTATCACTACATTGCTACATGCTGCATATTTGCTGACGAAGCATATGACAAGGCTGCTACCGAGTTTCTCAAAGTTCCGGCTTTGCTGGATCGAAAGCGACAGTTGGGAGCGCGTCTATTACCAAATGAGATCTTTGCTGAGCGAAAGATCAAACGGTGGAAGGAAAAGGTCAGGGAACTCCAGAGCACAGATACGAATTTACAGTCGTGCAACTCTTTGGATGGACAAATGTTACGTGAGGTCGCGGTCGTTCATCCACTTTGGGAATTGATTTATTTGTGGAATGGTACATCCCAATTGACAGATGAAATTTTGGGATCAATGAAGACCCGTTTGAGGTCTACCCTCCTTTGTCCAACTCCGAGTAGCCAATGTGTACAACCTAGTCCTTCCGAACGAGCATTCTTGTTGCTTTTACTAGGAGTTGTTGAACGCGAGCTTGGTGATTTTGAGGCATCAGCTGAATTTTTGTTGGCCAGTGTTGCAATGGAACCTCAGGTGGAAGAAGATGTCTGGATTATACCCTATGCAATGTATGAAATTGCCGCACTTCGTTGCTTTGAGCCGTTTACACCCACAAGGGCCAAAGAGGCCAGAGAGTGGATCAGAAGATCTGAGCATTTTTTTAGTAAACGGACGACAAACGAGGCTTCTAACTCTAACTCTAATTCTTCTTCAACCCATACTCCTCAAGATCAAGGTGATGCAGATTGGGAAAGCAGACTTTATGTACGGTGTCAGCTTTTGCTTGAAAAATTGGATGACATGGCTGATACTTGAACAGAAAAACAAAAAAAAACAAAACAAAACAAAACAAAACGAAAGAAAGAAAGAAAGAAAGAAAGAAAGAGAGATAAACGGTGTTGTGATCGTATAATACAAGACAATCTTTATTACTCTCTTTTTTTATACATATACTCAAGCAGTTTCTTCTTTAGCAAGCTTTATCTTCTGTAGTAGGGCCTGGCGTTCTTCTGCCAGAGCTTCTCGTTGTTCGAGTAGTCTCGCCTGTCGTTCCTGTTCATCTAGGACTGAATCATGAGTTTTTATTTGAGAATCTCTGTGTTCACGAAGGAGTACTCCGGCATAGTAGCCGCAGGGAAGAATAAGGACAGCCAAAGCAGGAAAGAGATTACGCTGGAGGGATGGAAGCATTACTTGACTGGTGTCAGGGACATTAGGGGGGTCATGTCATTCTTAAGTTCCAAAACGACTTGGCCAGTGACTTCTTTGCGACTGTGTTTTAAGGGAAGTTACCCTACAAAAAATATGTACGTATGTAATATATGTATGCATGTAAATTTGGGGAATGTCTACTCTTAATAATAATTATATATACAAGTATAAACTTAATATAGTGCTTTTTGTAATTAGTCAAAGCTATTATCCTACCTTGTATTAAAGTAGTTTATTATAATAGTGATTCTTAGGGACCAGATACAATTATTCCATGCCAAGTAACAGTCACGATGTGGTCCACAGTATTTCTATATGAGATTGAGGCACTTTTTTTTTTGGAAGAATAAGAAAAGAAATTCAGATAAATTGGTGTGGACAGACTAAAAGTTCAAAAAAAAGGAGCAAAAAAAAGGTAAAATTAAGTAAAGTTCTAGTACAATAATATGACTTGAATTTTTGCTTTTTTTTTGCCCATTTTTTTGAACTTTTAGTCTGTCCACATTAAGTACAAGCAAAATCCGTCAGAACTTGGAAGATTTCATTGATGACTATTTCCTAATTGAACAAACGCTACTCCCAGATATAAGTTTGCTATATAATGTCTCTGTCCAATTGATGCAGAAAATAGTCCATTCAAACGACTGTCCTAAAGGGGACGGTGCGCAAGACCTAGAAAAATCTGCAATTAAATGCTTCTTCCTTTCCAGGTGCGGAAGTACTTTGGAAGCATAACTGGGTTGTTATCTTTCAAGTGGTAGATAATTATATTGATTTTATAGAATACTGTAATTGATTGACTGCTTCCCGGTGCGAAATAAAGGACAAGGACGCAGAAACTGCCATTTTTTTTGTAAAGTGAAAGAAAAGTAAATCCTAACTTTTGAATGGTATTGGCGTAAATTTCAAAGACATGACCAATATTTTTATTGAATTGCCAGTGTAGTCAATATTATCAGCATTTTTACGTAGGTGAATAATAGAATACTATCTCTAATTTTTATTTTAAATAGACTGAACACAGCTACTGATATTAGGCACACGCTAGAAGATTAACCAAAATAATAATAATAAGAGTGCTACGAATGTGTTGGCCGATAGCATGTGCTGATGCCCAAATGCCAATATCAATACAATGAAAAAGGCTTGTGTATATTCTACACGTGACATTCAGAATATCCTGACAATTATACAGTATTCTTGGAAGGATATAGATAAGCGAAGGGCTCTTTAGTGTAATTCAACGTTGTTACCAATGATATATGAAGACCGCCAAGAGTTGATTCAAGTATATGAGCTATTTGCTATCCTTTATGTAAATTTACCAACTAATAATATATATATGTGTGTGTAATAAGAAGCAGTGTTTGGATACACATTTCCCCAGATAAAAATAAGAATAAGAATGCTAATGCTAATGCTAATGCTAATAATAGCCCACGATTTATCAATAATGTACTTGGAATATTGATATTTAAATGAGAATGATATATAGGCTCAAAATCTCGGAAAGTGCCTTTGACTAATTCTTTGAATATTACATATTAACCTCTGCTTTAATCTCAGAATAAAATTGGTTATTTATTATCTAAACTTGAAGAGCTTTTTTCCTCTTATTTTGAAAATAAAAGATTGGAAGGAAAGTAGAGTAGCTTAAAGGATCCTATTATAACAGAATCTGGTAAACTGGCGTACATAAAGGCTGTCTACATACGTGTATATATGTATATATACTCTGTGTGTGTGTGTGTACATTTATGCATTGATGTAAATATGTATGTAAATATGTATGCAGATATGTATTTAAAAAAAGGGAGAAAAAGGGGGGTTTCCATAACTGCCTAACAACACCTAACTTTATAAGCGATGGGAAATATTTCAAGAAGACCAAGATAATAATAATCTCTATTTTTTTCAAAAATAGATTTCTTACAAGTGAAGTAATCAAAATATTCAAAATTAGACATGGCTTGGATCCAATGTTGTAAATATACATAAATACATGCAAGTGTATATGTATGTATGTCTAATAATTACAATCAAACAGACTAGTCTTGTACAATTTTGGGAAGAATATCACGTAAGATGCATGGAAGGAGTGTGTCAATAATGAAAAGCCAAAATCAGAAATTCCAAAGAATGGTAACTTCTTAGCTAAAGACGCGTTACTTGCTGTCAGTAATTATTTTATGGGTGATATCATTTTGAAAGATATATATATATATATATATATTAGCCTAGCAGTATGTTAAATACATGACTCCATTCTTCTTCAATATAATTCCTTTTCGATTTCTCTTTAAAGAATAGAATAATACGATCATTGGAAATGATTTGGGGAATCGTTCGAATCAAAGCCAACAGCTGTTTTATTTTATTTTATTTTATTATATATATTATTCCATGCTACTTTTGGAATTGTCTTTAGGGTGAGAGTGATATTAGGGTTGATTTACTCTAAATATCTTTATTCCACAGCCAAATCTTATTTTGCTAGGACTGCTTTAAGATATTCTTAATATTAAAGGTAGCTGAATGGGTTATCTGGTGTAGGTGCTTGTTCTCACCAAGACAGTATATTTCACGTGACAGTCATATCAATGAGAAAAGAGGTGTAAAGAAGAAAGAAAGAAAGAAAATAAAAGGGTATTTTTATCATTGAATCCTCGGAAGCTCGGGCCTCTGGGACTAAAAAGGATATGTAAACTTTAAGAGAATAGAATAGAAAGAATAATTTATATATGTGTGAATCTAATTTTTTACTATTATTTTCTTTGTTTTTGAAAGGGATATTCCTTTTTCTGAACTGCAGATTCTTTTTATATAATATACAATACGGTGTTGTAACCAAGACTAATCCATACGCATACACACACACAATATAAAATAAAATAAAATAAATAAATAATATCAAGGGGGTGGTACAGCCAAAGACGGCCAAAAAAGGGATCTTGTATTATCAGCAATCACTATCATTACGTCTCTTGTCTGGCTGATAGTGTATACAATAAGATATACAAGATGGATGCACAGAATATCAATGTCACAAAAAAAAATTCAATTGGGCGTTTCGTATATAGATCTATTTAAGACCTAAATATTAAATAAATCTTTATCATTCATTTATTTATTTATTTTATTTTTTTCTTACATATTATATTCATTTTGTACGCAATGCTGAGACCTATTCCAACCATTCAATCTTCACAAAACACCGCTAGTCTATACAACTATGCCAGAACAGATGTATTCGCCCATAACAACCAGCAAACATTCTCTAGTCCTGATCGCATACCATCCTTCACCGCCATCCTTCTCCTCCAAGCACAGGCATCCGTAATCCAAGCCATTACAGCCATTCCCCCACAGGAGCCTACCATCTCTGGCACCGTACAGAAATCAGTGCGCTGGTTCTTGATCTTTGGTCTTTTTGTCCTCGATAATGTCTCCCATGCCCTAAGCGTCGATGTAGAATTGGCTTCCCTAACTCACCAAGACTCTCTCAGTGCAACCAGTTATCCAGATACCGTATGTAACGCGACAGAAGAATACTTCCATCCCGCATATGATCGTTCTATCACCCACCAATCATCAAGTGCTACCTTACAAAGAAGAAGGCAGAGTATCAAGAGCGACGGAACGATGCATACTGATGTACCACCACAGTATCAAGATAATGATACCATCATTAATATTAATAACGATAATAACGAGCAAATAAACCTCCGTCAAGAACAAGAGCAGGAACAGGGGCAGGAACAAGAAAAAGAGCTGGAGCAAGACCAAAAGCACGAACAAGGAAAAGAGCTAGAGCAAGACCAAAAGCAAGACCAAAAGCAAGATCAAGAGCAAGATCAAGAACAAAAGCAAGATCAAGAACAAGAACAAGAACAAGAATTGCAAACCTCAAAATATGTTTCTCACAGCAAAGACATTGGCTGTCAGACCTCTCCACATACCATGTATCATGATACCCCCAATCTAATGCTCTTCAACTTTTATGATAAAGATTCTTCTTCTCTTCCCAACACTCCAACTCACACTCCAGTTAATGTACTCAAGATCGACACATCTTTTCTCGAACCCTCTCACATGTCAAGTCCAAGCCAAAGTCCAAGTCCAACTCAAAGCCCAAGTCCAGCAAGTCTTCCAAGTCTTCCAAGCCTGCCAAGTCTTCCAAGTCTGCTAAGTCTATCAAGTCTCGTACCCCAAAGCTCGTTTCTTGCTCTTCCCACTGACTCAGAAATCGCCGCTTCTCAAAGTCCAATGCACAGTCCAAAACTTAGACCTTCTCACATACCTACTCGTAGTCGTAACAATAGTCGTGCTAATAGCCCTGTACTTGGTCCTCAGAGAAGTCGCAACTGTAGTCGTTCTAATAGCCCTGCACCTGGTACAACTCAATCTCGTATACCGCGTAGTAGACCTCACAGCCCAGCACTCGCTCCAATCGACACATCTCGGTGTTCAGCACAGAGCCCGGTCAGCACTCCACAACAAAGCCCAGTTTTTATCACAGTCCGGCCATCGGCAAGCACTGGCTTTGGCATCCATCCAAATACTGATAAAATACCCCCGCTTAACTTGAGAAGGTCGGTCTCAAGTACCACACGCACGAAGAAGCCGGCTGTCAACCCAACCGGAGTGACATCTACCCCTCTCCTTGTCCCTGTCCCTACTCCTACTCCTACTCTCAGACGTATTACTGCTCAACGCGATCTGTGCAGAAAGGTATCTCCTGACCCTCAGTTACAGCACAGTAAATTGGTACCACGGCCAAGTCTAGTACGAAGTTTGCCAAAGATTAGCACTAGTACCAGCAGCATTACAGCCACAGCTACAGCTACAGTCAAGCCCAGCACTAGCAGTAGCAGTAATAATAGCAGCAGCAGTAGCAGCAGCAGTAAAATGGGCGGCAACAACAACACCAAGAATAAAAATACTCTATCAAGTGGCGGTTCGTCTTCAATGCTTGTCCGACCAACCGTGTCATCAAGTACCAGTGCTTTGGCTGCCAGAGCACCCGTCAAACCAAACCAGACCAGCAGCCAACCTGTCAGACCTACCAAATCAATCAGCCTTGTCCGTACCACTCCAAGCATTTCAACCTCAACCGTTGATTCTTTCAACATGCGTTCGCCATCAACCTCTTCATCTCTTATTCCCACGATACATCTCCCAGGTCCACAGACCAGGTCTTCAGCGTGCCACTCTCCTCGTCTTCCACGCGCGTGCCATTTTAATGAAGAGACGGTATCATGCGAAAAGACCCTTGGGGAGTTTCTTCATGAAAACCCCCTTATTCGTAAAGAACTCAACGCTAATCATGGATCTCGAGCAGGTTCATGTCATCCTAGTCCTACATTCAAGCCATGGAAACCCTAATAAAAATATAAATATAGAGTACATATGTACTTACCCATCTACCTACTTACTCACTTACCTACCTACCTACCTACCTACCTACCTACATACACATACCTACATACATACATTACATATAAATAAAATAAAAGTTTCTGTTTCAAAAAATGTATAATAATTTCCTTTTTGTTTTTGTTTTTGATTTTTGATTTTTGATTTCATGTGACTTTTTGCACCTGATTCCATTGATCACACACAAACTACACAAACTACACAAACTACACACGCACAATTTTCTTATCCATTGGCGATCTCTCTTTCTCTATATTTTTTTCTTCTTCTTAAATAAATAAATGATAAATTTTGTGCATTGATATGCTCACAAGGTCTGCCTTAAAAATATTCTGAGGCTTTTGTGCAACGACCCCACAAAAGGAAGAAATAAATAATGAAAATAAAAAAAGAACAATGTAGATACATAAAATGTGCATGACGGGTGAAATACATTATCTATCAGCAGCAGTAAAAAAAATTGGGGGTTAGATAGTATCTTCTTTATAACCAGTCTTATTCTTCTTGATTTAATTTTAATTTTATTTTCTCGGGTAAAATAATTGTTCAATTCAATTCAATTCAATTCAGTTCAGTTCAATTGAGGAAAATGGTGAATACAAAGACAAACAAAGTAGATTTGTACCCAGAATATTTTTGAGTTGTATTTTGTACAGGAAGGGTAAAGTAAGAGTCCTTGATTGTATTGTATTGTATTGTATTGTATTTTATCGTATTATTCAGTAACGAGATGGACGTACTTGACCTTTCATGTGCATTAAGTGTACCCACAACATCCACTGATAAAAAAAAATCTCGTTTTGAGTGCTGATTCTCATATTTATCTCTGTTACATCAATTGCCCCGCATTCTTTTTATTTTTTAAAAAAAAAACTCTTTTCTTTCCTTCCTCTGACAGATTTCAGATTAATTCACACCAATCTAACTATCTGGCTATCTATCTACTATATATAACCACTCCCCATTTTTGGAACTTTTGAAACAATTCAATTTACAAGCTTTATTTAGTCTTATTTGACTTGTCAAAGCATTTTTATATATTTTTTTAAAAAAAAAGGGTTTTAGCATATCTTCTTCTTTTGGTCAAACTTGAAACCATAAGATTTTAATAAAGATGGGAGAAGATGATACTGATAAAAATATATAATTAGTCATGCATTTATTACATACATATATACATATATACATATATTTCAAAATTGAACCCATTGGAAACAATACCAAATGTTACAAATTCTGTCTTTTTTTTGTTTGTTTCATGATGTAAGTGGCCCTTTTGTCGACCTTTGTCAACCAATCTGTGAGCTTAACTGCTTATAACTTTGCCCTACATAGCAAACTTCCTTGTCGTTTAGAGATAGCTCAAAGTCTACTACACTCTACTCTGATTGTTCTTACAATGATAGACTTCAAAGTTTTCGAATTTATTTCAGTTCTCTTAATAGCACTCTGACAATGAAAACTGCATTTTGTATCCAATAAGCATAGAAAAGATCCAAAAGATACTGGTACGTGTTACAAGGATATCCTTTTTTTTTTAAAAAAAAAAAAACACTGAAATGTATTCCTTGCCATGGCAACCACTTTTTCTTTCTTTTGATATTAAGAAAAAAAAAGTTGAACCGTTACTGTTTACTTAATAATGTATATTGGCTTTGAAAAAGAAAAGAAAAAACTCCCAAATTTCGCTCTTCTGTTTTTTTTTTAAAAAAAATTAATTTTTTAATTTATTTATTATTTGGCGCATGTTTAGAGTATTTGCAGTCATTACTACTTTCGCAAGCCAGATTAGTTTTTATTTTCTTTATTTGTTACCATGGTTACTACCAAATCTTTGGTGAAAGCATAATTCTTATAAGAAAATGTAAAAAAAGACAATCTAATTGATGATCCATAGCTCTCCACAGTATACAATCAAGAAGTTCTATGTATCAAGTATCCTTGGCATTTTAATTTCTTGCTTTTTTTTCTTTGGTGTATTCCATTGCCCTGCATGAGTTTATCTTGTGGTCTTTTTTTTTTAAAAAAAAAAAGGAAAAAGAAAAAAAAAGCGAGATCAAAAAGCCCACCCACACTTTTGGGAGTATTGTTCAGTTGACACTGAGGATGAGTGAATGAGATATGAATGAATATAAGGAGTAAGGGGTAGTAAGTAGGAAACAAGCTTTCAATCTCTCCTCTCTTTCTCACCTTCTTCATATATACATATATATATATATATCCTTTAAATTGTAATAGAATAAAAGGTGGTGGTTATGATAGTTATGTCGCAGTAATAGCAATAGTAGCAGTAGTAGAATCATTTATTTTAACAGTCCCACAATATGCTGTAAACCTTATTTCTTCACCTTTTGAATACCCAAAAGAAAAAAAGAAAAATCTCCCCCACTTACAATTTTGAATATCAGACTTACGCCAATACTTTTGCCCTTCCTGCCCCTTTACTTGCCTGGGCGGGTCTTGATGTTCCAAAAGAAGAAGAAGAAATAAAGAACTTCTAAATAGGGAAACTTTTGTACATCTCAAATAAAAATAAGTCCTGGCTAAATTTTCTTTCCAAATTCCTTTTTTTTACTTTTCATTACTTTCTCTTTTTTTTTTAAAAAAAAAAAAAAAAACAAAGCAAAATTACTATGGATATTAATTGGAAGATATTCAAGAAAAGCCCAGAGACGCTCGATATATACACGGCTGATGCTGTTGTAACCTATGTACCCACTGGTATGGGTGCAAAGGGAAAGGCATCCATTCGAGAGTTCTTTCTTCAAAAAGGATTTGGTCCCCACCAACTCCATGAAACAGTACATTCATCCGTGTCGTCCTACAACAAGCGAATCGAAGAAGTCGAGTGGAATGTGACATTTGATAAAGACAATTGTTCCTGGCTGGTACCTGGATTAGAGCAATATGTATCTGTAAGTCTTTATATTATTCTTTGGCCTCTTTGAAAAAATAAATAAATAAAATAAATAAATAAATAAAGAGCGTTTCAAGTTACACCTGTCTTAATTACTTTGTTACACTTAATAGAACAAGTCAATTGTATTGCCAGCGGTAAGAATATATATATATATATAGTATATATTTAATATATTTAATATATATATATATAATATAATATAATATACTAGGTTATCTCGGCAGGTTTCGAGCGTAATTTGATATCGTCCATTAAAGTCTATTGGGATCAAGCATGTGTCTTGCAACAGCTTGGCCTTTTGCAGCAGCCAGACTGGCCCATTGTTAGTGGCAAAGATCAAGTGAATGTTCTCAAATCACCAACGATGCCTCCACTTCACGGGCTTTCTATCGAAAGTAATGAGACAAAGGTAATATGATCATTTTATTTAATTGATAATTTATCTATCTATTTATCTGTACGCATATACAATATATACAACATATATATACAGCATATATATATATATATATGTACACGTGTGATTAAATACTAGAATCAATATATAATATACATCTCTAACATATAGACCCAATTTAAGCATGATGAACAGTCTACTTACAGTAAGTAAAGAATATAATATATAAAGCAGTATAAGAAAGAAAGAAAAAAGAAACCTTTGCCATACTATGTAAACAGTACATATATATGTATATGAAATATTCATTTCTTCATATACACATATACAAAAAGTGCCTGGAAGAGTATTTGGTCCCGTAAAGCCCGAAGATCAAGTTTCAAGATCAGTTCTTAATGTTCATCCCATCAGACCCAAACGCAACATCTTCACCTATGAGCCACCACCGACCCGTCCTATGGTAGCTCACAACCCCTCAATCCTTGCCTCTTCTATTAAATTCTCTCAAGAAGACGGACCAAATCATGGCTCTCCAGCCAACGGTCGTAACGTTAATGGTGCAAGAGCAAATCTGTTGACCAGTCGTAGTGATGCAACCAGTAATCGTCGACCGGCTCAGCAATCAAGGTAAATGGATACAATCATATAGATAAATAAGCTTGTATTTTTGTGTACACAACAAGACTCTAATCCAATATACGGATGTATATATGACATTCCATTTTATCTTTATTCAGAAACATCTTTGCTCATCAGTAATTTTGTAAACGCCTCTTATATAATATAAGTATAAATATTTAGTAATAATATTATACTCTTTAACATAATAATCAACATATAAAGAATATATATATAAAACCTTGTTATAACATATATAACTCAGGTGCTTAAAATGATTTCAGCTGCTCTGTTAAGATCATTATGAGACTGTACTAGTGCACTTATAACATTCTGACGTCCAATCTCTGGGAACATGGACATCATTGCATTGATATCCTCTTCCGGGACAACCTTGGATAGATAATAATAATAAATCAATTAGTTAGCCAATTAATTGACATACAAAATAAGAAATAAAGACAAAAAGTATTAATGTTTTACCACTGCTGCTTGTTCCTGTTGCTCCTGTTGTTGGTGTGGTCTTCTCTGTCTTAGATCTCTGTTTGTTTCCCTTCCACGTCGTTGGGATACTGCAGGAGAAGATGCTGGACGAGTTCGAGAACCCGACGAGCCAGCGACGGGTGAAGTATTCAGTATTGGAAGAACAAATCGGCTAGCAAATGAAGACATCCATCGAGGGAATCGGTACTCTTTTATGGCTCCCAAATTGGCATCATAAACAGCCCCGACCAACAATCCACAGAGACAGGGAATTGCAGATGCTAACCCATTAGAGAAAAAGAGCTGTTTGTTTTGTTTAAAAAGAAAACATCAATATAATAAAATAATATATTATGGTTACAAAAATTGTATTAATTCTTTATATATCTATCTATCTATCTATCTATTATCTTACCGAAATTGCTGCCGTGTATACATAAGTTTTATCATTCAACAGGCTACCAAATCTTTCTGAGCGAGTACAAACAGGTATTTGATTATGGAACTGGTAAAGTATGGCAAACAGAACTCCATATCTAAATATATAAAGGGCCAAGTAAAGAATTAATATATAATCTATTTAATCAAAATCCTCTTTGCACATATATTACATTACACTACACTACACACAAAAATCAAATACACATACTTACGGTCCACTAGCAATACTCTTTAGACCAATACTATTACCAATCAGTAGTAATGCACCTGTTTGCAATAGAGTACAGGTAATTATTGATATCGCTACAAATGCCTAATTATTATTATTATTATTATTTGAAGCCACAAAGGTAAATAAATAAATACCAAAATACATAATTAAATAGATAGATATACTTGCCGTATATTTGGCTGTTCCATAACGACGTTCAATCACCCTCATATGATATATAAGCCATGTTCCAATCACAGTTGTACCAATACTTCCAAATGCCCAGTGAGTAGAGAACAAACGCCAAAGCTATTGAAATACAAAACAGAAACTAAATAACTATACACATACACATACACATACACATACGCATACGCATATACGCTAGTAAACACATATATACATGTATTTGATATTATGTGCTAAAGGCTTTATTTATTCATTCCATTCATTTTTCTTTATTTACTTCGTGATGAGTCAGAGGGAGTTCAAGACGTGTGTCAAGCCGTGCCTCCAACACCTTTGTTAGGACAGAATATCCTCCTACAACAGACACGAGGAATCTTGACGTAGGTGCATGGCGAAATCCTTTGTGATGATTGAAATTAGGTCTACATGATTCATCTGTTTGACTTTATATCTTCCAAGTTTTACTGTACCTGTGGACATGGTGTTGAAAAAAAAAGGGGGGTGGGGTGGTGGGGGGAGGAGGTGAAGGACTGGCGTTCCTGCAAGTATCTCATTGGCTATTCTGTTACACGTGAAAATATTGCTTTGAAATTTACACTATGATGATAATATATATTACATTATATTTAAAATATGAATATTAAAATAAGGCTGTGTATTGTAATGTACACAAGATTGCTATACATGTTTCCTATTTACACCAAATGATAAGGCAATGGTTTGTTCTATTTCTTTGGAAGAGCAATAAGAATATAAGCACACACACTACATACATACATACATACATACATACATATATTGATTTCAGCTTGATATTTTAAACATGTCGTACGTTGCACAGTATTAATGTTATTGGCATCATCAATTTTCCTATTGCTCTTGTTTATTTGTTCAATAGACCGAAATATTCCGTGGGTATAATATATGTAGCATATGTAGCATGTGTTGTATATGTATGTTGTGCGTATAGTGTGTGTGTGTGATGCTACACATTTTAACAAGGTTTGTTCTTTCTTTGTTACTGGATACACGATGGCGTGAGAGTCAAGGATCTCTATTTTCTCTATTTATTTTTGAACAACCATAACCATAACCATAACCATAGCCAAAACCATAACAATAACCAAAAAGATAGAAAGAACTATTCGAACTATATGACTATTTGTTTCGCGAGAAAGAGTATTGATTTAGTATGAAGCATATAACATTCAAGTCAATTATGTTTTTTATTATAAGCATAGGTGTAGTTACTTTACTATTATTTTATAGACAATTGAATCGAATTGAATTGAGTTGAGTTGAGTTGTATCTTGTCTCAATTTTGTTCGGTTAATTGTGTCTGTTTTTTTTTAATAACAAGTATGCGATGTAGTTTTCTATTATAGACTTTAATCTGGCAGATCTTGTGAACCAAAACGTTTCTCTCTTTATCTTTATCTTCTTTTGCTTCCAATTCCTCTTCTTGATCTTTTTTTTATAACCAAGCTTATTTAGTGTATATATATATAAGGAAAACATCCTTTTGAAGTCACCACTTGACTTGTCCTATTCTGGGTCTGTATTAAAGTATTTTATTTCACATTCAAACTTTTGCAAGTCAAAAATAGTGTTACTCTATGACATCCAATATATGTCTCTTATTATAGAAAGCCGCACTGTATATGAAATGCGGGGGGAAAAGGCTGAAACAAAACAAAAACAAAAGTATTGATTCATATATTCATATATACAACTTCATCTATAGATATTTATTTCCTGTATGGATTTCATTTCATTTTATTTGATTTTTATATTATATTTTATATTTTATATTTTATATTATTCTTATTATTCTTATCAGTAGCTTGGCGGAGGTTGCCTTGGGTACACTGGCTCTCCACTGTTACCATTATTATCATTATTCTGCCAATCCATCTCATGCTGTTGTTGAAACAATTTTGCACGCGTAATCTTATCGTTCTTCTTTCCAGATCTACGGCGTGTCTGAGCGTGATTCCAAAGGTTGATGGTCCACACCTTCACGACGTCAACGACCAAGAAGGTGCCAAGCGAGATAGCCAGGACAATCAGACCACGAGGCCAGCCAATTCCTGAAATATCTTGATCTTCGCCAAACACTCCGTACACTGACAGAAAAAGTGCGATCACCTGAGTACCCAATACAACTAATGTAAATGGCCAAGAAGGAATATTACGCCAGCAGTATGTCTCAATACGTGTAGAAAATATCACAAAATGTGGTGCTATTTTGTACAAAAGAATGAAAGAAAGTCATTATTACCGTTATCGGTATTATTCATGATTAGTATTAGTATTAAGTAACTATACTAGAGCTAGATGATGTTTATAATAGGAACAGTAGTAACACTCACCAGAAGATATATGAAGATACATTAGAGTAGCCAATTCACCCGGAGTCACCTTGAGAACATCTCTAAAGATATAAAAGTGTGCAAACGAAAACATCGACAAAACTAAGCACAGCACACACGACAAAAACATCAAAAGCTCAAGTCTCCAGCGGTCCGGTTTGAGCGAAATGCTGACATTGTCGACTGCCATCACAAGAGTGGCTGCATCGTTTAGAACAGAAATCAGAATAAGGAATACAGGTGGCATACGCCAGTCTTCGGCAAGCGTGATGACAAAGAAAAAGACCAGGAAATGGAGTGTGGATGTGATGCGGTACAGAGCATACGATTGCAGGCGCTGGAAAATGATACGCGATGTCTTGATGCCATCGATAATGGCTGCCAGTCCGGGTGTCAATAGAACAATATCTGATGCAGACCGGGCTGCGTCCGTACTACCATGGACGGCAATACCGACATTAGCCTAGACAATGTTTGGTTAGTAATATATATATATATATATATATATATTATTATTATTATAGGTATATTTGGTTTACCTTCTTCAGTGCTGCTGCATCATTAACACCATCACCAGTCATGGCTACAAAGTATCCTTCATTTTGAAGCAACTCAACAACTCGGTACTTATGTTCTATTGAGTACAATTACGTTAATATATATATATATATGGTGTTATTATCGAGAGACCAAATAATCAAAACAAAAAAAAGTAAAGCAAATTAAAGTGAAGTGAAGTGAAGAATCTTAGTGTGCTACTATATATTTTACATGTGTATATGCTTATATGTATATCTGTATGTATTACCTGGTATGACACGGGCAAATCCATCTGCACGAATGCAACGTTGAGTAATAACCTGATCGGACTGGTTGGGCTCAACAAGCTCACTAGCGTCTAATATTTCTGTGCCCATGCCAAGACGGTGTGCAACCTCACGGGCAATGACTGTCTGGTCACCAGTCACCATCTTGACTGTGATACCATATTTTGCGCATTCGCGAATAGTTTCGGCCGAGTCGTGTCGGGGAGGATCAATGAGACTAAACATGCCGACCAGGATCCATTTGTTGTCAGCAATGGTTCGTGCCACGCCCAGCGAGCGCAGACCACGGCTGGCCAGGTTGTCGACCATCCGTGAAGCTTCCGGGTCACCTCCTACAAGTTCAATAATCACTTGAGGGGCACCTTTGGCCACTCTGAATGTGTTCCGGGTGCTTTCTTCATATACAGATGCCTGGGACATCTTTTCGGTAGGGTTAAAAGGCATAAAGGAAGTAACTTTGTATCCTTGAACTTTGTGGCTTCCCAAGGGGTCAACCAAGGGATGCGATTGCTCAGCAGCTGTCCGGATTGCAAATTCAATAGGGTCTGTGGTGCCGATCTCGGACGATAGATAAGAGTACAGCAGGATGTCTTCCTTGGTGTGCCCATTCACGAGATATGGCTCATCAAAGGTCAGTTCATTCAAGGTGAGTGTGCCAGTCTTGTCACTGCAGAGAATCGAGACTGAGGCAAACTCCTCAACAGCCGTGAGTCTCTTGACAATGACTTGTTTCTTGGCCAACTGTTTTGCTCCAACAGCCATCGTAACTGACATTACAGTCGGCAACCCAACAGGAATACTATATTTTTGTTTCCAAAAAAAAAATTAATTAATTAGTTAGTTAGTTAATTAATTAATCAATCGATCGATCAATTAATAAAAAAAAACTTGATTGATTGAAGGAAAATTAAACAAAGAGTAAACACATTTTTTAAACAATGTAGATCTTATGTCTATATAATCGGCCTCCTTTTTGTTTTTGAATATTAAAGGGGGATTTGATGCTAAGATCTTCAAGACAACATACGCTGCAATAGTAAGGACTACCATTTCTTTGAGAGCATTGAGAACATCTTGGCCAGTTACTTCACCATTCTTGAGTTTTTGCTCGACGAGGTTGTAGATAAAGATGATTGAGACCAGAAGAATAGAGGCGGCGATGAGGAAATTGCCAATGTAGTTGATCACTTTCTGGAAATTTCCTGCGTCTGTGGTTATGGTGATCAGACCGGCTGCTCGACCAATAAAGGTGTGCTTTCCGGTACGGACCACAATTGCAAGTTGTTGTCCTTGTTTGACAATACAGGACGAATAGACAATGTCACCGGCTCTCTTTCGAACCGGCAAAGACTCGCCTGTCAGGGCACTCTGGTCGCACTGGATGTCTCCTTCGGTTGCTTCTCCTGTGGCCCCTAGACCAAGGAGTCGGGCGTCGGCTGGGACGATGTCTCCCAGGCGAATGACAAGAATATCGCCAATAACAAGCTCGGTTGCATCGACTTCGACTAGCTTGCCGTTTCTCCAGCACTTGGATTTGAGGGCAAGACTTTGTTTGAGTGCGTCAATGGCCGACTCGGCCTTGGACTCTTCTGCGTAACCAATGATAGCGTTGATGATCAACATCGCCAAGATGATTCCAAAGTCTACCCAATCACTGGTTACGGCGGTGAGAATTACCGAGAGTTCCATCAAGTAAGCAATGGCGCCAGTAACTATAGTAATTAATTAATTAATTTTTTTTTTAAAAAAAAAGTAAAATAAAAATTATCATCAATTTGTGTAGTACAATAGAAACCCTATTGTCCATTTTGTACAATTAGATAACACCCTAAAAGAAAAAAAAAGAAAGGAAAATTAGATAGAAGAAGAAGATTGGCTTACAAAAGCTGAGAAAATGTAGTAGCTTGTTGCGTTTAGTCTCCTGTAGTTCGTTCCGCCCAAAAAGAGCTAGTCGTTCTGCAACCTCACTATCGGTTAAGCCGTGTGAAGGTGGGGTCTTTAGATAAGCCTCCATGTCTGGTGCGATTTCGTCTATCCATTCTCGTTTTTCCGGGCCATCTTGAGGAGGCTGCCTTGAGGTAAGGGGATGATTTTCTTGGGTTGCAGGTTTACTCATATAAGATATAGGGCTTGATACTATTACGAGAGCTTATCTTATTACTGATAGTAATAGTAATAGTAATAGTAATAGTAATAGCAATACTAATATTTATAAGAGTAGAAGCAGTAGAAGTAGTAAAGAAAAAAGAAAAAGAAAGCGGAAGAAGAAGCAAGGGGAAACTCAACAAGAAAGAAACATATAAAAATACCCCCCCCCCCCCCATCTTCTTGCTGCTGGTTTTTTTTGTATGATTCTCTAGCCTCGATCTATAGTGACGTACAATGTGCATCTTGTAACCTACAACTGTGGCTCAGAGAATACGGAAAGGTATGAATCAAGGCTTAAACGATTTGAATGGCTGGTGATAGATTCTTGAATCTTGTATTACTCAAAAAAAAACGTATCTTTATATACGCTTATACATTTCTTTCAGAAATTATTGGCACACTTTCGAAAAGTAAATTGCACAGAACTATTTTTAGATTTCAAAAGTGCTTAAATTATTGGCACACTCTTTACATACTGATTTCTCACTCTTACTTAACTTGTATACATTTAAAGCAAAACGTAGCCTACGTTTTATCTACGAAAATGTAAAAGGTGAAGCTGTGGAGAAGAGTGGAAATATGCATTCCAAAATGGAGATTGATACTGAAGAATATCCCATCAACTACATTTCCAATTATGATGGCCATTTGGATTGTAAACCACCTGAAAAGAAAAAAAAAACCCTCACAATAAAAAATGAAGCCTGCATGAGAAGCCTAATAAAAAAAAATGAAAATTAAGTTCATTCATACCGGAAAAATGGTGATTCTGTCAAAGAATAACTCTTTTTTTTTAGTTTACGAAAAATGCAGGACTCTTCGGCAAGTAGCAGAGCAGCTGGGGAGGGGGTTAAAAGAAAAAGGGAGGGGGTCAAGAAAATCTATCAGATATCCTAAAACTAAATAATGGAGAAAAAGGTGGATCGTTCTTTGATTTTGAACAAAGTGCATAAGAGGCTCTTTATCAGCTTTTATAATGACAGCCCATCCGCTGTAGTTTATTGAGCCATGACTATAGTTTGACTAGCGAGTTTGCTGGTTTGGAAATATGAAAGACGGCTGTTTATAGCTTTATGACCAGCCAGTGCAATTTGACCTTTAAAAAAAAGGCTCACATGTATTCGATTCAGAGGAACACCCCTAACAATATTGAGCAAAGATATGCATAGACTTTAAATTGGGTTGGGGGGACGGATATGGACTACATTAGCAATTGTGTTTTCGTAGATGAAGCCGCTTTCCACATAAATCTTAAGCGATCTATGGCGTAGTGAAAAAAAAAAAGAGGAAATCTAGTGCTGAAGTAATTGTACCTGGAACTAGAGCAAGGACCACAGCAACTTTGGATGCAATTTTACCGCCTGAGATTTTAAATATTCAGCTGCATCGACCCACAATGCCATTTAAGAAGATATTGGGTAGTAATGTCTTGGCTGTTAACGGTGCAGGGGGATGGGGGGAGACAGTAACAGGTCATTAGATTAACTTTGCCAAAAGTACCTTGAACGCCTTAATAACCATGAGGAGTTTAAAGAAGATTATATTGTCATGGATAATGTTCCGGTCCATACTTCAAAAGTCATAAAACGTTATATCACTAGTCGCGACTATGGTTGTATATATCTCCCTTCATACTCTCCTGAGTTCAATCCAATTGAAGAATTTTGGTCTATTGTCAAAATTAAACCTAAGATAGAAAGTCTTGTTGGAAAAAGAGACGATTTCCAGTAGGATCAAAGAAGCATGCCCCAGTGTCCCTTTTACCAATCTTTAAGGATTTTGCCATTTTCCCACCACAAAACTTAATGATTGCTTAGAAAAGAAACATATGTGAATAATAAAGAGATCTCTGAACTATTTAGCCAGACTAATTAATTACGACCACCTCTCCGGGACCTGGTGTTTGTTTCTAATCCTCTGGGGCAGGATGGCATGTCCTAAAGCTCATACAATATATTCAATTAGTAGCTGTTTGCGCCTTACATTTAAACTTGGCAATAGAGAAATAATAATAATCGGCCACAAATGTACTGTACCACTAACCAGCTAGGCAGAATATTATATAGGTAAATAAATAAATACAAATATAAAATACGATTTGTTGCACAATCAAAATATTTATATTTATTTATGATAAAAATATATAAATAAGGCAAAGAAGTACTCCGCCTTAACATTGAAAAAAGGGATCTGCAATCAAGATCATTTATTGTGCTTTTTTTTTGTTTTTGTTTTTTCAATCGATTTGCCCTCAGACATTTATTTGCGCTCAGACTTTGATTTTCGCTTTGATTTTTAGAATTATAAATCGCAACTTTTCAAGTCATACAAACTACACTTGTATCTGTTTATACAATTAACACATATGCTGCTTTTAAAGGAATATAGGTAGGAGGCGTTGGAGATAAATGGAGTTTGGGTACCAGTTTTTTATTTCTTGTATATCTGAAAAGGAAAATGGTAGAAAGGTCATCTTCACTCTCCAAAACTAGCTTGGAATGAGACACATATAGCATCGTTCTATAAGCAGATGTTTTGGTGAAAGTCAATATATAAGATTAAAAGACAAAGTAGTAGCTTAATGGCTATCTATACATATATACACTCTAAATATCTGGTTTTTCTGAGTCAAAAAAATTATTTAAAGAAGTTTCAAGACAATACAGAGTGGCTGTAAATGTATATTATCTTATATTAAAAATATGGCTATAATAAAGAGGTAAAAGGTAATCGAAAGTCTTTGAAGACGTTGTAATTGTTAGTCCCCCAATAAATTTTTGAAATATTCTATTTAACAATGTCTATTTTCACCTGTGATTTCCTCTTTTTCTTCATTTCAGAGTTTGGAAACTTTCTGTACTAACTATTACTCACTTTTACTACAAGGACTTTGTTTAGTTCTGTTTAGACTTAGCCGGCACATTTAGTACATAACACACAACGCACAACGCACAGTGCACAGTTCACAGAAAACAAATCATGTGATGTATTTTATTAAGCATATATACACTTAAATACTTGAGGTAAATAAAGCCTAAAACCACATATGCTAAACACAAATAGAAACCAAAAAAAAAGGCTAAATTATCCTGTACATACATACATGTTTACATACATATTTACTAAAGTAATATGATTTAATTATCTATTTTTTTAGGTTCATGCATTTCTTCAACGTTACAGATGAAAACACTGAAGATTTAGAAGCGGAAACCAATAAAACTCTTTTTATTTTTATTTTTTTAAAAAAAGAAGGGTAATTTTATAGGATTTACTAACCAAGTGGACAGTGACCTGATTTTCAAGGACTTGAACCATGAACTAATTTTTATATTTTGGTTTCTTTCTCTCTATTTATTATTATCTTTAATTCGTAGTAACTTCTTGGCCCTCTGAACTATTCCCATTAGTTTATCTATATATCTATGCTTGTATTCAAAATAAATATTAATTTATTCATTTATTAGAAACATAACGAAGCTACACTGATTGATTAATTGCGATTGACAGCAAAAAAGTAAAATAGAAAAAAAAACTCAGATGCGCAAAAAAATTAAAAGAAGAGTCGGACCCAAAAAAAAGGCGGGGACCAAAATAAATTATGGTACACCAATCGTTTGGAAAAGCACTATAAAAAAATTAAAAAAAAAAAATTAAAATAAAGTATTGAACCCCGGGGGAGGGCGACTAATAGAGTGAAATAGTGAGGGAAAAAAAGGGGGAGAGAGAGAGGGGAGGGAAGAAACTTGTACCTAATTATATTTCCTCTTGTTCTCTTTCTCCTCACTTTCCTTCCTAAAGATGGCCACCTTACCTTCATTAAAGTCAAGGCTGGCTGTACGTATAGCCGCCATTTTATCTGTCCTTATCATTGGTCTATATCTGTCAGTCTCCTATATCCCAGTCAGGAACAGCTCCATAGATCCCCTCATGTCATCTCAAAACAACAAGTGGATCTTTAGCAATCCCTTGACAATCAGTCACCCAGATCCCCGTTGGAGAGCAGCATTCGTTACATTTGTTGATGGTGAACGAAGTGCCCTCACCAAGCTACGCCAGACGATTCGTAATCTCGAAGACAATTTCAACCATGCCCATGGTTACCCATACATCATCTTTAGCCATGAAGCTCTATCAGATGAGTACAAGGAACTTGCCAGTTCTCTTGCCAGTGGAAACGTTACATTTGAACATCTTGGCTCAGATATGTATGGCTATTCAAACACTACCGACCGCACCAAGGCTGCCAAGGCCAGAGTGGATATGAAGGATGTCATGTTTGGTGAGAGCGAGGATTATCGTTTCCAATCTCGGTTCATGGCTGGTCTTATTTTCAGGTAGATTCAGAATATCCGTATAGCTTATCAAGCTCAATTAATGACCAATATATTTACCCATTTGCTTATTTACGTGTTTACTTATTAGACATCCCGCACTTAAAGAGCTGGATTATTATTGGAGATTTGAACCTGGAACCGAGTACGTTTGTCCCATTGATTTTGACCCTTTCCAATACATGCACGCAAACAAAAAGAAGTTTTCGTTCTCAATGGCTTTATACGAATACCATGAGGTGATGCCAACTTTGTATGACACAACTCTCAAATTTGCCCAAGAGCACCTCAAGTGGATCCAGCCTATCGAAAGCAAAAATAGTTTGTGGGACTTTATTCTCGATGCTGATTCCAAAGACTTTAACCGATGTCACTTTTGGAGCAATTTTCAGGTGAGAGAGAGAGAATATATTACTATATTTTGAATAATTGGGTTCAACTAGAGAAGGAAAGGGAAGAAGAAGAAGAAAGGTTATTTACCCAATTATATATGTGTGTGTATGGATAAGATTGCCGATTTGAGCTTCTACCGCAGTGAACAGTTCCAGACCTTTTTCAATTATATTGATGAGTCGGGCGGGTTCTTTTATGAGAGATGGTAAGTTTTGAAATTGAACAAAAATAAAAATAGCTGAGATAGATAGGCTTTGTTCTGTAAAAATTTTCTTTTATTGAATTGTGAGTGTGTTGTATATTATAATCAATGATTAACGATGTATCATTAGGGGAGATCCGGTTATTCATACTTTGGCTGCTGTCATGTTCTTAAAGAAAGAGGAGGTTCACTTTTGGGAGGATGTCGGTTACCGTGTAGCCAACTACTTTACCCACTGTCCTGCAGATAAGAAACTCTACTCAAGATGTTCCTGCCGCCCGGATAAGAACTTTGATTACGATGGTTATAGCTGTTTGCGTTTCTTTAAAAAGCCCACCTTAGAAGAGCTTTAAAAAGAAGAAGAAGAAGGAGAAAAACTTGCTTTTATATATACATAAACAAAAGGATCAAGTCTGTCCATGTACAATATTATCCTTATTTTCATTAGTATCATTACATTTTATAAATGAATATTAAATCTACAAAACAGTACCAATAATAACAAAAAACCATCGTATATATATATTTAAGAAATGTTTGATATTTGTCTGGGCAGATGTGAATATTGGTGCTTCATTTTTATTTTATTTATTTATGAAAAAACAAACAAACAATACTTCTTTAAAAGGAATGGTAAAACATGTATAAAACACTCTCTGTGTGTAGGTGTGTTTGTGTATATATAGATATAGATATAGTGGGATAATAAAAGTGATATATAGAGAAAGGAAAGGGATATTTAACAGATGCCGAATGAAGGGTTGACCTCGTCAGCATCATCGGAATCAGGGTTAGGAGGAAGGTAGATTGAAGAGTGTCTCTGATGAACAGCGCTTTGGTGTACTTCATTTGCGGCCGAACTAAAGAAGAAGGATTAGTAAATATCTAGTATGTTCACACAATGTTTTTCAACAACTCACCGGTGTGCTTCAATAGACTTTTCATCAAGGAGATCCAATGTTTTCAGGACAGAAACAACATCTCTTGCAAGAAGTTCGCAACGAGAACGAGAAAAGTCCTCACGAACTACAACGCGTAACAGCTTCATGTGCTCTAATTCGTGAGCCATGGTGTAAGCGGGGACAATCCATCCACGCTGGCGCAGACGTCTTGCGATATCAAACTAAGCAAAAAATGAATGCAGAAGTAAATAAATATAATGTAATGTAATGTATCATATTATCAGCAACTTGATATGGTATTATTAAAGAAAATTACCTCGTCATAGTGATGGGGAGTGCTGAGACGGAAAGCGACGAGAGGAAGACCTCTTCCACCACCCTCACTAAGAATCTCAAAGTGACCAGTTGCCTTGAGTCGCTCAGCGAGATGATCGGCAGTGTCAGTCAAATTGCTCATAATCTTTTGGAATCCACGACGACCCAAGCGAATAAGAACGTAGTACTGGGCAATGACGTGAGCAGCACCCTTACTAAAGTTAACAGTAAAGGAGGCCTTTTTTGGTTGTAGAAATATAAATAAATCTGGTCAGCTAACTTACTTATCTTATTTATCTGCCTTTTTTTTGGCTTCATTATTTCTATATATATTTTTTCTTACCTGGTCACTTCCGAGATAGTTGATGTTGAAAATCAAATCCTTGGGAAGGTACTCGGGACTTCTCCAGATGGCCCATCCTACACCTGCGTAGGTCAGACCATACTTGTGACCCGAGACGTTAATAGAGACAACGCGGCTCAGACGGAAGTCCCTAAAGACACAAACACAAGCATTACATAAGTTTCTCGGTTACTTTGGACACAAGTTGAAACACTTACCATTCAAGCTCAGGGACGACGAAAGGAGCAACAAAGCCACCACTAAAGGAAAAAAAAAGTTAAACAAAAATGATTAGTATCTTTATAATTAAAGTCCAATTCCTCCATTTTAAATAGATGACTTTGTATTTGTATTTACCTGGCAGCATCAACGTGGATTCCAACGTCCCAGCCATTTTCCTCGCACTTCTCTTCCAAAAGAGTGTTGATGGCCTTAACATCTTCGTAGTGACCAGTGTACTATAAAAATGATCAGACAAAATGAGCCCACGCGTACTTTAAATCATCATTGACTTTAAAGTCCACCAAAAAAAAAACACCAACTTACAGTAGATCCAAGAATGGCACAGACACCAATGGTGTTCTCATCTACTAGATCCACAGCCTTCTGGGGGTCCATGTAGAGCAAGTCAGCGGTACACTCAACTTCGCGACCCTCAATCTCCAAATATCTACGAGTTGTACAATATTCATCATTTTTATCAGTCTTCTGCCCTTCCCTCGTGTATATCTAAGAAAAGACTTGGGTTACCTAACAGCCTTGTGCCACGCTACTTGGCAATTGGCTCCCATGACGATATTTGGGTTCTCGGTAGAAAGACCCTTGGCCTTGCGACTGAGTTGCCACTTTCTCTTCATGGCAAGAGTAGCCAAGATGATGGCTTCTGAAGAACCAACGGTAGAACAACCGAGAGATTCAAAACAAGGGTTGTCCATAGGAGCATTGAATAAACGGGCAATCATGTTTACGCAACGGTTCTACAAAAAAAATAGTTGATCATTAGCGTTGTTTTTCTTTTCTTTTTAATCTTCTTTGGTGGTCATATATTTGAACATATGATATACAAGTAAGACTTACGCAAAGTTCAGCACTCTGAGGGTATTCTTCGTAATCGATGAAGTTCTTGGACAAGTTCTCGGCCATCAACTTCTCAGCTTCGTCTTCCATGTAGGTTGTCACAAAAGTAGCCAAGTTCAAAGCAGGATTTCCGTCCAACTATCTCAAAGATTTAGCCTCACTGATATTAATTATTGATATGTACTTACAGCAAGATCATCCTTAATGAGTCTGTAGGCCACAGCTTTATTAATAGTTATGTACAAATGACTGTAAGTAATCACGCTAGTAACATAGTATTCTCTTTTTTTTTCATAGTTCATAACTTACTTGCTGGCATTTCATCCTGGTGTTACGAGGGAGTTATTTTAGATTGTGTGAGATTTTTGTTTTGATGATGTTGATATTGTTGATAGCTCTTGCTCTTTAAAGAAGCTACATCCCAATTTTAGGCTAATTTAAATTAGAATACTATACCTCTGGCATATCATATCTAATAGGTTGATAGAAAGTAACATCTTATTAGTTAAGCTGATCCCAAAAAAAACAGAAGCTGTGTGATGCAGAGACAGAGCAAGGGTATCTACTAAGGTTGCCCTTTGTACTTCCTTTCTGTTATCTCAATAATAAAACGTCAAAGATAGTAAGGTCGTACCTGGGAATATCTTCTGAAGCCCAACGAGTACCGTAGATGGTAGTATTTACAGTGTCAGGGTGGAATTCACCATTGCTTGCGGATTCAGTAATGCGAGCTTTACATAGTGTAGATCAAAGAAGAATAAAGTAAGATAATGCAATTTAGATCAAGTAGAAACCACCCCAAAAAAAAGAGAGGCGATTTTGTATAATTACCATCTGAGATAGCGGTAGAGAGAAAGACCATTCTTGGGATTTATAATCTTGAATCAAAGATACGCAAAGAAGAGAAAGCTGAGAGATGAGGTAAGTGTTGGATAGAATGTCTTGTTCTTTTATATACGCTTTGACCGGTAGCACAAAATGGTGTCTTTTTTGGAGTCTGGTTTAAAGTCAAACGACTGTTTCTTATTATTATGGAATATTTTACAATATTCACCCGCGTTTTAGGCATTTCTTCCGTCATTACCCTGTAAAGCCCTTTTTTTATATACGCTTGGCAAAAAGAAACCCAACACATATACGCAAGGTCTATTGTAAGATGCTTTTGGCTCCCTTTGGTGTCACAGTCATTCAGCAATGGTATCCCACCAGAAAATTGGCTGTTTTTTGATGTATTTTCTGGTTACCCTATCCATGCCATGCCAAGCACCCGGCTCAACCTTCTTTGTGTACGATCCATACACTTCATTTGTGTCGCGAATATCAAATAAATAAATAAATAGCTAATAAAAGAGATATATAAAGATATTTGGGGTAAAACGAGGACAATTTATATCAAATAAAGCAAAATAAGAAAGAAACAAAGTATATCAAGCCTACATTAGTTTAGCTTTAAGAAATTGATACAATTGAAACAATTGATACAATTGATACATATTCACAGTTTTATGATCAGCACACCATGTCAACTCACACCTTGAATTAAATATCGGAGAAAGGATCTTATCTATCGTAGGATATTTTTTTATATCATTATCTCATCCTTCCGGTCCCCAGTTTATTGAACGTCAATGACGGCCCCCTTTCTTTCTTATCGCGATAAACACTCCATTAATGTTTCTATTAAAATTATATCTACAAAAAAACTCATTTCAGTTAAACCACCGATTTCAAATATAAAGCCAAAAAAAGGATTGGGGGAACATATATATATATAAAAGAAAGACACCAATGGTCAATAGTCTTCCATTGCTTTTCTTGGACCAATCAATATTTCTTAGAGGCATATACTTAGAGTACTGTGTCTCTCTCTTATTCTTCTTCTTTTCTTTAGAGGGTACAAACTCTACGAATATACATCAGTCCACGTTTGAGCCATAAAATACCTATATAGGCTCACTACTGTCCCACAACTTTCTCATAGAAAGAAATATATAGGCGATCATATATAAATATAAATCAATACACACACACACGCACATTTATACATATAAATTAAACCTGAATTTTTTTTAAAAGAAAAGTACATTTCTTAGTAAACCATAAGTAGCACCTGTGAATTTTTTTTTAAGTTGACTACTCTTTGAGGATCGGGCCGTACTCATAAATTTCAGGTCACACTAACACAGAGTTAAAAACCATAGTAAATTTCAAAAGTTTCAACCAACATTTTCAAAACTATGCAAGTTGCATTTGACCCAAACATGCGAATCATTGTACAGACATATCTTATCCTAATACATTACAACGATTCTTTATTCAGACGTATATCAAATCAATGTTTAGTATTTAGCGTTTAGTGTTTAGCGTTTGACGTTTAGTGTTTAGTGTTTAGCATTTAGTGTTCAGCAAAAACCCCAAAACTGGACTAAAATGCTGTTGTGGATTTCATAGCTCCACAACAAGAACAGTTTTTGACAGCCCAAAAATAAATAAATAAGGCGAACTCTCGACTATTTTCTTTATAACAAATGGATAGTTGAATATGTATTCCTTTGAAGAAATTAAATATAATTCCACTGGCTTTATAAAATTTATCTCCACTAGTGTTTATATGAATACTTTCAACTAAATAACGGGCGTAATAGGGTACACAGCTGGTAATGTAAGCATTTTCTGCCAGAAAAAGAGAAAGAAAAAAAGAAACAGAGAGATAAGAAGTGCATGCAATTTGTTTCTAAAGACAATTGGTTGAGTTTAATCCTAATCATTTACCCAGTTAGCACAGTTAAATATTACATCTTTAAGCTTTCCAGTAAACAATGAAAAGATTTTTTTGCAAACAAAAAAAAACAAATTACTGCTGCTGTAAGATCGCTGCTACGAGAATTTTCTTTTTCTTTATAAATTCTGGTATCTGAATACTAGCTTCTAATATTAATGCATTATAAATATTTAATGGTAAAAGTTAAAGGACTCTACACACACACACAAAAGGCTTTAAGTTCAAGAGATCCCATGAAGTATTCTCAATATACTATACAGCTGTGTTTTAGTTGTTTTTAATTTTCTTTTTCAAAAATTAATAACAATGTAAATCTTTTATAATATACATACACTATAGTTAAGTGGTAAAAGATGAATGTTGATTGTAGTTTGCAAAAGTTAATAGTAAATTACTGAGATATCCTGACACAAGATTTCACAGAAAAATAATAATAGGTATAGATAATTGCATTGACTTTCTCATACATAGTAATCCTAATCGCAAGCCTATGCACAGATTTGGTTCAAGATATCGTACTTTCTTTCTTTCTTTCTTCAATCAAACGTTTAGCAAAAGCAATTAAACATATATTTTATGCTGGGTAAAACATCGGACCTTTATCATGAGCTAAATACAAGGTATTATATCGATAATTATTATACTATAGAATACTTGGTAAAATACAAATAATAAAAGAAATATAAAGATAAGTATGTCTGATACTCGTTTATTTATGGACCTAAATATTAAATCACTTCCAATAAAGCCCTGTACAACAGCACTTCTATATATAATCCCTCAACTCAATGGTCTGTGCCTTATTATTGATTTTAAGATATATTTTGAGCGCTGCTTTTGCGATTTACTATGAGCAATACATATTTAGAAGGAGGATAAGATACATATAAGCAAACAAACGTACATTCTTTAAATTATGGTCTCCACTAGTTATTTATATATAGATGTAAATAGTTGGACATCATAAAGTCTGACAGGAACTTTTACAGTAAGCTACATTCATTTATATGACTACAGTTTATATAATTTTAAGAAAGCTTGTCTTGATAGAATAAGAAATAATAGAAGTTCAGGTTGCTCAATATAACAACAAGAGTTAAATCAATGGCCATCTTTACGTTTCACATTAGCTCATACTGTTGTAAATATGAAACAAATAAACATGGCAAAACCGTCTGGGAAAAAATGCGAGTAAAATTAAGACAATAAAAACAGCAGATAAGGTTACGGCACTATGTTTTTTTTTTACGAAAAAAAAAAACAGGCAATCGTAGTTAAAAATTTCTACAAGATTTGGGGGTTTAAAGGTAGTCTTAAGGGTAATACTTTGATTAAGTAATACTTTTCATCATTTCTTTTATATTTTAATATCGCTTTTTCCTGTTTATTTTCTATTGCTGTCCATAAATGAGGCTACCTTTAAAATTATCTACCATTCATTTTGATAGTATAACTAGAACTCTTTCACCTCTTTCACCTTTTCACTTAATTATTTTCTCTGTAGAAATTCATTTGAGATTATATGTTTCAATTAAATTATTACTAATTTTTTTGAGTTCCATTCTGAAAAGTATTCAATAACTCGAGTATCTCAGATATATATTAAATTGTATACTCTGCTTATATGTATATATTTATTTTGTAGCAATTTATTTGTTTTATTTTTAAAAGAAAGTTCCAGGACACAAGTTTATTGCTATATACAAACATTACAGCATAATATGAAGATCCTCATAGTAAAATTCTGACTCCTAAGAATAGTGGGTATCTTGCTTTACACTAGGTAAAAAGAAAGGGAATGTTTTGGAGGGCGATTTCGAAATAGGCTTATGATATTTGTAAAAAATTCCCTTGAAACGCCCCTTTTTTCTCATGATGGCTAAGAATGCTTGCATCACAAATAAATAGTGATGTCATCTATTTTGGCGCAAAAAAAATATTTCAAGGGCATACGCGTCTGTTTCTTTGTATTTCCCTTCCTTTAGGCCAGTCTACGTTTACACCAGGTAAGTAATGAATGTAAAGACCACCAGCATGTTAAAGCCAGCTCAAATGTGTCTCTTTCGGTGTCAAAAGCTAACTTGAACATATTTTCGCCTTTTTCTTTTTTAAAGAGGCGCTCCATATTTTCAACTTTGACGGATTCAAGAAAACGAGAGCATGGCTAATGCTACCACCTCATGCGCATTAATGTTGAGCAAGATATAACTTTTTATTTGTTATTTGCAATAGACTACCAGCAAGAAATATCCAGAAGTCTAGAAAAATACTCCTGCTCTTGTTCTTGTGTGCAAAAATCTGCTGCTAATCTCCATGCTTACTACTTACCAACTTGACATGAAAAGATACAAACGTGTTTTGTCTGCATAATTTTTTTCAAAAAAAAAAACAGCGGTCCAGCGAGCGAGTTCATTGAGATACACGAGTATTTTGGTGAACTCCTTAATTGGTAAGTAATCGTTCCAAAACATAAGCTAAAACAAAACATCTCAGCATTTTACCTTGTTCTTATTTTGTATATACGAGGTTCAAGCCAACAGGTTAACCTTCGGGACCCTGACTGAGCTCTGGTGGTGTCCAGGATTCTGAGTACGAGGCCGAAGGTTTCAAGGACATTAGTTTAGAATTAGAAGACGTGGGTTTAAAGGCATTGCGTCCTCCTTCCTTTTTTTTGACGATTGGCTAGTCGCCCTTCACTTTGGTGAGCTGATCAACTGGGTGTCGTATGAGTGAGATGTTCCAAACTTCGTACTGTGTTTTTAGTTAGTTTTTTTTCTCGTTGGGTCCGTTTTTTTTGCGTGTTTGGTTTTGCAGGTACGTACTTTTATATTTCTTTCTTTATTGCAGCAGATCTTGAAGCACAAGAACAAGATATGGAGCACCGATGGACGCTTCAGGGTGGAAATGTAGGATTTATCGACTGGAGATATGTACATATATAGTATTTCCTCCCCCCAATGGGAGGGGGAAGCAAATGTGCTATTAGGGGGTTTCAACAGTCCTTTAAGCTTTTAAGCTTAAGCTTTGAGTTTTAAAGCAGTAACCAATAATACGTGAAAGTTACTTAGTGTTTTTGAGTACCCTAAATGCTTCTTTCAGTTCTATTAGGCATTGTAATAATATTATATAAGTCTAAGATAGTATTGAAAGAGACAAATATATCTGCATCAAGGATTTATTAAATTTCCAAAAAAAAAAATCAAATTTAAGCAATGATGTATTAAAAGCTTTAAACTCTCGATTTTCTTTCAAGAGTTTTAATCTTTTTTAATGGTTAGAGCATCTGCAGCAGTAGCATTTCCATTAGCATTAATTTAAGTTCTCATAAGCCACATATGAGGTTTAAATCAGTAAAAATATTGAGGGTAAAATATCAGTAGCATAATAAAAAGAAGCATTTAGATAATTATACTATCTGGTATAGTCTTCTTCACCAGTAAAATTCATTATTATTAGATATTTTTCTTTTATATTTAATATAAAAAATACAGGTTAAATGTTCTCGAGACTATCAGCTTTATGCTCAAGGTCATAAAAATCACGGAGCATGTAAATACATGCTGTCGGAAATGCTACTGCTGCAGACGATTTTTTTGAAAAGCATTTACAAAAAGCACTTAAATCGGGAAAAACTAAATTTAAATGCTACTGCTGCAGATGCTCTTATAGGTTCATTCCAGCCAATCATTTCTCAAATTTAAACTCAAAAGCTTAAGTTTAAAAGCTTGAATGACTGTTGAAATCCCCTAATATTCGTATAAAGAGGCGGGTGGGGATTACTTACTAGTTTGCGCTGTCAAATTATGGGAATAAAAGTAGGTGAAAGAAAGAGAAAGACATGATACGCGTAAGAAGGCCAATAAATAGTAAAATATCAGGTAAGATTGCGTCACACTTTAACGACACCAACTTCTTATGATCTTCTGCACAATTGGCTATTGATATAGTGTATTTATGATTATTTATGATTTCTTTATTGTCAAATCTAAATTTGGGACGCAAACGGCTATTGATTGAATATACAAGATTTGATTTTTGCTTGAGACACCATTTTATTATTAAATTTTTTATATACAGTCTGTAACTCTTAAAAAAAGTGAGAGTTAGGTGCCTGGGGAGAGATAGATAAACACAAAGTGTGGTGACAAAGTAGTAAGCTAATACATACAATGAATATGTTGTGTTTTTTCAGGACACACCATTTTGCCCTGAAGGATTAGAGAAAGACATCGGGCCCCGGATATGTAGCCAAAATTGATTAGTCCGGTTAGATAGTAATGTCGTTCCCGTAAGATTACTGCAAAGTCTAACCCCAACCCAAAAAAAAAGTGTATAACCATAAAACTCCTTATTATGAGTGACGTTGCATACTTCCAGGCTGTCCAGCCTGTCCTGCCAGCCTGCCTGTAAGGTTCACCTTTTGAAATATTTAGCCAAATATGTAATATTATATCGTCTCATGTTTCACGTCTAAGGCTTCCTTATACGATCAAAATGTATGGTATTTCACTTATCAGACATGTCCACTTGGTGTGGACAGATAAGTTCAAAAAAGGGGCAAAAAAAAGAGCAAAAATTTAAGTCATATCATTGAGTAAGAGTTTTAATTAATTTGCCTTTTTTTTGAACTTTTTCTTTTTGAACTTTTAGTCTGTCCACACCAATTTTTGTCATAAAAAAAAGTTTATTATGTGTCCGTTGTCCGGTACTCAGTGTCCGGTATTTTACTTTCATCCTAAAAGTCACATTTAAAGAGCGAGATGGAATTGTAACCACGCCAAAGTATACCAAAGATATCTTCCAAGTATAAGCATTTATCATGAGTAAAGGTGGTGGTTTTCTCACTCCAAAGTCAATCGCCAATCGCATCAAAGCAAAGGGCCTTACCAAGCTTAAGTTTTACTGTCAAGTATGCGAAAAGGCTTGTCGTGATGCAAATGGTTTCAAATGTCACATTACATCCGAATCCCATCAAAGGCAGATGCTGTTAGTTGCAGCTAATCCAGGTCGTTATATTCACAGTTTCTCAGATCAATTCAAACAAGACTTTTTGAGCGTTCTATCTCATAGTCATGGAACAAAACGCATGTTTGCCAATCAAGTGTATCAAGAATACATTGCCGATCGAAATCATCTTCACATGAATGCTACTCGATGGACCTCTCTATCTGAATTCGTAAAACATCTTGGTAGAGAAGGAATTTGTCATGTAGAGGAGACTGAGAGAGGGTGGTATATTACTTGGATTGACAATAGTCCTAAAGCACTGGAGCGACAGGCAAGTTATACTTATATATTGAAAACATATATATATATATATACATATATTGTTTTCTTTTCTTTCTAAAAATGTTCTTTTGGTGGGGTTCGTATAGGCTGCTATTCAGAAGTTAGAAAGAATGCAAAAGGACGATGAAGATCGTGAGCAAAAGCATTTGAAAGAACAGATGGAACGTGCTTCAAAACAGGCTGAAGAGCGAGGTGAAGAAGAGCAACATGTATCCGAGTTGAAGCGAGTGGATGATGGAAAGATCAAATTAAATCTTTCCTTAAAACCAGTAACAACAGATGTCGCTGAGCCAATTAAGGGTAACGGAGAGTCTATGAAGAAACTTGGTGGGTTAAAGAAAAAGGGACTTTCTTCTCTTGCAAAAGCACCTACTGTCAGTTCGCCCGTCAAACCCACTGTAATTCTTGGTAGTCCGTTTGGAAAGCGTAAGATAAATCCAACATCTGAAGAGTCAGTTATCAAGAAGTCATGTACAATCAAAGCGGAATAAATAGATGGAAGGATGGGAGGATGTAAATATAAATATTTATTTAACTATTGTTATTATTATTAAAAAGATTCGTAAAAAAACATTACTGCACAAATTACTAGTTCATGCGTAAAGATGGAGACAAGTATAAAATTAAAAGGTGGCAATAGATTTGGCAAGAGGAACAGGTGTAGCAGAGTCATAGAGATTAGTCTTTTCTTTGAGAGGGGTAACGAGCTCGTTGACTAGGTTGTTATTGTCGCTCGAGAGAATAACAGGGCTAGTGCTTGAGGCGGAATTTTGGTTGCTGTTAAAAGATATTGACGTAGATTTTACACTGTGGACTGGAGGAATATCGGGTACAAGAAGTGCCTCTTTAATAGATTTGATGGAAAATTCGGCAAAAATTTCGTCATATTTGAACAGCATCTTTTTGTCTGCTTTCTTCACTATCTCTCTAATAAAATACCAGTCGTGTGCGTAATTCTCGGAATACAGCTCGATATTCGTACACTCTCCATTTTTGATATTCGTTACAATATTTGAAATGTCGTCGCGCATTACTTCAATATCTCCCATCAAAACTAGTGCATTGTTTGGTAAAAACCGATCAAATCGGTCTTGAACATGACTGAGACGGAGTATAGCGACTTCGTCTGGATTAACTGAACTACCACCAAGAAGTTCTTTTATAACTAACTTGGCAAGTTGATAGCTGACGATGTCTGTTTTGTTGAATTCTTTCCAGGAATTTGAGGATGTTTCGGCAGTAACGAGAGGAGAAGACAAGAATACACCTGCTGGTTTTTGCACCGAGAAATTCGTTCTTGGTGCGTCCAAATTTTCTAGCATTTTAGGAGAATACATGCGCATAAGGGTTTCCAATGCGAGAGCTCCGCCAGCAGAGTCTCCAGAAATGATAATCTTAGAACCGGGTACACCAAGTGTTTCTACCAAGTGTTTGTACGCGCTCAAACAGTCCAATGAGGGTGTGGGATATGAGACAACGGGTGCCAGTCCTATACAGTTATAGATTTTTAGATAAGTTATATCTCTTTAAAAAATGAAATTCGTTTTACCATACTCGACCGAAACAACTACTGCATTAATATCGTGCTTTTGTTTTAAGATCTTGAGCCAGCTAATAAATGCACTCATATACATAGTACAATGACCAACTCGAAATCCACCACCTAACATAAACAAGTATTTTATTAGAATAACTTAATAAAACCCACTGTATATTACGTTACCATGGATTTTGAAGATCACCAAGTCTGCATCCTTTATTCTCTTCTCAGCATCTTTACGACTATGATATTTCATACGATATCCAATATAGGCGCCTTTAAACTCTGGAGATTTAACTTTTTTTATCCACCGTCGTTGTTTTTTTGATGGTTTTGTCATTTCTTTAAGTGCAATTCGGGCTGCACGAGGTGGCATTGCTATTATCTTCCGGATTGTGGCTACCACAAGATCGCTTGGAGAAGATTTCTTGACTACGCTACGAATACTATCCATTGTGAGCCCAATTGTTTGTACGTGGTTTTGTAAAGAAAATTTATAAGAGAAAGAAAAAAGAACAGGTTAGCTTTGATAGATATTCCTGGTGTAGTATTTATAAGCCTGGTATGTACATTAATCTACCCCACCATTTATCGAAAAATTGAGTAACTAAGCTTATTATGTATTGCCGTAAAGGGTTTTTGTATTTCATTTTCTTTTATATCTTTCTATTGTTTTACTAGTACATGGGCTTTTTTTATCGATTGTACGACTACAATCTTACTACAGATCATCCTTGGTTCCTTAATAGGATAGTTTTTTATTCGTCAGATATGATTCTACTTCAAGATTATGTGGTACAGAATTATCTCAAACACAGCAATTTATTATCATAGAATATAATTTACTTATTCTTTTCACAGGTTGAAAGTGAAATGCACATGTATACAAAATAATCAGTTTTCTTTTATTAAAAAAGAAACGATCTTCCTAAGAAATATGTCTATAATAATCACCTCAATTGCATATAAAGGTATTCAATTCTTGTATTTTTTGTCATGAAGTGTACAAGTCTTTTAGGAAGCAATTCCAGAGCTGTATATGTACAATTTACCAAATTATTTGCATTTAAATATTACATGTAATAAATACAACTTAGAGCGATGGTTTGGTATATGTTAGTATGTTTAGATAATCCGATAGTCAACACGATGTGATTGAAGAACTGTCCTATAAAAAGACATGTTACGAAGACACGGTTTATCAGCCTAAAATAAGTTATACGACTACCCCAGTAAACCATTAAAGTTAGTGACCATAACTACAGTAATCAAACACAGGAATTGTGGACGTTGCTTCTCGGCCACACATATACTTGATACGGACTGATATACATACCACCTCACTGCCTCTTTCTTGTTGCCTCTACTTTTAAAAAAGAGAGCGGAAGACCTACACCTATGTGTAATTATATATTTTATATAAAATATATCGTGTTTTATCTTAAAAGCTTGATGAGTTTTTACGATAGTTTGAGCAGATTATTTTAAAGCAAAAGTATTAAGAATATTTGGTTTATGTTACTTTTTAAAGTGTCTAATATATTACTAGAAAATTCCTTTTTTGGTTTAACTTTATCTTTTTATATGTAGCCTTAATGTTTAGCTATTATGATGATATGCGAAAGTGATAACGGGCTATAACCATTTCTTCCAGCTTGAATAAAATGCTCTTATACAATTTACATTCACTATTCACCCTTGAGTTTAATATATATTTACTCAGATTTATATATATATATCCGCTACTTGAAAAACCCATATTAATTCTTGGTCTATTTTATTTATTCGATAGATAAGCTAACCTGCTTTTAAGCTCTCGATGCAGTTGGATTATTTTGCTTTAATTATTAGAAATCTGGTTTCTAGCTATTCATTAAATTTTATCATTTTTATCAATTGAAGTTGTGTCATAAAGATTTAAATACTTATAATAGTATATACAATATCAGTTTGAGCAAGAATCTGTTGAAACATCCTATAGTACATACTGCTCAAAGTTAGTTTGCGCCTTTTTGCTTTAAGAACATCTAATAAGAGAGCTTATATATTAGATATATATATAGTTAATTTCTCGAAAACCATTATTCAGTGTAGTAAACATTATATTGGGCTTATTTATTATATCTTTAACAGCAGTTAATACATATCTCTATATAGGTACATCTTGCAATACACTTTGAACCTTTTTATATGCATAAAGAATCATTATTGAGTAAAAATTTGGGACTTATATTGTCAAGTGCTTTGTTACAAGTGTTCCCACGTATTGTATTTGAAATATATAAGCTCTTACATACCGAAAAATGGTTGGTAAAACTTTTAGACAACCTCTCTTACTGTTAAACTAGGTAAATAAAAAGCGAATAATTAAAGGTTAAAGAAACTATGTTTGAAAATTGCAATTAACCTTGACTTTCATTTCAACATACAAGACTTTTACACAGTCGACTTTAGATGCCCTATTAAAAAGTCGATCTCATTATTGGGTAGTAAATATAATCAACGATTACGGGTGTACTGATTAAAGCTTACACCGTGTGAATGTACTCTGATAACTTGTAACGTGTTTCTAGTAACAACCACTGATATTTTACACCCTATTATATAATGTTTATTGAGCTATAACAGTGTATACAGCTGTAATAACACTCTAAGATATTAATTCAACCTATAATATCAGATAAAAAAAACCAGTTGAAACCTTTTTTAATATGTAAATATATATATATATATCTACAAATCAATACATCATAATTCTAATAATGAGTACAAGATGTCTTGTTTGATAGCACTGATAAATATTTCCACCGCTTCCACAAAAAAGAAAGTATTCTTTAATACGTATAATGTAGGACTAGCATGTGAAATAATGTGAAGCTACTCATAATGAACTATATATTTTATCTTTGCTTACAAAGACATAAAAATAAATAAGCTGGGGTATACATGTACTAAATATCTTTAGAAAGCAATGTACAAAATATAGCTATAAACTTTATACTTCATTATAATCATAAAAAGGATGTCTTAAGGTGTTACAAGCACAGATACTCTTTCAAAGAGTATTATGAATGTACACTCCTCTTTATTATCAATATTCGTTATTTTATTAATTATTTTATTGATATATCCCTAACCTTCTCTAGTAAGAATTCATTGAAAAATATATTCTTAGATTTATTTTATACTAATAGTTTAGTGACCCCATATAGAAACACTTGTTCCTTCTATTATAAAAGAAAACAAGATTATACTACTGAATTAATCAAGCATCATGTTTTCATCAGCCCACAGCTTAAATGTTCGGTCAAAACCTGTGGATGCCAAGTATTTTCCATCTAAAGAAATACGTGTCAATAAAATATGAAAGTTGCAATTTCTGGGGACTTACCATTTGAGATATCTACTCCCATTACTTTGCCCTCATGTCCTTCCAAACTTTTGATCATTCTAAAGTCGTCTCCAGACCAGATCTTCACGCATCCATCATATCCCACGGTCGACAAGTAGAGACCTGCAATATCAGAAGACATACTTGTCCCCTTACTGAACTTCACATCCGATACAAGTGACTGATGTGCAGTAATTGTGTAGATGTTGCGTAATTTTCTAATATCCCAGATCTTTACAGTATTATCAGCACTGGCTGACGCAAGCTGATAACTAAAACAAGAGTATTCATAAGCAGTGTACCTTAACTTTAAACTAATGTGTTTTATATTTACCCATTTGGAGACCAATCAACACCAATGATATCTTTTACATGACCTTCCAATGTCATTGCAGACCTTCCTGTTCTTGTATCCCAGACACGGCCAATAGCATCCAAACCACTAGAAACAATCATTGGATTAAAATACTTATTTATACATAGATATATAAGTATATGACAAAGACATACCCGCTTGCTACAAGACTGCCATCACATTGAAATGCAATTGCGTATACTTCTTTGGAATGACCTTCCTGGAGCAAAAGCTCTTTTGTAGTTTCTACATCCCACAATCTCCAGGTTCCATCAAAACTTGCACTTCCCAAGTATCTACCAGAAGGGTGGAATGCAACACGTGCAACGCGTCTAGCATGACCTTTCAATGTAGCCAAAGGTGTTTCTCTGTGTTTTCAGACAAAGCAAATTAATAATTGTTAACTATTGCTTTTCAGTGCTGACCTACTTATCCAAGCTCCACAGATGAACCAATGAATCGGCACTTCCACTTGCAAGATTGACTGAGCTTTTACTTTGGCTAAGAGTTGCTTCAGGGTGGAATGCGACACCGCCAACTCGATCAGTGTGCCCTTTGAATGTCATGATAGGTTCACAATTTGGCACAGACCACAACTTGCACAGACCAGACCAAGCGCCGGTTACAAGCATTTTCGAATCCGGGCTGAATGCACACTGTGCAACTGGTCGTTCATCCACCATTTGTGAAGCCCAGTTTGTATAACCCTAAATACACGGTCCTTTTTTTTTGGTACGAAAACTCTCACAATTTTACAAAGCTGGAATATCGTACCTTGAGTTTAGCCTGGAGCTCTTTACGCCCTGTTCGCAATTGCACCAATGGGATATCCATTTCAACCTTTTGCTTTTCTATCCGTGCCTTTGCCCTAGAATAGATGAGAAGCCGAAAATGTTTTGCAGTTGATAAAAAAAAAGACATTTACCGGGGAAGAGAGTAAGAAGTGATCCACTTTCGTGCTTCCAAGAGTTCAATAGATCCTGGTGTAAAGAACTCCTCCATATTCTTTTTACATATATTAAAATTAGCATCGAAAGCATGTTTATATTCGCTATTTTTTGCTTTGGCAACCAGATTTACTATACCTCATCCTCACTGCCTTCACTATCAGATCCTGAATCGCTTCCAACATCTACACCTTGTTTTGACAGCAAATATCTCAAACGATCACGTCTGTCACCAGGCTATATAAAGATAATACCAATATATTAGATATGAAAACAGTATCCCAAAAAAAATCATACACTTGAATTCATTCACTTACACCTTCACCAAACAGACATTGTGGTTCATTAATCTCTCTTAGTCGTTGACGGACACGAACATCGTCTGTTGGGACAGCAAGTTGACGTGCACGCTTTCTACGTTCAAATTCCTCGAGAACTTCTCTGTCTGCTTCTCTTGCTCTAGCCGATGACTCTGACAGATCGTGATCTTGAGCCTCAGCTGAAAATCACAATTGCATTAGCCAAGTTTCGACAATCTCTATATCTGCAGGAATGCCCTACCGAGTGCATCGAGATCGATTCCACTGGAAGCTGTCGCTGTCTCGCTTACTTTCAATCGCTTTGCTTCAACTTCTTCTAAAGAGCCAAAATGTACACGTGGCTTTGCGAGTAGCTTTGAAAGAGTAGACTGATCGTTGTCTCCCATAATGTTAAGTATTGATGCAAGGGGAAAAATATAGTAATATTTAAGTTGGGGATGAAAACGCGGGCAAGACCACAAGAGAGACAACTGCTGTGACTCTTTCTTGATTTACTATTCTGGGTAATTTGCTAATCACGCTACTAATGCACTTTTTGGGAAATTTATTAGAGTAACTTTCAGCAACAAGTCATTTTCAACTGTTCCTTGTTCTTCCAAGATGACAGACCCTGCCCTAAGAAAGAGGCGCAATTATGATGAGAACTCACTACAAAATGGCTCTGGAATAAATGTCGATGATTACACAGATGACACTAAAAAAGTAGGATTTGCTTCTGTATAAATTGAAGAAAAAGAAAATCATGGACAGACACAAACTTACATGTTGTGGTCCTTGCAGGTTAATGTGTCGAACCTAAGCCCATCAAAATATTCGCATCTTATTGGCCTTAGCATAGTTACTATTGCTGGCTTCTTCGTTACTTTTTACAAGATCTGGTATCCAGCGGAAGTGGTGTAAGTTGGTCTAAACCACAACTATCTTACTACTTGTGCTCACCACTCAATAGGTTTGACGAGGTCCACTTTGGCAAATTTGCTGGATATTATCTTAGACGAACATACTTTTTTGATGTTCACCCTCCTCTTGCAAAAATGATGTTGGCTGCAGTTGGATATATGGTTGGATATGATGGTCATTTTGAATTCGATAATATTGGAGACAGTTATATCGAAAATAATGTACCATATATCGCTCTTCGTGCATTGCCTGCCTCCCTTAATGTTTTTTGTATCGCGCTCATGTACAGTATCATGAAAGAATCTGGGTATTCTGTATGCACTTGTTTTCTTACTGCCAGTTTGTACCTACTTGGTAAGTATTAGGTTACACTTTAATAATTGAATGATTCTAATTTAATTTTTGCACTCCCTGTATATTTATGAAAAGATAATGCAATCGTTGCTCAACACCGTCTGATTATGTTGGACAGCATGTTAATCTTCTTTATGCTGGCCACAGTGTACTCTTATATCCGATTCCGTAAAGTTAGACACCAGTATGTAGTTAACCCAAAGAGTCCAGATATATTATAGTCGTATTAATTTGTCTTTGGGAACGGTTATCTAGAGAATTTTCTGCTACATGGTGGGCTTGGCTTCTTGCAACTGGCGTCACAATGGCATTGACACTGAGGTAAACACATAGACACGGGGTATACTACATATTTTGTGCAGGTAATTTACAAACAGAGGTACATTACAGTGTCAAAATGGTCGGTCTTTTCCTTGTTGCTGCCATCGGTATTTGTGTAATTGTTGATTTGTGGGATTTGCTCGATATTAAACGTGGAATTTCCATCGTAAGGACCTTTCTATCTTTTAAATATATATATAAGGAGCTGAACTAAGTTTATGATAGGATCATTTTATAAAACACTTTTATGCAAGAGCACTTGGCTTGATTGCCGTCCCAGCTTTTATTTACATGTTCTGGTTTTATGTCCATTTTGCTATCCTGGTTGAATCTGGTCCCGGCGATACATTCATGAGCTCAGCATTTCAAGAGACTCTCAAGAATAGTGCAATTAAGATGAAGTCACTAGGTAAGATATTTCTTGTTAGCAGAATATCTAAAATAAATATGGGCTCACACACACTATAGATATTCATTATAACGATGATATTCGACTTATGCACAAGGATACCGAGAAATATCTTCATTCTCATGATTTGGAGTATCCTTTACGCTACGATGATGGACGAATTAGCAGTCAAGGTAAATGGATCATATTAAAGTACAAAAAAAAAGATATTGATTGATGTGGATATTAGGTCAACAAGTTACTGCCATCACTGTTCCTGACGATAACTCTTGGTGGCGAATCAAGCCTACAAAGGAAATATCGGAAGATGAACCTGTTCCTATCATCCACGGAGATATCGTCCAACTTGAGCATGTGGGCACAGAAACTATTCTTCTTACCCATGATGTTGCTTCTCCATTGATGTCAACAAACGAAGAAGTCACTACAGTAGACTTGGACGAGAGATACAATGAAACTCTCTTCCAGGTATTATTTGATGACCACAACAATGGCGATATCTGGCAAACATACATGAAGGCTGTCCGTTTGGTCCACATGGATACCAAGGTCGCTATCTGGACACATCCTAAAAATCTTCCAGACTGGGGCTTGGGTCATCAAGAAGTTAACGGAAATAAGAATTTGATGGATAAAAGTAACTACTGGGTGGCCACTGAGATTGATGGGTTGAATGGTATGTTCAAAAACAACAAGTACCATAATGATTATTTACCCATATATTATTTAAAGCAACTGAAATCAACTTGGAGAAGAAGAAGGAAATCAAAACAATACCTTTCATATTCAAGTTTGTTGAATTACTTGGACGTATGCTCAGTCATAATTCTGGTCTTACTAAGCCTCACCCTTATCAATCAAATGCTATTTCTTGGCCATTATTGTCGCGTGGAATTTCATACTGGTCAAAGGACGATACTAAGGAGCAGATCTACATGACTGGAAATGTTTTTGGCTGGTACCTCTCTATGGTTGGAACTATCATCTACACTGGTGCTATTATCATTGATACAATTTGCCGTAGAAGAGATGTTGCATGGATTGAAGAGCGTAGGTTAATGAAAAATACTTCGTTAACAAGTATTAATTATAAAAACATATATATGATTATGTTTTTTTAGCTCTTCGCCGCCGTTTAATTCAATCTGCTGGATTCTTTATACTCCTTTGGCTTCTTCATTATATCCCTTTCTTTGCTATGGGTCGTGCTCTTTTCCTTCATCATTATCTCCCAGCAGCAGCATGCAATTATTTATTGCTTGGAGCTGTATTCCAGTATCTTTTCATAACAAGCGTTGATTCCCCTACTTCTGACCTGAGACGTAACCAGAGTGCGTTGGAAGAAATTCACCCTGTCGGCCCAGCTCATGCACAAACATCTACTCAGGCACAACCGACCACAAAAACATACATTATCGCAACAATAATCTTGGCATTACAATTCGCATGTTTTGTATTCTTGTCGCCTCTTACATACGGTAGTCCTGGGCTCAGTATTGATGAGGTCCAAAGACGTAAAGTCTTCAGTGGATGGGATCTTCAGTTCGGTAAGTAATTTTCAGACCGAAATTTTAAGCTTTTACTGATCTACTTCTATCGATTGCTTTATATAGCCAAATAAAACGCATTCTTGGCCAATTTTGTATAGCAATTTAGCATGGGCTTTCCCAATCATTTTTTTAATAAAAATATTTTCAAATGATGTTTATTATCATATTGATGCATTCTCAAGAGGCTCCACTTAAAGCTGCCACACGCTGTACCAACTCTGTCATTCTATCATCAATAACCTTAATATTGCTATTGATAGATGCTTCATTGGCAGCTAAACTCTGGTTAAGCTGAAAAAAAATATAATGAATAATATGAAGGTTATAACCGCGCTATTATTTATCATACCGTATCGCATGTTGCACTGAGACTCTTAAGTTCTTGGGTCATCTGGCTTTGTTCATCTGAGATCACCTTAACAGAGCGTCCAAACGTAGATGCTTCAGTGTGCAATCCCTGGAGAGCTTTAAGGCGGGTCAACAGTGCAGGTGTCAGATTCAACAGAGGATCGATTTTCTCCATTGTGGCAAAGAGATGATTGACCTAATTATATATAGTTATAGTTATGCGGTTGAAATAGATCGCATCCAATCACCTTCTCCTCTGCCTCGTTCGATAGGCCTCCTGCTGCCTCTTTATTTTGGCCCTCGGCTGAAGTAGTGGCTGACTGTACCCCAGCGGTTGTTGATGTAGGGTGGAGACTAAAGTTGAGCGAACTTGTATTTTCTTTACGCCCAGACTTCAGTTCATTAAGTCGGTCAAGTTCGCTGTTGAGTACTTTGATTCTTCGAGCAACCATCTCAAGTTGTCTAGGCTGGGCGAGGATGGTGATCTGTTGCTCCAATTTGGCCATAGAGTTGATCAAGGTTGTAGAAGCAAGACCAGAAGGCTAATAGCACAAACCGTTAGTATATTTACTTTATGCATACCTATAATAATTTACCATATCTTCTGGACCCTGTCCAGCACTTGTACCAACGAGTTTTTCGATCTTTGCGATACGCTCATCAATCTCGGAGACTTGGCTTTGCTTTTGCATCTTGGCTGTTTCGGGGGTATAAAAGAGCTCGTATGTAACCAACTAATTTGAATTGATTAACACCAATTTATCAACTCATAATGTAAACACTCACGTCTCCCTTGTCGTTCTTCTCTACTATGACAGTATCTTCAGTCTCATTAGACTCTTTATTTTTCAATGGCAAGCTCTTGTAGGCCTCAAGTTGCTTGATGAGGTTTTTAGCTTCGTCAATACGTTTTCCGTATGTAGTTGGTCCATCCTCTGTCTCGGTATTTCCAAAGCTTTGATTGAGTCTAGTCAAATCAGATTGCAAATACGAAATTTGTGCTAAGAGGTCATCCTGTGTTGCTGTCTCTTTTGTTTCAGCAGGCGTATCCTCCTAGGGAATATTGAGGTTGAGATGCTGATCCAAATATACACAAAAAAACACACGTGTATATAAACTTATTTGAGGTTTTTTTTTGTAATTATATTAACCTTTTGCTTCTCTACTTGTTCATTCAATTCTTGGACTTCAAACACAAGGCGTCGATATTTCTGCAGTGAAGTTTCTTCTAAAGCTAGTTCTTTTGGCAAAAGTTCGTATTCGTCTGTTTCAAGAGCTGGTGGGCGGCGAATATAACTACGATACATTGCTTTTTTTCTTTGAGTCAACCTATCAGAAAAGTCTGTATTGATAGAATAGTTAATACTTGTTAACAATATGCTCGGGTAGGAATCCAACCTGTGTTATCCGTGATAACCACACTATTGGCGAATCTTGCACTTGCATCCTTGACTGACACGCGCGATCGCACTACATTTTCGTTTTCATAATCACTTGTCTGTAATTAACATGATAAAAGTCAATAATCTACATTCTGTATTTAAACTAACATATATGTATTTAATATACCTGATCATCAAATGACATTGCAGGAGCTTCCTCGGAAACATCTGGGGTCTCATAGACATCCGGTTGGTCGTCCTAGGATGATTATCCAATTAGATGCCAAGTTGAGTAATGCTTATTAGATGAAGGGTTTACAATATCTGGCAAGGTAGAGTATTTGGTGGACATCTTGAAAAATAAATCAACAATTTATTGAAGCTCTTTAAAGGATGTAAGAGACTTGTCGCTCTTTGGTTTAAAGCTACTGTTAACAAATTCACCCCCTCAAGTTCTCGTGGCTGAGTTTAACTAAAGTTGTACAATGTGCCCTGGATGAAGTTGCATTGCCCTACAAAATAAACGCTGTTGTCTTTGTCACTGTTTTCTTAGCAGCTATTTATATTCATTTCCAATTCTTTGATCTAACATTTGTAATATAAGGTTTCTGAGGGTGTATTTGCATAAAGAAACTTACTCTATTCTGCATTGAGTTCCCTGTAAACTTTTTATGGTAAAAAAAAAAAAAACTAACGGCGACAAGTTGATATCAAATTGAGAAACGTTCTCCTTCAAAATTACATACGTCCTGACTCTATAAAAGTTTGTAAGCAGATCCTTGCGAATTATATCAATAGAAATATACTTTATGTTCAACTTTTTTTCAAGAAAAAATAGTGGAAGGGATCAATTTTAAATTGATGTTATTCGTTGGAGTCCTCCTCTACTTTTGCTCAAACTTTTCTTTAATTGACTCTCCCACTTAGTATAAAGGAAGTGCTACATACATAAGCCAGCTTGTTTATTTTCTTCATTTCAAAATAACTTCCAATAAATTAAAATCAATTTAGTATTTTTTTTAGTAGAGATAATCGTCAAGCCATAAGCAAGTTTATTGCATTTCAGCAAGTAAATGTATAATAGGAATAGTTTATTATAAGTTATCCCAAGCTCTTTTAAAAGATGTTTTTCGTGTGTGCTTTTTAAGCTTGTTTTACTTTTAAATGTAGACCACATGTTTTGATTGTTGACGAGCAAATATTTAGTCTTTAGGATGTGCTTCATTTCGTGGTGGTTGTTAAGAGTACGCGCTGTCCCATCAGTTGGATTACTATATCGCGTATTGTTTCTTGCTCTACAATAACTTCTATTGAACCGACTGCATATGTTTGCTGATGTATCTGACTTTCTCTTTCACTCTTCAAGCCTTGTTCCAAGACCTTGTCTTGCAAAGTACCATAATATTCACCCCAAAGTTCTCTTGTACGCTACTACAATATCTTCTGTGGGACTTTAGCTGAGGAAAGAGATACTGGCAGAACTGATTTTGCTGCTGAGGATATTCCGAGCTTAAATATATGCAGATGTATTGCTGCAGCCTTGTAGTGGAGTAAAATCAAAGCTGGTGTTTGATAGTGACAACGGACAATGGTATATATGTAGAATTTTTTATTATTATTAACTAAATCATACCTTGTTTGTTTTACATCAACCCACCATGGTTTTTTGATAAGGATCGAGAGGAACTATCATAGTACGTCACACTCGAGGGAATACATATTCTTGCACTTCTATCAAATGGCTGATCTAATACAGTGCTATTTTCTCATGCCAAACAAAGTCACGATACAACTGAATTGGGAATGGCCCTTTAGGGACTCGAGGTTCGCTTGCAGTCAAAGCCAACATCTCACGTACTATTTAAAATTGAGGCCAAAGTTGTTTAACATTTATCTTTACATCATACAAAGTAACTTGATATCTTTCTGATTCTGTATTTTCTTGAAAAATTAATGATGCGGCCTTTGAAAAATGTACACCAGTGTCAATCAAGAGTTTTGACAGATATTTGAGTAACAGTGTACGGACCCACACTGGACATAGTACTTAATCAACAGCAATCATTGCTACGATACCAATGATGGTTCTCGTTTCTATGAGAAGCTAAAATACATGTATATCCACATATCACACCTACTATTGTGGCACCAATGCGAAAAATCGCTGTAATATTGTGAAGCCAACCGTAAAATTGAATACTACCATGGCTGATAAAAGGGCCCACTGTCCATGATTATACTAGCCAAATGTTAGCATATACACACACAGCCCTAAGAAATACTCGACGTACAGCGTAGAATCGACAAAGCTCCTGAAATTACAACCAAGCCACACGTCCCCATATTTTCATTTTCACGGTAAATTTTATCGAATAGCATGTGGGTCCATAATGCAACCAGTCTATTAGATAGTGTATCCATTGGCTCTAAAAATGTTTCCAAAGTGTGCTGTGAAGTGGGATGTGTGCTTCCTTTAGATCATACAAGGAAATTGTGCTCTTTCCGCCTCTCTGAGCACTCGAGATGTCTATTACATTTGCCAATTTGTTGATTTTTCCGCAACCTTGTTGGATGTTTTCCCGCCCCAGTTCCTGTTGTTCCAAGACTGCATGCTCGGGGTTTGTTAGTGTGCTTGGTTTTACAATTTTAGCCTTCGAAACCCACTCATGCGATGGAAATCGAGGTTAAAATATACATGGCCTTTTGCAAGTTGCCTTTTTTGCAATCAAGGCATCCATACATCTTTCAAGTTTGCTCAGGTCTTGGTCGAACTCAGCAAGGGAAAATAGAACAGAGCATATCAAGAAATGGCTTTCTTTGGGTGACTCAGAAGGGGTCTTTGCGTTCTCGTGGCTCATAATTCACTTTGCTGCTTTGATATAGGACATTGTGTGTTTCATTCTGAGGTTAGAATCAGAGTTGGATGAAACTGGTTCTTGAGTTGTGACAAAAATATTTGGAATACATTTATTTTTTTTCAAACTGCGTTCGATGTCTTGGAGTACTTTGCAGCAAATTATCAGATTGTTGCATTTCTTGTTGAACAGAAGCTTGAAGACAGGCTATGTACTTATATTCCAGACGATGGAGTTTTTGGTGGATGGGGGTGAGACGGTTCCTGTCGACTGTTTTTTTTTCTGGCTTATTTATTCAGTGATGTCCAAAGTATTGTGTGGTTGAATTGGTTGGTCAGAGTTGGGTGTCCTGATTGGTGAACCAAGTGTAGACTGTAGGCTGCGCATAACTCTGGACTCGCGAGCAAGCGCCAAGAAAAAGCCAAGAATAGCTCTTGAAAAGCTTTCGCTTGACTGAGCACAGTTTTTGTACCACACTGAGACATAATAGGAAAAAACTACTTCGTACTTTGCGTTGCTGCGTGCCTTTTTCATGACTTTAATTGTATTCTGGAGAGATTCATTCATCTGCATGAGGCGGGGTGCAGACCGACTGAGATCTGCAAATATTACTGTGAATGGATCTGTGTGATGGACGGTGTCGTGCACAAATTAGATCAAGTTGCGAACAGAAAAGAGAGCATCTTTAAAGGATGTTCTGTAATAAACCATAAGAAAAATTTTCTAACGTTTTGATTTATCAAAATAAGAAATTGGTACTAGTAATTACCCTAGAGTCCGTGCTGCTGTCTCTAGGCAGAGAAAAATATTTACGAGTATAGAGATCGACTTTCCGATAATGACTTGGTAGATTATAGAGATAATGGACATGGTGTTAAGTTGTTTATGGTAAAGTGTGCTTTAGGTCAAGGAAAAGAAGGGGACGGTGAATGCTTGTAAGGATGGCAAAAAGAGGAGTAAATTGGCTAAGCGTATATATGCAAGAACAAGTACACTGACAAAGACAAAGACCCCAGAAGCGTCAATGACGCCTGCTTCATTTGTATTTAGGCGTGAGTTTGATGGGAGGGATGCGTTGTAGAGTCTGCAGAGGTAAAACATTACTACGCGCCGCATCTCAGTTAGGATAACTACAAGAACAGGGAGAAGCGTATCACTGACTTGATTTCCTACGGTACTGCTCAAACAACAAAAAAACAGAACACTGATAATTACTAGACATGGTACTGACCTAAGGTGGAGGTTTACTTTTAGAGCTAATATGAGGATGGAGGCTATTCGATAGGAAATTACTCACTTGATTACCTTTTTCTAAGGTCATTCTTTAACCCTTCGGGTCAAAACGGTGTGTCCTAAGAAATATAATATATATTCAAGTAATACCTGTTTGTGCCCTAAATCATGACTTACTTGGGCATAAAATGATAATAGTTAATTACAGATACACTATATCAATAGTCAGCTATGCAGAGGTTTATAAGGAGTTGCTGTCATCAAAGTATGACGCAATATTGCTTGATAGCTTACTATTTACTGGCCTTCTTACGCGTATCATTTCTTCCTTTTTCTTTCGTCTAATTATATCACAAAATTTTGAAGGCACCAACTGGTAAGTAATCCCCATCCACTCTTTTTCGCAAAGAACGAAAGAAAATCTTTATAAATATTCTGTATCCTTAGGGACCAGATATCATTCTAATATGCGCTCTTCCTAGGGAGACGACATTTTAATTCTCCCGGAAAACAAATTGTCACTTTCATGCCGGCATAGAATACAAATAAATTGATACCCAAAATCATTTCGTTTTATTAATCCCTTTTTAACTTTTGCCTTGTTCTGCATTAATATAAATAAAATATAAATGGCCACCGATTATAATCTGCTGAGCCAAAATTTTCCAGACACGCCTTCAGGATTACACCACATAATCATTGACAGTAGGACGCTTCCCAGATGGAACACACGTCTTGAGAAGGAAACAGTGCTCCCGTACGACATGCTCTATATGCTAGAAAGCGTAATTTTGAATCGCTATTTTGATGAAATAAACTTGGACCTGGACTTTTATGTTGTTTGCTTGCTTTTTTGTATATATATATAATGATGCTCGGATTAATGTACTATAAAACCTGGGGATTACAACCAAAGACAGTTTGACTATTGTTGTTTTTGTTATATTGGTAGAGGTTAAGGAGTGTTTAACAAAGAGAACGCCCATTGGTAATAATAGTACTAGCTTAAATGTACAATTATCATTGTGTACATGAATCAATTTTTACAAAGAGCATAGGATAAATGGCTGTTTTTTGTATAACCATTTGTGTAATATATATATGTCTTTAGTGAATCTCAAAACCAATGATTACAATGCCATTATCTGACAACAATGACTTGGTCTACTTTTATGATTATTTTTCTGCTCTTTACTGATCAAAGCCATAGTTATGAAATATAAGATATAGATATGTATGTACCCAAACACAAAGAAGCTTGTGACCTGATGGTTGATTTTGCTTGGCGAACAAAGAGTATTTTTTTTCTTTTCTGTCTGGTAGTCGGAGAATGAGATTGGCAGGGAAGAAAAGGAACGGGCAGTCTGTTCCCGTCATTTTGTGTATATAAATATTAATATAATATAAAATAAAATCAAATAAAAAGAATTGACTAGAAAAGATTCGGGATTTTTTTTAAATACTCTTTCTTCTATTACTTTATTTCTTGTTCTGTTCTTACTGTATAATATCGTCTTTTACACACTACATACCTAAATACACAAAATGGGCTGCTTTGGTGAAATACGTTCTATGAACTTCTCTCTCTATGGCCAATGGTAAGCAATACAAAATAATTCTGCACTTGAACACTTAACTAACATAATATTCTGCAAATCCTTCGATAGGCTTGGTTTAGCATCTATTGCTTGTAAGAAGATATATCACAAATTAATAGTACACCCCGAGTTTTCTTCTAAACGTTTTGTTCTTTAGTGTTGATCGCACTGGGTATTGTCGACCTTACAAAACATGTCGTTTTCAGTATTGTGGGATGGTAATGATTACAGATATTCTCCATGTATTTATGCTGAATTCTCGGGATTTTCTTCTTGTTTGGTAGGGTCATTGCCTTTATTATTATCATGGTTGAGATTCCGCTATGCTTCAAGGTAAAGAGAGGAAGAGAGTGTGAGAGTGTGATGATAAACTAGATTTCTCTTGTGCTGATATTTTCTCTTTGTTAGATGTGTCCTACGAGCCCCAAGTTGTAAATATCTCTATATCTATGCACCCATATACATCAAAATGACTAAGTATCATCTCTTTATTCGTGATTTGCTCATACGTTTTGTAGTGATACCTTCGTTGCTTACTTTGAAAACTCTTACTTCCGTGCCGCCATGTACCTTGTGTAAGTAGTATACAAACAAGGTGGTGGGAGGGAGAATGGGGAGGAAGGAGGTTTAATATCAAACAAAGGAAAACTAAAAAAGAAAAAGAGCTAAGCACCGGATACTAAACGCTGTATGATATATGATATTTAAATAGGTTTGCTATCGTCATGTTCCTTTCAAATCTTCTACACGGTGCAACCCCTTTGATTGCCTGTGCTGTCTGCTTACTGTTAGCTGCTATCTCTTATGGTAAGTCCAGTATTAATATTGTTACCAGCTAGGTATGTTATTTTGTATTTTATCTCATCGTTATGCATTGTCACACAGGCGTTGCTGCTGTCATGGGTCAAGCTTTTGCCAGCTCAAGGTAAATGATTATCCACTGAAACAAGTGCAATAAGAGCTAACGCCTTTTTATCTGCTATTTTCTTCAAATTTATTTTACAGTCTTATTGGTGGAACTGGTGTTGACAACGTTGTTTAAAGAGATTTATCACACACAAAGAAGACAACATACAAACCGGACGCACGTACACGCGCACACGTACACATACACACCCATATATATATATATATTTTTTTTCAAGTTTAAATTTTTATCGTTTCAAGTTTCAAATTTTAATTTTCTTTCTTTTTTTATAATTGTAACATACAAAACGGATATTACCCACCTTACATACATATATATATATATATATTTATATATACGATCTAAAAGATACAAATACAACAGCAATAATACAAACAATATATACTTACATACAGTTTCTATCTTTCTGTCTTTCTGTCTTTACATACATGGAGAGTGGTATAAAACAATAAGAGGATTTTATAATAGACATTATATAAAATATCTAGAGATACGCTAAACTAAATATAGAATTTTATATGATCTTTTCTTTCGGAGCCGACTTTTCTATAACAGTTGGTGTAGGCAGACTGAAAAAATAATAATAATTCAAATCCATATTAAAGTGTTCAAAAAACCATCTCTTCTATCAAAAGCATAATATTATCAATTCAATTAGCAATGGAAGAAGACTAACTGACCATTCTAGAGTCTTGACCCTTTTTTTTTTGAAATTTTTAGTTTGTCCACACCAATTGAAACGACGTTCCCTTTAACATCGCTGATACAAAAAAATGCGATTTTTTAAACACGCTATTCCTTTCAAGGATAAATAGTCTCCGTCTAAATATTTTCTTATAGTTTCTCCAATGTTCCTAATAAAAATCACTATAGCAACACATACACACACACACAAAAATTTAGTGTGGACGAATAAGATCTGTTACCGATGATGCCATCCATTTTATGGGCAAAGAAGGCACAATTGAATTCTGGGACGAATGAATGGACTTCCATTGGAACAATAAACCGGCTTGCATGATTTCTCTTTCTCTTTTCTTACTATTTTTGCATTGAAAACAAAAGTAAAAAGGAAAAAGAAAAAGAAAAAGAAAGCATGGAAATGATAGAACGAAATGATCAGCACACAACCTTTTTATACACTGCTAGCCCAGAGTGACGTCAGTTAGAAACAGTCAACTAAGAGATCAGCAACATCTCACACCTTCAACATCCTTGCCAACCAATTCAGCAATAAGAAATGAACCAAGCTGCTGTCCCATCAACCTCGGTCCCTGGTGATTCCCAAGCAACCCTCCCAAACGGATCAGATGATTCGTCTTCTGATCCAGTAGTTGACGATGACCAAGACGACCAAGGCCTCCATGAGTATATTCCTCCATTCTTAGTCCGGTCCAAGTCTAAACAAGAGCGAGAAGAAGCTAGACAAGAAATGTCCGCCAAGAAAGACCAGAAATCAGAAGGACTCTATGCAATGTTCCATCGAGTCTATGAAAAATATTCTACCTCTGTATTACTAGAGAACACAGCCAGTGTAGCTAGAGATCATCTAGGTAAGAACTTGATCAAGACACATTAGTTAAACTTACATGTGCGCTTTACAGCCAATGAGAGAACGTTTCTGGCCTGGCTGCGTACATCACTATCCATGATTACTGTGGGTGTTGGTATGTGTTTTCGATAACCCAATTGCATGTATATATATATATTCAATTGTTAATTTTAATCATTTAATTCGATCTATATACACACAATCACAAAAGCCATCACACAGCTATATCACCTTCAACCAACCAATGGTAGCGACTTTTCACCCAATCCTGGACGTGCTTTGGGTGCTACATTTGTAGTATTTAGCATCCTTTTTCTGTATTTTGCCAACGCTCGTTACTTTCATTCACAGATCGCTATGACTAAAGGCCACTTCCCAGCTAGTCGGGGATCAGTCATCTTTGGTTCGACTTGTGTACTTGGTGTTTTGATTGCTATGTTTGTAGTTATCTTAACCCAACCTCACTAATCTTATTTTACTATATTTTATTTAATTTTACTCTATTTTTTTAAAGAAAAATACGGTTAGCTCTCCCCACATATACATTACATATACATATAGTAGTCCCATTAATTTATCTCATCAATACACATTTATAATATAACTTACTTCAATCAATACTTTATATACTTTGTAAATAGAGTGAGAGACAAAAGAAATGCTCTTTTTGGGCGGAGGTTTTCTTTATTGACAAATTTACTCAAAAGTCTCGGTTAACAGAAAATTGTAGGAAGTCTGTACTTTGGTGAGATGTGAAACAGGCATGCAATAAAAAACGAGCTGTTGAACCACATACTTTGAGGCAATATAATATGAGTCTCGTATATCATACATCTGTGTATGTCATATTTCGTATTCTTTTAAAAAAAATTGGCGACAAGAAAAAGAAGAATGATAATCAGCAACTAAAGTGGTTTACAGGCAAAAATACTAACAAAATATGTTCGAGCTTAATAATTGACTATAAAAGGCTTTCTTTTGAACGTAAACAAAAGGGATACACTTTCTATAATCAAAACTTAGGCAATTACAACACAGTAAGATACGTTATTTTTTCTTAATTTTTTTTTACCTTACTTATTACTATTCTGGCATAGTAGACTCCTTGGTCGATAATATGTATATATATTCACAGACTAATATCCTTGTTGAACAATTAACTTTCATAGAGAGTATTGGACATTACTTTAAGTGTATATTATTTAGATTTGGCTAGATAGAAGATTTTGAGTTTTTGGTACTTGACATGTAACATGTTTATGGATCTAGCTATCAATTTAATTGGTAACGTTGCGCAAGCTCAGGTGACAATTTAAATTAATTATCAAGTCTGTATACACTAGCTTCACCGATTATTCGCCATTGTATCCGGTAGTCAATATGGTGTGGGCGTGGTAATATTGTACAAGGGATTTATAAACAATACACATAAACACACAACACAACACAATCTCTAAAATATTTAATTCTTTTTTTTGTGTGCTTCTGTGTGTATAAAAAGGACAGGAATTATCAGATAAAATATCTATCATTTTTTCATACATATACATACATATTCATACATATACGCTTACATAACTTTCAATGTGTAATTCTTCAAGTCATGCTGTTTCCTTGCCTCCCAAAAATATTAACCCTGCAATTGATATCCCTCCACTGGATATGACTGGCGGACAATGGTAAGAAATGGTATTTTAATTCAACATAATATCTGATTGTTGCTCGATTCTAGTACATGGTGTGGAAAATACGGCCACAAAAACCCAGGGTGTCCACTACTTAAGTAGTTCGCTAAGGAAGAAAGAAAAAAAAAGAAAAAATGCCCAGACAGACAAAAAAATACACTTACGCGCTCTCACTCATTCACTCATTCATTAACTCGGTCGTTACTTCACTCATTTAATCACACCAAAAAATTACTATCACTATCACTATCATTATCACTATTTAACCAATCTTATTTATACTTGTATATAACCTATATCATTGCAATTGAACAAAAATAAAACAAAGCAAAAAGAAAAGAGAAGAAAGCAGTGTATCTTTAACTACCGTTTTGGTTAGAATGTCAAAAGAAGGAAACAAGGAAGGAAACAAGACACCAGTGCGGAAAATTTGTGTAAGGAACTAACAAAGGAAATATGCATGGGTAATACGAATCCCTTCTTTATCCATTCTCACAAACTCCACGCAGTCTAAATCAATGGATGATAAGACCGATAATCTCGATAATATTTGGTCTGTTTTTTTATATACTTGATCAATTACCAATAAAGCATTTGGTTCAAGTCAATTCAATTGAAATCAAATAAGATCAAATTCAATTCAATTCAATTCAAATCAATTCAATTCAATTCAATTTCATTCAATTCAATTCAATGTGTAATATTAATCTTTGTTTATCTTTACAAGAATAATCCAGCCTTTTAAACCAGAGATACATTCATTTTTATTGGAATATATTTAAATAATAGTAGCAACACAAACACAAGCACACACACTCCCACATTGAAAGAGAGAGAATCGTTTGGCGTACAATAGACAGTCAGCAGTTTGTTTGTGTCGCACTACATTGATTTTGGCGCAACTTCAAGCACGGACGTGTTTCCGAGCTGAATACTTGAAAAGTGGGCTTATTGTGAGATTTAAAATAACAAAAGAAGATTTATAATAAATAAGCTTCGTTTGATTGATCTGACTTTTGACACAAGAGTGCGAAGGGCAGTCTTTGCTATAAGCGGAAATAGTAGTTTATTTGACACCAACCTCTTTATATATATATATATTTGCTTGTATCATAATTGTGATATTGCGACTCAAAAGGCTAAGACTAGGTGCTAAAATACAATAGTCTCTAATGACGTACAAACATACACTAGTAATAATAGTAATAATATTATGTATAAATATAATCAATTTTATTCAAAATAAAAATAAAAATAAACATCTTCCCTCAAAACAAAGAGTACTCTTTATTTATTTATTTAAAATACGCTTTACTACTACAGCCCATAATATGAGCCACCTACCAGATCCCATTCCTCCTCGTGAACCATCAAGCTGTTCTCAGACAAGTACGATAAGTGATGCACCAGTATCGCCAATGCCAGTTGGTATCGAACGTATGGAAGCACTCAAGAATCTCGGAGCAACATTCGAAGAGGGGCACCGTAGAGTATCCAAAATAGCCACACCTACTGAAGAAGAGGTTATACCTAGCTTTGTGGACACTAAACAAGTACAGGTAATTTTGATATATATATATATATATATATATATGGTTTTTGTTTTATTCTGTTTAATTAATTATTGAAATTATGATTATGAATGGTTCTAGCAAATGGCCAATCTATCCAAGCATCCAGCTTTTTCTAGCGTCAATATCATTCCAGCTCATCCGCAATAACTGCTTTTTTATCATTACCCATTAAGAATTGTTTTTTTTAATAATTGATGATTAATATTCATATTCATGTAAATAAACGAACACATACACCTATATATATATATATATTGTATATTATGAAAAACTCTAAAGGATATCTATTCGTGATTCTCTGCACCCATAAGCAGTAGGAGTGATTTCGATCAAACATGAACGAGGGATGGAGATAGTTGGAATTTCCTATAAATTAATAATAATAATAATAATAAAATGCATGAGAAATAAGAATAAGAATTGGATACAATTTCCAAAAAAAAAAGAAATGGCTATTTACACTTTCTGGTCTGTCGAAAAGATAGGCATAAAGGCATCGAAGGACAGTATCGTGTGCAATAATCAAGACATCATTCTTTTCACGCTCTAATTCCATAATAACGGATTCCAAACGAATAGCCAAATCATGATATGACTATATAAGCATATATATATATATATGTGTGTGTGTGTATTGGTTAGAAATAAGGCAAGACCCTGACAAAAATTAATTATCACTTACCTCTGCACGGGGATAGCGATGGCTGTAGGGGTTGGCGCGTGCACTGATGACTTCTTCAGGGAACTTTTCTCTAATTTGTTCAGGAGTCAGACCATCCACTTCTCCGGGATTCATTTGATTGAGAACGGAATGCTGACGTACAGGGATACCGGCATTCACAAATGGAATGGCTGTTTGTCTTCCCTTTTTTCTAGCAGATGTCCAGACCTAACACATCCAAATTAAATCAAATTAAATCAAATTAAATCAAATTAAATTCGCTAGAAAACTTACCACCAATTGTCGTTCCTGATCTTCAGTACTACCTGAACCTGTCTGTTTTTGTTCACGATAAGAAACTACAAACTCCTCTAATTTTTGAGCATATTCAACACCCTCGGGAGATAATTCAGCATCGTCTTTAAATGAACTTGGGCTGACAGATCCTCCTGCCTAAAGTTAAGTAATAATAGTATATACATATTAGAAAACAAATTGGAATAATTCAATATATTCAATCTATCATTACTCAATTAATAAATAAATATAAAACTTGTTCTTACGCGGGCGAAATAAATGGTTCGTCTTCTATTGTGAAGGTTCATCAGAAAATAAACCACACGCGACTGTAGATATCCATGGACATTGTTGACAATCAATTGCTCTCCCACATTCATCAGCTTTACAAAAGGTAAAGTAAGATCCGCGATCGTTTCATAGTTTGCCATGTGTTGTTCGATACGGTTCTACAGACAATAAAAGCATTTAGGTTAGAGCCAGGTTCCAAAACGCACAAATATTTACCTTGTAATCAACGACTGCAGACTCAGGATCCCACCCAACATACTATGTTTTATAATAATTATAGTATAAATAAATATATACAAGATTATTCCAGATCTTACCGCTCATAATAAAATTGAACTTACATCTGGGGAAGATATCTTGACGCTCCGAATATTGGCCAGGACAATCTCGGGTTTGTTACATATAGATTCTAATACAAGAATGAGGACCGTTGTATATAATTCAAATGATTACCAATGAACAAAGGCTATAGGTAATGAAGATACACACATGTATACATATATAAAGTCAGTATATTAGATGATATTTTATGCTTGTACAAGAGTTACTTACATGTATATCATTAGCGACTAGCTTGTCGTGGATAGCTCTTCGTCGGTCTTCAGTAACATTGTTTCCGTCGTAGATGCTGACCTGTCCACCGCCTGTCTTAAGCCACTCAATCATATCATCCAAACATTCGTCGGCAATGTGTAATCTCTGTTCAAATGCTTCATGGTTTGCTAGTTTCAAGTGAATTTAGCATTTTGCCTTGAAAAGTAACAATATAAATAAGGAAGTCTTACTGGGATCAAAGTAATCATTTGGAACTGGGCCCATGCGTTCTCTGCGATAGTTTCCGACACTAAAAACTTTTGTTGATACACCTAACCATCGCATGTAACGACAGAGAGATCTAGAAAGATGCGTCTTTCCTCTTGCAGGCAAGCTATGATAATAATAAGGTATGTGGAAAGTATAGACCGAATGTTGTCTTTATTGCTCAGAAAATTTTGTCTGTGTATATATCTTGTAATCGCTATTGGTATTGGTATCTTATTACCCCACTGTAATAATCGCTACTGCTCCTGCGTGGAAAAGTCGACCGCTAGCAGTTTTGTAAAGTTGTGCAGCCATAATTCAATGTAACAAAAAGAAGAAGGAGAAGAAGAAAAAAGATAAGGTGAAAGAAAGAAGGGAAGAAAGGAAGAGAGATGAAAAGTAGAAGAGGGAGATAAATATATATATATATATATTATGAGTTGTATGTATGTATGTATGTCTATGTATATATTAGGCACATAAACACACACAAAAGCTCAAAAAATATATTTCACGCTTAAAAGACCCGCCAAGATATGAGAGAAATAGGAAGAAAAAAAAGAGACTCCGCGATAAGAGAGACAAAAGTTATAGACATCATATACTTATCGATCATATTGATGGTAGTTGAATGCGTCATTATTACTTTATAAAGTAAACACAGTCACGCATCTCCGAATTTTCGTGCCATACATACAGGAGTGTCACTGTAGGAAAAACCAAAAAAAAAGCTACAACTTCTGAAGAAACCTTTCAAATATTTGATAGTCAAAAAAACTCACAAGGCGCTTATATGGTCGCGGTCAACCGGTTTCCAGTCCCATTTTATAAACAGAATTTTTCATTCTTAAAATAAGCAACACATTAAAGTACAATACCAACCCAAGCGACGGGTTTTGCAATAAACTGTCACACCTTACTATAAACAGTAAAGAAAAGAAATTTATTTTTGACCGATAAAAACCGGTCGATCGCAACCAGGTGAACGCCTCGTGCATTTGTTAGGTCATTGCGAAGATTGCTCGGTTAGTGGTACCTAAAAAAGCTATATATTAATCGGTTTTAAGAAGATCTATCTACTACAATGTAAAATGATTCAGAATCCCATAAATCGTATTTGCTGAAAAGAAATACCAATAGATTAAAAGGTGATATGCTATTGGCTAAATAAAGTGTACGCTACCGGAGCTATAAATCTTGTCATCATCTATAGTGTGTAATGATGAGTAAAATATAACAACATAATTTGCTTTGGTACCTATATATCACTTGGTGTGGACAGACCAAATGTTCAGAAAAAGGGCAGAAAAAGGGTAAAATTAATTGAAACTTTTGTACAATAATATTTCTTACATTTTTGCTCTCTTTTTGCCCCTTTTTTTGAACTTTTAGTCTGTCCACACCAATCAAGTGTTTGAAAAGTACGAGCAGCTTGTTAAAGGCATTGTTGATTTGGGTTTTTGGTATGACTCGATATCACGGCGAGACATCTTGAATGTCAATGGTGCATCATCAACCTTAAATTGCCGTGCTGGTCCTCGAAAGCAAAGACGTAGCATGACATAATTTGATCGTATTCCCATATTGTATAATACAACTTCCAGTAAGTATTACCGAAATGAGATGATTTTTAAACAGATTGAACAATCTCTGAAATCACATTAATTAACCATTTAAATATGAGAGGATTTACGAGCTTTCCCTAATATAACAAGATTGGTATATAGTGATACTCGTGTTATAAATACATCCAAAGTGGACTCTTTTGTGCATAGTCTGTATAAAACACAATGGGAGCAGTACTTGTGCATTCAATCCACTTCACGTCTTTTCCGTCTCCTTTTCAAACTCCCATTTCTTTATTCCTTCTTATCTCTCTTAATTCTTTTTTTTCTTCTTTTGCTTTTTCTCTTTTAATCTCATTCCGATATATCTTCTTTAAAATGTCTATCTGCATTAGGCAAATTCAACTATACATTACGCCTCATTGACATTCTCAAAAACTATTCCGAGTCTTTCTTATAGACTTTATAGACAGAACCAACCTATACGATCAACCACAGTAATCAACACAATAATAAGAGCATACATATTATATTATATTATATTATATTATATTATATTATATTAATCTTCAGATTTATTTAACTAGATTAATTTTTCTTATAAATATGTGTCCTAATTACAACATTAACCTCTTCAATCAAGTAAAAAAAAGTTTAAACGCGTAATTTTTTATTAGAGTCAACAACAGTGTTAAAATTATTTTATTCATTTATTTATTAGATATATACATAAAGAAGCTATTTTATTTTATATGATTTCACTTAATGTTTTTTTACTAATGTAAAAAAATAAAAAGCATGACACCAAGTTCTTTGTCCCCGCATTACGCGGCTCAATCTCCCTCAGGACGTAAACCTGACTTGGTAGCGAAGGAGGTGTGGGAATGGTGTTAATCCGTGGCGTAAGACAACAACCGGGTTCATCCCAACCACCCTATCTCATCACTGAGAAGGGTCTGCGAACGTACCAGAGAAACCTACCACAAAGTAGCAGGGTCCAGCGTGTTCAACTACCAAGCAACACCGTCAGTTCCAAAGAGCTTCGAACAAGGATTTCATGAAGAGTCGGCAGTAAACTCCACTTCCTCCCCGTCCTCCACTCAATAAACTTTCATGATGCTAACTCGGCGGCAGCTTTTTTAAACATTGCTCGTCGCCATTGCTTCAGAAATAATACAATTAAATTCACAATTCACAATTCAGAACAATGTTGATCTGCGCCTCTAAGAATTAACTAAGAAGCTAGAGACGACGCACTTCCGCTTTTTCCTGCACAGAATGGAAAAAGAATGTCTCCCAATCACCCACAGGTAGCGCGTCAAACTCAACTACAGGCAATCAGGGGGTACCCGTCTCCAGAGTATAAAAAAAGCTAAAGAGAAGAAAACCGTGTCGGTTGAATGGGCTTTATTTTGATATACCCGCAATCTGCGATTAAAGTTTGGGACTGCGCTTTTTTTTTGCCAGGGATGCTCTTTGCCTCCCACGTCAGAGCAGTGATATAGCTGTTTATTCTTTTTTAGTGTGACTGTGTAAACGCTCTACAGCATAAATAGTAGCCAAAAAAAATTAAGCAAAAAATGAGCAAAATACCTTTGTAAACTAAAGTAAAGTAAAGAAGTATGGAATTAAAGAAGCAACAAGAGGAATGAAGGGTTTGGCCTTGATCGGTGTATCAATAATTTTAAAGACGGAGTACACGTTTTAATAACAGCGATTTGTAGGTTACTCTAAAGTGGTCTGTGCACTATGTTCAAGGACACAAGAGAAAATTCCTTTCTTTTTTGTACAAGTAGATACAAAAGGGACCCAGCCACTATTAGGAAATAAACCCGCGCATATTTTAAGACGATATAAATCAATAAATAAAATTCAGAATACATATATGATCTGGATCTTATCACAAAATACAATAAGGGACATAACTTTGAATTCCAAATTGAGTTGTATTAAAATGATGTTATACCAATAGTTGAAGGTATTATACTACGGGAAAAAACTCGGGATTTTCGAATTAGTGACTCTTTTTGGTCTATAATAATTAAAAATTCACCAAAAATTCAAAATGAAATAAGAAAGTCTCTGTTTTTTGAAGAAGTTGATAAAAAGCAAATTGACCACCGAAAATTAAATCTCCTGATAGACAAAAGTGCATTTTAACTACAGACTTTACATTTTTAGTAAGTGTTTATTGCAATTGATGGCTATTACAAGTCAGAAGTAAAGAGAAAGAAAATATCAAACTTTTATTACTTGAATAAAATATGTGAAGACAATTCAAAGACACGCTAAAAAATTAGAATAGGGAAGTGTATGTCATCATTGTAAAATTACTATATTGATATTTCATATCAAAGAGTAACCAATACATTTGTACAAAATATATGACGCTAATGACGACTTAGAAAATTTTTCTTTCTTGTTCTTTCTTTTGTTCATAACAAACCCTGACGCCGGATTTTTATTATTATCATGAATAATTAAGAAGATTCAGTAATTTATCTGCTTCAAGGTATGCGAGAAACACTTCGGGATATACAAGAAATGCTTATTATTTTGCAGAAGGGCCAAAAAGCACTCTAAAAGTAACAGGCATTCTACGACTGGAGATTTCTGAACTACCTAATGACATAAATGAATACACACTTGAGAAGCCCACCCCAGACTATGATGTAAGAAATAATAAAGCAAAGAAAAACATATAAGCTAATGTAAAGCAATATAGTTCTTTGATGTCCTAATCTCGAGATTAATGCTTGTATTAAAACTATAACTTTGAAACACGACTTTAAAATGATGAGTCATGTTCTTGGTTTAACTCAACAAGAAAAACAAAACAACTATTAACACGTTCACGTCTTATATGTAATGAAATGGCCGTCTATCTTTCTGTACAATCTTTAGAAATAAATCCAAATACGATGTCTATCTCAAGAAAACAAGGGCATAATGTGCGCCAAACATGTGTGTCTACTTAAACAAAGTTGCGTCGGCTTTACCACATGTCACAAAAACCGGATATTTGTTGCAAAAGTCTTTCAGTCATAGAAAAACCGCGTGAAGGAAAGAACTCGTAAGTTCATGTCAGGTAGGTATAATAAATTGTATACTTAATATGAAAACATGGAATTATTCAAATGATATTTAGCCAATACAATTAATGAATAAAGAATTGTCCTTTTTATAACAATTAATAAAAGTATTTTTAAATAAAAATCCTCTATGAAATGAAACTTTTTTACCCAATTAAAATTGTGAACAAATCAGAATATATATAAATGAGGGCCATTTGAGAGAATGTTTCTGTTGAAATGACCAATACCATTGAAGCATATACAATAATAGAATGTATTTTATCTAATTAAAATAATTATAAAAACCAAAATAATATTTTATTACCAATTTAAGAACTTCTTTTTTCATTCTTACCAATAGAAATCTTTTTATATTTTTTTTCCTACCAATGAAAATAAGGTTATAGCAGATGGATAAATATAGCGGGATATGAATAAAACCTAACATCAATAAGTCAACGGCGATTAAAATATATTACTTAAAAGGGAACTAGAGATTCCACTGCGATTCGCGAGAATCGCCAGCTCAATCCCAAGCTGAATCTCCAGCTGAATCCCCAGCGGAATCCCCACTTTTTTCCCCGTAGTGTTAAGATAATATCCCAAAGAAACAAGTGATTGCCATCAGATTCTTAGAGATGATGGTGTAGAACATAGCAAGTACTACCAAATTACTACTTTATACGAGGTCTAGATACTAATAGTACTTATGTATGAATAAAAATGTATATAAAAGGTATTCACAAAGCATAACTCTTCTGGGTTCACTATCTTGCTTTTGAATATTCATACGCAGCAAATTCTAACTACACATTCAGCTTACTCAAGACCCGTATTGACCTGTTTATTAACAGAGTTCGTTAAATTGGACAAAAAATACAATGCCTATTATACAGCAACAAGAAATGAGTATTTCATTGAGATATACAACTAAGGTTGTATTGGTGCTGTTACTTACAAAAAATTAAAGCACTTGCTTTAATGAATTTTATATTTTACAAATAGAAGTCTCTTAAAATTATGAGCTTATTTTCAAAGACAAAAATATTACTTGGCATTTATATATAAAAAAAAACAAATACAAAAAGTCTATTTAGATTGTGTTTTATTTTCAAGTAAATCTTTTTAATTTTTTTTCGATTTTTGTTAAAGCAAAAGATTTTAAAATTACTAAAATACTCCAATATGTTTCTGATATTTGATATTTGATATGCCGTAATGTTAGGCAAGTATTTCGATAATGTAAGATATATATAAGGTCTATAAAGAAGACCAATCGGCAAAGCTATAAGCATGTGCCTAAAAAAGCATCTCCCCTTTCCCCTTAAAGGTTGTTTTATCCGTGCTCTCTTTTATGCTTCCTGTTGAGGATCCCTTCTGTCAAGCTGTGTCACCTTCTATTATTTTATCTAAACATTCCTTATACTTTTTCTCTTATTACCCCCTTTTATTTGAGGAGGCTCCCTTTATTCCCTTTTAATTATTCTTTCAATATAATAAGCAGGCTACCATGTAATTATACACTAGGAATAAATATGTCAACAAATAAAAGTATAACATTTTATCTATCGGCTGCCAGTAATGCTTCAATTACGGCCACCAATGCCAATATGACATGGCGCTGAGATCGACAAGTCTGTACTCTTTTATGTAGCAAAAATGGCGCCACCCCCTTGAGTTAAAAGATAAATAAACTGTAAGTACGGTATAAGACAATGCTTGATGTTATCAATCTTCTTCTTTTGTACATTGGTAGACTGAAAGCGGAATGTATACTGTAACAAATGGCTCACTCAAATCCCCCCAAAAACAACCAACTTTATAAATATATATTTTAACATTTCAACAATAAACGTTAATCTTTTTCCCAATAAAGTCTTGTCCTGCATCCGTCAAAAGACTTAATAGCAGAATTCTTAACCCCATAAACCCCTTTTCATCTTATCATAATTTGATTCCATTATTGCAGAGAATATAGTATATTAGAAGATAAGGAGGTACTCTGGAACGTTAATAGATAACACAATCGGTACAGTACGTAACTAATTATATATAATTATATATATGTATACGAACCTCATTAAGAAGACGCAGTTATGGTATAGTAGCAAGTTACTATTTTTGTTGTGGTAAGCAAATAACTAGCGAATCTGTCAATTGTATGTTTATTATTTGCTGTTGCTCTTCACTAATCATACTTTGAGTAAGTCCTCATTCAATATTTAAAATAGTAAATGGTACAAATGTCAATTTTTGGACCAACATACCTGCTACAAATATTAGTATTTCACTGAGATAAGCCCAGATTTCTACTGGTACAGTAATCATGACCAAGTAATTCTAGAATATATTTAAGGGGAAATTACGATTGGCAAACAAAGACCTGAGAAGGCTGGGTAAGACTTCTTCAACCTCCACACACTATTCGTTTTCGAGATTGGTTTAGATAGATAAAGAGAGAGAGAGATATCAGATCTGCATAATTAATTATCTCCTCTTCTTTATGTACGTTAACTGCAACCCTTGAAGCTATTTTTGTACAAGGCGTTGGCATGTCTTTTTTTTTTTAAAAAAAATTGTTACAATAACCGATAGCAAAGATAATAATACAAGCGAGATATGACGGTGAAACTATTGTGATATCCGAAGAAATTTACATGTACTCTGGATAAGAATGTCTCGAAAATATAATGTCGTTGTATCATTGTGGAAAATCTTTTTATCTACAAGTCTACAACACTTGGAAATCGTATTGAGGAAATAGATCATACGTATATATATATATATGTATAGATGTAAATATAAGTGTATCTGTAAGTATATACTTTCCTCCTTATCCTCTTATCCACATTTCCTATATCCTATTGAAGAGCTTTGATCAAAGATTTACACTTTCCTTTCCTTCTTTTGCCTTTGATAGTAGAGATACTTTAACTTCCATAGCCATCAAATCACTCTCATAAGCAAAAGTATAATATAAAATTACCCTAGAAAATTCTTGTTTAAAGTTCATTTATCTTTGCTAGAATTTTTTTAACTACAAAAGAAGAGCTGTTAAAGCATATGCTTATACTTTGATTTTTGACAAACAAATAGAAAAAAACCAAAGTTCAACATTAATTTTTGCAGTCACCTTTTCTATATTCTGGGATTCAATATTTCCAATAACCGGTGAGATTCTATAGTGAGATCCAAAAATTGTGCAGAGAAATACAAAATAAATTAATAAATTAATGTCGTGTGGTTAGACAAATGGAAGCTGTTATGAAATTCGTGTGATTATGTCGGTTGTTGTAAGCTTAATTTTGCTTGTTTACCTCGAGGGACAGGTCCTCATATAAGAATATATTTATATTTATATATATATATACATATATACATATATAGATAATGTATACATAGCACACACAACTCTTTCTCTTTCTCTCTCTCTTTCTACCTTTTCATATCCCTATCTTTTGTATATTCATATATCTACCTTTGTCTTGAATGCCATCACTGATCTTCAGTAATGATCGTGTCTTGTCTGCCTCTACTCTTTATTTCTAGCGCGTTTGCTGTCATCACTCATGAGATGCGCACTCATCATACTGTCACCAAAACCCCAACCTCTCTTTTTATTCTAGGCGGATTTTCCAACCCGAACCATACTTCATTTGCTCAGTCTTACTTTCCAATAGCCGGCCACACAACTCACTGGTATTCTGAAAATCTATTGGTCTTATTCGGTCAGACTCTGACAAACCTAGGTCCACCCCTGAAGATCATAAACCCAAACAATAAATACAATACAAACTTAATATCATCATCATCATCATCATCGCACCCTGAACCACAAAGTCGTATGCACCACACATCAGTACTATCCAATGATACTCTGTGGGTGATTGGTGGCCAAACCTCAGATCCAACAAAGGCATTTGCAGATATTTGGGCGTTGTCTATTAGCAAACAACGCTGGACGCACATAACTGATTTAGAGAAGCCAATTACAGGCCATTCGTCAATCCAATATAAATCTTGGTTGATATCTTGCTTTGGTGTTACATCCTACATGTACTCCAATCAATGTACCATATTTGACACTGTTCAACAAATAATGATTCCTACTAGTATAATTCCGGATAAAATCCTAGGATTAGGCGGAATACCACGAGCGCGCACTAGCACCACAATGTCTTTAGTTAATGACCGGATCGTTGTATTTGGTGGACAGAACGGAGACGAGTTTATGTCGGATGTGTGGCAATTGGATCTAAAAGACGCACCCCAATTGGCGTGGAACCACATGCAGTCAAACTTAGTTGAACCACGTTCTGGCCATGTAGCTGTCCAGTTGAATTCCTCGCTTATTCTCTATCATGGAGGCCAAACCAGCCTACACTCCCTAGCAACTCGCCACCTCTTCCTTTCCCTACCAATGTTTACATGGACCGCCTCTGAATCACTCGAACACTACACCAAGCGATCGCCAATCGCCGCTGACGCAGATAACGAAATCGTACACGCCTATGCCACCGACAGAGAACCATCTGCAAATGCAAAATCTGGCCCAGGAGTAGGAATGATCGTGGGTATTGTGGTCGCTGTACTGGCCTTTGTTGGAATTGCAATCGGTCTATTGGTGTGGCACAGACACAGGCGTGTTCGCGGTAGACGCCACCCCCAGTCAAGGGCAACTCGTTTCAGCCTTTCTCCTCCGCCAGGCTCTCGCCAGGCACGCTACAGTTCAGCTTCAATTGCTCCCAGGCTGTCGATGAATAGCATACTGGCTAGACAACATTCGGCAGGCATGGAAGATTTCTTGATCGCAAAGCCAGAAATGGCCATGACCCGAGCATCGATTATAAACCAAGCAGCCTCGAGGCCAACATCGCTAGTTTCCCATCGAATCAGCAGTCTACTCGACCGGCGCCAGAGTCTCGCTACATCGAATCCTAGTGTTGGAGACAGGCGACAAAGTCTGATGAATTCTAGTGTCAGCCTAGGGTTAGGAACCGGCGGAGACAGACGTCAAAGTCAGACCATATTGAACCAACTAGGCAATAATAACAGTAATACGAATACTTGCAGTAGTGCAAATACGAACTCGAATACGTCCAATATGAATCTTAGTAATGTTCCGGAGTCTAGTGAGATGTTTGTACCTCCGCACATACGAGGTTCCGATCTTCATTTACCATCACTGGACCAGGTGTGTGAGCAGGCCAGTCAAGAGAGTCTTGTACTGGGCAGCCAGCATTCTACAACCGAGCCTGATGATCGCACTGACCCACCTGTTGTGTCCAAGCGACGTCGGCGAGAGAGTAAGGCACTCAAAAGACTCACGCTGACGATATTTTCCAACCGTAATTCGCAAGGAGAAGATTCACCCGTGTCTGGTTCTCCTTCAAACAAGTTTTTGAAGCGGTACACAATTGCCTCTACACCTACCAGTGAGTCACCCTCTCCTCAGGCGCCAAAAACCAGTCGGAGATCAAGTTTGTTTCGACTATTGCAGCTTCCTGTGCCTGCAGCCTCTTCAGCTTCTACTAGTGCCGGTGCTTCTTCTTCATATCCTTCTAGTGCATCAGTGTACAATAAGAGATCAAAAGGGTCGATGCTTGACCCTCGGCCTTCGAATGTAGGATCAATTGGAGCCAAGTCAGTAGCATCTGTACAGTGGGTGGAATTTAATGATGCAATGGATTACAAAGAACAAGGGGACAGTCGACCTGTTCCCTTGAGTGTGGCAAATCCTTATCGACGGAGTGTATTTACAACTCGGAGTAGTCTTAGCCTGGAGAGCAGTAATCATTCGGCTCACAGTAGCTGTGCAAATAGTCCGCTTTCTTCACCTCAGAGTCCAACTTTTGTGATTTCTCCTCCGTCTCATTATCATTTGACAATGCTGGAAACAATGTCTTGGGGAGATGAGCTGATGCAACGTCAGAGACAAGTTCAAACACGCGACGACATTCCATCAACAACGACATCAAAATTGCGAATCACTAATGACGAACCAGCATGATTTCGATTATATCTGGATTCCTTATTTATTCATACTTTCAGGCAGGTTCCTGATATATTGAGAGAGATTTTCTTACTATGAGTGAAGACATTCGAATATACACACCCACTCATATTATATATCATTTTCTTTTACCTTATTTTATCTCATTTCATTCTAATTGCTACTATCTAATTTATATTTATATTTATATTTATATTCATATATTCAGACATGTATATTTGTATATATATTTTTTTTGTATCATAAATCTCTTTAATGTACATTCTATTGCGTCCGTATGCGTGCGTGTATGCGCAAAGACCCTGTTATAATAAAACTAGTACTATGTTACTCGTGGAAATTCTTACGTAAATTATATGGTTATCACAAGTTAGTAGACAGAGAGGATCCAAAAACAAAAAAGAAAAGTAAAAACAAGAGAAAGGCTTCATTTAGGTGGGAAACATACAAAGTCCATATTTGTATAAATTTTATTAAAATCCACAAGTATGAAACATTCATCATTCTTCAAAATACAAATATATATATATATATATATATATATATACCACAGTCAAAGCTCAATATAGTGATAATGATAGTGATGCGAGTTTCTTTTTCTCACTCTTACCATTGTATCGAGGGTTGATTGTGATTTTCTGTATATTTTTTTTGGAAGGTGAGGGTGTCCCTTAATACTCTCAATTTAGGAGCCAGAATTGGTTGTAACAGGGTCTGTATTGTAGCATATTTCGAATTCAAGAATTTCTTCTAATGGCTTATTGTGCTTTTGAATAGTTATCTATTATATATTTCATACACAATGAAAGCATAGATACTGCTCAATCTCTTGGAATTTGCACATTGGTTTCGAGAAAGTGAAAATCTGTCAAGAGACAAAAAGAAGAAGTTGGCGCGATATATGGAAGATGTGAGGAAGGTGTACAGCATAACGTCACATTTCGGAGATGTAATTTTTTTTTAAAAAAAGACTGATTGAATTGCAGAGTTCCTGTATTCACACACTCACTCTTTACCCACATATTACACGTCCTGGAACGCTAAACTTTCTTTACAATCTCCCTTGGTTTTATCTCCTCCTTTTTTTCTTTTTAATTTTTTCCTGTCTTTCTCTCGTATATTTTCTTTGTAATTTTCTTTTTTACACTAAAGAACAAAAAAGACAGCCAAGTAAGAAAACCAAATTCATTATCTACCAAAAAAACCACAGGCACAGGCACAGCCACACACACACATGTATGTATGGTTATATACATATACATACACATACACATATACATACACATACACATACACACATATAGCTGTATAGGTGTATGTGCGTGTGCGTGTGCGTGTGCCTGTCTGCCTGTCCATCTGTGTGTTTGTGTGCCATATACTTTATTACAGAGAAAACATATATTGTGAAAAAATTATAAGAAAACTGCACACGGTTTCTTACTATTTCTTGCTATCTCTTGTGTTTCTATATGTTTATCTGTATATATCTATATGTATATCCATTTTTCTCCAAACCAACCAAAAAAACAATAACACAACCAACTACAGCATAGCTGCCAAGCAAATACAAGAAAAAAATACACGCCCGCAAGGAATGACACTTACGAGGCGGCATCGTTACGGAAACATGCCATTCCTCACCAAAATGTCAAGTACACTATTGTGGTTTCAAGCACTACTTGTCTTTATTTCCTTGGCAAGTGTGATGGCCCAGAACATAAAAGTCGAAAAGACCGGATTTGATCGAGTGCCCGATAAGCTATTTTACTTTCAAGGATCTCAAGTAAGCCCGTTTGGCTATATGCACACACACACACACACATATATATATATATATATTAACTTACGGTCTTTTGGCTGTAGGTAGCTCTTTGGTTTGATGCCGGTGCTCGCGTACTATGGCGATCAAGTGATCAAGGAAAGGCCTGGACAAGAGTTACAGATATTGCAGAAAACGAACCAAGTTTTCTCTATGAGCATCCTTTTGATAACGAAAAGGTAAACATCACTATTGCTATTATCTCTCTTTGTAATAAATACAAGAATACCAAGAATAACCAAAATGTATATTTTATTTTATTTTATTATATTTTTTATTTATATGTTACAAGGCTTATGTGATTGGTAAAGGAAAGGTGCATTGGAAGACAGTCGATAGAGGAGCCAGTTGGCAGAAATTTGAGACGCCTATCGAACCCGCAGCCACTTTCCCTCACCTCTCATTCCACGCTGAGCGACCCAACTATGTACTCTTTAATGGATTTAAATGCAACCTAGGTGGTTGGACTGGCATGGATTGTCATGGAGAGGTAAGTCAACAAAAGATAAATGGATATATAGATATATAGATATACGGTAAAGTGCAATGAGTTAATACTTAAAAAAACACATACAATCATATTTATATATATAATTGGGTATTAGACGGAAGGAAATAAACTAAGCTCTGACATAATGATTTATAGTTTTATTATACTCTCAACAACTTTGAGGAGACTGCATTGTTACGTAGTCAGGCTACATACTGTATCTGGTCTCTATCAAGTGCCGCATTCGAAACTGCGCCTGTCAAGGAAGTTATGTGTGTCGAACCTGCTAAAAAGAGTGGAATGGCAAGTATGCTCGAATATGAAGAACTCCACTTGGTACAGTCCGAAGACTTTTTCAAGAACGAACAAGCCGTCAACTTTGGCTCTACCTCTGAAGTCCGGGGCGTGATAGCCATCAGTGCTGTCAATAGATTCCTTGTTGCTGCCATTAAACCCAAGCCAAGTGAGCCTGATATGGATCTCCAGATCTCACTCGATGGGGAAAACTGGCATGAGGCTATATTTCCCGTTGACGCCAAGTTAGTTCACGAAAAGGCATACACTATTGTCGAATCAACAGGTACCTCTCTATTGGTCGACGTTCTCGACAGCGCTTCATCTACTGTAGGCACTCTGTACAAATCAAATTCAAATGGTACATTCTTTGTCAAGAGTCTCGAAAACACCAACCGCAACCAGCTTGGTATCGTCGATTTTGAACGTGTCCAGGGTGTAGAGGGTGTTATGGTAGCAAACGTTGTTTCCAACGCCGCCCAAGTTAAAGCAGGCAGTGCAAAAAAGGCTCTTCAAACCCGAATGAGCTTCGACGATGGTGCTACATGGAGTCCAATCCAAAAAGTATATGATGCACAGGGAACTCTACTCAAATGCTCTGATGGTCCAGATAAATGTGCACTACACCTTCACTCTGTAACCACCCCACGTAACAATGGCCAAGTGTTTACCTCAAAAGCTGCTGTAGGTGTTATGATGGGTGTTGGTAGCTACAACGATCATTTACTCGAATACGACGAATCAGATACGTTTTTATCAACCGACGGTGGTCTGAACTGGAAGTTAGTTCGTATGGGCGCACACAAATACGAGTTTGGAGACATGGGCGCTCTATTGGTGCTCGTCGACGATGAAAAAGAAATCGATCACATTTGGTGGAGTAAGAACCGAGGCAATACCTGGGAACGCTATGATCTTGGCATCAGTATCCGTGCTCGCTACCTGACAACCGATCCAACTTCCTCATCCAGCAAATTTCTGTTAATCGGCTCCTCGCGTTTTTCCAATGAACGTGTCCAATCATTCTACATTGATTTATCTGGTGTGTTTTCACACAAGTGCGAGTTGATAGAAAACAACGAGTCCAAGAGTGATTTTGAACGCTGGTTTGCTCGCGATCTCACCAGTGGTCCTGATTGTTTGATGGGACACGAACAGATGTTTTATCGCCGTAAAGCCGATCGTGATTGCTACGTCGGGCTCGATTTCCAACCCCCTGTTGTCGAACTGAAAGAATGTCCGTGCACGGAAGCAGACTATGAGTGCGATTATAACTTTGTGCGCGATGGTGACAAGTGTGTCAGAATTGGTCCGGATGTGATAACAAAGGATATGTGCACGTCTCGCAACAGTGTCTATCCTTCATCATCCGGATACCGCCTTATTCCCGGAAATACATGCAACGCTGAAAAAGGCAAGAAGCTTGATGAGCCAGTCGATCGTCGATGCGGGGATAATGAAGATGCATCTTACGCCCAACCACCCCGACCAACCCAGCCCAGTACAGGAAACAACAATCATGGACCTATTGAAGCTCTTGCACCCGGAGACTCGGCAATCGAGCGGTTCGAGACAGTGTTTGATGACGAAATTGATCAGTTCGTGTACTTTAAGGAGTCACCTGCCATGTTACTTCGTTTAAGAAATGGCGAGCTGTGGTCTTCTGGCGAGCATGGGATTGGATGGAAGCATGTACTCCAGGACAAGGGTGTCATTCGAAGCTTCATCATGCATGAGTTTGACTTTAACCGGGCTTATGCACTCACCGACGAGACAATTTACGTTACATCTAATCAGGGCGCTCAGTGGGAAGAAATTAAGGTTCCTTTGGCCCCTACAAAGCACATCGCCCTAGCTCTCGATTTTCATCCTCTTGAGAAAGACTGGTTACTTTTTATTGGAGATAGCACCACCGTATCTAGTCAATCCGAAGTATTTATCTCTCGTAACCATGGCAGAGACTGGGATTCAATGGATATGTACGTAAGCAAGTGTATCTTTGGCCGGGATTCGCATTATGAGATCGAGAAAGAGACTGTGTTCTGTTCGTCTGTAGACAAGAAAAACCCTACCGGTGACCGTCGTCTTGTTCGCACCATTGATTGGGGACGAAATCAAGAAGTCCTGTTTGATAATGTAGTCGAATTCTTTGTGATTGAAGACTTTATGTCAGTTGCTTCGAGTGTAAAAGGAGCACTTTCTATGTACGTGAGCACAAACGGCAAGACATTTACTGAAGCACAGTTCCCTCCCAATCAGTATATTGACCGAAATGTAAGTTTTTTTTGGCCTACATAAAAGAAGTAAAGATTTTATTTAATTTGTTTAGTTTAAAATCTTATAGACATTCACTGTATTACAATCTACTACGCATGCTGTACTCTTGAATGTATTCAAATCAGTGACCTATGGGAAAGCTCATGGTGCATTGTACAAGTCCAACGAAGACGGTACCCTTTACCATCTTTCTCTTGACAACACCAATGGAGATGCTACTGGCTTTGTAGATTTTGAAAAGATGCAGAGCATTGATGGTGTGATTCTTGCCAACCAAGTGTACAATGCTGATGAGCTGTTGGGTAACCGTGACGTAGCTAAACTTGTACGCACAATGATTACCTGGGACGATGGAGGACACTGGCAACCACTCTCAGCTCCTCACAACTACGATTGCGCTACCAAAGAATGTACACTCAACTTGCATAGTCGAACCGACATTCATGGACCAGGCGCAATATTTAGTACTACTGGCGCTCCTGGTCTGGCCATGGGTGTTGGAAATGTAGGAGCATCTTTGTTACCTTATGAACAAAGTGACACTTTCCTAACTCGCGATGGCGGGCACACCTGGATCGAGATTCAGCGCGGAGAGCATTTGTATGAATTTGGAGACCAAGGATCGTTGTTGGTTCTTATTAGTGACGAGGGTCCGACGAATGAGCTAAAGTATTCTTGGGATCAAGGCGAAACTTGGCACGGATATGTTTTCAGTAGTTCTCCAATTCGTGTAAATGCTCTCACCACTGACCCCAAATCAACTACCCTTCGATTTGTTATCGTGGGTCACACTCGTGACACTAAACGATCTCAGATAAGTATAACCGTAGACTTCTCCAAAGTTAAGCAGCGTACATGTGAGATGGATAAGTCCAGGACCGAGAAGAGTGACTTTGAACTCTGGGTGGCCAAGGATGACGATGGTGATGATGCTTGCCTGTTAGGTAAAAAGACTGCCTACTGGCGTCGCAAGAAGGATCGCGTATGCATTGTTGGAAACCGATTCAAGGAACCTGAAGTTGTCCAAGAAAAGTGTGAATGTCGCGATACAGACTTTGAATGTGATTTTGGATTCTGGCTTAACGACAAAAACGAGTGTGTATTCTATGGTCGCCATCCTGACCGTCCTGCCAAGTGTAAAGATGGTGAGACATACCGTGGTCGTTCTGGATTCAAGAAAAATACAAAGTCGGTGTGTGAAGGTGGTTTGGATCTTGAGAAGGAGAAGGAGTGGCCATGTGGAGAGGGCGGAGGAATTCAATCTTCCAAGATGTCCTTTACAGACCGTGTGGTAGACTACTTGTTTTTCACAGACACAGACCGTGTGTTTGTTCGTACGGCTGACAACAAAGTGTGGAAGAGTGACAACGATGGTTATAGCTGGAAAGAACTTTTTCCCAACGTGCCAATTGTTGCCATGTACCAGAATCCTCATTTTGATGACCATGTAAGTCGGATTTTGTTTATAGAATTAGGTTACTTTATGATTTCTTACTGGTTTATGCTATTAGGCATACTTTATTACTCAAGAGAAATCGCATTTCATGACTACTGACAAAGGTAGCAACATTGAACCATTTGACGCCCCACTTGGTCCTATGGCCAGCATTCAAGGAACAATGATGAGTTTCCACAAAGAAGAAAAAAACAAGGTTATATACCTGGGAGAAACCAACTGTGAAACCCAGATGTCGTCAGACTGTCATTCTCAAGCCTTTTATTCGCAAGATCAAGGACGTTCATGGCGCCCAATAGCTACCTATGTTCGTAGTTGTCTTTGGGGTCGTGGTGGAACTATGGAGAATACCGATGAGAACTCAATTTTCTGTGAAGAGTATCAAGAGAAGAAAGGAAACCAGCGTTCATTCATATCAAACCGCCTTAGTTTCACATCATCCAACAATTATTATTCTAGCAGTGAAACTCTGTTTGACGCAATTGTGGGTGTTGCCGTGTTTGGTAAATTCATGGTTATCGCTGCCGTAAGTACCTTTCTCTTTCTCCCTCCCTCTATTTTGTGTGTTAAAATGGCCCATTATATATTTACGAATTATATATTTATATATTTATACAGCCCAAGGGATCCGGTACTAGTTTAAGCTTGCATATCAGCATGGACGGCAAGACCTTTGCTCAAGCTGCGTTTCCTGCCTCATTAAACTTATCTCCTGAAGCATTCACTATTATGGAATCAGCCAACTCTATGTGGATCCATGTGTCCACTAACACACACCATGGCAGTGAATATGGCACCATTTTTACTTCTAACTCCAATGGCACTTACTTTGTCGCCTCACTCGAGAACGCAAACCGCAATGAAATTGGTATTGTTGATTTTGAAAAAATGCAAGGTATTGAAGGCATCGCTCTGGCAAACCGAGTTAGCAACCCAAACCAGGCCAACATGGGCGATCCTAAAAAATTGGTGACCATGAAGACAGCTGATGCCGGCGCCCACTGGTTCCCCCTTACGGCACCCCAAAAGGATAGCAAGGGCAAGAACTATGATAATTGCAAGAGGGGTGTTGACTGCAACTTGCACCTTCACAGTTATTCCGAACGTCGCAATACTCGTGATTTGTTCAGTTTGTCGAGTGCAGTTGGATTGATGGTTGGTGTTGGAAATGTTGGGCCTAGCTTGTCAACCTACCGTAGTGGAGACATGTTCTTGACTCGCGATGCAGGAAAAACATGGAACGAAGTTTATAAAGGTGCTCACTTGTGGGAGTTTGCTGACCAAGGTGCTCTCTTGATTCTGGTTGATGATGAAGATCCGACCAATGTTGTAAAGTAAGAGTATGGTAATATTTTATTTTGTGAACATATTGCTAATATCACCCTCTCCTCTTTTTTTATTTATTAAAAAAAAGGTATACTACCAACGAAGGTATTTCTTGGCAAGAATATGCGTTCACGACACCAGAGAAGCGTCTAAAGGTCGAAGATATCATTACTCAACCTGATGGCACCAGTCAGAAATATGTGATATTTGGAACAGAATATGGAAGTAGCAATGTAGTTGCCTACCATATTGACTTTAGTGCTCTTCATCCCACAAAATGTAAGACAATTGGCACATCATTAGAATATGTATAAACTTTTTTTTCAATTTTTTTAAATAGGTAAATTGGATTTGTCTCACCCCAGCGACGATGACTTTGAACTCTGGAGTCCTGAAGATACTCGTGGTGAAGCCTGTTTGTTTGGTCGTGAGGTAAAAAGATGCAAGCCAATATATATGTATATAGTACATGCGTCGCTGATTCTTATCTTTTCGTTTATTTAGACCAAGTATTATAGACGCATTCAAGATAGAGACTGTTATATCGGTGAAAAGCTTGTTCAGCCACGTGAAGAAGTTCGTAACTGCGCTTGCCAGCAGGAAGATTATGAATGGCAAGTATGACTATTTATCCGTTTTTGATCTCAGGACACATCCCTTACATTATCTTTTCTTTTTGGACATTTTATAGTGATTTCAACTTTGTCCGCGATAAGAACAACAAGTGCGTACTTGTCCCTGGTCTTTCTCCTCGTGTGCCCGAATGTGATGGTTCAATGGAATTCTTTTATGAACCAACTGGGTAAGAGCTTGTTGTTTGCTATATAAACTTGATTTGCTAATGCATATAATCTTCTAATCTTCGTCTTTATTAGATATCGTCGCATTGCAGCCACTAGTTGTGAGGGTGGACTTGGTCTAGATGAAGGCGAAAAGCATTGGTGTCCTGGAAAGAGTCACAGTAGTGGCATGTGGGCAGTATATGTATTTGCTCCCTTGGGCGGCGCACTCCTGATTTTTGCATGTCTCTACCTTCGTAAATACGGCGCACCTATCAATCGGGGTCGTATTCGCTTGGCTGATGGTACAACCCAGCAATCATCGGGCACTAGTCTATCATCTAATCCATTGGTTGCCACAATTGTATCGGCCATCATTCTTATACCTGTGGCTGTTATGGGATTACTGTCACGAATTCGAGTACCAAGCTCATTTTCAGATCTAAATGTCTTTAGCAATGTCAGTCTACCATCCTTTGGTCGCCGCGGAAGCAATCATTACAGTGCGCTTGGTCAGGATGAACATGCTGATGTTCTTTTAGATGATTATGATGGTGGAGAAGAAAATCTTATTGACGATGTTGATGCTGACGAAGAGGACGCCGATGAATTTTATTAAGACAAAAAGTTGCTGGTTGTTATTCTCTTTTTTGATTTGAACGTTTTGTTTTGTACAACACTTTTATTCCTTTTATTTTCTTTTTTACATTCTTTATTCTCTTTATTATTTTATTTTTCTCAACAGCATAAAAGAGCAGGGAGTGAGCCCTTGAGATCTCCCCATATTACAACAGCAAAAAAATATGTAAGCGCATATGAATGCTGCTTAAACAGGACCTGCTCCACCAGGAATAAGCTGCAGAAAAATTAAACATGTGGATTAAATATACACAAATAACATTTGTTTTTGGGAGTTTATCCCTCGTTTTAATACTGAAATGAAACGAACTGAAGCATAACTTACAGCACAAATGTTATTTCCGTTCAAAAGGATCTGCTCGAGTGTGTTGGCCTTGTATCCTTCAGGTGTCTTTTCACTAAAACAATAAACAAATCCCAATAAATCATGTGGATCTAACCCAAGCTTTTATCTCTCTCTTTAACTTACTATTCCGTCACGTCTTCCAGAACCATGTCTACAAATAGAAAAATATTGAATAAATAAAGAACATGGCATTCCAGTACTTTAGGCTACTTACTGACAAAGTCATCAAAGCCAAGTAGTTTCCCAGTGAATTCCTTGTCATTCTTCATGACAACCCAAATTTGGGATCCAATACATTTGTCAATAAGCTCTGATAAAAAAAAGAGTAAAATAAAAAGACATGGTCGTGGTTGGTGAAATGCACACTACTTGGTGAATCGCATACCAAGTGGTAACAGTTGCGAAGTGGCCATGATGTGCGTGTATGATTATAAAACTCAAAAAAAAATCCCTTCAAAAAAGCAGGAATAAAATAAAATATAAATTATAGAGTCAAGGCAAGACTTCTTTAATTTTATATATATATTTATTTTTGGAACTTGGCGACTTTCTTAACGTCTTTTCCATATTTATTATTGACAATTAATGTCTTTTGATTGGCTAGACGAACAGTTGTCGTCGTCATCAAGCCGTATACTAAAGAAGAATTACTTTTATATGTATATATTAAGTATTTTATTTAATAAAATAAAAAGTAATAATATTTATATATATTTATATAACATTTATACTCTTGTGCGTGTGTGTACTGTGTATTGTGTATTATGTATTGTGTGTATTGCATATATAGACTTATATAATTATATTTATATATTTATATTATTTGGTCGTTACTCATTTCTATTTACTGTTGTTACTGCTGTTTGTGACGAGTCTATGCTTAATGACCACTCGAAGGACAGCGAGAGATTGGTAGTGCTTCTCCACCTGCAGACCAGAGTACAATCGTAATACCAGTTGTGTATATCATAGCTGTCAAGCCAAATATAATAATAATAATATCAATCGCCTTTTGCTTGAATGTGTTTGCGATTGCCTTGAGATGGAAGAGAGGAGGGAAAAAGAAGCAGAGAGGAACACAGCAAACGGAACCAATTAAAGATACAAATTTGTCAAGATCGGTTGATCCAGCAATGGCAATAGCAGCACACACTAACACCGTCAAGAATCTAAAGATGTTCTTTTCCCACTTTACCACCGTGTTGAACTTTCCTGACCGAGAAAATAGGCCAGTTTCAATAATACGGATTGCTGGGAAAAGCTGGAGAGGAATAGAAAGACATATTGCAAGCGCATACAGACCCTGAATAGTGTTGACTGTAGGTGTTCCTGGCATGTTCAAAAGAATTACGGTCTGGACATTGCTTCCAAAGGCTAGATAAGAGATAAAGCCCACAGAGAGAAACAGGGCTGTGATAAAGACCATAGTACCAGCCAGAACCTTTGGGAATTTTGAAGGATCCTTCATAGACTCTGTGATAGGAATAACGAGTCCGACACCTTCATAAGTAAATACAGCGGTGCCAATGAACAATGGGAAGGACGTGGTGTTGATTCCCCAGACAACATCTGCGACACCTTTTGCTGCAAGAGTAAAGAGGTCAAAGTAATAAAGATAAAGGAGACCGATGAGAATAAAGAGGTCTGCAATGAGCGCAAACACCGACAGTTTCTGAATCTTGCGGATCATTGCCAGCGGCACAAAGATAACGATTTGGCCTAGGATCAGGTACGAGAGCGGCACGCGTGTATCACATTGGGACACAGACTCTACCAGAGCTTGGACGTTCTGTGCTACAAAGACCATATAGGCACAAACAAATCCAATCTATACAGCAAGTCATTCAAATAATCTTCGGTTAGGTCAACTGACACAATCGATATAAAGTAGTCTGTTCATTTGACCTACCTGCGATAATGTAATGGCTATCAGTACAGCCAGGCGCATAAAAGGACCAAACAGGGCGCCGCCAATGTCTCCAAATGACACAGGCACACGGGCTCTTGTTTCGACCAACAATAGAAAAGTATAAAGAGAGACACTTGCAATAAGAGTCAAAACTGCGGATGAAAAGGCAAGTCCTCCGTTGTGGAAACTATCATAAAACACTCAAATGTTAGTAAATGAACCCCATGAGGTACTGACACTCCACCACACACGACATGTCAAATGGACCTACGCTTTAGGTAAGAACATAACACCTGTGAAAAAAAAAGAATGGTTAGCCGTCATTTAGTCAGGTACAAAACAGATGTCCATCATCATTGTGGAGACTTTACCCGTTCCGACAAAAGATTTAAGCAATAGAAACACTGCTTTCGCGGGTGTAGCTGTGCCCTGAACAGCATTAGGCTGAATATTAAGAACCAACGGTGTAGTCTCGGTAGCAAGTTCTTCATCTCTCGGAATATGACTTCTATCGTCACCTTCATCGTCACTTAGATCCTCACCACCAAAATGACCATATAAGGCTAGAAAATCTACAAATGTGCGTGTCATCCAGTTTGGTGGAGGTTTTCCTTGCCTGGCCGCTTGGTCGACAACAAAGTGGCGGCGAAATCCTCCGGGATCCTTTAGGTTAGCCAGAGTATGATTCCCTGGTATTTGGCGAGGGAGAGAGACCGATTGAGAACGATGTCGTCGAGCGGCTTGTTCGTTCTCGACACCTTCAGTCCATTTGTAGATATCATGAGTGATAGCTCCTCCTGGAAGTTGGTGTACTGAACGAGCTACAGAGCTTGATTCATCTGTATCTTGAGTTGTACTGTGACGTGGCGAAGAACTGAGTATCGAAGAAGCAGGCGAACGGTCTAGAGTATCAACAAGATGCCTTTTGACGATACTTGCCACTTGATCTTCGGGTAAGTCCACCGAAACAGTATTGTCTAGATGGTTGTAGGCTGCCATCGACAATGGTCGGAATATACTAGTTGTGTTTGTCAGCACCCTATCAAGGTCATGGCTATCCAGTGTTCGACTAGATTGACCACCAAGGCTATGTACAGGTGAGGAGGAATAGAGACCAGATGGTAATGGGGACTCTAGGCGGGCAGTAGAATATTCGCGAGAGAAGGATGTAGACAAATCATCCCCATCGCTGTCATGAAGTGGTTTGTAGTTGTGCTTTGCATTTACAGGCAATGGAGACGACATAAGTTAATAAAATAAGAATAAGAATAAGAAGAAGAACGTGAATAAAGCAAGATTGGACTTCTCCTGATTACATTCTTCTAAATATATTTTATTTTATTTTTATTTTTATTTTTATTTTTATTTTTATTTTTATTTTATACCCAAAAATAAAATTATGTATATATATATCGCTTTTACTGGCTATGCAAAGTGCTGCAGTCTATGCAATTTGAGTATGACGTTGGGGTACAAACAGCCCGTTGATGATATGATCATGATAAAGAGTTAATCCTGTGACAAGATAAAGGACTTCTTTATATAATTATATATAGGTTTTATAAAAAAAAAAAAGGGGGGGGGGGGGGGGGGGAGGATTCTATTCTTTCTTTGTCTGTTTCTTAAGACCAGTCATTGAGGCAGCACTAAGAGGTCTTGGAGGTGGTGGGACAACTGGTGTATGTTGTTCAGGAAATCCTTGGTTGGTTGGGCGATGGTAGTTGGTAGTAGGAAAAGGTGTAGGAGGTGTATGGAAGAATCCCTTTGGCTGGGAGGCATCTGTAGCTTTGTTGCGCGACTCATTCTCAAATTCAACCTGAATACAGACTTCCTTGAGACCATCAATATGGCTCATCAGTAATTCACTGGCTTTACGTCGAATATCCTGGGTATTTACACCATCCTTGACCTGAATTTGCACAGAGCCTACCAAAGACTCGGCTTCATTCGGCCAAAACCGAGGCAATGAAATTCCTGCAATCCCTTGAACTTTTTTGAGCTCCTCTAAAGTGCCATGGACTTGATTCACGACACCATCTTCTAATTCCAGCATCAAGACAGCCGCTGATTGACGGATCAACGGAAGCACGGACAGAATAATAAGTACGGCAATGAACATGGACGCAATGGGATCAAATCCAGTCCAACCAAACCATTGGATCAATAGTGTGGAAACAATTACACCTACAGAGCCAAGGGTATCTGCCATGATGTGTAAAAACACACCTAAAATACAACGTCAGCATTTTAAGTGAGTATTATTTCCTTCCCTTCACCTTTCTCTTTCTCTTTTATTTATTTTATTTTTATGTATGCATCTTTAAATTATTTTCATATTTTCATATTTTTATACCTTGCATATTAGCACTGTGTCCGTGATGATCGTGTCCGTGATGATCGTGTCCATGACCATGACCATGGCCATGACCATGGTTAAACGCAAAAATTCCAACCAAGTTTACTACCAAACCAACAAAACTCACGAGCAGTAGACGCTGAGTGCTCATCTCTGGAGGGTTAATTAGACGCAATACAGCTTCCACAAGAATTGAGATGGAGATGAGGACTAAGAATACGCTGTTGAAGTAGGCTGCAATAGTTTCGATTCGGTTGTATCTATTATTGACAGATATAAGAATTTGGTATTTTAGAGACCTTAATTTAAAGCACATAGATAGATGGTTTCTCTTTTCTTTTTGATAATAGATGAATATGTATTATGCCCTTGATTATTTGATCAAGACTCACCCATAAGAATATTTTGCGTTGGAAGGCCATTTTCCCATTACTGATGCGAACAGACCAACTCCCAATGCAAGACAATCAAAAAACATATGAATGGCTATCAAAAGCAAAAATAAAAAATAAAAGTAAAAGATGAGCCAAGCTTATAAGGATGGTTTGATAGTATATATTGATAGAAAAAAAAAGCATGATGGCTGATATAAACCTTACCATCCGAGATCAACCCGAGAGAATTTGTCCAAACGCCATATGCGAGCTGTACAAACATATATGATAGATTGAGAAGAAGGAAAAAGAAAATCTGTTTGGAATCCTGGTTCTCCATAATGATGCTCAACGAATGCTTTAAGAATCCCAATGCGGATGTTGTGGAGGCATCAAAAACCATACTTTTTCCAAAGCCCATCTCTGTCGAATCGACATGGGTTGGCAGGTCGAGTACCGATGAGGAGAACATGGGAAAATGTTTTTTAATATATATATATGTAGAGAAAAGAAATATATATAGATATATGGATATATATATAAATACAAATGAAGGACTTGCAGACAGAAAGGGTAAGATAAAGAATTCCCCTTTTTTTAAAAAAAAATAATAAAAAATAAAACGATGAATGAGCTTTATTGAATTTGATCAAATGCGGTGACAATTTGGAAGGCCGCGCTTTCTGGACCCAAAAGCGCGTTTCCAGGGCGGTCCGAGATGACAACCTGGAAGCCTGCTTGATGAGCGGCCAAGATTTCTATTCAAAGAGTCGTTGTTATTACTTTTAGTTATTTATTTAGAGGGTATCAGGTTAGAAAGAATCTGTGTTTACCTTTAATGTTATCTGTTACAAACAATATCTGCTTAGGATCTTTTGAAATGTCCTTGGCAATATTCACATAGGATTGAACTTCAGTTTTAAGTCCAATGGTAGTATCAAAGTAACCACTAAAGTACTGGAGACAATGATAAAATGCATTAAATATCACAGTAGGAGACCTGAATTTTGTTCTCTTACTTCCATAATATTTCCCTTGTCAGAATATCCAACTAGCAACTTTTGAGCTGGAACGCTTCCAGAAGAGTAGATGTAGATCTTCTTTCCAGAATCTCTCCACTTGTTGAGAGCAGGTACAACATCGTCATAAACCCTGTAAGGTACAATTGTTTAATTAATGTCGAATATATTTATAAAACATCTTTAAAATCTACTTACTGGCCACGGAGCTCTCCAGAGCTGTAGCCTTCTTTCCACATATACCCCTGGAATGCCTTGAGAGCACCAATCTTACGGTCGGCTGCCATTTGCCACTCAATGTTCTTTTTGATAGCTGCCTTAATTTTCTCAGGCGATCTTTATGAAGGAATTGGGATAAGCAATGGTTCTTTTTTTTTTAAAAAAAAAAAAATAACCAAACAAACAGAACTTACCCATCAGTGGGAATTAATACAGCTTCAGGGATACCATTTTCAACGTCATTTTTTGCCTATAAAAATAACCACCACACGTCAATATACAAAATAAAGGATAATTCTTTCGCGCCACAAGTGATATTTATATACCTGTTCGCGCAATTGAGCAATGTGCTTGTTTAAATCTTCAGATCCCCAAGTTCTAGTAAGGAAGGAGTCAAGTCCCTGTGTTACAAATGGGAACTGCAATAATAAAAGATTAATATAATAGTTTATTTTTTATATTCGGAAAATATAAACTCAATGGTTGGGAATCATACCAAGATGTCCTTGACAAAGGTAATTGGGGTAATGGTTCCCTCAATGTCAAGTACAACGGTATCGTAGTTGGTCATTGTAAAAATAGCAGTACAGATATTAAAGTATATTGGCCTATAAATCCACCATTATGATAAACCTTTTTTTAAAAAATAAATAAATAAATTAAAATTAGCCATGATCAGACCTCTCCTTGACAAGACAACAGTCACATAACGTTGGGCCAATAATCCCAACAAGTTTATTAATATAGTTTTTTTAAATACTACTTGTATGTTTTTAATGCAATATATGTTATGGCTCGAGAATACACTTTTAATAATGTTTCAATAATAGAATTATTATTATAAAAACCCATTTTTAAGAAATTTAGTGCGTAAAGAGTCTGTATTTTAAATTAAAGAGCTTGTTCTGTTGCTCCAATCCCAGTAATGAAAATGTATAAAAATAAACGTTGTCGATTAAAGACAAGTGTACACGTGCTGTAGATCAGACCATGTATTTGACCACCTACTTCTTGATACAGTTGCTTTTTAACCTAAATGCCAGAATTGGTCACGACTAAAAAAAATTAACGACTGGATATTATGAGAGAAGTTTTTAAATGGATTCCCAAAAATAAAAATTTCAATTTGTATTTACATTGATATTCTCAACAGCTAAGAGAAGCTTAGGGTTATATTACTTGCTATAAACTATTGAGAATATCTACTCTTGAATTAATATACATACTAAATCTCATAATTAAGCACACTGATTTCCTGTATAGGCACAGACCATCTGTATTTTTATACGCGATATATATATATATATATGTATTATTTTAATTTCTAAAAAGAAAAAAGAAACTTTTAATTAGATAATACAATATCTGTGTGTACGTGTGTCCGTGTGTCCGTGTGTTTCTTTCAGCAAAATAAGAAGAAAAACTTAGCAAAAATCGCAAGACTTATATATGTATAGTTATTTACTGTGATAATTTATTGAGAGAACCCCAATATTTTGGCCATCTGATTGTCTGTAAAAAAAGTTTAAACAATGGACACAATAATATAGACTATAATATTCTTTGAGTTTATAAAAGGCATGGCTGACACGGTGTTTATGCCTTTAGTTGTCCATACAAATTCATCAAATCTGAATTCCTGAGCTTAGAGTACCAGGTTTACAAATTCGGGGTATTTTATACTACGGGAAAATTAAAGTATTTATTATGTAAATAAAGCCAGAGTTTAATTTTATAAGATAATTGAAAGAAAAGCATAGGTCAATAGGTTTAGGAACTATAGTCATATATAGGTATCGGAAGCCAATACCAAAGAGTAAAAGAGACAGTCTGCTCCTTGTGGTCATCCTGTCAACCAGCGCACTCAAATATGTACATATTTCAAGCCAGAGAACTCGGTACATCTCCTAAAAGTGTATCGGTAACCTCAGTTGAGATCTTGTCAGATTCAAGCGTAATTATATTTTCCGGACCGGGCTTAGCATAAGATGTTTTGTATACTTCAGGTAGATAGGATAAACGTGTGTTCAATATATCACAATTTTCCCAATGTGGAGACTTTTCTTCATTTTCCAAAGGTTTACGAGCCCAGGCAACATGTATGTTTGTAAATTTCATTTCATCTTCCATCTTCTGAAGAGCTGTTTTCCACTCAAGGTCCCATTCAGCTTCAGTACATTCTATTCCGGGTAATATACTTGGTTTGAGTGACTCGACCAAAGACGCGAGGTTCTGTTTCCACAACGTTCCTGACAATAAAATAAAAGTATTAATACTGGAATTCCAAAAAGAAATAACTAACAGGTAGCTTAATAAAATACAAAAACTTCGTTTCTGGAAAGAAATTTAGTGGTTATACATGCCTATCTCAAACCCCCAACTTCCGATTGGGATAGATACATAGCGGGTGCCAATGTCGATAAACCCTGCACAATCCAAGAGTTGGTTTAAATATGAGCTGATATCAATATTGAAGCCTCGAAGTACCAATTTATGGATTACTGTACGGAAGAGCAACTATTGTCAGTTGATATTAAGGGTATTCACAGGATAGTAGACTCTCTTGCCTTCTTTGACGATATATGAAGGATTGTCAATTTTAAGGTTAATTTCACTTTCAAGTATTTGAATGTAACCACCGGGTTTCGTTACTCTAAGAAGCTCTGTCATGACTTTTTCCCATTGGTTGTTAGTGAAAACGAGGGACTTTTGTCGTACATTTACAAGAGTAAAGGTATTATCTGGGTAATATAGCCCCTCAAGGACATCAGACACCTGGAATATGACATTCCCTTCGTGAGGAGTATCACACATTTCCTGGGATGATTTTGGGCTCAAAACTTCGGAATGAAAGTCGCTTGGGTCTTCAACTAACTCATCGTTCTCATCTTCTGATTTTGATTCTAGAGACAATTGTGGAAGGTGAGTTGGATTTACGACTTGATCTTGATTATGCTTTGTGTCTATAGGAAGTTCAATGTCTGCCAAGAAAATATCACAATGGTCTATCCCCACGTATTGGGACTTTGGATAAGCAAGTGCCATATCGACGACCTAGATTGTAAATATATTGATAGTTGATTTTAAGAGAGCTAGTAAGTTTTAGCAAATAAAACTCTATATGTATATGAAAAATATTACCCATGAACCTATTCCACATCTAATATAGACAGTTTCCATAATTATCATCAAGAATGAACATAACCAGAGTGAGAGCATTTGGTATCTTACCCAATGTCAATAACTTTTACACCCCCTTTGATAAGTTCATTTTCTACAGGAGCTAGTAGGTTTCTAGTATGATATTTTGTATGAGTAATGTTGTAAAATTTAGGTCTATTATATTACCCCGAAAATGCCCAATTGAATATGTATGATTGAATTCGGTTTCGTTCAAGCTCAGGGCTATCTGTTGGAAGTAGCCGATCTCTATCAACATCCTTTTATTATTTTTTATTAATAAAAAATGGATTAGTAAGCGTTTATAGGTAGCAGACAAAGTCCGTTACCTCCATTGTGGAGAAATGTCTTTCATAAATCCACTTTTGTTTATAGCTTGTGGGATATATATCACTAACTGGCGTGACTGACATGTCTTTTGTTATGATTGGAGTGGGGGGCATTAATTGCGCGATGTGCTTCAATTTACTGTTTTTTCTATTTCTTTTTTTCGTCAAATGTCTTTGTACTGTTTTCTCGGTTTTGGCCAAAGGTTTCAGAAATCGAGGGACATTTTTGAGATTGCCATTGGTTGCATGGTGAGATGTCGCTTTGATTATCTGTGAGATTTGTTCGTTTTCAGATGGCGTTTTTCGTGAATTTTTTGAGGATGAGTTTGCATTGCCCATGAGATTAAGTAAGCAATAGGTGTTTAGAAGAACAAGGGCCGTTTTAAATAGTATTTTAAGACAAGAGATAGATAAATATATATATATTGTTGTGGGATCATTATTTATATACACTTATTTTTCCAGCTGTTGTACTAACAATTTCATCACACTGTATTGGTCCTTTCTATTATGCAAACAGAAATCTTGGACTAGAGGAGTCCCAAAGTAGAATAATCAAATGGGGTTATTTTGTTACACGCTCCATAAGCCCACAGCCTCTCTTTAGTGACACCCAAGTATTAACAGAGGGTAAATAGAAGATATTTGGCTATAAGAGTGCATTGTAAAGCACATACAATTTACATGCTGTATCTGCTAAGCTACATAGTAGGACTGTCTTTCATAAAACATAAAAGAGTATTTTATTTGTGAATATTAAGAATATTACAAAATCAAAGTTTCATGTCTCTTTAAGCCAGACTTCATATACACAGCCTTTTTTATCTCTTTAATATAGACTCTTGGAAATGCTTTCTCTTTGATATATATGTTATCTATGAATATCTGTAGTTATACTAATTATGATATCAAATTTTGTGTTGGAGATTTTGGATTAATGTTTGTATATACGCCTAAAACTACGCTTGTGGTACATGAAAATAGTATTTCAACAATAGACACATTTATCGCTTATATTTCCCCATGTTCCGCGCTCTATGGCTATTTCAATAAAATTCTAGGTACGTTGAGTAGAAACTGTTGTTAATACACACATACACAGCAGAATCTTTACACTAATTGGTAAGTGCAATGAAGTAATCAAGGGAGGTTACTATAGAAAGTCTCAAGCACAAATCATACTGTAATGTACATATTACATAAGAAGAATAGCAAGATGCCTTAGTACGGACATGTTATTATGATTAGCTTAGATAGTGCTATTCTTTAGATCGATCTATTCAAGTGGGAAAAAAGTAGTAATATTGGCATAATTCAGTTCACTCCTTAAATTTAACTGTGTATATAGCTAGATAAATGATTGAAAGTATAATAAAGCTGTAATTAGACATATATTGCTTGATTATGAGCCATCACTTACTAGCAATTTGATCTAGCATGGTATACTCAATGTTCACTTGTATGCTAGTACATACTAAACACCATGAGATTTGCCAAGCGCCAGAATATTACTTATCAAATGGTATGTACATATATATTATAAACATCTGTACTAAGTAGCAGTATAACTATTACAGTCATGATATACAGAGTAACGACTTTAATCTTTATGGATAAACTTACAAATATCTCAAAATAATATTAAAGTCAAGGTTAACTAGAAAACCAGAGAGAAAGGGACTTTATTAGAGAAATGAATAAATCTGAAAATGAAACATATGTAAAGGAAGAAAGTTCTGGTACCAAAGACACTACCCTTATACCCTTCTTAAACCCCCAAAAATCATTTCAAAAATATCCAACTAAAGTTGACATTTTTATCTTTGTGTATACATATTTAATACCTTTGCAACAATTGGTAGTTCTTTTTTTTTTATTACTGGCATAGTTATTCACTCTTCCAACTTTATGAAAATATTTACATCTTATAGATATACAGATACAAAAATAACAGAACTACACCACATAAAAACAACACAATATTAGAGAAGGTATATATTCGTTTATTGGTTTGTTTATTGATTAAATAAAAGCCTTCAATATATATATCCTACATCTCCACCCAGGAAAGTTCATCGGTGCTCCACATCTTGTCATTGTGTTTTAAAATATCTTGTAAGAAAAAGGAAATAAATAAACAAACAAACAAACGAACGAACAAAAACACGTACCTGAAAAAGTAGACAATGGAATACGTTTTTACAAGTCCTATCCTGGGAGGGTAGTTAAAAGTATAATAATGGAGCCCAAACGTATCTCACGCATGCGATACCAAGTGGATTAGCTTATGGAAGTTAAGTACGGCTATTTAACTGTCAAAGAGGAAAGAGGACGCAATGCTTTTAAAGCCACATCTTCTAACTAAACTAATATCTTTGCAGCTCCTAGTCTCGTATTAAAGATCATAGACACCTTCAGAGCTCAGTCAGGGTTTCATAGGCTAGTCATATTGGGGTAAACCTTGTATATACAAAAAATATGGGGAAAGAGTGCTATGATGTTTTGTCTTGCTGTATATGTTGAAACTAATACGTATTCAGTAAATCAAGTCCAAAAAATACCCGTAAGTTCCTCGAGTTATGTGGGATAGCACTACGGTCTGCACATAAAGAACTTAACGCTCCTTCGGCCTTGTTGGCAGACAGCAAGATTCCCCGTACGATCTTTAATGAACTCGATGGTTGGAGTCTACCCTTTCTTTGGTAAAATTATGCAAACAAAACACGTTGGCATCTTTGCATGTCAAGTATGTAATTAATAGAGGTAATTAGCAGAAGATTTGTTCACGCAAGGATTTGAATGTCTTTTTAGGGCCTTGGTTATGTGTGACTGTCAGTATTTTGCGAAGAATAAAAGGTTATATTATGGTCAAGATTAACGCGGATGGGTTTGGTGGCATTAGATATCCCGTCTTCTTGAATCCGTAATTGAAAATATAAAGCGCCTCTTTAAATAAAGAAAAGGCGAAAATATGTTAAGGTTAGTTTATAACACCGAAAGAGACATATTCGAGCTGACTTTAACATACTGGTGGCCTCTACATCAATTACTTACCTGGTATAAATATAAGTATACTTAAATGAAGGGAAGTACAAATAAACAGACGCGCATTCTCTTAAGACATTCTCCACCAATTCAGATGACATAGTCATTGAATTGTGATGCAAACATTCTTACCCACTATGAGAAAACTTATTATAGTGTATATATATCAAGCATAGTTCTAGAACATAAAATATTATAATTTTATTATTAATTAATTAATAAATTAATAAATGAATAAATAAATAAACAGGTGGATAAATGAATAGATGACTAGATGGGAAATTTAGATTATTAAATGTAGTAATATTAATAGATGCCCTGATACAAAACATAAAAAGAAAGTCAAAATGGAAAATGAATATAGAGATTTAGGGAAGTGTGCTGGGTGCTGGGTGCTGGGTGCTGGGTGCTGGGTGCTTATTAAGCTCTATAGGGGAGGGATCTTTCTGAGAACCTGCTCATAAACCAAGAAATTGAGAGAGTGGATGGGGAATGCACGGATCAAGGTAATACTTAATCCTTTGTAGAGACCTCTGATACCCTCCCGGCGTACAATATCAGACGCACATTCGCGAAATCCTTGGACTTTTGATTTCAAAACATCTTTTTGAATAACCGATTTTACGAGATCTACTGGGAATACAACCAGCCAACTTAGAACACCACAGCAGCCGCCTGCCATAAAATGCGTCAGTGGATTTGATGCTGCCGAGTTTCCACCAGATATTATGAATTTAGCTGACTCATAAGAGCCAAAGTAAATGCTTGTCCCTAATGTATCGCGCCCTAATTACCCGTATCAAACAAATATTAAAACATGTATATGTACACATATGCCATTTTGTAGCTATCGTCCTTACCTGAATGCAATCGGACACCCGTCCAAAGTCCGAGGATTCCCTTGCGACTCACTATCTGTTGAGCTGCATACAAGCTTGATGATCGTACTGGTCCCCCTGTTACTACTCCAAGTGCTGCCTGCTCCTTCATAGCAACATATTCCAACTGTCTCTGAATCTTGACAAGCTCAAGCGGGCAGCTTAGCAGAGCAATGAACGCACCACTTGCTCCACCACTCAACATAGACAGTCCAAAGGTAGATTGAAGAGTGTCCCCTTTGATACCTTGTTCTTTTAACCGAGCCTTTGTATTTTCGTAGATGGAGAATGACACCGACTTAATAATACTGACAGTTACCAATGGAGGAATCATGCCTATCAGTAAAATCAAATAAAGCTCAGTATATTATAGCTTTTTGTGTTGAATAACTTACCTCTAAAAAATCCTCGAGCACCTTCTTCAGCAAAGGTTATTTTAAGGCAAGAGAGGACGGAATTATAGTGATGGGTCTGCATTCTTGTTTTTAGAGAGTCAAACTGAGATTTTCACAGTAAGTGACAAATTGTTCAAGAGAAGATACATACATTTTACATTTTATTCATACCGGAAAACCTGCTGTAACAGAAGTGATGGCTGCACTTGAAGCTGCAACAATAGTTCTGTTGGCTATTCCCAAAAAGAGGAGCGATCAGCAAACCTGACAAGTGATTATACTAATTAATTTTACAAACCTTGGAGAATGTTCATTAGTTTTTGAGTATTTGCGTTGTTTTCTTTCGTGCTTGAAAAAATAGAAGTTTGATGCTCTTTAGAGAGCAAATGCTCATTTCTGAATAAAATATAAGACAATTGTACTTTTCTTTTTATTTAATATTCTCGAGTTTGTACCTGAGATTCTCGGATGTCATGCTAATTTCAACCTAAAGCGGTATCTTCAAGTCTGGAAAAATCTTTCTTTGATTAATGTCTTGATTGTAATTCCCCAAGAGCAAAGAAAAAGTTGTGCAGATATAGTATAAAGAGGTACAATGTGTTGAATTTAAGACAGGATTCTATAAAAAAAATTAGATGTCGGAAGAAGGATCTACCGTCTTATCGGAAGAGGTAAAACATAAATGAGATCTTTGGGGGTGCTATGTTTTAATGCCCGGCAGACTGCTTACCTTTAACACCATGACACCTTCAGAAATCACCCGAAAAGAAGTGTTAGATAGCGTAAAGAAGGCACTTTTATTAGAACATGGCCGTGGAATAACATCGTTAAAAAAACTACAAGAATCTGTTCTGGAAAACTTTACCCCAATTCGTCAATTGTGCCACATAGATCAACACTTGAATCGTGTTCCTGTAAAATATATACAACATTGCATAGAACACGACGATTCACAGCAATTTGAACTAAGTAACAATGAGTTACAAGTTAGGCTTGCATTTCTTGATCAAGAACAACAAGGGTTTGAGACGGATCCATATGGTGCAATTGCTGTAGATTCTGAAGAATATTCGCCTGAACTTATAAAATACGAAAACCCGACAACATTGAAACCTTCTACTCACTTTCGACCTTACCAAGTGAGTTTTCTGAATATCACAAACGCACTTGAAGATAGGACAGTTTCATCAAACCAAAGCATCGACACAGACACTGAGATCTCCACCACAAAAAGTAAACGTATTCCTGTGACTCCAGTGTATTATGAAGATGGAAAATTCTTTTGCGACGATTTCGCTGGAGACTACGCTCGCAAAGACAGACCGGCTATGCTTATTCCAAAATACGATAGACTAAATATTGATCCACTTTGTAGCGAGAGCTTTAAGTATACTAGGTCAGTTATATGTTAGAGAATATTATGTATATATCGATACACTTACCATCATAAAATAAAACAATAAATAAATAAATAAAATAAAAATAAAAAAAAGGTTTAGTACAAAGCCATTTTCCAACGGAAAGACATGTTGGAACTGTGATTCAGAAGATCATGAACTGTCAAAGTGTCCAGAGCAACGCAATGCGGAAAAAATTCGCAAAAATAAAACCCTGTATAATGACTCGCATGAAACTTCTGGTCGACTCCATATCGAACTTACCGAGTACAACAAGTTGTCTTCATTAAAACCCGGAAAGTTGTCTGATTCGCTTCAGGAAGCATTGGGAATTAAAGGGACCAATTATGAACCTCAATTCTATGATAGGATGCGAATATACGGATATCCGCCTGGATACAAGGGTTTAGGTGAATTTGTTATTTACTATATGTGCTCCCATTACATTAAAACTAATTATTTTATATGAAACACCAGCTTCAAAGAAAGGCGTCAGTCAGTTATCGATATCGAAAGAGAGTGTATTATTTGAAAATACTCCGTTATTAAATATATACGACGATGAATTCAATGGGGAAGACAAAGAAACGCAAAGCAAAAAGGATGTTCTGTCTACCTCACAAGATGATGTAGATACATCCAAAGAAAAAGATACTAGTGAGGAATTAGTAGAACTCGTGGTTTATCCTGGCTTAAATATTAAAGAAAAAAAGCACACAGTACAACAAATTCCACAATGGGAACAGCCTGGTATGCCTGATTTCTATCGTATGGAGCCAAACACCCACCAATATTACCAACAATTCCACAACGAGGCTATGCAAGATACTTACTCAATGTACGATCAGAGGTTATGGCCACATGATCAATATAATCTGGGGGGCCAAGCACCTTATCCATACTCGTACCCACCATATAACGAACAGTATGCACACCCCGAAATGTATTATGGATACAATCAACCTCTTGATCAGTACAACGATTATCAACCAGGCAATTATTTCCCTGGTCCTCCTACAAACCACTATCAAGCAGATCAACCATTCCCAGAGGTACAGCAACCACCATATGCTCCTCAAGCTCTAGCTTATCCAACCAACGTTCAGCAACCAGTACCACCAGTACTACCAAAAGCTCCGATGTCAAATAAAGAAGACTCGGTCAAATCAGAAGATGAAGACATGGAGATATCAGACGACGAGGATTAGGCTATACGTACTTATATGTAGAACTTTAAATTAATTCATACATTGTCTATAATGAAATATGACATACTGTTTTTTGTTTTGTTTATTGATCATTTGTGTCTAAAATATCTATTATAATTATGCTCGATGTATCAAGGATGCTAAATTGTTTGCATACTCCTCTAACGCATTATCCGCATCCCACGTTTCATACCCTACGGTTAATCTACCGGAATCATCATCATGTTGCCAATTTGAAACGTGTACAACCCGAGAGTGGCATTCCTCGAGACCTCCAACCATATCATTAAAAGACATGGTCTTTTCTGGCCTACTCTCCCCTGTATGACCTGGACTCCCTATTGGACTATATATTCGTACTGTACTTCCTTGGCTAGTGTTGTTTCCAAATGGGAAGAAGAGACTCTTATTGCTTACTTCTGCGGTAACATTGTCTTTCATTTGTTTGGAGCATGTTTGATTACGAATGAAATGTGATCGAGGAGGAGGCGAAAGTGCAGAAGACCATTCTTTTCTTTCGCCGAGTTTTTGCGAGTCAGCTACTTCAGGTAAAGGTGAATATAATCTAAGAGACTCTGTAGATGACGAAGAGCGAGCAGGTGGGTAATCGTCAATAGACTGTGCTTGCCTTGATTCAGATATTTTAAAGCTAGCCCTCAATCTTTTTGAAAAAGGATGCTTTTCAGGTATCTGATTATCTTTGGATTTGGCTGTGTCTCCAGATTGACTTCTGTTACTTTCTCTTCCACTTACTGTATCGTCTATAGAGCTATGTTTACTATCCGGTTTATTTCTACTCAAGTTCAATGCATCCATTATAGACCACGAGGACCCTTTTGATTTAGTAGAATTTAGACGCATGTTTTGGCTTGATATAGATCTATCCCTTAAGATAGGAGATACATCCCCAAAGGATAAATTACGTGCATATTTTGAGATACGTGGTGATTTTGTATATTCAGTTGTCTGTGGTCTCTCGTTAGTTGGGCTTTGTATATATTCTGTGTTGGGATAAAGTCTAGGCGTGTCTATGACCAATGGCTTCAGTCGATTCTTAGGAGGATTAGGGTTGCCCACACAATTGAGCGAGTTTCTGGCTGGTTGGAAATCAAAGTATGACTTGGGCTCGTGCTTTGGGTTATTATCTATTGCTGGACTGTTTTTTGAAAATTCTTTGGCTGTCCCCATCAATTCACCTGTCAATGAAGTACTGGGAAAATAGCTTTGGTCATTATTTAAAACTTCGGCCGGGTCAGATATTATGACTGAATCCAAAGGATGAATCGAATCAGTTGCAATGTTATCAAGGTTACTATCGTTTCTTGACTCAGCAAAAGAGTTTGCATTTTCAAATAGTCCAATATTTGGATTTCCATCTACTTCTTCACTTGAATGGATACTTGGCAAATGCGTTCCAGGTGTATTCCCGACATCTCTGTCAAATGCAGGATTAATGTTTCCTGGACTTTCAGTACGAAATATATGGATGAGTATCCAATGTAGTACACGAGCCAAAAATGGGTATCGAAAAAATTGAAAAGATGCTCGTCCGATATAGTCAGAACCTGATCTCCACCTTTCCTTTTCATATAACAGGCTGCTTTCGTTCGATTCGTTCCCGTCTTTTAGGTACTGTGCAGGCCGTACTCGATACATTGGCACCTTTCTGTAAGCATATTTTTTTCTAGCAGATGTGCACCAAGTAAAAACCATTTGTAAACGGCTCATAAATGTAAGTCGACTCTGTACGTGATTTATTTCGTCTCCGAGAGCCATGGGGTCTGTGGATATGTTTGCGATATATTTGGTTTCTTTATAGCTATGTTGGCTGCATACATATTTTCCGTCTACTATAACAAGACGTACTAATGGGTGCACATATGAATATCTTTTTCTGAAACTGTTATGATGGTTAAACTCCAGGGTTGATGAGTTCTTCTTTCGTGATTTATGAGTTTGGTCAGCTGTTATTGACCGTCGCAGCCCTTCAAGGCCTATCAAAGAGTACTTTTTGTTTTTTTCAGTGTCTTTCTTTAGTGTTGTATAGCCCATTGATGCAGAGGCTCTCATGTCTTCTATTGGCTCAGGAATACAGTGTAAAGTAACACTGTATGGGTTTTTAACCCAGAAATTTAACATCTTTCCATTTTCGTCTTGCTCTGGAATAAAATACATGCAATAGTAGTCTTCGACGTAGTACCTAACAGCCAACTTGAATAGGTCTGAAATGGCTTCCCTGACAGCTGGATCAGTAAAATATATAAAGCTTATCATTATTCCTATATAAGTATTATTTAGGGCATGATATTTAGTTGTATGCAATGCACAGCCAATTATGGAAACCTTGACTGACCTAACATACTTGAAGTAATTCGTTCGAGAACAAAGACACTATATGGTATATGTACTTTACGCATTAACGATATTTCGACAGCAATCCCAGCCGCCTTTGAGATAATAGGTACTATTATTAAGACCATTAGTTAACCTTTTTTTGACATTCTGTTGATATATAGTATAGTTACCTAGTGGATAACATATACAGCGACTCGCAACTTTTCTAAAAAGTGCAGTGTTCTTTTGTATAATTTTCTGTCTTGGATTAACGGGACGACGCGGGGCCTGTGTTTCGTTTGATTGCCGCATATTAATAATACTGGCAAAATTGTGCTGCTCGCGGGAGAACTTTCGTAAAGCGAGGAAAGCACAGATTGCTGCCACGGCTGAAGAAAGTAACAGCCAGCCATAGTACCACATCTATTTCGATAGAAAGTACGTTTAATAAGAGCGCAGATCCCAGGTATTTAGACTCACCCAATTGAAATAACGTGTAAATCTTCCGATAAAGTAATAATGGTACCTATTAACAAGAAATTTAGACTAATATCAATACCTTAACAGTAGTATGGTATTTTGATCCAAGTATTTACCAGCATGTTTCCACAACATTTTCGGGAGAGGATGATATAGCAAGTGGCATTACAATTACAATAACACCTACAATCCCAATAAGGATGTAGTAATACTTTTCAAATCGCCATGGTCGATTTACATTTACAATAAAAATGAGAACAAGGTTGACACCAACCATCGCTAAACAGGTACATGACATTGTATCGGTTGCTATAAGAAAATAAGCATATATTCTGCAAGCTAAATTTCCTCCGTGTATCTTTTCGCTTGTTGTGTTTATGATTGAATATATTATTGTCAGTAGACATGCTGTGACTATGAGATGTAGTGATACTCGGTTGGCCACTTCTGGTCTGTAGAATCTCATGGAAAAGTGGGATATGATTACTAGAGTACACACAATAATAGTGATGCCGGCGGGAACCAGCCCTGCAACCAATAAGCCTGTACGTTGGTGGCCTACAAAGTAATAAGGGAGATCTCTTTTAGCCTCGACTGCATCCATCCTGTGTGTCCTGACAGTCCGAGAACGGGTATTTGATAGGAAATGTTGATGGTTATAGTGTAGTAGTTGAATGTAGAAAAGGGCGGTTCATTGATTTAGTTTTGGATAAGAATTGTTTTAGAAGACTAATGCTGTCACTGAGAATTTGTGATTGGTTATGTTTGTAAGAAGTAGATGTTTTATGCAGTTCTCACACCTGATTCCATTCAATGACTCTCATGATACGTAAATTGCTATTTATATTACAAGAAATGGTATGAGCACAAAAATCAACTGGAATATTAATCTTGTAAGCTTATAAATATGAGCCTTTTATTTGGTCGATATCAAACAAATAAACAGCACAAGAAAAAAAACAGGCTTTTTATTATATCTAAAGAATCCAGAAATATACCTATTTGGGTTAAAGAAATAAGCGCGGATACATTTGTGCCCAAATGTATTACCCTATAGAAAAAAAAGGCGATTTTAGTGAGATTGTTGCAAGTTTTCCAATGTTAGAAATGTGTTTTATAATTGAATTCTAATTAAGCACCAATTTCTCTCTCTCATATATATTCTACTTTTTACGCCACCGTATTTTTGCAGCCAATGGAAAATATCTTTTTCTAAACTTCTTTAACCCAGTAGAAGAATTAAAAACAATAAGGATATTCAAATCTAATGGCTCACCATACGATAACAAACACCCCTTCTAAATCCAGGTTACATCATATTTCATAACACTGTCTATAAAGATCCCAAGAAATCTTATAAGTAGTTCTTAGGGTAATATTCAATTATCATTATTTTGGTTCTTTAAAAATAGGAATCAGACATAGCAATTTCAACACAGAAAAGGTGTATACTCTTTGATAAAAAGAATCATTTAAGCAATATACATGCCTTCATCAATATTATATTATTTAGAGAATAGCACATAGCAATAGGTATATGCATATTAAACATCAAATTTATAGCTTAAAGTCTTACTAAATATCATATAAATCAGTACTTCTTCTTTATATACTTCTATTATTTTGATCAATGAAAACCATACAAGCCCAATATAAAACATAATGCATTTTCTGGACCAATCATAAGCTAAATATAAATAACTAAAAAAAAAAAAGTATAAATTTGCTATTTTTAAAACATTTGATTGGATTAGATGCAAAGTAATTTGAAATCTCATAAATAGTACTCGCTTAAAATAATTTTAAGTTACCAAAAGCTCACATGCTATTGGTAGAATATATAACTCCGATTTCGTATATTTTCTACGAGTCTTTAGTTATAAATCCTGTTATTTCCTACATGTATTATATCAAACAGTCTTGATCTTGACTTTGTTTAAAGCTATCGAACATATAATCCACTTGTAAACCAACATTACCTAGGTATATTATATATCTTGGAAGCGATATGTATATATTTGCAGAAAAAACTCGTTATATCGACAAAAGGGGATCAACGTAAACACTGTGATTTATATGTAACGCAACAACAGTGCAGAAAAATGGTCTGTTTTTACAGATGGAAATGAATTATAGTAATAGCAGTAATAATAATAATGGTAGTGGTAGTAATATAATTTAAAGTATACTTCTTCATACTATCTTTACCGTACTAGTTTCAATGAAACAAATATACTTTTAAATTTAGTGTCCAAACCAAACCAAATCTTTATATATAATAAAAATAATAAAAACTGTATTCTAAAGACTAATTGCCAAAGCCACAGAAAGCTCCTCCCACCTCCTTCCAAAAAAAAAAACGAAGGAAAGGTGCGGCTAATTAAAAAAAAAGTGTAGTTTAGTCTTGATAATCTACAGCAAATTATTGATTATGACATTACGAGTTCTTGAATTTTATTCTGGCATTGGTGGAATGGTAAAAGAAAAAAGCAAATAAATAGAAAATATTCTTGATAAATACATACTTCCACTCCCTTGTTTAACTTGAAATAATTTAACAGCATTATGCGGCTGAACTAGCTGAATGGAATCATGAGATATTAAAAGCTTTTGATATCAATACTGTTGCGAATGAGGTTAGTAATATATAATACAGCGCTAATGTAAAGATGTTAATTTAAAAGAAAAAATAAGTGATTCTGATTGTTTGGATTAGATCTATCGACACAATTTTGGTGCCAAGCTTGTTGGACAGGCAAGTCACGACTTACACAGGAGTGAAAGACTTCACATAAATTATTAAAATATAATATACCTCTATATAGCGTTTAATTGAAACTCTTTCGATTGAATACTACAGTGATATTGCTGCCGATGTCTGGACAATGTCCCCTCCGTGTCAACCTTATACACGTATCGGTTTGAAACAGGGTAGTCAGGATGGGCGGGCAAAGAGTTTCTTGCATTTGCTAGACGTTCTGAAAGGCATGAAGAACCGACCAAAATATATTCTTGTAGAGAATGTAAAAGGGTTTGAGGTAGACTAACTTTTTAATACATTGTGTATTAAAAATAAAGCTTGTGGGTTACTTAAATGAAAGTAATTTGTGTAGGAGTCTGACTCCAGAGATATGCTCGTAGATACTCTCGGGCAATGTGATTATGCATTCCAAGAGTTTATGTTAACTCCTCTACAACTTGGTATACCCAACTCCAGAATGCGATACTACCTCTTGGTAAGGCGTGGATATATTTCTTTAAGATATCACAACATTTACATAAATAATATCTTGAATAAAATTTAGGCCAAGTTGAAACCATTGACGTTTGCACTGAACCCCACAAATTCCATTCTTGGATATGTACCATTTTCCGCTCATATGTCATCCGAATTTGTCGACAGTAGAACAAGAGTGATATCAAACGAAGAGCAATTGATAGAAAGAACATCCGTAGAAATCGAGCCTTTGTCAAATTACTTGGATCCATTGGCTGACATTACTCCATACATAGTCCCTGACAAGGTATATAATCCCTGGCTCAATTAAGGTTTGTTTTCAACTAAACAACATTCAATACAGGTTCTTGCAAAACATAGTCATGTATTTGATATCGTAAAACCAGACAGCCGACGCAGTTGTTGTTTCACCAAAGGCGAGTTGTTTTTTTTTAAAATATTTTAATAATAGTAATAATAATAATGATCAGTTGCTAATATTGTGATTTGGTGTACAGGATACTCTCATTATGCAGAGGCAACCGGTAAGTTTATTAAAAAACGAATCAAGCAAAGGATCTTATGGAATATCTCTTATACATTTTACCTATCTTGTCAAAGGATCTGTTCTTCAGATGAATACTGATGCAGATGTAAGTTCACAAATATAAAAACATGGATTTATGACCCATCCCGAGTTTTGTAGACAGCTACTATATTTCAACAGGCAGCTATAGCCAAAGCTAATGGCGAGACAGAAAATCAACTCGATCTTCTACACACGCTTCAGTTGCGATATTTCGCGCCTAGAGAGGTTGCTAACCTGATGGGTTTCCCAAAGTCGTTTACATTCCCCGATACTTCTAGTTTGAAACAACGATATAGAACACTTGGCAATAGCATCAACGTACGCCTTGTATCTGAATTAATGCGCTATCTATTGAAAGAAAATACCACTGTGTAAACCCGCAAATTAATTGATTTATGTATATATATATATATTGAAAATATATTGTTTGTATATCAAACTTATCCGCATAAAAATAAATTGAATACAGCTTGTTGTTGTCTACTCTGACATACATAATACAGTATTACTGTGTTTTCACGAATTATTCGCCAATTTTGAATAAACTATTCATACAAAGTTATAAGGATAGTCTCACTGAATCTATCAAACGATCTATAAAAAAAAAGTCAAGTGGTCCAATGGTCAAGGTTGGACCTGGCACTCTATGGTTTTCTTTCCTCGCTGTTAGGATAAAGAAATACTCCCTTAAATATTCTAAAAACAATTTTGTGTGAGAATAAAATTTAAATGTGTGAATAATTAGAGAAAATATAGTAAATAACTTCCCAACTTGATTTTCGCCCTGGCCAAATCAGCATTCACTCTGCACCGACTTGGGCATACAAAATTTTTCAGCTATTTCCTGATCCCAAGATATATTAAATATTGAGTTCATTTGTTTCTTTATTAAACATTCTTCTACAATATCACACACAATATATATATATATATATGTGCCAGATCCACCTGATACCCTAATTATTCAAATCTTGTAGCAAAACGCTCAACAGAACATCCAGTACATAAAGAAGGCTTCCCAGAACTGTAAATAACAGAACATATTGATTTTGAAGTTGTTAAATGGTGAATCTTGGGTTTGCAATTTTGACAAACAGGTACTCCTTCTCCAGATCTCTAGACGATATGATACAATATTTTGGAATACGCACTACAAATAACCCAAAGGTTTTCTGGATAAGGTTTGTGATATTTAGACTAGCTGATATGGTTACGAGGAAATCGGACAACCTTAAAAAAACCGAACATTGGTTAAAATATTGTCACGTATTTCATGCTCAGCTAAGTCTAAGTCTGATATCAATATCAATCGACTTGATTGAAAAGTTAATGCCTACACCAACACGTATGGCGAAATATATATAAGAAAAAAACAATAAGAGCTCACCGACATTATTGATAAACGATTTTTACCGCTTAGGGATTTTCAGTAAGGATACCTTGGATAAATTCAATCTGCATCAAATATTAATCTTCCCAGCCATTGGTAAGCGTGTCATATTTTCTGTCATGCCCTTATCGTTTTTATAACTTTACATATTCACAGAATTGGCGCAAACAAATATACACACGAAGGATGCTGATCTTGTCAACTTGGTTGGTCAGTTAGATATTTTGACTTCTATATTATCAGTTCACAAAGATCATTGTATACCATCTGAAAAAGATTGATCTTCAAATCGTTGCTTGACCATGTCAAGTGCGTATTTTGAGAGATTCAATAAAAATGGCTCCAAGAAAGTATCCTTGTAAACTAACACTTTGTAATTGACAGTATAACCTAGAACTAGTTCATATCATAACCTACTTTGAGATTTTTTCCCTTTTCCATAACACGCCAATTTCCCTAATTTGCATTAACTTGCAATCTTTATTTCACATAAGTAAAAAATAAAATAAAAGAAAAAGAACTAATTTGAAATATATATACCAATCTCAATAAGTGTATTTTTATATCTAATCTTTATTTGTGATGTTCTATTCGCCAGCGTATGTGGTTAAATATCAGGTTAATATATCTGAAAATTAATTTTGATTCGTCTAAAAAAAAATTCCTAATGTGTCTCGATCTTAAGAGAAACACTGCAACTCAAACAGGGCAATATATCACGTGATATTGTAACTCTATCATTTTCAATAGTGAAAGGAAAAAGAGATCCACATTTCTCTAGATTGTTCCTTTTTTCTGAAAGATATACCTTCTCATAGAATCATCCGAATTCCATTTCGGTATTCATGAAATGAGTGAAAGTTCAGTACGAGAATGGTTTTCTCTGAAGATCTTGATATACATAGCATTTAGAATTGTCAATTTCCCAACAAAGGTCAATTGCTGGTACTGCAACGAAAATTCATACCTGACATACTATACAACGGGAATAAAAAAGGATTGGAAATGTTCCTATTGTGAAAATCATAATGTGTTTGATGAGGTATTTATAGAATTTATAATGAAGTACAGTCACTAAATGTGATTAATTCTGCTGAAATGAACAGCAAGGAGAGATTGTAGATACATTTGCTGCAATGTACGATCCAAGCCTTAATCGTCCAGGTACCTGGGACAATCCAAACCTCACTTATCAGGGACCTCTTTGTGCTCACTATTAATATATGAACATTAATATTTAGCTGTACCACATCATAATTTGAACCCTATCATAAAAACACCTTACAAGTTATGCAATACATGTGCTCGTAACCAAGCCTGGATTTGCGACAAAGTGAGGGAATTCATCAAAGAACCAAATGTAAGTATCGATTAAATAATATAGGATCTTAACAATAAAAGCAAAATAATGTTAATCGACTGACTTTCATTTTATTTTCGTACAAAAAAAGGACCCTGACTATAAGCGTTCACTCGAAGAAGCGGACATCTACAAGGCTGCGTTGGTAAAAAAATATAGATTGTGCAAGGACTGTCAACTTGCTGCTACAAATGCTCTGGATGAACAAAGAAAAATGATGCGAAGATGGTGGCTTGGTGTCTTGCATAAACGACTCCCCAATTATCGTTTTGCTATAAAACCTGCCACACGTACTTATCTTCAACATGGTGCATTATGGGTAACCCTACATGCGTGGACAATATTATTGTGCTGTTTTGGTACGTCAGTCTTCAAACATGGGTGATTTTCATCTAGTAGATCCATTAACCATGAGCCGATCTATAATCATATAATTATAGCTTATTCGAATACGTCTCGACCTGAACCAGAAGGAACTATTAGAGAAAGGGTTTTGTCGGATTTAATGAATTGCAAGGATGAATTCCTAAATATCTTACAAGCCATCACCTACATGTGGTACCGGCCTCAGGAAGAAATTGGGAATTATATATATTATGTTTTAGAATGGGTTATAGACGAATTGGATTTCTCTATTCGTTTCGGGACAAGAGTTTTGGCCTGTGTAGCTTCTCTTGATAATAAAAGCAAAGAGAACAACTGTGTCTGGAAATCTGAGATCCCCGTACTACTACATATCATCGGCTGCGTGCTTTCCATATGGATATTCTGGCACCCTTGGGTCTCAAGGCTGAGATATCAATACGACTTTCGCCTAAAAAACTGGAAGTTTTACAAGGTATTTTATGCAACTTATCGAAATGAAACAAATCACTAAATTTTCTGATACGTTTTATAGAATACCCAAAGATTTATTCATGTGTGCCGTCTTGCTCTGCTAATTTTGGCTCGTTATGCAAGCAACGCGACTGTCCATTTTGCTATGAAAGCGGCAAGGATCTGTATCCCATGTGTAAGACAAATCATATAAACACATTTTTTTTGTTGCTTTGGATACTGATGATTCTCCTTTAGGTATTGGTTGTATCTATTCTATCGGTAAAAATACTTCCTGTTGGAGGTTGGCCATCAAACAAGCTGGGGTTCATACCTAATACAGGGAATAAATTCATTTCAGAACCAATCGACGATGAACCTGAAGATGTAATTAAAAAAACAGAGGCTAAAAAGACGCCGGTTGTCTTGAGTCCTTCAGTGAGTAATTATGAGCCAATGGAGGTTGATGATATGGAAGAAAGATACGACATAGAACAAAAGCTGCGACAAGGAAAGGCCCAAGACGACGAAACGCTTGCACATGGAGTCAAGTTTGGTCTTTGTTTAGAATAACCTGATGCAATTCAAGCTTCAATCCAGTTTAGTTTCTTTTTTTATGAGAGGCTCTTTTCTTAGTACTCATATGTATATATACAATCCAAAACAATAATGTTAAATAAAACCAAATAAAATTAAATTTGCGAATACAGATCGCCCTTATTCAAAAGATCAATTGCTCTATATATATATATTATAACTAGAAGCTGTAAATTTTGTAGGAACAAAGACAAGTGTTTATCTAAAAACAAATAAAATCAGCTGTGTTTCGTGGTATTAACGTGGATATAAATTGTCGTATGGCATCAGTTTTGTATGCTGTTAATATTGCATTTCAATAGACAATTGTATCGGACAGCCAAATCTTGTTTTAACTGTATCTACAGTCCTCAAAAGAATACTGTCTCACGCTCAAACAATGGGCAGTGTTATATATAAGACTATATTCCTTTAGTCTTTCCGATCAGAGCTTTAGTTTGGTAGCATTCATCTATTTTCAGCATTTGATGATACTTCTAGTCTTCAATTTAGAGATGACTGATGGTTTTGATCTTTCCTGAGGAATGCTTGATTTTATAAGACAAAGAAATGATTCCACGAGTAAAATCTAAGAGCTTGAAAAAATATACTGGCTTTTATAGTTTCTGTTTTTTTTTCAGTCTTTGTTGATAGGATACCTTAATGTAGTTTTGAAATAAATTTGGCAAAAAAAGTATGGAAAAAAAAACTAAAAAAAAAAGATTATTCTAATTTTTGATGTTTAAAAAGACTTCCTTTTTTGTCTGAGTCTGTACTTGTTAATCATTCTTTATACTAATCAATGTCACAAACAGACAAAGAATCCATTCATTCTCACAACAAAGACGAGTTAAACCAAGTGTCCGTAATGTCAGTTACTTCAGCAGACTCGCACGGCATGTCGCAGCTTTTGGAAGGAGTTATCTTGAATCATTGCGCTTTCGATGGCGATTCATTAAAAAGCGAATCAATGGATAAAAAAGAAAACAAGAATGATGACATTGCTATTAAAAGACAAGGTACTTTAACAGAATCGGTTTTATAATTATGTAGTTTGATGGCTTGTGTTCATTTCTCTTTCCTTCTTATCGATACAAGCTGTATAATTATATTCGTAACAGACCATGTAGTCCCTATCAAACCAATTATTTTATCAGAAACCGACATTAAACCTATTAACGATGATAAACTAGCGGATTACTCATTAAAATCAAATGATAATCAATCAATATCATATGAGCCAGAGAATTTTTCGTTGAGAAATATCAGAAATACTTCAGGGAATTCAATTGATGCAGATTTGGCTCACAATTCGACTGCTGGAGTAAGAAGACATTTAATAGTGATAAGATATTTAATATTTAATATAATTTTAATTGGGCTAATTACAACAACCATTTTCTTATTATTGCTTCTAGAAAGATGACCTACAAGACATCCCAACCATAAAACCATTGAATGAAACAAAACTAAACATGGAGAGATTTTTTGGAGATATATTTGGAGACGGATCAGAAAAATTTGTTGGATTCCAAACGGCTAGTCGAAAAGCACTGCCGCCGATTAGTCTTCAAGCAAAACGAAGAGCACTCGCAATATTTACTGAAGAGCAACAACCTTTGGATAATGAGACCACAAAAAAACACACCACATTACCTAAAAATACCTACTCCTCTCATATTTCAACTGCAACCATATTCCCCAAAGTTAACAGCCCAATTAATCCTCCAAAAGTATATTGTGATGAAGCAAACTCAAGAAATCCAGGAGAAAAAGGTTCTCCAAAACAAAATACGCACCCTCCAGCTGTTATACAAAATGTATTTCACGATATCACTAATAATTCACCGAGAAAGATATATCATGACCAAGAGAAGCTGTTTAAACCAGTAACAGAAGTGCAGCTCAAGAGTGGTTTCTCGACTGGAGGGGGAAAAGCTATTAAACCTATAAGCGAAAAGGCATACCGTGATGCAGTCTTGAAATTTAAACAGACAGAAGAGGCTACAGTTATTGTAAATAAGTCTAAGCCTAAAAAATTGACAGACCCACCGTATGTGGGATTTCGCACTGGGACAGGCCGAATAGCTTCTGATGTTTCAGAAGAAGCCAAACGACGAGCAGAGACAATTCTCTCAAATGATAGAGAACTTGGGCCAGTCTCTCACAACCAAAGTTTGTCTGTAACTACTACAGAAAAGAAAGCGAATTCTCTCAAAGATATCAAACTTAATAACAATAAGCGTCAAAGGCCTGAAGACTCTTTGAAAAACCCTTTAGCAACGAATGTACTACAGGGTAGACTTTTGAACAAGCGAAGAATTATTGATTCAACTGTAAAGGCAAAACCATTCAAGTCTCCTGTAATTAATTCAAAGCTTGCCATCACAAAAGCAGCTGTTTATAAAAAGGGATCCCCAGTTACATCTATCAAAGGACAGCCTGTATTCAATTTACAGTGTAAGCATATACGTATTTAAACTTTTGGGGTGTTTAATTTTTTTAAAAAACATCGTGCTAAAAGTTTGTGTGGGTATTGGTCAATACATAGCTCCTGGTCCCCGTTGGTGTATATCAAAACTTGGGAGGCCAATACAATACAGTAGAGATACTCTTTTGGAATTAGGCATGTAAGTTTATTAATTAATTGTATTTATTATAAAAAGAAAAATGTATGATATTCACATATATCAAATTAAATAGATCTATTGATATATTAGATATGAGTGCCTCAAAAGCAGAACAGTACATGTTTGGAGACTGGGGACCTGATCAAGCACTAGGAGAGCTGCTCGAAGCTGGAGCCATGCAAAAGTTTCTGTCAAAGGGATGGGTGACCAATCATTATTCCTGTATTGTTTGGAAGTTTGCTTGTATGATTCGATCATATCCAAATGAATTCCGGGATTGGTGGACACCAAAAAAAGTTATAGAACAACTTCTGTATAGGTAATTATGTTTTTATTGTTTTATACATACAAAATACAAATGTAAACTATGCCATAAAAATAATATTTTGGATTTAATCTATATTATTATAGATATGAACGAGAAATAAATATGGGCCAAAGCTCAGTATTAAAAAGGATCATCGAACAAGATGATGTAGCGACTAAGCATATGGTTCTTGCCATATCTGATATAGTCGATCTTGGTAATAATAGTTACATGTTAAAGCTGACAGATGGCTGGTATCAAATCAATGCCATGATTGATACACACATGAAACAATCAATAGCAAACGGAAAATTAAAGATTGGCCAAAAATTGTCAATCTGTGGCGCACAGGTAAATCAGTCTGTGTTAATATCGTAAACTATATTTTTTTCCTATTAACAGTTGGCCATTTCTTATTCCCGGTGCTTTCAATAGTTGTGTGGAGCCAATGGTCCAAAATCCCCTCTTCAGGCTGACTCTAGTACATATCTCTCTATATCTACTAACGGGTGTCTACCGGCTGCTTGGGATAAAAAGCTGGGATATCATCCCAATAAGATTCCTATTCGGCCATTGTCTTCTCTGTTTGAAGATGGTGGTATGGTCACAATGCTGGATATAATTGTATGCCGGAAATACCCACTATTGCGCACAGAAACTTTTCCGAATGGCGAGAAAATTACCAGAGGTGCACAAGAAGAAGACAGCACGATAATAAGAAGAGGATTTGGAGAACAATCTCTTCATAAAAATAGACAGGATTTTGGCTCTCTAGAATCATCGACCCAATCTCGGCGGAACTATACCGATAACAACTCAGAGCTTTTCCAAGACCAACAAGACGCTCCTGATCGTAAAGTATCCAGTTATTTTAAGATGACTGTCTGCGATTACTCTTGTACTTTTGCTACCAAACAGGATACTGGGATGGCTACTCTTACGTTCTCCAATGCGAACGAGATACATCATATGGATATAAATGAAGGAAGCCGTTACAAAGTTTTCTTCTTGACGCCTTACTTATCAAAAGCAAAGTGGGCTTCTGGATTGCATTTCACTACCTCTAGAAACACAAGATGGGAGGTGGTACCTGGCCCGAACAAGTTGATTTCTTTTTATGAACCTCGTGAAGTAACCCAATGTGACAGTGTTGACTACATGCATCACCTTTCTGAGGCTGACATGGTCGTTTTCGTATTGCGTAAGAGTCGATATTAGAATATTATTAATGCGAATAACTGACATTATATATTGTATAAATAGACGTTGGAGAGGGTGTCAAGGAAAGAGTAGTTATGGGCCAGCCCACCTGGAGTCAGACGTTATTGGTGACTGACGAAACAAGGGCACTTTGTAAAATCAATAGACGTTCAACCACACGTCCTTTAGTAGACATAAAAGGAAAGGTAATATAAATAAAAATAAACAACAAGAAGAAAGAATGGTTTAAAAGGTTTGATTTATTCAAGCTTAATTTAATTAACTTTCTTTAAATATAAATCTATAAAGGTTATTTGTCTAAAGAACTTGAGGTACGAAGCATACGACAAAAAGTACAGAATTCCACACTTGGGCACATCGAACGAATCCGAGACTTTTTTAGAGACACCAAAGAGTAAATATTTACATGAGGCTGCACAGTCTTTAAAGAGATGGGTAAACAGGTAATATATCATGTATTTTTTTTAGTAATTGTTTCCAACATACTAAAAATATATTAACTTCTTTACTTATTTATTCAAGTCACCCAGAGGAAGTGCGAAATCTACAGACACGAGTGAATGAGATAATGAACATATCTTATTAAATGGCAAATTTTTCCTGTGTAAATACTCTAATATTCAAAATAATAAACTCTGCTTTGTGTATAATAAATAATTAAAATGTATAAATGTATATTCTATTTCTTAAAAGCTTTTGCTAATGCATATATAGACCATTTCAATAATGACTTATTAGCAGGAACTTGCGCAGTCCACTAAGAAGGATGATGTCCAAAACCAAGTAGTAATGCTGTTTTGTAGCCAATCGTTAAAAAAATATTAAAGTATCAAAAAATAGGGAAATTGACGTTACAATTATCGATACTTTGATAGTCTTGTATACATTATTTAGGCTTTTAATAAATCAAGCAATTTTTTTTTCTTATAAATATTTGTACAAATATCCAAATATTGGTCAAACAAACTGAATCAAATAGGAGAATATTAACGAAAAGAAAAAGAAGGGAGTAAAAGAAGTAAATTAGCTAAATGCAGGAATTCCGGTGATGGCCTTGCCAAGAATAAGAGCATGGACATCGTTGGTTCCTTCGTAGGTATTAACTGCCTCAAGGTTAGCAGCATGGCGGATGATGTGGTACTCATCCGAGATTCCGTTACCGCCCAGCATATCACGGCATTCACGGGCAATGCTGATGGCCTTACCACAAGAGTTACGCTTAATCATTGAGATCATTTCGGGGGCCAGCTCACCGGCATCCTTAAGACGTCCAACCTGTACGCATGCCTGAAGACCAATAGCGATTTCGGTATTGGCATCGGCCAGCTTCTTCTGGATTAGCTGATTAGCAGCCAAAGGGCGAGCAAACTGCTTACGCTCCATTGTGTATTGTCTAGCCTGGGCCAAGCAGAACTCGGCAGAGCCCAAAGCACCCCACGCAATACCATAGCGAGCATTGTTGAGACAACCAAAGGGACCCTTGAGACCCTTAACGTTGGGCAACATGTTGTCTACAGGTACCTCGACATTATCCATCATGATCATACCAGTGATCGAGGCACGGAGGGAAAATTTGCCCTTGATGGCAGGAGCTTCCAAACCAGCCATACCCTAACAAAAAGAAAAAATATGTACAATTGAGTAAGCTGCAGCTTACTCACAAATTAGGTGATCTTGTATTACCTTCTCCAATATGAAGCCACGAATAGCACCACCTTCATCCAAATTCTTGGCCCAAACGATTAAAACATCAGCAATAGGGGAATTGGTAATCCATGTCTTGCTACCATTCAATACATAGTGACCGTTGACTTTCTTTGCTGTAGTCTCCATGCCACTGGGATCAGAGCCATGATTAGGTTCGGTCAGACCGAAACAGCCAACTTTGACGCCTTTGGCTATTTTATCCAAATATAATCCGAGTCATTACCAATACTAAACTATACAATACTTTTATTCCATCTGTATTTTCTTACCGAGATCGGGAAGGTACTTTTCTTTTTGAGCATCAGTACCATAAGCGTAGATAGGATGCATTACCAAAGAAGACTGGACAGACATAGCGGAGCGGTAACCAGAGTCGACACTATGGATCGAGCATCGAATTTTAGTTGAGGTTTTTTTTTTGGAACCCTGGATATTTCTTAATATACTTATTTTCCCACGATCTTACCGTTCGACTTCTCTGGCAGTCAGACCATATGCAACAGAAGACACACCTGCACAGCCATAACCCTCAATAGTTGATCCCAGGAAGCCGAGCTCACCCATCTCGGACATAATCTCACGGTCAAACTCTGGATTAATTACATACACACGTTAGCTTGAATTTGCTTAATGAATAATATGCAAGACTTACTCTCGTTGCGGTAAGCATTCAAGACACGAGGCTGGAGATTCTCCTGGCAATAGTCTCGGACAGAGTCTCTGTATAATATCTTTTGTTAAAGAGATTGTTTCTCTTTTTTTAAAAGAAAAAAAAACAAATTGATGTATATATAGTTACCTAACAAGCTGTTCTTCTTCTGTCAAGAGGCTGTTGAGGTTGAGGGGGTCTTCCCAGTCATACTTTACAAAACTCTTGGCTTTGTACGAGAAAGTGCGGGCAGAGGTAAGACCCGGCTTTGTGAATGCCGTTGTGATTGCGGATGAGCGAATGAGTTGACGGGCAAACATAGCAAGTGGAATGAGAAGAGTCGAAGAAGAAAATGAAGTGACTTGGTGATAAAGGGGTTTATAAAATACGAGTTTTTATAGGGCGTATAAATCTCTACATACGGAATTTGTATTTTATTTACTTATTTGTGTGGCCAAGGGGGGTTGCAACTTGTCTTGTAAACCTTTGGACGATGAGGCTGGATGTCTGTTATAGCCAAGCTCAATCTATATGAAAAATTCCCACCATCCACAAAAGGTTAACGAGCCGTCAAAATGTAGTGAGACCGTGCGGGAGCTGACTAAGTTGCAGATACAAGGATAAAGTTGAGATATAAAATACTATATTCACTTATCTACATAGATTATCTTACTAACCCAGGTACAAAAATCTAATAGCAATTTATTGTTTAAAAACCACACGCATATTTTCCCCGCACAGCTTAGCTCCCCCCTCTCTCTCTTTCTTTCTTGGGACAAACACGGATGGAAATCTTTACTCCGGGACTTCTTTTACACGAAGTTTCTCTCTGTTGATAATCAACTAATTATTTATTCATTTTTTTATAAAAAAAATAAAGTAAATAAATAAAAACTAAATGAACAACTTGCATATCAAAGATATACAAAAAAAGAACAAAGGAGAGATTTATAATTCTTATTCACAAAATAAAATAGCAATGAATTTGTGAAATAAAATGATTGAGATAAATGTATATCCTAGCAACATGGGCGATCCTTGGTCTGTTTCTTGGGTCCCCACAAGGCACCAGGTTCTCCCTTTGACCATGGCACAGTGACCATGGCATTGTTTTCTGGACATTTATTTCTCAGTGTGTCCCACTCAGTCTCATGTTCCCATGGCATCGCATGTCGATGCGTATTCCACCCAATGGCCTCTCGTTTTCCTCGGTTGTGCCACGATGATCGATTTAGAGGCATCGTTGATACGGAAGCGGGGCGCTCGCGTTGATCGTGTCTCTGGTCATATCTCTGATCGTGTCTCTGATCGTGTCTCTGATCGTGTCTCTGATCGTGTCTCTGATCGTGTCTCTGATCAAAATGCTGATCGTGACGCTGTTCATTGCGCTGGTCGTGTCGCTGATCTTGTCGTCCATCGAAGCGTTGATCTTGTCGAGAGTCAAAACGTGGTTGTCTTTGATCGAACTTTTGCTCTAGACGTACGTCTGCTCTCTGATCCACACGCGAACCGTATCCGATATTCCCATTATCATAACTCAGTCGCCTGTTGTAGTTGCTGCTTGTTCTGCGTCTGCGTGGATAGATAGCCTTGGGGTTCTTACTATCGCAGAGTACTGGCAACTCATGAGCAAGATCATCCATAAAAAATACACCTTCGTGATGGTCGGGGGCACGAGCTGGGTGCGGCTGCTTGACGCTGTGGTTCCGTCTGGTGGGCACAAATGGTTCATGGTTATCCTCTTTTGTGAGCGGCGGAGAGTGAGGGATAGGGCGAAGTGGCTGGACTGGTGCGGTAAAGTCACCATGAACAGAGCCACGCATTAATCGTCGCAGAAAGTTGTAATCAGGCTGTTCTGTGAAACGTAGCTGGCGCGTATATTCAATAAATTTGAGAAATCCAGAGGGAAGGCCCGCGCACACGTCTTGAAGAGAAGCTTCTTCTTTGAGGGTGCCTATAGTATCCCATCCTATTTTCGGGTTTCGTGCCTGGATTCCAGTCCAAGGCAATGAGCCACGAGCAAGATCAAGTAGAACATAACCAAGACTTTCCATGTCGTCCCTGCGTGCATGGGCCTTGCCGTGGTGCACATTAAGTGAGGCATAGCGTGCAGTGCCTGTTTTGTTACGAATAGGCTTCCTGGCTTCAGGATATGGTTTGTGTGTAGTTGAGTTACGCCACCAGGCTGCTAGCCCAAAATCTACTGCATATACCTTTGGTACAGTCTCACCCCACTGCTTGAGTACATGTGTGCAGGAAGGAAGTATGTGGTTCTCAGATGCCTCGTTTTCGGGAAGCACACACGATGCCGGAAACAAAAAATTCTCGGGTTTGACATCGCGGTAGAGAATGCCACGGTGGTGGATATGCTCAAAAATGGTGATCTGTCAAGAAATAAGTATATATGTACAATATAAAGAACATAAAAGAGTTTGTGGAATTTGCATATAATACCATCTGGCAACCGAGGTCGGCTACAATATCGATCGGCATGTCTGCGACAGATTCCCGTAGTTGTTTGAGACTTGGGCCCAATAGATCAATGACAATGCAATCAAAATCATCGTGCTGACCATACCAGTGACATCGAGGGATACCAGCTAAATGTCAAAAAAATAATGTTGAATGGTTATTGATTAGCTTTTTTTTTTTAGAAATAATGATACTCTTACGGCCAGGAAACAAGGCATCGTATACAAGGCTTTCGTGCTTCAATTGGGGGTTGCGGACATCGTGAGATTCTCTTTTGACGGCATATCGCATTCCGTCATGAATGTCTTGAACTAAGCAAGTTAAATAATAAGCTAAAGTCTGCTTAAGATGTGCTGACATCGTCGTAAAAAGCCATCCGCACCCTTGAATACTTCGCCAAAAGAACCCCAGCCTATTTTGGCTAGCACCAGCCATTGGTCGCCAATTATTACATCTCGGCTGTTGGCGCTCAGCTCGGTGCTGGTACTGTCGAGTGAGGAGGCGTTTCCGATTGACGGCAGACTAATAGTTACTTCATCGGGTCGACGGAGATCGCATCCAAGGGAAGCTCTACGGCGATACGCTGCGTTGCTGGCCATTTAGAAAGAAAGAAAAAGGTGCACACTTAGGGAGGTGGCTTGCTAACGGAAGATTATTACAGATGGTTTTGATGAAAAAGGGCGGCGTTAAAGGGTTTGTCCTCTTTTCTTTTCGAACACAGTGCCGTTGGGGCCAAGTCGGCAAGAGATTCAAAAAGGAAAGGAAAGAACCCTCGTTTGGTTGCCGTTCACACTAGACAGAGATGGTATTGAAGAGATGTCCCTTGATGGTGCCAGGCTGTTGGAATGAGAGCCTGAAAGGGTGGAATGAAGAAGTATAATAAGCAAAATGAGTAGAGGGACAAACTTTGAGTATAAAAGAGAAACAAGGCGAAAGAGGAAAGCAGAATAAAAAGCATGGGAACTTTTTCACTGTTTTATAATGTGATTATTTCGCAATTTATGCAGCCAGAAAGAATAGAAACAGCAGCCAAACAGGCGTCCAATTAAACACGTGAGGGGAAAGGGGTCAAGCATACAGACACAAATGGAAGGCCCAAAAATAAAGGGCCTATTTTATTTTGGAAAATCAAACACACCACCATTAATTCTTCTTATTCAGCTCTATTTCCTTTTAGCTTAGGCTTCTCGCTATAAGCAAATAGGGTACCCAGTGTCTATCATATACACATATGTATGCATATGTATGTATGTATGTATGTATGTACGTGTGAATGTGAGTGTGAGTGTGAGTGTGAGTGTATATATGTATATTCACCTTTCTTTGGCTTTTATTTTATTTTATTTTATTTTATTTTTAAATATAAATAATATAATATAATAAAAATAAAAATAAAAATAAAATATTAAATCGCAAATTATTAATTAAGAAACTTGCGTCGCGATATGTGATTTTTGTTGTGTCTCTTCCGCACTGTATTCCCGGATACGGTGCACAAGTCCGCTTACTTGTCCACGGCATTGCTCCACTGCTTGTTTCCAATCCTCATTATGCGAAGAATGAAGAGTCAGGTTGTCCAGCAGCTGTTGTAACTCTTGTTGTATTTCGTCTACATACACCTTATCAGCCTCATTCATTTTCGAGTGAACTTCTTCAAGGACCTGGGCTGAATGCGCTCGCTCGGCTGCATGGTTTTGGATTTCATTCTCAAGCCATTCAGTTGCCACATGGGTATCTTCCATCATTTGCTTCATCTGAAGGTGAACACTTCCGAGACTATGCTTCAATCCAGCGACCTGGCGTTCACATTTTGAATCCAGTCCCACCAATGATTCTCGAAGAACATCGTACTGTCGCTGTACTTGTTCTTTGGCTGCAACCGCCCTGTCGCGGTCCTGCTCCAATACTTGCTCTTTCTTGCGTAAATCCTCCAATTGTCGACGTGATGCCATCGCTTCATCCTTCAGCCGTTTCACCTCAGCTTCCAGCTCCTGAGAAGACTCTTTTGTGTTATCGAGCACCTGTTGCTTTGACTCCAATACTTGCATCAATTGCTGAATATTCGCTCTATAGACTGTGTTTGATTCTGCAAAGGCTATAGCATCATTTTCGTTTTGCTGCTTAGCTGCACACAATGCCTCGTACTGTCAAAGTTGTCCTTGTCAGAGTTACTCCAAGAAATAGTAATAAAAACAAAGGGGTGGGTCGAGGGGTCGAGGGAATACTATGAATTTACCTGTGACTTTGCTGTGGCTACTTCTTTCTGAATTTTTTCCCAAGTCTCATTCAGCTGTCCAATCACTCTTGTTGACCGTGATGAAGATGCACTTAAAGTAATGGGGATTGAGGGCGTAGAAAGCATAATGACAAAAGCAAAAATAAAAATAAAAAGAACAAGAGAGAAAAAGAGAGAGAGAGAAAAAAGAAAAGAAGCGGTCTCGAAACAAACCCCAAACGATAAAGAGCAGCTTAAAAACGACGGCATTCAAATTCAATGTTCAAAATAAACTCAATCTCAAAGCTTGATCTGTAAGCTATATTATATTCACGGTTTAGACTTAGTGTCAGGCATATTTTGTAAATACATACGATCAAGAAATTCTATTTGTTTATTCATAAAAATAAGATTCAGTTATTCCTAAGATCTCACTATTTTAAAATCATTGAGAACCAAGCCTAGTCTGTTACTGGTTTCAGAAGCCTAAGTCTGGTGAACAAGATAGTAATACATAAGGTTTTGTATCGATTTCTTCAATCTTTTTCTTACCACCTTTTTCTTCTCAAACATATAAGTATAAATGATATATAACATTACAATTGTTGGATATCAAGGTGTATATGTATTAGAACGCCAACACTGCTTAGTTCACGAAAGTTAAGTTTGGGCGCCATTGATCATTTATAGGAGTATTTGTTGTCCTATTTGGTGGGAATGAAGTCAGCCGGGCTGTACTCACTAGATCAAATGAGCCGAAAGCATTTCTTTGGTTCTTACTATCTTCTTATTACGGACACCCAAAATAGTGGAGGTACTGTGTACAGTAGAAGCACATGTAGTTTTTGGTGAAATGTCTTTATATGAAAGTGGCTTGCATCTGTTTTATTTGACACAAATATTGCATAAGCCAACTACAGTCTTTAAACTTGAGATTAATGAAAGTTATAAAAAAAAGCAACATTGAGAGTTAAATAATCATGGGTTCATATAGAGCTGTTACCTTGAAAATCTTGAATCTCATTTTGGGATCTATGTATTTAAGCTACCCTCTTTAATATTTGGAAAGGTGCTTCTCAAATGCTTTAAAAATAAACAGGCGTTAAAGAGGGCTCCAGATATTTCAGAAAAAAAAGTGTGTTTGTTTTCTAGGGTAGTGAAAAAAGAAGCGTTTTATCAAGCTATAAATGGTTATAACGGGCTTGCTCTAGCTGTACATTTGGAGAAGCAATTTAGGGTTTGAATTATTATTTAATTTCAATGTTAAAAAAAGTGATGAATCACAGGGTTATCATTTACAAAGCTTCGTTTATACACCTCAATCTATATACCTTTTTTAGAAAGTACCCGTATACAGTGAGACACACTATACAAAGCGCAAAATTCGAGAAAATAAGGAACATTTTTGGGATAATTTTTTTTCAAGAGCTTTTGTTTTAATTTAAAAGTGTTGAGCATACATTATATATATAATAGTGCCAAAATGTTTAATAAATTAATAGCCTTAGAATACTTTTATGTGCTGCTTATTTGAAAAGAGTATTCATTCATAACAAGTAGCTCTTATAAATACGCCTTACAAATATCTCATTGTTTCCCAGAGAGCAAAATATCAGTAGCTCAGGATTTTAATTGAAAAGAGCATCATCATAATTAATCAGAATACGAAATTTTGCCCTTCAACCTTTCTTTTCAAAGCTTGTAACAAAAACATGAAACGCGAACATGAAGACGACTCATCGGAAAATTTAGCAAAAGAAAAGAAGGTTTTAAAGAGTGAGTATCAAACGTATACATTGCTGATGAAAAGAAGCATACGTTATTCTATGGAAATCCTCGCTTGAAAGTCCTCTGAATCTTACTGTCGTGGGTTAACGGTGAAGCAAGTAAAAAAAGTCGCTTGCCTATTATATTTACAGCCAAAAGCTAAAGAAAAAGTCAACATGGCCGTCATCTATTGAAAGGACAAATTCTCTCACGGAAATCAAAGATTTTCCTTTTACCACGTCGTTGAACAGAAAGCAATTCAATTATTTACGAGAACAAGTCCTTATATCTATTAACAGTGATCAATCTCTAATATTTGAAAAGAATCTACAAAAAAATTCAACCGCATAAGACGACAGTTTTAAACTTTGTCCGCACTGTTCAATCAAGGATAAAAGATGCTACTTTTTGTCCTGTCAAGTACACCGATACACGTGCATATCGCTTTTTCTTTCTCTTCTATCTATTTATTCGTTTCAAAGAAAATCGGTTCAAATTGACGCTTAAGCATTTTGGAGACTAGCGAAAGAATCTGGAATTGAAGACTATCCTAAAGGCTATAAGAGCGAGGAAATGGTGTCTAATTTTTATTACAAACTTTTTGACTTGTCCAAGATTGGTTTTAGAACCAGACAGAGACTTTCTACTAGCAGAAAAGCATTCAAGTAAATCATTGACAATGACTTTTAATAGTACTTCAAAATTAAACGCTTAATATTAGGAACCGCGATGTGATGGTCGCAAAAAAAAACATTGGTGCTCGCCTGTCCCCGTTCCAGCGCCCTCCATCATCATAATAATTATAATCACTGTGTGTTATTGATATAACTCTTTAACACACCCTTACAGGTAAATTTAGCAATTATTTAATATATTCATTCTATTTTTACTTTTATTTTATCTAAAATAGGTAAGTAAGCCTTTTAGACTACTATTGTAATTCGTCCAGAAAAAACTAACATAATCCTCGAATTGTGCGCCTTGTATAGTGTGTTTCACTATTTGCCGATACTCATTCCAAACTAATGTCCCCAGGTAGATTTAGTACTAGAAGTCAAATAGTGATAAAAGAAACAAATTGCCTGATATGTTAACCTTGTTTTTTTTTGTGAGAAAGTAAAAGTTTTGGTACCTTACGAGTATTTAGCCATGTTCATTGTTAAACCTCGTACCATGAGATGCTTGTATTTATTTGTAGATGTGTTCAATACATGTCATTTTTTTTCAATGGTAAGACTTCGAAACGCACTATGGCTGAACATAAAAGCCCAAACACCAACCCTCGTATGCTTGAAAACAATATATATATATTTAAATAATAAATTCAATGATGCTGGTAAAAAGAAGGATAAAAAAAGGATGAAATGCAACTTGATCTATATGGATTAGAAATAGACATCCACAACAGGTTTAATACCCAGAATTTCATTAAGTCTGGCAGCATCATGCTGTGTCGACATTCGCTTTGACCGCAAGAACTTTGCACGCGCCCTAAGAAATGTTTCTAGTTAGACACATTATCCATCTATAATCACATTCTTCAAAACTTACGCATTGCGAAGAACAGTGGTTGCTTGCTTGATCTCTTCATCTTCACTTCCACTATCTTTGCTCTTTTTGCTCTTTTTCTCCTTTTTTTCCTTTTTGCTTTTCTTACTCTTCTTCTCCTCGCCTTCTTCTTTGACCTTTTCTTTCTTGTCCTTTTTCTCTTTCTTTTGTTTCTTTTCCTTCTTTTCCTTCTTGTCTTTCTTTTCCTTCTTTTGTTTCTTTTTTTCCTTCAATTCATCTTCATCGTCTTCATCGCTGGCACCCTCAAGTTTTCTCTTTGTTACAGTCTCAGATGTTTCGATGATTGTCTTGGTAACTTCAACTGTCTCTGTGCGAGTATTGAGGTCCGCAAGGAGTTGTGAAAAAGCGTCTGTGTTTCCAAGCCAGTTGTCAACTGTCTTCTTGCTAGCTCCGAGACCGAGAGTATCATCCTTCAGTTTGATCTTGACATGATCTTTGCTGCCGTCTTCATTAACACCAAGTCCTTTTCCAGGTGCCCAACCCATCTTCATGAGCATCTTAAAACCGAACTTAGATTGATCTAATGAAATGTTAGATAGATCCGCTTGATCAAGAAATCTTACCTTTACTCCAGTTTAAGTTGTTGGGATCGGCGCTAAGGCGCTGCTTTGTCTTTTGTCCAGCTAATCCCATGGTGTGTTTTCAAGAATGAGTAAAAAAAAAGTAGCATTTCTGAAGGAGAAGAAAGGTTGTTTAAATAAGCAGTCACGATAAGGACTTTCATTCAAATTGATCTGTGTTGCTGCAGGATTTCGATACGCAGTGAGGTTTTTATTTAATGGAGAGACATATAGTATTTCTTTCTTGCGTTTATAAAATAAAATACACGCATATGTATATATACTTCATTCACTGTTTATGATTGAATTGCGTTTAATTGGATTAAATTGGATTGGTTTTCGTTGATTTGCATTGTAATGTATTTCACTATATTATAAACTGTAATGTATCATAAAAAACCCCAGTCTGTTGCTTGGAGAGAGAATAACGATCGACACTCCCTTTACAAACATAGCAAGCAACATACTTGATTGTAACTTTTCAAGTACCCAAATTTTTTCCTTCGATAGATACTTTTGGAGTTGACCGTTTTGGCCCAGTTTTTATAGCACGCATTGTGTTTTTGAGTCTCCTGAAGGAAGAATTATCGGGCTATATATCCATGGTTAAAAAACTATAGGGGACAAATATCATAGATATATTATGCGTTTGTGTAACTTACTCTGGACTTGACTTTATCCACACGGACAGTGCTTTGTGGTGCAATATCATAGTCGGCAGCGACTGCCTGAGGAATTCTGACATGTAGTCTCTTCTCGTCACCCTCTTCTTCTACTGGGTCAGGTCTATACTTCTTTCTTGGATAGTTTCTATAAGTAAAAAGTGTTAGAGGCATACAATACATGCCCACCATTATACTTGCCTGTCATCTTGAGTATATTCTCTGAGTTCATGTCGACGTTCACGGTAGTTCTCACTACGCTTAATTACCAGTCGGCTCCACTTTGCCACAAGCTGGTCTGCCTTTCTTCTGATACGCATTTCGACCCTTGGAGATTTTGTGTAGAAGTATACAATCTTACCGACACCACTTTCCCGGAGATGATCACTACCAATTGGCAACTAATAAAAAAAGGGGATCTCATTTTTTAAGATTGATGTTGTATTATATACGACCCTTATTTTTTTATCTACCTTCTCCAATATGTCAAGCATTTCTGTTTGGATATCCAAACTTGGCAAGGAACGATCAGGTAAAGGTTCTAACCACAATCGAATAGAATCCAACAACTGATTATCCAGAATACTATCCTGGAGATGCTTGCTACCAGATAGCAAAGTTAGTTCTTCTCCAATACACGCACTTTATTATTATATCCGAATCCTCACTTTGTCAACATGCTTGTAACTTGACTCAACATCTTAAGTTTCGCAACCGCAGGTTTTCTCTGTCCGTTGGAGACGGCATCATATTCTGCTGCAGATTTCATAGCATCTCTCATGTTTGCCAATTCTTCGTCCATACTTCTTTCTAGGTCATCTTCATCCACCTTCTTTCTCTTCTTTTTTCCGCTAGCCAATGCACGGGCAAAGTGCTGATCAATTTCATCCCTAAGAGCTGTTCAAGGAATAATAAGAGTATGAATACATTATCTTAATAAATTAATCTTGCCTTTCCACTTTCTTGTTGTTTATATCCATTTGCTATTCTCACCTTGCTGGGGATCTATTTCTTCTGGTTCATCATTTTCCACGATGTGTGCTTTTTGATCGCGCAATTCCTTGCGAACCTGTTCTAATCTTACACTCTCTTCTGCGGAAATGTTTCGGTCTCTTTTTTTGAAGGAAGGAAGTTTGTGGATTGATGCTGCTACAGGTTCTGGAGGTAAATCATCGTGAACATTTCCGAGATGCCCACGACCATCATCGTTGTGTCCACCATCGGAATCTAGTGACAATTAGCTGTCTTTATTGTATTTTTTAAAGAAAATGCACACACATACATTGTTCATCTTCAAGATCAGACAATTCTCCACCATCGTCGCTATAGTTAAATGTGGGCTCATTATGCTAATATTCACAATAAACAAATAATAAACAAACGAGATTCAGTCTTATTGTATTGATCCATTTGAATTTTTATAATGCATTATGTTTCCTTTATCTTAAAAATTGTGTAAAGATTTTTCAAAAGAATTAACCTTACAGTAGGCCTTGTATCTTCGTCAGATGACATTTTGACAAGACAGCGAAGACAAGGATATAAAATTAAACAATAAAATAAAAATGTATTTCACTGGCTGGACGAGCACTAGAGTCTGCCAACCTTTGCACGTCTTGTATAGAACACGTCACATTCCCAAAGTCTGGGCATAAGGGAAAAAAAAAGTTTACAGAACAATTAATGAATATCAATCTTTCTTCATCTTATTAATCAATTAAGTGATTAATCGTAAATGCTTTCATTTACTCGAATACTAAAATATAATAATAAATATATCCGAGAGTTTATATTGATAACATAACTTAACCACAATTCTGGATAACACTCTAAAAATATTTCGCTCAAGCCATCAACAAAGTAATAAATAAGAATTTATCCTATAGATTATTCTTCCTACACAGAATAATCTAGGATTAATGGTTTGCGTAGGGGATGTGAGCATCCATGTACATTATTGAATAAAAGAAAAATACTATTATGAAGGGTCTTTTTGAAAATGCGATTAAAACAAGTCGTAATTGATCGAAAAATGACCTAATTCGTATGAGAAAAGAAAATCTTGTTGTATAGCTCAATAAAAACAATAATGAAACATATATAAAGCTATAAAAGCAATTCAAGACGTAAAATGCGTGCAAAGATAATTGCCACACAACACAACATAAAAACAAGTATCTTTCAAATTACTCAACGTTACAAAATAACGATGCTGTGCCTGACAAAAAAAACAATGATCTTTCTCCATAAATCTCGATTTTTCAAAAATCAGGGCATCATAAGCCACACCAAAGCATAAACGAAGTGAACAAATAAACTCATAAACCAAATTAACGATAAAGACATGTTTTTGCTTTTTTATTCGACCGTAAAGGGACGTTTAATAAGTGCAAGCGAATAGTTTAATCGAAGAGACCGAAGCCCATGTCCTATAAAATTCATAAACCATTAGTTCATGACTCAGATAATCTTTTATTTTTTCAAAGCACAAAAATACTTACGTCGTCGGACTCCTCCTTCTCCTCAACAGCCTCCTCAGCGGCGGCCTCCTCGGAAGCGGCACCAGCAGCGGCACCACCAGCAGCGGCAGCGGCACCACCGGTAGAGACGGAAGCAAGCTTGGAAGAACCCTCAGCAATGACCTGTTGAGAAAATATAATCAGCCACCAAATTCTGTAACTGGGACATTCAAGTTTATTCATGTTTTTCTAGTTACCTCAGCGACGGTCTTGCCCTCAAGGGCCTTGAGCAAAGAAGCGAGACGCTGGGTCTCGGCCTCAACACCGACGGAACCCAAAAGAGTCTTGATGTCCTCAGTGGAAGGCTTGGTGTTGCCACCGGCGACGAGGAGGAGGTAAGCTGCGAGATGCTTCATTCTAAATCAGATGTACAAAAAGAGAGGGCGAGCCTTGGTATCGAGTGAAAAAAATTTATTTATTTCTTCTGGATTTTTGGCCGCCACAAAATTTTCAGCTCTACGTCACCCGTGACCTTCTGCTAGACATCAAGTGGGCAATAAAGACAAGTCACTCATCTTTAACTAGAAATACAAGGTCCGCGCACAATTGCACATTGTAATGCTCTATTATACATCGTTAACACACTTTTACATTTTGCTTTTTTTTGTAAAACTGGCTAAATTCCTTAACACTATCAAAGATAACTGAATATTACGCTGGTTTCTTTTGCAGTAAATATTTGATGTACCTGGCTCAATTGCTGAAAATTAACCTCATGGGAGACTAAATTTATTTGCATCCGATGAAGAGTATAATATACTTTTTGAACGTTCAGAAATATCACCGTCAACATTTGGTAGAAATTGCGCTTATAATCAAAACGTGGACGAGAAAACCCATTGTTAAAAGGATGATTTGCAAAACCTCACGTCAAATCAATAGTAGCCACTATATAGCTTAATCAAAGCCTATAATATCTAATATATATGTATGTATATATATATATGTTTCTTACCCTCGTACGTAGTATAAGTGTTAAGAAAAAGAAGAAGAGGAAAAAACAGTAGGAGGTTGTTCTAATGAGCTACAAACCAAACTTATTGCTTTACAAAAAGAATGGATTCGCCAGTTTCTGAAGCCAGTCTTCTGAATAGCGTATGTGAATATATCCCTACAAAAGTACAAGATGGAAACTCGGTTATTACTTGGGTGTACCTGGTCAGGAGACATTGAACTACTTATTATTATTTTTCGAATGGGGAAATGTAATAACATTAGTATGTGGACGTTCTTTAAAGTCATTATTTGTTATTTTTACCAAAATCAGCCGGCCTTTTGCTTTTTTTTTAAAAAAAAAAAGATAGGAACATGTTCCAAGAAGAAAATTTACGTAGCCATGGAAAAATAATACAAGATTAATCATGGCTTACATATTACGGAGCATCCAGCATATAGTCCTGAATTGAGCTTGATAAGAGAATATTTGGAGCTTAGACGGCTGTATATACTCATAACATCGCCAACTAACCGCGCTATAGGAATTAAGAGGAAGAACTATAACTGTAATTTTTATTAAAAGTACTTTTTAACTGTGAAAAAGCACTTTACGGCACTTGACAAAAATAAATATCAGTATATCCCTTATTAAGCTTTTTCCACTTTTTTTTTCTACTGAATATTTTATTATTCATAACCAAACTGTGTTTTTAATCCTATATAATATATTTGGCTCTTAATATATATATACATTTGAAAATAGTATATACTACTTTTTCTTGGATGCTAAAATGTACAATCATTGTTTTCAGGTTTGTAGCTTGTTTAAGCGACAATTTCTAATTGTATTTTTCAGATAAAGAGTACCTGTTCTTTTGCTTCAATTTTTATTCAAAGAAATATACACCATATACAAAGAATACATTGATTTACTTACAACATTATTGTCTTTAAAAATAATTAAATACTTACCCACTGTTCATCTATATCATCAAAATCAGTTTCAAGGTTAATAAAAGTCCATTTAAAAAATGATTGACAATGGTAGAGTAATAAAGTGCACTGATATGTAATTATAAAGACATCTTGTTTATCTATCGCCACATTATTATTTTTAGTGAAATAACTAAAGAAGATATTTTGGAAATTAAACGCACTTCTTATCTGCAAGTTCAACTTTACATTTAGATATTCTTATCAAGTTCATATCCGCAATATTTTAAAATGAAAATATACTTTTTATTCATTGGACTGCTGCTTGGCTTCGAAACTGTTTTTGCTATATATAACAATAGAGAGGAATTTCCGGACATAGATAAATCTTATATTCCATTGAGATATGCTTATGATGATGTTATACAGCCAGCTGATATGAATACCCTTAGCCGTATTCCTCTTGATGAAAATACAACGGCAGTCTTTCGGTTTACCCAAAGAGGAGAAAGTGTTACATATAATCTATATCTCGAGGGGTACCATGCAAAAAGTTTGTGTATATCATGGATAGTTGGAGTTAGCTACGTCGATAGTTCCGACCCTGCAAAGTGTTTGTACAAGCCCACCAGTAAATGCATGGATTCTGTTGAATCAGGAAAATGTGTGTACGGAACAAAGGATCTTGGAGACTGCCACTCTGGAGACGGCATAGAAGGTAATAAAGCATAATTTATTTAAAGTAAATATGTTCTCATTTTAATTCCTCTCAGGAACTGCTGTACATAAATCTACAAATGCAACATCAATGTTGGTAAAATCTGGAAATAGCACTCTGCTCAGTTTGATTGATGACTATGACAGCAGTATCTCCAAGCGATCCATCATGGTAAATTACTTTTTTTACGGCCAAAAGGCTCCAAAACGTGCATGTGGGGTCCTTCTACTCGGCGCAGTCAAAGAAGAAACGTATACTCCTTTGAACAGCGGTATTCGAGTAGCACCCGTATATATTACCGGCGTTGCATTTTTATTAGCTTATTTAATCCTCCTATGCTAAGTATTTTTATGTGTTATCTCTCAAATTCAGCCATGAATCAATAAATACTTTATCTTTTATTCTGGTAAAATTATGAAGACTGGGTTATTTATATTCTCTCTCTCATCTGTAATTTTCACTAAACTTGATAAATAGCAGATATTATTCAGAGTCTTTCAAAAAATGACTATATTTTTTGTTTCCATTTTTAAGGCACCGTTTAATTATGAATATTTTACCGTATACCACTATGGTTGTTAATAATTCTGTTCGTCATCTTACGAAGGAAACTAATAAGGAATAAGCCTTATAAGTATGGTCGTTTAGTATAAATTTTTTTCTGTAATTAAAGTCCTTACTCTAAAGAATTGTCGAGAGAATTGACAAATATATCTATTAGGGATTAAATAAAATACTATGTAAAGTAATTTCATTTTCAATTATCCCGTAATTCCCTCGTGCACTGGCGAACATTAGAATGAAAAAGTTAACCCCAATATGAAACTGACAATGCTATTTTGTTGAATCAGAACAAGACGTTATTTACTGCCAATAATATATAGTTTCAATATCATATTTATGATATTAAAGAGTTTTTCTTTGATTATGAATACAATATAATTTGGTGTATTCACAAAGTCTTTATTACCGCTATTGAGATAGTTATATGTTATATAGGTACACAATCATTTACTTCAATATAAACATTTATATTAATGCATTTTCATTAAAATATTAATTAAAATAACTATGAGATTAGCTGTCTTGATGTCTGTTTAGCTTTATTTTTTTTTGGCAAACCAAAGACCTCAGATCAACTAGAGTTTATGATAGAGAATGTTTATTTGAAGCTATAAACCAAGTTTTAATGCTAATAATGAAAAGCTCTTTCTGAATTGAATGATCTTAAGATGATTGTACCAAGAGTTTATATAGTATAAGTATTAGATAAGAATCAGTAAATTTAGATAGCGTATTGTTCATATTGAACAAGGCAGGCGTATAAATGAAATTTTGTAGAATAATTCGTTTTATACTGATGTTATAATATAGGAAATCTACTCAATTCGATTTGATCTGATTATGCGCAATCAAAAAGAGTTAATGAAGTAAACTGGTGTGGTAATAAGTTAGGCTATACTCTTGAAATATATAAATATTAATATATACAGTATACGTATAGTAATTTCTGGCTCTAAAAGTACATTATTTACCTTGTATAAAAACAAAGGCTTTACCTATAAAGTATGTAGTCAAAAGGAATAAATTCATCTTCAGGGCCCATATTAAATGTGTCTTTGAGCACTCAACCTACTGTAGGTTGTCTAAATGGCACTTATATAGTGTTGTCTCATCCTAGAAATCTGGCCATAGACCATAGGATTAAAAATGAGGTTTAATAAATAAGATACAATAAGACTTGTATAAAAGAATTATGGCGCAAGAGAATTCGTATACATCTTCAATCTCTAATACAGTCCTCATGAAACAAATCGCATTGCTCCTTACTTTACTAATAATTGTGCAAGGAATTTTTGCTTCATCGTATAAACGTTGGGTTGCACCAACTCTTGGTGATCCTTATATTCCACAGGGTGCTCTATCAGGATACGGCACAGGGATCCCAGTTGAAAATTTAACAGCCCTTGCCCGTGTTCCACTCGGAGGAAATACAACAGCAGTATTTATATTCAAGCTAACTGGAGATACAATATTCTACGACCTTTATCTCGAGGGGTTTAGTTCAAAGAGTGACTGTATTTCGTGGACAGTTGGGATAAACCATGTTATGAGTTACACACCTGGTAAATGCTATTACAGTTATAATATATTATGTATCACTCCAGCAAATCAAAAAACATGTATATTTAATATACGTGAACCAGCAGAATGCCGTGCTTCTCTTGGAGTATCTGGTAAGAACATTTAGAGTCTATAAATTAATATATACTTACTTTTATATCAAGGTATTTACATAAACGAGACTGTAAGTCAAAATAGGACTTTAATAGCCTCAGGTAGTAGTACTACAGCTAGTCTGGCGGTTGGTAATAAGTATACCATTGAGAAACGCTTTATGTTGGTTTCATATTCTTTTGATGATCAGGTTGTTCCGGAATACTTTTGTGCGAATATTGAGCTCGGTACAGGCACAATAGATAATTTTATTACTAGTGGAACTACTGTTCCTTTTAAAAGTATATCTAGCATTAGCTTTACGTTTGTTCTTGTCTTTATTATTTTATATTACTGATTTTTATTAAAAAGGAAATTAAATAATGAGATCTGGAATTTTCGTTGCTACACCCGAACTTGCTTTAACATAAAGTTCTTATTGCAAGCGCGGAACAATAGTTTTGCTGTAATCATTCACGACTGTTCTCAAAACTTGTCTAAAGAATCCCATTTCTGCCGGTACTTCATTATAGATAGAGAACGATTCTAATTTATCCATAGGTGCCAAGTCCAATGTGGCATAATTCTCATTTATTATATCTATAAAATAATACATTAGAGACATACAAGACCCAGCTTTATTACAGCTTACTCATGACTTGGTTTGGTGTGAGAGACTTCACATGGTGAGAAGTTTGCCATTCTTCCAGTGCTGGATTGAAATGATTACAGATCAAGCGAATATTCCCAAAATCTGAATATGAAACAGCATTTGATCTTCCATTACTATCTCCACGATTTTTTGTGGGTGACCCTCGGTTGACTATAAGAAGAGAACGATATATAAACTTGTTTTTTTTTCATATACGTCCAGTATACTGCGAATAGCTTTACCTGATTGAGAAAGAGCATTGAAATCATCTGTAGCACGAATGATTTCGTAGAACAAGGTATCATAACTCTTAGTATCCGCTATAAAGGTCTCGCCGTGTGTTATATACAAGTTAATGATACAGATAAACTATTTTTTTAAAAAAAAATTAGACATTCAAGGAATATTTTCCGGGGGATAGGGGTTACCAGTGAAAGGAAGGGACCAAAGTCTTCGCGTTCTCTCAGCTCTTCAAGATGAGCAACAATAAAATGTAACATGGAAGTCAAGACAGGCCATAGTAGCATCCAATGGTATTCTAACGTACAATTACCCACAAAGTTAATATTCGTTAGATTAATATATGCTATAGAATCCATTTACCAAGTCTCATTTTATGCTTGCGAAGATAGCAAAGAACGCGATGCATGACTGAGAATGACACTCTACAACAATTTATGCGTGAATAATGTATACATTGTAAATATCTACACTCTTACTTATAAGTAGACATGTCCAACTTCTTGCGCATATTATGTTTAATGTACAATAGCAAGCTATCTAATACAATAACAAAGAATAAACGTGGATTTTTGATTCGTGGTAAAGGTGGAGGTCGCTTTTAACACAAAAATTTTAGAGTTGGCATCATTTAAATATATAAAGTTTACCTGGCGACATAGACGTATTTGCATGATTGCAGTCTCGTTTCTCATAGAATTGAGAAATGTATCTTCCTCAGACAGACGTAACAACACCAAGAGAATTAGTCTGGTGTACAGAAAGGAACGTGGATTACGATTGTGCTGGAATAAATAAGTACTAAATGACAAAATTGAACCAACTAATGTGGGTTCGGCTGGACTGCTCTTACTGACACTAGCACGGGCTAGTATAACAATAAAGTGTGGGTTGTGACAAACAAGTTCATACAATATCAACAAAAATGCTGATTCAGAAGAAGGTCTTTTTTAAATAAATAAATAAATAAATAAATAAACCCCCAGAGTGCATAATGGTCACTAAATATTCTTCATGCGTTATCCAAAAAGGAAGGAAGAAAAGAAAAACGTACAAGTCTTCAAGGGACGCAGGAAGGTCTATATCTGGAGGAAGGGTGTGTGTCGGAGAGAACCACCGAGTCATAAAGGTCACCATAGCTTTTGGCACAGTTTCTTCATCGTCTTTAAGGGTCTCGTATTTTCTACGAACTGTAATAAATAAATAGTCCCTTTACATTTTGACTTCATACTTCTGCATCATATTTAACATATCTTGCAATATGTTCATCATTGTCTAGAGACTGTGTTAGAATACTTTTTAAATCATGTGTATATAAAGCTAAGAACATTTACTTCAAGTACATGCGTGTCTTTGCAGGTATGAAGTTGGTCGAGATATTCATTTCGAATCTCATACTTATTGTAATTAGACAATAAACTCCAAATCATCATTGCGTCTTGTTGCTGCATAGGGTTTGCTTGAAGATCTCTAATTATCTATAAATATTGTTATTAATTAAACTTATATATCATTCTGAGCTTTTCTATTTCTATTCAAAAGGCATTCTTTACCTCCATCAATGTAGAGACAATTGAATGATGCATGAAATATCTAATATGTTTTTATTATAATCATATTTGTCAGCTTTTTTTGGGTATTTTTTTTTATTTGTTATTCATTCTATAATCTACCCATTTAAATTGCTTTGGTTGACATGATCATTTCCTGACACAATCACCAGTGTAAGTACCAGGGCCCATGAGCGTGTTGAAGGCTGTAATAAGAGTCTTTGAATTCGTTGAATTAAAGCACCAAATACAGCGTCAGCCTTATCGAGTCGAGTAAGGAGATGAATGATGTTAAAGTAGCTGAGTCGTTTCTTAGCAAATAATGCCCTGAAAAGACATGCCAAAATTTGCATTGCGTGCAATTGTCGCATTTTTTCACTTGTACTTTGTTCATGGTCCATGTGATCAACACAAGCCTCGAACAATAACGTAAGATTTACATTACAAGCAAGTAATGCCTCTGCAGACATGGTCTCGATGATATTTGCTATACAATCTGCATTGACGTCGAGTAGAAGATAAACATCCCAGAATCCAGATGGATCTTCCGTGTAAGCATGTTCTCTCTTGGCAAAATAGATGCAATGAGAGGATGATAAAAAGACGAACGAGAAGAGGGGATAATAAAATATATTTCTTTTCCTTTCACCTCTTTTCTTTTCTACTTTACTTGGAACAATCTTTGGGTGAGCTCGACAAACTTCTCTTTGAGCGGTTTTGTACGCTGCATATCAGGGCAAACAAGTGCTCTTTATTTAGGAAAGAGAAAGAGATGGGTGTGTATATGTTTTAAAGGGCGATGTAGAATACCAGCTAGTTTCCCTTCCACTACTTGTTGCGCCTTTTTTTTTGCGGGACCAATGGTGTATTTATTTATTAGTTAAAATATAAGATTATGCTTTATATGGTGGGTTTACTAGAGATGTGGTACTATGATACACTGTAGGTAAGTATTTCTCCTCTTTAACCACCACACTTAAATTCTTACCTTTGTGCATTAGGTACAATGTTGAGTTCTGTTAGGAGAAGTCTCATGTCTTTACGAGAATCCTTTCCGGATCGAATTACTGGAATAGCTGTAGGTACGCTTTGGATAGAGTCAGTGTCGCGTTCATTCTCATTGGCCTGTAGTTGAGCAACTAATAATAAAAAGGGGGAGACGGAGGGAGTTAATGTTGGTTTGTACCAAAATGAACATCTTATTCATCCTTGAGCCAAATTTACCAAGAACCTCCTTTAGATTTTCTACTTTAATAGACTGCTTCTCTTCAGGTTCAATTGCCTTTAAAATATACGTATAAATACTTTGGTCAGCAACATATATGTACATATATAGGAGTGATAGTCCTTACATCTCGACAAGGGCTTTCCCAAGGTTTCTCTAGCTTTGGTTTAATTTCTTCAAAGTCTTTTGGAACGCTGATCCGGAAGACAGGCTCGTGGGGCACTGCGGAGAACAATAGATGAGTGAATTGAAAAATCTCATAATCAAATTCTTACTTAATGCTTCAGATCCCCACACCGCATGGAGCTTTTTCTCCAGATCTAAACCATGTGTATCTTCTTTATCTCTCAGTCGTCCATCAGTTGAGATAAGCTCAACAACTTTAGGTCGGTCTATGAAATGACTGACAGGAGTCTTGTTTTTCAGCTCAACTTCATCAAATTCTACTACACTTTTTTCTTCTGGTGCTTCAATCCACACTACAGTTGTATATTCCTTTTCAACCATACGCTCTTGGCGAATAGCATCCATACAGGTAACCAGACCTGGAATCCCATGGAACACACCGACCATACATAGATATTCCACCAGCACTGCTGCAATGGTTCTCTGCAGATGAGGCGTCTTGATCTTTTTCTCCTGTACATATTTTTGTAATTCAAACACAAATGGTATGGATTGGATGGTTCCTCCAACTCCAAAACGACGAGTTATGGTACATAGCAAGCGGTACATGGCCACAGTGTCTGAAGGAGTAAGATTTGTCAAAAGAGACCATTCCAATAATGCTTTGTGCAGATTGTGGATAAAGATGGTGTCCTGTTGAGCTCTCAATGAATAGTCTGGGAATACTTCTTTTGAGTCATTTTTGGCTAGGTTTGTGGACAAGAAACGAGTCATTGTGTTTGCAAATGCCAAACGTGTACTTGAAATCTTGTCTGAAAAGAGACCAAGGGCAGGCATCCATGTATCGAGCGAGACTTCGTCTGTGCTCTTGCACAATAATCTGTCTAGACAAACAAGAGCTACTCGTCGATAGGTTTCTAAGGGCATTTCGTTGATGGTGTCTAGAGTGGTGCTAACTCTTAGCTTTGAGATAATATACCCAATCATGTCTTTTTGTTGGTTTTGGTAGTAAGTGTGAGAAGCCAAACCGCCAATGCAATGTACAAGACTACGATGGATTGTAAATTCATAAATTCCCTGCGTATCCGTCTTTTCGGGCTTATGCTCACGGAATCCATGGGATCGGATGGATTGAATAAGAACACCAAAGATAGCATTGAGAACTTCTAGTACCGAAATTCCTACTAATCCAATTGGATCACCTAAAACAACATCCAAGATTGCTGCCAGTGATGCGTCTTTGTATCTTGCTGCCTTTGGAGTTTCCAGCTGCTGAAGCACTTCGGACACTAAAAGGTAACGGTGTTGTGGCTAATAAAATGATGTGAGATTACCATTATTCCGTGGAATTATTTTCGAAGTTGAGATTTACCTGTAAAGAATTAAGTATGAACTCCATTAAAGATACTGCAAATTGGCGGGGCCACCACATGTCATTCCCATCCAAAAATCTATGTTATTAAATCATTGATTAAAAAATGTATAATCCAATCAAAGTTCGCTAGAAATATTGCTGACCGGAATACTGGTGCAAGGGAAAGTCGTATTGCTGGTCCATTCGGTTTGTTGTAGAACATTGAAAGAGTCTGTGCAGCGAGACGTTCGACAATAAATTGGTTTAACTCTATGTCTTTTGCTGACCGGCGAATGTCAATTGAACCTTCTACTTGTACAAGATCTTTGATGGGCTCGGCTGAGGTTGAAAGACAGGTAAGGAGTGGCGGGATAATAAGATCGAGTTGGACGTTCATATCAGAAACATGTAGTGCATTGGATGTCACACAAGCCTGAAGAGCACGATATCCAGTGTATCGCATTCTGTAGGTAATGATTGTTATTACTTATAAGCCACACCATCATCAGCTGGTTTGACTAAACCTACCTTAATACCACGGAATCGTCTGCGTTTGTATAATTGCAAAAGGCAGCAAACTTGCCTATGAGAGCTTCAAAATCGGTAGTGAAATCCTGGTCTACACCAAGGGTTGTTCCATCATGATAATCACAAAACACAATAAACTAGTTTTAAAAAAAAATACATCAAAGAGAACAATTGGCCTAGTTTAGACTACATAAGCTTTGGAATTCAGTAATGGTATTACCGTTTCACACGTGAGGTCGATGAGGTCGATATCTCGCGTATCAAGTATTATGGTAAGTATTGTTATAATGTATTTAGAGAATAGGTTGAGGTCGCTGTGGCATTCTTGAATGAGAGCCTTGAGAATATCGAGGGAGACTTGGTTATTTCTGGTACAAGGATCTTATGTTTTAGTCGACTAATCAAACGAAGGGGGGAGGGGGGATAGTCTTGAAGACCTTTATTCTTCGTTTTATTATTATTGAAGCTTACTGTCGTCTTCCTTTGCGGATGTCTCGTTCGACTTTGCGTTGAAGATAGCTTCCGACCTTTGTCAGCTTAACGGGTCTGTTCGAGGCATAGAATAATAGGTAACTGAGTTCAGAAGATCGAGGGCCCTTCTCGCCTTCTCGGTCAGGGTAGCATTGGTTGATAAGATTGGCATGCTTAATGTAATGTACACAAAGCATTGAGCCTAGACAGTCTGTCATAGTTAATGAATGTACGTAATATACGCGAGTAAATGAGCGGCTGGTAAGGAAAGTTGAGCTTGTTGTCTAAAGATGAATTCACAAAAGAGAGAGCAACGGCAAGTGCATGGTGAAGAGGAGGTGAAGGCCGGGATAAAGATAAATTTCCACACTTTTCAATTGCCTGTTTCGGCCATAGAATAGCCGATCCTTCACATCCTTCTATCGCAAATAATGGGGTTTTTTTTATATTCAAGAAATTGCGTCCAAACCAGCCTTTATTCTTTATAATAGCCAATCATATTCTTATTTTTTTTTATTTCACCAAACTTGCTAGAGGCGGCGAACAAAAATCCGGCTCAAATGATTTTACTTTTCGCCAAGCTGATAATTTACGGACTTGATTATATTCAGCACTTTTTTGTAATGTTTGCGTAACTTTGAGTTTGAAAAGGGGCTGTGTAAAACTGACCACACTGATTACATACCACATTACAGAAATCGATATTAAGATAATGATATATAGTATTCAGCATTATATCGGTTCTTTTGAAAATAAGTAACCATAAGAATAATTTAGTAAAGAAATACGACGATAGTACGTACCATTATCTCTAAAATAGCTTGCTGTCCAACCCAAAGACAAGAACATGTCAATTGACTTTAAAAGGATTTTAGGACAAAATAATAATAATGAAAAAAAAAGACATATGAAAACTAAAGAAAGAAGCGTTAATAAAAGCTCAATATGAATTAAATGAACTAAACAGCCAACCTTTAAAATATCATTAGCGCAACAGTAAAAGGAGCTATGATAGCACCCATCAATTAATTGAATATAGGTGTGGTCTATTTGTATTACTTTTTTTAGTAAGAAATATGCTGAATTATGTAGGTATGGGCCGTGCGCTACAGGAATATATATATAAATAAATTCCATTCTTTTTTTTCTTTGGTCTTTTAGATGTATCCTTACGGCTTTATGACTTTTTGGATAATTTCCTATCTTGATTCCTATAAAATGCTTTTATATTAATAACGTACTTTAACCAAGTCTCTTTAGGAGTATCTATATATGATGTGATTATATACTGTCAAAATTGAGAAAATATCATACTTGTAAGTTTGTCTTGAAATACATAATATCAAATTAAATTTAACCTTTTCTTTGATATAAATATTCAAGTAATATATACAATACTTCACTAAAATATGAAAATCCCTTGCATTAAGTATATTCTCTACGTATGCTCTATTGTCTCAATAAACATTCAAAAATACACCGGTATACATTACTTTCTCTTCTGTTCCATATGTTTGCGATTGATGCAAAGCACCTTTATCTTTATCAACCACCACACAGTACTGAGTATAATAACCAAACAATTCACTAAAGTACCCAAAAAGAAAGTAATTGTTTACCAAATGACATCTTGAGAATACCTCAAAATGACCAAGTTAGTTTTTTTTTATAATCTGCTTCTTCTTGCTATCATTATTCTTCTAGAGATTGGTGTTTTTTTTTCTCTCTCTCAGATGACGATCTTCTGGGACAACCTCCCTTGATAATACAGTAATACCAACTTAAAGGGTACGGGTGAACCTGTCAAGGATCATGTCATCATGTCTCAATTGGTTAAGTGTATGTCTGAAGCTTATGACAGAAGAAATATTTTTATTCGGCAAACACTTCTCAAATTATAACCAAGCCGTCACATCCAAACAATTTGGGCTGTTACATCTAAAATGATCAATAAAAATATCAGCAATTACAAAATTAAGGCTGCCTATATCATTACCTTGTAAGACCATGATAATTAAATTTTGCGTTTAAGTGCGGGGATATTGCCACAGGTTGGAGACTTGTTCAAACTTTTGAAGAGGTTGTCGGGAGAACAAAGTACATTACTTTGAAGTATAGAATTCATCAATCAAACAAGCGTCGAATCCATGTTTACAAAGTAATTGTCCTATCCATACACCCTATATTAAAGCTTACTATACAATATAAAGTACGGCTTGATTTCGCATTACCAAGATGCAATGTGAGCCAAAAATGAGCCGTAAATCACTTGCTTAGCATTCATTAGCTTATAATTGATTGACATACCAGAAGAGACCAAGTGTGTGAAATAAAGGCTGGTAACTATCTTGACTTTGAGAGTTTGAGTAAAATAGCTTGTGAATTGAGTAACTTGCTGATTTGACTAAAAGATGAAAGAAGACGCTGTAAATAATGCTGATTTGGTTCGAAAACTGGGAGATGGATTGTTTGGTAACAAGATCCTTTGAGCGTTGGGATTTAAAATCCAAAAGAACTATATAAAATTTGCTGCATGTAAGCTTGACTTTTTTTCTTGTGGAAGTTTATCCGTAACATATTGGTCTGGCCACAGTAAACTCTTCATGCATGTGGTTTAAATGTACTTTTCTTCCGGGATCAACAGCCACAAATGGACGATTTTTTTAGTGTTGCTTTGATGAGAAGTTATGAATACAGGGAATGGCCTTTGAGTTAGTGATGCCAGATCTCCTAGACGTAGGTCTGCTTAATGATGTGAATGGTAAAAGCATCTGTCTGGACTATCTTTCTGAATTTAATCTGACCATACTCTTGATCTCGGAAAGTCCTGTTATTTCAAATCTAAAGGCACTCCCCGCAGGTCGAGTTTGTTTATAGATGCCCTCCATATTTTCCCCAAAGCATATTTCCACAAGAGTCTAGTGTCAATTGTCATGTAGAACCAAGACAAAGATCTGCGAAGAGTGAAGTAGTTGAAGGACAGATTCCCAAGTTGTGCTAAAAGCTAGGTTGTACAAAATAATGTAAGAAAGGGGCTAGGAGGAGATGCTTTGATAGCACACTATGTATGTATATCTGGAATTCATATTTTTCTGGGTAGACTGTTAAGATAAATAGGATTTATGTAAAAGAAAAAACTTTATTTACTGATGAATAATACAGAAACTACGCGTTAAGACAATAGAATAGCACACTTAATTTAGAATTATATTCCAGGTTAGAATGAGGAGGGTTAATAATGATAGTAACTAAATAATATTTTCTATCATAAAAACCAATAAAAATGATTCTTCTGTAATATTCAATTCTACAAACAGTTAGTATTACAGTCAAAGCTCTAAAATTAAATTAAATTAAGATATCTACAAATAAGCACGGATGGATATAATCCTGATACAAAAGAAGCCTATAGGTTTTACTCGTACAAGAGAATTCTATGATTGGCTATACAATATAAATATATATTCCTAAAATATAGAGAAGTATATTGGTGCATGAATAAAAAATGCCCACCCGTACAAAAAACAGAGATACAAGATTATCCATAAAATTATAAGTTAAAAGAAGCTTTACACTTAAGCTCCCTATAATCACATTTGAAAATATTTTTTTGATTATATTCAATCAAACTTGTGAGGACATTGCCCTTTAATTATTATATATATATATATATGGGTGCTGCAATACTAATAATAAACTAAAATTGTAGGCAAATTTTATAAATATTCATCTTTTATATATTTTATATCAAAATATAATGAAAAGTACAAATATTCAAAACTAAACATACCATAGTAAATTCATCATTCATTGCTTTATTACTAAGGCTAAACTCATTAATGTAATCTATAAATGCCCATTAACAATCAAACGAGAATTCTAAATGGCGCAGAAGCATAGAAAAATATCTTTGATAGTCTTATTGTATTCTCTGCAGTGCAAAATTAGCTCGTGTTCCATTATTTCCTCGTTCACATTATCCCTTTTTTAGAATACCATGTAATACAGAGTACAAACTAACAGAAACGCACGGATAAATTTCGGAAAACTTAATTTACCAACTGTGCCAACTGAAACAACAAAGGTGCCAATATCTCCACTACCAATATACAGATCTGAGTATCTTGTCACCGGCAAATAATTGGTTTTGAGTAAATAGCTTGCTACGATTGAGCTTTTGAAAAGAGAATTAGTTCCATTTTTTTAAGGCTTGTGGTATTTATCTTTCTAGAACCAATCAGAAGAAGCTCATTTAGTGTGGTACTGTTAACACATATTCTTTAAACGAATAAAAAGTAATCTTAGCTCAGCATTAATGCACCCACCCTTAAGTGCTTACCATTAACTGCAAATCCAGATTAGTACGATAGAGTCTCTTCTACCCCAAAGTTAGACACTCCTGGTACAAATTAGTCAATGCACCCGCCTCTATAGCGATCACTGCATGCATTATTTTCCAAAGAAAAATTATAATAAGTCCAACAGACCATGCAAAACAAGCTTCATCAAAGCTTAGGTCTACCTCATAGGTGTCATATTGAATCTCTTCTCAATTCTACGAAAAAAAAAAGACTTTTATCGAAATCTATAGGTATTCGAGCCAGAAAAGAGCAATATTCTGCAGCTGGTGATAATGAAATATTATTCACAATATATAAAGTATCAAATGCCACATCAAAATTTCTCTTTTTGGATAAACCAAAAGTTCCTTGCACGCTCATTAGTAAACTAAGGAGCAATGCGATTTGTTTCATGAGGATTGTATTAGAGATTGAAGATGTATAAGAATTCTCTTGTGCCATGAGTATTATACAAGGCTTATTGTATCTTATTTATTAAACCTCATTTTTAATCCTATGGTCTATGGCCAGAATTCTAGGATGAGACAACACTATATAAGTGCCATTTAGACAACCTACAGTAGGTTGAGTGCTCAAAGACACATTTAATATGGGCCCTGAAGATGAATTTATTCCTTTTGACTACATACTTTATAGGTAAAGCCTTTGCTTTTATACAAGGTAAATAATGTACTTTTAGAGCCAGAAATTACTATACGTATACTGTATATATTAATATTTATATATTTCAAGAGTATAGCCTAACTTATTACCACACCAGTTTACTTCATTAACTCTTTTTGATTGCGCATAATCAGATCAAATCGAATTGAGTAGATTTCCTATATTATAACATCAGTATAAAACGAATTATTCTACAAAATTTCATTTATACACCTGCCTTGTTCAATATGAACAATACGCTATCTAAATTTACTGATTCTTATCTAATACTTATACTATATAAACTCTTGGTACAATCATCTTAAGATCATTCAATTCAGAAAGAGCTTTTCATTATTAGCATTAAAACTTGGTTTATAGCTTCAAATAAACATTCTCTATCATAAACTCTAGTTGATCTGAGGTCTTTGGTTTGCCAAAAAAAATAAAGCTAAACAGACATCAAGACAGCTAATCCCATAGTTATTTTAATTAATATTTTAATGAAAATGCATTAATATAAATGTTTATATTGAAGTAAATGATTGTGTACCTATATAACGGATAACTATCTCAATAGCGGTAATAAAGACTTTGTGAATACACCAAATTATATTGTATTCATAATCAAAGGAAAGCTCTTTAATATCATAAATATGATATTGAAACTATATATTATTGGCAGTAAATAACGTCTTGTTCTGATTCAACAAAATAGCATTGTCAGTTTCATCTTGGGGTTGACTTTTCCATTAATTAGTATTTGAGGCCATATGAATATTTGTGGGATTAAAAGCAGTTGAAGATTAAAAAAGAGAGTTGTGAGTTCTGGATTCAACACATCATTAGTTTATTTGAATATTGCTAATCTTGAAAAGAGATTTATTAAAATAAAGACACTTGTCATCGATATTACAAGCAGTGGCCACTAAGTTAAAAAGGAATTTTTCTAAATCCACCTGAGAGTGTACCTAAATCAAAAAGAAAAATCCTGTAAGTCGGGAGTTGTAACCTTTATCTACGTCACTCTTGAAGGAATCACAGCCAGCCAGCATGGTGCAAATAGCGGGATCCGAAGCGGGGCCCCCTTCATTTTTCGTTGGACGCAAAACAACATCAACAAACAGTCAAAAAAGGCCCTTTTTTCCCCTTTATCGACTGATATCGTCATTCTCCCCACTCTTTACAATGGCATCCCGGCTTCTTTCAAATACCTTCCCTGTCAAGGCTAGCTTGACTAAGCAGGTAAATAGCACTTAAGCTAAACTCATTTACCTTCACAAAACAGAAGACACCACCATATACACACACAAACACAAGAACGCGCACCCTTTTACGACCTTCTCGAACCAAACCTTTCAGTCAACTCGACCTCATCACCCGATTCTCCTAACCACAGTATTTATAGTTCGTTCGTCCCTTGGCTACCGCTGCCAAGCAGGCTGTCGCTACCCGCACCACTGTCCTCCCCAACGGCCTTACCGTCGCCACCGAAGAGAACTCTCAGGCTGGTGCTGCTACTGTCGGTGTGTGGATCGATGCTGGTTCTCGTTCTGAGAATGTCAATGGCACTGCTAGCTTCCTTGAGAACGCTGCTGTCAAGGTTAGAATTGATTTATTTTTCAACGACTAGAAAACATAGCTTACCCACAAAGAAAAAAAAAAGAGCCAGGCCTCTGCCTTTGAGAAGTTGGGCGGTATTCTCCGTTCAAACACCACCCGCGACCAGACTTTCTTTGCTGCCAAGACTCTTGGTGCCAACGCTGCTGCCTCTGTCGAAATTATCTCCAACATCATTCAGACCCCTGTCAGCTCTTCTGCCGTTGCTGCCTCGCGCGCCGATGTATTGAAGCAGCTCGCCGAGATTGATTCCAACCACGAGCAGGTTGTATTCGACCATTTGTATGCCACCGCTTTCCAGGGAAGCTCATTGAGCCGCCCTACTGCAGGTGTACCTGAATCTGTTGAAAGTGTGACAGCCGAAGAATTGGCTGCTTACCAGAAGACCAACTATGCTGCTGATCGTATGGTTCTTGTTGGCTCCGGTGATATTTCTCACGAAGCCCTTGTCAAGCTTGCTGAACAGCACTTTGGTGCCATTAACCCCGGTCAGGCTGTTGAGTCCAAGAAGCCTTACTTCACTGGCTCTGAGATCCGTCTCCGTGACGATTTGATGCCCCAGGCACGCGTTGCAATTGCTGTTGAGGGTGCTGCTGCCCTTAGCGAAGACTACTTCAACCTCTTGGTTATGCAGGCTGTTATTGGCTCTTGGGACCGCACTCTCGGTGCCGCTGCTCACCTTTCTTCCCGTCTTTCGACCATCGTCAACAAGAACCACCTTGCTAACTCTTTCGCTTCATTCACCAAGGGTCACAAGGACACTGGTTTGTTCGGTATCTACTTTGAGTCCGAGAACAGAGAGCAGATCGACGATTTCGTTCACTTCTTGCAGAACGAGTGGGTCCGTCTTTCCACTTCTGTCACTGCTGGTGAAATTGAGCGCGCAAAGCAACAGGTTAAGGCTGGTCTCCTCCTCAACCTCGACACTACCTGCTCTATTGCCGGTGACATTGGTTCCCAGATCCTTACCAACGGCAAGCGTCTCACTGGTGATGAGATCAAGAGCACAATCAATAAGATTACCGCTGCTGATGTTCGTCGCACTGCTAACAAGTACCTCTGGGATCAGGAAGTTGCTGTTGTCGGTCTCGGCCCTATTGAAGGTTTGACTGACTACAACAGAGTCCGTGGTAACATGGCTTACAACAGGTAATTGGGATTATAAGATTGGTTCAAGTGATTTGGGCTATCTGTAAGAATGGTATGAGTAAATATAACTAACTGCCGCCCTTTCAGATTCTAAACCTTTCCAACCTCCCGAACGTCTCGAGCACCCGCCAACATACAAACCTCTTTTTATAAAAAATATAAGATAACGATGTGTGATGTATCTTCTGCCAAATGAAGCCGGGACTGGTCTCATTCCCTCCTTGTAATAAAATGAAAGCCATAGAAGCCAGACAGCGCAATGCATCGTCATCATTTAACCTTTTATTGAATTGTTTATTTATTGTTTGGGGGTGATTGGTTGGTTCAATTTGCTTGGTTCTTCCAAACACGTGAAACTCCGTCTTGGTCGCTTGGTCTGTTTACCATGAGTGAATTCAGATTTGGAAATCACCTCATCAAACCTCATGAGATTTTTTACCAGACAATTCATTCATTCGCACTAGTGAATCTTAAACCAATAGCACTGTAAGTGTACTACTTGTTACTTATTGGTCTTGACCTCTTTTTGTTGTGATCTATTGTCATCAAAGAGGACGTAAGTTATTATAGACCGTGTCGTACAAGGGCTCATCCCCCTTCCTTAGACGTTCTCGTTGTACCTCGTAGAAAAATATTGAGATACGAACAATTGAGTGCAGAAGAGGTAAATGAAAATACACGCATACACACACAGGGTTAAGCCAAGTGTTTGTAAGGTGGGAAGGAGTCTTGACATGTGAATTTCTCCCCATGGCTGGTACTCAATGCACTTATTATAATTGGCGTTTATAAGCTGGTTGACCTTACACGCTTAGCACGTCTTGTTACTAAAGCTGTTGAGAGCGAATACGGCTTAAGTGATTCTTGTTGGGTAATTCAGGACGGAGATGAAGCAGGTCAAACAGTAAGGTTTATTACAGTCTTCATATATTTTAGGATATATACAATGTATTTACAAAACATAACATGCCACATTTAGGTACCTCATGTTCATCTTCATATTGTGCCTCTCAGATTTAGCCAGTGGAAGAATTGTGTTGAGGAGAGACCGGCTAGAAATCCAGAAGAGATGCGCAAGGAAAGGGATTTGCTCAATGCAGCTATGAAAAACTGTGTATCCGCAGTAAAAGGTCAATCCTTTTCAGTAATAATATAAAATCATTGTGCTTCTTAGTGTGTTATTGGTGACACAGTGAAACAGTTCATCTATTTTGTTAAATAAACCATTGTGTTCATTTGACTCTTTCTTTCTTATAAAAATTTATACCTTTTGATGAGTTCTCAAGGTGAGCCAATAAATTAAAATATGTCTGTAAGATACAATACTCTGATTCCATTCAGTCGAGCGCCTTACCCAGCTCTCACCAAAAGACCAAGGAGTGCAAATTCCAGGCACACAAGCCACTAGCTCAGATGAATATTCTGCATCGAACAGACTCACGGCTATTCAAAACTCACCGTGGAACATAGACGACTCGGAAGCTGACCAAGGTAACCTTGTTGTCTTATGTCTGAAAGGACAAAGAGTTTCAACAAAGTAAAAACAAGAAACCAAGCGTTGAATAACAATAATTAAAGGTCCCAATCACAAGATGGACGAGCCAATGGTTTCCCCCCACGCCCAAGCCTCTCGTTTCACTGAACGTGTAACTTTGCCTCCCCTTCGTCGCCCAAGCACAGATTATGATAAAACTAGGTCTAACATAAGCCGAGTTTCATTATTCAGCCAGAATAGAGCATCAATTCTCATTAAACGACTCGAGAGCTGGAACAATATGCTTAAGACTACTACACAATGGATGGAAGAACTTGCACGTTTAAGCCACCAGAACAGTCGCAACTACTCCCAGCGTGCATTATCAGCTCTTCAGCGGGAGGACGCTACTTTTAGTCGTACGAGTGTAATGGATACTCTGTACACTGGAGCTCACCGCCTAACTAACCGAATGGCAGAAGAAGAGAATATATTTGGAAGCCACATTGAGCATAATATTGTACCTGCCCTTCGTAAGCTTCGTAAACGCTCTAAAGCCTGGACATTGAGTGTCAAAGAAAACCCTGGTCTGTTACAGGATGAACTCACTCGAAGGACAGACTTAACACGAAAGAATATGGCTGCATTGAAGAAAGCATGTTCAGCGGCGGATACCGGAAAACAACTTATTAACAGTGATCCATGGCTTGCTGATCGCTGTAGGTATTAATAATCAAAGACGCAAATCCAACAAAAAATAGGTTGTTGATATCGCAAGATTTATTTGGGTGGTTCTAAAACTATTAGATGCACGCCAACAACTTGTGTACGAAATTGAAGAAGAAAACAGACTTAATACTCTTATGATCGATACTCAACAAACTACGGCACTATTGGAGGAAGAGATTCTTGGATCATTAAAGGTTGCAATTGGTTATTGTTACCGTCGCCTGGCCCCGCTTTTGTATACTGGGAAAGGAGAAGGAGATGCACCTTTTGAACGAGTTTTAGAATATATTATGCCCCTCACCGAATGGAAACAGTTTTCAGCTTCACATGCAGACTATCTTGTAGATGAAGCAAGTCCTCTTAGAGACATTTCTCACCTTACATATCCTAATAAGGGACATCCTTTCACTACATCTCTTCGCGTTGGAACACTCGAATGTCGAGAGGGACAAAGAAAACAATTTTCCGAGTATTATTATGTCTTAACTCAAGGTAAATTTCTTTTTCCACAAGATGCTATTACTAGAACTATTGGTTGTTGTTATCATCATATTATATTATCTACATTATGCATTTTTGATACTGTCTATTGGAAATAAACTCACGCTTTCCATTCATACATATATATATATATATTGGGGTAATTTATTTAGCGGGATATTTCTACCAGTTTAAACATAAAGACGATATTTCTCCAGAACACTCCACATATATTCCCAAGGCTTCCATAAATGCTTCTATCCGGTCCGATAAGCCAGGATCTTCTACTTCTGGAAGACACTCAACACACGCAAAAAGACAGTCTACTCCTGGTAGTGAGCTTGTTTTTGAAATCTATCGACCAGGCTCAACCGTGCTTAAGCGAGATAGATCATTTTTCTATCGTTCAAAGTCTCGAGAGGATCTTTTAGCATGGATATGGCTACTATCAGAGTTATCTGGTCAAAGCATTGGTACACTTGAGCCCTCTTCACCAAAAACTCCTGAGGTACCTACGATTAGGAATCGCCGTTCTTTCTCGCCCATGAAAAAGACACACAAGTCTACAGCATCTTTTCAGCAATATAAGTCGCCGGCGTCAGATAATAAAGATACATTATCTCAATCGCCTTTACCTTTGAGATCCTTATCATCTCCGTCGATTTCTGCAAGCCAGGGTATTACGGCAGTATTTTTAGACCATCCTGATCTTGAGAATATTTTTGATGCATCTGCTCCTCAGGTTTTTTTAAAGGATACTAACCAAGACTTATCTCCGGAGACACCAATGAACACTTCTATTGTACCCGATACTACTACAAAAGACCCCCAGGAAGCCAGTCCTATGCTGCCGTTAGTGACTTCAGGAATTTCTCAGGCGTCTATCTCCGAACCGCTCAAGACGATCACAGAAGTTTCTTCAGAAATATCTGGGGCTGTATCAGAAAATACTTTATCAAAGACGAATTCTGGTGCTGTAGACTCAATGCAAGATACTTTTGTCATGCCAAAAGTAACATCTATTCAGGTTGTGGGTGACGGGTGGGTGCCGACCAATACACTACCCCGAAAGCACAATGGCTGGACTATATATGAAGGTTCTGGCGGACACGGCCCGCTGTCTTCAGATGATAGCGAAGATGAAGACGAAGACGAAGATAATAATTCGGATGAAGTATTATCAAACGGAAACGTCTCCTTAAAGGATACAGCAAGTAATCCTACGGATGAGCCTCAGGAAATAATAGGTGGTAGTATTTCTAAAGTATAATATACCCCAATACCGCCTTTACGAGACTGTACGCAAGACAATGGAATTTTTATTTTGAGAGTACAAAGTATAATAATATTATTCTTAAATATATATATCATAAGGATGGAAGCAATAATCATTAGTAAAAGACAAATTTGAACAAAATCAAAGGCACACTTGTATTAATTTTTCTATAATTAAATATTAAATTTATTTATTTAATATGCAAGTATGTCGCAATATAGATTAAGGTTCTCTACTTTTGCTTTTGCCTACAGTTGGTGTGGACAGACTAAAAGTTCAAAATTAGCTCAAAATACATATTAGATAAAATTGTGCATATAATCCCGTCTTTGCCATTAAGTGAGAACCTTTCATTGCGAGTTTTTCTAGACCTCGCATTATATGGCACATCTTCTCCATAAAAAATGCTTCTATTCTCAATCCTAGTGGCAATGGAAGAAAACTAGCTAATTAGGGTCGATTAAAAATTTTGCCCTTTTTTTGCCCTTTTTTGAACTTTTATTCTGTCCACACCAACTGTATATGAATTGGCGGAGAAGAATGTACAATCTTAATATATGGATATATATATATATATTATCAAACATAAAGCAAAAATAACCTCTTTATCTAAAATGAAGAGAAATACTCGTGCTTGTATAACACCTTGTATAGATGTAGAATATTTTTTGTTTACAAAGTCTTGCATAGTTCAAAGGCTTGTTTTTTCTTTAAATCTTAAGAGCAATTAAAAAAAGATTGTGACCGATTGTACAGATGTGTAAGACAAACCAAGAAAAGAAAACAGGTTACTCGGATCCAATCCAAGGTGTGTGTATATATGTTTCTGTGTAGCATAGTCTTTATACAGTGTTTAGTTTGTTTGTGACTCAGCTTAAGGCTGTGGAATAGTATATAAAAAGGAAAATATCCATGTGTGTAGGATGCCATTGATGAATGCAAAAAGAAGTACAAAAAAAAACAGTTGCTTGGGTTTAAATGAGGGTATCTTGGAGAAACAAAAATTCAAGATGTATAAACGTAGAGTGTTGGATGGGGTTTGGTATCGAACGGAAAAATCTAGCTTAAATAAATAAATATATATATATATATAAAAACCATCTAAAACATTGCAGCATTAAACTATAAAGGACCGTGTGGTATGATTTTTTCTATTATTTAGGCCAGCCTGACACTTGATAGAAATATACAAAAAGATCGTTGTACAACTATACGTTACAAATGGTTAAAAACAAAAACAAAAAATGTCAACAGGGTTAACAATTATACTTACTATTCTTCTTCGCTTTAGTATTATAATCGATAGATAAAATTAGGATCTTGTACATCGGTTAGATCATCTTCTACATTAGTAGCCATAGTAGAGGGCTGTGATAGACGGCGTGCATTCACAGTAGCCATACGCCAGCGTGCGAGAAGCAAAAAACCAATCACACCAAAATTGGCTACTATGTAACCAATCATTGCTCCAAGATAGAGAGGAGCAGGTGAGCTGCTGGCTACATATGGACCAGCAAAGTTTCCAATAGTGTAGAATACCATAAAAAGACCGTTAAAAAAGATTTTCTTGGTATAGCCAGAAATGTTGTTCGTAATGGAAGTAAGTATCAGAACATAAGCAGCCGGGTATGTCCATCCAAGGTAAAGACCGATCAATTTCAGTTTCGGGACAGGGATTACCAACAATAATAAAAGACCAATATTGTTGATGAACATTGTAGCACACGCCACGTAGATGGTTTGGTTGGTCTTTTTGACAAAATAGACAGCAAGAACAATATAAAGAATGTCAGCAGCACCAATACCCACAGTAGATAGAACTGCTTCAATAGGCTAAATGAGAGAGAGTTTTTTTTTAAAAAAAAAAAGAATTAATGAAAAGCACTAAGATTCAATAAATCTTGATAGCTTACAGTATAACCAAAGGCAACAGTGATCTGACTACTGTAGACTGTCATACCACCATTCTGCAAATTCAATAGCGTGCATGCAAAACAGAAACACCAACATCGGACGTCTTTTAAAGCTTCAAATATATGTTCTTTCTTGATATTTCTGGTTCGCATCACTGCATTATCGCGCATTCTTTCTTCCACCAATATCTCTTGTTCGGCATTTAGATTCAAATAAGGGGACTTTGGATGATCAATCAAGAAGAAAAATACGGCGATTCCAATTAAGCAAGTAAGACCACCCAAAATAAACATGATCCTTTAAATATTATGGTTAGTCTCTTGAACTTCACTTCCGATGGACCCTGTCTCTTTGTTACTAGCTTGTTATCTTATTATCTTACCATTTCCATTGTGCAAGACCATGTAAATTCTCCATTCGCCCGATACCATAAGTTATAAACCCTCCAACTATGAATCCGAGCCCATTGAAAATCCAAAAGGCGCTGAGTCGAGTAATCTGCTCTGAGCGGCGGTAGAAAGTACTGATCAGTAGTGTCAGACATGGGTAGATCCCGGCTTCAAACAATCCTAGAAGAAAACGTAAAGCAGCAGCCTGAGAGAAATTTGTTGCAAATGCGGTACACAGAAGAGATGTTCCCCAAAGAAGTACAAGAGAACCAATGTAGCGACTCAAAGGTAAGCGTTGGAGGAAGTAATTGTTTGGCAGCTTTTTTTATATGATTATTTTGAGTGAGTAAAAGATCTCAAGAGATTTGGATAGTTAAAATATATCATATTTTTTTATACTATTTACCTGGAAGATCAGGAAGCCAAGATAGAAAATTGATCCCAAAAAACTAAATTCACTTCCTTGGAGATTCAAGTCTTTCTGAATTCCAAATACACCAGCGTAGTTGATCGTAGCTTTATCAAGATACTGAGAAACAAAAATTGAAATGTAATAATAAGCACAATTGCGTAGAGTTTTGTTATGGTAAATATAAAGGCTTTAAGCTTAACAAAATTACCTGAATGAAATCAATAATACAAATGATAGGCATCACAAACATATCAAGCTTCCGGATAAGTACTTTCTCTTCAGCAGATATTATTGAGCCTTCTGAATAGTCGTACGCAAAATTGTAACGATCCTGTTCTATGTCAGTAGCTGGAGAGGTATCATAGTCTTTATTGACCATTTTCATCTCCATTTCGCAAGAATCTCTTCGAAGCTTTGCCATAGTTAAAAAGGAAAGGAAAGGCAAGAACAATTAGAGCCAAAAATAAAAATAAAATAAAAAATTAAAGGCTAAATAAAAAGTAAAGTAAAGTATATTGCAAAATATATGCCTCAAGATGATCCTCGGGTAGCCATCCAAATTTCAGATATCAACTTTAATTTTTTTTTTCTGAAATTTCAGACACGGTTTACACAATTATAATCCTTTATGGTAATTGTAAATTTATGATTTTTTTCCTTTTTTTTAAAAAAAAAATTCTAATAAAAATAGCTCGAGGTGATGCTATTCTTACAAGAAAGGTGCTACTTTAACTATATAAAATGTCCCAGGATAGGGTACTTAGTCAAGTATACTCTTCAACTACCTGTATTTATAGTTATATTGTGTCTAGTCTCTTTGTCTCGGAAAAGATTCTGAATAAATAGACCCATCGAGTTTTTTTATTCTAACCATTTTAAAATCAGTATTGTCTACTTTAAACCGTAATTGAGTTCACCTATTGGCTACGAGTTATTTCATGTGTTTGTGCCTGGGTAACATTAGGTACAACACATTAGGTTTGTGTTCGTCCCTTGCCGTCTTTGACGGGTCTATACAACCAAATTCCGCTCACAATCTTTAGTAAATTATTTTAAATTAAGATTGAGACACCACCCATTTTTTTGTAAACCCGAATTATATTTTTGTAGACAGCACAATCTTTCAAATTTAAATAATGTATCCAAGTTCATGCTTTTGAGTCTCTAAATTTGCATTTTTTCTAACCATAAATTTACACTAATCAAGGGCCAAGAACAAAGGGGCATAGTCTAGTATCTCTTTTAGTCCCTTAACTATTCAAGTTTTCAGAGAAAGAAAGCTTTATTTTATTTGTTTTTAATTATGTATATGCATATCTAATTCAAAAAATATTCGGCTGAATTTACGAGCAAAAGTACAGCAGCCAAGACCCGTACCAGCAAATCGGGAGACCATGACTAAACAGCCTCGGAAACATTCATTTCTAAGAATTAAATCGCTTACAGATGCCCAGAAACAATGCCCTGAAAAATCAGGCGTGAGAATATATAGTGCTTATCCGTTGATGTTTCTTCAAAGACTATGCCTTAATAAAACACAATACTGTTATGATGTACATATTAAAGAAAAGGAATATGTTAGCATAGTTCGATTCGTATTATAAATATACTAGTGAACTAGGTATTTGGTAGTGAGCCGCCCACTCTACTCCCCAGAAATTACGTTCCACAAGTGAGACATACACACTAATATACCTTTCTGACGAGTGGTCTATGATACACGACCGTAACGATCACCTAGCAAGATGGAAAGTTCCAGTCGACAATATCTATTTATACCATTACCTCCAATTGTTGACATAAAGTAACCAAAAAAAAAGTGGACTTTACAAAATTGTGATGTAGTAACTTATCTTCGTCATAATTTTTCGCGTTATGCACGAAGTATAAAGGTCTTGGGTTTCTTTTTTTCTCGAAAACTTTGCTCATTTACTCTCACCTCATTGTAGCTGACACCGGTTTTTTCTGGTACTTAATGGTTAGCTATGGTACGAAGCACTATGTATTTGGCTTTTTTCAAGCAAACTCATGACTAAAGAGTTACTGAAAACTGAATAGCTCCTAAGAAGGATCTTGTAAATTAAGCTGTTTAATATGTACCTAGAAACTATTACAAAGGATGTTTTAACATATTAATATTGGCATAATTTTTGCATTACTACTACTTTCTAACAAACCAAACGAGCTGACCATGCGAAAAAAAAGCCCTAATAAATGTCTAGATACAAAAGGCAAATGGAATGAATCTCAAATCCTGTATCATTTAAATAACAATTCTACTTCACCGTAGTGTTAATAGTGTTTTAAAGTTGACACCTGCAGGTATTTTAATTAAAGCAAATTCTGTCAAAGTAAATTTCTTAATGGTATCTAAAGTTATATTAAGCTGGCTATCTTGGTTGATTAACGAGCAATCAGTAGATTTTGCAATGGGTCGCTCAACGTCCCATATAACTGATCGAATCGGTGTATTTCCTGAAGTTGTCTCTTTACCACCTGCTGCTACTGCTGTTGTAAAGAAAAGGGAAAAATAAGCCTAAATATTTTAAGGGCTTGTGTGATTATGAACAAGATGCTTGATATTAGATAAAGCCGTATCATCTTTCAAAGATTACAAGCTGTCACTACTAAGATAATGACGAAACTAAATTTACTGTTGACGAAAAAGCTAAAATAATTAATGTTATTATCAAATCTGTTGATTTTATAAGCATTTTTTAAAGTAATGATGAGCTGATCTTCATCCAAATTTTGGTTAGCAAACTGTAAGTATTTACATAAGAAATTGATTTTTGAAAGTCTCTTTCTTACTCGCTTTGTTCCAATAGGTTCATCTTGTAAAATCCGGTCATTTTAAGAAGGATTATAACGAAACAGCTGGTATGGTGTTAATGTTTATAGTGGTACCTTTGATTTATCGTTTTTAGCCAGCAATCTGTTTGAAAGCAAACGGTAAGAATTTGTAAAAGCGTTTGCAACGGTTACATTGTGATTAATTCTCACGACTGTTTTGATGTAGATTCCGAAATGTTTTCAAGAAATCGCCTGAAGTGGTTACATTTCAGAGTATTATATTAAATGTAACATTATAAATCAACCTTTGCTTTTTGAATCATTTTCTGAAATATATCTGTTACAGATGCTCTAAACTTGAAGGGACATGCTGTCTACAAAAAAAAATTGAGTTACAAAAAATTGGTCGGATCTACCAAAATAGGTCGGTGTATAAATCTCAAGTTTAAATCCTGTACTTCTCTACTGTTGTTGGGCCACGTTTGCGCAACGTGTGTTCCGAAGCACCAAGTTTTTCTGTAATTATTTTGCTTATATTGTGTGTAAATGAAGCACATAGAAATATGAAAAAGTATTTGGTTAATTGGTAAAATGTATTATACTATTATATTATTTTTTTTTAAATAAAATCAAAGAGCAATATAGCTCCTAATATATATATATAATCTATTTATTAGTGTTAGAAGTGAGGATTTTATTTGGATATTTGAATTGCTATTGTTAGAAAATCAATAGCATAAAGTTTAGACAGAGTTTAGTTTTGTGATCCAACCATTTTCAAAACTATACCAACTCAATGATAAAAAATTAATAATAGAATATAATACAATGTAATGCATGTATAATATAATATAATATTTAGTTGCTTATTGATGTTCTTAATAGCCTGTGAATTAATCATGAAAAAAAAATTACTAAAACATATTGATAGTATAGTGATCATCAATTTTAGCTGCACAATGCAAAAATAAGATAGAGAATTGAGATTATGATTATTATGATTATATAAATGAATAATAGGTTTCTTGTGATTTTACTAGATATACATGTATGTATGGTTTGGTTTAAGAAAATTATGAGAGTTAAATAGTAAGCTAATATGGAATAAGTGAAATTGGTTTTAGGGATATTATTAGTTCTTTAAATACGGTAAATGTAATGAGGGTTTTCACGATCAGTAAGATCGTCATTGATGTCTACGACAGCTGCTGAAGGGTTTGCAAGACGCTCGCGGTTAGACTTGATCATCAAATGACGGGCAATCAAGAGCAAGCAAATGCAGATAACATTGGCAGCCATGTAACCGATCATACCACCGAGGTAACGAGGTGCCTGCTTGGCAACCATCATCTGAGGACCGGCAAAGTTACCAATTGTGTAGAACACCATAATACCACTGCTGTAGAAAATCTTCTTGGTGTAACCAGCAACGTTGTTGGCGATTGAGGTGAGCAACATGACATAGGCAGCGGCATAGGCCCAGCAGAGGTAAAGACCAGCCAACTTGGGGGGACCAGAGGGAATGCTGACGAGCAAGATGAGACCGATAGTGGACATAGTAAGGAGACCAGCACAGGTCAAGAGAGTGTGACCATAACGTCTGTTGATGTAGACTGCGCCAGCAATGTAGATACAGTCAATAACACCAGAGGGGATACTTAAAAGAATGGCGTTCAAGCTGCTGAAACCGAAACTGACGGTAATGATACTGTTAAAGGTGGTGAGGGCACCGTTTTGAAGATTGATCAGCAGGGAAGCGAAGGCAAGGAGCCAGAAACGAGGTTCCTTGAGAGACTCAATAATATGGGCTTTCTTGATCTCCTTGGTGTACACGACAGCGTTGTCAAGAGTTCTGGCCTTAACAATATCTTCTTGTTCAGGTGTGAGACGGAGAAAACGAGATGTAGGGCTGTCGACGAGGCAGACAAAGAAGACGACACCAAAGAGAGTTGTAATACAGCCGAGGATAATCATAATCCACTGCCAAGGAGCCTTGCCACCAACATTAACCATATGGCCAATGCCGTAACTGATCAAACCACCAACAGCCATGGCAATACCGTTGCAAATATAGACAGCACCGATACGGCCAGCCTGCTCGGTACGACGGTACATGATACTAATCAACATGATACAGCATGGGTATACACCGGCCTCAAAGAAACCCAAAAGGAAACGGAGAGCTGCAAGCTGTGAGAAGTTCTTTCCGAGACTGGTAAGAGCCAATACAGCACCCCAGAAACAGATAAGAGTGCCAAGGTACTTGGCAAGAGGAACGCGCTGGAGTAAGTATGCGTTGATTGGCTAGATACAATAATATATATTAGTTTAGTGATACTTCTTGATATTCTTTATAATTGTAGTTATAGTTGTACCTGATAGAGAAGGTAACCGAGGTAGAAGATAGAACCCAACCAACTGAACTGCTGTCCATGAAGACCGGTGTCTACTATAATACCTAAAACCGAGGAATAGTTCAATGCGGACTTGTCAAAGAACTGTCCAAATGGATTAGAATATTTATTTTCTGTAAGGATAATGAAGTATTATTATTTTACCTGCAGAAAGTTAAGTACTGCGATACAGGGCATGACATAGATGAAATCCAGCTTGCGGACTAGAGCACGTTCGGCGGCTGAGACGGTGTGTGCCTTATTACCCTGTTCATCGAATGAACCAGTAGTAGCGGAGGCCATGATTCCATGAGAATGGGTTTCTACTGATTCGGTTATGACCTGGGTGGTCTCAGTGTAGGACTGTTTGTAGACGCCCGAATCCTTTTCGATATCGGCCAAGTAGTATTCTTCCTTGGTCTCAGCCATCTTGAATTATTTAGATATTAAACAAGAATGGAAATTAGATGAGGATAATAGAAAAAAAATAGAAAAAGATACAGAGCACTTTTATATCTGTTTGATAACAAGTCAGATAAAAAAAACTTGGGCCTTCCACAAAGGAGGTACAAGTCAAGCTAAGATTTCAATCCCTTGGTGCCTGTGCGCCATGGTACAACACATTAGAGGGTTTAGAAAGCTTCGAAATCCCAAGTAAGATTATACGCTTCTCGAACAAGGCTGGGCGAATAGGTGAAAGATGCAACGTTGTACATAATTTTGGAACTCTCTGCCTATCAATTGTGCTCTTGGTGTCTGAGCGACATGACCTCTTTTTATGTATACACATATAAAAAAAAAAGGTTTTTGAATTGGTACCTCGCGAGATACAGTGGACAAAAGAAATAGAGATTGAGAATATGTACATTTCTTTTTGGCTACTAGTATTTAGACACCATCTTTATCTCTCTCTCACGGAACTATAGCTAGCACTAATTCCTTAAGGATCAACTCTAAAGCCATAGTACTTGACGAAAGACCCCTTTCTGATTTTTGATTCTAATTTTTTTCTTTTTTCTTTTTTTTCTTTTTTTCCTTTTTTTTTTTTTACTTTGTAGCTTATGCACATTATTTGATAGCCGATGCTCTGACTGCTGAAAGAAGTAATCCCTCTCCTGGTCTAGACACTTTTTCATAATTTACTAACGTGGTTACAAATTATGGAACAAAAAGTGTCACATTGAAGTAAATGCTCTTACTTATTTGTCCTATCACTTCCACAATTTGAACATACGCCTTTCCCTTGAAGTTCAAATATACTGGGGGGGTTTCGGTGATAGACTTCATTTTTTGTCTATCATCTTTCCGCACCTTCCGAGATCAATCCAAGGGGACTTGGAATCACATTTGGCAACGGTTGTATTCTTGGATCAAGTAATCCTGGATCAGTATTCTTTAATAAATAAGCTAGTTCCACAATCAATAGCTACTCTTTATTATTATTTTTAGTTATACAGTGTATAATTGCTTGTGCCTTGGCGATTTTGATTTTATTTCACCAGAAAATAAAAAAATAAAACACACATTCAAATAATCATTCTAATTTGTGAAACATCGTCGTTGAAATGACAGCTTGTACGAGAAATCTATATACCGGAGTCGTACCTGTTTACTTGAATACAATCTTACAGAAGAGGTTATTGAAGCTTGAACATATGTACTCCTTATTAACAACAATAACAACGGAAAAAGAAAAAGAAGAAAAAAAGGCGGGCAGACTATACGAGCTATCTAATATTCATTCCTTTATACAATTACATGTAAATGCATACGAACGTACATGTAAATATTGTGTGCATTTGTATCTATTGTGTAGTTTTAAAACAAAGCGTTCAATTCGTAACTAATGCACTGTAGTTACAGATGTTTAAAGATGCAGTCGCGCCCATTCAAAAGCAGTTGGAGGCTCGTCCCCAGACAGCCCAAAATCAGCCCAGCCATTTTCATTAGCAATCTAGTCAAGAGCACTTTGGTTCGACATTTTTCTTTTTAAATATCCGCCACCGGATTTTCTTTACACATATTTTTTTTATATCTGGTCCCTAATCAATCTGTCTGGATTTTTGAGTTGTCGATCCGTAATCTCTAACAATAAGATTGATGACGCAACCAAAACACCAATGTGACTCGACATTGTATACATGCAGGAGGGCAATGGTTACATAGCTATCTTCTTCCTTGATAACCACTCAATACGATACATAACTTCAGCATGGCTCGTCAGTACGCCCAGCGCTTTGCTACAGCCTCACATCTATTACGATTTGGACCCTCAGAAACATTATTACCCTCAATTACATGTCTACGACCTAAATGGAGCGCCAACCGATTATTAACTCTCAATACGCCCAGCCAACAACAAAAGTCGATCCATTATGCAACACCATTGACAGAAACACCCCTGTTCCTTACTTCTTCGGGAAACAATCGCTCTAAAGTACCATTGCAATCGCTTACTCAAAGCCGTAACTTAACTAGCTCAAATACAGCACACGATACCCCGCCTACAGGAGAACTGAGCCAAGAAGAGCCACAAACAACCACAGAAGGATTTAATTTCTTTGCTTATGCCTCGTGGCATGCCAAAAATAGGGCTCCTAAAGAAAAACAAAAGGAAAGCAAAACACCTTACTGGAAACGCAGTAAGGTCGGAAAGGTGGATGCAGGCGAAGACGCATTCTTCCACACCTACACACCAAAAGGCATGGCTTTGGGTGTAGCCGATGGTGTTGGAGGGTGGGCCGATGTGGGGGTCGATCCAGGTGAGCTGATTTTCGAAAACAAAATACCCATTGTGCCACACTAACATAATAAAATTTAAACTGCACAAACGCACAAAAACGCACACACCAGCCCTCTTTTCTTGGACATTGATGAACAATGCAGCAGTTGTAGCAAAGGCAGAGAACCCAGTAGATGCCCACCACATTCTTGATTCTGCCTTTAACCAGCTACGTGTTGGAGGAAAGGTCCCGGCCGGAAGTTCGACAGCCTGTATTCTTAATCTTTGCAAGGTTACTGGCCAGATGACGACATGTAACGTAGGAGACAGTGCATTCTTGCTCATTCGAGACCAAAAGGTTGTCTATGAAAGCCCTAGCCAGCAGCATTACTTTAACTGCCCGTAAGTTGTTAGATATAATGAAAAACGTTTTGCCATGTGAAGATGTTCAATGACAATGCATGGCTCTGTAGTTATCAGCTGACTGTGGTACCTGACACTTACCCTGACCGGGACAACTATGTAACGGATATGCCAAAGGATGGTGACCAAAAATCCTTTTTCCTCAAGGATGGCGATATTATTATTCTCGCAACAGACGGATATTTTGACAATGTTTACAGCAGTGAAACTCTCGCCTTGGTAAATAGCACGATGAGCCGCCTCACTGACGCAACCGAAGAAGATGAGGTCGTGACCACTGTCCGTGGTCTTGTTAAGACTCTCACTGATACTGCGCGAAGGCTGAGCCTAGATCCCAAACGACTTTCCCCTTGGGCCCGAGCAGCACAAGCTCACGGAAGCCACTATAGAGGTGGAAAGGTTGATGATATTACATGTATCGTTACGCTCGTTAAAGGTGTTCATCCTGACCCAACACCGCAAGACAATTAACTCCTTTCAAGATACGTGTGTGTGTGTGTTGGGTGTAGAGAATATTCATTATTGTAAATATTTTATTTTTTTGAGCTTTTATTATTTTATTTTATTTTATTCATATACATTTATAAATACTAGCCTCTTGAGGCATATCATTTTTATTTTGTGTCCACTAGAGCGTCCTAAATTTTATTATTATTTTATTTTTACTCAAGCAACAACAGGTTGCATTCGTGTGGACTGACTCTGGGTTTTACAGAGAACAAAATGTGTATTAGAATGGTCCCCCATGTGGCATGGGCCACCCAATTCAGATCCACTCTCTTTGATATGCATATCCGATTATTATTAGTTTTACATTGCATTTTCAAAGGCTTGTGCGGCATTCGGATCATGATCATAATCGGGCCACAATGATACCATAAATAGATAAGCACATCTCTTGAATATCTCTACAGAGGACATGGGCTCTTCTGGGAGAACAGGCTGTGAATCTGTCGGCTCTTCCGTTGTCGGTGCTCTTGGTGATGGCACTCCCCCATTCTGCTGTCTTGGTTGCACAGGAACGGCTGAATATATAACACAAGTTAGATTGAATTCAGTTTGTTTAAGATTGAGGTTACCTCGTCTGTTCGCCGCAGGATCTTCAGCACGTACCCGTTGGACAACAAAGCGTAACCTTCCGGTTTGATAGAGAAAGAATCCGAATGCAATTATGTGAAAGAAGACGATGCGCTCCAGGCTGGCACCTTGGCAGACAATGAATAGAATAAATATCAATTTCAGAGCCAGCCAGATAGAAGTAGTATTTCGAATCACAATGCGGTTCCTTGCCACTGCTCGCTGATCCTCCGCAGGCCCTGGAGCAGCAGGATTAGGTTGGGGTTGCACCGCCGGCTGTACTTGGGGACGAGGTTGGCTAGCATTGTGATACATTGGCTGCCCGTACCCTGTTGATGGCTGTGCCCAAGTAGGGTGTGTAGGAAATGTAGTAGCAGGAACAAGTACAGGTGCAAGATAATATTGCCCACTAAATCACTTTCTTTGTTAGCTTTCCATACAACTTCAATTAGCAAATCCTTACTTGATTGCTACAACCTGGTAGCCACCTGGAATCAGTGGTGGAAGACCGGTAAAAGAAGTTTGTGTATGTAAAGGTAGAGTGGCTGGTGCTACACTTGGAATTCCACTATAATGAGGTGCATCGTTTTGTTCTAATGTAGATTGTGATTCATCAATAGGCGGAGGTTTGTGGGATGATGTAGAAAGCGAAGATTTCACAACCAAATGAAAGGTTGGAATTGTATTGGCATCCGTCTAAAAGAATTATGTGTGGGGTCACTATCAATGGTTATGTGCGCTTATTATTGTTATTATCATATTTATCTATTTTACCTTTGCCAAGACATCTCGCAAAAAGTCGCTATCATTCAGCAATTTTCCACTGTGAATAATACGCTGTTCACTTGCCATTGGCTTTTGAGGATGAACATCCTGAATGTGCATTTTCAAAGAATGAACAGAGGCATCACGCTCGATTCTTAAGCTAAGAGTTTCTTGTAGTGCAGGAGATCGTATTTGAACTGTGAGCATTGAAGCATCAGAGACGGTATTCTCGAGAATTGGCATTGACCAAAGATAGACTAATATCAGTCATGCAAGGAAAGGGGAAGTTGACCATTCCTTCACCAGTCACACGACACGTTGTCCAATCAAACCGGCTGAGATTTCAGAATGCGAGGGGAACGAAATCTGCTAGATTTTCTGCAAGGTTTCTTGCTATTATTTTTCTTCACTATAACTCCAACCAGTGAATGTGTGTGGATGCTAGTTTTTGCTTGTTTGTTTGCAGGAATTAATCTTTAAAGAGAGATTATCGAACCCATAGGCTTTCAAGTAACTTTATGGCATTGTTATACTGTAATTGGATAGTGAAAGAGTAATGGTTTTCAATCGGACGATAGAATGAAACATAGTTTGAAACTGTATTTGATTTACAAAGAGAGAAACAAATTATTATTATTAAGATATAAAAAGATGGCCTTGGTATAACAGCCACTATTATCCTTGCGAAGAAGAAAAGCTATAAAGAAAGATAGGGATATATTAAGAGGGTAAAAAGGAGATAAGCTTTAGATACCTAAAGCAAAATAGCAGCGGTCATTTGTTGAATTATCTCCGCTATTTAAGGCTGCATTCTGCAACCAAGTTACAACACCCAAAAAAAACAGTTGTGAATATCCCACTGATCTCCACTTTTAATAAATATAACTATGTCTCCCTATAAAAAGAAGATACTTAATACAAATATATAGAGAAATGAACTGTATTTGAAAACAAGGTATATTGTGTAAGGACTTTGTTAAAAGACCCTTAAAAATCAAGTTTCTTTCAAAAGACAAGTTAGATTAGGCAAACCACTGGATATGGATCCTCAATATTCAGACTATGAGTTCAAAATATATACTCTCTAGAGGCATTTTTATTTTAAAGAAAGATTTCCTATAGCAGAAAACCTGGTGGGGATGGTAATATTTAGGGGCAATTGGTACCCCTGTAAGACTAAATACTTATATTTGTTTGGTTGTCTGTGCACTTTAATTGTTATTATTTTGGAACTGAGAACTTCTTGATCAGAAGCAAAGTCGATCGATTAGGAGCATAAGATTTTAAGTTGTAGAAAAAATAATAATAGTTTAATGAGTTTATAAATTACTTTGGGATACTCGGTGATTACTGGAAATCATACACTCTTTTTAGCTGATATAATCTGTGACATAATCGTATGCTTTGAGTTTACACACTCCATGATATAAACAAAGAGATGTAATACTTTTTTGAGTACATAAGCGTAAAGAACAAGAACATGAATTCTAAATTTGATGCCAAGCTGTAAAATATTACTTGTTTTTTTTTTAAAAAAAAAAAACCTTTAATTCTTGAGAAATTGCCATCTGTATCTGTGTGGCAATATTTGTTTCAAAGATTGCCTTCTGGGATGGGTCACCAATCATGGTAGAAAAGGGTATTTTTCTTTCTCTTGACTCTCTCTCTCTCTCATTCTTTCTTACTTTGATTACTTTTACCGATTCAGAACTTTTAATAATCACCAAAACTGCACCATTGACAACGCATTAGACTTATATTATACTTTTTATTCTCATTATAAAATTCTGAATTAAATAAGCAGTAAATCTGTAGATATGTATATTAGAATAAAATTATTTAATTTTAGAAAAGGTGCTTCTTTATTAATCATATGTAGTAGCCTACAGGTTAAACAAACAAACAAACAAAAAGTGTCAATTCCACAAGATTTTTTATTTTGTGTTTTCTTGAGCCGGAATTGGTCTGTTGAGGATGTTACTCAAGTGTCTTTTAAATGAACATGCTTCTGAGTTCGCTAATTTTCCCTGTATTACTCATCCTACTTTTCTTGATATTCATTTGGATTCTGAATGTGTAATTTGTACACTATAACTTAACTCTTTGTATATATGTCTGTGTACACATATATAGTAGAACATATATCATACGAGCCATGGCTTACTAAACTAAAGTAAATCATGCCTATACCTTTTCCCATTAGTTACTGTATTTGGCAGATTCCTATTTATCAAAACTACACTCTGTCAAAAAAAATGCTTTCACATACACAAGAGAAAATAGCATTGTTAAGTCATCATACTAAAACACGGTCACGGGCGAAGTTCATTCGACTTTAGAAGTTAGATTATTTTGAAGAATTCTTTAGGTAATATGAAAATATATTATTTGTAGTATAGGTATTTGGTAGAAGAGAAAGTATAATACGTCTCTTTAATACGTTATATATATATGGCTTTAAAAGGGTTAAAATATATGTTCAAATATTCGAACCTTTCTCTATGCTTTTTAATAATTGGCTTTAAAACAAAAGTTCATATATCTGTTGGCATTGGCATTGATTTCCTTTCTTTTTCTTGTACAGGGCAGATATATCAGCTATTATGTTATTTTCAGTACTGAGGGTATTAATAGATACCAAGATATGAAGGCTGTGATACAAAGAGTATAGAACCTAGAAGATCTAATTCGCAAAGAGTATGCACTTGCAAAAGTTTGTAAAATACAATCAGGTATACTTTTATAATCAATTCTTAGATTCAATTGAGTAAGATATGACCCAATGAATTAATTCGCGTGCAAGGTAAAAAACTCTTATTAACATGATGTATAAACAAGAACCTAGTAATTAATCAAGAGCCAGTATACATGATTGCCTCCATACTTCACATCATAATACTTACTTTGGTACTCAGAACCTGTTAAAACAGGTAATAATCTTCAATAGTACTTTAATTGACCGAGAAATATCTGGTAAGATGAGTTAAAGGCATTATGACTATTCGTGTGCATCATGTTACTCAAATTAGTACAAAGGTTGTTACGAATCATATTCATTTCTTGGGTGTATTTGTGCTCTTTTAAATATAGAATATTACTTTTAATGGCTTTCAAATCAAGTATCTTTTATTCTTATAAAGACATACAGGCGTAAACTTATCACTCAAATTTTATTATTGTAATTTTGAAATATTTATATGTGCAATCGTAAAATCACGTATCTTCTGTCGTGTAACACATCAAGAATATTCTTAAAATACATTGGGTTTTCTAGTATCTTTATTTTATTTTGCTTTTTTTTGAAAATGCGGGGGTATCATATTTACTCACTAATCAGTTTAAATAATACAACCCTTTGAAAACACAAAAGTCTTACAGAAACAACATATCTGTGCTTATTGTTTCTTATTATCTCAGTACCAGAGGTACAGTATTATGCAAAACCTCTGCTCTCCTTTTAGAATAAACTATCTGTGTTGGCGAGAGGTAATTGTCAGCTTAGGCATCTCTTCTTGCTGCCTTAAACTATAACTATGTTTGGTGCTTGTATACACTGTCTGAGATAGTCATTTCGACCTCATGCTTGAGTGACCATTAAGCTTTTTATTCTTCGTGTTATACAAAGTTTACTTCAATTGATAGAATACTGTTGGTATATAGTTTCTTACTATACTCATATAAATATCTGCTGTCAGACCATAAGCATAATAAAGGAAATACTACTAGCCATCAGTCCTACATCTTTCTCATGTAAGGTATCCCAAATCAAAAATGTAGAGAAACATTACTATTATTTTACGCATTTGCCTTTCATTATACGTCCTTATCATTTAAATATTTACATCTTTAACGAAAAAATGCAATAGATAAGAGTATCGTTTCTTTAAAAAAAACAATAAAATGTGTATCATAAATACCATTTATTTACACAGTATCTATTTATAAGTCAAAGCTTTAATACAGTCGACAAAACAGAAATCAAAATAGCTGCATTTAGAGTGTAATTCCTATATGCTTGTATATAAGGTCTTTATATGTTATAATAGTGGAAACCAAGTACTATGCATTGTAAATTGAAAGGCAAGACTGTTGCCACCTTCGTGTTCTCAATGAATAGTATTTTATATACAACATATACACCAAGAAAAATCAGTCGATTATTCTATTATGCAACTTGTATTAGACTCCACATTATACCGTGTTCTTTTTCAGTATAATGCGGCTAGAACATATACATTAGGACTATCTTTATTTGTGGCAAATAATGGTATTTTGACAATGGATCTTAGGCATGAACAGGTCTTTATCCTAGTAAACAGAAACAAAAAGATTCCACCCATACAATATGAATTTTACCATTGTTATTGTAATTTCTCTGATATATTCGAGAAAGAAAAGAATGTGATTACTGCAAGATAGATTATTTCTAGCGTTTTTTTATTGACTTTATAAGTAGCTATTAGTATAATTATCTCCTTGAACTTTTGAATATTATCACTATCTTGAATACAATCATGAGATTAGTATTACTTTTACTCGCTTCAAGCATAAACTTTGGTATTAGCCATGCGTCTTTTGAAAAGCGTCAGAGTGTTCAGCCAATTCCTATACCTGGCCCTAATCCAGGAAATCGACCAGTTAGCCCGATTTTAGAATCCTCCGCTGTCACTTATTTAAACTTTGATGAAAATACAAAGGCTACCATGATTTTCTGGCAACTTCAAGATTATATTGAATACGATTTTTATATAGAGGTTTCTAAATCTGATGGGGCATGTATATCATGGGATGCGAGATTCATTAAAGAAGGCGATGGATCACCTTTGTCTTGTGAATCCATGAAAAGTGTGGAATGTGAAACGAGTATTAGTCTCGATGTGTGCAGAGTGGGACCTACTGGGTTTGGCAAATGTAGTTCTCCGATCGGAAAAACAGGTATATAGCTAAACGTTAAAGGAGTGCGCTTGTTTTGCACATCTTACTGACCTCTTTATTATTATTATTATTATTATTATTTTAAAAAAAAAAGGTATTGACCTCAAGGTTTACTATGATCAACGTCGAATCCGTATTGATTCCGGAAGGTCCACTGAATTTAATCTACACCCCGGAGATCCCCTTAGTATTGCTGGACTTTCTATTGTTGCTGCGTATTCGCCCAAGGACAACTCTTCCCAGAAACTAGCTTGTGGAATTGTCCAGCTTGGACAAGGCACATTCGGAAATTTTACAATTGGGACATCAGAATCTGAAAACCCGGAAGCCCCTGAAAACTCTGATGTTTCTGGTACCACAAATGATGGGAGAGTTAATAATATCACTGGAATTACCAGTGTTCTCTTGCTAGTTGCAATGTTATATTATGTTGAGTTTTAGAATACCACTATTTTAAGCTACTAGGATATTTGGAGCTACAAATAGAGTTGAATTATAATAGTTATAATAGAATGAGCTATATAATTGTATAAAGAGGTCAATAAATAAATGATAATAAAGAATAATTTGACAAAGAAATTTTACGAAACCTTTCCTCCTTCTCCTTTATTAATGTAGATATTATTATTAGTATCAAAGAAATATTCTACATTATTACTATATTTCGTGTGTTTTCTTGGCTCAATGTACAGCTTTAATTATACACCTTGTCTTGTTCGATTTGCATAAGCATTACTTTACACAATTTCATTAAAGCCTGTTGAAACAATAGTAAATTATCAAATATAGACAGGATTAGTATTCATAATATGACATCTCATTTCATCCTGTGTATTTTTCAACATGATTATGTTACTTCTAAAATACAATTTAACATCTTTGTTCCGTTTGCTTTCTTTTGATCAACACATTATAAGCTGACAAAAAACATCATCTCTTTCTCTATCGCATTAAATAATGAATATAGTATTAGATCTTTTGGGTGTGCTTTGATCCCAATACCTAATTTTTTTGTTATATATACATGTACATATTACAAGTTTTTAGTAGCTATAATATTGTACAAAGAGAACATGAACAATGAAATTATAATGTAAATATCTCTAGCTATATTTAATTATTTTGTGTTGTCTAGATTTTCTATATAGTACAAGTGAACAAGGGTCTTCTGTATTTGATAACAGAAAGTAACCGGAAGCCAATTTACCCATTATTTATAATAATGATGTGAAAAATGATAAATATTTCAATTGTACCTTAAGACAAGTATTCGTAATTTGATAGATTATATTCAAGGGCTCCCCAAGACATCTTTATTATATGAAGTATTCACAAGGGTATTAAGACAAAGGATTTCTTCTATAATCTGTTCAAGAAGGTATATATAATGATATATTTTTCAATTATTATTATTATTATTATCAACTTAATTAGCTATGATTGGTTTTATACTGATATTCTATCTCCTTGCCAGTATCCAATCCAGTATTGCCGTGCTCAACAAGGTTAAGCCTATATTTTCGGACCATGCAGAAGTACTAGATGCTGGTAAAGAACCAGATCCTGGGTCGGTGAAATATTTTACGGATGGGGTAGACAGTACATACTTCAAGTTTGAAGATACTGTCGCAAATAACTACTGGGAAGGCCAAGGTGAAGATCAATCAGCCATTTATTCTACGGACGGAATTATTACAGAAGATTCTATAATCAAAACCTCTGACTATGATAACTCTGTTAAAATGGCCTACGGAGCAGGAAATCTCCTTAAAGAAAATGATGATGCCGTAAGATCTCTAGCCGAAACCGCTAAAAATATGAAATCCAGTGTTGAAGAAATTAGGCCTATAAGTCTTGGTACGGAAGACATCGCACTCATTAAGACTGATTTTGAAAACACCGATTCCACGAGTACTGGTACAGAATTTACCGGACCTATTAATTCCGGTACGAATGATCCAGAACCAGTTAGTACTGGTACCGATGATACGAAGTCTATGAGACCTGATGGCGAAGTTACTGAACCTATTAATTCCGGTACGAATGATCCAGAACATGTTAGTAATGGTACCGATGATACGAAGTCTATGAAACCTGATGGCAAAGTTACTGAACCTATTATTTCCGGTACAAATGATCCAGAGACCGTGGGCTCTGGTACGGATGATACAAATTCTATTAACCCTGGTGCAAAAGACACAGAGAATGTGGATTCTGACGGGGAAAATGAGGGGTCAAATATGCCTGTAAACACTGCCACACCATATGATATTGGCACGGATGATTCGACTTTGGGCGGTATAAATGTCAACAACTATGGATCAAGTGGTTTATCAGCTGATGTATCATTAGCTCTTGACGTTAATACGACTTTCTTCATAAATTTTGTACAAACCGGAAACTCTGTATCGTATGATGTTTCTCTCGATATCGAAGGTTCAGAGGGAGGGTGTGTTTCGTGGATGGTTGGACTTCCTCAAAACGTCGGAGGTGGTACAGACAAATGCAAATTTGCCTTAGATAGTCCACCGTGTCTTAATAGCATAAGCAGCAATGTGTGTGAAATTGGTCTCTCAGGGTTTGGAGCATGCGGAAATAATCGAGGTGTAGCAGGTAACTCGATCAATAGTAGCTTGCTCGTCTTCGCATAATTTTTTAAGCTTTTATATATACTTTAAGGAAAACGTCTTGGAAAATACGGTTACAAAACGTCAGTAAAGGTGGATCACGGTAGCTCTTCCGCTTTCAGCTTAGATTATAACAATTCCCGTAGCATAATTGGGTACTCTATTATGGTAATATTCACTCCATTTAAGGATGCTCCTCAGAGAATAGCATGTACAAACGTTGAGATTACAAGTCATGCAGCGGGAAATGATCAATCTTCTAGTGCTTCAAGTCTAAATAGCTACGAGAAACTCATGGAAAATGGACTTTTACTCGGGAGTACAGTGTTATCAGCATCTGCTCTATATTACACTGGACTTTAAAGACAGTCGAAATCTTGCAAGGCTAAGAAATTAGCATAGTGCCAACTTATTCCTTTATTTTTTTAATATATATACAAGGCTCTACTAAAAGTCTAGATGCATTCAAAGCTCAATACAGTAATACTTCTTTGAGCTATTTAATCCGTCTCAGGCTAATTGCCTTTTTTTTATACAATGATACAAAACAAAGCTATCAAATATTATTATATTAAATTCCAACTATTTTGTAAATATAATGTGTATGTTATTTTGAAGCAGAATAATAAAAATAAAGACTTTCTGTATGAGTAAATTCTATCACATTCACCAAAGCATATATACACTGATCTATATAGTGCTAACGATAGGGATAGGGATAGGGATATGATTCTGCTTCTCCCACCATTACCACTATACCGAGCTTTAGCTGCACATGACTTAGCTGAGGTGACTGTACTAGAGAGATATGTAAATTTAATATATCACTAATATCAATGGTACTTGCGGAAAACAAAAGCAGCAGTATAGAAACTTGTTAATTGTTGATAGATACTACATATTAAGAATTTACTTTTATAATATTATATATAGATATAGATATATAGGCTGTAACAGAGGATGCGTGGTTATTTGTTTTTATATTATGAACTTTACAGCCTTATGAAGATATAAAATGTATATCTTGAAAGGTATACAAAAATGCTATGAGATATTGTACACAAACATCAGCAGCAATGTAGTCAATGCAGGTTTGATAAATAACTTGGTCTTATATTTCTATTATTAAATAATAATCTCCTTGTCTTTAAAGAAAAGGCTTTATCTAAAAGGTGCCTGTTTTTTCTTCCAGAAAATAATTAAATTAGTCTAGACGACATGCCATAGTATCTAGTTGATATATAAGTATCATGTATCATTATTTTCTAGGGTTTACTCAAGCAACGATGACTATTCTATTAGTACTTATTTATTTGTTCTTTAGCCTCCAAACGGTTTTGGCTGCTATTAGCGGTGGTAATACCACCACGTTTGATCCAACACCAGAAGTTGACTCGGTTGATGAAATCAATCCTGCGTCTTCAAATTATACAGCTGGCGATGATTCTACTGACGGAACAACTATCAGTCCAATAGACATAACAGATATTATTTCAAGCAATGGTGGTATCCACGCGGTTCAAGGCCGCCAAGCGATTGCTCGAGTGATTGTAGACAGAAATACTACAGCTGTAGTACTCTTTGAGCAAGATGGAGACTCTGTAAAATATGACTTATTCGTTGTCCTGTCGGGATCATCAGATGGATGTATTTCTTGGGACGCTGCTATTGCCCCGACTCTCAATCCTGGCAGCAACGAATGCCCTATCTTTACAGATACCACCTGCCTGAAGACATTAAAGCCCGATATTTGTGCAGCTGGACCTTTTGGATTTGGCGAATGTGGAACAGGTCAAGGAAAAGCAGGTTTGTTTAAATAAAAAAAATTGGTAATGTATCTGCATGTTTGCTAACATATTATCTTTAAAAAAAAGGCATTAAGCTTGGGAAACATGAAGTCCACAGTAATACCCCGATCTATTCTGGCCGAACAAACATGTTTAACTTGTTAGACAATGATCCATATACAGTCATTGGACGGTCCGTGATGATAGCTTTTACGCCCCATCCAGGTGCAAAGCAGCGCATATCATGTGGAATAACTCAACTTGGAGAAGGTGAAGTAAACAACTTCTTCCCGTTTCCTGATTCTAGCGGTAGTCGCAAACATACAAGCCTATCCGAAATCTTTAGCATCTTACTTTTGGTGGCCGCATTTTACTTTGTTTATGTTTAAATGATACACCATTGGGACAAAATACTTTATTAAAATCACATTGTTAATAAACATGCTTACACGATACTAAATTATACATTCACACGACGGCGTACTAAGAGAAATATTGGATCTTTCTTACTTTATTGAATACAAGAGTTATACACATTGTAAGCTGGAAATAAACAATCCCTTACCTTTACTACGTAGTCATAATTTCTCACAAAGATCATACCGTTTTGTTCCATTATTATAAATTGACTTATAAAAGTCGTAAACTTAAACAATGGTGTACATACATAAAATTACAAAGAATTAGTATCCGAGTAATAAAACGGTATATTCAATAGAACCGTCTTTTAAAGTCGTTGTTGTCGCTGTCTATCGCACAAACATTGTTTTTCATTATTATTATTATTATTATTATTACACTGATAATATGTACTGTATACTACTTTAATGGGACCACACGATAAAGCTGTTAAATAAAAATACCTCGATAATGAAAGTTTTTTTCTTTTCTTTGAAAATATATAGTGCATGTTTTGTATATAAGAATACCTGTTTCTGTGTGTATATGTGTATTTTGTTCTATCTTATTCATCATGAATGCACTATTACTTCTTCTTTACTTATTCTACTCTGTACAAACAGCTGTTTGTGTAGTCGATAAGCGCCAGGACGGCCGACCTGCAGGTCTTCCTCCCGCTGTGCCAGATATTCCATCAGCCTCGGCATATGTATCTCTAGAAAATGGAGTGTCAACATTGTTCCAGTTCAAGCAATATTCAGAAAACTTCGAATATAGCTTACAGTTCGATTCTCCAAATGCAGAAGGCTCATGTCTCTCGTGGGCTATTGGATTTCCTTCCAATGACAACGGAACAAATCTTTGTACTTTCTTAGAGAATCCTAGCTGTATGGCACTTATAAAGAAAGATATGTGCAAGACAGGAATTCGTGGATTTGGATTTTGTGGACAGGTGTTGGGTTCAGGAGGTAAATACAGTGCTCTATACTCTATTCATCATATTGTATTTGTAATACGAATACTTGATAGGTATCCTACTCGATGGTTACGATGACCAGCACCAGTTAACCATTGATTCCGGACGCGGCACAGGTCTTAATATTCTCTCCAAAGATTCTCATAATGTTGTTGGAAAATCGTTGATGATAATCTACTCACCCAAGAACGGTGCTCCACAACAGGTAGCATGTGGAAACATTCAAAAAGATAAAAGTGCACTTATAAACCCTGACATCCCCCAAAGTAGTGCTAGCATCAAGAACATCTTACATATTAGCAGCACTATTCTTGTTGGAGTTGTGTTATATTTTATAAGTAGTTAGAAAGTAATATCAATACCAATATATATATGTATATATATGTATATATTAAAAATAAATAAATAAATCTGGATATATAGACCACCAAGATTGATATTAACTTTTGAGCATTTAATATGAGAAATGGTCTATAATTGTGTAAAGCTCCTAATAATGTGTATTAAAGAGTATATATAAAGCTTTAAAATCACTCGCCTTGAATACTCAATATTTGTATATTGCAAATATACCTTTTTTTATAGTATAAACTATAGACTATGCTTTAACCAGTATTTTGGAGAAATTATGTTTGATATCCATACTAATAAATAAGTAAATATATTTGCTGTGCAGATTAAATCTTTCATATAAAAAATGCCGAGAATATATTTTAATTTTTCTTTCTTTTTTTATAACTCTGCTGTGAGAAATATAGCTGTTGTATATACATGATTTTTGTTTTAAAATGCATGTAGTCACCGAGAGAAGTTTTCCACAAATCCAAAACAATGAGCAAGTGGAAGTGGATTTGCGGAAAAAGGAGCTGGAAGGACGAGTGAGGATGACATGTAAGGTTTTTCCAAAATATGTTGGAGAGATGGGAGGTATTGGTCTGGGGTTTGGGTATCGGCCGTATTAAGTAACATAGGTGATATGTACGGCTGAAAACAATCCTTTGGCTGTTCCAAAGATGAACATGTTTCTGTGGGTGAGATGCTGAATTGTGGGGTGCTCATCAATGAAACTTCCGTTGGCTGAGGTGGTAAAACAATAGAATGCATTGTAATGTTTGTTTTAGGAGCCCTGTCCGCCGAATTGTTTTCGGTAATTGAGCACTCTTTAGATCTCTTTGTACTCCAAGTGTTTGATCTAGAGGACTTGGCGGGATTTAGCAGGACAGATTGCCATCGTCCAAAGTATACGTCGTTTGAAATATTACTATAACGATCAAAGGTGTCTCGAGTTGCTCGAGACCATTGGCTCACCAGTTTCAATTTATCTATCTGTGTTTCTCTGAAATAATCTAGTTTTTGCTTGGATACACTGATACACTGGTAAGACTACCTTTTTATATATATATAACGGTACACACATAGAGAGACACATTTTTAGTGTATAGTAACCTACGTTTTTAATCTACGCTCCTTGTAAATACGCAACTTGATGCCCTGATCAGAAAATATACGGGATAAAAATGTGGACCTTTCAGGACTCCCAAAGGACCTCGCACTATAGACGGTAAAAACATCTGAGACAGTGATAAAACGACTTAAAGCCTTGTTGCTAAGATAAATTGTGTTAATAGAATTCAATATAAGGATCTTAAAAAAGGTCATACTTTACTATCTCAAATAGGTTGAATTGTAGCTTGTAACGGCCCTCTTGCTTGACAGCTAAATCACCAAACACGAAGAAGCCTCCAGCTACACGGAAGATCTGAGTAAGTAAATAATCGGGGTGCACTCTCACATGAAGTTGTACTTGTATTATCAACATCCTTTAGTTGATGAAGAGACGAGACAGTTGACCCCGAAAAATAATCATGACTTGGTAAAAGAGAATTTGTGGGATCAGTTGCATTGATAAGACTGACGATCATAAAGTAGAATGGACTCTGTAGATTGATTCTAATAAATAGATACAAATGTGTGTGGGGTTAAGATGGTTGTAATCCTCTTTGTAGGTGATCAAAAGTCCTTGCCTTGTTCCGTCAATTGAGCACTTGGGCCATTGCAGCTGTAATATGGGGGCTGGTTCAATAGGACGGCGTTCTTGTAGTGGAAGTTACAACCCAAACTGTTAATATATGTATTATATTTAGTATTTAGTTACATCGTACCACGCTCATTTGAAATGCTCATCTTTGCTCGTCTGGGCTGCTGTCTGAGGACTACATGATGCTGTCTAAGATCAAATGCTTATAATAAGTGCATGTGTGCTTTGGAATATCTCAAGTTGGTATTGTTTTACTTGATTCTTAAATTATATTCTGATGGGAATAAGTAGCTACAGAAACTCGAATGATTGATTTGCCGATCTACTGGTTCCGATAAGGGGGACTGGGAACATAATTAATACAGCAAAGGATAATAAATAATACAATCGAGTGCTTTAGTTTCGTAAGCACAATGAAGTCTTCTTTCATTTTCTCTTTAATACTGTGCACTGACTTTTTTGGATATATGCTTTCCCATAGGTTACAAAAGTGTGTGTGTATGAAAGAAAGAAAGAGAGAAATCCGAAAGGAGAGAAAGAGTATACAATAAGCAAAATTAACATTGCTCAATTTTTATTTGCTCAAGTAAGTTGGACAAATAAGAATAGTTTTACTTTATTTGCAATGCCAAGCAATATGTTTCCCGGATTTAACGTTGCTTAACGTGTCGTCTGGTATATAAATCAGACTTTGGTTGACCCACGTATTTCGTGTTCCTGTACTCCGTCCGTTTGGGAAATTGGTTGTGCCGATGAGCGTTTCAACATAAGTATCTAAGAAAAATAAAATACATGGAGCCAAAATGAAAAGTATGCATACTTGTAAATAGAAATATAGTGATTTTTAAACGTTTTGCCTTGTAAATTTAGAGTTCGATTAATGTCTTGATCTCTTTGGTATTATTAAATTCAGCAGCAGCAAAAAAAGAAGAGTTCATGATTTCCAGCTCGGGTAAATTTAAAGAAATTCTTTTGATGAATTGTAAGCATTTTTAAAAGGTGTGTAATGCTAATATATTAATATATATCTTGCATAATTGAGCATAATCGATCCGTTAGACATCTGCAACTCAGTAATAAGGTCATAGTCTCCGACGCAAACCATGGGTAACAGATCGATGTACTTCAAACTAATACTGACAGTTATGAATAGATCTTATTTCAAAATGCCCAGTACAGAAAAGTACTATTAGGTTATTAAGTAACATGTTAGATATCTCGGCTTTGCTTTCTATATAACATTCACTCTACTTTTTGTTTAAATATAAGATACTTTTGAAAAAAAAATCCCAAAAATGCGCCTTATATTTTCAAATTGTGCGCTTTAAAAATGTGCTTCGTTATATATACGAGTTCAGAGTTATAAATTCTGACATTTTCTACAGTCATAGTTCCTACAATGTGATCTAGCTAATAATTGGGCACAGATTTCTAGTGTCAAGATATCAAAAAGATAGAGAGAAGTCAATCATTGCGTCACACACAATGCACATTGGAAACCAACCTTAGGGACAAGCTGGAAAGAGTTTGGGGAAGTAATGTTACGTCACGTAAGTTTATGCTTCTATGCTTTACACTTTTCTTTTTGGCGGGCGACTTGATAGATTACGTGACGTATAAAGGCTGTCCAAAACGGTTCCTTTAGCCTGTCCCTAAGGTTTCATTTTAACTTGCAGTTCCAATTGTCCAGATAACCAAAAAAAAAAAAAAATGACGTCTGTAGACTAGGTAGCTTTACTTGTTCTTTTTACTACTATTTCTTGTATTCATTCCGCATGTCTTGGTACCAGAAACAGATTAAACTGGCAGCATATCCCAAGGGTGAGATAATTATTCAAGTGGAATGCGTAAATTTACAAAATTGATTAGGATGTCACTTGGTGCATCAGGAGATTGTCAGTCAGGTTCCCGAAATTAAGCAGTATAAGGTTGGCATGGCTAATATTTTCTGTAAGTCAAAGTCAATTTAGACGTTTTGTAAATCCAGGCCTGACTGATAGTATAATTGATAGTACAACATACCTCTGCCTCGTTAATGCTTAATGAGAACTGTGATCCCGATGTACGCACTGATATGGACATGGCACTGGATCGCGTCTGTCCTGACAATCTGCCTTATATACATACTGATGAAGGTCCCGATGACATGGTATTATGACATGGATATATATATATATTGGCCTCTGTTGCTGATATTGTTACTAAATATGTTATGTGTGTGTGTATTGTGCTGCCTTAGCCTGGTCATCTTAAGACAGGAATGATTGGTGTGTCTCTCAATATCCCAATTACAAATGGAAAACTTAACACAGGAACATGGCAAGGGTAAGAATTGAATGGATTTAATTTTTTTTTGATTCGATAGTAATAAGTAAGGGTTTCTTATTATTATTTTTGTAGAATATATTTGTGTGAGCATCGTATTTACGGTGGGTCTCGCAAGATTGTTGTCACCTTGCAAGGAGAGAAGAAATAAAAGATGTATATATATATATACTATCCATACATACGTACATACAAAATAAGTATTCCAAATAAAGAGAAGAAGAAGAAAAATATTATAATATTTATATGAAAAAAAAAGGTTTAAAATATTAAATAAAGATTATAAAATATAAAGTATAAAGTACAGACAAATAAACAAACAAATAAGAAATAAAGAGAGAGAGAGAAAAGGTGGGTGATGGGAGGATATTCAATGCAATGCTACTTTTGATTTAATAGAAAGAATTATTGAAGCGAATGCCAACGCTCGGTCATTTTGTGGTGGATTTGTAGCAAAAACTCTTCTTCTTCTTTAGAAAGCAAACCACCGGGGATAAATATGGGCTTCCCAGGAACCATAGTTATACCTGCTTTGTACCCATTATTTTCTATAGAAGTCAGGTCGCTTTGGGTTGATGTAATAGAGGTGCACGATCCTTTTGTTTCCCCTGTTCCTCTTGGCAGAGGGGTGAATTGTTCGTCAGAGCTAGAGTTGTATGTCGCCATCTGCCCAGTTTTTCCAAGATCAGTCAGATCATCTCCGGAGTTTGGTTCCAGTGGGAGTTTATCTATCCGTGGGTTGGATTCTATATCTCCAACCCCTCCTTGCTTGTTTAATTGATTTTTGGGAGGCTGCGGAAGAGGAGGAGACCACCAGTACAGAGGATAACGGCGTTCGATGTTGTTGACTAGTAATGCTATTACAAGCTGAAGAACGGCAGATAGTATAACAACACCAATGTACAGCCATCCAATGTCCACTACGTTGTCTTGTACGACTGCCAAGACAGCTGTCGCACCGGCAGGAGGGTGCATCGTTTTGGTTATTTGCATTAGCACTACTGTAAGGGCAACCGCAGTAGCGCCTGCTACCCAGCGTACTGCTTCTTGTTGGTCAACAGAATCAAAATTGGGTAGGCGTTGAAGTAAGGTACACAAGATCACTCCAACAAGAGATCCGATCAAATGGCCACCAACGACATTCCTTGGTTGAGACAGGGGAGCCTCGATCGCACCATAGAGAAGCACGGAACTTGCACCCTAGAATTGAATATTAAGTAAAGGTTGATAAGTAATGTGTAATGTATGATGAATGATTGACTTACAAAACTGCCAATGAGCATAGGTACATGACGTTTTTCAAAAGAGGAGCCATATAAAAAAACAACCTCTAACACGCATATACCTATCCACGCGCCCACAAAGGACCAGATCCAGACTCTCCAAAGTGGTGGTGGCTTGTATACCTTAATTGGTGAGCGATAACCGAGCCAATGTGAAATAGAAAGGGGAAGACGTTCAAGAGAATATCTCATATTTTCAAAAATATAATTCGAATGAACCTGGTTTTTCAAAAAAGCTATTGCGGATCTTATAGATTGAATCTATTTATTTAATTTAATTTTTTCTTATTATATTTTATTTATTGTATTATTAATACTAATATTATGGCTGTCAGTATTAGTATTATTATTATTATATATACAATTTTATATATACATTTTGTTTTGTGTTGAAAAATAAAAATAAAAATATAGCTATATCTATATATCTATATCTATATATAAGTTTACAATGTCACACCTTGAAAATATTTTACTGCTATACAGCAACAACAACAACAGCAATTTTTACTACTAATTCTGTATTATATCTCTATTTTTATATTATATTTCCATTTATGTCCTTTTTTTGGGATTCTTCCTTTAATGATGCTTGTGCTTGCGATGCTGCTTCTTCTTTTTAGACTTTGATAGCTTGGTTTTTTCGGTCTTACGGGACTTTCTCCATTCTTCTGCCCTGTGTTGATCGATCTTCTCCAACAAGGCTTCCGCACGCTTGACCATACCACGGCGCTCGCATTTGATCATTTCGTCTCCGTTTGACTCAATTGTGTCCAACTCTAACAAGGTTCGCATGATTGCGTCTTCATAGCTCAAGAAAGCGCGATTGTCTGGTGTGTTTGCCGTCAGGATAATTGCATCCTTATTGACACCGCGCTCAGCCTTTTGGAAAGTAAGATTGGAAGCCAACACAGGGATTTCTTGTTCTTGCTGTAACTTGTCCAACCTTGCCTGTATCTCACGAAGTTGGTGCAACTTGCGTGCCTTTGTCTCAGGATCATCGGCGTGGGTAAACTCAATCTCTGTTGGGTCTGATGTTAGGAAACTATCTGATTCTTCCACGGGCTCAACCATAGTATCATCTTGTCCAATGGCATCATCGTCTTCATCCTCGTCTTCATCCTCGTCTTCATCCATCTCTTCATCTTCATCTTCATCTTCATCTTCAATTGCATCTTCGCCTTCATCTTCAACATCTTTGGCTTTGGCTTTGGCTTCGGCTTCTGATTTATCCTCATCTTCGGCCTCAGGCTCCATCATAAGCATATCTTCGAGTATATCTTCAAGGTCATCTTCTTTTGGTGGTTTCTCTTGGTTCTTCAAAGAGGCTTGCTTCTTGGGGTCTTCATCCATTGGAGTATGATCGCCAGTAGAAGGAACTCTGTTTGTGGGCTTATTTTGAACTGGTTTCTTGTAAGCTGCCTCTGGATTCGACTCTGACTCTAGAGCGTTCTCTTTTTCTTTCCAAAATTTACGAGCATTGGCAGTTTCAGGAGAAAGATGGATTCCAGGATTAATCGGAGGATGAGTAAACTCGTCAATCAAAGTGGTAAAGCCTTGATTTTTCTTCTTAGGTGCTGTCTCTTCGGGAATTGCTCTCTCCTTTCCTTTTGCGCTGGCGGTAAAAGATTCTTTGGCAGACTCCTTAGTAGACTCCTTGACAGGTTCCTTGACAGGCTCTTTGGCAGACTCCTTGGTAGGCTCTTTTCTTGCAGTTTCTGTAGCGGACTTTTTATTGTTATTGTTATTATCGGCAGTAGTTCTAGCTGTAGACTTTTCAAAAGATCCATTATCATTTTGGTTTTTCACTGGCTTTTCAAAAGAATGCATTGGATCTTTGGGTGACTCGTTTTGCTTCTGAGATGGTGCTTTAGCTGAAGTCTCTTCACCAACGTGAGGCATCTGGGCAGTGGACTTCAAGTCTTTGGTGTAAAGAGGAGTTTCCTTGTGGTTGGCATTGTCTTCGTTATTGGATTGCCGGGCCTGCTGATAGATTGGCTCGCTCTCTGCGACTAGATGATTTATGAGATCTTTGAGTGTCAAGACGTGAGGCTCAATTGGGGGTGTTTTCGAGCCTTCTGAGCGTCTATCTTTTTTAATATCGGCTTCTTTAGAGTCGGTCTCCATTGATTGAGGCTGATCTTGTTTGGTGTTCAAAAAGGAAGCCAATGGGGACTTTTCGTCGAGCAATTGGGATGGAGAAGCTTGAATCGTGGCATCATCATCGTAATCATCATATTCTTCTTCTCCTTCGTCTTCATCGTCGTCTTCTTCATATTCATCTTCTGCAGGCTTTGCTCTCTCTTCTCTGGATAAATCGCGTTGGCTGTGCATATCTTTCCAGACATTTTGCATGTCCTGCGGGGTTTCATGATAGATCTTTGCCGGTTCTGGAATTGAGCTAATATCCTTTTGGCCAAATACTACCTTGAGAAGGTTGGATAATTGCTCAGCATGGAAATCTTTAAAGTCCGAGTTTCCTCCCTCTTCTTCATCATTGTAATCATCATCATCGTCTTCGTCTTCTTCACCATAAGAGGAAGCGGGACTGGTGGGCCGTTCTTGGAGTGGGACAGTGATGATCTTCTGCACAGGTCTGGCAGACATTTCTTGGACTGGACTAGATGGGCGGTTGTAGACTGCAATGTGTGGCTCTTGCTGTCTATCTGCCATCTGGTTGGGTCGGGCTACATTCTCAGGCCGCTCATATTGTCTGCGTACGGCCTTGAAATTTTCCAAGATGGATCTGCATTGACGTTGTTCGAGCGCAGCTGCAAGATATTGGCGGTAGACAGCCTCCTCCTCTTGTCTCTGACGCAATAACGCTTGGCGCTTGTAGTTCTGGAGATAGCGTTCGATCTGGAGGAACCGCTGGCGACGATAATGCTCCTGAAGAAGCTTGAGGTGGTTGATGGCTTGCTCAATACGGCGTCGCTCTTGGATTGCCTGAAGCTCCAGTGGTCTCAGGGTGCGGATGACATGCACCTCTGGGCGTCTGGCCTGCTCATGGTGTAACAATTCCTGGAGCTGGAGATAATCATCCAAAGTCAAGGTGCGCTGGAGATTATTGAGGCCTGGGGTAATCAATAAACGTGGCTGTAGAGATGATTCGTCATAAAACATGATGAGATGGCAATGAACAACAGTAGTGATAATAATAATATTTTTAAAAAAAAGAAGTAGAATAGGGCTTCTATTATCTTTATATATTTATTAATTTATCTTTCTAGAGTAAAGAACTTCTTTTCGATTCTATCATCTTTTATACTCTTTCTACAGGCTCTAGGATATTCCTGCAGATTCCAGAAAACACCAGAACATCTGTGATACCGACTGACCCGCAGTCGTGTGTGACTTCGATAACCCTTAGATATTTCCTTTTATATATAAAGGAAAAATAAATTGGTACTGGCGGAGAAGGAGAAACTTAACTTTTCATTTGACCTGATAAAGTGAGCAAAGCCTTTTTTTTTCTTTTTTTTTCTTAATTCAAAAACCAGTAAAATATCTCGACTCATACGCAAAGATTGACTTGTGTTTCCTGCGTCATTTGTAGGGCATAGCGGATTTATTTATTTATTTATTTTTATAACAGTAGCAATAATAACAATAACAATAACAACAGCACCAACCAGTACCAGTACCAGTACCAGTACAAACATCAGCAGCAACCAAAATAAAAATAAAGATTATACAAAGCACCCCTATGACGTTAAATCTTGAATTGAAACAGGGCTGAGATTGTATTGTTTTATTTTGTGATATGCCACTGTAGAGCTTTCATTATAATGTCGTTCTTCACCAAACTTTAGTCTAAACCTTCGCAGGAGTTATAGGGGGTATCTATTGGCAAATCTCAATACAGAACATTTTAAGATTGACTAGTACAGCTAATTACTTAGAATTGGTGAGTCAGTGAGTGTGTAATTCTTCGTCAAAACTCTATAGCTTAACCCTTCTATGCAAAATAGAACTCTTAAGAACTTATACGTATTTATAAGATGGTGTAACGATTAGTCTAAAAACTAGGAAAAAAAATTGCGATATGGAAGAAACACAACTTCTTTATTTTTATAAAATAGTGCCAAATGTTTTTTTTGTATGGAGCCATTCATAGGCTCAGGTTTATTGATAAAGTCTCGAAATTTGGCTACTACAATGAGAAATTAAACTGTTTGTTTGGAGGGTTGCTAGGATATATATGCAAGATTTTTTAACAAAGGGTGAGACTATATAACATTGGGAATGATTATTCTACAGAAATGAAACGGACCAACATTGCCGGGGTAGGCTATTCAATAGATGTCATGAAAAATTGTCTAATAAAAAGGATCGTTTTGATCAGAATATATGATTAGATACCAAAAACAAAATCAATTCTAGATCCAAATTTACTAAGCAAAGTTTCTCTACACTTATAAGTAACATAATGTAGAACGTTAAGGTCCGCCATCTTGAGAATGTTTTCCATTGATTGCTTCAATATTGATCAAAATATCTCATTTTTTCACTTTAAAAAACTATTTACTAATCAACTTTTCGATATTTACACCACATAAGCATGTCTGATCCAAAAAGTTCCCTCAGACTATACACCTAAAAAATAATTGGAATCTGTGTTTTTTTTCTATTAAGTAAAGTTGTTGAGCAGAACTATTGATAATGCTCAGTGCATGTTTGACCAGCAACAGACCAATATTCATGGAGATATCGGTAGAGGTAAAAATGTCAATATCGATTTACACCATGCGATTTTGTTATTTAAATGCCCGACCGTAAAAGATGTGTGCCCCAAAAAATTGGTCTCACTGTGCCATGGCAGGCTTTATAATAATTTAGCACAGAGTATTAGCAAGATAATAGTGTCATTTATCAAAGCAGATTATTATATATATATCTTTTTTTCTTACAAAAGTCTGTAGTGTAAATCTCGTCTCGTTACATCTAATAAAACAGCGATAATTAATAATAATACTAATAATAATAATAAAATATAACTGTGGGCTTAATTCCTGGATGCCTTTGAGTCTTTTTTTCATGTCAATTACGTTAGGTACATTCTATCAACAACGCCTTCCATTTGCCAAACTATCTGTTTAATGAGAATATTCTCTCATAATACTATGTGTATGTGGCTGTTACCGAAATTGCACAGGAAGAATAAGAAGAAAAAGAAGTGCAAGGTTGGATAGCAAAGTACCAGCAACTTTCCTGTCAGGTGTGTACATGGACCCTTTTTTTTAAAAAAAAAATAGAGTGCTATACACTTGAGAGCTTTAATATGGTTGGGGATATTCAGATTATTTGAAATACGCAATGATGATAATAGTAATAATAACAATAATAAAAAAGGTTGTTGAGCAATATAAAGCTTTTTATTTTTACAGGAATTATTAGTGCTTGTTACCCGTCCTCTCTTCTCAACCTCTTTAGAAAATCCATTTATGATTCTACAAGCATGCTGTGGACAAACTGCTTGAATAAAGATTTCTTAAGAGTATATATATATCGCACACTGTCGTTTGTGTGGAATTAATGAGAGTAAAAGTATTGATGTTGATCTATTTGACTGTAACCTATAATTGCATATGATTAATAACCATCTCAAAGCCCATTTGAATATGTAAAATAAAGTAATTATATATGTATATCACTGAGCCACACAGCGAAACAGTAAAGGAGTTCTTTTTCTTTCTATTTGTGGGTGTATATAAACGGAAGGATCTTAGCAGAATATTTTTTTAATACTTACCTATTCACCGCATGGGTGCCCAGGGTGCATGGTTCATGGTTCATGGTTCATATTGTGTGTGTGTGTATGTGTGTGTGTAAGCGGATAATAAATCGACCCGAGGTTTGTCTAGTGAAATTGGCCTGCTTTCATGTGGGTTTTGCGGGAAGATTTTCGAGACAATGAACCAAAAGACGCCCTGACCAGGCACCTCTTTTAGGGGCTTTGGTTGGCTAGTATCATTTCCAAAAATAATAATAACTATAAGCTCTTTTTTTTAAAAAGGAAGGCCATGTCGGTGTGACAAGAGTTATAGATGTAGGCCTGTGTGTTGACCTCATCCCATTTCTGGTGTGATTTTTTAATTGTTGAGTATCACAAGTAAAATCACCCGGATTCTTTACATACACACTTTGTTCAATGGTAATCTTTAAAGGTGAATAATTGCTTAATATCTGTAAAGAATATGTATATACATGGCCCCCAAGTTGATTTCTATATAGTAATGACATTAAGAGTGGTTTTTATGCTCTATGGATATAAAGCAGGTATCCAACATCAAGTACCGTCAATTCCATGGTATTATTATAAATTGATATCAACAACAGCAACAACATTTCAGAATGATATCACTACTCACTAATACTATTGTTATTACTATAATCATCACTTTCTTTGATTTATTTGGCCCATTTGTGTTAGGATTACGGTTGATATGTGTTTTGTTGTAATAGCAGTTATGCAATTCCAATTCCAATAAACTTATTCACAGCAAAGCACATCAGAGTTTAGAGCGTTAAAATAATGAATAAAATAACAAGTGAGATTGTTGTAACAGCTCTGAATGTCTTATCTCTCCCTTTTCTTTGCACTCTTCCTGATAGCCATTAGCTGATTGTATTCTGTACCTCGCTATTTTTTCTGTCTTTCTTTTTATCGCAATGTATTCTTCTCATTGTCTTAACTAATTGTAAATTGATTTTAATATGAACTTTAAATGAACCAAAAATCCAAAACTATATACATATTTTTCTTGGAACACAATAGTCTCTACCTTTATAATCACTTTTTCTTTTAAGAGTACAAAGAAAAAGGATTGTATTTCTTGCTGTTTTCTACCGATTGTTATTACTAGTACCTTAATTCGTTTCCCACGATTTTAGAGGCTGTTGATTGGTCAATAATACCACTTGAAAATGTGGGGAAACCAAAAAGAAAAGAAACAGAGCAAATTCTAAACGGAGCTTGAGAAAGAAAGAAAGAAAAAAGAAAAAAAAAGTACCTTGTTTCATTTTTCAAATATACACTGTATGTATGTATATAGTGATAATATGATGACTTTAGTGTAGTAAAAGTGGCTTGAACTTCTTCCTTCTTTTAATTTTGAAATCAGTACCATAAAGGAGCCAGGCCACCCGTGCTAGTATTTAAAAGAATATAAAACGAAATAGGGTCCAGTGTGAATGGGAAATCCCGGAACCAGATCCTCTCCGTACTGCCCCGACCAATTTGTTCCTTTTCTTTGTTCTTTTGTGTTAAAAGACCCTTTTTTCCCGGCAAGAGTCGGTTCTTCAAACCATGACGAAGGACCGTGTGTGTGTGTGTGTGTGAGGAGGAGGAGGGTCGAACTCCAGACAATACAAATAATAATACCATATTTATTATATTTCTATTGTATTTTTATTTCTATTATACTGGTTCCCTTAACCCGTACACGAACCCACACGAAAGCACACGAACGCACACGCTCTCACACCCCACATACACCCACACCTTGCTCTACTCCACTCTACTTTGCTCTACTCTACTCTACCCAATAGACCATTAATAGATAGACTTGTCCGTTTGTCTCCGCCCTTCCGATCAATTGACATTTGTACCTGTACCTGTATGTCCACAAGCAAAAATAAATAAATAAATTGCAAAATATATAAAAAGAACCATCTTTAACTGTTTTTTTTTGGTTGTTGTTGTTGTTAATTTCTTAGCTTCTCTTGACTTCTATCCTACCTTTCTTCAACAATGGCACCATTCAACCGCCCCGCTTCCCCTTATGGCCGTCCCGGCAGCTCCAACTCTGTTCGCAGCAAGGTTGAAGAAGAACTCTACGAAATGGCCGGCATTGACTACGACAAGGTCACGATCAAGCGCAACCCCTCTGTTGCGGTCCTTTACGAAGAGGCCCTGACTTACGAGCAAGGAACCGTGATCTCGTCTGCCGGAGCTCTGTGCGCCTACTCTGGCAAGAAGACCGGCCGTTCGCCCAAGGACAAGCGTATCGTCGACGAGCCCACGTCGACCAAGGACATCTGGTGGGGGCCTGTGAACACCAAGATGAGCGACGAGGTGTTTCTGATCAACCGCGAGCGTGCAATTGACTACCTCAACACCCGCCCGCGTCTGTATGTGTTTGATGGCTATGCTGGCTGGGATCCCAAGTACCGCATCAAGGTCCGTGTGGTTGCGTCGCGCGCCTACCACTTGCTGTTCATGCACAACATGCTGATCCGCCCCACCGAGGCTGAGCTCGAGAACTTTGGCACTCCGGACTTTACCATCTTCAATGCTGGTGAGTTCCCTGCCAACAGATACACCACCGGCATGACCTCGACCACCTCTGTCTCGGTCAACTTTAAGCGTGCTGAGATGGTCATTCTTGGTTCTGAATATGCTGGAGAAATGAAAAAGGGTGTAAGTGAAAAAAAAAAAATTGAGTAAATGTGGGGTTATTCGATTTTGATCCTAAAACAAATATTTTATAGATCTTTACTGTGATGCACTACCTTATGCCCAAGGCTGGTGTTCTGTCTCTGCACTCTTCTGCTAACGAGGGACCCAAGGGTGATGTTTCGCTCTTCTTTGGTCTGTCTGGTACTGGCAAGACCACCCTCAGTGCTGATCCCAAGCGTATGTTGATTGGTGATGATGAGCACTGCTGGAGTGACAATGGTGTGTTCAACATTGAGGGAGGTTGTTACGCCAAGTGCATTGACTTGTCTGGCGAGAAGGAGCCCGATATTTTCAACGCTATCCGTTTCGGAGCCATTCTTGAGAACGTTGTTCTTGATGAGGAGTCTCGTGTAGTTGACTATTCTGATGATTTCTTGACCGAGAACACCCGTTGTGCCTACCCCATCTGTAAGTATTATTTTATTGGAGTCCAATAAAAAAAAAAGAAAGTGTTTTCTAATCGTAACTTTTTTGTAGACCATATCCCTAATGCCAAGATCCCTTGTGTTGGTAGCCACCCCAAGAACATCATCTTGTTGACCTGCGATGCGTTTGGTGTTTTGCCTCCTGTGTCCAGATTGACTGCCGAGCAGGCCATGTACCACTTCATCTCTGGCTATACCACCAAGGTTCCCGGTACTGAGGACGGTATTCTGGAGCCCCAGGCTACCTTCTCTGCCTGCTTCGGTGCACCTTTCCTTGTGTTGCACCCTCAGCGCTATGCATCGATGTTGGCCAAGAAGATGTCTGAGCACAAGGCCGATGCCTGGTTGATCAACACTGGTTGGATCGGAGGATCTGCCGCGACTGCCAAGCGCTGCCCTCTCAAGTACACCCGTGCCATTCTGGACTCGATCCACAGCGGCGCTCTTGCAAAGGGCAAGTTTGAGAAGTTTGAGGTGTTTGGACTCGATATTCCTACTGCTGTTGCTGGTGTGCCTGCCGAGATGTTGCATCCTCGCAAGGCCTGGCAGGGAACTCCGGCCCAGTTCACCACCTCGCTCAAGAACGTTGCCAAGATGTTTGTCTCCAACTTTGAGACCTACAAGAGCGAGGCTGCACCCGAGACCTTGGCTGCTGCCCCCAAGATCTAAGAAGAAAGATTATAGTCTTTTAGCCCATTAACACCTCCAACATCTCTCTCTACATACACACACACACATATATATATATGTTGTTTTTCTATCTATCATATTTCTGTAATATCCTTTCTGTCTCTTATGGTACACATGTATTTTGTATTAAAACAAAACAAAAATAAAATAAAATATTCATTTTGTCATCAATATCATCAAGAGTTGTTATTTTGGGCTATGATTTAAAAATAGATAAGAAGATAAACAGTGAACAAACGCCACCCACCGATCAATCCATCAATGTATATACATTGTCTTGATTATTTAGCTATTTTTATATTGATTATAACAAATAAAATAAAATGCACGTGTAAATGTATGTATGTTTTGTAGATGCAAACAAGTAATAAATATTTATTTAAAAAAAGATCGATCTTTTCATATATAGAAATAATCTACATACATTTTCTATATATGTATATATATAAATAGATAAACACAATGTATAGATGTGTAATAGTGATAATGATAATGATAATAAAAAGTTGTTAGTGCATATAGTGTGGATTCTAAAAAAGGAATAACCAGAAAGTTGAAATGTTATTCTTTTTTTATTTGTTTGCTCCTTTTTTTATTTTATTTTTTTTAAAAAAAAAAAAAAAAGAAAAGAAATTTACTTCTTTACTTCTCCCCTTCCCTTACACACATTACATAAATATACATACACTAAATGAGTACAGATAAATATATACTATGATTATTTTAGATTTTTGGGTTTTATTTTATTTTATTTTATTTTATTTTATTTTATTTTTTTCCAATGTTATATAGATAGAAATAAAAAGAAGAATAAAGAAAAAAAATTGATTGTAGCAAATGGTTCTATTTTTAACAGAGAAAGAGATGGAAAGGGAAAGAAACAGAAAGAAGACCAAAAGAGAGACATAAAACAAGTAGTTAATAGTAGTAGTAGTAGTAGTAGTAATATTAATATTAATATATTTATATATATATAAAAAAAAAGGAATGAAAAGTGTACATGAGAGTTTGACTGTATTGTTGTATTGTATAGTATAGTATAGTATTTATAAATAAATGTGTGCAAGTGTATAGAGAGAAAGATAAAAGAAGGGAGAAATAATGAACATAATATTTTATATAGATTTTTTTTCTTAGATGCGTAGTTGGCCTTCTAATGCTTGGAGTTGTCGCTTGTCTTCTGAGCAGGATAGATTTCCCCAGATGATGTCTTGGGTGGTCAGACTTGGGTAATTGAACATTTCGTCCGTAAGTTCGGCCATGTCTTCATCTGATGAGCTTGGAGATGATGTAAGAGACGGAGAGATGTCCGGAGACTGGATGGTGCAGAGAGAGAGAGACATTGATCGTGGAATGGAGATTGGTTCTGATGTTTCGGATAGGTTAGATGGCAGAGAGAGCTTTCTTCGGGTCAGTTCGGTGCGCATGGAGTGAAGGGTTGCAGAGTGGCCGCCGCTGGTGTCGAGTGGATTGAGTTCGGGATAGTATCCTTTTGGTATGCTGATCTTGCTCAGTTGGGGATGGTGTGATGGCTGCATTAGTCTTCCAGAAGCAACATCGGCCTTTGTATAGTACGAAATAAGATGGATCTTTTGGTTGTTGACTGTGCAGATTGAGAAGCTCTGTTTGATCAGCCCATTTGGCTTGTAAGAGCACCCGGCCGATGATCGTGGATATTGACTGGCATGATTGGCTTTGTTTAATGATGATGATGAAGATGATAATGAAGAAGAAGAAGAAGATGATGATGATATTGAAGATGATATTGAGAGGTGTCTGCGTCTGTGCTTTGTGTTTAATTCGCGATAAGTCAGGAAGCTGCCGAGTACACGGCTAGGAGACCAGGTCCGGCCATCGGTCCACCTTCTTACACCGGCCTCACGCTCATCCCAGGCAAACACCGATCCAGAAGTGATATGGACTCGTTCTTTGGATGACAGTCTTCGCTGGACACGGTTGAGTTGGCCTCTTCTGCAGGCCTCAAATATTATGAGAGCATCCTGAGGGGTTTTGATGTGACCAATAAAAGTATCCATGGCAATTCGGTTTATTCTTATTTATTTTTTTATTTATATAAAAAAAAAATTAAAAAGAGAGAAAGAAATAATGAAGGAAAAGAGATAAAGAGAAAAGAAAAAAGGAAATAAATAAGTTTTTTATTTTTTATTGTAATTATTTAATTTTTCTTTTTTGAATAAAAAAAAATGGCATTTTCATAAAATAATAATAGGGGATTAACGTTTAAAATACAAAAAAATAATAAAAATAGAGTAATAGAAACATATAGATTATTTTAATGATTTTTTTCTATTGGATTCTATTGTAAATTTCCTGTTATTCTTATTTTAGTATTTTAAAGAATATATAATATAATATAATATAATATAAAAAAAGTCTCTTTTGAATTCTGTATTTTGATGCGATTGTCTTGTTCGATCCTTGATCGTGCTAAAATATCGATATTTACGTCATGCGGAGTCTAGAACATTTCGAACAATCGATAAATAAATATTTAATTTTAAGATCTAACTATCCAAGGTGCTTCTGTCCCGACGTATTGGGTTGGTTTTAAAAATAAAGAATTTATATAATTTTTAACTTTTGTTGCTAACAAAAGGTACGATCCCCCAATATTCAATCATTGGCTCTTTTCCATGTAATCTCATTGATTCATGGCCGCACCCAGCAAAGAATAGGTAAAGACTTGCAGACATCTACAAAATACATTAGATTAATTTTCTGGGTTGCTACAAATTAGACTTGCCAGAATATGCCACCTAACAGATAAATAATATTAGAAATACTTTTACAAATTTGATCTAATCTAATATGTAACTTACCAAGCATGAAGTTGCGGATTTGGTAAGGAATCAAACACAAAACACAGGTTTGTATCAAACAGCCATACAAGGATTGCAAGTACAAGGCATTGTGTGCCCTGGCGGAACAGTCGGCTGACTTGCTTATTCTGCACTCCCTTGTACAGTTTCCAGACAAGCCAGAAGCAACTCCACATGACAACTCCGAACCTATATGTATAACCAAAGAAAAAGAAAGTTTATTTGAATATCTTTGTTGTTCTTTACTTACGATGTTTGGAATAGATAAAACTGTATTGATCCCTTGAACTGACTGGTTAGGTAGGTTGCTAGTCCACAATAGATTCCAATAGCAAGTCCATATTGGTAGCCTTGATCACTCAACAGAACCCACAACAGATAACTTGCTGTCCAGACCATTGGAACCTTTCTTGAGAATCTTTGGTTATCTTTATATGAACTTTGGACATTATGTCATTCAAGAGCACCACTTGCCTCGTCCCACATTTGATATTCAAACTGAAGTGTTCCATGAAATAATACACTATGTAATAATTATTAAAATTTATTTAAAATTTATTTATCTATTTATTCTTACCTGCCAATTCCAACCACAACAATAAATAAATAGCTAGTCGAGATTTTCAACCCCAAAGAGTTATGATGCAGTGAAAATCCTAATAATCCCATTGTAACCATTGCCAGACTCTAAATTATATATTATATAATTAATTAGATGACTATATTACAACACTATCCCAATCAACACCAGCATCCAATATAAATAAATAACTACATGTATTCTAAATCCTAAATTCTAAATCCTAAATCCTAAATTCTAAATTTTAAATTCTATTTCATTTCAACTTGCAGATATTGTATTCCAAAACTCGGCAATATAGTAAGAATGTACGTAATTTTCTTCGCACCTATAAAACACCATATTTGTACATTGTAAAAGTAAGCAACTATTTATATTTATTTATATTTATTTTATTTACCAGTCAACCGAACTTGTAGTTGGTCCCCAGTAACCATCCTGATGACTCATTTCAGTCGAAATCTCTCAAACCAAAAAAATTTTAAAGAGAAAGAAAAGAGAGAGAGAGAGAAAATAATTTATTTTATTATTAATTTTATATATAAAAAAAATAATTATATATATTTTGTGTAAATAAATAAAATATTGTTTACATTCCAACATCATCCATCCAGGTAATCATCCTTTTAAACATCTCATTGTCCTCATTGACAGTCTCATGGTCTATCCAACCCTCCAAGAAGGCTGGAGGGGTTGAGTTTGGTAGACTGGAGACAAGGGCGATTGGAAAACGTGGTTCGAATTCACTAGACGGCAGGTCTGTCTTTGTAGAGTGTTTTGGCTCTAAAAGCACCAAACCAGACACGGGCTTATTGGACACATATTTCTGACAAACTCTCCAGGATTCATAATCATGTCCGATAAAGAGAGGGGGAAAGAATGAGAGGGATTTTGTACAATCCGATAATTCTATAATACAGACAAGGTTATTTAATCTATTGAGTGATTCCATGTCTCTTGATTTAACCTTTGTAATACATATTCAATCGTTCGTCTGGCCCAAGGTGCTTGTCTGTTATTGATAAGTGTGCGACTGTAGACATGTAACCGAGTTGACTCAATCGATTCTGCCACTCTGCAGACCAACTTTTTTTTTTTATTAATTTTATTTTCTTAATTATTATTTACCTTACCCTTTGGGTGCATTGGTTTCAAGTATCAATATTGGAGTGGGTCTTTTGATAGGTGAACTGTTGGACGCATCCATGGCAGTCAAGCTAACCTTTGAACGTATTTGACATGCAAATTTTTTTAAATTCAAAAACCTGCTACTTTTGGCAAACATTTCTATTATATTTATTTATATTATATTAATTAATTAAGAAAGAAAAGCAAAGAGAGAGAGAGAATAATTAACAATATTTTTCTCTCTCTCTCTTGTTTGGTTGTCTGTACTACAAAATAGCCTGTAATAATAATAATCTAATTAACAAGCCAATCATATTGTCTTTTATCGTAAAAGATGCTTTTGTAAATAATTAGTAACACTTGGACAATCCTATACATCAATTAGATTAGATTCCAAGCCCTTTTTTTTTTCTTTTTCTTTCCACAAAAATATATTCAATTCAATTCAGTATAAATCAGTGGCAATTTTTCTTTATTTTTACTTTATTTTTCTTGGTGAGGGGGAGGTTGATTATTTGGTTATTTTGATTGGCTGGAAGGATAAATAAGGTCAAACTAATTTGTTATTTTTTTTTAAAGAACAGAAATAAAATATACATATTATATATTATATATATTTATTAATGTATTTTGTGGGCGAACCTTGCAAGTTTAAACCAAAAAAAAAAACAACAAAAAAGGGGGTGGTCAAAAAAAATTAAAGATTTTTTTTTTAGACTTTAATTTACACTATTAGTTTAAGAATAAATAAAAAAATAAAAAAATAAAATAAAATAGAGAGAGAGAGAGAGAAATGGGGTCTTCTTAATTGCACCTTTTTTCTTCTTTTTCTTATCTGTCTACCGCTAATATATAGCTATAGCTATGTTCTCACATTTTGTACTTTTGCTTTCCTTTATCTTGGACTCTTGGCACACTAAAATAAACTTTAGCCTATTTTATTTCCACATGATGGTTATATATACATACAAATTATTATTTTTATAATAATTGAAATAGTCTATTGCTGTCATATTAGCTTTTACAAGGAGTAACCAAAGATAGATAAAGAGAAAAAAAAATTAGAGGGGCAAGAAAGAAAGAAAGGTATAATTTTTTATGTTTTGAATTTACGCATATAACACACACATACAAAATAATAATAAAGAAAAAGGCCAATCATTTTATTCTATCTTTTTCTTAACTGGTGTGCTTTGAAAACGATGGTTACCAGTAGGTAAATCACTAAAGAGTTATAAAATAAAAACTATCAATTAATGGATAATTAGCTCTAGCTACAAATAATCAAGTACATGAAACACGCATAAATGCATAAGAAAGAAAGAAAGAGAGAGAGAAAGATATTCCTGTTGCTGCATTTATACTTTATTTATTTATGCATTCATGCATTTTATTCTTTGAGCTTATATATTTTGTAGTCTGTAGTTATGGCCTCTCCTTCAAGTGTTTTTTTTTTGTTTTTGTTTTTATTCTATTAATTAATTAATTAATTAATTATTTGACTTGACTTGATTTGATTTGATTGTTTGTTTGAGTGATGAGGCAATCGAGCAATCGAGAAATCGAGAAATCGAGAAATCGAGCGATCGAATGGACTAAATGACTAAATGACTCAATGACTCAATGACTGAATATTTAATTTAATTGATTTTATTTTTATAGATATATATTGGGGGAGTAAAAAGATAAACGAGAAGAAGAGGGGGGGATGATATTCTTAAATGCTGATTCTGGCAAGTCAATTTTAAGCCAAGTTTTATTACCCTCATTTTAAAACCTTGTTAAACTTTGGCTACTTTATAAACGAATAGCATGTTATTTATTTATATCTTGTGAATCATTTAAATGTATATACACACACTATCTTTCTTATTCTATGGTGTATGGTATATTTTGTATGAAATGATAAATAAATCACCAGTTTTTCTATTCATTCGTTTCTTGATTTCCATTTGCGTGTCTAGCGTCTAATTTCTTTTTAGTGTGTGAAATAATAGAGAGAATGATAATAATAAATAAATAAAAATTAGCATTACAAAATAATAACGGGAAAAAGAAATATAGCACTATTGATCCTAATTACAAATATGATCATGATCATTATCATAATCACCCAAAAAATAAATAAAATATCCTTCTTTTCCCTATTTAGATTAACCCTCAATTTACTCGATATTTTCTATTAAAGTATATAGTAAGATAAATAAATAAATAATATATATATATATATATATATAATTGTAAGTGAGAGACAAAGGGAAAGTAGGGAAGGAAAAAAAAAGAGGGGGAGGGGGGGATTATCAAATATACATATAATTAATTAATTGATTGATTATTTTGTATTTTGTATTTTTTTTTTAAAAAAAAAAACAAAATAGTCAAAATCAGATCTTTTACATTTTTGCACATTTTTATAAATTTATAAATTTACAAATGTTGTGTATGTATAATATATTATTTTTTATCGATAAAAAAAAATAGAGACAAAATAATCTGGTTGAATTGAACAATTCGTCTGTCTGTCTGTCTACCCCTTTCCTTTTCTCCCTTATTTTCCCTATACTTTTATATATATATATATTTGTGTTTGATATTTCTTGTCTACAACTTTATAATCTTTATTTGATCTATTTATTTTCTACTCCAGAGTCTGTGCCAAGATAACCAATAACCTACTCAATAGTAAAGAAACGTTATTCACTATTTCTTTATTTTCCATCTCATTCCATTCCTTTCCTTCCCCCTTTTCTCCTTCTTTTATATACAAACATACATATTCCCCCCCTCTCTCTCTCTCCTCCTTCTTGTATGTATATACCTTGGAGCATTGGTTATTTATTGTCAAAGGAACAATTGCAACAACAGCAACAAATCAAATAAAAGAAAATTACTTGTTCCTTAAAAAAAAAAGCCAACAACACCAAACACAGGAGATGGAAAAATAAACAACTTTTTGTAAATAGGTAAAAAAAAAAATGTGCATATCAAGAAATAAGTATCTATAATCTTCTATGACCAAGAATGTCCATATTATTCTTTTTGAGAAACACGCTTCTTTTCCTATGTTGCCTTGGTTACTTACCCCTCTTATACTTCTCCTTCTTGGCTATCTATCTATTTAGATTGCATTATAATTCACCACATACTTGTACACATGTGGATATGCACACAACTCTATACACTACACCCTTCACTCATAATTTTATTTTATTTTATTTTTAAATTAATAAGAAATATAGCACATGCAACTTTGCCTCTAATGGTTACTTTGGTGGCACAATGAATAAATAAATAAATAAAGAAAGCTCTTTTCCTCATATTCTATTCAAATCCTCTAATGCGTTTTAACTTTATCAATACTCTAATAAAAATACATCATATCTATAAAATATAATAAACCCAAAGAAAAACAGACTTTTGCTCTCCCCCTTTTTTCGTTACATATTGTATGTATGCACCATTCTGTATAGAACATCAAAAGCTAGAAACAACAGAAGCTTTCACACACTATATATTATTCATAGTGAACAATCAAGGTGTACCCATGTGTATCTACATACGCTAAGCCATATTTGTATCTATCTATGATATCTCAAGAAATCTCTATAGAAATAAAACATCAATTAGTCAAAGATTCATTTGATTGCTGTTGGTTTTTATAATCCAAGGGTAGAAATGAATACAATACCATAAGAGGGTCCTTGATTGTAGTAAAACAAAAGTGTGTTGAATAAGGATCTCTATCAATCTAGAGCCTAATCTTCTTCTTCTTTATACAAACAGTCAATAGTAGTTGGCAGTAGAGTGACTGCCATTCTTAATGCGTATGATCTTTACCAGTAAGCTTAATTTCCTTTTTATTTTATTTTTCCTTTTTTGGCCTGACTTTTTTTTATTATAATTAGATAATTGGACATGATGTGCTTGTGTGCAAGAGTGTATGTGCTTCTTACTGTTATTTTATTTTTATTTTTTTGGCTTTAATTTCTTGTGCTATGGATTTTGTGTATTTTCTTTGTACTACAATAATTACAGTCTCTCCCAACACCTCTTTATATAGCCTGCTCAATAATAACAGCAACAAAGAACGATTGGAAAATTATACGTTTTAGAAGCATTGGATTTTGTTTGTCTATAGAATAAAATAAAATAAAAAGTGAAAGCAAGAAAAGAAGACCTTTTTCTTGGTATGTCTCATAAAAAAAAAATCAAAAAAAAAATCAAATTCAATTGAAACGAATCTAATCTCAGCAATCAAAATCAAATTAAAATAATAAAATAATAAAATAATTAAATGATTAATATCTTCTTTCTTCTATATACAAACTCGACAAACCAATTATACACCAAAACATCATAATGTCAACGCCATCACTAAAAGATGGCCGGGCAACAACAGCCCTCGAAATAGGGCCTGGAATATTTCGCTCAAAAGAATCCAAGCAGTCTGTCCATCAACGCAAAATATCCTTGTCTTCCGCATGTCCACCTACTGGTGCTCGTTTACCAAAGGCACACTCCAGATACTTTTATTGGCCAGAGTTTTTTTCTTTAGACAAATTGCTATCACTATTATCAACATCATCATCATCATCATCAACAGCAACAACAACAACGCCAACGCCAACTAGAAATTGGATACGAAAATTGGTCAGGACAAGAGCAGTAAGATATCTTGGCTGGGCATATGTTCTCTTTAGTATCTGCATTGCCACCGGTCATCTATTTCTCTGGTCAAATGGACCAACCACAGGCAAGTCAAATAAATAAATAAATATTAAAATTGCCAAGATTTTACGGATTACTAAACCAACCGACAAATATTTGTGTATAACATCAAATTCTATAGATTCAGTCAATCCACTCACAGCACAACCACAATCATCATCACCGGATTCAGCAATAATATCCCCGGATCTAATCCCACCAGACAACCCATCTCTACTCAACACACTCTCCCCTCGTCTCCGTCTCTCCAAAATGCTCAGCAAATCACTAGTCAAATCCGAACACATCCGTCCATATTGGTTCTTGTCCGATGCCACACCTGCCCAAGACGCTCTCACGCTTGCTACTGTCATGACACTTGACCAGTGGTCTGATCTTGTACATATCGCGAATCTCTGGCAAGGTAAGCAAACAAATGTATATATATATATATATATATATAAGAATGAATATTTTTTTTAACACTCACACTTATAATTATACTTGTATGTTCGTAGGTCCTATCTCAGTCACACTCCAGGTTCCCACGGAAGTTGGCCTGAGTCCAAGTGCAATTGTAGGCCGGCTGCTACGAATCAAAGACGAGTATGAAGCCGAGGCTGTTCTCAAAAAGCATGTCGACATCCACCTCGTTCTTCGTCCTACGCAGGAAAACCAACCTAGTCTTGGTGGATTCCAGGAAGCGCGTAACATTGCCCGCCTATTCAGTCGATCCGAGTTTGTTGTACATGTGCCCATTAAAACCCAGTGGATATCTGATCTCGCAAAGTCGGTCCAAACCTACGCTTCTTTGCTTCGGGATGGCGATCTCTTGGTCGTGCCCACATTTGCCCATCCTGCCGTTGCCAATATCGATGACATTAATGGCCTCAGTGCTGCCAATTCTGCTGCTGCTGCTGCTGCTGCTGCCATCCAGGCTCATGCTCCTCAGGGATTCGATTGGCCGTTTGACAAAGAAACTCTGTTGGACCAGGTAGAGGAAGGTCGAATCGGGTTGCTCGACTATCATTGGGGGCTCAATGAAGGACCCACGTCGTACGAGGAATGGCAAGCAGCAGACACGCCCTATCTTGTGACTGACTATAGCTATCACTACGGCCCTGTCTACATATCCACTCGCAAAGGACACCCATGGTATGTATAATAAGTCCAAGATTTTATTTTATTTTATTTAGTGTATAATTAGATATAATGTGCTGTGATTTAATGAAATGTCTGTTAGGTGTGAGGAACGGTTTGAAGATGCTCTTCCGGCTTGTATCTATTCAGCCTATCTTGCAGGAGCAGATCTGTGGGTACTTCCAAACGACTACATCTTAAGGACAGGCCAAGAGCCCGAGAATACTCTTTCAGGAGAAGCAGTGAGTGGATAGATATCTACAGAGTAAATTGATTTATTGATTTATCTTTTTTTTTTAAAAAAAAATTATTAGCGCAAGATTCAATTGCAACTGTACAAAAATTATCGCATTGAGCAGTGTGTCTTTTACGCAAGAAAGTTTGACCAGAGCCAAGAATTTGGATCCGAGCGCTCGAGTCACATAAAGCAAGAGTGCACCAAAGTTATCGGTAGTCTTAGAAAGCAAGAAATGATCAGCAAGAAGCCTTAGTTGGTTTAGTTTTTAGACCTTGGATATATCGATTATCCAAGCTACACAATGTGTGTGTGTATGTAGGATGAATGGCAGCATTTTTGGATTCTTTTGTCATTCTTACTCTGTACTTAATTATTTATTATATTTTTATTATCAAAAAAAGAAAGAAAGAAAGAGAGTTCAAACAGGTTTTTTTTACAACCTAATTAATATTCATTCTTCTATAGACATCTTTTACTTTTTCTATCTATTTATTCATTAATCAATTAATTTATATAAAACTCTTCATTCAAACACGTAGAATGATCAATGTACTTTATAAGCTGGAATATCAATTGTGTATAACGTAAGGTCCAAGAAGTATAGCAAATACATACCTATAGTTTGTTTTAGATAAGACAAACATTAAAGAAAGTAAAGCAAAAGGGGTCGGGGACTATGCTACCGGTCCCCACTTTTTTCTTTCTTTAGGCTGGGTTGGGTGGTGGTGACACGCTTGTTGAGATTTTTTTTTAAAAAGATAATACTCATGTGGGACAAACAATAACCCAGAGTTACCAGCTTCATCTTTGTGTGTGCATGTAGATGTTACTGAGAGGGTCTTTGCCGTGCGTTTCAGAACCCCGCGTTTTTCAGTTGGTTGGAAAATAAAATAGTAGTAGCAGTAACAGTAGCAGTAGTAGTTGGAGCAGCAGCAGTAATAATAATAATAATATCAATAAAACTCGGTTCTCACGATCTGACTTTTCACTTCTTCTTTCTTTCTTTCTTTCTTTCTTTCTTTTCTTTTCTTTTCTTTTCTTACTTGAAACTCTCACATAAACCATGGCAGCCAGTTCAGCCGTCGCCCAGACTGCTATGCAGCGGTTCATCAATTCTCCTGCTGGACCAAAGACTATCCACTTTTGGGCACCTCTTGCCAAATGGGTAAACAAATACTCTTTTCTTTTCTTTTTATCAATCACTTATACACAGTCAAGTAAACTAAAAAGAAAAGCTATCTATATAACCTACCAGGGACTTGTTATTGCTACCATTGGTGATCTCGAAAGACCAGTCGAGAAGTTGAGTCTCAAGCAAAATGCATGTAAGTATATTTTCCAAAAACAAGACTAAAAAAAACAACAATATAAAATCTGACATGAAAAAAAAAATTATAAAAAAATATATCTATTAGCTCTCATGGTAACCGGTTTACTGTGGAGTCGTTATGCAATGGTGATTATCCCCAAGAATTGGTCTTTGTTTGCCGTCAATGCTTTTGTTGCTGGAACTGCCATGGTCCAAACTGGTCGTATCCTTCAGTGAGTAATTCTTTCTTTATATATATATATATATGTTTCTTGTTTTGGGTATAGAATCTGGACCTGGTCCTAGTGCTTGCCCTTGCCCTAGACCTAGACCTAGATCTGGTCATGGTACTGGTACTGAGTATTGGTGTTAGCCATCTTTCTCGCCATCTCCTTTCCCATCTACCCACATACAGACACATACATAAACATTCTTGTGATGGGTAGCTTTTATTTGTATTCCAGTCAACTCACAGACATATATCTTTATCTTTATCTATATACTTTTTTTTTCTATTTTTGACCCGGGATAAATAAATCACAGGTACCAGCAGACCGATGCCTATAAGCAGCAAGAGAAGCAAGCCGTTGCCGCCTAAACGAAACCAAGAAAAAAATAAAAAAGAAAGAAAAAAAAAGGGCAGAAATCAGCATTTTGGATTCTTACGCATTTACTTGCCAGTTTTGAAAAGGTCTATGTTACTTAGACACACCTTTTACACCAAAATATAATATAATATAATATAATATATATGTATTTATTTATTTATTATACACGGTATTTTCGGTTGAGTTTGGGATGTTTTTTTTTTTTTTTTTTTTTTTTCAAAAAAAAAAATTGGGGAAAAATATAAAAAATAAAATAGAGATGTGGAGATATATGTAACAATCTTTTCAATCTTTTCAATCTACGCACATCCAGATATACATCTTCTGTGATGTTGAACCCAAGATTTCCTGTTTTGGAATATCTTATATCTCCAATATTCTTACAAAGCTCTCATAAATCAATAAGGCAAGGGGAGGGCAGATCCCATTTCTTTAAGATCCTAGATTTACTCTCAGGTCCAGCAGCATTCAGTACGCATACAGCACACAAAGCCATTAACCACCTAAAGACCGGCGGATGTTACTCATCAGTAGAGCGTGTAAGCTGTCGTGCATGTCAGGACGCCAGATGTTTGCTTGCACAACATATAAACCTTGCCTGTCTTTTAGTATGGGCTTACTGATCTGTTTTCAGATGTCTGAAGAATCATAGAACAAATCCACAAAGCAACACAGTATTCTTAGCATACACCTCTTCATCAAAGCCAGGAAAGATACCTATCTCTTTTTTGCAACCCATATTCGATCCTTGTACCTATCAAACCTTTGGGTCCATTCATTCGTTAGTGTGACACCACACCACACCACACTAATGCATCCTTTCTTTCTCTCTGTATTGCGCATGTACCACAATTACTCTACTCACAATCAAAAAATAAATATCTTGGTATCGGTTCTTGTCAAGTATATATACGTCGATCATATTCTTTAGACCAAGAGGTTATTACATACATATATTATCGATACAATTTGTCCTAAGCTAAAATATACCTCATCATAGTCATACCTTATACATTATATCTATATCTATATCTATATAACTGTGACTAATCTCCACTTATTTCTTCTTCTTCTTTGTATGGTCATCCAATTATGATTTACTCATTTTATTAAGTATTCAGATTTTTAAATGGCCCTGACTCTGATGCAAAGTAAAGTGTGTAGTAAACACAAATGCCTGACGGTTTATTTTGGTATACATAAAGAAATAAGGTACTAAATAAATTCAAAGCATGGATGATGTTTGCTTTCTTTTGTTATCTATATTGCTGTCGGTGGTACTGGTTTTGGAAATCCCTTTTCGTTTTCCAGTCTTCTGGGGAGAGATAAAAGGAGGAGAGAGAGGGCTGTTGTCGTCTGAGATGGTTTCGTCGCTGCTGTAATACTCAAAACTTGTCATGTATCTTTGCAAAACATCGGCACCGTGGATGACCAACTTCAACGTTTTGAACAGATTCTTGACATAGCGAGGGAGGTCCTTTGGATATGTAGCAGGGTTGGTCGGAATTGGGTATGACATGACTTCCACAAAACAATAGAATCCAATGATGGGCATGGTCAGACAGTACAAATGGATGGTGTTTTTATACAGCTGCATTCCAAAAAGCATCAGATCTTTTGCTTCTGCCATAACCAGCTTTTGTCGCAAGATGCTTTTCATCATCTTTTTCAGATTCTTTGCTATCTTTTGCCTGTCCTTGAGATAATGCGTAAAGTCTTCTTTCCACATTGGGCCCGAGATCTCCAGGATCAAGAGGTCCAGGTTCAGTCGTTTCAAACAGATTATACCGTCAATTGAGGACCCCGACGATCTATTCTCATCATCATTCTTTGCCAGGTTTTCTTCTTCTTTCGAAGCCGACAGCTTTGTTTCGCCCCACTTGTAATACCACTCCTTTTCGTTCAAGTCAAAAAGAGTCATAAAAATGCCACTGAAGTAGCTGATCAAGAACGTATACTCGTTTTGGGAAACAATAGAACCACGAGCTCTCTTTTGTTGAAGCTTTATGATTTTCAAACATTTCTTCTTCCATCTGTACCCTCTATCGGTAGCTTCCAGCACTACTTTTGCCCGAGGTCTTTGTTCTGTGTCTGCCATGGAGCGCACAAGGCTCTTTGTATAATCATAAGCAATGTTTGGTGTAAACTGTGCAGAGGAAGTGTTGCTGTTAAGAGCATCTATACATCTTTCTTTAATAGCGTTGTTCCATTTTAAAAAGTCATCTTTCAATAAACGTCTGGTAGCATTCTCTTCAACCTTGGTAACAAAATCAAGTATTCCATAATACATATAATCTCGCTGGTGGACCTCAACTCGTTCTTTCTTTGCTTCATTTATCATCATCAGTAAATCTTTATTCAAGCTAGGGATATCAAGGTTGAAAGGAATATCGGGATCATTTGGCTTTAAAAAAAAGGCATCAATCTAAATGCCAAAATAATAGTAATGTATAACTCTTAGTATATATGTATATATATATATATAAAAGTGAGAATAAGCTATATCTTATTCTAGTATAATCACTTACTTCATCAACTTGGTCAAATTTGATGTTTTTTGATCTTCCTTTTAAATTCGAAATTAAAAGTGATCCGGCGGTAGCTATAGTTTGGTCTTGAATCATATTCTACAAGTATAAATAAAGAAGACCAATAGAAAGAATTTTTTTAAAAAAAATTGTTGATTAGTGAACAAAGGGTTTATCTCAAAAGCCAAACAAAAACAAAAAAAAAAACAAAAAAAAAGTGGCGAGTATTACATTAACGATAAGCCGAAGAAGACGCGGCCAATTGACAACATTAAAATCAAAAACGAATTTTTCTTTATGTTGCGCAAACTGTTCAACCCAGAACTTCTTTAGGTTGAGAGCATTTAGATCATCGATCGTGTCATACTGAATCTTGACGATAATTTCTTCCCTTTGCAAAAAAAAGTCAGAGACCTTTGTCCTCTTTTGGGTAGAATTGCGGCTAGAAAAATCTTCAATAACATCCATTGCTTAATGTAGAATGAGAGAAATAAATAAATCTATACAAGCAGCGTACAAAGCCAATCTTTTTAAAATATTCATTAATATATATATATATATTTATATCTAGTTGTCTTTACTTTCACAACAGCAGTTGATGATGTCAGCAAAAGCCACGTAAGCTATCTTACCTTTCTTTCCCTATCTCTCTCTCTATATATATATAAAATACTTGCTTTTCTATACACTGTGGTAAGAAAAGGGAATACTTTAGTAAGAGATTTTCGCAAGAGATATTTCGTTTTTACCCCACCATGTTTCTGTAATTAATACAAACTACCTTTTCCCATAACTCCAACGTAGTATAATAGAATAATAAAGAAAATACAAAGATTTATTTAAAGGACATATTGACTTACCAGAAGGGCATCTTGAGGGTGCCTGTCGGTAACCAGCATGGAAACTCGATTTTTTCTTTACATTCTTCTTAGTCTTTGTCTCACACGACGATTCTCTGGAACATATTCTGATGATCTTATAGTACTTCTAATTTGAGTGGCATAAGCGAATCTATCAGGGCCAGTACAATAATATATATCCATTTTGCAGACTTTGGTGCAGCCCAGATTTCATTAGTAGCTGGTATGATTCTACCCACTCTCAAGTACTTCTTCAAGAGAGTGGGCAAAACAGGATCTCCAGAGCCAACAAAATGGTCCAGAAGGCCTAAGCAAAAGATTGGGGAGAGAACAGAAAGGAGCCTTGTGCAAGTGGTTGAGCTGTGATTTATACATCACAGTCCATAAGCCAACCTTGGCATATGACCACCCGACAAGACGGCTGAATCGGGTTCCTGAGCATGTCTTGGACTGACGACAAATAGAGAAGTGTTGTATGATCTGATAAATCATAATCTGGAGTTTCTTTTAAGCAAGTGAGTTTTGGGCCTTTTGTGTTCCTGGTTGACAACATAAACAAAGACCAATACATGATCACCTTTTCCCTAGAATACGTTTTCTTAGTTCCAAAGGGCTTTACTGGAACAAAGCAGTAACTTTATGCTTCAAAAAATACAATGATAGCTGTCATATTGACTCTTGTTTGAGGTGGTGAAAAGGTGGTCATGAGATCCCGGGGTTTGACTACTGGCCGGCTCAGAATCCGGGTATAGACCCCATTGAGTGTCTCTAGTAGTTCTCTCGAGATATGGGTGGCTGGTTAGACAGTCAATATCAATGCTGATGGTTTGAAAGCTGCCATGAAATAAGAATAGTGTAAAATGAGCCTAGAGACAGCATCAACTTTGTAAGACGTTATGCAATATATATTTCAATTTGTAATTTGTACCAAAGGAGGTCATATTTGATACTTGTATTATGTATATAGTATAATAAACATGGATATAGTCTTGTATTCAAAGCTTGAAGTCTTTGGGTATTATTACTGATTAGCAGTTTAATTTTGAAATCGTAAATCTTAGGGGACAGGGGGTTTTTGGATGATGGGGACAGGGTGTTACACAAGCTTATAGTGAGTAGTCCGGCAGATAATTAGAGGCGTGACTACTTTTTACTTGTCCGGCAGACATCCATCGTTTCTGTGTGTAACACCCTGTCCCCATCCAGTATAATCACTTGTCTTTATTCACTAAGAAAAATCATGCAAAAGTGGAAGAACATTTGTCCGTAACTTTTCATTTTCATTTTTATTTATTTTTAAAAAATTCATAACTCGTTCAAAAAAATAGATAGAAATATGAGAGTAAGATGGTTGGTTTCGTTGATTTTTTTTGCATAAAGTGAGTATTTGTTTGTTTTGTAATATTTTTTGAATCACGTTTAATGAGTGAATTACAAAAGTTCTGTACATTTCATTTGTGAAAGATTGAACAAAAAAACAACAATTTGAAAATATTAGTAAAAATCACTTGCAAATGCTTTATATCAATAGAAAATAGTAAAAAATTGTTTCAGTAAAAGTTTTAGACCATATTATTATGTAGAAAAGATATTTATTAGCAAAAACAATCTATCTCAAATGGTTAAAAACGTGAAAAAAAGTGTATATTTTGCTTGTTTATTCAACCAAAACATAATAAATTAACTTCAAATTTTGGATGTAGAGATGTACGTATTTTTTCAGCAATACGGCAAAATATCCAAGCTTTAGCGTTCGAATTAAGACAGAAATCTATCAAAAGCTATGCGTCGTTTCTGTTTTACATCTTTTATGGTAAAATTCACGTCTGTGATTGGATGAAGATCTTAATCAGATTGCTTATAAATGCACAGACTTTGTACTCCAAAAAATAAAAGCCAATTATATAGTCTTCCAATTAGTTGGATGCCAATAATATTCGTATCTGGGTTTTACATGTAACATTAAAATTAAAGACAGACTGGGTGCAATTGTGTTTGTTAAAAAATTAAAGAAAAAAATAGGAGTAAAGTATATTAAAAGATAGAAAGATAGATAAGTTATATATGTGTGAGGTCAATAATATCGGAAGAATTTACGGGAGAATTTGTAGGAGATTTAGTGGCAGTAGTAGTAATTGTAGTAGTTGTAGTAGTGGAGGGTAAAAGATAAGACTTGTTCTTTGGGAACTGACCCCAATGATTCCAACTTGTGGAAAAGCAGTCAATGATACTCCCTCTACGGATAGCATCAAAATACAGCGCATTTACCTTAGGCCAGGACCGATGTACATGAGGCTTCACTTTAATTGTTGTCCAGTGGCACCCATGTACATGGTGCAAGACCATCGGCAATGGCTTTCTTTTGAGAGGCTTCCGATCATGGAGGGGAAGGAAAGTTACAGGCAAGACGCTCCGATCGTCCGAGTACACACAAACAGGCTCGTTATAGGTGTCAGCTATTATCTGAGCACAGTCTGGTGCAGAGAACCACATAGAGGAAGGGCAAGATGGGATATTTTCCCCAAGAGCAGGGTCAATCTCGGAGCCAAAGGCAATGACCTCTGTCACTTCAGCAACATCCATGCCAAAGTTGTGCTCGTAAAGTTTACCGTGGGTTGCCATCGTGGCCAACATCTTCTTCACCAAAGGAAACTGATCCTCTCCACCCTCTTTCAGGTGTGCAAATACACGGAAACCGCACCAAACATCGGACTTGGGGTTAAACGTCAACGAAATGGCGGCTTGGTCGATTTGAGCAGGCAGAGCAAAGTCATGCACATTTTTGTTTTGTTTTTTTGGACTAGGCAAATCGTACCAGTAGTCGTCTTGGAGATGTTTAGGTCTTTTAATTCCAGAGGAATATTTTTCAGCTAAGAAGAAACAAAAAACAATGTAACATTTAGCATTTAATTTTAGTAAAATATCTTATCGGTTACCTTCTTCGAGAGGCTCTTGCTTTTTAGCGAAATTGGTTGTTTTAGCTATAGAGAAAACATGCAATGTGTGAGCAAACCATACAAAATATTTTGTGATTCATTTATAAGTTATCAAAAATTACCTTCTTCGAGAGGCTCTTGTTTTTCAGCGAATTGGGTTTCTTTTTTTATTTCTTTTATGACTAGAAATAGTAAGCATTAGATATTACATTGTAATTTCACAAAAAAAACAATTATAAATTACTATTTTTGAGAGGCTCTTCCTCTAAGAACTCCTTCATCACTTCTTTAAGTCCTTCTTTCAAAATACTTCTGATATCATTCTAAAGAAATAAAGAATAAATATGTATTAGATTGTGAAATCATGTTTGTGTATGTTGCATGTTTACTTTGTTCTTTTGCACAAGGAGATGTCTGTGCTTGTGACGGACAAAGTCCTTTGGGAGAGCAGTTTTCCTTTTGACGTGCTTAGGTCTTCCAGGAGCTTTGACCTCACTTGCCAAAGGAAATACAACATTTGGATGGTCAATTATTTCACCAGCATTGTCAACAAGTTCATCAACCATTGCCATAAGATTCTGGACTTGTTAATTCCCTTCACACTGACGAAACAATTGTTCAAGCTTTGTTATACATTTCACCCACGGGGCAGGCTTTTCAACGTCGATTTTCTGTAGAGAAACGTCACATTCCAGTTGCTTCAAACGTTCACCCAAAGAAGAAGACAGAATCCATCTTTCAGGAATGTCTGATAATAGCAACATACGATCTCTTGGCAGATCATGGCGACAAGGAAGACCAAACACCACTTTTACTCTGCAATTGCAAAGCTCACCAGGTACAACCTCTTCTAGAAGCTCAGCACGGATGGTGATCAAACCAATTCTGGAGACGTGGTGAATCAATCCACGGAGGCGAGGTTCATGGTATATTCTGGCATCTGTGATAGTTGCCTCATTCAACTCAAGGTCCTGATAGTCGCCCTCGAACTGGAGAAGATAGGAGCAAATTTGCTCAAATGAAGAGTTCAATGACTGAAGAGCCGAGATTTTTCTTTTCAGAGCATTATGGCCACTCTCGACACGTTGTGTTGTCACACAGTCAAAATGTTTTAATTGACTAGTGAGGTAGCCAGCCCACTTTTCCTTGCACGGCATCCACTCATCTTCAAAGTACTTTTCTAGAGTTCTTTTTTCTACAACCTTCGTAGAATCATCATCATTGTCTTCTAGCTGCTCTTTACTTTGGAAATCTTTCCGAGATGACAGCGATTTGAAAAGCTCAAGATTTTCATCAAAGACATCGCGTTTATCTCCGAAGATCATTTTGTTGACTAAATGTGTGCACAACTCTTTTTCTTTTCCTGGCTTCATTGTTTTTTTTTGCCATTTTGGCAATGTTGTTGATCATATGCCAACCACACAGAAGCTTCTTGGCCAAGGGGAACTCGGAATCAAGCGCATTCATCAATGCTTTACATTTGTCTGTAACAAATATAGGGGCTTTATCAACCCCCTCCAAAACAATTGCTTTCAGAGACTTCACAAACCAAACATAGCTCTTCTCTGTCTCATCGGCTACCCATGCAAAGGCCACAGGAAAGCTCTTCAACCTTTCTCCACCTAGGTTACTGACACCCTCTACGCAAACCAATGGCATCTTCGCGCAGTTTGTCTTGTATGTAGCATCCACAATAAAGACATCGGGGAAACGTCGAGCTCTCTTGATCATTATATCGTTCGTAAAAAATATATGAGTGAGTCTATTTCTCTCATTAAACTCGTAGAGAACGGAAAATCCCTTTGCTTCCATTGTTCTGATGAGCTCAGTAGCGCCATGGGCAGACTCCTCATCACCACGAGTAGCACTGTACTTGAGATTGTTGATATCGCTGATCCTCAGCTTTCTCATTCCTGTCACCTTGTCACTTGTTGCCTTCTGAACATCACGGGACTTGGCGTGATTCTCCAACATTTTCTTTGCAATAGTGGCATCTTCAGCAGTCAAAAGAGACATTCTTCCTTGGTGAGAAGAAGCCAAATTCTCAGGGGTGACAGGGTGGTTGTGGCAATGTTCGTTTTCCCCATAGGCGGGCAAAGGAAGATATCTTTCGCTCTTCTTCTTATAAGAAAATCTTAAGAGATAGGGGCATCCAGTAAGAGAAGAGTTGGGCGTCCTCTTTCTTTTCTCATCACTTATATTGCGCTTGTCACGATAAACACCAGCCTTTGAACAAGCAATGTGAAGAATAGGGAATTTTCCGTCCTTAATCTTAACGGTGAAGTTATTAGAAAGGGCGTAATCGTTTACGGCTTGAAGAACACTCTGCTTGTCAGGATAACCATTCTCGGGGAATGAGAGAGTTGTTTTAAGCGAGTACATCTTCTCAATAGGGGTATTGAAGTTGGTGTTCATATTTAATAAAAGAGCACTGTAGTTATATAAGTATTTTTATTGATTCATGTATGCAATGTACGCAATGTATGCAATGTATGCAATGTACATAACGTAAAAAAGGCATCATATCTTGTTATTTGGAAATATTATTTTTTATTCTTACAACTAAATGTTAATGACTTTAAGAAAGGGGGTGTTTTTATTTTTCCCGGGAAATTGGAATGATCTAAAGATGGGGACAGGGGTGTGCTTATAACGATGGAGCAAGGTGTGCTTATAAATGATGGGGACAAGGGTGTGCTTATAAAGAATGGGGACAGGGGGTTCTTCAAGACACTTTATAGCCGGGCCTCGGACTCGCAGTCACCTTAAATTGTGCGGTGCCGTTACCCCCCGTCCCCATAGCCAAAAACCCCCCGTCCCCTAAGATCGCTGTTTTGAAATATGTCTTGATTTTTGTCATGATTTTTTTTTTTGGGCTCGGCGGTAGAAACTTTTCTGACTGTGTAAATCCTGCCATTGCGAATCCTAATCACGTGATATGATTTCTTATTTATTTAGTATTGTAAACAAACTGAAAAAAAAGAGATAAAATAAGGAACAGCTCACCCTACTTTTGTATGTTGGCAGTGGTAATTTACTCTGTTAATGTTGAACGTGCTGATTGCGGAAACAGTAGTGGTAATTAACCCTACTTTTATTTGATGTTAGCAGTGGTAATTTACTCTGCTAATGTTGAACGTGCTGATTGCGGAAACAGTAGTGGTAATTAACCCTACTTTTGTTTGATGTTAGCAGTGGTAATTTACTCTGCTAATGTTGAACGTGCTGATTGCGGAAACAGTAGTGGTAATTCACCCTACTTTTATTTGATGTTGGCAGTGGTAATTTACTCTGCTAATGTTGAACGTGCTGATTGCGGAAACAGTAGTGGTAATTAACCCTACTTTTATTTGATGTTGGCAGTGGTAATTTACTCTGCTAATGTTGAACGTGCTGATTGCGGAAACAGTAGTGGTAATTAACCCTACTTTTATTTGATGTTGGCAGTGGTAATTTACTCTGCTAATGTTGAACGTGCTGATTGCGGAAACAGTAGTGGTAATTAACCCTACTTTTATTTGATGTTGGCAGTGGTAATTTACTCTGCTAATGTTGAACGTGCTGATTGCGGAAACAGTAGTGGTAATTAACCCTACTTTTATTTGATGTTGGCAGTGGTAATCTACTCTGCTAATGTTGAACGTGCTGATTGCGGAAACAGTAGTGGTAATTAACCCTACTTTTATTTGATGTTGGCAGTGGTAATTTACTCTGCTAATGTTAAACGTGCTGATTGCGGAAACATTAGTGGTAATTCACCCTACTTTTATTTGATGTTGGCAGTGGTAATTTACTCTGCTAATGCTGGTTATGTTGGCTATGGAAATAGTAGTGGTAAGACTTTATCAAATGGTTACGTGTTGAACTTGATAACTATTTTATTCTTAATATTTTTCTTTTTTGGTTGACCTGTTGGATTATTACAGGTAAAATATTACCTCTGGCGTACATAGTTAAACAGGTCCTCTTCAAGTTTAGAAACTATAATTGATTGATAGCTATTGATGTACACGTAAATTATATATTAAATTCTTCCTTATTTCCTTTTACAATTCACACCAAAACTGCATTAAGAGCGCTTCCCCTCATCAATAATAATAATGACATTCAGATATAAAACGTATATTTCTGTAAGTTAGAGTTTTTAAGTAGGGAGACACTGTTGCTTTTCATCAAAGGAAAGATCCCTTAGAAAAGATAATATGCATACTAAATAATCCTTAATCGACAGTTAGAAGCATAATCAACTGGTTATATATGAGTGACTAGGTCAAAGCTGACACTTTAACAGATCAGTAGCAAGCTGTGTTAGTCTTAAAACCAAAATCAATATGATAACCGAGGGTTGGATAGAGTTACTTGGTCAGTATTGTGCCAATCTTAATTCATGTGAGAATTTTTTTTAGCATTGATCAAGATAAATGTTCAACGTTTGAAAATCCAAAAAGCAGTAAAGTTCCTGAAGTAAATATCAGGTATGCTTTCGCCAACTTCAGTTGTTCAACTTTAGAACATCATTCAGCGTTCGAAAAATCAGTTTGACGACCAATTGGCTCAATATATATATATATATCTTCAACATAAAAGCCAACAGTTTGCTTGCCAGCATAATTATAACATTTCAAATATTTAGATTGTTTCTTGAGCCAACCAAGCTCGCTTATATTTTCAGCTTATTATCGAATTAATCAATAAAAAAGAACTATGGGCATTTATGAATTTATATAAATGTACACAATTCAAATCACCCAACTAGCTATCTAACCAATCCCTTGCGTATTTTTATCTAACTATAAATCAATATCTTACATCACACACACACACACCACATTTCTTGAAGTTGTTGTAGAGTAAATTTTTGTATAAGCCTGCAGACAATTTCTTTATCTTTTTTATTATGATTGAAGAAAAGAAATATGAAAACCACTATGTGGAGTAGACACACATTTAAGCAATGAGCTCGACAACTAATAAAAAAAAATATTAGAAACAATTTAACATTTCAAGATATACACAGTTGTATATAATTTTGTTTTACACAGTAAAAAAAATATTTTCCATTTTTTTAATAAGTAAAACAAAAAAACAACAACAGAAATGCCGAGAAAACAATTAAAACTTACCACCACCAGCAGCCTTGATCTTCTCCTCAGCGCGACGGGATACGAAGCGAGTGCGGACAATGGCAGCCTGGGAGATATCACCCTTGGCAAGAACCTTGCCGTAACCGTGCTGGAGAGCATCGATGACGGGAACCTTCTCGGTGTTCTTGTACTTCTCGCGGACACCCTCACCAGCCAAAGACCAGAGAGAATCGAGGTTGACAATAGGACGCCAGTACTGGTTCTGCTTCAAGTGGAAGTGACGCATACCGACCTTACCGAAGTAACCAGGATGGTACTTATCCATGTTGATACGATGGTGGTGCTGACCACCAGCAAGACCACGACCACCAGGATGCTTTCTGTGCTTGCCTATAGAGGAATTTATGTGTGAGCTATTATACTTCTTGCTTTTTCTTGTGGTGCTGTGGGAGTATGCGTACCAACACGACCGTGACCGGCGGAGACGTGTCCACGCTTCTTTCTGTTGTGGTGAAGTCTGGTAGGCTACACAAGTCGGATAGGTTGGCATCAGTCTCTTTTTCTTATTTTCTCTCTCTCTCTTTGTCTTTGTTTTCGTCGAGGGAGATGATAGTTTATAGTAATATCAAGCTCTAATGACATCCTTTTCCATTTTGATGGATGGATGTATTTAGCATGATGAGGCTCACCATGGCTTACGAGATAGAGAAGGGGAGAGAGATGGTTAGGGATGGCTGTGGGTAAAATAGCGTTGGCCGGAAGGAGAGCGGTCCGGGATGACGGAAATCAAATTATTAGCCGGAAGGGGCTGGAGGGCGGTCCAACCAGCTAAGTGCAGACCACTGGCCTACCAAGTTCTTGCTCTTTCTCTCAATCTAAAGGTGTGTAGAAAATCATTATGATCTGTTGATCCATCCAACCAAATGCACTCTCGAACTCACACATCCATATCCTCTCTGTAGTACCGATATGGAAGCCGTTCAAACCTTCGGTCGCAAGGTGTGTATTATATAAATACATACGCATGTGCACACATATATGTATACATGCGTGTGTGCATGTGTAAGCATGCTGTAATGTACATGTACATTTCAACATTGTTATTTTTTTCATTTTCTTAAAAGCAAAATGACTTTGTATTGAAGAAAATATTACAATGTCTTAGGAATAATAATAGGAATAGGAATAACAATACTAATGTGAATATAACTCTTCTTTTTATAGAAAACCGCCACTGCTGTTGCCCACTGCAAGCGCGGACGTGGTCTCGTTAGAGTTAACGGTTCCCCTCTCGCTCTCCTCGAGCCTGAGATTCTCAAGTTCAAGGTCTACGAGGTCATCCTCCTGCTCGGTGAGGAGCGTTTCTCCAACGTCGACATCCGTATCCGCGTAAACGGTGGTGGTCACACCTCCCAGATCTACGCCATCCGTCAGGCTCTTGCCAAGGCCATCGTTGCCTTCTACCAGAAGTACGTCGATGAGGCCTCCAAGAAGGAGATCAAGGACATCCTCGTCCAGTACGACCGTACCCTCCTCGTTGCCGATCCCCGTCGTTGCGAGCCCAAGAAGTTCGGTGGTCCCGGTGCCCGTGCCCGTTTCCAGAAGTCTTACCGTTAAAAAGTTTTCCACCCTGGGCTTTTTTTTCCGGCGCTATTCTTTTTTTTTCTTATGTGTTATGCATATATATTTTCTAAAATAACAATGGGATTGTGTGTATAATTATATGTTTTTTTATCTTTATATGTTTTTATGCATACAGTTGATATACATACATTTGGGTTACAGGCGTATATATTTGTGTATTTACATACTGAAATCCATGCGCACGCACATACATATTGAAAGATAATAGGAGAAGATGGGGAAGGAATAAGGTGGGAGAGGTATACACAGATAGACCATTAATACACATTTTGTGTGCGTATTTTTCTTGTTTGTATAATATTGTGCTTATGCTGGCATAATATAATTCCAAAAATAGAGAAATGAGGTTCAAGGCAAAATGATTTTGAATGAATTTGAATAGAAAGATAAAAACAAGAGGAAAAAGAAGATGAATTGGGGTTGTATGTGATTGTGCGTTGTATTGTTTTGTATTGTATTGTATGGCGTGTGCGCTTGCTTGGTTGCTTGTTTGTTTGCTCGTTGGATTGGGTGGTTGGTTGGTTGGTTGGTAAATAGTTGGATAGATAGACCGATTGATTGTATAGTGGACTTGGATTTGCCTTTGTCTGTATGGGTGTGTGGGTGTGTTCTTTTTTGGAGACTCTTTTTTTTTCATTTTCTTGAATTCATCAGTCAAGGCTGGTCCCACTCTTTAGTTTTTGCAGTTCAATCTCTAGTCGTAGTTGTTCCAACTTCATCCCCTGCATACGTTCGTCATGCTCCATACGCTTGCTCTCCAATTCAAGTTCTACGTATTTTAATCGTCTCTCTTCTTCCATATTTTCCACGCTACGTTGACTATCTCACACGCAATAAGATAGTTTATATATATATATTAATGTTGATAATTTTTTTTTATTATAAAATTGTAATAAATTACCTTTTCTTCCGTTTACTGGGCACTGCATGACTAGTATTCAGTTGAGTTCTCGATGTTTCTGGGTGAATGATTCCATAAGGTGTCGATTGGCGCGTCGTTGCCTGGCTGTTGGGAACAGGGGTATTGACCATCATAGGATCTGAGGTAGGAATCGTCTCAACTGTCTCGGAAGGCACACCAAAAGGTAGTGTAAATGAAGTGGTGAGCTGAGTAGTCTCTAGGTTACTCCTACTGTTACTGTTGCTGTTGTTGATTTTATTGACATTGACATTGGTATTGGTATTGGTATTGCTGCTTCTATTGCTGCCGCTGCTGCTGCTGTTACTTTCCGCATCCGTTTCGGGCTTGGAAGACGAATCATCCGCATCACCAGTATCAGTAGAATCAACAGAGAAAATGTTCTTGCAACGATCGTAATATCTAAATTCTTTCAATAACTTGCCTGCGGATAATATTTTGAGTCATGATTGTTCATCCTTATTCTATCTTGTTCTTTCAAGCAAAATACTCCTTTTTTTTCTAGTGTAGTGTCTAGTTAAATCAATCTATCTAAGTAAAAATACAAAGCTTACTCTTCGTATCAGCTCTGGTTTGTTCATTTGTTATTGCACGCAGCTGATCATCCAATCGTCGAAACCGTGATTCCAACCAACGTACTTTGAACTTGATGGCTTCATGATACATTAATTTGCTAAAGACTTCATCTGCTACTCGTTTGCTGTAACTGGATTTATTTTCTTTCCATTTTTCATAATGACCTGGTTGTTCCAAGTCTGTCAATAACAGTCCGACATCTTCATCTCTCCATTGGACATATCGTCTAGCTACTTCTTGTACGGTGGGTGGTTGGTGGGTGTACGCGATGGCGTGTGACATTAATGGTTGAGACATTATGTTACTCGGTTGGTTTTTTAGGGATTTAGTATTATTTTTGTTATTATTATTATAAGTGGTAATAGTAATAGTAGTATTTTTATTTTTATTTTTTTTTGTAGCAATAAAAATAAAATAAAATAATAATTAATATAATATAAATATAAATATATATATATATATAATTATATAATATACTATTATATAATATAATAATAATATAAAATAAAATATAGAAAGGTCTCCTCAAACTCTACCTTGAGGTTTTGATTGAGTGATTGATTGATTGATTTATTGACTGAATGACTGACTGACTGACTGACTGACTGACTGACTGATTGATTGATTGATTGATTATTGATTATTGAACATTAAATATTAGCCAATCAACAGGGATTGAATAAAGTACACCTTTACTTTGGTTCATTTTGTCACTATTTTATTTCATGTCCAATATATGTATGTATTTAATTATCATTCATTTGATTTGATTTGATTTGATTTGATTTGATTTGCTTGGTGGTTGACCTATCTTTGCCTTCATTTCTCCAGAGTCAAAAATAAATAGAGAGAATGAAAATAAAAGTAAAGTATTTGATCGTGTTCAAATTATGGATGACAAATGCTGTGCTACCAATGCTGACTGATAGTAAATACATGCACACTCGTACACATTCAGGGACAATTTTTGTATCAAGACACGAGAATCAGATTTCAATTCCTTTTTTTTAATATTTATCCGGTACAAATCGTAACTGAAATATAACCGTATATGAAAATTCAATATTATAAAGGGAGGAGTAAATTACATATATAGATATTTAAAGGCATATGTTTCTATTATATATATATATACATCAGTAAAATATGATATTTACACCCTGTCAAAAATAAATCACAAAAGTATTCATTGTATATAATCGAGCAGTCTATAGCTTGAACATGTCTCACATACAGGTTATTAATCTTTGATTATTAGATTCCATTCAATCAGCTGTTTGTGCAATATCCATGAAATATCAACCAAATAAAATAGAATAAAATAAACACATCATTTATATACATGTGAATTTCTATTCTTATACTTATTATCAATATACAGGCATTATTGAATTGTATTGGACCATAAGTCAGATCATCAAGCTCACAGAATATTGTACTTACCCTCATCACACCAACAAAACAAAACTAAATAAAAGGCAATATCTTACTTTTCATAAAAATCCTCTTACCAAAGCTTCTTTCAAAAGTTTTTGCCTTTTCTCCCTTTATGTATTTATTTCGTCTTTTTTCTTTGTTGGTGCTAAAAGACACCAATAGAATATGTGACTAAATTTACACAGCACATATCTCCTTTTAGTATATAAAGTGTATATATGTTTTAGAGACTATCAGCTAAGGCCAATTACATTGAGCTAACTACCAATAATACCATTCGATGGACAGATTGCTATATAATTCAATGTATCTGCCATAAAAACCTTTGGCTGCTATAATTTGATAGACCAATCAAAGTCGGATCCGATCAATATTCTCAGCTACATATTGCAGATTTAGAGTCTAGATCAGTACAGGCACACTGTATTCCAAGGCTAATATCTATAAAGAAAACCACACGTCTTACAAAAAATTACATCTTCCCTGCTTAAAGTGTTCATAAAACACCTTTTCCTTGGGGTTTATAACGCCTCAGACTCCATATCGAATGTTAAAATCAGAGTCATTGATATCATTCTCGGTTTCCCTCTTTTCTTTTCGATATGAGCTATTCTTAAAGAATGCCTAAACCATCATCACGTCGAATTGTCAGGTATCAAAGCCCAATGAAACACCCTAAAATACATAAGTTTGGCTCTGTTTTTTCTTGCATATATTTTTCAGGCAGGTTCCTGGGGTGTTGAGGGGTTTTTAGAGCATTAGTATCTCCCAACAGGTAAAAATAAAATAAAAGCCAAATACAGATAAATAAACGACAGAGTGGCAAGGACACTGACCATAGTTGAAAAATAGTAATAATAATAATAAAAAAAGTCAACATTTCCAAAATTAATTGAGATTTGGCGCATGCCATTCGTTTAGTTATCATCTTCTAATATACGCATTAAAAGCCAACAAACCCACCATACCCAGTATCAAATGTATCCGACAAGGCTTTCAACAGGGGCATGAACCGGGATAAAAGACAGACTGGATCAGATTCATACTCCTGCTTTCAGCCCAGTTCACTAGCCTTTGCTATAACTCGGTCCACTATCACAATTCGTAGTACGGATCAGAAGCCTAATTCAGCAAGAGATCGAACCTAGTTGGAATATGACACGGTGGACTTTATCTATCAGTAACTTTATGTGCCTCTCATTGTACAGAGCTTATAAGTAATGATACAGCTTTAGAAATGGCCTAAAGTAGTTAAATACTTCCTCTGACTTGATTTTTCCCAATAAAATGATTCTTTCTACCCGTCTTCTTCTTCTTGGTACTGAGTTAAATAGTTACTCTACATGTCAGCTAATAGTGTGTCACTAAAATCTAGTCTTTAGTGTATTGTATTTGAGTCAGTCAGATCGCAAGGAGATAAGAAAAAATTACTGTACCTATCTCAACAAGAACATTTACTATGCCCACCTTTGGTTTTCTATCTATTATTTAGTTACAATCAAAGTTTGGTATAGCAATAAAAGTAGGAAAAGTAAGATTATACTACTATCATTATATCAAACGTTATAAAGACTACTTCATGACCTTTTTGCTGTTGTTGTCTTTATTTTATTAATGATATATAGAACTGTATAAATGGCCAGCATAAATTATATATTCTGTCAAATCAATCAAGGGTAAAAACCTCTTTCACTCCCACATCCTAGATTGTCTACCTTGAAGATTGCTTAATTTACCAATGAAATGAAATAAAAGGTTGCTTGAAAAAAGGATCGTTTTGATCAGAATATATGATTAGATACCAAAAACAAAATCAATTCTAGATCCAAATTTACTAAGCAAAGTTTCTCTACACTTATAAGTAACATAATGTAGAACGTTAAGGTCCGCCATCTTGAGAATGTTTTCCATTGATTGCTTCAATATTGATCAAAATATCTCATTTTTTCACTTTAAAAAACTATTTACTAATCAACTTTTCGATATTTACACCACATAAGCATGTCTGATCCAAAAAGTTCCCTCAGACTATACACCTAAAAAATAATTGGAAATTTGTGTTTTTTTCTATTAAGTAAAGTTGTTGAGCAGAACTATTGATAATGCTCAGTGCATGTTTGACCAGCAACAGACCAATATTCATGGAGATATCGGTAGAGGTAAAAATGTCAATATCGATTTACACCATGCGATTTTGTTATTTAAATGCCCGACCGTAAAAGATGTGTGCCCCAAAAAATTGGTCTCACTGTGCCATGGCAGGCTTTATAATAATTTAGCACAGAGTATTAGCAAGATAATAGTGTCATTTATCACAGCAGATTATTATATGGATATACATATGGTAGCTGTATCTCATTTCTAATCACAAATATTAGGGATAGAGAGTTACACAAAACAACAGGGATTAGTCCAGCAAACATTAATCTGTTACGGTCGATAGAAACCTTATTAAATGTATATATATATATGTAAAAGCCTTGATAGCATTTGCAAAAGTTAATTTTGAACAATTTTTATTTTCAATTATTCATTTCAGTTATTTACTATTTATTATTATTTTATTATCTCTCTATTGCAAAATAGATAAATAAATAAAGTAGCTTACTCGAAATGCTCTACCAAAATAAAATCACCAAACAAATAAATATTTAGCTTTGTCGAACTTGCATTGTGAAACAATAGAAGAAAAAAGCATGGAATTTGAGCCTCTGACTTGTAACAGAAGCCCTTACCAAAAAGCACTTGTTGGATCTAATTACAAATTGGCAATTGTGTGCAGTTTATTTAGGTGAATAAAGGTCGTCAAACAAAAAAGTATGACTGTACCATTTTGTCCAAGTATTAACTACTGTAAGTAACTTTTCAATAATCTTTATCCATGTATTCATTTGTCCTCAAAATAATACCCGCAGTAAGGGATGTACAATTAAAGAAATAACAAAAACAAAAGACTTATTCACGCCTGTAACCCAATGCACCACTTCAGTGTCACCATAATGATTCTATATACTTCTTTGTATCGGAATCAGTCACGCTCAGCATATTACATATTTTACTCTTGCACAGCGACAATAAAAAATGATAATTAAAGACATGATTTTATAGTACTATTGTTATATCTCTATGTATATATGGCTAATTTATATTCAACTATCAGTCATATTGACTCTTTGTAAAGTTAAAATACAAGTATAAAAAATCGAACTGTTGAATTGATCACTTAAGAACAAACATTTGTCAAATTGGGAAAACAATGTAACATATTCTGTCCTCATTGAAGTTAAAATTGAATTTGCATAGAAGGTCTGGAAGTATCATTTTATTTTGATCTTTTTTTTTTTTAAAAAAAAAAAGAGAGAGAGAGAGAAAACATTCAGTGTCTGTGGGATTGTAACAACATATCAGTAAGCACCTACAACAACAAGCATATTTTTTTTTTGTATTTTTATTTGGTATTTGTGCCCAGCATTTACCTTGGCCCAATATGCCCTTTTTTCTTCATCTTTCCTCTTTGTCAATATAAAAATAATGGTTTAATACACTATAAAGTTGTGTACATCATCTACACACATTTGATTCCATTTTCTCTGTGACTTGATCGAGTCTAACCCGTATTCCAAAAAAGGAAAGTAGAGGATGGAGATTAAATGGTTGGGAACACGTAAATGTGAAAGTAAAATAAAAAAAATAAAATATGTAAAGGTGTGTGTAAGTGGATGTGTAGTCATTTGACTTGTTTTCATTTACAACAATGCCAGATACTTCATTTGAATTTCCATTGATGCATGGATTCCCTCCATTTTATACGTAAGCCACTGTTGCATTCTACCACCGCAAGACTCAATCTCCTAAAAAAAAGACGGCAGCCCACCGAGGCCACTTGGGAGAGTCAGATTGGACAATGGTCCCAGGTCATCCTAAACTATGCACGCCATCATCGCATCTTCAAACTTGATCTCCAACAGTCAACATCTCCAGGTGGATCAGACTTGTTTGAGAACACAAAAATCAAGCGTGAGTAGCACTTTTTTTTTCTTTTTTTCTTTCTTTTTTCTTTTTGTTAATGTGTGCTTAAAGGACGTCTTTCGTTTGAAACACTCCAAGAGATTATCCAGGCCATGACTGTTCAAGGTAAGTGTGCTGGTGATTAATCATTTGAGGAATGGAAGTAAAGGTTTATAGGGTTAATTAAATAGGTACAGCTGAATGGGAACATGGGCCCAAAGGACCGAAAGATCACGCATATATATTTTGGCGTAGGCCAGAGGAATGGGCTACTTTGATTTGGGAGTGGGTGAGTAATAAAAACTCTCAATTTATATATATATATATATATACAAGTATTTTATGATGATTTCGTCTAGGTAAATACAAATGGCCTGAACAACACTGTCGTGACATTGTATGAAATTACAGAAGGGGATCTTTCTGAGGGACAAGGTAAGAAAAGAAAAGACTAAAATGCTTATTATTTTTGAGAGAGTACATCTCTAGTTTGTATTCAAATATAAATATAAATCTATATACAATATAACTATCTAGAATTTTATGGAATTGACAGCCAGGTATTGATCATGGCCATCAAGGTGCTTGTCAAGAGAGGAGACGCCCAATTGCTGGAGGGCAATGAAGGATACATGGGTGTCAAGTTCTTTGGATAGAGTATTATATTCCTCACAGAAGCTTGTAAAGAAAACTGGTTAAATATATCATGTACCAATCTCAAATACTTGCTTCAGTTCACAATGAATCAGAATCCTTTGTGTCTTTATCACCATACTCTTCCTTCTCTTTGTGTCTGTATGTGTCTTACACATCACTAATGGAATAAACTTTTAATATCTACCTGTATGGTCTTCAGATAGAAAACTTCATTTGTACCCGATCTTGTGTTTTCCTACAATTTTTTTTATATATTCAATATGACTTTCAGTTACCGCGCTCCCAGAATCTGTTTCTTACTCCCCCCCCCCCCTACTTCCGCCTCTTTTTTTTTTCCTCTCTCTCTTTCTCTCTCTCTCTCTCTTTATTTTCTCTGTCTATTCTCTATTCCCTTCTTTATTACTGCTGCCGTTGCTACCAATACTATTGATATTACTATTGATATTATTGTTATTGTTACGAATTGCATGTCATTCAAACCAATGGATCCCCAAGAACCTAAAACAGACGAAACCAACCACCGTATTATGACTAGAAGAGTAAGCCGGTCTGCGCAATCACGTTCTCCCGTACTGGAATCAAAGGATGGACTTCGGGAGATGGACCGACTGACACCTTCATCCTCGCCTGAGCCAGTAGCTGGGAGAGTGGCGACCCGTTCGGCATCAACGGATTCTAGTCTACCTGACATAGCCGAGACTCGCAAACGAAGACGCAAGACACAAACGAAAAAACGTCAGCCAGCCAAACAGGTCAGAGACGATACTGACCGAGAGACGCGCCACACGGCACAGAGGATGACAAAAGAAGCCAAAGAAGCCAAAAAGGCACAACGAGAGATAATAATTAAGAGCAGGTAAAATAAAAAAAATATGTGTATAGTTTATTTAAATTGGTCTTATAATTTCTGGAGATCTAAACAAAAATTGGCTGACTTGTCTGGCTGGCTTAAAGACTGTCGGAATTAGAGAAGCTTGAAAGGGCAGTCAAGAACGGGTCTCATCCGGATTATCTTCAGCTGTTACGGGACATTGAGGCTAAGCGGGATGAGAAACGTCACAGAGCAGAGGCCCGTCATGAATTAATAGAAAAGGGAATCCGGAAGATGATATTAGCCCAGGAAAAGATTGCCTATGATCAATACCACGTAAGCAGCAGATGATTAGTGGTAGATTGCTTTTGGTTGGGTTGCTGACAGATTGTCAAGTTAGATAAACTGGCCCTTCGCCGTACAATGATCCAGCAAATGCAGCAAAAGATCAATACTTTAGAACAAGAATACCACTCGCGCACTGTCCAAGGCAAGCCCTATTTTGCAACTCCCGACGTCAATGATTGGCTGGACTGGGTACCTCCGGAGCGTCCTTCTGTCATCAATATCCTTTTTCTGAATTTTTTTTTATTATAAAAAAAAAGTCCGGCACCCAAAAATCAAACAAGAAGTATTTAGACGTAGCATGAACATAATGCTTGTTTGTGTGTGATAGATTACTTGTTGCTTACACAAACAGAATATTTCCTTAACTTTGATTCGCTTGCTTTTCGATGACTTACGCTCTCTTACTTTGGGCCTGTCACCAGATTGTATAGATGAGGATCTCGCCCTCGCCCATGGGGATGCTGTATCTCCTGAGCCCAGTCACGTCCTTCCCTTTTCGCTTGGCCGTTCCTCTCCGACTGGCCGAGCTACGTCACCCATCCACTCACTGGCATCGCTGGTCGACCGCCAGGACACCCATCATCTTCATCCTCATCATCGTTACCTTTCTGACTCTCTTACTAGCACTCAACCTTTATGATCATATATCTATATATCTATACATTTAAAGAAGCTGTTTATTATACACAAATCATAAGTACGAACACAAGTACAAGCACAAGTACAAGCACAAGTACAAGTACAAGTACACAAGCACATACTAATATATATATATTATATTTTCATATATAAAATAAAGTTAATAAATAAATAAATAAATAAATAAATATGTTCATATTAATGTTCACCCAAAACAACAACAACCCATACCATGTGTGTACATGTATGCAGATTTGGTAACCTGGATTTGACATTGATAAAAAGGTAATTTCTTTTCTTTTTTTTTTGCTAAAAATAATACTGATAGTAATAACACCCCACTATTCTTCTGTTATCTGTCACAAGTCAAAAATGTTCGAATAATTTGTTTTTGATTTGTTGATATATTTTTAATAAAGAGAAACATTAAGTTATTCACTTCTTTAAAGAGATAAAAAGGGTTGGAGATGAAAGGGAAGAATTTAGTTGGAGCGGGAAGCCTTTTCGAGGACAGCATCATAGTCAACCTATACACACACACATAAAGAAAGAGTAAACGCCATAGATAATTAGTATAATAGTACAATACAGCACTACACTACACTGCAAACTTCAATCTTCAAACTGGACACTGCATACTGCACAATTTACAACACTACCCCCCTCTCCTTTGTCTTCCCTCCGTCTCTTTATCTTTTTCTCTTTCTTTTCTTCCTATTTACCTCGGAAAGATCAGTGCCCTGGATCTCAATAGCAAGACCAACAAGCTTCTTGCGGAGAGCATCCTTGGAGGCAGCGTACAACATCTTTTGACGGACCTTTGACGTATCAGGAATCCTAAAAATTATAATTTTTGTTTATAAATAAAAAAAAAATAACATCAGATTACAATGTGTCTTTTTTTTGGGTTAATTTTGCTATGACAAGTACAGGTACAGGTACTGGTACAAGCAAAAGAAAGAATGGGTGCGCAGTAGTATATTTACCAGGCATAGAAAGTGATCTTGCTTCTCTGACCCTCTCCGGGCTTCTCGTATTCAAAGTCATAGACAGCATAACGGGGTTCATCACTGGGGAGACACTCGAGGAAGTCCTCATAGTTTCCAGTCTCAGCCTTCTTCTCAACAATGATCTCTTTGTTGTCATCTATAATTATATTGGGCATTTAATCATCAGTCGCGCTTATAATATGCACACACACATACGTATATATATATATATGTGTGTGTGTGTGTGTGCTTTAAGGTAAACTCACCAGCAAGCTTGAAGATGATGTACTTGTACTTCTTGCGAAGCTTGAACTCAGAGTACAAATCAATGCACTCGTCACTGACGGCAACACCGGTAGACTACGCACAAACAAATAAAAAGAAAACAAGATGAAGTTTTCCAGATGAGTCAAGGCTGATGGAATGTACCACGCGTGAATTAATCACAGACTTGCTACAAAGTAGTATGGTCTTGCAGAGTATTGTTTATTTTATTTATTCTATTGAACCACTCACCATATTTGTGTATAGGGTTAAGAAGAAGAGGTGTGGAGGGGATATAGAGAGTAAAAAAAGAAAAAAGAAAAAAAAGACAAAAAAACGAATGATGCCTCCCCTTTTTAACCTTCTTTCCCTATGAGTTTCTTCATTTTTTTTATAATTTTTTTTTTAACTCGGGTACATTGTCCTGCCCAACATGAACGATCTCTGACTTTAAACTTCTACGTCACTCGCTTCAACTCTGGGTAACCACACCGGGTGCCAAGCCTATGATGGGAAGCACCCTAGAATATATATATATATATAAATTTGTTTCTGACTGCCTGCCTGTCTGACTGTCTGACTGTGTGTGTGTCTGTGTGTGTATACGTGTGTTTCTATCCATACCTATTGTATACAGTAGATTACTGGCCGCAGCAAGATGAATTTCTACTCTATTTTATATTTCTTTCTATTTATCATATATATATATATACTCTCGTGGGGATGTGCGTGCACATATAAATATTTGGAATTATTGCGGCTGTTATTTGCGTCTGTTTCGCGAGTTTGTATAATTGTATATTATTTCTCAATGTCCAGATCAATTTCATTAGTCCATTTTGGTAGCATTTCTTTATATATATATTTGCATTATGGCGGACAACCAAATAATAATAATATATTATATATAAATAAAAAAATAAAAAATAGCCTATTTTTTAATTTTTTTTTGGTTTGGTAAAGTTGAAGCGGGTGGCTTATAACTGGCCAAATTTGACTTTTGCATTTTTTCCTTTAATTTTCTGTACTTGTTTTTTTATTATTATTTTTATTTTATTTTAATTAATAAAATAATAAATAATTGTCTTTTTCATACACATACAAATACACATTTTTACACAATAAGCATGTCAAACGACGCAAAGAGAGCCAACGATGATACTCCCGAGGATACCGACCCTAAGCGTATTCGTGTCGGTGCCACACGCCCAGTCGCCATGGACGTACACATGGTCCCTCAGGCACCCAAAGTACCCAAAACTGTCACCCAAAAGGAAAACGCTCGTCGTCTGACTGTTATTCTTGAAGGTGCTACCCTCGAAACATTGAAGATCGGAAAGAACAAAGAGGGTCACTACCAACTACTCAACGTCGATGATCACCTTCACATCCTCAAGAAGGCTGGCAGAGAAACATACGAAGCCAGACCTGACATCACTCACCAGGTAATAACAACCAAAACAAGAAAAAGGAACCAGTAGTAATATCGACATAGACTACTATAAAAATACTGATAATTATGCTTTTGTATATACATATACATATTTGTATCTGTATTCTTGCGCTCCTTTATTTCCACAGTGCTTGTTGACACTCTTGGACAGTCCTCTCAACAAGGCCGGTCTGTTGCAAGTGTTTATCCACACCCAAAAGAACGTCTTGATCGAGGTCAACCCTCACATCAGAATTCCCAGAACATTCAAACGTTTTGCTGGTTTGATGGTCCAATTGCTACACAAGCTCAGCATCCGTGCTGTAAATGGTAACGAAAAGCTGCTCCGTGTAGTCGAGAACCCTGTGACAAAGTACTTGCCAACCAACAGTTACAAGATCGGTAAGATAAAATCCTCTTTATGATTTTTATTTTTATAAAAAAAAAGATGTACATAAAGATACTAATATATATATATATATATATATATCTGTTTAGCTTTGTCTTGGGACGCTCCTACTGTCCGTCTGTCAGAGTACATGCCAACAATCCCCGCTGACAAGAACATCGTTGTGGCTATTGGTGCCATGGCTCACGGTACTGATGACTTTGCAGACTCTTATGTTGATGACAAGATTGGTGTGTCCGATTACTCTCTCTCTGCTTCCGTAGCCTGCGGAAAGATTGCATGCGCAGTAGAAGAATTGTGGGGTATTTTGTAAATAACAGACAGGCCAAACCTCTCAATCCAATTCCAACAATCCGGCAATCAACCAACGCCAAGCAGACAAACAAAAAGGAACGCAATCAAATTCTTATTTCACAATCACCATAGCCACCACAACCTTTCTTTGCCTGTCACTTTAATCATCGTCTTATTATTTCTTCTTTTCTTTTCCTACACGCAATACACACTCTACGCACATTCAAAAACATTTTAGAACAACAACAACAACAACAACAACAACACCACCACCATCGCTACTACTACTACTATTACCACCACCAAAACCACCGCCATCACTACCAAAAAAATATATATGTCTTTTGATCTTATATAATATATATATATTATACTATTAAAATATTAAAATATTTATTTAAACAAGTAAAAAATACTTTCTTCTTCTTTGTCTTTTTATCCCAAGAGCTTTCGTACTCTTGCTTCGACTTCTTTCAATGGAATCTCAATCCCTTGAGAGACGCGATTTTCAAGTGGTGCCAATGAATACGACCCTAAATCCTTGTAGCAAACGTGTCTTTGAAATACATCTTCACTTCCAATCAAATAAAACAAATGATACGTGTTCCGGCACATTTTGTACTTCATCCCAGAGAAAGTGTACATGTTTTCCATATCACAATCTTGAAGCCCTTGTTTTCTATTTCTAAAAGACGAACAGAGAAATGAATATTCTTTCAGTATCAATTGTTTATATATTATATATTTACTAACCTTTCGAGATAACATGGCATAAGCTGTCCCTCCTTTATGCCTTCACTAAGGTGACGCCAGTCCATATAACTTGCACAATATTCTTCATATTCATCATCACCATCGTCTTGGTAAACTGACGAAGATCGACGAAGCAGTTGAAGTGACAATGCTCGCTCTTTTGGATTCTAATTACATATAATTTAGGTTCATTAAATCAAACAAACATAGAAATATTACTTACATATATAGCGCAGTATAGATCTTCATTAACACCCATTATCTTCTCGACCTTCATCCGGAAATAGCTTAGCTTTTCGTGAACAGGATAGGCCAATTTAGCATAATTCTGGAACAATCCCAAGAGCTTTTCCACTCTCTCATCATTGACTAATGGATAAATCTATAAACCAATATATACATACATGTACACATATACATATTTGTTTGTTTTTGGTTTGGTTTGGTTTAAGAATGTATATATTTAAATCGTCCCCCGCCTTTTTATTATTATTCTTATTATTATCTTTTATTATCGTTATTTACTATTGCTCGTATTGATCGTATTATAGTGAATATTATTACCTGTCGTATCATGGATATCAGGAGTTTATCGATCGTAAAGACAGGGTGTGCTCGGGTACCAAAGATATACCGTGCACTTCCTTCAAATACATGTTGCTCGATTTCCCCGGTTAAAAGCTTCTCAATCAGGTCCAACAAGAGAGTGTAGTGGTCAGACGTGAAATCCAGCTTGATATCTATACACAGCATATGTATATGTACATATATGTATACATGCATGCATATATATATAAATACATATATACGTATGTGTATGCGTATGTGGGTGTGTATACGTGTGTGGGTGTGCGCGCGCGCGTGTGTGTGTGTGTGTGTGTGTTTTTGGATTTAATTTGATTTCATTTCCTCTTTAGCAAGAAAAACAAGATAGTGGCGAGAATCTTGCCTTACTCTCCATTTCCCGTGTCTTGAGTCCAACGTCGAATTCAGCCGTCGTTGCATATTTTGCTTGGTTGACGTTGCGCTTGTATTCCAGATCCAGTGCTTTGATGTCTAACAGGCGAGTATAAACCATCTACACACAAGCAAATAAGCGGTATCAATATATGTGTATCAATGTGTCTATATGTCTATATATTACCTGAAATAAGCGTACAAAGCAATAGAACCCGCTATTGCCAAAAAAACTTGGGCGTCTACTTTGTGTAGGATCTGACACAAATGTTGTGGTTAAATGATGTGTTTCTTCCCTTTCTCCCTTTTCCCCCATTTTCCCCATTTCCCCTCTTTTCCCTCTGCATGCTCTTTCTGCTCTTCCTGTTATTTCTGTTTTTCCTGCTCTTCCACCTCTTCCCGTTCTTGTCTCTCCTTCTATTTCTGACTGCCGCGTGTTTTCAGTCGCTTTTTGGTGTGATTGGGTGTCTTCATTAAACAGATCAATGTCAAACAAGGTTGGTAAAAATAGACTCAAGAATCCACGAATCCGGTTGCAGTCCTTGGCCCCATAAAGCAAGTTACGCTCGAGCACAAAAAGAAGAATGTGAATTACGTCTTTTAAGACAGCTTGGTCCTCGAATATGAATGTGTACTGAGGGTCAGGCAAATCATTGTAGCCATCGGTTGGCTCTCGTTGCTGTTTGGTGGCTTGCTCCAAGCGAAGCGCCTCAATTTCGGACACAAGCCGCTTGACAGAATTTGCCTTTTTGTCTTTCTTTTTGAAATTGATTCCTTGATGATCCAATGCACGATAATAGTTTTTGATCTCGGCTTCTTTCCATAATTCTGTTTGCCGCTGCTACATTGCACAGATTGTGTCAAAATGTTTAAAAATCTTGGCGTGGAAATACACCCATACACGTATATATATATTACCTTGCCCTTTTGGAGTACTTCTCCCGTATGGACTAGCCGTTTAAGAACACCCGGTATTGTTTGTGCAGGATCAGTCTGTAAAAGTTTAATCATGTCTTGTCCTTTCTCATTCCCGTACACTTTCTTGATTGCACATGAATAGATTGAAGGTGAAGGACCACCAAAGTCTGGTGGAAGACGATAAGCCTTTTGCTTTTTTTCAGTCATGGTTGACAATGTCTCGGTGACTTTTTTGAGATGGTCGACTGTGGTAGTATTGGCCTGAATATCCATATCATATGCGTAGCGCGCTTCTTCGATCACATGGAGTGCTTCTTCGTACTGGTTCTTTTTAGAAGCAGTGAATCCGCTGTCCTCGCTTGCCCAGGTTGGGTGTGACACATAGTCTGTATTCAATACTTCCCAGCATAGGGGATCCCTGCCTGAGCACTGTTGTTTCCTCCACTAAAGCACAGGAATAGTAAAGGTTTTAATACGTCAGCTGTGGTTATTAAAAAGAAGAAGAAGAAAGAAAATATATAAAATCATATAGAGTCCTTACAGATAGAGAAGCAGCTCTGTAACTTGGTCCACATTCATATTTTTTATCTTCTGGTGATGCAGCTTGTGCATAGGCATACAATAGACTGTGGTCTGGCTCGTTGTAGTTCAGCAATGCTTTGAAAGATTGGAAGAGACTCGGATTGCCTCCCAAGAAAGCTTCAGCTCTGTGGGCAGCCAGATTCTCGTCTATGATTTGTTGATTAAAGAGGTTGATTACTTTGAGAAATGCATTAAAGGTAGTCTTGTTTCCGATGTGTTTTCTAGCTCTCTCAAAGAATCTTTCTTCGTCGTTGGCCAGAACATTCTGAGGTGTGGGTGAGGTTGAACGAAGGTCAGATATGGGCGGTTGACTAGGATGATCATGTTTCGATCTTTTTGGCTATTTTTTTTTTAGAAAATAAAGAAGTTGTATACATATATATGTATAGTTTTAGTTTAGTTTCTTTGTAAAAATAATCCCTCTTTTGGAGAAAAGAGATGTGATTATGATAACGATAGTAATAGTAATGCTTCACTTGCCTGTGGTAAATCATCAAGTGATTCTTCTGCTCGCTTCTTGTGTTGGTCAGAAGTACACCTTGGTTCAGTGGTACTTTCCAACGGAGGCAAGAATTCGATAAAAAGTTTGAAAAGGTCTTCAGAGTCTTTAAACAGTTTGCATATGCTCCAATAGACCTGTTCTGTCGAGACTTGTTTCTTTTGAAATTTACGCAGAATTCCTACAAAGCTTCTATATGTATCTGAATCCTCGCCAAACCTCTCCTACAAAATAATTCAAGAAATGTTTAATGATTATGATGATGATGATAATAATAATAATAATAATATGCCCCTTCCCTTCCCTCCTTTTCATCCTTGTCATCACACAAATGTACGTATGTATACACACACACACACACATATATATATATATATATATATCTGTACAGTCTGTTACCTTTAGTTTTGTTGTGTAGGCAAATGCATCCTGTAGGCTCATGGGTTGCTTTTGATGTTTTTGCTGTAAAGAGTTGGCTGTGTCTGTCGGTAGTATTGTTGTAGTCTTGGTTTGTCCCATAGGTAAACTCGTCTGGACTACCAAACCATTCTCGGTCTGGTTGCACTCAACGCGATACCCGGGTGGTAGGAATGGATTAAATCCAATAATCAAAAAAGGGTAGTCCTTAAACAATACTGTGATTGTCTCAATGACCTTGACAATGTCAGTTCTTTAGCGCATACACACACACGCATAGATATTTATATGTAAAAAAGAAGAAAAATTAGTCTTAATTTTATTTTTAAATGCACAACTTTACAAAAGTACACTAACCTTTTATTTTTAAAATCTTTCATAATTTCTATCAAATTTTGGTAAACGGCTGGTTTATCAGCATAGGTTTTCTTGACTAGTTCGAGATAAACAAGCGCATCAGCAGGATTCAAAGGTTTGTAGCCTTGTTTGTTTGCAATGGACATGTTTTTTGTATGATTGGCTATTGGTGTCCACAAAGATGAGTCGGTGTTCATGGTGGCTGCGATTGAGATTGAGCCATGTGCATTAGAGGGCATAAGGATAGTTGAACGGTAGGGATAGGTTTATCTTGGCCGAGTAAGAGTAGAAAGGAATAACGAGAAAGAAAGAATAGGTGTCTGTTGGTCTGTCTTTCTTTTTTCTTTCTTTCTACCTGTTTAGTGTAATAAGTAAAAGAGGAGAAAGAGAGAGAGAGAGAGAGAAAGAGAGAAAAAAAAGATGTATATAAATAAAATAATAATAAAAGAACCAAGAAATCCTGTACCTGCCGAAGATTTGTTGTTTTATTTGTGTTTGTGTCTGTGTTCTGTGTCTGTGTGTTATATTTATATATATAAATGTGTTTATAATATAAAAATCAAAATCAGGTATGATGTCAAGCTTTTACACTATTCTTTTGCTGCTCTTAAGGAATTGTGTTCAAGCATTAAACGAATCATTAATCGCACACACATACATAAACACATACATATATAGATGATGTAAGGTTAGATGGATACATGGATACATAGAGAAAGAGATAATGTGTAATTGAAGACTATCTCATGTATATCACAATCATATGTAAAGGTTAAAGAGTTCAGTATTATTACTACCATTTCTATTAGTTATTTTTTCTGGTAAATATTACAAAGAGCTTGTGCAAATATAAGGAAAATAAGCATAAAGAAATCACTCCTGTCTTGAAGATGGGAGCTCACCAATTACTCGAGAACAATCCTTCTTCTCTCGGGTACAACGTTGCTCTGGAACACTACACCTTTTGTTTTAATATACGTATGTATACAAAACTCAAGAAATATAACATATTTTCCAGAATCCAGCAGTTTTCTCTGGTCCCTAAACTACCTATAGAAGACTTTATAAGTAAAACTTGTGAATACAAGATAAATATTTCAATTCATAAATAAGGCCTTGTATTATTCATGTATATAATTTGTATATAGACATCGTGTCCCAAAAGAGGTTTTAAAAGAGACGTGTTCGAAAAAATGTAATATATTAGGGGTGGTCAATTAAAAACAAAAAGTTGCAGTTTAAGAAAGGCTAAATTAAGCATTTTTTATGTGATATCTCATTTGTCTTTATTATTACTTTTATTATTACCAGATATACAAGATAAAATCTATTCAATCCTAACGCCGAGCCTTAGTCTGTATTTTATTCGATAGTAACTGGTACAAGGTTAGGCGTTTGACCATATATTTTAGTTTGTCGCATAAGCTTTTTACTCGTCCTGAGCTCTTCCTTACACCAATTTTTTTCTTTCCAAATGCAGCAGTCGAAAAATAAAGTTTGATCAATTGCTTTCATTGGATAGTTTTTAAAAGCAAGTGACCAATAGAATGTTTTAAATTTGAAGACCGTTATTTATTTATTTTTGTTACACCCTTACCTTTCCTCTGGTATTTTAAACCTTTGCTTTTTTTTTCTTACATGAGACAATCTATAATCAGTTTTAATCGAGTTAAGACATAAAGAATACTTAAGAGATGTATTTCTGGTAAAATGTTAATGAAAACATACAAGCATAGAATTGAAAACTTTATTTCTAGTTTTATTAAGATATTATATTCCCGTCTTTTGTGATTGGTTAATAAATAGATTAATTGTGACTGCGATTCATGTGAGAGCATCGTTTTTTAACATCCTCAGTCGCGCTTATACTTTTCTTATTTTTTTTTCCTAGGAGAAAATAAGAGAACAAAGATGTTTAGCAATATTTGACACCTGTGTGCACGATAATGTGAAAAACATATTCACAAACTGAGACAAGATATTACGCGATTATTTTCTTCTTTCTCAAGTAAAGTTTATAGCTTGGCAAATATAGATCTCTCTCTCTCTCTTTTTCGGTGTTCACTTCTTGATCACATAAAGATAATTTAATAAAGAAGTATTTTTTTAAAAGAGTTTATTTTCTATCTCCCTTTGTTACTGTTTTTCTCAAAATATGATTGTCTACGTTATAATTTTTCTATCGCTACTAAAACTTATATTCGTTTTATTCATTTATGTATTTATGTATGCATTTTGTTGATTTATTAATCTTCTAATTCGACACTGACTATACCGTTAAAAATTACATATGCAAACAAGAAAGTGACACCTCCAGCAATAGACCACACTCTTTTACGCTCGAAATCGATTTCTTCATCCGACTTCTTCTTCTCCTTGTTCTGTGACAAGTCTTCTGGCTTGAATTCGTCCTTGACGACAGAGAAGAAGCTGCGTGGGTTGGACAACAGAGTACTCCAGGTAGAGGGGATATCTGCAGCAGGACTAGACAGTGTCTGGTCTTCAGCAAAATACGTGTCCTTGAAGCGATCGCAATATTGAGCAAGGCGGGGATATTCTTGCTTAAGAATGTGTTGTAGTCGACGGTGGGCAAGGTTTGGATAGAGGTGAAGGGCAAGGTATCCAAATACGACACAATCCAGAGTGGATGGCCTGTTTTTTTTTTGTTAATTTTATAATTAAGTTAATCAATTGATCAAGCAAACAGTTAAGCAATATTTCATATATTTTTTGTAAACTTACTCATCACCAAACATATACTTTTGGTCACCCAACTTTTTGTCCAATGTACCATAAGTATCCCTTGCTAATTGATACATCTAATCTCACAAAAATCATATTAGTCTACAGCATAAATATTTTCTTTAATCACAATTATTCGTATTAATTGATTAAACGATTTTTACATGGTGCCATCCTGTACGTTGAAGTTCCTTCATTTCCTCGACTTCATTTTGTGGTAATTCAACATCGTCTCCGATAATCTCGATGTTATATTTGGCGAGACGTGCCTGGGCATTCTTTTTCAGTTGAATTGGAACAAGGTAACGCGAAGGAAACGAGAGAATTTGGCCATAGATGGGTCTAATTGATTTGACAAAGTTTGTCATGTCTGCATACCAAGTAAATAGCTACACACACACGCATATATATATATATATGTAATTAATTACTTATTTCATTGACTGATCAATTGATTTATTATCTCTTTCTTTTGTACTTTTGTAGTTTTTATAGTCTTTTTTTTTTAAAAAAAAAATATATATATATATAATAATTATATTTACCATGATGTCGTATAGTTTCTCTTGAACCAAGGAATTATATCTATCATAATCTAAACATTTAATATATATATATATGCATAAAGAAACATAACACACACACACACACACACACACACGTATATATATATATATATATATATTGCAGAAAACCTACGCAAGTGAATCGGCTTTTTGTTCGGGATTCAGGTTCGAATTGCCATTGATTCCCTTTTTGGTAAGATGAGCAATGATGCGATCAAGACCTGCAATCCACACTGCACCATCCTTCAACAAGGGTAATTCACCTTGAAATCATTTTTTATTATTTATTTATTTATTATTATTATTACCATGCACTCAAGAACCGATCATTGTTTGTACACACAGTGAACAAATATTCAACCTTTTTTCTCTCTCTTTTATTCTTATTATTACTGTTATTACTATTATTTTTCAAGGTTGTTCTACAGCAAGTATTATTTTATGTTATGTTCTTTTATTTATTGTTATTTAAGAAAGACATGGTATATATATATATATATATATATATATTTATTTACCGGTGGGACTTGTCTGTGGATCGTTGGAATGAACAACTGTATATGGTTTGTTGAGCATTCGAAGATAGGCTTCGGCGACAATGCATTTTGGGTCAATCGAAGGTGCATCGAGAGCAGGAGACCAAACGTATAGCTGTACACTAGACATCTTTTTCTGTTTTTTTTTTTTTTTTTTGGTATTATTATTTTTTGTATAGGAAATAAAAAGTTATATAAAGTGTGTAAAGTGTATAACGTATATATATATATATATATATTCGAGTAATTAAAGTAATTCTACTGTCTCCGCACAAGGGTTGATATGTCAGTGTGTAAATAGACAAGGCTATTGTTTTTACAATAGGCTCCTGGGGCTTGTACAGATCACGTGCTTATGTTGCACATGCCTTTACGCATACAGCTTTAAAAACACGTATATGCATACACAGCACACTATAGACTATACATACATAGACAACACAGATACACACAGAGATGCATGTATAAATATTCTCTCTTTATATCTCTATCTCTTTACTTTCTTCAATGTTCACTATTGTTCATTTCTTTTTTCATTATTCATTTTTGAGTTCTATTTATCAAGAGTGACTGGTGCACCTTCATTGATCTTGACATCCAAATCCTTCTTAATCTGAGCCTCAAGATCTCTAATGTCTTGGATGCTCATGCCATACCAGCTGTCAGTCCAGCAGAACAATTGTCTATTAATATAGAGAGAAAGTAAAAATAAATAAAAAGAGTTATATATATATATATATGTGTGTGTGTGTGTGTGTGTTTGTAAGTAGTGCGCATACACATATACGCACATACACAATGAAATAATCATGTCGTAATTTAATTTAATTTAATTTAATGTAATGTAATTTAATTACCTGTGAAACTTGATGAAAAGATTATGGATTGCCTTGGCAATAAAGGACTCAACCTTTGTCTGAAGACCAAACCACTTGAATTCAATGTAAACAAGCTTGTAACAGGTCATGACAGGTTCGCACTTCTTCTGCCAATCTGGCTCAGACAATGGTCCACGTCCAGTCTTTACAGATTTAACCAATTTGGGATCTTCTTCTGGCTTGTAATCCTTGGCATCAATCTTGTCGTTGGCCACATCAATCATAACAATCTCACGCTTCTTGAGATCTTTAATACAGGCAAAGAATTAATATCAACTTTATAACAAGCAGACAAACAAACAAGTATATGTTGTACACGTCTCCCACACATAAACCCATGCACAATACACAATACATGTCTAATCTACTCACCAGCTTCTGGGATATTTAATGCATTTGGCAGTTCACCGCGAGAGTTGTTTACGTGTTGTGTCTCATAAACAATCGAAAAGTTGTCTTTCATCCAGCCATTCTATACACCCGATTGGTATTGTTTTGGAATAATATATAACTAATAAGTAACCACTCAAACAAAATACCCCTTCTACTTCCATATCCACCTCCACACAAACATCCATATCCATATCTAGCCTCATTTTCCCCTCCTCCCCCTCCCTTTCTCTCATCCTCATCCTCGTCCTCATCTTCGTCCTCGTCCTTATCCTTGTCTTTTCCCCTTCCCCTTGTTTTCTTGTTTTCTCCCTGATTCGTGTTTTAATACCTTGAGAACTATTGTGAAGATTGATGACATGTAAATATAAGTATAAAATATAAAGCTTAGACCACAATCTCACTCTAAGCAAGAAACCAACTCACCAGTTCTACAATGAGGATAAGCGTTCCATGCCTAGATTTTTTTGGGAAGATGTTTTATGTTGGAAGAAAGAAAAGAAGAGTAATTAGGTAAATAAATATATGTAGAAAGAGAGAACCCCCCCCCCCTCTCTCTCTCCAAATTCTTATTATTTTGTATTAGAAATTTCAATATTCTTGTAACCCCAATAAACCCCAACTATAGGGTTATTTATTTATTTATTTAAAGTTATAACGATTATTAATGAGTATTACCTCTTCATACAAGTCAAGCGAGCCAGTGGGTGCAACAGCACGAACAAAGGATGGTACTCGTGAAGCCAATCGGAAGATCTTGTAGGTGTACTGACCCTTTTCGCCGTCTTCCTTTTCATAGGGTTCGTTCTTAAGAACCTCTACACCTTCACCTCCACCAGTCTGTTCCTTGGAAGCCATTGCAGTGGCATATAATTGTGCTGAGATGAGAAAGACAAAAGAAGAAATGTGTAATGTGGTATTGTGTGGTTTGAAATGTTAATACTGGAGATAGAATGTTGTTATAAATGAGATCATCTCACCAACTTGGTACTCTGCCTCAGTACAGTTGTTGATAACACGGAATTCCTTGATGAGCATGGTGTAGATAGAAAAATAAAGTAGAAAAGTAAAAGGAAGTAAAAAATATATATAATAAAATTAGAGGATAAAATAAAATATATATATAAATAAATAAATAAAAATAATTAAGATACAGAGACAGAGAGAGAGGAAATAAGAGGAATTAAATAGTTAACATAAATAGACTAATAATAGATATAGAAAAATAATATATATATATATAAGATAGCAGACAAGACAGGCAAACAACTAGTTAGTCAGGCTATTGGTCATTGGTCATTGGCCATTGGCTATTGGCCATTAGTTATTGGTTGTTCAGACAAGCGGACAAGTAAGCAGAATAGTACATATGTATATACATAGTAGATAGACAGGCAAACAGATAGTATATTGATATAATTTGATAGGCTCAATAAAATGGAAGTCTTTTGAAATAGGAATGTAAGTTGGGTTTGTTATCGGAGATTGTGGACCTTTTGATATATATAATTTATATTGCTTTCTTCACTTTTGTTTCCAACCCCGGAATTCAAGCTTTTCTTCCTTCTTCTTTTTTTATAATTAGGGATGCTTCTTTGGATATATATATATATTATTTAATTTGTATGAACTGATATATGCTGAGCCGTGCTGAGCTTATTAGAGCAAGAGTACGACACAGAAGAAGAAGAAGAAGAATAAAAGAAGAATAAAAGGAAGAAAGTAAAGGCTTTGGGCAGAACCGAATGTGATTATTTTATGTTTTATTTGCTTGGCTAAAGTTTCTCAATTATGATTGGTCTGGATAAATAGAAGGTCCTTTTTATAAAATAGACTCACGTCACTTAATGCCCTTTATTTATTTCTTTCATTTTTCTTTGTCTGATTATTATTTTTTAAATATAAAAATCTACAGAGAGGAAACAGGTACACAGGAACACAGGAACACAACTACACCGACAAGAAAGTTTAAATAGATATAAAGACATATAAAGATAAAGCTTTAATGGACTTCTTTATATCCAAAGCCGAAAGAGAAATACTAATAATAATAAGAAGAAGAAAAGAAATGATATCATGAGAACTCCAATATATTCTTGGGGCCAAATTATCCGGTTTAGTTACAGAAATGACCTTTAGCCCTTTTCTTTCTAATGATGATAATGATGATGACGATAATTAATTGATTAGGAAAGTAAATATATATATAGATAGATAGATGTAAAAGACTGTATTAATATAAATCTTTTTAACCTTAATTTTATATCGTTTTTGGTTATTCTTTAAACAGCATTGAACTCCTTTTCTTCCTTCTCCCTTTCTCCTTACTTTCTTACTATATTATACCGTTACAGTATATATACTGCTTGTTGGCCCACTTAATCACTTCATTTGCTATCAAATTGGTAGAGTGATTTGATGAATTACAGTTCTTGAAGATTCCAACTTATTGTGCAAAAAGTAAACGAAAACGAAAAAGGTTTATCAAATTAAGATAAAAATTGTTGCATAAAATAATTACGTTATCCTTCAATATATTGACTTATTCTACCCTCTCAAAAATAAGCTGCATTTCATATATTTGACTTCAAGTGAACACATTTATTTAAATAGCCAAATTTGGCATTTCTATTTTATTTTTCATTTTCTTGCTTGCTTGATATATTATATATCTATAGCTATGTACATTATACAAAAGTGAAATAAATATAAAGACAATATAGTACTCCTTTTGTATACATCAATTGTTGTTTTCGCCGTCATCTTCATCGTTAACGTTGATAATTGATTTGGGTTTTTTGCAAGGTTTTTTGAATTATTATTATGTATTATGTATTATTAATGTATTGACATTGATATTATTATGATTATTATTATGATTATTATAATTATCGTTATCGTTAATGTATGTATATTCCTGCCTTTTTTTCAATTTGTTTGACTTTTTTTCTTCTTTCTTTCTTTCTTTTTGGGATTGGATTGGATTGGACTGGTTGGACTGGTTGGGTTGGATTGTTTTCGTGATATTTTAATTGGATGCGTTTTTATTTTTCGTGATATTGATTTTTTGCGCTTTTTGATTTGTTTTTTGGGTTTTTGGGTTGTTGTGCGTCTTGATATTGTTTCATTCTTTCTTTACTTGGAAGAGGTGTACTTGGTGACGGCCTTGGTACCCTCAGAGACGGCGTGCTTGGCCAACTCTCCGGGGAGGATAAGACGGACGGCGGTCTGGATCTCGCGGGAGGAGATGGTAGAACGCTTGTTGTAGGAGGCCAACTTGGAAGCTTCGGTGGCAATGCGCTCAAAGATATCGTTGACAAAGGAGTTCAAGATGGACATGGCCTTGTTGGAGATACCGGTATCGGGGTGGACCTGCTTGAGGACCTTGTAGACGTAGGAGGAGTAGGTCTCCTTGCGGGTAACTCTCTTCTTCTTTCCATCGGCCTTGACCTTCTTCTCAACAACCTTGGCAGGGGCCTTTCCGGCAACAACGGGCTTATCAGTCTTGGGGGCCATTATGATGATGAGAAAATGAAAATAAAATTCGGGATTTTGCAAAAAAAATAAACCCCCACTAAATCAAGCTTCCCTTTTTATATAAAGAAAAAAAAATTGGTTTTTTTTTTATTCTTTTTTTTTTTTCTTAAAAAAAAATTAAATCAAAAAAAATTGGTTGGCAGGGTCGTACGCGCAGAAAATCGCGTAGATTTTCAAACACATTATGTTATATTATAAATAAATGTATATATACCTTAATTCATAGCAAACATATCCAATTCTACGTAATCTTTCTTATATAAATATTATTTTTGTTACATTATGCTACACATGCACTACAGATACACTACATATGAGCTTTCACCCCTTTCTCTCTACATATTTACATATAATATAAATTAATTACTAAATTAAAAATAACCAAAAGAAAAAAAAATTGCTTCAACTCGTGCAAGTGACTGCTGTCTTAATAAATTCAACGCGATTGATTCTTTTTTTTTAAAGCAATTCATATATATAAAGACATTCAACTACTTCTAAACCGTGTCAATATATATTAAACTATTCAATCTAACACGTTTAGTCACGTAAATGCACGCTTTTTATTAATTATAGTCAATAAAAAATTTCAAAGTTGAAAAAAAAAGTAAAAAAAAAATATATATATACTGGCGCGTTTATTCAAGTTATTAACAATATTTTTTAAAATAAAAAAAAATCTTCAAGTCTTATTTTTTTTTTTCAGTATCCATATCGAGTAATCTAAATCTATATTTTAATTTTAATTTTTATTGGCCAATAAAAAACAAGGAAAATACAGAATTAAAAAAAAAATACAAGTTTGCTGTGACGTTGATTTGCTGTCCAAAAAAAGAAACAAAGGCAAGCTGTGTGTAAAATATGTGTGTGATTATTATTAAATATATATATATAAGCTAATCTGGCTTTTTCCTTTACAAATTTCACCTTTTTTTTTGTTCTTTATATAACAAGAAATTATATAAATCACACTTCTTTCGCTTATTAAACCGAATACCTTTTTCAAATAACAATAACAAATATGTCTGGAGGAAAATCTGGAGGAAAGTCTGCTGCTGGTGCCAAGTCCCAGACCCGCTCTGCTAAGGCTGGTCTCCAGTTCCCTGTCGGTCGTATCCACCGTCTCTTGCGTCGTGGAAACTACGCCCAGCGTGTTGGTGCCGGTGCTCCCGTCTACCTCGCTGCTGTCCTCGAGTACCTCGCTGCCGAAATCCTCGAGTTGGCTGGTAACGCTGCCCGCGACAACAAGAAGTCTCGTATCATCCCCCGCCACTTGCAGTTGGCCATCCGTAACGACGAAGAATTGAACAAGTTGCTCGGTCACGTCACAATTGCCCAGGGTGGTGTTCTTCCCAACATCCATGCTACCTTGTTGCCCACCAAAACCAAGAAGGCCGGTGTTTCCCAGGAGGTTTAAATTCCCATCTCATATAGATATATATACATATTTACATCACAACTCAACCCAATTCCACCATTCAACTCAAGTCAAGTCAAGACCATTCCTATACAACATCACACACCACACACAAAACACAAAACATGTTATATATTTATATATATTTATATATGTATTCTTAGAGACATTTTGTCCTAGAATTTGTTGATTTTTATTATATTACTGTTATTATTATTATTACTATTATTATTACTACTATTACTATTTACCATTGCTACTGTTATTGCTTGCCTAAAATGTGATTTGAAATGATGAGATATACAATAATGACAACAAGATAGATAAGTGCTCACAAACACACGCATACATTTCATATGTACAAAACAGCCTATTTGGTTTGGTTTTTCTTGGCTGTAAGATTTATTCGGCTGTTATCATGTATTGTAGTGAAAGGAAATCTATAAAGCTACATATATAAAAGGTGCCTGTTGAAAAGAATTAACTTTACATACTTTATATTTCCAAACGATTTGTAATTTTGAATATTTTCTTTATCTCTTTCTTTCTTTCCGTTTACAATGAAATACTATATGTATATATTACTTTTACATAATGTGATCTACTTGTGCTATATGGTATGTATATAAGCCTTATAGCTAGTGCGTACTTTTACCTGAATTTTTGTACATTAAAATACATTAAAAGAATGAAATATATATATAAAGTATAATAAATATCAAAAATATAGAATGAGACCTAAAGTCGCTTATAATTTAATCAATAGCAATCAGTATGTACGTACACTTCCACACTCACACACGCTTGTAAGAAATATTTAGATCAAGCGATTTATATATGATCAACATTAGGATACACAATACACACTTTCAAACACATATAAAATATGTAGAGTTGTTATTTACAAGGTTAAATATATTAATTAAAAATAATTTGAAACAAGTTTCATGGAATTGTTGTTAATAAAAATATATAAAATTAAAATAAAATATCTTCTTCTCATACTACTGCTACTACTGTTGCTGCTACAAAGACAGTTAGGCAGGCAGACAGGCAGATACATAGATGTGATGGGTTGGTTGATAGGTAGATGGGTAGATAGATTGCATGAAATAGAGAGATAGTTAAGGTGGATTATTTTGTGCAAGGAAAGAGACGCCAAATTATAATCGTATTATAAAAAAAAGAACGTTTGTATTGTTGTTGTTGTTGTTGTTGTTGTTGTTGTTGGTGGTGGTGGTGGTGATGGTGGTGATGATGTTGGTTCTGGTAGTTGCTTAACCTCCGAAACCGTAGAGAGTGCGACCCTGTCTCTTCAAAGCGTAGACGACATCGAGGGAGGTGACGGTCTTTCTCTTGGCGTGCTCAGTGTAGGTGACGGCATCACGGATGACGTTCTCGAGGAAGACCTTGAGGACACCACGGGTCTCTTCGTAGATAAGGCCAGAGATACGCTTGACACCACCACGACGTGCGAGACGGCGGATGGCAGGCTTGGTGATGCCTTGGATGTTATCACGAAGAATCTTTCTGTGACGCTTGGCTCCTCCCTTTCCGAGTCCCTTTCCTCCTTTTCCGCGGCCAGTCATTTTAGTATATAGAAGTAAGTAAGAAAGTGTGAGTGGGTAGAGTGGTGTTTTTGAAAATAACAAGAAGAAAAAGAAAAGAAAAGTTAGAACCGGCAGTCGATCGGATCACACTTTTATAGAAAAATCAATCAATCAATCAATTAATTAATTACTTTACCAACCAAACAGCCAAAAAAAAATTGTTAAAAAAAAACCCGTAAAAAAAACTAAAAAAAAAAAAAAAAAAAAAAAAAAATTCGTCACGAAACTTATCTTCATTACTTACCTAATCTACTTGCTTATTTTATTTTCTTTTTTTGGATTTTTTTTTTTTACCCATTTTTTCTAAATATATAAATATTATGTATGTATATTGTATGTATATTGTCTGTGTGTATTGACTACATTGACTCTCATCAAACCTTGTGTTATGTACATTTTTGATAAATGATAAAAAAAAAGATATAAAAAAAACGCGGTGTAGCGTGATGGCGGATCCTTAATTTTATATAAATTTATGTGTACACATACACACATACACAAATACTTCTTTATCACCATGACAACTTTAAAAAAAATAAAATTAGAATGTTCACTTTAATACGTACACAATTCATATATTATATTAAATTACATAATTTTAATTCATAAAGCTAATATATATTCTTGCTTCAAAATTATACTTCTTTTAAATAACAAACATATATATATATAAACTTGTTTTATCATTACAATTTTTTTTATTTTTTTCATTTATTTTTTACTTTCAATCAATATTCACACACATTGATTATAACCGTGTTTGAACTACATCGCGAACTCAGCGTGTGTAGAAAAACAAGAAAAAAAATATAAAAAAAAATATTTTTTGTAAAAAAAAATTAATTTTTTTTTAAAAATAATTTTTCGTATTCAACATAGCTTCTGTTGACCATATATGGCTATCAATTCACTTACAAACCTCTCTACTTTGAAAGATTATGGACGCTACCAAGTACTTAATATATATATGTATGTATTTTATTTTGTGCCACGCTTTTGAAGCCGAGTCACACAAAAAAGGAACTTTTTTTTAAAAAAAATAAAATAAAATAATAATAAACTTTACCTTCTGCTTCTTCTTTTTCTTCTTCTTCTTCTACTACTACTTCAGTACCACTTTTATCCCTTTTTCTTCATATCAATACACATAACATAAAATGGCCCGTACTAAGCAAACCGCTCGCAAGTCTACTGGTGGCAAGGCCCCCCGTAAGCAGTTGGCCACCAAGGCTGCCCGCAAGTCCGCCCCTTCCACCGGTGGTGTCAAGAAGCCCCATCGTTACAGACCTGGTACTGTTGCTCTCCGTGAGATCCGTCGTTACCAGAAGTCTACTGAGCTCTTGATCCGCAAGTTGCCTTTCCAGCGTCTTGTCCGTGAAATTGCCCAGGACTTCAAGACCGACTTGCGTTTCCAGTCCTCTGCTATCGGTGCCCTTCAGGAGGCTTCCGAGGCTTACCTCGTCTCTCTCTTCGAAGACACCAACTTGGCTGCCATCCACGCCAAGCGCGTCACCATCCAGCCCAAGGATATCCAGTTGGCCCGTCGTCTCCGTGGTGAACGCTCTTAAATATTCAAATATATATATGATTGTTTTATAATTACTTTAATAACAATATCATCCATTCCTCCCTCCTTCCTCCTTCCCTAACCTCTTTTTTCTTCTTCTTCACTTTGCACCAACAATTTTTTTAACAAAAAAAACTATTTTATTCTATATTCTAATGTTATTTTTCTCCTGTTAATTTGTTTCGCTTTATCATTCTTTTTCTTCTTTTTTTTTTTTAAAAAAAAATGAGAAATTAATAATAATAATCTCATGTTCACTATTATTCTTCAAAGGCACAAAGAAATTTTCGTCACAATTACTGTGTGACTTGTGTAAAGAAAAGTAAGAAGATAATGATTATGATGAAGAAGAAAGGGAGTTGAGATAAATTAGGTAATTATAAAGAAATGGAATGCACATATCATATCATATCATATCATGCTTTCTTTTCTTTTCTGTAAATGAAAAAAAAGACAGTTAGTATAATGCACTGCATTGCACTGCACTACACTACAGGACATTCTCTACACTATATGTATATCATAAAAATTAGTATCAATATAAAAGTGTACTGCAACCGACTTTAGAAATCTATTTATATATCACACCCAAAGACTTTTGACCTGTTTATGGTAATTTTTTTGGCCAAATTTTGAGTTAAGGGTGCTTATTGGCTGTAATAAGGTTCAAGCTCAAAAATAAAAAATACGTAGAAGTTTTGAGTTTCAGACAGTTACTCAAACGAAAATATCTATTTCAATTGACTGATTACTTGTAAATAAATAAATAAAAATAAGAAAAGCAGAAGAAAAAAGGGTCTTAGACTATTTTGGGTAGATTTTGCGCAAAAATATTTTATATCCGACTGAGCAAAAGAGAATAAACCCTTTTGCGACAGAAAAAAATAAAAAAAAGAAGTTTTGTGACAGAGAAAAAGAAAAAAATATATTTTGCGACAGAGCAAATGCAAAAAAAGAAAAATGAGAGATTTTATTGGCTTAAGATATTCAGAATTGACCAAAGACTTTCGTACTTGCGAAGGCCAGCAGTCAAGGTATTCATGGTGATAAGACTTTTCTTGGAATAAGCTTTCTAATTTCTTATTTTATGGTTTTTTTCCCTCTCATCTGTTTGTAATATCAATTTCTTAGTACTTTGCACCGTATCAGACCAATACCTACAAAAATATCTGTAAAGACCATGATTATTCCCACTCATTGTAAAATTTGTTGTATTGTAGAAAAAAATACTAAGTTAATAAAAACCAAGAAAAAAACTTTAAGTCCCCAAAAAAAATCCCAACCGACATCACGCACTTGACATTTTAACTGAAGGATTAGTATATTTCTTTTATTTCTTTTTTCTTTCTTTTCATTTTTAGTTCAAGTAAGTACTAATAAATATAATATGTATCTACTTTGTTATTAGAAGCCCTTTTACTTTGAAACAAGGTATTTTTCTGAACAGAGTACATTTATAGGTTTATAAAGCCTTTACTAATACTTTTGTTTTCTAGATTACGGTCATTTTGAGTAGCTCCATTGTGTTCTTTAGCGAAGGTAAATATCTTTATCTTAATAGCTTGAGTTTGTTTTTCTATTATTAACTTTGTGCTTCTTTTTGCTTTAGGTAAGTCATAGTGGAATCTATTCTTTATTGCTTTCAAGAGGTAAGATTTCAATGTTTGAACATGTCCCATTTTATTATTAATATTAATCTTTGTCTTCATTTCTATAGTTTTTGATATTCTCCTTATGTTGCTGTTTCTTTACTGCCTCCGTTCCCATCGTAGTAAACAGTCGTTACTACTACAATTTTTGGGCTATTACATAGTTTTTTCTTATATTGTTTACATTATTATTTAGTATTGCAAGGGTATTTTTGCTCTAATTTTTAGTTCTGCACTTTTTTGCGCTTTTTTGTTTCTCAATTTATTTCTCAAATAAAAATTTCAAACCTTTTCAGACAAGATTTTACATAATACAGATTTTACAAATGAGGAACATTTTTTGGCCATTTCACAAAATGGGGGGAGGGGGTTGGGGGGTCCTCACGGCTGCTATGTATTCTATATAAGGAAGGTTTGTTGGCCAACCTGACTACTGTTTATAGAATAGTGCGTTATTCCAAAAACAATCTTAAGGTTTACAAAAAAAATCTTTGAGTGTGATAAATATTTTAAGTATTTGATTGCTGTCATGGCAACCACAACCTTATTCACGTCCCAAATTAGGAATAGCGTTGTGTTACTGACAATCCTGCCAAATACAGCGATATGTACAGTCAATCACACAAACACTCCACACCACACCACACTACAACACACAACACAACACTTGATGAATTTGGTAATTAAGACAACAAGCATTAGTTCAATACAGAATATGTATTATATATATATATAATTTATAAAGAGACATGCCTTTCTTTTTTACTTATTGCGAATATTTTATATCAGATACCAAAAGAAAACCTTATAACATATCCATATAATGCTATTGTATTCTACCTATTGATGTCGTTTTAATAATTTGACTGTATGCAATATTGTATGTATTTTGGATTTAGGTCTTTAATTTTATTTAATTTTATTTTTATTTTAAATATGTACAATAGTTTCAAATACACAACAAATAAATAAAAAGGATGCGAGAATAATATTATGATGAGTTGCAAATTGACAAAGTTTTACATGAGTAGTTAAATGAATTATATATATGTGTGTGTGTATACGCTGATTATCATTATTTTAAACCTCCTGGGAAACACCGGCCTTCTTGGTTTTGGTGGGCAACAAGGTAGCATGGATGTTGGGAAGAACACCACCCTGGGCAATTGTGACGTGACCGAGCAACTTGTTCAATTCTTCGTCGTTACGGATGGCCAACTGCAAGTGGCGGGGGATGATACGAGACTTCTTGTTGTCGCGGGCAGCGTTACCAGCCAACTCGAGGATTTCGGCAGCGAGGTACTCAAGGACAGCAGCGAGGTAGACGGGAGCACCGGCACCAACACGCTGGGCGTAGTTTCCACGACGCAAGAGACGGTGGATACGACCGACAGGGAACTGGAGACCAGCCTTAGCAGAGCGGGTCTGGGACTTGGCACCAGCAGCAGACTTTCCTCCAGATTTTCCTCCAGACATATTTGTTATTGTTATTTGAAAGAGTGTGTTGTGTTTGGAGCAGAGGAGAGGGTTTGGAAATTTTATTAATATATATAAAACAATTAAAACCCCGCCATTTTTTTTTTTTTTTTTTCTTGCTTGATTTTTGGGATTTTTGTTGGACGCGTGGCACAGACGCGAACAAATATAATATATAAAAAAAATTAAACTAAAATTTCTCTTTTTCACTCCCCCCCCCCCCCCCCCATACTTTTTTTTAATTTTTTTTTAAAGAAAAATATTTTTATTTGCTAATATGTTTTCAAATAAATTGTTTCGACCAAAATTCGCGTTAATTTCGTGTTAACACGCCTGGTGAGCGTATACAGCCATATGTACAGTTAGATTGGAGAAATTTAGCGGTTGCACAGAAAGTTTTTCGTCCCACTATCCAAAAAAAAATATCTGCGCCATTGCCGAGAATTTCTGGGCGCCTTTCACAAAAGTAAATCAGCTAAAATACCAATATTTACTCGACAGTCCTGCCAGAAAAAAAAATCATTTCGTTTCTTTTTTTTTATTTATCATTTTAAATGTCTACGAGTTTTTTATATGCAGATGGTCATGGAAATTACTATGATTAATAAGAGAACTAAGCCATGGATGTTTAAATGTAGAATGGTGCTGATGAACTAGAGAGCCCGGTAACTTTGTCAGGCTACAAATAACGCAATCCAGGTACATTTGATCTAGCCAGACGTCAAAAAAAAAGAATCAAGGGCAAAGCTGCAGCGACTAAAGACATTGAAATATCGGACAATCCAACAGAGCGCCCAAGCAATTCGTACGCGGACAAGCAAAGATATCTTTTTATTTGGTTGAAGAAAAATTATCGAGCACCGCAGCACCAGCTCGTGAAGTCGGTGTCAAAACACACACTAGGCAATCATGGGCCAAGACATACAGAGATGATCATGAGAAGAAAGTTCCTATGCCAAAAATATATAAAAAAAACGCGGCCCCAAGCCTACCTTATTAACAGCATATCACAAAGGCTACTCCATTAATTATGTCGACGAAAATGTAACAGCGACCGTCAGCAACCTCATGGGCGGTTTAACGAATGCATTCTTAGGCCTGGAGCTTAGAAATTCGCTAGTACAGCACTTTATGGCAAGCGAATGCAACCTCTCTTCAAAGAAAGTACAGCTACAAGCAACCGAGTGAAAAAACCGGAAACCACTCAACAGAGATACGACTAGACAATAAAATACCAAGACACGGCCATGGACTTACGAATTACGCTTTTATTGATGAATTTGTCTTCCACATCAACTCGAAAAGAAGCTATGAATGGGCTCTCAAGGCTAGAGCGCCAGTAACTGTCGTTCCCGTTACTCGAGCCAGGTCAGCAACAATTATGGGTGCGATGGCTATTCATGGAGTTGTCAAGATAACCGTGCGAAAACCAAACCCGCCATCAAACAAGAAACGACAACATGCAGAAGATGGAAAGAAAAAAATGGGCACCGGAACAAACACCGATCATTATGTGTAGCATTTTTGCTGAGCTTGATGAATGAATTCGACAAATACAAATCAATAAAAGGGGTTTACTTGATGATGAGCAATGCCCCCCATCCATAGCAATTAAAAAATTGAAGCGCTAATCAAAGAAAAAGGCTACAACTGCGCCTATTTACCTCACTCCCCTCAACTAGGTCCAATTGAACAGATCTGGGCATGTGTGAAAAACCTGGTCAAGAGAGGCAGACTCTTGGACAATAAAACTTTAACACAATTAATTACCGAAGCATGCATCCAAGTTACAAGGAAGGACCTTGCTGGTTTCATCGGCCATTCTGCAGGTCACATCGACGATTGCCTCAACAAACTCCTTTTATAATCTTATCAATAAAAAAAGATGATATCGTGCTTACACTTCTCCAAAAAAAGAATTGGGATCAGTCACACAATTTGGGACAGGTTAGCTAAAGATACAATACAGGGTTTGTATGTCTTCTCTATATTGTGCACAATTTATAGCTACTGTAAATATATTTCAGGGAGACATAGCCTATTTATTCAATGTACCATGGACAAAAGATGAACGGAATATGGCAAAAAACTATGTGAGACATAATTTGTCCTTATTTCTTTTTTTTGGGAGCAATAAATTAGAGCCTTTAACGACACTATCAAGTAAGTTGGAAACAAGTGAAAAAGCAAAACTGTACAAACCTCCCTACTACTTTAACACAAATCTACAGCCTCTTGATGTTACAAGTTACGATGACGTTTCCTTCTAAAGGTACTAGTCTATATTGAGGGATTTTTTTTGTTAGACCAAATGTTTTGAATTCACAAAGGGTTTCCATTGCTAAATCCAAAAAAAAATGCGAGTGAGCGACGGAAGATGAGCGTTCTACATCTCAACTTGATGAGTATGACGCAAGCAAAAAATAGAAAGCCTTTTTGTCTTTTCCTTTAGTACTTCGAGCATATATAATTAGATATACATACATATAGGCGGAATTTGAATTTGAATCAGAATCAAGTCACCTCTTTCTGTGCAGTATAAAATAAAAACGGAAACGGAAGTAAAAGCAAATCGTTTTAACACGTCTTTTCATAAATTCCTTTTTTTTGCAAGCTTATTCACAGCTTACATATCAATAACAGCAACAATGTCTACCAAGAACAACGCAATTTCTAACCCTACTACCACTACTACCACAACCACCACATCAACAATAATTTCTGCATCTACTGTTGTCGTACCAAAGGCCAACAGAACTACCGGCAAGACTAGAGTGAACAAACCTATTGATGGCAAGAAAAAGAGAGCAGTCCGCAAAGAAACCTACTCCTCCTATGTCTATAAGGTTCTCAAGCAGGTCCACCCCGATACCGGTATCTCCAACAAGGCCATGTCCATCTTGAACTCCTTTGTCAACGATATCTTTGAGCGCATTGCCACCGAGGCTTCCAAGTTGGCTGCTTACAGCAAGCGTTCTACCATTTCCTCCCGCGAGATCCAGACCGCCGTCCGTCTTATCCTTCCCGGGGAGTTGGCCAAACACGCCGTTTCCGAGGGTACCAAGGCCGTAACCAAGTATACCTCTTCCAAGTAAAACTAAACTAAACAAAAGCTCTTTCAATTCATTATTATAATCAAATCATTCTTTTTCTCATATGTGCACAATTGAATCTTTAATTCAAAAACACAAAGGAAAAAAAAAGTAACAAAAAATCCTAATCCTCCCACCTCTTGACTTCTTCTTCTTTTTGCTTTTATACTTTACATATTCCTTTTCATGTTTTTTGTTTCTTTGCTTTATTTTCTCTTCCTGATGTTACCACAAGAATCATATATGTATATATTCATTATCGTGACCATAAATCAATAAGTAACAATCATTTTTGGCCTTTTAATTATTGTTGATTTTCTTAATAAGAGCCTTTAATTTGTGTGTGTGTATTATACTGTAGTGTAATTTAGTGTAGTTTAGTGTACTATCTTGAACCATAATGCACTGTATTGCATTGCACTGTATTATGTAGTGTGTGTAAGTGTGAAAGATAATAATGATAATAAAAACGAGTCTTTTTTTTTCTTTACTATTTTGCTTTTGGAACAGAAAATATATCCGTGCTACCATCTTTTTCATCTGACAAGAAGTCTCCCATGTCTGCATAAAAGGCATCCAAATCATCTTCAAGGCTTTCTTTTTCTGTAATAAAATAATAAATAAAAATAATAATAACGATAACGATAGCGATAATAAAAGAGTAATAATGACAGTAAAAATAATAAAGCAATAAAATAATATCAATCGATCAATTGATAAATCGATTTCAATCGTCAATCTCGATCTAAATCTAAATCCAAATCTAGGGCTAGGTCTTTGTTTCCTTTTACCTTTGGGTTTCATTGCTTCTTCCAATTTCTTTGTTCTTTCTTCCTCCTCTTCTCGTAATCGCTTTGCTTCTAATTCCTGCTGTTCCTTTTCTTTTTTCAATCGTTCCTGAACAAGTGCTTCTGAGTATTCACATGCATAAGAGTGTCTGTCTCCATACGCCCATAGTCCATCCGGAACATCGGCCCGCACTGCCCACTCAGATGCCACATAAACTGGCAAGAAACTGTCTGGGTTGGCGTATGATATCTTTACTGTACGACGATCGACATTGAATTCATCTCCCATGCTTTCAATGGCCTTTGCAGCCAGCTAATTAATATTAGACCCATATATAAATAAATATTAGTTGAAATAAGTCAAAAGTATTTTATATATATATATATATACCTGTGCACTCTTGAATTCGGCAAAGCCATATTCACACGACATTTTTGCCAACTTGTCACGGATCAAGAGTACACGATGCAATCCTTCAAATTCTTTAAGAGCTTGGAACAAGGTTTCTTCAGTTGTGAGGTTGTCAAGGTTTCGGATAAGGATCATGCTACTAGGAGTAAACGAAACGTCTTTGGATCCATCATTGATTTCTATCGATTCTGTCTCATTTGACCGTGTCTGGGCTGTAGAGCCTAATTACACACACACATATATATATATATTTAAGCAAAGATATAACCAACAGCCACAACATACTTTCATAGGGTGCTCTGCATTCCACACACACACGACGGTAGTCCTCATTAAATTTCTTGCACTATTAAGAAAAATAAATAAATAGCTGTATGCGTGTGTATAATGTTTTTTTTTTCAATTGTACATCTCACTCTCTCACTCTCTCGATCTCTTTTTCTTATTTAGATTTTATCTTTACCTTTTGACATCTCCACTCTAGTTTATTGTCCTTTACACCATTCTTGTGACAATAATCGATCCTGACCCTGTACTCACCCATAAAGAAATACGGAAAGTATCTTTCAAAGAACTGAACTGCATGACCAACACTTGTAAACCGAACAAAAGCAAATTGCCGTGATTCACCTAATATATATAAGCAAAAAAGAAAAGAAAAAAAAAGAGGAAATAATAATAGGATGTCGAGGTAGAGACAAGATGTTGTATAAGCCCAATTTTGTCAATTTTGTCAGTACAATTCATATAATTATTTTCAATCTTTTATCCCTTTAGACACACACATACACACACACACACATATATATATATATGTATGTATGTATGTATGTATGTATGTATGTATGTATATGAAACATCGTCTTGAAAGAGACAATAAAAGATTGCTATTTTTCTCAAATAGCACTAATAATAAGGATATCAAAATGTATTTTGGACCTGTTTCACGGCTTCTAATCAATGTCACTTCGTCGATACTTGCTTCCATTGACTCTAATTTTCTTTGAATCTTAAGGAACGAAACGAGGTTAGAGGATTATGCATTCACAATAGATATTATATATAATATGTAAGTGAATATTTTTACAGATATCAAACGTAGAAAAGCAAAGAAAAAGAAAAAGAGATAATGATTACAACTTACATCTCTTTCTTGTGCATTATCAGGTAGACCACGAAGAACGACATTGATATTGGGAGGGGAAGGTTCTTGGGACCGTCTATCTGATCGATCGTCAAACCGCCTGGAATGCTTTAATATATATATATATATATATATGTAATAAAGATATAGATAGAGAAGTAGAGAAATAATAACATGTTCGATACGCAAACTTTAGTTTCCGAATCTTTTCTTTGTTCAAGTGATAAGAAGAATATATATTTATATTTATATTTATATAATGTAATGATTAATGCGCTTACATCAAAGTCATTATTGTGGCGATGATTAAACCGATCATCTCGGCGGTCCATTCTATCTCGTGGTTCATCTCGTTCATATCGGTCATTTGAAGGTGATGATTGCCAATGAGGAGCTCCTCGTTCTCCTCTTCTAAATCCTCCTGGACTATTCGACATTGGGGGACTACGAGATCTCCTGCGATAATGTTGCTGCTGAGGCGATGGAAAGCGCGGCTGTTGGTCGTGAGGTTGGAATCGTTGTTGATGTTGGTCGTGAGGTGGGTGCCGGTGATTAAACGATGGTGGGAATCGAGAATCGAACGGTGCCGAGTCATAGAGCTCTCTTGGCTGAAAGTGATGATGTTGAGGTTGGTGAGGTGGCTGTGCAGGCCGTGCAGATGGTGTGGACGGCACAGGATGCATAGGTGGGCGTGGAGGATTGTAAGGCATCGAGAAACCACAAATTAAAAAGAAATAGAATATATATTTATATTTATATATATATATATATAGATATAGATATATAGATATATAGATATATTAAAAGTATATGAAAGAAAGAAAGAAAAAACAGCAAACAAAATCAGAGCACAAGTACGGACACAAGTACAAGCACACACGAGTACAGAATAATAAGGTAAAATGAAGACTCAAATGTCAAGAGAAGAAAAAACAAAAAAGGGAATTGCAAAGCATTAGATATTCGATATCCCTTTTACTTTTACTCTTTTCATTTTGGCTTCAAAAAAATTCCAAAAAAAAGTTGTGACGTATATTTGCTCATTAGTGTGGAGAAGTAAAATTCGCTATTTTAAAGCTTTATATGAAGGGGAAGAGGAAGAAGATAGAAAGAAACTCTTTCTTTTATAGAGCACAAGGAGGTAGCTTTTTATTAGACCAAAATAGTTATATACAAGCATACACACAAATAACAAACAAAGGGTAGATTATACTTCTTGTGCATTCTTAAAGAGACTATTTCGTCTTGTTTTTTTTTGTTTTTTTGTTTGTTTTATGTGCAAATCATTTATAAGCCATTTAATTAAGTGATATATCGATTTATTTTCTATATAAATATCCACAAGTTACATCAATACACATCGCTTTTAGGAGCGGGCAATGGAAGAAAGCGAAGAAGGGTCTTGCATTGAGTAATCAATCGATACTATCCCCATATATACTACATAATACATATTATACATAAAATAACTAATACCAAAAGCTATTGTTCCAAGATGATCAAAGCTTACGTGTATATAGAAATAATGATTATGTTTTTGAGTGTCTAAAACTTTTGCAGAATGATTAGAGAGTAGAGAAAACATATTAATGAAATGTATTGATAGATATTTAAAATATGGATACATCAAAAACTTTATAGGGTTCATACAACTATTAGGGGGTTTCAACAGTCCTTTAAGCTTTTAAATTTAAGCATTGAGTTTAACTTTCAAAATATAATTGGCTGAAATTAATTTATAGCCATTAAAAAAAATCAAAACTCTTGAAAGAAGACATTTGAGAGTTTTGAACTTTTAATACATCCTTGCTTAAATTTGTTTTTTTTTTTTTGGAAATTTAATAAAACCTTGATGCAAATGTTTTTGTCTCTTTCAATAATATTTTAAACTTATATCATATTATCACAATACCTAACAGGGCTGAAAGGAGCATTTAGGGTACTCAAAAACACTTAGTAACTTTTACGTATTACTGGTTACTGCTCTAGAACTCAAAGCTTAAGTTTAAAAGAATAAAAGACTGTTGAAACCCCTAATATAATTTATAGGTGGATATAGCGATATTGTCATTTTTAAAACTATCGATATCTCCATGAATATCAGTATGATGTTGGTCAGAAAGGCACTGGATATTCTCGATTAATGTTTTGAGAAATTTTACTTTGTAAATTAAAACCAGAATTTTTGATTTTGTTTTAGGTGCACATCCTGAGTGAACTTTGGGATCAAGCATCGTTATATGATGTCAATATCCAAAAAAAGCAGTAAACGGTTTTCTTAAAAATAGAAAGACGGGATATTTTGATCCATATTTGAGTAATTACTGTAAAAAAAAAACTGTTAGATAGTGGATATTTATGTGCCTTATCATATTACTTACACATACAACAACATTTCACTTGATAGGTCTGGATTTATAGCTGATTTTCGGTATTTAATTTGCCAATTTTGCGGTGATTTCAATGGCACGACGTTTCCAAGATTAGGGCTAGTGTTTCTTGCTTAGATGTAGAATTTTGAAACTGTATTCTAGAGAGCAGTTTCATTTTTAACATACACATACACATACACATACACATAAACATACACATATATATACGGCACTGAAATATGTCGGATATATAGAAAATTATATAAATATACCACAACATAAACCAAATACAAATATATAATAAAAATCTCAAGTGGAAGTTGCGAGCACGGATATGTAAGCGGAGTCTATGGTCTTTCACAATAAATTCCTTGATCTACTCAGATGATTCTCAGCCAGCCGTATTCCAGAAAAGGAATGTGGTAAAGAAAGAAAAAACAGCAAAAGCAAAAAGGGAACTCATTATTTTCACACTTTTTTTTAAAGAAAATAAATAAATAAAGTAAAAATATAGTAGGTTATCTGTTTACAAGGAGTAATAGATTGCTTACATAGTACTTTTATTAGATTTAGCCATACAAAAATATTAATTATCCTAAAGGTAAAAATAAGCACAATTATAATAATAATGTAAATTTATGCGTCATAGAAATCGCCACCTCACAGCAATATTGATCAATTAAAGAAAATTTCAAACAAACTTCAAAAAATCAAAGATATCATTGAATTAAACTTTTATTATTACTATTATTGCTATGGTTCTTTGGTGTTGGTGAAGATCTTGAACTTTGAAAACGAAACTCCAATAAAGAAATATATACGGGTGTTTAGGGTAAACAATCAGCAAGCTTTTTATATATTAACGGTTTTAATTGACAGAATTTCTTTTTGTTTCCTGAAGGAATCGGGATACTTGGACCCAATGAACTTTAGATAAACATGATTTTGGATAAGTATATGCAAAAGAATACCTTTTTTTTTATTCAAGGTATTTATATTACTTATACAATTAAGAGAAAAAGTTTTCAGTTAGTAGGTGATATAAGGAAAAATAAGGATATTTATGGCAGCCAAGAATAATCAAGGCTTCTTTGGAAAAACCATATCATATTGCGAAATATCGCGCTTTGTAATTGAAAAAATATATGTATATATGTATAAAACAAGGTAGTTTTTTTTTTTGGTTTGTATTACTGATCTTTACAGCTTTACTATCACCTGTTGTTCCAAATATATACTTGAATTTAAATCGACCATATCTAAAGTTGTCTTGGTGATTTTTTTTCTTAAGATAAAAATAATCTTTTTGTTAAATCGATATAATTTATAGAGCTTAGTATGTAAACTATATTCTATTTAGTTTCATGAATACAAGTCAGATGTATACCCTAGGATCCTAAATAAATCATCAATTTGATCTTGCAGTATTAGTAGTTTTTTAATTTGGTTAATAAAAATTTTCAATAAGAAAAGAAGTACAGAACCGCTAAACATTTACAAATATTTTTTCTTATAATAGCATATCGTGTCGTGTTGTATCGTACCAATTAATAAATAATCCTAAGGCTTGAAATATAATACAATATGCCAAAGTATTAATAAGCACTACACAATATATCCTGATAAATGCACCAGATTCAAAGTAAATAGGGTAATATCCTTAAAATAGTCTCTGGAGAGTTTGGGCTCACAAGAAAATGAACAATGTATTGGGTGTTATATGGAATATTTCAGAGATTGAACCAAAGCTTATTTATTAATAGTTTACTTCTTTCTTTTTATGCTTATGTTTATTTAACCTGACAAAATCGGGCATATTAAAACATCTTATCATTTTAGCTTGGTCTCACAATTGTATTTGTAAGCAGTCAATATGTAAAATAAAAAGAAAAAAAGACATGGTTATTCTTATATTCATATTTTAGTAATAACCTTGTTTGTTTTCCGGGATTATGTCTTACAAACAAAATCAAGCCAATATAAGCCAAGCCAAGCCGGATCAAGTCAAGTCAAGTCAAGCCAAGACAAGCCAAGACAATCCAGGCCAAGACAATCCAAGGTATGAGTAGAGTGTAATGTAAGCCAATTGATTAAAATAATACGGCTACAAACGAAGGGTATTATATCCATGTTACCTATCGCCTTTATTTAACCGTACCTTGCTTCCAATAATTTAGTAAGGGCTTTAAGAATAATTAATTTTGGAGTTATATCGAAGACATAAATGCGTTCAGGTATAAATAATTTCTTATAATATATTCAAATATGTATCTGAGTGCCTGACTGTAGGAGTGTGCATGTTTAGTTATTTTCTACTGCTCGAATTATATGTATGGAATGTGACTTAAAATAAAGTTAGTAAGAACCACTCTAATGGTACCAAGTATTGCACTGGTGGTATTATAATTGAGCTTTTATTTGACTATGTACTTTTATTATTGGTGGTGGTAGTAGTAATATTTTCATCGAAATAAAGTGCAATAATTCGAGTGGGAAATGATCGTGTGTGTTCGAGACCATGTGCATAACCTGCCGCAGTAGTAATACATAGTTAATTCTCACGCTTTGATTAATGAAACAGACGTAATATGTCGAAATAAGTCAGATTTTTGAGAAAATGATGCCCGAAGGTCCGGTTTTTGTCTTTGTCTTTGTTTTTTTTTGGATATTTCACGCGAAACATTCGATTTTAGTTTGTTTGGGACCAGATCTTCCATTTATGACATTCTGTCCTCCCTTAATATTCAACATATATTGTTTGTCTGCATATTTGCCTGTCTGTCATCACTATGGACCAAAAAAAACCCTTTTTTGGAAGAAAAGTTTCATTTCATTTGTTTAAAATAATAGTATAATAAAATATAACCGAAATTCGGCGGATTTCCGAGTAGATTATCTACTAGTTCACTGACTGTTCTAATCTATGATATTCTGAGATTATTTTGTACGTGTGTGTGTGATAATTGTAGGCAATTTATCCACAGAAACGGGAATCTATCATTTGATAACCCTTGATGTGTCTAGAGAAATTAAGATAAAATAAAGTGACAGGACAGGACAGGACAGGTCTGAATGCTGCTTGTAACATTATGACCTTGGACTCTTTTGTCCTTCTTCTTTTTTCACAGGGCTCTTGTTTTATTTCTCAGTCCCCCATTCACTATCTCTCTCGATTAGTCCACATGTATTTTGCCAAAAATACAACCCAATTTAGACACAGCAGTAATTCTTCGCACAACTCAAATAGCAATATAACAAAAAAAAAGAGTACTGCGGCAGATTCAATTTATAAATAATTAAAGTTTTTTGTTTTGTTTCTTGTTTAATCTCGGTCTTTTAGTGTTAAGCTGTTGAAGAAATGCATACGTATATAAATAAACACTTACATTCTTATGAGGTAAAAAGTACATATTAATTGAATCTGGTACTCAATAAATTGACATGTATTTCTCAAAACGTAGAAAAGATGTGTCCTAACTTACCTTACACATTTTGTGTATTAAGATGCTATTTTTTTCTACAAACCGCAAGAGATTATCATGAAACCAGCCGTAATAATAATAATAATATAATAAAATAAAATAAAAAGCTAAAATTTATATTCAACTAATCAAAGAAAGCCAGAGAATTATTAAAGATGTGTATACATATATATAAGGGAGGTTTCTTCAACAATACACAAAATATATAATAGAAAACATTAGATAGTCTGGTGGGCAATTTACTGCTCAAAATTGATAGTCAAGATAAAGTCAAAGTCAAAGTGAGAGAAATACAAGCTATTCATGTAAGAAGAAATCAAAGTCCTCAAAAGATTGTTTTTGGTATTCGAATCCAAGGAGAAATATGGCTTCAACTTTTTTTGCTGTTCTTTTTCTTTCTTTCTAAATACGGTCCCTAACATTCGGATTCTCTAATTAATTAATCAATTATATAGCAAACCCCCTCTCGATTGCCTATACAAACCATCATTTTACTTTTAATTAGCAATAGACCACCACTATTATAATAAATTCTTCGTCGATTTTACACAAACACGTTTATATCCACCTTTAATATTGCACATCTTTTATATGTTATTTCTTAAGACCAGATATATTTTGAATAAATAAATAACGTCTTTGTCTATTCAGCCTTTTTTGTCCTTAAAATGGAATCTTTTTGCAGCAAGGGGATAACCCCATCAACAAGTATGTACCTAGTAATGTACATATTTATTGCTGCTATAACATATAGCGCAGGTCTATAATATGGCCCCATAATCTCTATTATCGGGGCTAATAGCCAAAATAATAATAAGTCAAAGTATAGTTATATGCCATAATACATTACAGTAGAAATAAATTAAAGAAGAAAGAGTTACCTGGAGGAGGCACTTGAAGATAATTGAGATTTATATCAAGAAAAAGGCCGAGACACTGAACAAATGGACAATTGTACATTATATAAATTGCGAAAGAAAACATGTACACATCTCTTGACGACGGGAGTATCAGATAACGACCAGATTTTATCAAGAAAAGTGGGGCTATTAGAATAATCAAGTGCTCTAAAGATGTGACCAAATTAAATATTAAAAAAAAGAAAGGAAAAAGAACAATGATAATTAAATGAGGAATACAAAGATATTTGTGTACTGTGTACTGTGTACTGTGTACTGTGTACTGTGTACTATGTATTGTATTACCTATCACAAAATTTATAGTTTCCCCTGGCAATATATGGTCCCTGAGATCTGGAAATAGGAGAGCTGCCAACCCTCCCCACTGGGTATAAAGATATATGTTGAATAACATGGTTGGGATGACAGATCGCTTGTTCGGATATAGTATAACAATTATAAGCAGAATTTGGCTCATGAAGCAAGGGAGGAGCAAGTGAAGCAAATCACTCTTTATCCATCTCTGTACAAAAGTCATTGTCCAAGATCCAATCAAGATGCCCAGCGAAATTTTTTCTTCTAGCGATGTCTCCTTGGGTGGATCGAAAGCCAACAAAAGGGACTCGTACGACGTTTTGGATCTCACAAGTTTCCACGCTGAATAAATAAGTAACATGAACATCAGAACCGGAATAAATGTTAACTCGACAGCATGGTACTTGAGATCTGGATACCTTTTTTTTTAAAAAAAAACTATTAATAAAGAATATACTGGTAAAGTGTTCAAAAGATTACCAAGTAGCTAACAATACTTCATCTCCCTTTTGTCGTAGTGCCCATGTCTCTAATACAGAGACAATTGTACTAATCATAGATCTATCAAAGCTGAGAGAGATGGCACAAATGTTATAAAGAAGAAGAAGCAAAAAAAAGCTTCTATCTTCCCCTTCTTCCTGGCTTAATAAATCGTATTTTGGCATGTCATAATTGGCTAAGCCAAACAAGAACATAAAGCCATTATTAATAATAATAATATAAAAAAAGGGGGATTTATGCCAATGTCTTTCCCTTTTGGACCACTTTAGAATCCTGTAATAAAAAGCTATTACTTTACTATCATATATACATGTATAGATCACAAACTAAATATACAAAGAATAACAGCGATAATAATTAGGCATTTTATTTGATTGACTTTCTGTAGTCTTGTTAATAGGCAAATTTAAGCTCTTATACTTGCTAAACAAACATAAAAAATTGAAATCCCATTTTGTGGTATTCAAAAAAAAACGTTAATATGGCAATGTATTTAGAAATGAAATTTATTGTTGTTAAACATTATTTTAGTAGAATGTGAGCTTTGGAATTTGTGTAGATTTAGCTCATAGCCAAGCTAAATGAACTAATCTCATTGATTACATGAACCACATTATTTGCCTAAAGTACCTGTAAAAGCTTGCTGTTAGTAATAATAATAGTAGTGGTGGTGGTGAAAAAAGATTACATTATTCATTGTTAAAGGAAATCTCTTTCAAAATAAATAACAATTAAAAGCAGGATAAGCTAATTGCATAAAATAAGATATTGGTCTCCAAAGATACGTCATTAAACGGAGCTTAAATAAATGTCAATATCCTCCAAGTTCATCCTGTTCTTGAATAGATTCTCATTGATCTGTCCAAATGGTAAGCGCAGCGCTCTCCATCCTGACATTACTATGTTCAATTTTGGTCTACCAATACAAAATCTCACTCAGAAGGAACTTGATTAGACAACCGCTGCTCGCCCCACATTTGATCCTGCGAGGGGAAAAGACAACAAGGCGCCTAGTTTCCAATACGGCAACCGCGATCTTGCGTCTCATACAAAACTTAAATTCAGGCAAGTTTTAGATCTATAATTTACTAGTATAAAGCTTTTCTTTCTGTTAGTCTTTTTTTTTCATAGATTCAGTTCAATTCATATATATATATATATATATATATAAGTGAAACTAGATATTGACATTGTATAATAGACAACCTGGACAGGGAGGTGCTGATGAGATTGGTGATCGAGAGGCTTTAAAATATGAGCTTTTCCAAGCTGAAAGAGAGTACTATGAGACCAAGGAGAAGGATGGACCAGCATCGATGGGTGGACGTTTGATTGGATCTAATCAGGATGAAGAGGATCCAGAATCAAGACGACAGCGATTGATTCTCGAAGCAGAAAAGGCAGCTGCCCTTGACAAAGACGATGATGACGGGGGGACAGATAGTGATAGTAGCAGGTAACAGGAATAAGAATAATCATCTGTTTAAGTTCTTATGTGTATATATGCATATATGGTTACAATTTACAATATAACATATACGTATATGTTTGTATAGTGATGATGATGACGACGATGATGATGACGACGACGAAGATAATACAGCAGAATTAATGGAGACACTCCAGAGGATTAGAAAGGAGAGGGCAGAGGAGAAGGAAAGACAAGAGCGTGAAAAGCTGGAGGCAGAAGATGCCCAAAAAGAGGAGGAGGCAATGACAGGCAATCCACTTTTGCACATTGGCAATGAAAAGCGTGATTTCAGTGTGAAGCGAAGGTACGGAACTAGCTGAGCTTTAATATATATAATTTGTATTTTTTGCTCTCTTTGTGTGTATATATACATATATATACAGAGCTCTATATGATGAGCACAATGGATAGGGAAAGAAGCTCTTTTATTTCTTCTAGTGACAACTGCTGTGTGTGCTTATTTTATTTTTATTCTGTAGATGGGATGACGACGTTATTTTTAAGAACCAGGCACGCGGTGTAGAAGAAAAGCAGAAGAAGCGGTTTATTAACGATATGTTACGCTCTGATTTCCACCGTCGCTTCCTTACCAAATATATTCGTTAAAGAACTCCTTGGGTTCTGCATAGTATTTTCACCATAAACCTCATGATACTACTATTATAATTATTATAATTTTCTTGGACCAAATTTATTGTTGGTTTGTGTTTCAAAAGTACAAAAAAAAGGAAGGAAGGAAGGAAGGAAAGAATAAACCTAACACATTTGGAAGATCAGTGCGACCCAAGAGAATAATCCAAGAAATTATAAGAATATATAATACAATATATATAGCTGTAACACGCAACGGGGGAGCGGGGAAAAACGGTTCTAAGTAGATCTTTTTATTTATACGTAAATTCTTATTTTTACTTTACTTAATTTTCATGGCTTTACTGCGGCAGTCTTTGTTGGCTCCTGTACCCGTTAAGGACTGGAATATCCGTACTGTCGGACAAGCTCAGCGTGGACAGAATGATGATAATAATCTGTGAACTCAAAATGGGATTTATGTGTTTCTGTGTGTATGTGTTTCTGTGTGCAAGTATGAGTGCAAATGTGTGCTAAGTGTGTGGGTGTGTGTGTGGGTGTGTGTGTGGGTGTGTGTGTGGGTGAAAGGAAGTATATAATATATATAAAAAAAATGCTCAATTAAAACATAAAATAAGAAAATAAAAAAAAGCTAATTTTACTTTCCTTGTCTTTCCTTTGTAACTTTGTCTACACTTCCTTAAACTTACAATGTTTACATCTCGACCTACAACAGCCAACACGATGAAAATCAACCTTGTGTCTGAACATGGAACCACTAGCGATCAGACATTCTATTGTCCTGGATCAGTTATTCAAGGTATATCGATCAAAGATATATATATATATATATACTTGTATGATGTTTTTGATAGTTAAAAATTAAACTAAACCATGTTTTCTTTTAAATCATTAGGCTCCGTAAGTCTTTCATTTTCGAAAAAGGTCGATCCAACCCGTGTTAGATTGGTCTTTGAGGCCTCTGAAGGCATCAATTTATCTACAGCCACTCCTGGTGCAGTATCCAACCGACTCAACAATCTATTCCGCGTACAGAGCACCTTATGGGAGAAGAATGAATCCGACCAATTGACGGAATCCGATTACACATTTCCATTCAACATTCAATTGCCAATGGTTCAGTTCCCCCCGTCAATGGACGAAATCACCTATCGATGTGTATATCGCCTCACAGCCTACCTTGACCTCTCAAAAAGCCGACAGGGAATAATCACCTTGGCCCAAAAGAAAATTAACTTTGTGCCGTTTATCGAAACTGCTATATTGAAGAGTCCCCTGACGGAAGAAATCACTCGCAATGGAATTAGAATGGTTACAAAACTCACTTCTTTAAACTATGTTTCGGGTGATAAAATACCCATCTCATTACGTTTCAGCACAGCCAAAAACAAGCCGGTCTCATTATCCATAAAACTCTCCCAAATCATTAACTTTATCACCGACGAAGAGTATCCGCTCGAGAAGACGACTATGGTTTCAAGCAGTCGTGTTCTGGCGGCTGGCACTACATACCATGAGACCTGTCTGGAAATTCCGAGCGACACTTCGCCAACCTTTGATTATGGTCGTATGATATCCGTATCCTATATTCTGAAGATAACTATGGGACACAAATATTGCGCTGGTCTGTTACAGTCATCAGAGGTCTCAGTCGAGCTACCAATTCACATCGGTACTCTGGGATGTGGTATCCGCCCACCGGATGATCTCAAGATGTACACCATATTCTTAAAAAGTTCAAGTGCACGCAGCTCTGATTCTACATCTGACTTTGGCTTAGAACCCATTCCACCACCAAGATTCCTCAAGTTAGTCGAATATGAAAACGCATTACCAGTCTACACACCAGAACGTCTTCCTGACTACAGTTCCGTTCGAAGTGGTGTTCATGTCTAAATCAACCAAGCTACTCTTCCTCTCTTTTACTCTTTTTTATTTGTTTCCTCTTTACAACAATACCATTTTCTTTTCTGTTCATTTAATTCTTGTATCTTAGTTATTTATTTGCTTCTTTGCTTGCTTCTTTTATCCTATGTCCCTCCTTTTCTTTTTATTCTTTTTTTTTTATATTACTCACTCACTCACATACTTCCTTATATACACTTTCCTTACATACATACGTACTTATATATATAGATATATATATATATGTATTATTTCTTCTTCTTTAGTTAAAGAAAAGAAAGAGAAAAAAACAACTTTAGAAAACCGAAAGAGTATAATTGCTGTACTAGCCACTGTAAATTTTTTTGACCTCTATACTTCCCCCTCTCTCATTATCCTCATTAACCATTGAATTCAAATATATGAAACTTTCTCTCTCTATATATATATATATTGTTGCTCTTATTACTGTTGGTATTGTCGTTGCTGTTGCTGCTGTTGTTGTTACTGTTATTGTTGTTTTGCTCACCTATGTGTAAATATATAACCATTTTGAATATAAATGAGTACAACATTGAATTATCACTTTTTTTATTTTTTTTTAAAAAATAGGTAATTATTGATGTCATAGTAGGCCCTGTCATGGTCTGTGTTGTACATATTATAGTGTGTTCCAAACATAGATTTTCCTCAAATTTTCTTTTAGAGCAGACTTTTTGTTTGGAACTTTTAATATATGTAATTCTCCTTTTTAAAATTGGTCTTTTAAAAGTGTGGATTAGACACTTGTTCTAGAATGTTTCCAGATTATTTATGGTATTTACGAGCTCAATATACTAAATAGAAGCGCACACACATACACACAAAGACTATAAAACTCAGTATACATATATCTAAGATAAGCAATCGTGGGTCAAAAATAATTGACTATGAGTAAAACATCCAAGGGGTAAGTAATACAGCATTTCTCGAAATTATTGGGGGTACTCAGCCTGATTGATCGATCTAAATTTTGTGCGAATCCTAGCCAATGATATCAATTTTTAGTTGAAGACACCAAAAGACAAAAGTACAAGATTCGTACAAAATTCATAGAATAAGCTTTTGTACATTCTGCTTTCTTCTTTAGCCTATATCCACCTAAACTCTCGAAGAGGCCAAGCGTTTTTTCCTTTGACTCAAGATCTGGCAATGCATTTTCAACCTTGTGTATTTATTTAATGGCTTTAAGGGTTTGTTCAAGTTCCTTCACATTAGCTATCTGTTCCAACTTTACATTAACTTCCTTTTCGATTACTTCTAAGCAGTAATCTTACGGAGACGTCGTTTCTATTTAACCGGACTAGTTAATTGGGACCACCTGTCCGAGTCCCGGTGTCTTTCTCTAATCCTTCAGGGCAAAATGATGTGTCCTGGAAAAACACAATATATTTATTGTACATATTAGCTTACTACTTTGTCACCACATTTTTTGTTAATCTATCTCTCCCCAGACACCTGACTCTCGTTCTTTTAAGGGTTAAAGTTTGTATCTGGGAAACCTCATAATAAAATACTGTCTCATGCAAAAATCAAATCCTGTATAATCAATTAGTAGTCCTGAATTTAGATTTGACAATAAAGAAATAATAATTAGTCACAGATACACTACATCAATAGCCAGTTATGCAAAAGGTTATAAAGAGTTGTTGTCATTAGAGTGTGACGCAATCTTGTTGAATATTTCACTATTTATTGGCCTTCTTATGCGTATCGTGTTTTCTCTTTCTTTCACCTAAATATTTCCAGAGTTCGACAGCACCAGCTGGTAAGTAATCCCCATATACTCTTTTTTGCAAGGCACAAAAAAGAGTCTATAAGAATATTATGTGTCCTTAGGGAACAAATAGAATAATTTCATGCCGGCAGAATCAAATTGTCGTCTCCCACCAGGAAATGCTGTCCTCATAGAAGTAGCCTTAATCTATTAAGGAGAAAGATAAAAACAGCATCGTATGGCATATAAAAAAGTAAGGATTCAACCGGTCAAAGAGCTGTGGGTTTTTCGATCGAAATTTGATCGAAATTTGATCTTTCAAAAAGACGTACAAATTTTGATCGTCGATATTACAATTGTCGACCAATAATATTGTTCGGGTTTTAAACTTTGATCAATCAATTTGGCTGACTACCCCCAAGGAAAGAGTCAGAACATCAAGTAAACCGCGTCCGTTCCTTATTTGCAGTGAAAGAAAAATTCTTCAGCAAGTCATATCAGTTATTACTTTTTTCTTTATCTCTACTTCTAATTTTATTCACGCAATATATTAGAAAATACTATCAAAGACATTACTGAATATTGTGAAGAATATCAAGAACATATCGAAAAACTAAAAAAGAAAAAAAAAGAAAAAGTTGATTACGAAAACAGAACACGGCTAATTCAACTCATGTGTGACAGACTGAGAGAAAGATCTTTGGTCGATAAATTGCTTGTTTCAGTTTTTGGCCCAAATGCAAACCATTCTATCTCTGAGAGGGATTTAGGTAGGGAACACACAAAGTAAGAACACTAATGCCAATTATATGAGTCCCTCCTCTCCTTCTTTTTTCTTCTTAGAAATGTTGCAATACATTTCTATCAACAAAAAATATGTCTTATAGTGTTGGATTATGCAGGTCTGACAAATGACCCAAATGATTTTAAAAAAAAAGCTTTTAGAGTAAGCTTTGAAAAATATGATTAATTCAAAGAAAATACTGAAAACTCCTTTTAGGGTCAACAAGAACATTGAGAAGGTTTATTGTTGCCAATTTGCCTCAAAATAACAAAATTGAGATATTTGAAAGAAAAGAAATATTAAACAATCCTGTTGTATTTGACATACATGGGTAACCACCGTAATATAGGAAGAAGGACAAGTCACTATAACAGTCCATCCAATAGAACACTCTTCCCGCATAATAGTCATTATAAAAGACACAAGCCGAATGTGACTAGATAGATCCTTATTAGATATAAATACCCTCACAGTACCTGTATTTGTATATAAGTTTAATCGATTATCCATTCCGTCAGTGTGTTCTAGCAAGATCTTCTTTATCTTGTCTAAACCAACTTTAGTTTTTATGCTTGATTATGCCCTTTTGTGCCTCAATTTTATTTTTTATTTGCTCAAAGAGAAACTGGCATTGTTTCAATCTTAAGTAAAAAACCAGTATTCAGGTTTTACAATATTTATCGTGTGGCATAAATCCCACGTGTCAGAGCCTGTCAGCACAAAACAAAAATGAAAAAATGTGATCTTCCAGAAAACTGCTGACTAACTTATGTTGAACTTAAAAAGGCGAAGGGTAGGCATTTTGATATCTGACCGTCATTGTCATACTTTATATATATATATATATTTATTCACTTTTACCCCACACTTCACAGACGTTATCTTTACCTTTCTTAATTTTTTTTCATAGTTTGATAATAATAATAAGATGTCAGATAACAAACATGGAAAACAGGCTAAAAGACGCCTGAAACAACTCGGAAGAACTTTGGCACCATCTCAAACGGGCTGGTCAGAATCAGATGACGATCTCAGTCATGAAAGTATGCTTAAAGATCTACCACAGAAAATAAAATTTAAACCAAAGGCTGATTGCGTTCAAACGTAGTGGACATTACATCAGTTCGAATTGGCGATGTAGTAATGTCAATCGTTCCTCCCAAGAATCCCGAACTTGTTCCTGAGCACACTGCTCCATTTTACGAAGAGTCTCAGGTAAATATAGAAAAAAAAAAGACCTAATTAGTGTCTCTAACGTATCTTTAAATCTATTTAATTACTAGGAAATATTGAGACATTTGAGATGGTAAATAATTACATTCAAAAGGATTTTATTATTTGCGGGATATTTTCTTATTAAAAAAATATTGTATTATAAAATATCTGAAAAGGATGATGCAAAAAGACAAGGTAATAAAAATAGGACTATTGCTAGCACTAAGTATCCCTATCAAAGGGTAAAATTATAAAGACTTATTTGTAAAAAAAAAATGCTAGCTTGGACAAGATATCTTCCTTATTGGCCCTCCAGGACCATTAAGACGTTCTTTAGTAATGAAATATGCTGAAATGACCCAACGCGAGTAAGTTTAAGCTACAAATCCCACAGACTTAACCTAACATTTATTGGTGTTTTTGATGAACTTTGTGTTTGCTCCTGTGTTCGCTATATAGAATTGAATATGTGGCCCTGTCAAAGGATGTGACAGATGCAGACCTTAAGCAGCGCCGAGAGTTGCACAATGGAACGTCGTTTTATTTGGATCAAGCTGCTGTTAGAGCTGCTATCCATGGTAGAATCTTAGTTTTGGATGGAATTGAAAAGGCTGAGCGCAATGTATTACCTATATTGAATAATCTTCTCGAGAACCGTGAAATGTCTTTGGATGATGGCCGATTTCTTACTACAAAAGACATCAAAGACCAGGGTAACAGCACCACAAAATTTGAAAAGGTGGATCCAAAATTTTTGGTTTTTGCTCTAGGTAAATATATATGTTTGCATACCTTTCTTTTCTTATATATGTGCTTCAGAGAGTTTTCTGAATACGGGTAATTAATTTCAGTAACATTAAAGGTTTGCCTGTGCCACCATACATTGGATATCCTTTGGATCCTCCCCTGAGATCCCGCTTCCAGAGTAGAGATGTAAAATCTCCAGATTTTCAAAGTCAGGTCAACCAAATGTTAGCCATTACGGACAAGAAAGTGCAGAGACAACTTATCGAACGACTTGTTTCAATTTCGATGGTATTGGGTGTCAGATCAGACAAAAACTCTGGCCGAGAAATTGAGGTTCCCGAGTTCCCAATGACAATAGAAAGTCTTGCATCCTTACTACTTCTCTTCCCCAACCTGCATCCTCGTTTTGCTGTCGATTTGCTGTACCCATACCCACTGTTGCCCACTTGTGACCTTGAGCAAATAAGCATAATCGAAGCCGCCTACCGAAGATTTGGAGTTGCTTCCGCCGTAGTAGAAGCCCACGAAGAAGCTCGCCAGACATCTTCTGGCTATCTCATTGCGAACGTTGATCGATTAGACCCACCTGCTGTCTCGATTGATAAGTCTCATTATATTCCAAAGGCCATTGCGACCTTTTCTCATGCTACCTCACCACTTGGCGTGCCTGTGTTCAGTGGACCCAAAGAGTTTAGTTCCGCAGAGTATTTTATAGAAACACCCTACCATAGAGAGATCTACACATCAATGGTAATAGTCCATTCGGGTAACACTGATATGTGTCTAATTGGAACCCAAAAGGGTGTTGGAAAATCTGCACTCGTTCGGCACTGTGAGTAAATAATATTGTTTCGAAAGCAATATTATGCAAGTACTAACCGACTTAAATTATTTTTCTCCTTTTTCTACTACTATTTTAGTTGCCAGAAACCTTGGGTATGTCATTGATTATATTCCACTTTATCGTGACATGTCATCAAGAGATTTGCTGCAGCGTAGATCGACTACACCCACAGGAGACACTATCTGGGAGGTAAATATATACACTAAAATATATATCTTTACCAACTATTGCCTTATATGTATTTGTATATACAAATAGAACTCGCTCTTAGTCGAAGCTGCTATTCATGGCAACTTGGCAGTTCTCGATGGTATCGAGGCATTATCCTATGGAACCCTCAATACACTGCAGAGGCTTACTAACGAGCGTGAAATGCAACTTCCTGATGGTACACGTCTCATTAATGCACATCGATATGAGAAACTGATGAAAAAATCAAAACTCTCCATTAACGATCTTGCGGCCAAAAAATTGATCCCAATTCATCCTGCGTTCCGTATCATTGCTCTGGCCCGATCGGGAGTCAGTGGTCAAACAGACACAAAGGCTGGATCTTGGCTCACAGCAGAGATCTTGTCCATGTTCCAGTTTATTGTGGTTGATTCATTACCATCAAATGTATGATTGCCACTACCACTACTATCAGTATTAGTATTAGCATTACTTTTTTCAAGAAAAAACATCTGTCTGTATATGTGTTTATATATTCACAATTTCTTTATTTATTTATATTATACCAGGAAGAACAAGAGGTTTTGAGATGTCTCTCTCCAGGTGTGGATGAAGACAGACTTTCACAACTATTGACCTTCTCTCGTCGTCTGAGGCGAGACAAGGATGAAACTGTCAGGATGCTTTCCAGTGCATTGTCTACTCGCCAGCTGATTAGGATTTGCCGACGTTTGGCCTACTTTGAGGACGAAAGTCTTTATAAGTCCATTGAAAAGGCTGCTCTTTCTAGATTTATGCCTGCAATTGCAAGAGAAGCCTTGCATGAACTGATGATTGCAAACGGTATATATCCATCAAAAAAAGACATTCATGTTGAAGGGGTAATATATACATATACATACATAATCATATATTACGGCATCGTTGGTTTTCCTAAAAGTCTACCTTTCTTTAACAAAAAAACAAATGCAGCTCGTAATCGAAATTCTTCCATCCCGTCAAGACCCTCAGCAGATTAGAATCGGAGGAGTGGTGGAGCCTGTATTCAAAGGAGGCGATCCTATGCTGATTCCAAATGTTGTATTCCATGAAAACCCTGCGCACACTGAGATTTTGAGAGAGATGCTGAAGGATTATCAATTGGGTTAGTTGAGTGTTTTTATATAATGTAGAGCTTTGAATTTAATACTAGACTTAATATGTTCCAAAGTTTTATTCGCTCATTTACTCACCTTCCCTTTTATTTATTTAATTATATACTTTAAATTTGTTTTTTTTTGTTTTTGATTAGGGGATCATTTACTGCTTATCGGAAATCAGGGTGTAGGCAAGAATAAACTTGCCGACTACTTTTTGCAGTTACTCCAACTGCCTCGTGAATACATCCAACTCCACAGAGATAGCACTGTTCAAAGCTTGACAACCACGCCTGCTATCCGAGAAGGTGTCTTGGCCTTTGAAGACTCTGCGCTTGTAAAGGCTGTTAGTGAAGGTATAGTTTTCTTTTTCATTTTAGTCATACGAAGAAGGACACAATCTGGTGATATTATTGTGACCGACTTATTATGGATCTTATTTCTTTTTTGTAGGCACAATACTTGTGGTCGATGAAGCTGATAAGGCACCAACTTATGTAACAGCAGTATTGAAAAGTTTAGTAGAAGATGGTCAGATGGTGCTTGGGGACGGAAGACGTATTGTTTCGAAAGAATCTGATGTTCAAGAAAACGACCGATATATTCTTGTACATCCTGTAAGATACACAAATATATCTGCTTAATAGACACCCACAAAGAGAGATAGAGAGAAAGAGAAAATCTTACGTGAATGGTTAATGACAAAATATATACATATATTCTTAGAACTTCCGTATGATTGTTCTTGCCAATCGACCAGGTATGAGCTATTCAAGAATCATTATTAAAATTTAAAAAATTTAAAGAAAAATAAAGTCGTTTAAGCTAATCAGATATTTCAAACAGGTTATCCATTCCTTGGTAAAGAGTCATTTGGAACTGTTGGTTTTTAGGCAATAAGTACCAAGTATCTTATTTTTATTTTTAATTCATTTATATATTCTCTAATATTAGGAAACGATTTCTACCGTGAAATTGGAGACGTTTTTAGCTGGTATGATTACTTTTTACCTACAGAGAGTAAATGCTATTTTCAACAAATGTATCATGTTATATCATGTTATATTAAATATTTTATTTTATTTTTGTATTTCTAGTCATGCAGTAGACAACCCGGACAAGCTTTCAGAGGTAAATGAGGGGGGAGTATGATTTACTTAAAGGAAGAGTAACGAAAAGGCTGTGAGATTTGTAACTAATATACAGGAATTGTTTATCAGATGTATCTCTTAAGAAAATACGGACCTAATGTGTCTGAACAACTTCTTGATAAGCTTTCCAGTGCATTTACCGATCTTCGTAGACTAGTTGATGAAGGGTAAGATACCTTTAGGCATAGAAGAAAACCAAAACTAGTACTTAGTAAAGAATACCGTTTGTACTCTTTTTATAACCTAGGCTTATTTCATACCCTTACTCTACACGCGAACTTGTTAATATTGTACTTCATTTAGAGGTAATTTGCATTAGTATTTTATTATAGAATATATAGAAGAAACAGAAAATGATACCTTTGTAGTACCAATCTTTCTATTTGGCCTGATGTAACATATTAAATTAATTGCACTGTCATCATTACTCATTTACTTTAATTAGAAATATCCTGATGAGGGTATATCGAAGATTCTCCAGAACGTATTTGACTTTGACAAGTACGATCATGCATCAAAGGAACTCTTGATCGAGATATTTGAAAAACATGGCATTCCTGTTGGTCTTGACTCGGAGTTTTCCATGAATTTGGGAGATGTCTTGGATCTTGGACATCCTATCTCAACAGAACTATGGACTCGTTTGCCTAATTCTAAACATACCAAGTCCAAAGTAGAGACTCACGATATTGCTATTCGAGTAAGTATACTTATCCGTTTGCCTTTATCCTCTTCTTCTTGTTCTCTGTTTATTATATATATATATAAAGAGTATATAGTTTTCTAGCACATAAACATATTTATAATGTTTTTACTATCAATAGGGCGGCTGGGACCTTGACGTAGGAAAGAATTGGAAGGAACTTGAACGAAGAGAAGGTCGTTCAATTGTATTCTCTGAACAGCTCTATAACTTTGATATTCCTACCCGTGGTGAAGCGCTAGATATTGCGACTGTCGAAGATGGCAGTCTATTTGTAATCACCACAAATCCTGTCACTCTTCATCATGTTGATGCAAACCACAAGAGAATTGAGAGCATAGATCTGTACGAATACTTTCCCTTGCAAAGAGGTAAAAGAAGAACAATATAGTGGCATAGAATATAAAATAATTGATCTTGTTTTCTTTCTTTCTTGGTATAATCTCTAGCACCTCCAAGACTTCGTATAACAGTAATTCGTACTAATGGCGCAGTCAAGTATCTTGCTCTTCACAACCCCTCAAACAACGAGCTGCTCTGTTGCGACTTTGGGAATAAAAAGATTGTCTCGGTTGTAGTACGTACCAGTTGTCCAAAAGAAGGCAATATAATCCTTTATTACTTTTGAACCTTCTCGCTCTGTTTTGTGTGTTTCTTCAATCGATTTACACCAACAGCTGATATATATATCTAAATTATTATTCTTTATTAATTGTTGCTTTAGATCCGTGGGCTTGAACCTCTAACGTCTATTATGTGTACCAACCTGAGTTCTTCCGGTGTAATTGGTGAGAATAAGATAAAAACAACAGAGTAATTAGAGGGATGACTAACAATATTATTTATTAATTTATTAATTACTCTAAAATTATGCTGATGTTGATGATATTGATATTAATATTGATCATCATTACTGTGGGTAGCTTTCTATCAAGAAGATCAGCCCACAATTGCCGTTTTAGACTTTAATACCTCAAAACAACACACAGTGACACTTCCTGTACGAAGTAAGTAGGTTTTGTGTGTATTTACAAAACGTGTGCTTATTTTTCTTAAATAATAATAATAATAATAATAATAATATAAATTCTCTAGTTAACCAACTTTTGGTAATCGAGCCTCACTTTTGGATTGCACGGGGAAGTCGTGACGGCACAACATATGTTTTGTATCCAGAAGAGAATAATGGACCTGAAGGCGGACTTCCTATACTCTTGGAGCCTATTAAAGTCCAAGGTCAAAATGGTCATGAAATTGGTGAAGTAGCCAATGTGTTTGAGCAAGAGTTTGCGTAAGTACAATTATATAAATATTATTGTATTCTAACGTATATCTTCTATAATTATATACAGTCCTGGAGCAAGATTTGGTCAGAGCGATCACCCTTACAAATTCTGTACAATTCTTCAAGGGTGTTCACACAATGAATTCTTGCAAAAGTCAGGCGTGGTAGAAATAGCGTCTTACTTCAATGTCGAAAGAACTGGATACCAAGCCAACAAACTCAAGGGCTCTTCGCTCTACCTTTCGAACTCTCAGAAATTAGCTGTTGTTCAGCCTCCTATTGTATGTCTTTTAGAAAGAAAGAGCATATACATTCTTATTATTATTATCATTATTATTTTTACGATGTCTAAAACCTCTTTCTGTATTTGGTATATTATCGTAGGACGGCCGTGCTGAGAGTACAATTGATTTGCTTGATCCTGCCAGACATCAAATGTGGAGAATCAAATTACCCCTCTCTATCTTGGGGGGACCAGATACGTAAGTATACATTTGGCGTAACAATAGTCTACCAATAATGAGAATAAGAATAAGAATAGAAATACTACTAATATTAATACTAATAAGAGCTGGATAAAATTAATACTTATGATGATATAAATTAAATCTTTTGCTGGTACTTATTCATATACCTTTTTTTTTAAAAAAAAAACAGTGATGTGCCAGGAGCAGGATTTTCAAGATTTCAATTAGAGAGACGTGCAGCTTCGTTGTGTGAGTTGTCAAATGGCAATTTGGTTACAATGGACAATGCTGGGTCTGTCAGAATCTGGCAAGTCAGCTCCTCGGACTTATTTAAAGCAGCCCAGACATGGAAGCAAATGGTCGGTGTTGACCAGAAGATCCTGTCTGTTGTGTATGAGAAAAAGGTACTTTATTTTTGTTACGGTTAAAATATTAAGTGTATATATAAGACACAATACATGCATTTTAGAAAGTATCTGACTGGTTGTATTATTTCTACTTTTAATTATTCTTAGGATGGAAAGAAGAGTGATCCTTCTTCCCAGGGCGATGACGCGAACAAAACAAATGGCAGTGGTGAATCTGGGGGTGACTCCGATGAGGGAAGCGGTGGCTCAGGAAATGGTGGGGAAAGTGGCTCCGGAAGTGGTGGTGCTGGTGGAAGCGGTGGAATTGGTGGTAGTGGTGGCGAGAACATGAACGAAGGAGGACGCGAAGAAGCAAGCTTCGAGGATATTCAAAACTTAAAACTGGTACGTGCGTAACCAGTGCGTTGCCTATTTGTCACAAGTGCCCTAATTTAAAATTATGTCCACAACCAAACCATATATATATATATATACAGAAAACAGCAGGGGACGAAGCAAATGTAGTAAGCGATGCCAAGAGGTAATTCTACAACACCCATAATTATCATTCTTCTTTCTTTTGGCTCTTCTTGTTAGGCTTAGAAAGTAATATTCTGTATGTGGTTTTGGTAGAGAAATGCATGAACAAGCTATGGAGAAAATGCTTGATAAAATCAATATGACACAGGGTGACTACCAAGTAAGTTACATATAAAATACCATCTCTTTGGGTTATTAAGATACTGAAGAAAGAAAAGTATTAAGAAAAAAAACTCGTATTTATGTAGCAATTTCAAAAATACATGGAAAACATTCGACGTGAGGTTCGTGAACTTCGCGTCATATTGGAAAGTGTCGAGGCCAAAAACAAGGAGCGTGTGTGGTTAAAGAACCAATCGTCCGGTGATCTTGACGACACCAAAATGTAAATGTGGCCCGATCAACTATGGTTCTTCTTCTTTTTATTTGTGAAAAGAAAATAACATGAACAAATCTATAAGAAACTAGTCGTATATATATATATATATATATATATTCATTTATTTATATATTTATTTAATGTCTTTAATCTTCATAGTATTGAAGGGCTTACAGGAGAAAGGGCTATTTATAAGAAGAGAGGCGATGATGATCCTGAGATTGGACTTTTCCAGGATAAACCCAAAAGAATGAACTTTGTGTTTGATCTTTCGGCCAGGTAAAATTCTATTATTTCTTTTTTTTATAAAAAAACAAGCATCTATTAATAATACAATACAATACAATACAATACAATGTCTATTATATTCTTTGTAGTATGTTTCGGTTCAATGCCCACGATCGTCGGCTAGAGAGATCTATGGAGGTTGCACTTATGCTCATGGAGGCCTTTAGGGGATTTGAACACAAGTTCGCATACAGGATTGTAGGGCACAGTGGCGATGGAGCTAATATTGAGTTTGTAAAACCTGGGAACTATCCCAAGACCGAGAAAGAAGAATTTGAGATTCTGAGCAAAATGCGAGCTCATTCTCAGTATTGTCTAAGTGGAGGTAACAAAGAATATATGGAAATATTAAAAAGAAAGAGAGAAAGAAACTTGTATCGACTTGTTATTAACTTGAAAATATAACGCACCTAAAGATAATACACTTGGAGCTGCTTCTCATTCAGTCAAGGAAATTGTCAAGGAAGAGGGAGATGACCATTTTGTAGTTATTCTGTCAGACGCAAACATTGCCCAATACAACATTCATCCCGATGATATCGCAAGAGGTAATTAACCATGATGTAGAAATATATGGTTAACGCACACGTTCATTCTGATTTGCTTGTTGTACATAGTACTGAAATCAGATGATCGTGTTACTGCGCAAATGATCTTTATCGGATCGCTTCAAGACCAGGCAGAACAGTAAGTTCCTTTTTATTTATTATTATTATAAGCATTACAACTATAAACAAGCATTTTGTATGTATATCTAAAATATTAGGCTCACTATTTTATTTGATGCGAATCTCTAGGCTAAAAAAGGCACTTGGAAGCAATGCCCACATGTGCGTTGAAAATAAGGAGCTTCCAAAGATTATGAAAGCTCTTTTCTTGGCTTCAATGATCAAGTCTTGACTATGATGAATTCATACATGAAATCTTGAATTATACAATTATTATTAAAAGTATCACTGTGATTCTTATTGTGATTTTAATTTTGGCTTTCATTATTGCTATATTACTATTATGCTTTGTATGATTTATCACTAATTTATACTTAAATACACACGCACATAAATATATATATATATTAGATGATAGCCTATTTTATCGCAAGGTTAGGCAATAATCTTTTTTTAGATTGATAGTTAAAGAAAGAGGTACAATTGATAACTGTAAAGAAGGCTACATTAATTATATTCATTCATTCATTCATTCAAACATTCATTCATTCATCCATACATAGATACATAGATACATAGATACATAGATACATAGGTACATAGGTACATAGGTACATAGGTACATTTATACATAATAGGAATAATATATATACTTGCGTCAAATATTTACTAGTATTCTTATTTTGTGATATGGATTTGTAGACAAATATGGGAGGCCTCGAAGCCATCTTTTTTCCATCTCGTGGTTCTTTTAGCGGAGCTGGGTCTAGTCACCAGATATTGTGACCGTCTTACTCACATTTTATCACATATATATATAATTCGATCTTTTGAACAATTCTGTTAATGCTTCTTTTGACAGCTCCTATTACAAAAACGGGAGTATATACATATATACATATATACATATAATTATTGTAAGTGTAATTATAAGTATAAGTATAATTATTCATGTTATTAAAAAGGAACAAAATATCACATCTCTTCCTTCCTTTCTTCTTCTTCTTCTTATATTTTATTACTCTCTTTTCTATAGCAAATATGCCCAAAGATATCTACTGTCCATATAACAATATAAAAATTAAACAAAAAAGGCCAAAAAGAGCTGCGTTCCCTACAGGTATTTAAATATATCTTTATAGTTTAATAGCAATAAAAAAAAGAGAAAGAAAAGTGAATAATGAAAACTTGAACCGACTAAATGCCGCTCGCAACTATTACTACAACAACAAGAATAATAGCAACAATATCAAAAAACAACAACAACAACAATAATAATTAATATTACTATTACTATTACTATTACTATTAACAATGACAATATATATTTAAATCGTAGCCACTGTTCAGAATGACAAAATTTCAAAAAGATTTCAGAAAGAAAGCCAAACATGTAAGATATCATTGGGACAAAGAAAATACAACAAAATATATGTCTTTGATCAACAAGTAACTTGTCTTATTGCCTATTTTATTTTGTTTCTAAACAATAATATTAATAAAATCCAAGTCAAGAAGTCAATGCAACAAACAAAAAGGTTCACAGACCATCATCAATCTATACGTACTGAAGCACCATTATCGCACACGAGAGGATCTCCTTTTCCTTTATCCAAAAATACAACCAAGGCCACGACCACGACCACGACCACAATCTCAAACCCAAACCCAAACCCAAACCCAAATAAAAAAACAAATACAAAAACTACGACAAATTCACTCAAATCTTCTTCTTACCAACCTACTTTGGCTACTAAAGCATGTGTTCGCACTCCTTCAGCACCACCTCCACCACCTCCTTCTAATTCTCGTTCTCGTTCTTATCCTTATTCGCATTCGCATTCACATTCTACCTTTGTGCCCTCAAAACGGCATGCATGGTCTGTTTTTGGTTTCAATAGCCCAGAAGAAGAGTATTCCGAAACCAACAGACGCACTTCAATTCTAAGATCAATTCGTGAGGCTGGTGTCTGCCCTCAAATACCTTCCAAACGAATCAAGCGGCGTCAAGTAACAAGCCTGTCACAACAGCACCAGCAACGGGAGCCAGAGCAACAACCTTCGCCAATTTCCTCAGTTTCACCAATATTCAAACCAGTAAATTCCTCAGACAACAAACCTTTACCCTCCCCACAACCATCACCATGCATTGAAAAAGAAAAAGCCCCGCCAATTGATTCACCACTCATAACATCTCCAATCGAACAAAAAATATTTACAACAGACTACATTAAAACATTGTACACACTCATGACAAACAATGAATCCCAAGAAACTGAATCCCTTAATAATCTTCACCCTCTAACTTTGTCTTGTGTTGCCACAAAAAAAGAACAAAAAGAAAAACGAGTAGTGAAACTAGAGAAAGAAGAGGAAGAAGAGGAATACGAAGAAGAGGAAGAGGAAGAAGACAATGAAAAGGATCGTTCGAGGTTGTGTGACGAGTATGATTCTTCATTTACTACTCCAAATAAATTGCATATTCCTCTCCTACATGATGGCCCAGTTTCAAAACAAATATCTTCCGATAAGAAAGCACTAGAGAGAGAATATTGGCGTCGACAACGTCGAGTATTTCTTCGAACTCGATTTATCACTGACAAAGAAGCCACTTACATTGCACGAAAAGTCTATCACAATACAACTATATCAAGTAATTACCGTTTTATCACCTCTTTTCTATCAAATATGGCCAACTACCGGACAAAGTGGCGCAAAGGTCTCAAACGAATTGCCAAGAAGCTTTCAGTGTCAAAAGAACAGGTGGTGAATCCAATTGATCTACCAGTGCTTTACGATATTTCAGACCAGGCAAGCATAATACATATGAATATGAATATGAATATGAATATGAATACATATATGTATATGTATATGTATGTGTATGTGTACATACAGACATATTCTCCCTCTCTTTCTTTCTCTCTTTCTCTCTTTACCTCTTTACCTCTCGTCTATTCTTACTATTATTTATTATTCTTGCTTATTTATATATATATTCCTGCGTATAATTATTGTAGATTGATCATTCAATGCTAGATTCTATTTGGAAATACTGGATCACAGACCCGTATGTCGACCCTGATTTATTTTACTCCAATAATGATTCTGTGGCCAGACTAGCAGCAATCACAGTTTGCGCAGTGTATTTCACTCTGCGTGTTATGCATGGACACATGAAAGAAGGACAATATCGAAAGGCCCTTAGAGAACTTGACAGCTTTGGAATGACATGCAGTATTAGTTTGCCAGACCCAACACTAAATGAAGAACAATATTAATCTATCAATCAATCAAGCAAAAATCCCATCAAACGATCGATATATCACTTCACATACATCACATACATCACGCATGCACTCACTTACATACGCACTCAACAACTCAGTCAACCAACTAATTACCCATCAAATCAACAAGACCCATCACAGTAACAACCATAAAAAAGTATTCAAGAAAATTAACATCATATTTCATAGAAGTATATTTTCTTTACACCAACTGAACCAAGCACACGCACACGCACACGCACACGCACACGCATAAAGCATAAAGCAAGAAATGTTTTGCTTAGTAATGAGTTACATTTATACTATTGATACTACAGACATCGAACATTTATGCTATTAAATGTATACTCAAGCTATTCCTTTTAACGTCCTCCTCCTCCTTTCCTACAACTACAACACCACCGTTACTACCATTAGCATATTCAAATCCGAGTTCAAATTCACCTAAAACACAATTATATTTGCATGTATCTTTCTTGTTTTATACACTCATACATTTTCTATATATATATTCACATATACATATACATATACATACACATATACATATACATATACATATACATATACATACACATACACATACACATACACATACACATACACATACACATACACATACACATACACATACACATACACATACACATACATATATATACTCTCATTACTTTATTTTTTACTTTTATTTTATAAATAAATTCTTGTCTTTTGTTGTCTGAATTATCGGATGTTCTGGTGCTTGGACACCCATCATTTGTAAGAATTTAATCAAACGATACTCCATCCTTCGAAGCTATGTGTATATATTATAGAAGTAAGATAAAATAAATATCAATTCGATAATAAATTGATCCAAGATCTTGATTAATTATATTTACCAAAGCAGCAGCCTTGTTGTCACCTTGTTCAGTAACTATCTTGCTTGTCCATATTGTGAGGTTTCCGTTGATATTTCCAAATAGGACATCTGTAAAGATTCTGTCACCAACAAATACAGTTTGCCTAGGAGATGTTTGGCCAAAATGCTTTTGTAACTCCCTGCCACCCAAAGGCTTCTTTTCTGAATGTCGTAAGACAGGTACTCCTAATGATTGTTCCAACTTTTTGGCCTGTATTTTGTTTTATAAAACGGATATATTTATGTTTATATTCCATACTTATACTTGTATTTATATGCACACAGAGACGAAATGCGAAATTCGAAAGACTTGTAAATATCAAGCTGTAAACCTGAATGTAAGTATAAAAGCAAATCATTCTACTTATCTGTGTAATCCTTGTCATCATTTGTTCCAGCAGAATTTGATACAATAGCTACGTTATCAACTCCAAAAGTATTTTTGCATTCAATCCAGGCTTCCTAAGAATCATAAGCTCAACAAAATCCAGCCAACATTTATTTATTTATTTATTTATTTATGCTTAAGTTTGATATCTAAAAGCATTTAAAATACAAAAAGGTCACAAATTCTAATACCTCAAAAGGCTGATGAATTTGAGAGACATACGGAGCAGTCAAACAATTGTCCTTGTCAAATCCAATAGCTTGCACACCGCCCTTTCCTTTTAAAGTTCCAAAATTGATGTTGCGTACATCTGGATGGAAACCAAACCAAACCAAACCAAAGCAGTCCATTAAGCTCAATGTAACATTATATTCACATGTCGCTTAATTTTACCATTAACAATGATGTGAGGAATAGCTAGACTAGGATTCCAAATGACTCGGAATGCATTAACAATTCCTGAGATGTTGAAACTTTGTACCATTATTTGTTTATTTTTAACAGATAAAGAAAAACAAGTGCGACAAAAGAAACAGGGAATAATAAAAGAGTATTTGACAGTCCCATTGGATATAGATTTCTTTTTTGAACCTAAACGAATGTATTATAGATTTGCTACTATAAATTTGTATAATAAAGAGACTACTTCAAAGCCTTTGATTCTATAATCAATTCTTATAATCGTCGTAGATTTTTAAATTATCATTTTTTCTATACAATTCTTTAATTAACATTAATTAGTATTTTGTATATATTTCTATTGAATGTGTAGATAACGCTGATCATTAATAAAGCACATACATATATTTCTCTGTCCATCTTGGTGCACAACAATGTATCCTTGTACATTTATCACTTATTTCTTTTGCAGTTGTGCAAGTGTGACTTTGTAATTAAACATTCTCCCCCTCTGTGCACTTGAGATAAGAGAGAGAGAGAGAGAAGGGAAGGGGTAGGGGTAGGGGATCGAAAGAGAAAGATTGAGAACAAAATAATACTTTAGAGGGAAAGAAAAAATTCGAAAAAGGTGTAACAATTTATTTTACTCTATTTTCTTTATTTTCTTTTTGGAACGTAACATTTTGTCAAAGGCAATGAGTTTACCTTCATGGGCAGTGGCCGTCATCACAATCGGTGCAGCAGCCATCTTGGCTGTTTCTATTGATTACCTCATTTCTCTTTTGACTCGCGAGTCATTCAACCCAGCCGGAAGAAATTGCTTTATTACGGGTGGGAGTTCTGGGCTTGGAAAGGCACTGGCCGAAGAACTTGTCAAAGGAGGAGCAGATGTTTGTATTGTTGCACGACGTACTGAAGAGCTTGAGAAGGCAGTTAAAGAAATAGAGGTATGCAATAATAATAATAATAATAATAATAATAATAATAATAATAATAATAATAGTAATAATAACATTAAGCATTATGTATTCAATATATATATATACATATTGTGTGTGTATTTTATATCTTTGGTAGACTTACAAAAAGTCACCTACACAAAAAGTTATGTTTGTCAGTGCGGATGTTACTTCAAAGCAAGACATGCTGCGTGCCTTTGACACAGCTGAAGTAAAGATGGGAAGAAATCCTGACTTTGTATGCTGCTGTGCAGGTTAGTTTACATATACAGAACTCGAATTGGATAGAAATGGTAATAATGAGTATATAATCTGTCAATGTTTATTATTCAAAGGTGCATCGTACCCAAAGTTCTTCCTTGACAGTACACTGGATGAAGTTGATCATCTAATCAATCTGAATTATCTGGGACAAGCTTATGCTGCACATGTAAGTATCAAACACATATTATACACATGGGTTTTGTGTGCATTGGACTTTAAATATCAAGATGTATTGTATACGTTGACTAAGAAGAATTGCTCTTCTAGCAAGCTGCTTTTCGTATGAGAGATTCAAAAGTTGAAAATGGAAAGATCGTGTTTGTCTCGTCAATGCTGGGAATTTTAAGTTTTGCTGGCTATGCAACCTATTCTCCTACAAAATATGCTATTCGTGGCTTGGCAGATACCCTCCGTAATGAATTAAAGCAGTATGGGATTGGCGTACATATATTTTTCCCTGGTGGTATTGAATCTCCCGGATTTGACACCGAGGTAAGAAATTATCAAAATACAGACAGAGAAAAGAATTAATGAATGAATGAATGGAAAATCTAATATGTTTTCCTAATTAGAACCTGACCAAACCCGAGGTAACCAAGGCTATTGAAGGCGCTAATACTCCCCAGACTTCCAAAGAATGCGCAAAATCATTAATGAAAGGTTTGAAATGTTTTTTTATTACAATTACTATTATAATGAAAAGGGAAAGGGAACTTTGTTCAGCTATAGATAATATAAATTATATAAATATTAAAATTCGCATATTTGTTGTTGTTGTTGTTGTGACAGGATTGCACACTGGAAATTATATGATCATGACAGACTTTATTGGAGAGATTCTCAGGGCAGTTTCAAGAGGTAATACACAAGATAAGAATAATGACAAACAATCACACACACGTGTGTGTATGCATATAGTCATAAAAAGGGAACCAGTCAATAAACCAAAGGAAACGAGGATGATATTCTTACTCTTTTTTATTTTATTCTCTTCTGGCTATTCTAAAACAAAATATTTCTATTCTAGGTGTTTCTCCTTCAAACAACTTTATTTTGGATAGTATTCTTTCTATAATTGGACAGGTAACATAAAAATATTGAGTTTGTGTAGTGGTTTTTTGAATTAATTAACATTTTTATATCTATAGCCGATTGCCTCTGGATATGCTATTTATATGGACTATCTGGTCAAGTCTTTGAATAAACCAAAGACCAAGTAACTCTTATATATGTACTATAAAATAATAATAATTAAAGTTAAATATAAATTATATTAAAAAGGCAAACAAAAAAAAGTTTAGTTCAATCACAAATTTCTTGGATCAAAGTAACAAAAAATGATCCTCGCTACTACCTTTACTAGAATTTATTGCGTTTATTTGTGTATTTTTCTCTCTCTCTTTCTTTTAAGAGAAAGCAACTAGCCTCAAACAATAAGGGATAAAGAAAAAAGAAAATATGGTTTTTTTTGTCAATTGTCCTTTTTGTTAAAGAATGTGTTGTTTGTGAACTATATCTAGGGACCACAATTCCAGTGTGTGGTCAGTACAATGCATGAGGGCGGAAAATTCCATAAATATATATATTTATTCATCTTGCTGTACTGCATTGTAAATAGATCAGCAACATTAGCCACAACAAGTCTCTTGACATATTAGCCTTTACACCCATTACCCGTACCACTGAGGCAGTGTCCGCTTTGCACTAAACCCGTTCTTTCCTAAAAAGAAGAAACAACAAAACTCAGTCTGCCTTTTGGGTTTTTATTTAAACCGAAAATAATACAAATTTGCATGTTGTGTTTATTTATATATATAGGAAGTCAGTTCATCTGTACACAAACGCATACACAGATTTGGTATGTTGTATTTGATATTTAGATCTAACAGAATAAAATAAAATGTATTAAATTCTCTGATGTAGTTTACATACTATCCTTTCTTTTATACTTTGGTTTTTTAAGTGTTACTTGGCACATTAATCTCATGACAGTAATCTTATGTATGTATATATATATATTACGTCTTTAATTTAATAAGCATTCCAATGCACACAATGCGCTATCCAAAATGAAACTTCGCTAATTATTCGGGCAAGACACTTTTCCTCTTGGGCACAACGTTTCTCTGGAGCACTACGTTTATTGGACCTCCGCACTTTAGCATTTACCAGTCTCATAAAGAGGGACTTGTCCGTCATCCAGCAATCTTATCTGGTCCCTGACCACCCAAAGTAGTTTGTATGAGTAAAATCAATTTATTAAAATATAAATAATTTTATTCATGAACAAATTATTTCTTTATTTAATATATTCGAATTCCTAGCTGTATTTGAGTAGCAATTCTGTTAAAAGTTTTATTTTTTTATAGCAGTGTATACAAAATATACAATTTGTAAATGTTGTGTCCGAGAGACACAACATCGTGTCCCAAACACGACTAATTTGGTTCCCGTCAACAAATCACATACCTATGGTTGCTGACAAGTCATACTTTCACGATTTAACTTGAGACATAAATCATATATTTTCATTTTGTGTGATTTAAGTGGAAAAGATTATAAACCATGTAATTTGCATCTTTTTTCAAAAACTTTCATAATGGATATAAAGGTAATGCAGCCTCTTATGCCTAAGAAAGTTTGCATTATAGTTAAGCTAATATATCTTTACAAAATTCATGTTTTTGTTTTTATTTCTTCTGTAAAAACTCTTTATTATTTCCTTACAACATGTACATGAGATATTTTATCAAAGATACAAAAAAATAAAAAAAAATATTCACAAAAGGCCAAAAAAAAGTCTCTAATTACATATATTCAAATAGCATATAAATTCAGTAAAAGTTTCATAGAAAACAAATGAGAAAAAAGTGATTCTACAAGCAAATACAATATTTTCTTTTATTGAGAAAGTGCAAATTTTTGAGATATTATGTTAGTATTCTCATGATCAAGATATTCAATTCAACCAAAACTTCTAACACACAATTATATCTATATACTACTTGGATCCAAAGTTATAGAGAGCCAACACTTGAATTTATAAAATAGATAGATAGAAATGCATAAGATAAGATATCTGAAGATAGTTTGGTTAAATCTATGTAACACTATTCGACATTTAGGCTTTTTAATTTGCTGGATATAAGTGTAACTCGAAGGGTAAAGTACTTCCCACAAATGATTTCTATGAAAAAACAGAGAGGAGAGTCATTTAACTCTCAAGTGATAGATAGTTTATGTGGACGCAAAGAAACAGATTGATAAGATTTATAAAGGTTTAAACAAGATTGTCTAGCTAATAAAATATAATAAAAGAAAAGAAAAATAGGAGAAAAAAATAGATTATTTTATAGTGAGATCAATAGGTCCCTCTTGATTGGAAAGGAAAGAGAGCGTGTCATTTCTGTAATCATACTTATTGAACTCTTTAAACTTGTTCCAGTAAGTATCAAAGCTGTTGGGAATCTGGTTTCTGACACAGCCCAAAAGGAATAACTTAGGAATAATTGGTTATTTTCTTGAGATATTGTGGAAAAGGTTTACTGTTGTCCAGTCGTTATTGTTAACATGATTAAAAATCAGAGATTGTTGCTGTTTTGAGATGTTTTTGGGATGAGCAAAGGGAAGGAACGACACAGAAGTGGTGTTGGGGCTATCTGAGTAGGCACAGACTGGTCGTATATATGTGTCTGAAGCTAGTTGAGCACAGTCGGATGTATTAAAACACATACTAGCATCTAAACATGCTGGGATGAAGTTGGTGTTGGTGTTGTTATTGTTGATGCAAAGATCAAAACCATGTTTTATGATGTCTTTTAATTATTTAATATCAGTTCCAAATTTATTTGCATATGTCTTCTTGTATTTTGGCAAGACAGAAATCATATCTCTTTTTACAAGAGGGAATTTGTTTTGATCTTTATAGATCAAGTGGGCAAGTACCCAAAAACCATGCCGCCCATCAGCAGTCAGGTTAAACCCACCCTTAACAACACCGACTATCTCATGAGAGACAGGAAAACCGGGCTGGAATTTAACTCTCTTGCCAACAGAGGTGCGCTTATCATACTGGTAATCTTCTAGAGCAGTGGCAGGTCTTATCAACACATTTTTTTGGGGGACAGAAACTAAAAAGCATATAAGTATAAGAAGATATTTCTCTTTATGGATTCAATCACACTGTAAAATAAGAAAGCATATTACCCGGGTCGAGAGGCTCTTGTTTGCTTTTGTTTTGTTTTTTGTGTAGCTACAGGATTTCCTTCTCTCATTCTGGGTCTCAACCTAGCCATTGCCTTAAGGCCAGCCTAGTATTTCAAGATACATATCAATAATTTGTTACGTTATTTTTTTATCTTACATGACCAGACGAAACACTGATCTTCCTCCAGTTTTCCTAACCAAATTATTTGGGGAGGTACGTTAGACATGCACTATCATTCCATTTGTCAGGGTACTTGATTTTTTCTAGGTCTTGAAAGTTAACCGAAGGGTTCCCAGCTTTGCCTTCGAATTCAGAAGTAACATTTTTGATCTTATTCAAGAGTTTAGCTACTTGCTTGCTACTCTCACAGGAGCGAAAAAGTGTCTCAAGTTTAAATCTCCTCTATTCACACTTCTGATTTTTTATCAACTCTGATTGTTTCTTCGAGAGTATTTTTGACCTGTTTCGCCATTCTAGGTTCAATCAGCCACATTTCAGGAATATCGGAAATACATATTTCCCTTCCAGCAGGCAAACAATGGCAGCAAGGTAAACTATATTGAAGCTTGTTCATACATTTGCAATAAGTACTGCTGCCACACATAATCCGAATCTCCTGGTCTACCAAAAGTAAAGCTCACTTTGACACCTTCATGAGTAGCTTGGATGAAAGATTGTTTTGTCTAACAAGAGGGTCAATCGTCATAGATTCTCTTATCTCTACACTCGAGTGTAATAGGTCATTGGACGGTCTTCTAATTTTCAAAATTATTTTTCAAGCATATTATGGACGATATTTTCTTTTCAATAATGTTGATAATAAAATGTGCTCAGAATAAAGCAAAACTTAGAGAAAACATAGTTTATTATATATATATTTAAGAGAAAATGTATGAGCTCTAGTAATGAGTTGTGTCACCACATCTCTTGATTACTTCTTTAAGCCTATCTGGCATGCTGGCTACCAAAGTTTCCAGAACTTGAAGTGGTATCTCCAACCATGTCTTGTGGATTACCGCTTCAAGTTCTTCCACATTGGTTACTTGTGCTCTATTCTTGTGAAGTTTCCTCGCAAGATGAGCCCAAATATGCTCGATAGGATTAAGATCTGGGCTCTGGGCAGACCAAAAATCAAAGCTATCTATTAGACACATCTCTTTTTTATACCATGTGGCATAAGCGCCCGTGTGGCATGGTGCACCATCCTCTTGGAGCAAAAACTGTTTGTTATATCCCTGGACAGTTCCTCGTACCAGGGAAGAAAGTACTGAGCCAAACAGTCGATGTACTTGTCTTGATCAATGTTTCCTTTCAATGTTACCAAGGGGCCAAGACCCCCACCCCAGAAACAACCCCAAATCATAACAGAACCCTTACCAAACTTGTATGTTTGGACAATATGGTTCTTGTCAAACATCTTGCCAGTCTTTCTGATGACTCTGACTCTTCCATAATTGCCAACTACTATGAATCTGGACTCGTCTGACCAGACAACTGACTTCCACTGCTCAATGGTCCAATTCACTTTGTCAAGGCACCATTTCAGCCTGTTTTCCTTCTGTTTCTCGGTCAACCCTGGCTTGCAAGCTGCTGAGTGAGAACTAAAGCCAAGAAGTTTCATGTTCTTACGGAATGTAGTCATGCAGATAGAGATTCCCACATCAACTAATCTCTGATGCTGAGCCACAATTGACACGAATAGCTCACTGTGAAATGAGTGCACCATTGCAGATTGTGTTCTCTTTGTAACCTTTGGTTCCCTTTCTAGGCGTGTCAAAGGCTTGGAAACACCTTTATCTCTGAAGGCTTTCACTACATTTCCAACAGTGCTCTTTGGAATGTCAAGGGCTTTAGAGATTTCTCCATATGTAGCGTCCTTCTCCCATTGACATATAATTTGGTCCCTAATAAACGCATCTAACTCTTGTCTTCTGGGTTTTGTGATGCTAGAAGTTGGTGGAGTCATTTTGTGCTTTTGTTTTATTTGTTTAAGAGTTTTTAATGGTTTTACAAAGAAAAGAGTATTTTGATAATGCATAAAAAAAATCAAAAAATCAAAAAATCTGTGACCGCCTAATGACCTATTACACTCGAGTGTACATTTCGAAAGGCTTGAGAAAGTCTTTCAATGTATTTTTCAATACTCTCAAAGACAAGATCCAGAGATTTTATAGCAGATATACTTTTTTCAAAACATGATGTACACTTTCTACTCTTTGCAACGTTGTACACCCAAAATGCATCAATTTGGAAATAAGGTAGCCTGCCCACTTCTCCTTACATACAACCCACTTGACATTGAAGTAAACTGCAGCTGGCACTTTTTGCTTGCCATTTTTTATCTTTGTACTATTAGAAACTTTGTTTTTCTTGGTTATATTATGGACCGTGCTGGCTATGTATCCTGCAAGTTATTCCTTTCTTTCTTCCAAGCCTACTTTTTCCAAAACAGCCTTCTCTATGCTATTTAACATGTGTCAATAGCAAAGCATCTTACTTTTATCTGGAAATACACTGTCCAGAGCGTTCATCAATGCAGTGCACTTGTCTGTCACAGACACTGTGATCAGTGTCTTTCCTTTGAAAACAAAAGACTCAAGTTGCTGAAGAAACCAAAGATATGTGCATTGCTGTTCATTAGAGACACAGGCAAAGACAACTGAGAAAGATTTGAGGGTTTCTCGTCCAAGATTGTAGATATCTTCCACGCAAATTAGGAACATCTCCAAGTTATTGGTAAAATATGTTACATCAACCATCATAACTTCCGATAAGCAATAAGCTCTCTCCATCATCTTTTAGATGATAAAAAATATCATTTCCAGCGAAATGCCTCCATTTATGTTGTTGTGTGTTTAGAAAACTTTTGTTTCCATCATCTCAACAAGTCTAGTTTCTGCATTCTGAATAACAGGGCTAGAAACTCAAGCAAAATCAGTCTTGATATTGCTTGTATTGCTAACTTACAGCATATAAACATCATCTATTCCATTCATGATAATTCTTTGGATTTCACAAGTCTTGGCCTTTGTCTCTACAAGCTTAGAAATTTGTCTGACATCTTAAGCAGCAACTCTCAACAATCCCCCTTTAAAAGTTAGTTCTAAGCATTTGTCATCAAAGAAGATAATTATAGAAGCTCTCATTTCATTGGAAGCTTTCAAGAGAAGATATCACCTGATTCCTTTTTTGTATGATAGTTTTATCATATATAAACATCCAGTTTTTGAGCTAGGACAAGTTTTAACACAATCACAGTCTTCAATTTTATGAGTGTTTCTATAATGACTACCCTGGTGCACCTTAAGTAAACTCGGTTTGGTTTATGGTCTTTGATTACAAGAGTGAGATTGTTAGAAAGTGTATACTCTTGCATCTTAAAGATTGCTACATTCATGTTGACATAGTCATTGATTGGTGTAGTAATAAAATCTTTTTGAACAGAATAATATTTATTTCTGTCAACAAGAACTGATTCTCTATTGCTAGTATTCATGTTAAAGTGATTTCTATTGAGACATTATTAACATTATTTTTATAAATACTAATCTGTAATATTAGAAGTAGCAGTCTTGTTTCTTCTGAAATAAAATTATGTTATTTAGAAGATGTCTGATGCTTATAGGATTAATATATAAAAGAAAATAAGGTTTAATAATAGGTTTTTCACTAATTTCTTCAGGGCACAAGTTTTTTTTGCATTAAGCCCCTCTGCTACCATTGAAAGCTAGACCATAGTCACTTTCCAGGAGTTCAATACACAATGGAAAGCAGTGTTTAGAATATTTCTAATACTCTACAGAAACGTCAGACCCAAGAGGAAAAGTGTCGGGCCCAAATAATAACTGATTCATCTATATCTGAAGTATCATATACTACTATTCTCAGAACTGTCTTTTTATTTTCGCATACATATAATATTTATATACTTATACCTTCAAAACCTTCTTCAATGAAAACAACTCTCACACTATCACATATAATTTTTAAAACTTCTGACTTTTAGTATATCTTTAAATATCCAGCTCTAAACAAACAGTCATTATCTAACACAAAGTTCTGTCATAGTAATCTCTCTTTATAGATGCACATCATAATTCTCAAATCTATATTATATAAAACAATCTTGGACTTATTAGGGACCTTGGACACATCATATAAAATTTATTTAGATGGAGATTGTGTTCTTAAAAAAGATTAGTATTTTTCAAAATCATATTATTTTATATGATATAAAAACATGATATAAAATGTGTTGACCAATCATCTTTCAACATTTTATATTGTTAAACTAATGATGACATAAAACTTGAAATAAAGAACAAATTATGTTTTTAAGTAAGTATATAAAGAAGTCTATATAGTGCCAGCATTAGTTTTTTTCTCTTTTATTTGCACAAGCATTCTACATATACAAATATTAATTAGTATCTAATAGCTTTAATGTCTAAAAAATTAAACAGCTATTACAATTTAATGGCAAAAAGTAACAAACTTTAGTTTGCACTAATTGAATGATTTTAAGTTCATGAGTTAAGTAAATTAACATGATCAATAAATGAAATATCTCACATTTTCATTGTATATAGAAGCTTTGGATGTGAAACATGAGATCGTATAAAATTACATATATGGTTAAATGTTTCAAAAAAATTATATGATGTGTTCAAGGTCCCTATTATAATCTTAAATATTTACTTTAAGTTAACTGTTAGTATAATAAATAGTATAAAATAATATAGACAACAAAGACATATTATAACAGCCATTAGATAGAACTACTGACTAATCATGTCATCTGATAAAAGCACTGCCAAAAACTATAATATAAAAGGTTAGTTTTATAATTTATAATTCCTTTAATTGTATTTAGGTTAAGTATTTAGTGACGTTGCTACTTTAACAGATATTCAGTGTTCAATTCCCATTGAAATATAAATTTTGTTTTTATTAGTTTTTTGATGGATAGAATATTTTGTTGTTCCTGATCTAGAATATCTTTCAATTCACTATAAACATATTCGAATTGGTCAAGCTTTAACACAGGAGTAAGCAAATAAGAGAGACAATAAAAAGATGATTTTTATTATATTGATTTGAGTTATTTTATATAGTTTTTGAAATGATTATTTATTTTTGACTACACTCAAGTAGTGTCTAGTAATTACTGTAGAAAAAAAGTTGCTGTAAATTCCAAAAAATGGCAACTTTCAATAAAAACCATGCAACTTTGTTTAAACTCCTATAACCATACCAAATATAGGGCAGTTTGAGCTCTTTTTTGTTTTTTGAGATTTAATTCAAATATATTTTTTGGATTTTTAATTCAGAAAGCCATTTTAGGTAAATATTGTATACTAAACTGCTTACAGATTACAAGGTTGAGTAAAGGAACAAACATGGCCTACAAAATTACTTATACATCACAAGAGATTTTTTTTGTATAATCATATCCCAAAAGTGTTGTCGGTGTACTACCGAGTCTATGACTACCATATAGGGAAGTCCTATTTTTGATGAGGGTTGCTGGCTAAAAATAATTTGTATTTTGAAAATAGATTTTAGAAATATCAAAAATGATTCAAAATTGGATTTGTTTCAAATAATTTTTGGGTTGAAAAATAGGTTTTTATTATTTATTTTTTTGGTATATTTTAGGCTGTAAAAAAAAATAGAAAAAATCTAGGTTGGGCCACATAATCCCTATACAGTAGCACACCAGCCTACTAATACTACTGGAAATAGTAGTAGTATAGCTGCCTGTATCAATGACTGCAGATTACATGGCTGCTTTATAGTAAGCTACTATTCCTAACTAAACGCAAAAGATAAATACATTGTCATGGATGCCTTTGGAACCAATGATTCTGGATACTTGAATACTAAGAGACTTGAAAGCACGAGCGCCAAAAAACTCTAAGACAATATGACAAATAATTAGTAATCAGGCTTAGAGATGTTTGAGAAAATTTTATCTTTAAATCTGCTAGCTGATTTGTAATTATAGACAGGTAAATATCTAAAAGTAATAAAAAATAAAAGTCATTATTATGTTGCTTTGTAAGCAAAGTATATAGTTATTACCTTTTTACTCATTTAACCAGATGACAATAAAACTAATTTATAAATCAGATTAGTATGATTAATAAATACATTGTTATATGAAGCTACTCTGATAGTCAGCATACCTTTTCAGTAAGGGTATTTAGACATAACTTTACTACTATAAATGTTGCAAACGTGTTAGAGTATCTTAGAGATAGAAGCACTCTAAACAACAAATCTTTTGGAATGAATTTGTGGGAAAAAGAAGATAAAAGCACATCATTTTTATTTTATAGAAGCTACGAGAAAAAAATATGATTGGTGCGCTGACATTAAATATCAGTTTTTGTATCCTATAAATTCAAATAATTTATCTAAGTCATTTTGTACATTTGCTTACTTTTCTTATGCCAAAAAACAGAAGACATAAACGCACTATACTTAATAGTCCAATCTCTCAAAGGCCAGGCAAATACAATTTTAGCACAAATGATAGAGAGTTTAGTTGTCCAGACTGGAGAACCACTTATACTCGCTCATGGAATCTTCGTTGACATCTTAAGAATGTTCACCAGATCTCTAATGTAGACTTGGAGAACTCTTTGAATTACTTCGATGATAAAACAGCAACAGTAACAACAACAATAACAACAACAATACCAGCAGAAACAATGGCCGAGTTTCAAATATTTGAAACAGACAATGATGTTAATTCAGCAGATAAATACTCCAGCAATAGCAAAAAATACGATGACAAAAACAATATTATTGATGATTATTTCAATGATGATACTACCAACAATTATGTTCTTTCTGCTGTAAATGAGTATCTAGAATCTGCAGTAAATGGCAAAATGAACATAGACAACTTTGGAAACTTGGAAGGATTTATACTAAACACTGACACTAATAACCAATCTAACTCTGGATTTCATCCATTCCCTGATCTCCAATCTATGGTTCTATTTGAACTTATTGACAGTGATAATGATATGCTTTCTCAAAGAATGGTGAAGAAGATTCTTGCTGCTATGAACTTGATTATTAAGATATATGCTGAAACACCAACTGGAAAAGTATTTAAGTTATCTTGCTTAGATAACCTTATGAACTACCAAACTAGAAAAGGAAACAAGACCTCTGTGCTTCCCTCTCTACACCAAGAAATACAAGTACCTAACAATACTGAACATATATACCTCAACCTGCCATCTACCCACTTTGAATTTCTCATGTCAAATGCAAAAAAGTGTGATTTAATTGCTTCCTTACCCGATCATACTCCCGGACAAGCTATTTCTTTGCAACAAGGCGAAAAATGGAGAAACCATCCTTTATTTCAGCAGCCAATGTTTACTGTGAACAGTGTCAATATTTGGGCCGGAGATATCCTTTACTTGAAGGCTAACAATCCTATGCTACGCTTTTTGGTTGAGTCATTTCATACAGCAAACAGCCATATTTATGCAAGAGGTTATATGATTAGAATTATTTCAGACAAATGTCACGGTGTAGAAATCGCTGCTACTGATATTAATATAGAGCTTATTGACCATGTTAATAACAATCGTCTTGAAGAAGCATGCTATTTGAGCATATCACTGCAGTATACCGCAACATTATGTCCTGTTCATTACACTCTCCTTTTTACCCAACATCCTATGAAACAACAAATTCCTAATGCACCGGCCAATACATTTTACAAAGTTATGATAGTACCATTAATACTTTTTACTGATGATACTTCTGGAAACTTGTTAAAGCAATACAATCCTTATGAAAGTTGGTTAATGAAATGTGCTGGGTTGGCATTTAGAGATAGGCTCTCCATAGAAAACATTCAATTTATTGCTACAGTTCCTAAGAAAAACGGTGCAAAAGGTGTGTCTATCTTACCTGTAATGGTCTGTGATCTCAAGGCCCTTGAAAAGGGTGTAGTTATGTTCTGTGAAAAAGAAAATCAGTATGTTCTTGTCATTGCCCCTGTTCTCTGGATTGAAGCCGATACACCTTGCCATTCTGAACTTTGTAGATTATCTGGCTCAACGTCTTTGTATCCTTATAGAAAATGTTATGTATGCATTCACAGACTAAAGGATTCTCTTCCAGCCAAAGAATACTGTACCGAGCCCCATAAGAGAAGAACCCAGGAACATTATGTGCTTGCTAATTTCATGTTGGACAGAACAACCATCATACCCAATGCCCCAACAGACAGATGTAACTTGCCTGCCAAAGACTTAAGCTTCAAGGATCGCTCGACTGGATCTCTTTTGGAACTAGATGCTTTTAACCCATCAAGGGATATGCCTGTAGAGATTCTTCCCACTATTCTTCTTGGAATTGAAAAGTATATGGTTATCCATCTTATGAACAGTATTCTTAAAAGCAAAAAAGATGTAATTCAATGACTCAAAACATGTTTAGATGATTACAAATGCTCAACTAGATTATCGCGCAAATTCACAAGAAATATCAATCGCTCAGGATCCTATGTTGGTAGAGATTTTAAGGTGCTCTTGCAAATTCTCTCTGTTATCCTTGTCACTGATTTTTCGAATGAGCCCATACTAGACCGTATCAAACCTTGCTTTGTTGAACTTGGCTGCCTATGTTCCCTAGTATTTGTTCGAGAGGTAACCTCAGGTTTTGATGACTATCTTGTTGGAGTGGACCTATCTGTAAGACGTTTGCTTGGGCAATTACACGACTACAATACTTTTAAGAGAGCTGAAGTCAAAGAAAAGAACAAAACTGCAAAAATAAAGAAGAAGTACACTGCATTCTGCACGAAGCCTAAAATTCACAACTTGACCCACATGAAAGATGATATTCAATGATTCGGTACTGCTCTTCAATTTGAAACTGAAAAAGGTGAATAATTTAATAAGCATATTTGCGAACATCTCTTTCACACAAACCATAAGAATACCTCGCAAGATGTCTGTCTCAAATTTGCAAAACAGGCAGCATTACAGCATGTTATGGATGGTGGCTCTTGACTTAACGAAAATGGACAACATGAAAGACTAGGAAGTGGAATCGCAACCTTTCTTCAAGGAAACAATGAAAAAAAGTTCTGTTTTTTATTCTTTGGTGGTTCAAGAGACTTTACTGATAACAATGATACTAGTGATATAGATGAAGAACGTATCAAGAACAATTCTTTTGGTGCCTTTATTTTTAACAATGACTCTTTCTCCTGACCCCATATTGGATATGTTTCTGAATTAGTTGTTACTTTTCTTGAACTTGTTGCTCGCACTGAAGATGACAAGAAAAATAACTATGCAAAAGCTGTCTTGACAGACCACCGTACTGACCTTTCCCACTTGAAACTTGTTTGCAAACTTGATATGCACCTTTATCGCAATTCTTTTTACATCATAAACTTGAGTAAGTTTGGCTTCTACTGGTTTTTTAAAAACAACTTTTTATTATATGAGTAAATATCTACTACGTTCTTTCTATGCATGAATATGTTTCTACTATGCCTCTCTTTATAGAATATGCTTTTATTATGCTTTTTTTTATACAAATATGTTTTACTATGCTTTTCTTTTACTTGAAATTGTGATGAAGTCCTTTTTCTTTTCTCTTCAATTCCCGGCTTTCCTTAATAAAAATTTTGTTTTACTTGAACATTGTCTCTCTCACTTAAAAAGTTTTTTGTCTCACTCAAAAAAAATTTGAGTAGTACTAAACCTACATTTCTTCTTTATATGAGTGGAAAAATTTGAGTTTTAAAATATTACACAGAAAAATTTTATATAAGCCAATCAAATTAACTATGAGCAAGCAATTGCCATATTTACTACTAAAAATCTCTTGTGGTGTATTTTGAATCTGAACTTTAAGAAGTCTTTCCTACTAAAAAGAAATGACTGTGATTGCTTTTTAATGCAGTTTTTTTTTATTCTGTAAAGTATTTTTCTTATTTCTTTTTATTTCTTTTTTTTCCACAAGGTCTAAAATTATTAAAAATCTTTAAAAGAAACACACTTAATAACTATGAAGGCTAGTATTAATAAAATACGAATCAGCAAAGTTAATAAAAGAAAATAACTTGTGAAGAATTGACAGAAAGATATCTGCATCATGTATAGTTTGGTTGTCAAGATTGCATGCATGCTCATTAGAAATCTTGGTAAATTTAGAGAAGTGCAGAGAATCTGTCTTCTTGTTTTTCAAAAGTAGGAATCAGATATAATTGTTGTGAATGAGTATTGATTACTGCTGAATCTGAGAGTAAGACTGAAGGATAAAATAATATCCTCAGCTATTCCAGTCAAACGGATCTCCCTTTATGATATTATCTAATACACAGATCATCATACACATAATTGATTATTTATTATTATCACCATGACATGGGATATACAAATACATATACATTATATATATGGCATCATTATATTTCATCTACATATTTCTTTTATTATACAAATACTTAATTGAGAGACTACAACTACAACTATCTAATATTATGAAACATTACCCGAGTATCTGGGTCGGAATACTAAAATATTACCAATAGCATAAATGCTCTTCTTTACCAAAACTCTTGGACTGATCTGACTGGAGAAGTATCATATCAATTGGTCTTTCCGGATCTTTCCAGAAGAACAATACTCCTGGAAGATGACTCATCGTGATAAAGATTACTTAAGCACACACTGAATTACAAATTAGAAAAACATATAAATATCAGTAGATAGTTCCGTGTAGAAAGAGGATCGAATTTTATCATTCTTTTACTTTTCTTTTGAAATAAACAACCTACACAAGTTCTCACGAATTCTTTCGTCTATATTATATTTTGCTTTATTTTCTCCCCACAACAATAATAATGCTAGCACAAAGCAGGTTTATACTCTTTGTTGAAAAGAATCAATTAAGCAATATACATACCTTCATCAATATCATAGTATCTAGAGAATAGCTTTTTTTTAGATAAAAAAATGAGAAAAATATTATATAAAAATACATATATATATATTATTTAGTAACTTTATAGCTTAAACTGTTTCTAAATATCATAAAAAATAGTACTCCTTCTTTTCATACTTCTTTATATTCAACTTGTATTATTTTGATCAATAAAAACTATAAAATTTCAATATAAAACCATATATTTATTGAATCAATTATAAGAATAGAGATCCTTAAAAAAGGTATAGACTTGCCATATTTAGAATATTTAATTGAATTAGACACAAAAATAATCTGAAATTTTATAAATCATATTTGACATAATCTAAAATCTCATAAATAGTATCTGCCCAAAAGTAATGCTTATAGGTTAATGTCTGGCATATTATTGACCTAGAAGAAAGTTGCAGGTTTGGGATTTAAGCACTGTTATTTTTTATAGTGAATACTACAATCTTTCAAAAAAAGTCCTCATGACTTTAAAGTCTGCTTACTCATCTTTATCTGCAACCTCATTTCACACTTACATTAATCTATAACCTTATAAACATGACACCTGCAAATTCAAATCAAAATAAAGGCAAATGCCCCATAAGCTTAAGAGGTTTTCAAATACTAAGAAGTCCATCATGATTGGAATATATAAAGCTGGAATTACCATTCCAGAAATCTTCCGCTCCGAAGGCATACCTGTCAAATCTCTTCGCAGTATAATAAAAAAGTATAAGAAAACTGGCTTTGTCAAAGATAAGCCTCGTTCAGAAAGATCAAAGTGTCTTGATTCTAGAGGCAAGCATCATTTGGATAGACTTATAAGAAGTGATCAGCGCCAGTCTTTATTGAATATTGCAAGAGATGTTAGAAATTTCACTAGTCATTACATCTCTGAAAATACAGTCAGTAAATAACTGCATAATCTGGGCATATTCTCTTGTGCTGCAGCAAAGAAGTCTTGGCTAACTGAATAAGACATGGCCATTCGTTGCAAATGGGCAAAAGAAAGAATGGACTGGAAAGAAGAATGGAAGACAGTTATATGGAGTGATAAATCAAATTTTCCTCTTTTCAGAGTAAATGGAAAAGTTTGCTCATGGAGAAAGGCTGGCAAGAGGCTTCACACAGACTGTGTTCAACAAAAAGTATAAGGAAATGGAGGATCTGTAATGTTATGGGGCTGCATTACTGCTGAAGGAGTTGGACCACTTGCAGTTGTTAAGGGCACCATAAATGCAAAAGTTTATGTGAAGATTATGGAAACTGTCTTTAAGTCATACTACTATGTTCTATCAAACAATGGTACAAAGATATATATGTTTCAAGAAGATAATGTGCCATCCCATACTGCAAACATATCAAAGAAATGCAGAAAAGAGCTTGGTCTGGATGTTCTTGACTGGCCATCAAGAAGTCCAGATTTAAGTCCAATTGAAAATATCTGGAATATTTAGGATGACTGTGTTTGCGAAAGAGCTTGCCCACCTACAAATCTGAGGGAGTTTGAAGTAGCTTTGCAAGAAGAGTGGCAAAAAATAGATAGAAAAACATATGCAGATCTATGCCTCAAAATACATAACAGATTAGTAGTCATCAAAGAGAACAAAGGTGGGCATATCACATATTGAATAAATAATCATATTTATACCAGACAAAGGTCTTTCTCTAAGCTTCATTATAGTTATATTCTGGCGGCCTCTATTACATATGTAAAGAACAAAAGAAATATAAAGATAGACCTTTGCACTTCTATTCTCTCTGAAGTTTAAATTCATGATGACTTTTTTTGAAAGATTGTACAAATTATTATAAACTGATTACAAATTTCTAAAATTATAAACTTGTCAGAATTGATATTGTAGATAGAAATTCTTAAGTCAGATATCCAATCAGTTATTCCTTTTAACATATGCCCTCAATGTTATACCAATTGGTTCCCCTTTTTGTTAACCAAGACATATTATATTGCTTTCCATAAATGTAAAACCAATATGTCTTGGGTAAAATAATTAGATTACATAGTTTCACTTTTAAGAAGTCTATGAAGCATTTTGAGGATCGTGTCTTGTGGTGGGATTTGTTATGGAGATAATATAAAGTAAATTCAAATATTATATAAAGAATTCGTTTAGTATTGATGAATATTGTCTATATTTTTTATCTTATTCATATGAAAAAGACATAGTTCACCATAATATGTTATTATTGTTATTATTTGCAAAGACAGACCCACTTTTGAAATAAGTAGTAATCTCAATAGTGATTTTGAAAAATAATATAGTTATATCTCAAAATCACCATTAACACCACAACTCCTAACTTATAATATAGCTTTAGATATTTTATTATAGTATACATACCTCAATTGAGTAAAGAATAGACTCTACAACAAAAAATCAATTCCTTTTTGCTAATGAACCTAGCAAGTTAACAATCTCTAGAACTGTTATAGGTCAGGCACATATATACTACACACTTATAAAGTGTAAACCAACTATTACATAGCAGAGATATTAATTACAGAGATATTAATAGTAACAATATTATTTTGTTACTTTAATAAACAACACTCTTACAGTATCTACCTTTTCTAATAATAACATACTAACTTGAAATCTAACCTGAATACTTTACTTATAACATTGGTTTAGTTTCAATATATATATATCTTTCAGCACTTATGTATAAAATCACATCACATGACTTAGGCCGAGTTTGAAAAACATATTTTCAAGGAAACATGTAAAAATCATGTGACATATGTTGAGTTTTAATTATGTAAATTCCTGGTATTTTGGTATATAGTTAGATATAAATACTCTAAGATTTATATCAATAAAAAGTATTCAATTCTCTATATTCCTATCTGTTTCTATTTATTTACAATGTTCTAGTTGGTGATGATCTATTATCAAAACTTATACAAGTTAAAATAATAAAAAGATATACCTAGTCGAGACTTGACAAACTAATGAATAATCATTTTAATTCCTGCTTCTTTTGTAATAACAAGTCACTAGAACTTGTATCACAAAAATTAAGCACAACACAAGAATTCGGGCACAACACAAACAACCAACTTGTTGCTCCCGATCTGGGTTGGTCTTCCTTTTACTATAACAAAGTCAAAAGGTCAAACCCACTGGAGATCAAGGAGTATACATAAAATCAAAGAGAGGATAAAAGATACTTTTTATTGATATGAATTTAATTGTCTTATATAATTTTCTAGACTAATACTGTGCATTATCCGCAGTAGCTATTATATTATATTTATGTCAGAGTTGACATTGGTGAACAAAATTAGTAGTTATAAGCAACCAGTAAGAGTTGACTTTTTAGGATAAAAGATCTTGACTTTGCCGATTGAACACTTGTATATGTTTTAGATGTTTAAGATAGTGAATATACTTGTAGAAGATATTACTGGACAACAAGCATCTAAGATATATTATTGTAGCTATTCTTTTAGCCAGAAATCAAACATCATTTTGTATGAATAGCCAAGAAATATAATTAATAAAAAGTA